TTCAGCAAAGGAGAGGCCCAGGTGGCTCAGCTGCAGCAGCTGAGGCACAAACCACAGCCTCTCCACGCGAAGCCTCAAATTCTGCATGGATTGCATTTGCGGCAGCACCCGGGTGATCAAGCACTTCTGCATCTCGAGCTCACGGACAGTAATGGTGACATCGCGGACATGTGGCGGCACGCGATGGCTTTGGCAGACTACGTCCTCCAGTGTCCTTGCATGTTCGATGGAGATCATGTGCAACCTCATTGTGCGGGCCCGTCCCACCTCCTTGAGAGCCAGTCAATCCCTGTTGCACCGCCCAGGATGCTCAGCACCACATCATAAGTATTGCTGCTCAAATGGAGACTTGGAAAGCTGCTGAAGCATATTTCGTCTGCACCTCAGCTTGTGTGCTTATGGCGCGTACCTTCTAAGCAATCGTCCCCGCTGAGTTGGACACTTTCAAGCTGCAAGAAGTGCGTGGCTCTGCAGGTCCCTGAGGCTTTTGCCCAGTCTCGAAGCCCTATATGGCCAGCAATCCTCCGCCACACCTCCCCAGGTAGGTATCTAGGGTCAGCTGATACTGGCATCGTGTCCTGCTCTAGGCATATCAGTCCCCTACACTAAGTATATGCGAAGGGAAATCGCTGTCTAATATCATGATATGACACCAGTAGATAGGTGAAATTGAAATGCAGATGTTTTCAGTACGATGCAAGCGAGAGCTAAACCGATGAGCGAAAACGCAAAAATATTCAATCCTCTAGAAGATCAACCGTCGTGCAAGACACTAAGGATAGCATGCCTGTACTGTTCAAAATGTTTCTCAACGAAATAATGCGGGTGACGAAAGGTCTGAGGGGATCACCAGATCAGTACCAGGTCAAAGCCTTGCTACGAGCGATTCAGCCACATGCTGTAAGAAAGTATCCATCAATTTATCAATCTAACGTCCTTCAGAGATTGCTTTGCACAAAATATGCAATACAAGAGTCAAATGGACGCCCAATTGCATTGGACAAATGGGCAATGGCGGGCAGCCCAATTTGGGCAGGTCATGGGCTCCCCTGAAAGAAAACCCAATTAACGAGCATGCATTTTGAATGTACGCCGGAAAATACAGTACCTGTAGCATGAGTTAGGTCCAGGAGAGCCCAAATTTCACGATACAGGATCAAGTACAAGCTCGGAGTCAAAAGCTCGGAGTCGATGGCAGTATGAAGGAGAAGAAGAAGTAGATTACATCTGAGATCATCTGGATGATCCACCCGAGTCTTTTAATTTGAGAGGGCTACACTCTCCAAATTTACAGTGTCATTCTGGGTAGCCAATCCACTGTCTGGGCAGCACGGGCAGCCCATGCCTCGACCTCTACAAGGCAGCAAAGACGTCCATGCAAATTAATAAGCAATGCTCAGGAGCTCCATATGCAAGCTAATGCCACTCAAAATTGGTTGGACTGCATGCCACATGCATGTTGGCGCTTTGGCATTATAATATGATTGGGTACATTTTGCAGTGTCACATACGGTAAACATCTCTGTCCTACAGAGTCTCTGTCATTCGGTGTTCTGTGTATAGACAACCTTGTGTCCAGGGGTTCTGCATTCTTATGATCACAGAAGCTCCAAATCAGCCTCCATCAGGCGTACCCAGCATCACCAGGCATTAGACCAGCCTTCACCAGGCATACCGAGCAACACCTGCAGGAGCAACGAAGATCTAATGCCTGAACACCATCCGGCTTGTGCTGTACTTGTGTGCTCCGCCCCAGCCTGCAGGATGTCACTTCCATTGCCATGCCTCGCGCGGCCATGGCAGGACCCACCATGTTGAGGAATGACCCATTATCGATCTTATAGACAATTTTGAAGGTCCTCACGCCCTCCACAAATGCCCCCACATCCTGACATGTGAGGCACAGCTCCAGCACTGAGTCAATCATCAGCGCATCCACTGCCAAAGTGGCCGGCAGGTGCAGATAGGCAAATTTTGCTCTGATGCGCAGCTCTCTCAGCTTCCCTAGGGGCCCCTCCAAAATCAGCGGTGCACCGAGCGCCCCAACAGTGTCAATCTCGAGCCAAACACAGCTCAGATTGCCAGCCTGGGTCAGAAAAGCTGACAGCGGATTTGTCAACACGCCGCCACTTTTAGTCCAAGCCACAGAACTTATCATTGGCAGCACCTCTGCCAAGCAGGCTGGGTTGAAACACTCAGAATCATAGCTGATATGATCAGTAACATCCACATGGACCTGGCAGTTCTCCCCTACATAGACCGCCTCGCACTGGATGTCAAAGAGCCGCACTCGTTGCAGCCGCACCAGGGGCCGAAGATCAATTTCTGTGAAGCGGTCCTGCATCTTGGGATACAGTGCCTCCAGGGAGAGAGTCTGCAGATTTGTCAGCAGGGCCAAATCTGCCAGGCAACCCTCCGCGCACCCAAAGAATGTGAGCACTAGGTGACGCAGCTGCAACAGTGGCGGTACCCACAGGAGCTTGGGCATGGTCAGCTTGAGGCTGCGCAGCTCTGGTGTTTGCGCGAGCACCGTGGGGAGCCAAGCCATGCACTCCTCAGGCTCATTCTCTTGGATGCCAAGGGAAAGGTGCTGCAGGTGGAGTGGCATGACGTGGCCGCCGGCGCACATGTCTACTAGAGCCACCACTTGACTGGCGTGACAACGCTCCAGCCTCATCTCTCGCGCCGCGCTCCAACGTTGAGAGGCCCACTTGAATTCTGTCGCACCAGAGCGCAAGGTCATGTTTTGCAAGGTTTGTCATTTTTATTGCAAGGTTTGTTATTTGAGCTTATCCAACTCTGCTGCACCCGCCCTCCTGATTTGATCATTCTCATGAGTGAAGCAGTGAGTACGCATTAGCATTGTTTCAAGGTTTTGGTGCCAGCAGGTTCAGGGACAAGCGTTCTCAGCTTGAAATACAGGATGTTCAAGAAATCACCACCTGCATCAGAGCTGTGCTGGTCGAATAATATCTTGAGAATGATTGAGTGGAAGGAGGCCCTGCAGGTACGTGCGACTTTCGCCCACTGCCGAATGGAAAAGTAAAGCGCGATCAGATGCCAAACCTCCTGAGGTAACTCTGCTGAAGCCATCCTGTCCTGCACACACAGCAATCCTTTGCTGCTATCTACTCGGTAAGTACCATATTTGGATGCTGGATGTTCGGGAACTGCTTCAGATTACTTTCACGAAGCAAGACAAATCTTGCACACGTACGACGACCAGGCAATTAGGCGCCAAGAGAACAGATCTGTGACAACAAGTGTATATCCCAGCCAGAAGGCCAGCTACTAAATAATCTATACCTTCAGATGGGTCAATTTGAACGCTCGAGTGTCTGTGCTGATGGTTGGAGCCGTGCGGGCACTTCTTCGTGATCCCACATGTCCTGACTCATCTTGTGACCACCGGAAGTATTCCGTTTAGTCAGTGTTATATGACTGAAAGACGGTCTATATTATTTTCTGGTGCAGATATCCGAAGTGAAAACATGCGAGTATTTGCTGATCTGCGCTATCAAGTGGGAAGCCCTCCTTGCCTCTGTCTGGGCAGCCCTTTATCCAGTCCAACGATGCACCTCAATAACAGATACCAGACCTCACTCGAGGTCTTTTCACAGGTGCATCTTTGATCCGGAGGTCGATCATGAGATATAGCTGTCGGTTCAGCTGGCCTGCATTTCATATTTGGCGGGATCAAAATTTTGGGGGTGCCCAAATTAGGTGCGCTGTGCAGCACCGGGCCAGTGCAGTGTTGGAGTTAGCAAGAAGCTGTTGACATCACAGGTTACCACAATCAGGGTTTTACAGCCCCCCCAGGGCCCCCCAAGGGATGGCCAATCTGCTCCAGGGCTAGGGGCAAGGTTTCTGGGCAACCCCGGGATAAATTCAGGATTGGCCAAATGGTTCAGGGCAACACCCGAAACCACGTGGCTATGACTCAGGAGCGCCCCTGACTTTTCAAGCAATATGAGCCACTTGAAGGCCAGATTCAAAAGAAAAACCTGCTTCTCCCTGTTGAAAATCTGGGGGACCTCAGGTGGAGTTCGGAAGTTTGGCTACTATTACGGCTGCCGCTGCGGCAGCAGGCAGGGGCGAAGCCCCCACCCGCCTTTGCTCCACTTATGGGCTGGCCTGACAATTTCTAGGACCTCCGTCAAACCCTGACCACAATGATTTTGGGTTGCGCATCACAAAGCAGTAGGGGCCATACTTAACAAGTAAATCTACAGCACATCTGAAAGGTCTGAATAGCCTATATAGCCTCTTAGAGCCCATATCCTAGATTTAGACGCAGAAAGCACACCCGTGTACCAGAGAAACACAATATCAGTACGCCGAGCAGAACACTACATGCTTATCAGCATATTACTTTATCAGACAAATTTTGTCTGCGAGGGCGGAAAACAGGGTGAGTGATTGGGAACACGGGGGGCGTGGCGTGTGGTCTCTGGCATGGCATGGTCATGTCTGCAGAGAATACATCCGAACTGGAGTGCTTTAAGTCAAAGGAATCTTGCCGGCCTTTACCAAGCATGGATGGCAACACCTGCAGGGACACTCAAACAGAAGGACCTGGGAACTCCCTGGTTTATACTGCAGCTCTGTGCGGTTCATTGGACGGGGTGTCAACTTGAAAGGCATGCTTCTTGCTGCCATGGCGATGCACACATCTATCTGAAAGGTGCCCATTGCATACATATAAGTGATGCAGAAGGCATCTATACCCTCAAGAAAGGCCCCAACATTTTCGCAGCTGAGTCCCAACTCATCAGAACAAATCACCAATTCCTTGAGCACCGATCGAGCAGGCACTCTCAGTTGAAGTACGGAAGCATTGATGCGCAGCTTCGTAAGATTTGACAGCGCGCCATCCAGAATCAAGGGTGCCCCAGGCGATCCTGCAGCCTCGCAATGCATGTCCAGCCAATGCAGGTTGCATGCCTGGAGAAAACGGGCCGACGGCTGCGCATCCATCATGTAATTGTCAGCTGCCGAGCCCCATTCCATTGTGTGCACCCTCGCCAGCGCACCCAGCAACTCGCTGCTTGGCATCTCACCATCCCTGACCCAATCCAGGTGGACGCTGCAGAGTTCTGGCAGGTGCAGTTTCTTGCAAGAGACGTCACGCAGGCAGACGCTGTTGAGGTTCACCAGCAAGCGCAGATCTATTGTGTCCATGTTGCTCTCGGATCCGGGGAACACTGCGTAGAGGAGCAGGGTCTGCAGATTGGTCAGCAACGGCAGCTCCACCCCCAAGCTGGACTTCACGCCGTGAGTGTAGCTCACGCTCAGATGCTGGAGATTTAGAAGAGGCGGTAATCAGAAGAACGTACGGACGCCCAAATCCAGGTAGCGCAATTTGTGCATCTGCGCAAACACCCATGCCAACCAAACGAGGGGTGCATTCTCCTCGCCTTCTTCCTCCTGCTCCATATCATCCATGTGAATGATCATGTCCTCGACTTGCCCAGGCACGCTGCCCCCGTTGTAAACTATATTCGCCAGCACCCTCATATTACTGCTGCGCATTTTCGTGCAGCTCATTGCACGCGCTATGCTCCACCTCCTGGAGACCCATTCAATTCCTGTTGCACAAGAAAATTAAGCCATGCAGAAGAGAATCACAACATGCAATACCTTCACATTGTGACATGTCGCATGACTCTCACAGGTCATTTCAACCAGCAGAAAAACATGTCCTGCTCCATTAAGTAGTTGTCAGTTGGCATTCACCTTTGCTGCAGACATCACTGCCGAAATTGACACTGTCAAGCTGTAGGTGAAACATGGCCTTGCAAGTTCCGCATGCTGATGCCCACTCGCGAATCGTCAAGTGGCGTGTGATCTTTTGCCACACCTCCTGGGGCAAAACTACAGCCTGACGTCCAGAAGGCATGCTGTTTTGCAATCACAGCAGCAGTATCAGTGATTGACAACCGCATCACAATAATAGATCGTTTTCGTCATGAAAGGTCAGATGTTCACAGGGGTCTGCAGGCAAAGGAAGCCATGCTTGCTCACACACCTGTCCTTGCAAAGCCGGGTGCAGGAAGCCAGCAGGTGTCGATGCGATAAACTAATTATTTCATCTTCCAGAGAGTCGCATATTTTTATTGTCTTATTTGTCAGTTCTAGACCAGGCGAATGGAATGGAAATGTGCCATGGTCATAACTTTCTGTATGAGCTGATACAGTCCAAAATTTGAGAACATGTGTCTCCGTAAACTTCCACAAATATAACGAAATCAACTCATTGGACAGACAAATGCAGAATGGACGCCTGGCTTGAGTTGGCCAACTGCCAAGAGAGGGCAGCCCGCTCTGGGCAGGAGCTTCCCCAACATGCATGCAGTTGACATGTGCAACCCAGCATACGAATCTTTCCGGGTACAACTCTTTACTGGCAGCTACCAGCAAAGCCACAATGTTAATCGGTAGGTGATAGGCATTTACAACTGTTCCAAGTGGCACATCGTAACTATCAACGTGGCTACATCGTCAAGAGCACGCAGTGCACAAATGTTTTGGAAATCCATTGGCCCAACGAGGAACCACCTGGACATCTGGGTTAGCACCTGCACATGCATGCATGGCTGTGCCACCAACCTCAATCAACACGCATCTGCAGGCACCGCCCCAGCCTTGCTGAGGCACTCGGTGCAGCACCCGCAAGGACAGTCAAAGCAAAACAATCGGGCCCCAGCTGTTGGTGGCCTGTGCTGCAACCGTGTGCACGTATGATGTGCAGAATACTCTTTCACCTCAACATGCAGAGCCATGCCCCGAGCCGCCATGGCCGCGCGCAAATCCATGGCAAAAGACCCCACACAATCCTTGTAGCAAATCTTGAAAGCGCGCAGCCCTTCACTAAATGCCTCAGTGTCGTTGCACTCCACAGACAACACCTTGCCTGCATCCAGGAACAGCTCGTCTAGCGCGAGTTTGACAGGCAGATGCAGATATATGCTGCGAGCAGGGGCAGTGATTCGCAGCATGGAAATGCTGACGAGCGCCCCATTCAGCGCCAGGGGTGCGCCGGCTGACCCCACATCAGTGTCGCTGTACAGGTCCAGCCAGCTCAGGTTGCATGCCTGCAGCATGGGCACCGGAAGTTGAGCCTCAATCGGCTCGCGGTAAATCCTTGCCCCCCATTCCAATGAGCGCACAGAGGCAAGCGCCCCCGACCAGTCGCTGTCGGCAATATGCTCCCACACAGTCAGCCTCAGGTGGAGGCTGCATTGCTTCCCCATGTGAAGCTCCGCGCACCGCACATTCTCAAAGCAGACGCGCTCCAATTGGGCCAGCGGGCGCAGGTCCAGCAACTCCATGCCCGCATTGTCTCTTGGGTAATAGTCGCTCAGCATGAGCGTGCGGAGGTTGCTCAGCAGTCTCAGCGACGCCAAATTTGGAGATACGCTGTAGTAGAAGCTGAGACTCAGATGGCGCAGCTGCAGCATCGGCGGCACCCACAACAGCCGGACAAGGCGCAGATTCAAGTAGACCAACCGAGGCATGTGCGCCAGGGCCCAGGCCAGCCACATGATGCAGGGCTGTGCCTCCTCGTCCTCAGGCTCGTCGGAGAACAGCATGGTCAGGTACTGGACTCGCGCTGGCGCGGTGCCGCCGGCAGCAACCACGTTGGCCAGCGCCTCAGCATCTGCGGTCCGTATGTCCACGATTTTCATCACGTGGGCAGCGCTCCACCTCTTTGAGATCCATTCAGCCGCTGCGCAAACCACACAAGCTTAGGCAACAGCTGTAATATATTGTCTCATGCTGTGCGCATCAGGCATCCATTTCACAGGACGAACTGGTTGTATTGTGCTGAAAAAGCAATCCTCAACAAAATTCCTGGCGAGTTCAGCTTATGTGCAACAATCTCGTACCTGCGCTGGAGATGCGGTAGTAAATTTTGACGCGTTCAACTTGGAGGAGAAAGGTGGCTGGGGAGATCCCAGAGGCTGCAGCCCATTGCCGGGTGCACAAGTGGCGTGCAATGTTCTGCCAGACCTCCTCTGGCAGCACAACTTCGTTGGGTCCCAGAGGCATCTTGTCCTGTGGCAACACAAATTTCAAGTCGGTGCCGGTTTCCAATCTTACTATTTGTACGGTTTGCTATTGGATAGTAGCAATTTTAGATTCCCAAGGCCAAATGACTGCTCTGATCCCTCGTCAACAACGAACGACCGAAGGGTATTTCGGTAGTTGCAAGCCTGGATATAAAGCAAATTCACCATTGCAACATACAGGTTAGATTACAAAGTACAACCAATTGACTGGCGTAAAGGGTACCTGAGGCTGCGCGGACTATATGCGCCAGGTTCCGCACAGGGACTGTGTGTCTTGAGAATCTCTCTCCTCACAGAATGCACCTTTTGCCTTCACACGCAAGTTTGGACTTAATTCGGCGTGCAAAAGACTGTTTGACTCCGCTTCTTGCAAGAGGAATTCAGTGACCCTTTCGATCGAAGCGTAGCCAATCAGTGGCAAGTATCAAATGATGAGTAATTGCACAGAAGGTACTGATATTCTTCTCAAACTTTGCAGTGGATGCAACAAAGTCAGATCATGCCAAAAGTATTACTTAATGGCATTGGAATTTGTGTAGCCCGTGGCCACCTCATGCAAAGCCATTGGACGCCCTTGCAAGAAGATTCGGCAGGTGGCAGGATGGGGATAAACCTATAGCTGCTTTTCGATGTGTGCATGCTGCGCACATGTAGACCTATCAGAGGACAAGGTCACACGAGCACAGTACTGAGATCTCACTAGTGACCTCGGCACACGCAAGGAAAACGATGCACGTAGCTCAGGCATGGTGAAACAGAGGACATCAATATGCCAAGTGACTCTTATAAAGTAGTACTGAGTCCATGTCCATGCATTCATCACAACCAACTCAATACATAGGTCGCGCGCCAGCCTTCTCCAGACACTCATCACAGCACCCGCAGGGGCACTCAATGTAAAATTTGTCTCGGCCGCGTGGCCACCATGGTTTCACCAGTAGCACTGTCCGCTGGAGCTCACACGGGGTGAGAGTGTAGGGCATGCCTCGGGCCGCCATGGCCACACACAGCTCCATCAGAAAGGACCCCGTGACCCTTCTGTAAACGATGCAGATGCCACGAATGCGCTCCAAGAATGCCCCAATGTCCCCACAGCTTATATCAAGGTCATCTGAGAAGATCGCTAGCTCCTCCAGTACCGATCCAACAGGCACATGCAAATGAACTATCGCGCTATTGATCTCCAGCTTACTAATGTTGTGTAGTGGCCCCTCCAGGACAAGCGGCTGTTCAGCAGAGCCTGCCTGTTGGCAATGCAGGCGGAGCCAATTCAGGTCGCAAGCTTCGAATAGTGAGGCTGGTGGCAGCGCGCTCATGTGAATTTCGACCGAGCCCCATGTCAGTGAGCGTGCTTGGGTCAGCCCGCCCAATGATTTGCCAAGGGGGTCCCTTGTCAGCTCCAGGTGAACTGCGCACTGAGGCGCCACGTGCGTCTCATCTCCTACAATGTCACAGAGGCTGGCGCTGCGAAGCTGGGTCAACGCCCGCAGATCGAGCGTTTCTAACCAGTCCACAAAAGAAGGACGTGTTGCACGCAGCCGTAGCGTCTGCAGGTTGACCAGCAAGGACAGCTGCTCGCCCACCTGATAAGACATTTCCTGAGAAAAAGTGAAGGTGAGATGGCGAAGCTGCAGCAGCGGTGGCACCCAGAACAGATTGATGATGCACAGGTTCAGATATTGCAATGATTGTGTTTGGGCCAACACCCAGCCCAGGCACATAAGGGTTGCCTCCTCCTCGCCATATTTATCCGGATCCTCACAGCTTATGGTCAGCTCCTGGAGTTGTGGCAGGCTGCTCCCGCCGGCACACATTACATGCGTAAGTGCCTTTGCAGTGCTGCTGCAGAGGCTGTCTATGCTCATTTTGCGCGCTGGCGTCCACCTCTTTGAGAGCCACTCGATCCCTGGAACACTGGCCCCACAAGCTCAACATCACGCAAGCTGATCCGTGTAGCGCATTGACACAGGCATCACCACGTGCTGGTGACATGTGGCAGGTCAGCCTGATAGTTTTTGACAACTGCTCTGTTCGGTTGACAATCTTGCTTCTGTCCAGGCATGTGGCAGGAGCGTGCACCTTCAGGAAGAATGTCCCCGTCAAATGTAATACTCTCGAACTGCAGGTGAAAGGTGGACCTGCAGATCCCACAGATTCCCGCCCATTCAATGACTGTCATGCATCGAGCAATCCTCTGCCACACCTCCTGTGGCAACGTTACTGCTGCAGGCATTCTGTCTGCAATCAGAGCAACTATAAGTCAGCGCAACATATATATAAATATATATCCGATAGAACATCCTCGTGTGCTTTTCATTTGAATAGATCAAAGCTATACTGAGTTAGCCTGCAGTTCACCACGTGCCAGGAGAACAGGAGGTGCGTGAGAGATAAAAATAACCAACCTAATTTGTACGCTTGGTCATGTCGCGCAGATGATGCCGGTAGTGCTGGTGAGGATCAGTCGAGGCCATGCAGAGAGGGGCCTTTCTGTTCAGAAGCTGAACTCCAGATACGCTGATGGACACAAGACGTCTTGAGGTCAATTGTTTGATACATATATTATATATATACATTTCAAGTAAGAAAATCAAGAACAGAAGACGTTTTGTTGATTTTGGAAGTCGGGCAGCCCGCCATGGGCCCATCCTGGGCGGAACCTGTCTGCCAATGTGATGGCTGAGTAAATTTTACTCAGTAAAAGCAGCCTGGCCAGCAACGTCGCCCAAAATATCAGATGCGAAATACATCCGATGCATACATGTTATTTTATTGCTGGCTTTCAAAACTAGAGTGGTCCGCACGTAGGCACTTGCATAAGCAATTAATTCCTAGTCTCAAGTCTTCATCTGTTTGTGACTTTGCTATTGTTTCGAGCTCCCCAGCCCCTGTTTTTGCAGCTCGATTTACATTTGAGCAGGCCACAACACGACTTTCCCAACTTTCTCAGGTGCTTTTCTAGATTGGGCGCACTAAACATTGTGGAGGCGCATGCATGCATACTCTGAGTCATCTATTCAAGGCAACAATGTGAGTCAAACAAGCTTCTCTCGCACCCAAGCACCCGGCCACAGCAGAGTGGCGGCAGGTGTGCGCTGGGTCGGCTGAGAACCTGATTGCATTATAAGAGTCTTTTGACAGTCAATTGTAACTGATGATCTAAATTTTAGAACCGTGATTCTGCAGTAATATGAAGCTACACGCTGTGGCCACTGTTCAAACACAAGCTCCTGGGGCACCTGCCTTTTCTATGCATGCACCCGGCCAGCCTTCTCCAGGCACTCCTCACAACACCCACAGGGGCATTCCATATCAAAGTCATTCCTGCCAGCCCGATTGTGCTGCCAGAGTGTGCGCCCGAGGGTGAAAGGGCCCAATTGGTAAGCCATGCTACGGGCCGCCATGGCATTGCACAGGTTCACCAGGAATGATCCATGGATGAGTCTGTAGACAATGCTAAAGCTTTCAATGCCATCCAAAAAGGCTCCAATGTCCTCGCAGCTCATATGTAACTCCTCAGTGAAAATTATCAACTCCTTCAGCGCCGACCCAGCGGGCACATGCAGGCGAGTGGAAGGGGAATTGATTTTCAGCTTTTCGATAATGAGGAGCGCCCCTTCTAGTAACAACGGTTCACCCACCGACCCTGCGTTCTCGCAAAAGAGGTGGAGGCACCGCAGGTTGCAAGCTTCAAGTAGGGAGGCCGGCGGCAGGAAGGTCATCACAGCGTCATCAATACCCGAGCCCCGGTTCATTGATTTCACTGAGGCCAGCGCGCCTGACCAATTGCCCCAGGGCTGCGTTGTTAGCTCCAATTGCATGCTGCACTTGGGATCTACCTCCATCTGGTGGCAGTGGACATCACTCAGGCAGACGCTGTGCAAATGGGCAAGAGGGCGGAGGTCTAACACATCCATAACAACCTGATGCTTGGGAAACCTCGCGCACATCCTCAGCGTCTGCAGCTTATGCAGCATGGCCACCTCCACGCCAAAGCTGGCAGAAAAGCACTCGTAGAAGCTGAGGGTGAGCTGGCGGAGCTGCAACAGCGGCGGCAACCACAATAGCTTCACAAGACGCAGCTGCAAACAGCGCAGCGATTGGAGCTTCCCGAGCACCCAGCCCAAGCACATATTCACCTTCGTTAGATAATTTTATCTGAAGGATTCTGGAAGACCCAGGGGCTGCAGCGTCCTCCGTGGGAATCAGATTCAAGAAAGCCAATCCTTTTATGGGCTGCCGGGCAAAAACTCTAATCGTGTTGTAAAAGTGTTGTTTAATGTGTCTCCTTATATGTGTGATAACCCTCTGGCGATGTGCAGGCTGTCCTTTTGGAATGGATCATTAAAGGCAATATCCTGAACTTCGTAGTTCGAACTGGACTTGGGTGCCCAGGAGCCCAGATTAATCGCAGACCGCAGCCCAGGGGCAGACTTGGGCAGACATCTGCCAGGCCCAGCAAGACAAGCACTGCCCCAGCACCCAACTTTCAGGGCTCTCTTAAAACACCTTCCAAAGCTACACTGCTCAGGGTGTAGGTTCTATCTGCAATTCTTGTCTATTCGGATCCATCACTGCTTATATTTAATTTTTTAATCTAGCTGATCAGCGCTGGCAGGGCATGCATGCATGCATATGCGCAGTTCAACTCTAGTGCATCTTGTCTCCTTCATAATGAAACATGAGAGTCGGCTTCGTCACTCACTCTTTTTATTAAGCTCACAGCATAGATCTTTGACTTAGCTAGATTCACAAACACGTGCACTTTGATCTCACTTTAGTTCAAGCAAAAGTTAGTTCTACCCTACTATACCAAGTCTTGAACATTATTGCTTCCAATTTCGCACTCAATATACAGTAGCATTCTCACAGAATCAATGTTCCCCAGTTGCGGCAACCCCCAATATCCTTAGGTGCAGGTCAATCCGAAGGCATCAGGCCGGCCCTGAACAGGCACTCACTGCAGCACCCGCAAGGGCACCCAAATTTACACTCGCCACTACTGTAGATAATGTGCTCCACATGTGCCCAGGGCAGTCTAATGGGGCACTCCTTTGATGTTATCCTCTTGCCCCGCACTACCATAGCAGTGCACAGGTGCACCAGAAAATCGCCCGTGGCGCTCGTGCACACAATGTGAAATGCGCGCAGTTGCTCGGTGAATGCCAGAACGTCGCCGCATCTCACATTCATGTCCTCTGCACGGATGACTAACTCCTCCAGCGCTGACTTGTCAGGCAGCCGCACGTGCAGTGCGCTGCACCTGATGCGAAGCTTCACAACACTCGACAGCGCGGCCCCGACGTTCAACGGCGCGCCGGCCGCCCCCACCTGCTCGCAGTGCAGGTCCAGCCAGCGGAGATTGCAGGCCTGAACCATGGCTACCGGCAGATGTTGCTGCATCGGGGCGTGCCCCTCCAGTCCCCAGCACAAAGATTGCACTGAGGCGAGTGCGCCCGACCAGTCACAGCCGGCAGTCAGGTCCGACCGGCTGAGCTCGAGGTGAATTGCGCACTGGCGAGGCACATGCACCTCCGCGCAGTGGACATCACGGAAGCATGCGCTTTGCAGCTGGGTGCACTTGCGCAGGTCCATTATCTGCAGGCCGCGGGGAGATGAGTGGGGATCCCCCATGTGCAGCAGCACCGTTTGCAGGTTGGTCAGCAGGGATAGCCACTGCATGCTGCAGCACACCGCGCACGTAAAGCTCACACTCAGATGAGTCAGCTGCACGATCGGCGGCACCCACAGCAGCCGCCGCAGGCGAAGTTTGAGGCAGCGCAGCCGCCACTGCTGCAGCTGGGCGAGCACCCACACCATCCACATGAGGCTGGCTTGCTCCTCGTCTTCTTCCCCTTCGTTGTGCCCCTGCTGCGCAAAGTGGAGGTCCAATTTCTGGAGTTGCGCTAACACGTTGTGGCCTTCGGAGATGAGCTGTGATAGCGCCTTGGCATGCAGCTTGCCCAGGTCGTTGAAGCTCATCGTGCGCGCCATGCTCCATCGCTTGGACAGCCACTTGATTCCTGTTGCATTTGGACCCTGACATTAGCTTTTCAGAAAAATGATATATTCTCATTGACATGCCACGCAAGAGACTTTGACACAACCTGCTAACGTTGGGCTCTTGCTGATCTGATGACCCGTAACGTGATCCTTGCCGGATCGACCCAATACTGTGACAGAGGAGGACGATGGGCAGGCACCTTCGCAGCATACGCCCTCATCAAACCGAACAAGCTCGAGCTGCACCCTGAAGTGGGTCTTGGACGCCCCAGAAAGCGCTGCCCACTCGCGGACGGTCAAGTGCCGCGCCACGTTCTCCCACACCTCCTGTGGGAGTGTCACAAGATAACTTGCAGCGGGCATCTAGCCTTGCAGCAAATATGAGCCCTGCATGAGCACACAAGGGAGCTTTTCAGCCGTACACCCTCTATTACAGTCCAAGATCAGGGACAACCCATGGGCCGCAGCGTGCCAAAAAAGACCAACAAAACCAGGGAGCATAGAGCTTCTATGATAAGGTCAAAAAGCGAACAGTACGATGCTTCATACAAGGTGTCGTTAAAGCGCGCAGAGAGCTCACCTTGGTGTAGGGTTACATTGATGTTTTACTACTCCGAGCGGTGACCAAGTATTTCCGAGTGGGATCAAGCAACCTGCTTTCTGTGAATTGAGATTGGTCCGACGAAGTGTTTTATGACTTCTTGTCGCGATGTCTCCTGTAACGCAATAAGTGGCCGAGTCGACAGACAGACAGTTGCATCCCTGTGGCCAGGTGTAGCCGTTCTGGGCAGCCCAATTGGGCAAAAGACTGGGTCTTGATGACACGGTTCAAGTACTTGTTTGTGGGGTCAAACCAGCCAGTCATGCGACACGATCAAAGTTTACATAAGCACTGGATTCATGTGGCAAGAGATGGGCATTTAAGCCATGCTGCGCGCATGTAGCAAAAGCTCTGCAACTTCATTGAACCTGTACTGCAGGCTGTCCCAATTGCAAGCTGAGTGTGCCATGCATGCGAGCACGTATGGAGAGCGAGTCCATGCAAAGCACAGAACCACACAGCTTTGAGACAACAAGGCATACATAGATCTACTGCAAATTCTTGGCACAATTGTGTGCACGCAGCTATATTTATACACTGCCAGCCAAAAAGTCCCAATCCATAAAGCCATTGAAAGTCTTTGCCACGCGGGGTGATAAACCCTTGCCAACCAACTGAAATGCAACCAACGTGGATGATTGTTTGGACTTGGGCATCTATATACTTCACTACACTCCAAATGAGTCCAACGGAAGCTCGCCTGCTTCGAGCGAGTTGCCAATGAATAAACAATAGATGCATGCTGGACGGGGCAGCCGACTCGGACTTATACTCAGATCTCGACTGTCCATTTATAAATCTGAAGATGCAGTGATCAGAACTCTGCAGAACCCATAGCAGCTTCAATTTTGATATTGGTCTGGTAATTTGCTGGCCTGGTAAATCTCTCAATGACTGTGACATTCCTGTGCAGCTCTGCGCCATGGCGCTATAGCATCGCAGCTGTTCTCATGTTGCAGCCATGGCTTGTGCAATCCCTACTCACCCCAAGTGACTGTGCCAGTGTAGTAAGGCGCCTGCACATTTCACAAGACAGACATCACTGGACTGAAGGAGAATTATGCAGCTGCCTTGTAAAAGTGACAGATATCAGCCTCCAGCTTTAGCAATGCGCAACAATCATCCGGCAAACAAATCTGCATGCATGACGAGCGAGGAAGCAGGCAGTGACCCTGATACTGCTTCTTTTGAGGTGCTCTTTGCTGGCATGTTTGCTGAAGTGCACAAGTAATAGCACGTTTAGTAATATCATTAATCTGAAACCTTCTACCAGAGGCGAGGTGGTTTTCCTTCCAGAGGCAAGGTGCGTCTGCATGCAAGCTGTACTATCACCCTGCAAGTAATTACTATATAGTATAAAATATATTGCCCTGCAAGATCAGGTGACAACGGTATGTATGGGGCACAACTGTGGAGGTCAAACAATTGAGATTTCTAGAGGGGGTGTGAGAATTATCTGGGTTTATTTGCCGTCGTCGCCGTCTTCGCCATTAGGGGAAATAATGTTCCTAATCCCTAAACCCTAAATCGAACCCTAAATCCTACGCGCACGTTTCAGCATTAAGTCCCCAGAACGGCAAATCCACGACGGCAAGAAAGACCTGATGTGAGAGTTTGGGGGGATGCTGAGGCGCACAGTCACAGAGACGGTGCCGGAGCCGCCGGAGACATCCACAGACACATCGCTGTAGTCGGAGGTGAAGCTGACGCTGAAGCTTCCATCCCAGCTGTAGAACTTTGGGGTGAGGCCCAGATCGGCGCGCAGATCGGCCGGCACAGCGGGGGCCGGCGCGGCCGCCGAGTTGGGGCGGGGCACAAGGGACACCTGCAATGGCAATTCAAGCCAGATGGAAGGAAGATATCACTAAATCACATTCTTCGAGGCAGAGTACCCTGTCGGACACTTTTGGAAAAAGGGCAGACATGGTGCTTCTCCTGCACAAATCAGATTGCGCCACAACGCATACACTTCTTAAGCGTATCCTGAACACACTCGCGCAAAGAGCTGGATTGTCTGTTCGTGCGGCGTCACAGGGTCAACTTACGCCGCAGAAAATAGTGCGCTTCCAAGAAAAGTGCTCCAAAGAATTGTCACGCCAAATGCGTCATGCACACCCATGCAGCAGATTGCTGCGTGTTAAAGCACTTGAGATCACGGGAGGGAGATTGATCATCCTGTCTTCTGCAAAGAAGAGAGCTGATGAAGCAAATTGTTTCAAGCAATGCTGGCACCATTAAATATATTACTTGTGCAGACTGCATTCACTCATGTGGCATTCTTTGTGGGGTTGGTTAATGCTTTGTCAGCTCACCTGCGCAGCGGGGCCGTTGGGCTGCGAGATGGTGATGAAGCCGGATGAGGTGAGAGAGGGCTGCACTCGGATGGTGCTGTTGCCATCAATCAGGCTCAGGACTGCTTGCACCTGCCCATCTGGCTTCACTACAGTCACATCTGACGGAGACACCTGCGCATCAGCACTGCATTAGCAGACTGATTCAGCAGACGATCTCAACACCGTTCTAAGCTCAGTCCGATACAGAGAGCACAGGCCCACTGGTGCGCTGCGTTCTTCCGTGCCACAGGAAGGCTGGCAGCATCAGGATGTCACTACAGAAAGCAGGGGACTGAAAACAGATTTGCAAATGCTCTGCTTCAAGTATGCCTGCTTTGATGCGCTGAGTGTACTGTTCTTCCCTCAAGGTACTGCTGTAGGGCTTTGGCATGTTTCATATGAGGTGGAATGGCGGCTGGTACAGCAGTTCTGATGATTTCTGAGGGGAATGCAGAGGCAGAAATTTTGGGGCACCAGAAATTTCACCTTCAGGTTTGAGCCATCAATGATGGGTACGGCTGCTGTGGCCATGCCCATGGGGTTGATGATGGACAGAATGGCGTCCTTCACATCTGCAGGGGCCGCCTCTGGTGCCTGCAGAAGGCTGCGGCCCGATGCTGCAACCAGACAAACCGACCGCTCTCATCTCGTGCCAGCTGGAATGCAGGTCACGAACACTGCACTGGCTGCCGATTCGTTGCAGGCCCACGTCTTTTCCAAAGAACTTGATTAGAGCAACGCTGTCACGGTCGTCGTGTGGCTCAGTGCAGGCGGACTCGGCGAACTCAATAGTACGACAGTCTGAAGTACGAGCATATGCATGTTGCATCAACCTAGCAACCCAAAAGCCAAAAACACCTCATGCGACCGATCTCGACAGTACTGAAGCTATTGCTTTAGGTGATTCAAGGGATCATGGTCAGCCAAATGGTGGTCAACTTAGACGGCAACCGGCCGGGCACCTACCGAGAGACAGGACGGAGAGGCCCGCAAGGAGGAGGACAAAGGCGAAGTTCATTGCGACGAATGAGAACCCCAAAGCCGGCCTGTGCGTGTTTTTCAGCTCTCGACTTCTGCACAAACAGGTTTCGTGTATCACGAACGATCAAACGCACAGACAGCACGTGCACGTCACTTTGGATCCTGCTTTTTGGATCATGAGTGCATGCATGCAAGCGGTCAGAGCCACAGAGACTTGCTCTTATGGGAGGATTCAACAGGGAATATTCCCTAAAGTACAGACATCTCTTGGAAATTAGGAGCCAGCATTCATTGACACGTCAGGATCAGCTAGCATGAACACGTGCTGTGGATCCCATGCATGCAGAGGTGTGAGTGCATGCGCTCGGGTGCACCTGCACCTTCAACAATAAATTTAAGGACACCTTCCTACCAGCTCATACGGAGGCAGACACCCGAGTAACTGTGCATTAATACAGAACCCCGGCTTCAGCTGTGCATCTGGGACCTCCTGAAATTCTCTACATTTTCCTTCTCACGCATGCGCGTGCGCATTCAGTTGTCAGCACACAAATTGATTGCTTTCTGCCAACGATGGGCCTTTGCAACTTGCAACTTGCAAGTTGCCAGTGCAATGCCAGGGCAAATGTGCTTTAGGACCCATCAGCGCCTTGTGACAATGGTCAGGGCTCAGGTGAGGGTGACCATCAGCGAAAGTGATATTCTTTATTCTTTGCAGTGTACATGACATTTCCAGGGCCATAAATGATTCATTTTCTACTTGAGCGAACCTCATTGTTCCATTGCAATGCTCAATCGACTAGTGTCAATCAGTGACGTCACTAGTGTCGGCAGGCGGCTGCTGGGCGCGAGTGAGTTGGTCGGCCATGAGGGAGAGCTGAGTGTGGAAGATGTCCTTCATTTCTCTGATATCATCCTCAAGCTTGTCCACATGCTCGTTGCGCTCCCCCAACAGCTCCAGCGCCATGTCATACCGCGCCCGCGCCTCCTGCTCCAATACACACTGGTCAGAGACTTTGTCTAGCTTCTTTTCTGGTGTTTTCCAATGTATGTATTACAAATTCTCACCCACTCCATGCCTTGACATCCGCACGGCTGATAGAGATGCCGTAGGAGCTGTGCCGAAGATACAGACGGGGTTACATTTGATCTCGAGAGCGCAACACTTGGGGCAGTACAGGACATGGACTAGAGCACGAAAAAAAGAATTGTGCAGGGTTGCCTTCACAAAGTACAGAAAATGACTGACTAATTTAATGTTGCTGTCATCATTATTTCGCACAGGCTTCAGTACCTTCAGTTCTCGCTCAAGCTGATCGCATTGCGCGACGGCCGCGGCGGCGGCCTCGGCCCGTTCGCATGCGCGCAGCAGCTCTTCACGCGCGCCGTCAGCCGCCGCTTCGGCGGCCGCGACGCGCTTCTCCAGAAAGATCACCCGGTGCGCGTCGGCCACGCCCCCGGCCGGCCCGGCGCCGGCACCGCTGCGCAGCCGCGTCAGAAGCTGCGATGCTGTCCGCGGGCTGGCTGGCGCCCTGTTACCAAATCAGTTGCTCCTCTGTCAAGGACATGGTGCTGTGGTTCACAAAGGCGAGAGGCTTTGGTGTTCTCGCCAAGTTGCTGCCACATCAGCCATTATCTCAATTTGACAGTGTGCTTCAGATAGGCACGAGAACTTGTTGTTCTCAGGCTTCGTGATGACACATAAGCCGTTTGCCTATCTGGAACTGGCATTGTGCTTCACCAATGCAAGAGGCTTTGTCATTCTCCGGCAACTTGCATGATTGCGGCACATGGAAGTGAGCGTTGTCCCTCAGGTCAACAATTTTGCCCCACAACAGTCGCGTTTTCGTTTGCTTCCCTGCTCGTTACGGATGAGCAAGTCCCAAAGCACATGTACACAGCTACAGTGCTAGAATTGTCATCACTTCCTCAAACATCTGCAGGAAGGCTAGGAAATTGAAATAGCCAGCGCAGAGGTCTCACCCAATTAAGCCATCGAGGTCATCATGCTCTACCGGAGGGCTCTCATCCGCAGCGATGACAACGCCTCTGCTGTGCTCTGGACTGGAGGGCACTACATCTGTCAGCGGCCCTGAGTGTGAAGATGCGCGCGAGACTGGGAGATTGGCCCGGGAGGGGGAATGTGCCTTGCGCAGGCTCTGCTGGTATTTCTCCTGCCAGTGCAGCACGTCCGCTTCCAGATTCCGCACCTGCACCGGGCAAGTAGAATTTACTGATCACATGACCATGAATACTGTAGTACTCATTCTGAAACCCGCAACAAATAACTATTTCTGGCCGAAAAGGGTGGAAAAATAAGACCCTATCTCCCAAAATATAAACCCAATGGAGCATGACCCTGGTATATCTCGAATTCATAAGTCAGGAAGACCTTAAAAAGCTGCCTAAAATTTTCCCGCACCGCCGGGGGTGCGGGTTTTGGAACAAGTACTACAGTACTGCCAGACAAGCGCTCTGCTTGAAAATGATGGTTCTAATCCTCACTGAGCTCGGTAGTAATGGCTTCAGTATAGAATGTTGCTGGACTGATAATCCAGTAGAGTCTGGACTGGTTCTTCCCTTAAACGCCCTCTTGGAATCTGGCACTGGAGCAAAAAGAGGCTCAGAATATCTGCATGTCCATCCCACAGCAACGATGGGCAAGATTTGCATGTGCTCCTCCTTACTGAATCAACGAGTTGAATTGAAAAGTGCTGCTCGTTTGGCATAAAAGTAGAGCTCCCTCATTCTAGAGTAATCTCATATCGTCGCCAAGACCGATGAGCCAGGATTCATCAGAAGCAAGCCCTCACCCTGCCTTCGGCTTCCCAGGCCCGCTCCTGCGCCTCCCGCCTGTCACTGTCCGCCTTTTGCCTTACGGCCTCTTCCCGCCGTTTTGCTGCGCCCAGCCGCTCTTCTGCATTGTCCCTTTCTGTTGCAAGCCCGGCCGAGCGCTTCTTTTCCGCCTCCAGCCGCGCCCGCAGCTCAGCCGCCTGCGACGTCGATGCTTCCAGCCCGGACTTTGCAGCCGCCAATGCGGCCTCTGCCGTTGCTAGCCGCCCCTGTTGCGCCAAAAATGACAACTTCAGGGCATTCTTAAGAGGCTTTCCAGGGACTTGGTTAGAGAAGGACACATAAGAGAGACTTTTATGGTTGCAGAATGCTTAAATTTGGACTTATTGGAACCAGAATTCAACTAGAAAAAACAATAGAACGGCAAAACCGATTAGAAATAAGCAAATACTTGAACATGTCATTGGATACACAGGCATTGGAACTTGACAGCCAAAAATGTGCATAGCTCAACCTTGAGGGTGCGTTCTGAGTCTGTAGCCGCACGAGCGGCTTCCTCAGCTTCCCTCAGGCGCTCCACCAGCTGCCGCTCAGCCGCCGCATGCGCCGCCTGCTGCGCCGCTGATGACGCCGCCATCGACTCTATCTGCCTGCGCTTGCATACACACACTGTCTCCTGAATGTCTTGTCTTGAGCTCTCGTTTTCTGATCTACACACTGTTGCGGTGTAGGGTTAGACTGCATGCTAGAATGCATGCAACCCTTGAAAGCTGCCACCAGAGGGGTTCAAGGCCCTAGACGATGTGGGGAAGAAAGGCTTGCCCTATTTCCAAGACTTGCAGCAGGAAAAAGAGCAGTGGCGGACCTGATCAGGGGCCGGGTGTTGTCGGATGTGGAAGCCACCAGCTCCCCCTTCTCCTCTTCCAGGTCATGGATTCTGTCCTCCAGGCGGGCAATCTCTCTTCGCAGCCCCTCCTCCCGCGTGAACCAGGCAGAAGAAGCCGCCTTCAGAATTCCACACACCCCCTTCAGATTTCCACAAACACATTCAAGGCAGGACACCTCACACATCAAGGAGCAAGCTCCAAACCATGACCTTGTGTGGAAGACTGCAGCATTTTGGTGTGAAGCCGGCTTTTATTCTCACCTCATATTCTGCACGAAGGTCTGCAAGGTTGGCGCTGAGTGCAGTTTCGCGCTCCACAGCGCAAGCCACATGGGCAGCGCCGTTGCGTGCAGCTTCCGTGGCAGCCGCCTCGCGGGCGACAGCTGCCTCTTTCTTGGCAGCTGCCACCTGGCTGGCCGCCTGCTGCCTCACAGCCGCCATCTCTGCGTCCATCTCCTCCATCTGCCCAGCCACCACAATGAATCAGCTCTTTATGCATATATTCTGCAGACCAATAAAGCATGTGGCAGCATGAAAAGCACGCTGACAAGTCATCAAGAGCTAAGTCATCTCTGCGGAGGCAATCAGTTTAATATTGATCAACCTGTCGAAAAGTGTTACTTTGCATGATGTGATCTGCTATGTTACCACTGCACAATACATGTTCTGGTGCTCTGTTGAACAGAGCGCCCCAAGCATGCCCCGTTTCAGTGTCCTGGTGTGGTGAGCAGAACCGAGCACGCCTCCTCTACCTTACCATACCAGCAACACCCTGGAAATGGAAACACAAAGGCATGTCCAAACAGCACAATTTTAGCAACACATGACGCAAAAGAGGCTGGCAGAGCATTTGCAGAGATCAACAGCGATGTACCGTAGTCAGCACCATACTTCGCGTATAAAATAACTGTTCTTCTTGAAAAAGGGTTTAAAATTCAGACCCTAAAATGCAAAATAAAAATCCTAGAAATAATTTTGAGATCAGTTTTGGAAAGCTCTCGCCGAGCCCGACCCATTGGTGATGATGAAACATCATTTCCAGGAAGGAAAGATTGACAAAAATAGGTCCAAACATCTCCCGCATTTTGAGGGGTGCGGGATTTATGGTGCTGACTACGGGTATATTATATCACCTGCACAGCGGCGGCCTGGGTGGCCTGGATTGCGCGCTCCTGCTCTGAGGCCAGGCTGGCCTCCAGCGCTGCCAGGCGGCCGGCAGTGCGATCCCGCTCTGTCTCCAGCTGCCGCGTGCTTGTGCGCAGCTTCCGTACAGTCGCCTCTAGCTCCCCATTCTTGCGCGCCAGCGTCTCACCCTCCGCCTGTTACCAACATCAAGTCACGCTCTGACGCATGTGATTCTCTCCCCTTCTGTTGTCTGTCAGGAATGAAACTGACTAAGTGCCCCTGAGACCAAGCCCGGACTGTCTTAAAAGACTGCCTGCCTTGCATGGTTGCCGCATTTAGAGGTCATCTGAGGCCACAGGGTCCAGGGTAACACAAGTGAGACTGCAATGTCACCCTTTGAATCACTGGGCCAAGCAGGTAGCCCATCTGCTTGGCTTGCAGCACCCAGGAGACAGCTGTCAGACATACCAGAGAGAAACTTCTCATCTTTGTCAGCCGATAAGGCTAATTAGACAACAACGGTGGGTAGGGCAGTCTGACAATCTGTTCACGATGCTCCGACTGCACGCGACATGTGATAGTGTGAGGGTCCATGATTGTGCAGATCTGGGAGGGACGCTAGCAGTCTGGGAGCTGCTGTGAGGTGCGAGGCATTGGGCAGGATGCATGGCCACCTGCAGGCTGGATATGTAGTTCTCCCTGTCCTGCAGCCGGGCCTCATTCACGCTGCCCCCCTTGCTTGCAGCAGAGGCCGCTGATCGCAGCGCCTCATTCTTCTCCTGCAGGCGCGCATTTGAACATAAGCACAATGCACCTGGGGAAATGTTCAATGGCATCTGATGGCATTCTGCTCCACTGCTGCATGCACTGCAAGGCTGGACTGCACCTTATACACATCACTGAGCAAGACGCAAGTCTCAGCAGGCCTAGGAGGGCGAGATTTGTGGCAGATCTGCCAAACACGTTGCTAGGATGTCGGCGCAGACCTTGAGGCTTGTGATGGTTCTGTCAGCAGTGGCGAGGCGCCGAGTGAACTCCTCTTGCAGCTCCCGCAGCTCACACTCTGTTGTGCTCGAGGGTGTCCTTGAATGTGCAAGTTCCTGTCGCAGGGTCTCGTTCTCATTCTGTAGAGCGCCATTTATCACCGTCAAAGTAGCGAGCTTTCCCTCCCATTGCTTTGTCCTGCACATCAGAGGTGAACATCTGCACAGCCTGTAATGCAACTTCTTATGCCATCATAGGGAACAATCATGTGAGCAAAGGGGACGTATATGGAATAAAAGGGTGGAAGAGACGGTGCAAAAGAGCATGCTTCCAGGAGGGACGGTCATAGACTCACTTGTCTGGCGAATCGTGAGGCACGTTGCCATTCGTTGACATGTTGAATTCGGGTTTTTTACTACCGCTGATATCGTAAGATGGGCATGCTAAAGGTTCGGGGTCTTAGACATCTTTGATCGAGGCATTGGATCTTGAACACTGCTATTTTTCAACGTCAGTGTCGCCTCGGTCTGCAGGATGCACTTTTTAACCTCATTGCTCGCTAAGTAGACCAAAACGATGGGCAAGTGCATTTGTTAATCGCCCAAGGGAACTCCTGGTGTCTCAATTTTCTGCTTTGCACGTTGGAAGTGCCTCGAGCCCCTAGTTCAATGCATTTGGAAGCTTCGCATACTATATATTGCAGGGTGGTGCTTTGTACATCTTCCCTTCCCGGCAGAACGTGAGCCCAACCACCACATGTTGATGACTCATCCTGCCAGCATGGACCATGTGACTCCCATGGTGCATCTCCAAATTCATTCAAACATGTATGCAAGCTGGCCAGCAAGGCTGCTTATGATGCATGTTCATATGATCATCATGGTCGTGTTACCTTGATGCTCAAATCGAAGGCCAATGCACATATGTATCATGATCATGCATGCCGTGGCCGGCCAGCTCAGACTGCGCGGCGCAGTCTGGCAGGCCGCAAAATTCCCTTCGAGAATTTTTCTCCATCTTGTGTCATAGACAAATGTATGCAGCATCACATACTTGTATGCAGCATGCATGTTTATGGTGGCCTCCAGGACCCCTCTCCTCAGCAGACTTTGCAGTGGTGATGCTTTCCATCAAAAGTCCCTCACTAAGCAGATCTGGCCCCTGGATCTGAAGCAGATCTCTAGAGCTGGCCCCTGGATCAGTCACCTCCGGAGATTTTGTTGCGAGCACAACCAAGATAAAGTGTAGTTGATTTGAGTGCTTGCTGATCACAGGGGGGATGGGACCAAGCACAGTGCTTACACGACAATCTGAAGTCCCTGTCCTTGCAACGTTAACTGACTCTTACACGGGACCAGACTATTGTCCCAGGCAACCTTGTTGCCCGCAAGACATGTCACACATTGCATGCACTTTTTCCAGCAGTCTCATCAACACTGAAAGGGTGGACCATCATGTCACACAAACACGCACTGATTGCAAGTATCTCAATACCTACTTACACTGCGAGGCAGCCCTTCCTCCTTACTTTTGGTGATCGCTTTGCTTTGATGTCTGCATACCATTTTCTCTAATACCATACAATTGAGGGATTATGATGGCATCTTGTTCAAGGTCTGGGCCGTAAGGCCTTCACATTCTAAGAATTGGTGGGTGAGCAACACACTGCAATAGATTTTCCAAGGAGCTGCCGCACTAAGAGTGCGGGGATGGAAAATCTACATGTGGGTAAGCGTCAATACACACCTTTCAAATATGGAAATGCGACGAGGAACACAAATGTGCAGGGACCCAGAAACAAACATCTCGGCTTGTCAACTGACGGAAGGAGTGACTATGATGACTGGCATAACAATCCATTTTGCGCAGGCCTTGCTTGGCAGAACCTTTGGCAGAACTGAGGAGTCTCATCATGCTAGCAATATCTGTTGATAGCCCCATGCCTTGATGTACATCATATCTGGAGTGTCAAGGTACTCCTTCCCGATCAGCAAGCCTCATTCGCTGCACAATCTTGCATCCAGAGAGGCAGTGGTAGTAAAGCTGTCGGCACTGTCCGCAACCTGTCAGTTTGAAACTCATGAAACCCTCGATCTGTAAGCTGCGCGGCCCCCCTACTCATCATGCAGATGAGAACAGCAGCAGCTTATTGCACTGCCTCTCCCAATTCATACACATGTCTATATAACCCTTCTTAGTATCTGCTGCACGCTCATCTCTGCAGGCAATGCAGGCACTCCCTTCCTGAGCAGTTTTCTAGTGTAGCCCCCAGTTGCTACCTAAAACCGGGCAGCATGCACGTGCAGGCGGTCACTGATGCTGCGTGTCCGCGAAAGGATAAGCCCAAGCTTGCACTCTGCGGCAAAGCTCTGCATGCTTGCGTACCGACTGAGCATTGGCCTATGCTGCGGGCGAGGGCGACTCAGGAGCAGATGGGCTCGCAGATTCCCCCCGGGTGGGCCCGATCACAACCACAGACACCACACCTGCCACCGCAATCACAGGAGTGTAAGCACACATCAGATTTAGTGATGCGCCATGATAACAAAGCAGGCGGGCTTGCAATGAGCTAGGCTATCAATGACAGTGACAGCCCTTGCAGCAGAGCTGACACAAGCCTCCAGCCATGCAAGAGTATTTTGGATGTGCATCACAAGGACCCAGCCAGGCCACTGTCAATCACTCGGTTAAAGGTGGAAGAGCAGTCACTGAATAAGGCAGATCACTCTATGGTGCACCCACCACAGGAGCTACAACTAGAGTGGTCTGCATCTAGGTGCAAAGTTGAACAGTTTCTAATTTCTAATCTTTATCTATGTGTGAAATTGCCAGCTCCCAAGCCCCTGTTTTTGCAGCTTGATTTTACTTTGGGCAGGCCACAACATGATTGGGCCCATTTTCTCGGGTGTTCCTCTAGAATGGGCGGATTAAGTAGATAAAGGCGGGCTCCTTGTGCAGTGCGCGCACCAGGGGCAGGCGAGTTGCCGGGTGAGAGAGCGATGGTGGCTGTGTCCATGTTGGTGTCGATGAAGGACATGGAAGCAGCCTGCGCTGCGCTGAAGCGATCCTGGTTCTCCTCATCGCTGTGGCTCTCCAGGGGCACAGGGCTCCTGCCCACCGCCACTGAAGACTGCCTCTCCCCGGCCTGTTGAGCATTGCAATCCCACATCAGCGCCAGCATGGCAGAGCACAGCGCATTATAATTACTACATGCATTTCCTGCCAAAAGGCGAGGTACATCCTGCAGACATGCTGCAGATAAAGGCTTCCACAATCCTACCCCTTCTTGGACAGACCAGATCCAAGCAAGACCCAACCAAATGAAGGCACGGTGCTCAGTATTTATGACGCCCTCCGCCAGCCGGGCCAAAACTCATGCACAGGACAACCAAAAACTCATTGTCCTTTTGGACTCTCTGGACTGTCCAGACCTTACAGCCTTTTCACAACCGTGTAACCTGCTCTGCATGGATATAAACCATGTTTGACCCAGATATAATTGAGGATCTCGTGTCGGAAATGTGCAAAGCATGCATGAGGAGCTTTCTGACAACCATCATTGCAGTCCGAAATGGATTGTGCAGCATGCGCGAACACAGGGCTCTTCTCTCACCAGTGATGGGGAGTCTGATGGGGCTGGTGAGGCAGGCTCAGCGCTCATGGCCGGGCTGCTTCCGCTGTCAGGCGATGCGCTGCTCAAGTCATTGACTGTCGTGGCGCTGCAGACGCCGTTCATGCAGGTCAGGCCCATGCCACAGGCATAGCGGCACACTTTCACCTCGCTCTGCTGCAGCTCCCTGCTCGCATGCGCTGGCGCTGATAGGAGCAGGAGGGCTGCCAGGCTGAGCAACAGGACACGGAGGTGCCCCATGCTCTCAGCAAGAACAAGTCGTCGTCTCCTTTACTGAGCAATGAGATCCTGCGGGCAGGGAGTCAAGACTTACAAGTCTTAGTCGAGAGTTCGTGAAGGGAGTGTATCGTGAAGAAGTAAATTTAATGCTGGAGGGCACGTTCTTGCTGCTGTGACTGCTACACTGTGGTCAGAGCCTTCTCCTGGACCGGATGTGTGCTCCCATCGCCGAAGGCACTGTCACTGAGAAGTCAGCACTTTCATCCAAGAACAGTCTTCTTCTCATTTTCATTGCACTTCACTGTTCCACATATGAGTCCGAGACCATCTGCACGGTGTTGATCCCTGCTACTCACTCGAATTCCGACTGTCCGCAGCGACTCCCTTGTCTGGCTGGAGCAGCTCACGATCGGAAGAGAACGCCCACAAGCACCGAACTGACGCTGCAGAACGTCCAAGAGACGGGCTTGTCTCCGCAGAGCGGCCTCAAACTGCCTTTTCTCACGGCGTTAAAGAGTAAATACCAGGAGCACAGCTTCACCACTTCTTGGCCCTTCAGCAGAAACTCGAAAGTTCGCGGCTAGATGTACACTCAGACTGGATCGGCAATCACTTCTGATGCGATCCTCATCAACAGATCGCGATTTTCGGGGAAAACGAAGTTCACTTAGGCATCCCCCGTTGATGTGACGTGGAAGATCAGTCACTTGCATGCATGATCTCAGACGATGCCTACAGCGAATACTTGCTTTTAAAATTTTGTGCTTTGCATCAATCCGCCAATTGAGTACCCCTATCAATACGTCATGCATGCCGACGGCGAAATGCGCATGCGGGGTGGCACCAGACACAGTGGCGCGCCCAACTCCAAGCCACTCCCATGGTCACCGTGACCGCAGTCGCAGCGGCTGAAGCCTGCTCCAGTGGAGCCTGGAGATTACAAGATTTTTTGGGAGGCGAAGTATTTTCATTACTTATTTGAGCCCCAGACGCTCCCCTTAGTGGTGTCAAGAAAAGAGTTGGAAGGCCCTGGTGCAAAGTGTGAGTAATGCATGATGAAATTGATAACGCCAGCGATGACAACGATTCGGCCACGTGCGGTCGGTTACTCGGGAAGAACTTTGGAAGCTCGCCTTGACGTTACTTCGTGATTGCAATCAGAGTGATCTGATCGCCGTGTTCCAGACAACTTGCACCAAGATCATTTCGTCTTTCTACCACTCCGGGAATTCAAGCACTCCTGCACAGAGTCGAAGGAGTGCTAAGACTTCCGTCGCAACCCGCTGACCTCCGTCCGAGGATCAAATCAAAACAAAGCAGAGCTCTTCGCCATCGGAAAAAATTCCCTACCATCGGCCTCGTGTGACTAGGTGAGGCTCTGTGCAATTGGCCCACCACAGGAGTTTCCAAAGGCACCAGTGACCACTCGTGCGACGGAGTACTGACGGGCGCCATGCACAGCCTTCCCAACTTGTGCACCGTCTATAGCGCGTGCTCAGATTCGAATCTTGGATGGCTCAGAGCTTGTTTTTTTTCTCTTGTAATGCAAATTGAGCACCAGGTTGCCCGAGACATTGACGCTCAACAAACTAACTGACGGCAGCTACAAAAGTACTGGCCCAGCAGGCCCAGTACTGATTCAGTTGACCAGTAGTGCGATGGTGTCCAGCTATACTCTTTTACTATGATAGCATGGCCTTTCGATGTTGCGCATTCGTTGTTCATAGTGCCCATACCCGACACAATGCGGGTCCACCAAGTCCAACCGGGCGTCGTGCCTGAATGAGCTAGGGCCGTTGGTCAGGACACCAGCTATAGGGCAGCAAACCTGTCTGCTTCTTTGGGCAACAGTTCAATTCTTGACTCAGAAATGGTGAACTAGCATATTGCAGCTCCACCTGGGATTGACTCTCCTGACATACCACTAACAAAGCTTCTCCCATGTGCAGGGGGTGCCTATCCCAGGCCTGTAAAATCTTTAGGAGGCAAGCCAGTTAGCCATGCAATAACACCAGAAAGGAGCAATCAGAATCCACAGGCAGCATCTCAGCAGGACAGACAGTTCAGCAGCGCAGCAGAGTCAGGGCAGCCATGAGGCTAGCTCTACCCCGCAGACTCACACCTTCGTGCATCCTAGCGATCAGCTTGCTGCTACACATCAGCTTAGCTCCCTTGCAGCATGTAGGGGCAGTGAAGCGCACAATGCCCATGATAGGCATGGACGAGGATGGGGAAGAGTCAGATGATGACACACCGGCGACCACACAGCCGCGCAACGCACTGCGAAGCATGGTCAACAGCTTTCTGACGCCCAGTGCGCCGAACCAGTTCACAGCAATGAGCCCGGTTGAGAGGGAGTATGAGCGGCAGGCAAAGTACCCCACTGCTGACTCATCGGACCTCAACGGGGGAGATGATGAGGGGTCCAAGGGGGCGCGAACGCCGAACGTTCTCGGCAGCGGCGGCTCGGCGGCGGTCATGTCTTACCACGGCGGCAAGATTGTCACCAGCTCGCTCCAAGTCTACCTGATCATGTGCGCTTCCCCTGCCTCATTTCATACATCAGCGCTATTTCTAACTCAGATCTGCACAGGGTGATAGCCTCAGCATGTATTATTTGGCACGAGTCCATTTACCTCTGCATGGTGGTGTGCTTGTCATGTGATGGCATGCCCCACTTATAGGCGACCCCTGAGGCCTTAGGGTCCAGGAATACTGTACACAAAGTATGACGTTGTGAAGCATGGAAGAAAATGGCCTGTGGGCCTTACCACTCTCCAGTCGACTTGCAGAAATGGTGCTCACCTTCAAGAAGCCAATACGAGCCAACGCATTGCATGAGAGGCTGATAATTTCCTCATGGCTGCAGGTATGGTGACTGGACGTCACAGCCGCAGGTGGTGAGCATACTGGCAGAGTTTCTGAACAGCCTGAGCGGCTCGCCCTGGATGAACATCAACAACAGCTACTATGACAAGGCCGGCAACAGTGGCACCTCACAGGTGTCACATGGCGGCACCTGCTACGATGCTTACTCACACGGCTCCAGCCTCTCTGACGCCGATGTCCTGGTGAGTGCCTTTTGCCTTGCCATACACTTCAATAGCCTCTCTTGCTACGTTCCTAATCATCGCAAATGCGCACCGTTTAGACTAAGGTGATGCCAACATGAAAGGCAGTGCGAGAGCGCGAAAGGTACTTTAAAAGGTCTCCCTTGCCATGCAATTGCAGTGAATACAAGTCACATCCAAAGCATCCACTCTTTAAGGACCTGCAAATAAATGAAGCAGGACAGCAGAAGCTGAGCACCAGAGATTGCCGGACCCTTGTATAAATATTCAACGGCGCTGTTCTGCGTGCGCGCAGGCTGTGGTGAAGACATGCATAAACAGCGGACTGCCACGGGACCGTAACGGCGCATACTTTGTTATCACCAGCCCGGATGTGGCTCAGGGCGGCTTCTGCTCCAGCTACTGCGGCTGGCACGATGACCAGGATGGCCTCTAGTGAGTCCCCAATAACCTTCCTTGAAAACGCCTGTCATGAAAATTACTGCTTGCACATCACAGCCCTGTTTGAAGACTAGTATTGATTCTTGGAGCATTGATGCTCGGTTCCTTAGTGCTACTTGCAGCACCTGTGTCTGCAGTTGTTCTGGCCTTTACTTCATGCATACAAGCCCCGCCCTGTGACCCTGGTTGCTGACAATCTTGATAACCTTTGGCCCCTTCAGGTGTACTTACCCAGAAATCTGTCTGTGTACGCAGTTATGGGTTTGTGGGCAGCGTGAAGAGGTGCCCACGCACCTGCGAGTTCCAGGCCAAGGGGCCCAACGGCGGATCGGCGGCGGACGGCATCGCGTCAATTTTTGCGCATGAGCTGTCGGAGATCATCTCTGACCCAGACGCCTCTGCCTGGTGAGCTCCAGCTGCCCCTGATTGTGACTTGGGCAATAGCCTTCTTCATGGCCGCAAGACAACTTGAGCACCAACTAGAAGTACATTACCTCCTTTTTCTAACATGCCAACATTAATCCTGGCACCTTGGTGGCTCCAAGTGCAGCAGTTTGGCAACGAACCATGCCACAATTGCTGCTTTTTAGAGCAGAAAACTGGCAGCAGACGTACCGCAGAACTGCTGCCTTGCAGGAAATGCTCATACATGGGGATATCTGCGCGCAGGTATGACTCGAGGGGAGAAGAGGGAGCAGACAAGTGCTCGTGGAAATATGGAGAGACATGGACGGCCTCAAACGGCGCCCTGGCAAACATCAAGCTCAACGGCAAGAGCTACATGATCCAGCAGAACTGGGCGATCGGCAAAGGCTGCTCCATGGGCTGGTGATACCTACCCACTGCTGCCCTGGGCTCTTTGGATAGCGCCTGATCAGCATGCACACTGCTGTCCTGGTCTGTGTGGACAGCAACTGGTCAGCGTGCATTGCTGTTCTGGCCTCTGTGGACCGCGCCTGATCAGGGTGCACTACCGTCTTGGAGTCTGCAGAAAGCCACTGGTCAGGAATAAGCAGCTTCAGCTGCAGTAGATAGGGGTCTGTCAGGCGCAGAGCACTGGAGAGTGCAATGCGCCAGGTTGTGACTCGGTGTACTATGATGATGGAACAATTTAGTGCATCAGGCCTCCTGGGTCAGGAAGCGCTTGGTGGGGTGAGGCAGGCTTGCCCAAATAACTTACCCTGCCGAGTATGGTTGCTCAGCTGTTTACAGCCGTCAAGAGCAAAGCGCAGGGCACTGCATTGCTATACCTTGTGCAATACAAGAGGGGCGTCCCTGAATGATGCAGTTAATGTGAAACGAGAGACACAATATTATGAACACTACCGGGACTGCTTGCATTCTCAGGTCAGGCGCAGGGCACAGCAGAAGCGAATAGCATTTGATTCTGCAGGGGATGTCCTCTCTGGCACAGTGTTACTTATTCTGCTCGAGGTAGACAGCAATTTCATGCTGCACGTTTTGATTGTCTCAACGTCTCAAGAAATTGGCGGGGCTAGGAATGATTGACTTCTACTCTCTCTGTTTTGTCTGCGTGAAGTATTGCACCCATATCGCTGTCTGTGTGCATGCCGGCTGCTTGCTCACAGCTGATTTGATTTTATAGTGATCAGGACCTCTGACAAAGCAGTACGAACTGGAAGGTACTGAAAAGGAATACTGATATTTACCCCTTCAGGCCTCTAGGGCAAGCGGATTTTGTACCTGTCACGTGAGGCAGCCTGAACAGTGAGTGCGCCGCACCGGCGGTCAGTCTCTCACTGCATGGCGGTTGTGAATGATGGTTTTGACAGCAGGCCATAGAGGTGATCATCACCAAAGTGTGCATGGTGCAGCGTATGTAACAATCGCACCAATGATGAGTGGCATGACATATTTTTACAAGTACCGGTATGCATGCATGCACTGGCTGGCCCATGGTAACGTTTAAAACATAGGGCCCGGTCTCGGGCCAAAATGGAATCTAGGATGCCATCACCAGGCCAGGCTTCAATATAGCTTCAGTACCTTGTGAGACAACTTGTCCTGCAAGTTCAAGGCAATGCAAGACCGACGAGCTTGGGAAGGATCTCAGGAAGTTACATGACGATTCAAGGGCAGCTGTTGGCACGTGGTGGCAACATGTGAGCTGAGATCAGCTTCCAACAGGGACCTGGACCCACGCGCAATCCCGCTGATGGCAAGATGGTCTGAGATTCTAACTATTTGAGGGGGCGTGTAAAAAGTGGTCGCGATCGCAGGCAGGGAAAGTTGAGCCCTGTGAAGGACTGCGATACTACAGCGCACTGTCCGGTTTGCGTATATAATGCGGTGCCCACTGCCAAAGCTTAAAACAGACATGATCCTGGGACGCTTTGAGTGAGAACAGCAGCTATTACCTGAGTGGGGTCTAGCCGACCTGCTGAGGTAAGGGCCCATCGATCAAGGTTCTGCCAACAACAGTATCCATCATTTTAGGGAAAAGCTCAGCGACAAGAGCACATTGCCGTTGAAAATTAATTTCGGTTATGACAAGAGCAATCCTGCTATGGGTTTCATTCATCAGAATGGGATGGCAATGAAGCCCTAGTTATATTCCTAAGTGGAACCTTTTTCGCCGTCGCTTTTCGGTGAAAAGGCTCGGCGCAAAAGTCTGGTGCTGCTGTTCATCATGAAGTGTCATTAGTATGTTCTCGTGTCTCGTCTTCTTTGATCTTGCACAGTCCTGTGTACTTCCAGCGCTGTGACTCAGATGAGACTCTCATGGTGTCACAGAGGCGACTTCTAGCATGCAAGGACGAGCCATTGGCAGCGCCCTAGGACCAGGTAGGAATGGGGCCATCAGTCCTGGATCTCAGGCAAGGTTGGCAATGGACCGGCCCAGTGCTTGGGCACGGGATGAAGATCTAGAAGAAGGCAGGAGGATCCATGATGCAAAGGCGGTGAGAACCTGGCTTGACCATATCAGTGCATGTGTAATCCCTTCCTTTGTGCTGAAAATCTCAAATCAAAGCAGTCTCGGCGGATCCTGGGTTTGCATGCATGTCAGATGGGCACCGCTCAGTGTGCTTCATGTGGTGCTGCAGAAAGTCGGCTGGGCTGCTACATTCAGCCTGTCATACAGGTGTGATATGCTAATTTTGGCTTGCGTCTTGTCCCTGCACATTGCTTTTTCTTGCACTTGAATCAATCTTGAAACAGAGATTGAGGGTCCTTCTTATGCCTTGCCTCCCACAGAGCGATTGGCATCATTTTTGGAGATATCGGCACCTCGCCGCTGTATACCTTTGCAAACGTCTTTCAGAAACCGCCGAGCAATGAGGAGGTCTTGGCAGGGATGAGCCTCATCTTCTGGACCCTCACACTTGTGGGTCTCATCAAGTGCGCTTCCATCTCATCTAAAGAACTTGGGGATAACCATTTTTTGCATGCATGCAAACAGGTGACCATGTGAAGTGTTGAGAGATGTTCTCACCTGTTGGCTGCTGTTGTACAGGTATGTCTTTATCGTACTTCGCGCAGATGATCAAGGCGAAGGTGTGCACTCCTCTCTCATTATTTTTCTAGCATCAGAACTCACCCAGAACGCAAGCTTTGCTCACTAACTGTGCCAACCACATCAGGAAACATGGCTCCTTTAGCATGCTGTCGTGCCATTTTCCTTTGGCTTGGGCATGATGTAATGCCTTGGCGGTTGTTAATGCAGGCAAGCAGGTCATCCCCGACATGGGGATCTCTTCCTTTGAAAGGAGCTCACTGGCGCGCCTTATGACTCAATCTGCGCTGTGTTTACAGGTGGAACCTTTGCATTGTATGCGCGCCTTGCCCGTGTGGCTCGGCTGCCGACTCCCACAGCCACAGAGCAGGAGTATGACACCAACCTGGCCAGATTTGGGACCAAGATCGAGGGGGGCGTGAAGCCAAGCATAGCCACACATGTGATGCCCGTCCCAAGCTGACACCTGCCGATTTGACTGCTACATCATTGTGTTTTCCTGCACTGCACACTTGGAAGTTCCTTCTTGGTGCTAAAGTTACGTGGGTGGAAAGTGAATCTGTATTATGGTATTGCAGGTCACGAGAGCGCTACAGAAGAGCCGTTTCCTTCAGCGCGTGGTTTTGGTGCTTGTGCTGATCGCAACATGCATGCTCATCGGAGACGGCTGCCTGACGCCGTCCATATCTGTTGTGTCCTCCATCTCGGGCCTCAAGCAGATCTCTTCGATCGGCAACAGTGCGTCGCACTCCCTTATAGTGCCTATTTTGATGCGCAAGTGAAGGTCATGCATCTGACAGGCTTTCAGGGGCCTATCATGGCAGGTCTTACTATAGATGGTTCATATGAGGCAGCAAGCACTGCTGCACACATCTTTGAAGCCCCAATGTTGTGCATGGAGGATGCAAAATGCTAACATTAAAATGCTGATGAGACTCTTCTGCATGTGCAGATGCTGTGATCGGCATTTCTTGCGCGGTGCTGGTGCTGCTGTATGTGTTCCAGCGCCTGGGCACAAGCAAGCTTGGGGTTGTCTTTGCCCCCGTCATCCTGCTCTGGTTCTTTTCAAACTTCTGCATCGGTATCTACAACATCGTTGTCTGGTATCCAGGTGTGCTCCTTTCTTGACCACCTCTCTACATCGCATTCTCCATCTCTTGCATGAATGTCTACAAGCTACAATTACCTGTGACCTGTGTGGACCTCGAAAAATGCTGCACTTGTCCCCATGCAAGCTTAGTAAAAGCTGCGCTGTCTTGTGCTTTGGGTGCTGGTATTAATAGGAGGCTCGCTTTTGTGCAGGCATCTTCAAGGCGCTTTCTCCGCACTACATGATCTTCTACTGGCGCGACGAGGACAAACTCAGCTGGGAAGTTCTCAGTGGGGTCTTGCTGTGCATCACTGGAGTGGAGGCCATGTATGCTGACCTGGGCCATTTCTCCCGCCAGGCTGTGCAGGTGAGTCTAAATTCATGCTCCACACAATTTCCGGACATATTGTCATGCATGCTATTCCCTGATTAGTGCGCCCAACAGTACAGATGTGCTCGCCAATCTATGTCCACATTTTGGACCCTGCCCAGATCGATGTTGAGCGGCAGAAACTCAGGCTTGGGAATTCAGAGCAAGAGCGTCCTCAGGGATCAAGGAAGTAAGACAGTTAGAAGAGATGTATCCAATCTGATACAAGGTCTTCGTGTATGTATCACTCTAGTTTTTGCTCCTCCCACCTTGTCAGGATCCAGTCAGCCGGTGACATGTCACAATAAAGACAAGTTGTGTTTGTGAGGTATGGTGTGGTGTGCTGCAGCTGAGCTACTGCTGCATTGTGTACCCAGCGGTGCTCATCACCTATCTGGGACAGGCAGCTTTTCTCATGAACAGACCTGAGAGCGTGGCAGACACTTTCTATGACGCCATCCCAGACCCGGTCTACTGGCCCATGTTTGTCATCTCCATCCTCGCCGCCATTGTTGCCAGCCAGGTGAGTCCCTCACACTTGTACGGTGTTCAATAGTTTCTAGCAAGCTGCTTTCTCCACTGCTAGACTGCTCTGCATGCTTGGCTGAAAGCCTGAGATCGTGCTTAGATGGGCCTAGTATGTTTCGGAAAGAATGCCTGGATGTTCTGCATTTCACGCACTCCAGGAATGTCTTCTGGATATTTTAACAGGCAAGCTGGGGTTAACGTCTTTTTGTGTTGCTGCAGGCCATAATATCGGGGACCTTCTCGATCATCCGCCAGAGCCTGATGCTGGGCTGCTTCCCGCGCGTGAAGATTGTGCACACTTCTGGGATTGTGGAGGGCCAGATCTACATCCCAGAAGCCAACTGGACGCTCATGGTCCTAACCATCATTGTTGTGGCCGGCTTCAGAGATTCCCTGGCCATCTCCAACGCCTATGGTGCGCTAACAGCGCTTCCCAATGTCAGACTGCACACACTCAGACCTGCATTTCTGCAGGTTCATTGCAAGGACTGTTGCTAGTAGCCCTGCTCTTTCATGCAAAGCATTGAACTTGTGCACCAAAATGGCACATCTGCTAGATGTTTGAGACCCCATTTGTTGTCCTCGAGAGTCACAAACTGTTGGGCACCATTTTTGCTGCCTCTGAACACAAGCAAGGCATGAACACAAGCAAGGTATGAAAACAAGCAAGGCCGCTCACAGACAGCATGGCATGATATAGAAATTTGCTTGCAGATTATTTTGGTGATTGATGGTGTCCTTTGCTGCTCGTGCAGGAGTGGCGGTGACATTTGTCATGTTGATAACCACTATCTTGATGACACTGGGCCTGCTGGTCATCTGGAAGCACAACATTCTTACAGCCCTCGCATTCTTTGTCATCTTTGGCCTGATCGACGTCTCCTTCCTATCAGCTGCCCTCAATAAGTTCTTACATGGGGGCTGGTTCCCCATCGCACTGTCAGGTGATGCATTTGCCCTTCTCTTCATCTTCTGCATGAGCAACATTTTCTCAATCTCAGAGTCATCACCGTACCGCAGATATGTTGACAATTACCACGATGTACCGTATATCACAAGGTATATTGCCAGCACAGGAGCAAAGGCTTTGCAGCTGTATGGCTATGTACTAGAGGAAGCTGCAAGATAAGTGCACGATTTTACTGAGGAACCTGTTTGCTTTTGCAGGCATTTTGTTCACGGTCAGTGTGCTGTGGTACTGGGGCACAAAGAGGAAGGTGGATGCGCTGGACTCCAAGAAAGTGCTTCTGGGAGACCTGTTCAAGCTGACGGGGCTCGGGGATGAGGGGTGAGACACACCTTCCACCCACAGCATGTTGCAGCATGTCTCAATCTCATAACAGCCCCTGCATCATGCATTCACAGCAAAATGACAACAATTCATGGAAGATTTGGTATCGCAGGCAATGCACCACAGTTGACTCACAGTGATTCTGTAACACCTGCATTCTGTTTCTCATGCCCTGGTCTAGTTCTCTCTCAATATGGTAGGATATTGCTGAGGGCTTAGTGAGTGCTGATGTTCTCGTAGTGAATGTGCCCCACCTGTTCTTTCACTCTCATGCCTTGATATCATCCCACTCGTGACGATGACTGAGAGATTGGTGAATGCTGATCTGGAAGAACTGACTAATCCCAGGCCGAGGGCGGCAGAGGACGAGGGGATCGCGCGCACGGTGGCGCTGAAGGACGGGGGCAAAATTGCACGCGTACCAGGGGTTGCCATGGTATATACAAATACCTACACAGGCATCCCCGCCGCCTTCACCAACCTGCTCTCCAATGTGCCAGCGCTGCACGAGGTGGTTGTCTTCATCACTGTCAGGTGCGCATGTTCCCTCCCTCTCCCTCAGCAGTATATGACAGCACATCATGCATGACAGCAAAACAGTGATAAAATCAACTACTGCAGGTGGAATGCACAGTCTAATGCATGCTGCTGTCCGGCTGCTGTGGCATGTGCTGCAGAGCACCATGCAGTCGTCTTGCACCTCTTGGCATGCATTGATCAGATCTGGAGGAACATTCTCTGCAGCTCAGCCCGGTGCTTGTAGGACATGCTGCAGCAGGCTTGCAGATGCTGCCACGAAAGCAAAGATGTTTGTGGTGCAAGGTGGGCTGTCTTAATGTGTCCTGTTGGGTGGCGCAGATATGTGCCCATTCCCAAGGTGTCCTTGGGCGAGCGGCTGCTGTTCATGCCGCTGCCTGTGCCTGGCTTGTACCGCTGTGTCGCTCGCTACGGGTGAGTCCTCATGATAAAGCTTATTGTTCCGCCCATCTAGAGGAGCGCCGGAGAAAGTGGGCCCAACATTGTTATGGCCTGCCCAAATCCACATCAAGCTGCAAAAACAGGGGCTGAAAATCTCAAAAAAACAGCAAAGTCACACATAAATGAAGAGTAGAGACTATAATTTGTTCAAGCCAATGCCTATGTGCGGACCACTCTGGCATGCATGCGCATCTCCTGCAGAGGGCGTTGTCAAGTAAATTTGACCCGTCACCACACAAACAGGAAGCAGCATGTATCGTTGAGCAATCATATCTTCATGCATCTGGTGAGGTTTGTTTTTAGCCAAATTCTGGGGCCAAGACTGTGTGCCGGATAGGTACACGGACCCCATAGACGAGGATGGCGAGTTCACCAAGGCTGTTCTCAACAAGATAGCCAAGCACTCCAAGCCAGAGTTGGCGGCAAAATTGATCGTCCTGCCTGGCAAGGTATGGCTTCCTTGAGCATGCTTGCTTGCTGTGTGTCAGCATTTCCCTCCAGTTGCCTCCCTGGAAATTCTTCTGTGGAGAGTTGGGCGCGATAGACAGTGGTTCATAGTCCTGCGCACAAACACATTTTTAAACTCGCCCTCGTCTGGTACTGCCTCCTTCTCAGAGCATGTACCGCATCATTATTGCGTAGATGTGCCTATGTCCGATTGCAAGAGCAACTTGTTCTGCGCACGGGCAAGCATGAGACATCCTTGGACAGTACACTGACCATTCTTCTGGACTATTTGTCCTGCAGGCCATCGAGGCAAATATGAAGCTGGTGTATGTCATGGGCCGCACAATGACCCACCCCAAGCCCGGCACAGGCATGATCCGCCAATTTTTCCTGGAGCACACCTACAACTTTCTGCGCCGCAACAGCCGCACTGCCTCCGGCGCCTTCAATGTGCCCAGGGATCGCCTCGTGGAGGTCGGAGTTGTGGTGGAGATCTGATGCTGATCTGGTGGACACCGGTACTTTGGAGGTCTGTTGGAGATCTGATTGGGGCACCGCACAGCAGTCCTATGATGTGCCTCTTTAAACATATGGGCGTGAGTGCTAGCATTAGGGGCTGCGTGTGATGTGCTGTTTGATGCGCTGCAACAGCGGTGTCTTGAAGGATTGTGGGCGTGAGTGCTGCAATGAAGGGGCAGCATGCAAAGTTGATAAAACGAGCAATGAAGTGAGCGATGGGACGCTGGTGGCATTTTGTCAAGCATGCACCCCTGGCAGGGAGATGTACAAATTGAGCCAGTGATCTGAGTCATGGTTGGTTGAGTTTGGCACCCTGGTGTGCATCCGCAGTAGATGATTGGTTTAATGCACTGCTTGTAGTTCACCACTGAAGTACGTAAGATAGAATCAAAGGTTGTCAGCTGACCTGCAGGCACTGCAAGTGATGTCTCTGTTTGATAACATCAATGCACCCTGATCAAGCTCGGGGGTTTCAGAGCGTTTGTCTTTTGAGAGTAACTTCCAGGCTGGCAGTCAGTTCCCAGGTGTCTGGAGCAATTTTCCTGCAGCCTGAAATCAACATGCCTTTCAAAAGAGTTTGATTGTGAATTGCACAGTTCCATTGTCGTGTCAGCCTTTGTTGAATGGTCTGGTGAACCCAATCCTGTACAGACTGCGAACCAGAGCGTAAACTTTTCCACCTTTCTCTGTTGTGGTCATTTGGCTTGGCCTGAAAGATGAATGCCTGCTGCTCTACCGAGCTGTGCCGATCTTTCACGTAACAAAATTCCTTGCACCTTACAATGGCATGAAACGCATAGAAGCAAAGTGACCAAAGCAGCTTCTATAACTCGCTGGCCAGCCAGCACTGCAAAAGCACAAAGACACAAGCATTCTATGGATTGTCCATCCCAGCAAGCATGTATGGCACACGACTAGCTAGCGATTGCTCTTGGCAATCCACACAGGCACATGATATAATGCAATGGAAGTCGCAATTTGGAGCCAAGGGTTTTGTGTCCTGATGAAGCCTACAGCCCTATCCTGTCTCAGCGCAAGCCCCGTTCAAAAGTGCATTGGATGCCTCTTCTTTCTGCAAGATTGTGCATCATTCTAGTAGAATTATTCCAGGACCTTTGCCACTGCCTCTGCCAGCGGTGCACTTGACTGCAGGCCACAGAGGCACATCAGCATATTCTACACTGAAAATTTTAGAAATTGCACAATTTCTACAGGGAAACGAACATACTGTGTACTTCCCTTTCAGAGGCCAAGCTGAGGAGCATTTGGGCACTCCAGGAACACACCTGTGGGTTCTGGCCAGTGACGAGCTTTCCATCTGTGACCACATGAGGAGACCAGTCCTTGCCCTGCCATGGCACACAAATGCTAATCAGTCCTCTCATTGTCATTGTCTTCTGCTTTTCAACAAGTGGAACGCAGCAAGATGCATGCCTGCCAAGTGATGTGCACATGCATGCAGGGAAATTAATTTCCTGGCAGTCCAAGTCTGCTCAGAAGGCTAATTACCTTCTCGTACTTGGCACCGAGCTCCTTCAGCTTGTCCTCCAGCAGGAATGGCACCTCTGATTCCTTGCCCACATTCTTCTCCTCACTATTCGAGAATGCGGTCACCTGCCACAGGTCATCACATGATGACTATATCGATATCACCGTTCCTGTTGAAGCGCAGCCGAGGCTCAAATGCAATGTGCATGCATGCGCAGCAAATCAGACCCTTCTCGTCATAATCCGGCTTGCAGGTGACAGTCGCGCACCTCCACAGCATGCACTGCATGACAGTGTTTAGCATGCATTTACAGGGACCCCGGTCCACATGCATGCATCTGCTCGTGGCAGTATACTGTCAGGGCATTCTTTCAATGACGCTACCATAAATTACCATGAGACGCTGCAAAAGTTGAGAATTATATCATTTTTATGAAATGCATTTCCTGCCAAAAGGCAAGGTGCGTTGGCAGACAAGCTGCAGTGAAGGACTGTCAAGATCCTGCTCCAAGCAAGACCCAACAGTGGGCACGCTGCTCAGTATTTGCAACGGCCCCTGCCAGCCGGGGCCAAGTTGTGACTCACCTTTCTGCCCTTCACAACAGGCTTGCCATCTACTTCAGCAGAGACAAGGCCGGCTGGGCCATGGCACACAGCAGAGATGACCTTGCCCTGCTTGGCAGCCGTCTCCACAGTCTTGCGCAGGTGGGGATCCTTTGGGCCGTCAATCATGATGCCATGCCCGCCTGAACAACAAATTGTTTTTTAGTCCGCCCAGTACTGGAGAGGTGCTCGGCAATGTCAGGGCGCCAGAATATGGCCAGTCCAAATCGATATTGAGACATGCAAATCGAGGCTGGGGAGCTCCAACCAGCTACAGGTCTTGTGAAGCTCTGTTGAACAAAGAAAGAACCTCAGATATCAATAAGATTGTGATATAAGATCCTTGTGCAAGAGACACACAAGGCAATTCGAGTGCCAATAAGAGGAGAAAGGGCTGCCTTGCAGTTTACATGCAATGCGCAACACATGCAAGACACCTCTGGCCCAGGAGCATTATTGCCACATTGCATACACAGGATTGAATCTGAAATCCTTTGCTCTACAGAAAAGCTTTCCCATGATCTTGGAAGAGAGTCAATCCCTGTCGTCAATACTTCACGCTTGCCTGGAATGTACAGCGCATCGTACTCGTCCATGTTCACAGATTTGACAGAAGGAGAATTCTTCAGCTCCTTCATTGCGGCCTCTGCATGCAGGAATCACACATGCATGTCGCTTCAAACCCAAAGAAAATGAAGTCATAGAACAGGTCGAAAAGGTAAAGTGAGCGTAGACGAATTGGCTGTGCTGGCCCACTCACCACTGTCCAGGAACGTCTTGGACGGCTCGGTGAGATAGTCATCCTTCAGGCTCATTGGGTCAAGAGGGATTTGTCCGCCTGCACAAGCCATCACGACAGTCAGAATGATGTTCACATGATGAGGCGTATCGATACAGAACCCCAAAAGGCTTGCAGCGAGCGGTGCTGGAGTCTGGATCCTGATTCACCTTTGATAGAGGCCACCGTCACGCTGTACCCCTTCTTCTTCCATATATAATATGGTGCTGCAAGTTCTTCCAACCTGTTGGAGACACTCATGCTTACTACCGAATGAAACCAGACGATCAGTGTTACATCTGACAAGCATCTGAGTAGGCCAAGGATAATTTTTTTTCGGAGGTCAGCTACCATAGCCCGGTCTTGATATCTCCGAGCTGGTCACTTGAAGTTGCGACGCTCAGGATCTTCTTCCCCATTTGACTAGTGATCGCGTGTGCAACCTTGGCTTCCGAAGAATCCGGCGATCGAGAATAATTTCACTTGCGGCGGGACCGCAATATATTTGAACGAAATTTGATGCAACTTCTGATACTCGTCTTACCTCAATAGTGCTTGTGATCAGGAAACTCGGTTGCAATATGAGATCGCAGCACACAAATATAGAACAGCGCGAATCCAAGGCAGAGCCGAGATGTGGTCATCACGATGGAAAGGCCGATGTGAGATTGCAGCTCTATTCCACAAAGGAACACCGAGCTTGCGATGTTCAGCGAGATAAAATTCTTGAATGATCAGGCGTCGGATAGTAAAACTGCGCGTGCTATCAGGAAGGCGCATGCTTGCAACGAATCCATGACTCTCTGAAGTTGAGTGCTACATTGATACAGCTGCAAATACTTTTGTTGAGGATCATTTGGGCCCTCGTATTGGTCAAGTATCATGAGGCTGGCAGAAATCGGAGCATTTTTGTTTCTCCAAGGCTGAATCACTCTCGTAGCCGTTGATCAACGAGACGATGTTGTCCATTCTGAGGCAGGTTTTGCAAACTTTCTCATCCTGGCTAAACCTTTTATGCCTCTTTTGAACTGAATCCAGATGTACAAGCGAAACTTTGTATTATATGTGTCGCATGTACGTCAGAAATATTAATCGGCTGGGAGGTAGACTCCATGTGCAGGCATGGAAGTAAGGTCTCTTGGGTGAGCATGTGTCTTTCTGCAGGCGACAAAGTGATAATCTGCCGCTTACGTATGGAGCATCCCAGCGGCTCTCCCATTCGCTGCAATTGGCAGCAGTGTCTCTCCTGGACAATCCGAAAACGGTTGGAGGCAGTGGCAAGCTTGCAGAGGAGTACCCAGGTGAGGCGGTGTCCAACAATCAGGCTGCAGCAAATGTGCCCAATGCTGGTTAGTTCCTGTCATTGAGAAATTACTGACGCGCCCCTTCGTGGCATTGCTGCAGTGACACCTCTGCGTATATTGGATGCATGTGCGGCACGCATGGAGGACTAAAAGAGCTCACATGTTCTTGCCGAGGAGACCCTCACCATCGCCAGGTGACTGATTAGTGACCACCAGACATGGCACATCCCTGTAATGAAGAAATTGATAAGCTCTGTGTGCAGTTGAGACCGGCCAAGTGAAGGGCATTGGACAAGCCACTACAGAGAATTGTAGGTAATTCTGCTGCTTGATTGTAAGGCTTACTAAGCCTAGTAGGTAGGTTGATGACTCATGCTCGGAGCACGCATGTAGGAATTTCAAGTCGCACAGAGACGCCAAGCATTGATTTCGTAGGCAGATATCACAATAATTGCATTAACAATATTACATTAATGAACATTCCTCCAAAATTGACACGTTGATCTGGTGGTGTTCCTGACTGGCAATATGCGCACACCGGTGGCCCTTAGTAATCTGGTTGTACATTACACCGTGTACAGCGTGACGCAACAAGTTCTGCATCACTGAGGCTAGGTGTGCACATTCCTTTGCAGGGCCACTGTAGCTTGGAGTGACCATAAGCTGCTCTGGAGTAATTTGACTGTGATGCAGAAGCGTAGAGCGCTCTCATAGGTGTCTAACTCCGTCATCTGCAGGACATTGTGTCCTCCATGATGCACGTGCAATGCCACGTGTCATGCCAGGGGGAAAAAAGTAAACAATTGTCTGAAGTGAAGATCAACTGCTGTTGCTGCCAGGTGTCCATTATTCAAATTTCTCCGTTCTGTCCAGTATGCTGCAGACTATCTGCTCCACTGGCTCCTCCCCTGCACAAAGTCCAAGATAACTTCGAGGGAGTGCAATTTTGACAGATTGTGCCCAAGGGACACCAGCAAGGTGCTGGATGTAAATTCAGGGCACATCCTACCTGAAACGACTGTCATGCCAAATCCGCTGTCCTCTAAAGTTGCCAGCTGTGAGTCTAGCAGAGCAGCAGGCATGAAATGTGCTCGTAGCGCCTGACGGGCTTGCAGTCTTTGCGAGAGCTTCTCACGAGATACTTTCAAAAGGACCTGCAAATCACATTCCTGGCTTGCCGGAGGACTGTGCAAACTCACAGGCACAGCAATGGCGAAATCAGTCGCACTTCAGCAAGCAAATCAAGCGCTCAGATGCTGGCTCACAAATTCAACGCTCTCCGGGTGCCGCCCTCTCAGAATGTCCCTGTAAGACTCCTTCAGCGCTGAGCACGCCATTACAATGTGTTCGCCAGAGTTCAGGTGCTGGTCAATGAGATGGGCCAGCGCTTGCAGCCAAGGCCATCTGTCCTGATTCGTGAGGGGAATGCTTGCTTGCATCTTCTCTGCGCTGCAAACATTAAGGCAGTCGATGCGGCTATTCACTGGACAGTATTGACAGTGAAGACAAAGAGGGCTGTCCTCCTGGGGGCATCAATCAGCTCAGAAGTGCCAAATCCATAGTGATCTCACCTACGTTTGATGCTGGGTGATAGTCATCAGCATCAAGGAAAGTACAGTGCAAGTGCGCAGCCAGGCACCTTCCAACAGAGCTGCAACACATTCAGAGGGCAGTTTCTGGAACACCGTGGAGACATGTATCAATGCTGTTGAGTACAATAGATAAGATGAGATCAGCAAGTTACGCAAAGCAAGCAAGTATCGTGTGACAGCTGAGACCGATCTCACCTTTTCCCACAGCCTGAAACCCCCATCACCACTATACAAGATTTCTGTGGGGAAAGAGCCTGCATCTAAAATGATGCTCTGCTGATGATAACCTCACAAGCTACAGTGGACCATGTTTCCGCCAGGTAAATTGTGGTGAGCAAGATGCAACGCATTCGGGATTCTGACTTTTACGATGCCCAATACACAGGAAATAGCATCAGAAGGGCATCAGACATTTGCAAAGTGCGAATTGTAGTCGAAAGCAGCAGCTGTCGAAATCATTGCGCTCCATGATGCCCTGTCCCAGCCAACGGCGTTGCCTTTCTAGAACGCAATATTCGGCCAATCTCACTCTCTTTTCACATCTCTCAGGATTCAAGCAAGGCGCTTCCTCATTAGACTTGAGTGCTCTTGCCTTCTGTCCATCTTAGTGCGAAGCGCAGGGTGTTATAAGCCATGGCTAACCAGCTGAACGCCTCTCTGACTGCCAGAACCTCAACCGCCGCTTCCTGTTGCCAGTGTTGTGCCTGTTGTCGGTGTTGCTGTGCCTGTTGCTGAGTGGCTCTCGTTGCGCCAAAAGCAAGCCAGAACTTCTGAGAGGGCAGCCGAAAGCCTTGCGCAGACTGCCCGCACCAGGCAGCACGCGCTCTCCTTCGCCGCAAATCTGCACGCGCCTTTCGGCTTTCGGCCAATCGAGAACGATGCAAGCGCCCACCGACGGTCTGGAAGGCCTCGTTGCTCACTCCGTGAGGTGTGCTCGGGCACCAGCACCAGCAGAATTGTTTTTTCTTCCTTGCAAAGGCACGTGTAGTGGTTGCGCCCACACGTGGAACAGGAGTCTTGGGAAAACACCTCGAACCAAGCTGGTTCTGCCGTGGTGATGGTGCTGTAACGCGCGATCGAGGCGCTTCGGATTATCTATCTCGAACGCCTGGCTGAGAAGCCGTTTTGAACCCCGATGTCAGGGCGGAAGGATGACGGATAGAACACGCAAGACACCCTTGCTCCGTGGCTGGACCGATGTTGCAGCGTCCTAGATTCTATAGTTCTTGCTTCCCTGAGGACGCACCGATGTTGGGGCCGGCGCAGGTGGGCTTGCTAGGGGCTTCTCAGAGGCTGGAAGCCTCTGAGCAGCTCATCCCAGCTTGAGCAGCTGGAATGATGATCTGTGTGTGTATGCAGGGAGCTGGAGTCTATGTCTCGCGATGACGTCCGGAACAACCACTCCGACCAGGATCTTGATTTGGAGAGGTGTGCCAAGGTGCCCAAGACTGGGTCTGAGCCTGTCAAGTCTGGCCTGCGCCACGTCCAGACTGAGCAACGTCGCCGTGATCGCATCAATGAAGGGTGCGACTGCCGATGTACCCTACAACACTGCACGCTTAGGATCCCCGGCAACAGCATCACAGCCCTAACTTGACTTCTATCGGCTCTGGCTGACGCTGCTCAGCTATGCTGCTGCAGGTTTGCTGCGCTCAAGGCGCTGATGCCCGGCCAGGAGAAAATGGACAAGGCCACCTTCCTTAACAGCACTGTCGAGTACATCAAGCAGCTGCAGGTGTGCAGAAGACCCCCCACTCGTCATGCTTGCTTCACTGCAAACCTTTGGCTGCTCCATGTTTCCATTGTCGTCTCCATTGACGTGTGTGTGTTGGGCCTGCAGGGAGTGATGCAGCAGCTGGTGACTTTGGGTGTCGTCAGCAAGCTGCCGGAAGAGGCCCAGTGGAACATCCGCGTGTTGCTGCCGCGCAAGAACGAGCTGACCGTGGCACCTTTCACCGTGCCGGCCGCACGCGCAACCGCGCCTCCGGCCGCGCCCGCCGTGGACCCTGCGGCAACCACTGCTGCGCTGCTGGGCATGCTCCTGACCCAATCCAACCAGTTATCTGTCGCCCCCCAGCAGGTGCGTCATTGTGCTTGTCCTTGCTTCATAACCCCCTGAAAAGATTGCGCTTGCGGAGGAATTGGTGCAATAAGGAAGCCACGCTCATCATGCATTTTTGGATTTCAGGGCAGATGCTGCTTGGTGTCGTCCTCATTGCCACGAGTCATGCCGCTACTGGGGAAACTACCGCGTTCTAACATCTTGGGCTGATATTGCGCGCAGGGTCAGGCTGGGCTGGACATCGCTCAGCTGGTGCAGCAGGCCGCGTACTCGCAGCAGCTGCAGGCTCAGCAGAGCCAGCTGCTGCAGGCGCTGCAGATGCAGCACCTGTTCCAGGCAGCCAACACTTCCAATGGTGTGCTCCCTCTCAACTGCGGGACCATCCTGTCAGTGCATGCATGCCCCATGCGATTCCCTGCTGAACCCCAACCTTACTGCAGATCACGTCCCCCTATCAGTACTTGAGGCAGGGACTTGAGGCAGGGACTGATAGAAGAAGTCATTTGGGGGTTTGCAGGGATGCCTGTGGAAAACATGGGGGCGCCAGCCACTGGTGCCATGCCCAACGTGGGCCAATTCATGCCGAGCAACTCCATGCCTCAGGTCATGCTGATGCCGCCCATGACAGTTGGCTGCAACCAGGGAGCCCCCGCCAGTGTGATGCCCAAGGCTCGCAAGAATGGCAAGGTCCGCCGTCACACCACCGCAGCCAGGATTGCCAAGCCTGCTCCTGAGATGGACGCCCCAGCAATGGATGTTGGCCGCCCCGCGCCCACTGAGGTTGCAATCTGAGACAAGCTTGCGCTGCCGTGTGCCTGTTTTACCCAAATGATGACGCGCGATACCATTGAGGTCTTCAAGAAATGTTGAATTGGGGAAACAGTGTCAAATCAAGACTCGTTAAGGAGGTTGGTCCTCCATGTGTGTTTGGGTCATTACGTTCACCACGTTTTCAGTCAGTCTGTTGTCCAATCAGTCTGTTGTACAAGAGCCGGAAGAGCCTGCTCCTTCGAACCTTAATTCCTTTGTTATATCTGGTGGGCTGAGGAAGCACCAACGTATTGATTCGACGCTGTCGTCTGAAGATGTACGGTAGTTTGCCTGTAATGTCTTTTCTGGCGCGAAGTTTGCATGACACACAACCCCTGCCAGTGCTGAGTGCTCTGTGTCGTTGATCATGCATTGCCAACTACAGGCTGTTTGGTCCATGGCACAAGGCGCATGCGCATATGCATGCAGTGCGTTCCATGCTCCCTGATGCCTCAAGCATCATCTGCCTCGTTTGAGTCACACCAGCAGGCAATCATTTTCTGGGCTGGTAATGTATCATTTGCTCCTCTCGAGAGGAACTCCTCACTGCATGTTGATCATGACAGAGAGCTTTACAACTGCCCCCTGCCTGGTGCCGGCACCGATGCTCTCAGTTATCAAGGCCTGGTGAATCGGGAGGCAGAGCTTTATGTGTCACTCACTCTCACACCATCGCAGCAGAATAGCTCCTTCTTCTTGCAAGAGAACCCAGAACATCACAGCCAAGGAAGCTGTTGAAGCATCTAGCATGCAGACAGCCTGTGTGACAAACGCCATTACCCCATGAAACCACTCCAACATTGCACTGATCATGACTACTTTCTCGTCAGTCTTCCTTTCGCCACACGTCCGCGATCGACCTTGTGAAAGGCTGCCATCGAGAAGCACGGATTTATTGCCTTCTAATTGGGACGATCTTGGAAGGGCCTCTCATCTTCTTTCTCGAAGGCATTTTCTGCATGGAGCAGGCGGCTCTTGAGATGGGAAAATAGGGCCCTTAGACTAAAGTTACAGTCGCATGAGCATCCTTCTGGGCAGGGCAGCCATAAGAGCGAAGGGATCATTCGTCAGTATCAGCCTTGCCAAGGAACGCCTCAGAGAAAGACAATCTTTGCTGCCGCTCGCCAGCGTCATCGTTTTGCTGCTGATCACGTAGTTGGCAAGATCAGTGTCCTGCCAAGAGGATCAAGCTGTGAGGAAGAGCAGCTGGTGCATCCGAGGGCACCTGGCCTTCAATCCCGTGGCCACCGTGGCTGCCAGCCGGGGTTCAACAAAATGAGGAAGCAGAGCACTTTTTCGGAAGGTGAGTCTTTTCCCATGCAGCACAGCTGTTGAACGCTATGGAGTCAATTTGGAGTTTCGAAATCCAGCACAAAATCCAGTACAAATACACAAAGTTTCAAGTGTGATTCAGTTGGTGTTAGAAAATAGAGAAGGCAAGGCGTCACTTTTGAAGCTTGAAAAAGCGTGATAGCATTACCTTCAGGGATGCCCAAGGCAGTGCTCGTTGGCTTGCAGGCACATGATGCCTCACTGGTGCATGCCTGAACGGGGATGCTGCGCCTGCTCTCCTGCAAAGGGGACAGCGCTCCTGATCGCAGTCTGCTTATTGGGCACGAGTCTTTATGGCATCACTGTCAGCGCGAGTTCCTGTCCCATCACGGTGTCCTATGAGCTCAGCTTGGGACAGGCGCCTCTAGCAGCTGCATCAAGGACCAATGGTGCTGGAGGCCCTGGCGACTTCTCAGACATTCCCATCTTCTTTGCCAAGATTGGCGTCTTTTCCAACAACGTACGCGATCCATCACTTTTGGACCTTATTCAGGCAGATACACTAGCACCAGGACGCTGGATAATCAACTGGATGTTCAGGCAGTGTTGTGCAGCAATCTACACATCAACGGATGTCGATTGTTGTACTGCAGGCAACTGTCAACACTTGGAGACTGGGGTGGAGCTTCACAGCTGGGGAGACAGTGCAGGGAGGCAACATATACACAGCTGGGGTGGATGTGCTGAAGCTGAATGGCAGCAGCGTGCAGCTGGAGAGCCTGTCTCCCAACAATACTGTCAAGCCCTTCAGCTGGACCAGCGTCTCATTCCTGGGCACTAAGGCAGCAATGCCCACTCTGTCCGCCCCGTACAGGGTAATGATCAGAAATTCAGCACCAGTGAATCCTGAGACACAGGGTGCTGTGAGCTTGCAACGCATGCAGCGCATAGTTTAAGACAAGTGGCAATTTCAGGTTCATGCATCAAAAAGGAAGCAATGCTGTGCACAGGTGGCGCCCATCAATGATGTGGCGTTCAACAATCTTGTGTGCGCGCAACTTCCCCTGCAGCCGCAAGGCGGCTCCCCTGCGTCTGCACCCTCTGCTGCGCCAGAGCAGGTGGCACAGGCGGGGAAGAACCTGATCACAAAGCCCTCGCCGCTGTATGTCGAGTACGCGCCAGTGGTCTACCTGCAGAACCAGGACCAGTCCGGCAGCAGCTGGCAGAGCGACATCAACTCTCTCATCACATTCCTTGTCAGGTATGGAAACATCTATGCTTTTTCTCTTCACCTCTGCAGCAGCTCAAAACATTGATTAAGGCTGGTGGAGATTGAGTGAGGTCTTGTGAGATGTGTGCATGCAGGGTGGCAAACTTGGGGCAGGATGGGAGCATTGATGCTGGTCGCATAAAGTTGCAGTACTGGTTCAATGGACCGTCAGATATCCCTGATGCTGCAGATCCGCTCTCACAGTTCACCATGAACTGTCTAGACACCACAACAAGTGAGTGCTGCAACCAGGCTCCTTTCAAATGACACCATGCATGCCACTGAGGGATGCCACACATTGTGAATAGGTAAGGCGTCATCTGAGAATTCAGACTTGAGATTGTTGCTGTTGCAGCGTGTGGAGACTTGACGTACAACATCACTACTGGTCTGCCAAACGTAAATGGAGCACGTTATGTCCTGAACTTAGGCTTCAAGACCGGCGCTGCTGTCCTCTTGAATGAGACGGAGACGAGTGTCCGGGACCAGTGAGCACCAGACTCACTCCCATGACCAAAACTAAGCTATCTGCAACTTTTGACTTTCATGATTGCTAGATTCGTGCATGCAAGATCTTCATTTCAGCCCTTGTTTATTTGTCTGCAGAACAACAGAATCAGGGGGCCGTGGTTCTGGGGCACCCAAAGTCAGTGTGTATGAGGCATTGCTGCGCATTGAGAGCCGCCAGTTCCTGCGAGAGATGAATGCCAGCTCAGACTACTCATATCTTGACACACCCAGATCTAGCGCCCCTATCAGGTAAATCCGAACAGTCGCACCCACAAGACAAACTATTTGTCAGTTCAGGCTGTCAGAAGCATCTTATTTTTTTTGTGAAGGGCATGCATGCATGAGTAGTGATGCAATGGCTGACTACGCTGTGATGCTTGCTGCAGCAACACTACCAACATTGTGCCGCGTCTGGCAGAGCCAAACACCCACATCCCTGCTTTCCTGGACAATGGCATTGCCTGGGGTGGTCAGCCTGTTGCGGTGTGCTCAAATCTCCATCAACACAACTGCATATGAACCTGCTTGTGTCTTTCCACTGCATTTCTGTAGAGCTTATGGGCCTGCTTACTAAACTTAAGGTTCAGCAGCTCCATCCACAAATCTGAGCTGCTGCGCAGGTGGCAGTGGCTGGGGCCAATGCAGAGCCACCCATGCCCACTCCATCTTCCATCAATTCTGTGGCTTGCGTAGGAGGGGTAAGATCCCTTTTTATCATCTTGCTACGGCACGGGGAGACTGCCATTGTCACATGCTCAAATGGATGCTGAGATTCTGCTTTCAGCACTAGACATCTTAGAATGACAGTCTGCAAGTCGACAGCCTGCAACTTTGTGATGTCAGTCCCATGCAACCTCCGTCTGTCACATGCCTCCATGCATGCAAGGATGAAGCTAAGTGGGATGTCACGCTTGGCAGGGACAGTCAAACTCCACTGCTGGGACATCAGTGTCATCAGTACCCATTGGGCAAGTGAGTGTGTCCCGCATGAATGGCCCACACTATGATTCCCGTCGATTCCATGTCACAAATCTGAATGAGCACCCATACACAGAAAGTAAGAGGCACTGACTCGTCCCTGACTGTGCTCTGCGCTTGCAACAAACAGGTTTGCGGCCTGTCAACGTTGTACTGTTGCTACACCGTGGACAACAAGCCAGTGGCAGCTGACATTCCAGATGTTTGGCCCCCTGTTGCGACCCCTGTGCCAGCAGCCCTGAGGGGAGCCAACCTGAACTGCGCGTCCGGAAACTGTACAGAGGGCGCCCCGTCTCCCTCCCCCGCTGTTCCCTCTCCAACTCCTTCCGCTCCTGCCCCACTGCCAGAAGCTAGCAGTGCGCCTGCGACAGCGCCTTCACCTGCCGTACTGGGCCCTGGTGCATCGATTGGGCAGCGCCTAGCTGAGGCAGAGCCGGGGCTTGGCGCGCCTGTGGCGCCTGCGACTGCTGCAGCCCCCGTGCCACCCTTTGCCCCGGGCCCGGGCCCAGTCACTTCAGTGCCTGCAGCCCAGAAGAGCTCGGCGTCCATCAGCAGCGGCGTAATAGGAGGCATTGCAGGCAAGCCTTTCCCCGGACACTTAAAATGCACTCTGCTCACAAGATGATTGATGCATGCTACAATATGCAAGACGTGCGTGTAATTGGGACATGGTGCAAATTTTGCTGCATGCCTTCAGTTTTGTGGTATGATCGATGCAGCTGTTGGCATGCCTTTGATATTGCGGTATGTTCCAATGCAGCTGCTGGCAGTGCTTTGGCGGCCGTTGCTGTCTGCGCAGCGCTGTATCTGATCATCTGGCGGCACCGGCGGCGCAAGCTGAGGAGCCTCGACAGCAAGTCCAGCCCCAGGGATCCCGGCAGCCCCCACAGTGGCCTGCCAATCGCGCTGCGGCCACCGTACAAGCAGGGCTCAGCCGACTCGCAGGAGCCCTTCCTTGACGGCCGCCGCAGGACTGCCGCCCTGGTGCCCTGGCGTAAGAGCAAGGCAGGGCAGGATCTCCATAATGCACCCCAGCTGGTGAGCCAAAAGAGAGCAGCATTTGCCATGATCCAGGCCCCTCGCACCCACAGCGTCATGATTGTCATAAATCAATGTTCAGGAGCGGGTCTTGAGACACGTCCCGCTCCATTTTCTCATCTCCAAATCCTCATGCAAAGCCACAGGTGTAAGGCAAAATGCATGTGTCTGGATTTTGCAGGCTCTGCGGCCGCATGGGCCGCCTGCTGACATCAGCGAGGAGCTGGCAGCGAGCAAGGCTGCGAGTCCGGCAATGGAGCTGCATGCTGGAGCCGTGGGAAGCCCTAAGCAGCAGCACGTACACCATGCTCCGCACCGGCTGCTGAGTGGGCTTGCAGACCTGCCAGGTGATGTTTCATTGCATGTCTCTGCTGTCCTGCAGGGCTAATCCAGAATTTGGGTGGTGCTCATAGGTACAATTGAAAGAGGAGCCAAATCTGATACCATTTGGTACCATGTAAATGTCAAGTTTTTCAGAGAGCACAGACTTGATATGGTCTCATGGAATGAGTAATCACTAGTAAGCATTGATATTATCATGCACAGGTGCGGGCCACATTCAGGCGGCCGGGCATCTGCCGATGCGCCTGCTGAGGGGCGGCAACGCCAGGGATGCAGCGGTGGGGGGCGCTGCTGTGCAGCGCTGGATGGGGGAGGCCCAACTGGCACAGAGAGGCGAGACCAGTTCAGCCTGTATAGAAAACTCCTTGAGAATGCCTCCTAGGACACCATCCATGGTACATTTTGCTGCAGTTGTGGATGTCCAGTATTTGTGTTACTTGCATGAGAAAACTTGCATGGCTCCCCACACGGATATATCAGGTGCAGATTTGCCAATGGAAATGTCTGGATAATTGAGAACTGCTCTTTTCTGCAGATGGTGGGGCGAGTCCTGTGACTCGGGCACCCTATGGCTACATAGCAAACTCGCCGTCTGACCTCCTGCTCTTCACCAACCCCCTCGTCCAGGGCACTCTACCCAATGACTGGGAGGACAGGTAATCTCATGTGCAGACTTTTGTTGCAAAATGGTCTTCTGCATGCATGTGTAGGTCATGAAGTGGCTGAAACTTTTCTCACATGTCACTTAGCTGACTGAGATGCGTGCCGCAGTGCACTGATTTGTCCCTGCAGATACTGTAGGGGATTGTGTGACTCTACCTTACCTTGCATGGCAACCAGCTAAATTTGAAATGCATGCTGCAGTACAATGAGTTGTCCCTGCAGGTATCGCAGCGCTGTGGTCTCGGACTGGGCAGGCAGTCCACGTGGCGACGGCAGCATGCGCGGCAGGCAGTCACCTAATCTAATAGGGGACATGCTTGGGCACAGGCGGACCCCTCGCTGGCTGGGGGACCCCTACGGCCTCGATGTGAATGGACATGCAGTGGCCTCCCCAGACAGGCACAATCTCCCCAAGATTGCAGCCTCTTTGGGCAGGCACGTCCCTGCTCTCACGTTTATCCAGATGCACCACAATATCTGCAGACATGCATGACGCATTATTAGTATTATTATACACGCCTTTCCGATCCATGAGAATGCATTGCAGCAGCCTTTCTACGACAGCCTTATAGCCTTCTCTGTCTTTGGCTTTCCTTGAGCTCGACGCACACAGCGTCACAAATTGTTTCTTTGCTGTTGCTCTGAGTATTTTCTGGAATTCTGAAACTTCCATGGCATGCGGTGGTCTGTGATGTAAGGGGAATGATGAATTGAGTGATGTACCCATGGTGGATGCAGGTATGGGTGGCAGAGGGAGAACGGAGGGATTGGGCATCCGGCCAATCGGTCAGTGCAGACAGCTCCCAATTTGTCCAGCGGGGATGACTCCAGCATGTCCATGGACTGGGCTGCCGAGGAAGGAACAGACTCGGTGAGAATCCTGCATTTATGCTCCACCATTGTTCTTAGGAGAGTGTCATGTCTGTTACTACCCTCACCTTACAAACCTCATGATTGTTGTGGGGGCAGGACTTCAGAATGTGAAAATGAAACTTGCCCCTGGCATGGTTGCAACCCACAATTGTGACATGTCAAAGTGATGCATGGTCCATGCAAATTGCACAGGGGAAGGTGGGCCTCAGGAGGGTAAAGTCGTGGACGGGGGCGGTGCAACAGATCCCTGATGACATGCGGGGGGAGGACCTTCCTCTCGACAGGTCTGGCACATTCATTGCTTACTCTACGTGTGCATGCTCAGCTGGACTGTCAACCAAATGTCAGTGTCCTTACCGCAACACAAGGCTGTCACGCCTGCACCAGTGCCTCAAACGGCATCGCATGTGACGATCAGTCATGCATTGGTACACCAGGCGGCGACTGCGGCGCGCCATGTCATCGGCTGCCAACCTGCCGCCGCTGGCAGCGCTGCCGCCTCCCATCTCCATGGGGATCCCCCCGCCTGCAAACATCGACATGGACGTCGATTTTGAGGCTGAGATCAAGCCTCACCTGAGGACATGCCTGGTATGTCCTCCAGCCATCCACATGATTGTCTTTGCGGATTGCATCCTCTTCTGCGCAGCACCTCATGTTGGCACAATTGTCCAATTTGATGGTGTGATGATGTGCTCAGGGACAGGGCGGCTTTGGGACAGTGTTTGAGGCAACATGGCGAGGGAAGAGGGTTGCTGTGAAGGTGTGCTTCCCTCGGCTGCCTTCCCGGGACAAAGTCAACTGGTTTCCCATGACAGTCAAAGTGCATGTTGTATCCTTAGGAACTTATGGAATGCTTGTATACTGCCACGCAGGTGCTGCAGGGCCTGGACGGCGGAGGGAAGACGGTGCACTTCGAGGCGCTCCGCCGTGAGGTGCAGCTGGCTTCGCGCTTCAACTCTGAGCGGCTCGTCCAGGTGATTTCTGAGTTGCCCTCCATTATCATGAGAAAAAACCCCGGCTGTCCAACTCAAATTGGCTGCATGCATCAGCATGGAAGCATGCATGAGTAGCTTCTTCAGGTGCATCCCTGCTCTGGCATCAATCTTTGAATGGGAGCCCTGTCGTCCTGTCCAAGAGGGCTGCATACATCAGCATGGATGCATGCACGAGCAGCTTGGTCTGGTGAATCCCTGCTCAGGTACGTCCCTGCTAAACCATTCACAATTTCTCTGCCATTCACGATTTTTACATGGAAGCCCTATAGTCCTTTTCAAGGGGGCTGCATGCGTCATGGAGGCACGGAGGCACGCATGATGGCGTTGTGGGGCATGCAGGTGTATGGTGCCAGCCTGAGGGACCCAGCAAGTGCATGCCTGGTGATGGAGCTGGTGCAGGGAGGCAACCTGCACCAGCGCATTTACAACACCAGCCAGCCTCGACTCTCCCACCTGGAAATCCTGCAGGTGTGCTGCTCCATTCCACAGCTGGCTGTCTTGTGATCAACCTCTCCTGGCATTGGATTCATCTGCTGTGTGTTGTACCTGGCTCATACGGTCTTTACAAGACGATGTTTACAAGACGACGCTTTGCACCTTAATTAAAAAAATGGACATCCCAACGCATATTTCAGATGTATCTGTCTTGAGCAATCACGCTTTGGAGGCAAATGCATGGGTTGCATGCATGAGCCAGTAGATTTCTACAAGAAAGGATGATGGAAGCGCGGGTGCTTGGGTTGCTTGCTGGCGCAGATTGCGCATGACGTGGCGGAGGGGCTGGCGTACATGCACCCCAGCGTCATCCACCGAGACCTCAAGCCCCAGAACATCCTCATCGACGGTGCCGGCCGCGTCAAGATCGCCGACTTTGGGATCTCACGCGTGAAGGTGGGTTCCATGCAACCTGCATTTTTGTGCATGACGTTCAGGAAGCCTGCCATGTGCAGATTATTCTTAAAAATGCACATGCATGAGATCTCATTGCTAAAGGTGATGAGCGTCTGCGAAGTCACAGATGCTCATCTCTGGAAATTTCAGAGAATGACACGTGTGTTGGTTTGCAGGGAAGACATTGCGTGCCTGCCCGGACCTTTTGCTTAGTGACACATGCTCCTAAGTGGCCAGCAGTGCATTTGTCAGTCTCAAGGGAGTCATGCTGTGCACGCGCAGGACCCGGCAAAGACCTTCCTGTCCACCACAAATGTGAATGGAACGCCCCAGTACATGGCGCCGGAGCAGTTTGCCGGCGCGCGCTGCGATGAGAAGGTGGATGTTTATGCTCTGGGCACCATCCTCAACGAGTGCGCCACTCGCAGGCCGCCCTGGCGCGAGTTCAACAATGCATTCCAGGTGTGCTTACAGGCTGTTGGAGCTTGGTAACTGGGAGAATTACATTGCTTGTCAGCAGATTGCCAAGTCGCTGCGTTGCCCTTCCTCACACAATTGCACAATGGAGCTCTTTTTTTTTCATTATTTTCTTTCTTCCCAGTGGATTCAGAGACTGCATCTTTTAATTTGTTAGGCGTAAGACTGTGCAGAGTCATGTGATCGTGGGTGTCTTGTTGGGACTTATCAAGGCTGCACCCTAATTGCTGAGACTGTCAGCAGAGAGATGACATGATTGTGTGGTGATGCCAGATCATCGTGCAAGTGGCCATCAAGGCTGCAAGGCCCGCCATGGATGCATCCTTCTCTGAGCCCCTGCGCCGTCTCATCGCGAAGTGCTGGGCACAGGTTGCTACATTTCAGACTCCAAATATGTTCCTTGTACATTTGCTTCCGAACTTTCCCACATGCATGTGTTGTCAGCTCTGTATAGTGTCGAGCACTTTGCTGTTCCTTTTGAAGACCGGACATTACTATGATGTCAAGGATGTAATCATCAAAATTTCAACTTCATACTGACAAGGGATGTGTGTTGGCCACAGGACCCCCGAGCACGCCCAAGCTGCTATGAGATCATGCGGCTGACGGAGATCCTGCTGGCGCAAGCCAAGCGCAGATCAGAGCACGGTGCAGCACAGCAAATTGCCCAGCAGTCAGACAGGGAAGCCCAACCGTGCCCTGCAAAGGAAAAGCCCAAGCATCTGCGCCGGGCCTCTTCTGAAGGAGGAGCCAGTTGACCGGCGTTTCACATTTCTGCATTTCGGTGCATGTTTTTTATTTGTAGGCAGGTTTGCTGTTGTGTTGTCCAGCCGTAGAGAATTGCTGCACCCCAGTTGCCTTTGGAATGGATGGAGAGACTACTGTCAAGCTTGAGTCTGAGGTTGCATTGACAAGATGGAGGTGGAAAAGCACAGGTGTTGTCTGGATCTTATGTGGACCCTGCAGCCATGGGGCATGCAATAGTCCCTAGCAAAGGTTTGAACACTCTTGAGATGCATGTACCGCACGATCGTTGATTGTGGCAACCATGATGGCTTCAAAAGTAATGCAAGTGCCACTGTGTGGATTATGTGGTCTCTCTGGGGGTCAGCGAAGTTTCTCAAGCGTAGCATATTTCCCGCAGTGTTACGGTATTGATATGGTGAGGCACATGCCAGCTATCAGTGCAAGGAATTGCCTCAGTTTGTCGACACTTTTGTAACACAGTGCTACTTCAGCCACCATCCTGACATCCAGTGCAAGTGGAGACTTTCTTATATGGTTGCAACAATGCACGACAAAATCTGTCTGTACAGTGAGCTTCTACAGCACTACCCTCACGGTAAATCAAGCCATCAGATGATGCATTCCTTCTACACTAGCGACATTTGCACAAACAGGGCACTTAAGAGTGGGTTCCACTTCTATAAGGCTATCCTGAACGGGTGCTTTTATGACCTGCTCCGCATCATCAAATTTCCTTCAGCCAAACTGCTGAGCGGATAGTCAGTCTGCTTGCAAGACATGTCGGCAGACTTTTCAAACTTCAGGGGAGTTCGTGCACCTACTGTGCGCTCTGTTCATAGAATGAAAGCATGAATGAAATATCCTTCTTCGAAGCGGTTTCACTCAGGCCCTGGTAGGATAGGAGAAGAAGCCCCTGGTGATCCACAGGCGCAGCACAGTCTCCATGCAGCAGGTTCCACTGTGGTTGGCCGCATACATCAGTCGCATCCAGGCGTCCTTGCTCAGCTCATTCAGTGCAACATGATGCTTGAGCACTCCAAAGTTTCCAGCCAGGAATGCTTCACACTTCGCCTGCAAGCCGTGCATTGCAATTTGTCAGCCATCACAGCAGGGCAACTATGCAGGCCCCTGCTGAGGATTAGGGACTTCATGCACAGCTGCATGTTACATGCAGGTGACAGGAGGAGAATGGAAGGTGGTATGGGTGATTGTGAGCTTACTCAGGCAGCAGCCATTTGCTGAGGAGCATGAAACAGTCAGACAAATGCCAATGGCCCAAAAGAAGGTTTACAAACATGCCTGCAGACTTGGAAGCCGGCAGCGATCCGCCAGCAGGGCCCAGTCCAAGGCTGCCTTTGGATGCTCCATGCTCAGCGTCACCTTGCCTTCACACAAAAATGCCTTAAGCCAAAAGACATCATCAGCATCATTGCATGCAGTTGCATTCCAAGAACAGCCCTGTCATGCAGCTCATGACAGCTGCATCTCATGCCTCCTAAGCTAAGCATCATGACAGCTGTGCCTTGCACCATGATAGATGCATGTAAAGGTACTTGCATCTCATCACAGACATGTCAGATTCACTGTGTGTTAATGTCACATGCATGCTAGTGTCTGTGCATTTCCAGTGCCTGCGCACCTCGCAGGGCGCGGTCGCACGCATCTATCAATGGCAAGACCTGGAAGCGGTCTGCCAGGGGTGCCACCGTCAGGATCTGCTCGATGCTCCAGCTGTCGATCAAGCTGCCAGGGTCTGAAGTGTACACGTAGAGCAGAAACAGCTGCATGGCCTCAAAGGAGATGCCCTGCATGCTAGCATTCAGTGCTGTGCTTCCTCCCTTCCCCTGCAGCAAGTGACATGCACAAGCTGATACATTGGCCGAGGAGCTATGCGGATGCATCCAAATGCAATGCTATCCAGGATGGCACAATCCATCATGAACGTCTTGTAGACTTTGCACTGCAATGAAGACAGGTTACATTCAACCTTGGACTGTGAAGGCCTTCATCTGCACAAGAGAAAGGCGTGTTGATGTCTCACCTTTGTGGAGATGAACATGTCTGCCAGCAGAGGTGACTTCATCGCAAGAACCTGCCAAAGTGGAAGCAAGAGGCTTGATGGTCTGGCTTCAATGTCCAGATGCTCAATACTCCTCGTAAGTTTGTTTCGCACGCCGATTGACATGTAACCATTGCCTCGGTTATCTAAATCCCTTTTACTCTTTATTTATTGGCATTACGAGGCTGCGGAATGTGCTGAGCGGCAAAGCTATCTCGCGGCTCACCTGGGTGTGGACCTTCAGCAGCTTGCCATCGACCTTGAGAGTGCAGTCGGCCAAGTCTACAGCAACTTTCTTGGAAATGAAGCCGGTTTCAGCCAAGTGGCTCGTCGGAGAGTCAGAGTTCGGCTCTACAGAGTCGATCACCTCAGAGACATCGCGGCTATCGGGCTGCTTGCCGAAGCAGCACACCTTCATGACCGGCTTCGGCGGAAAATAAGGCATAGCTGGAAGGCGATTCGCAGTTTTCTACGACGATGTTTACAGGGAGAAGCTCAATCTTGTCTAAGTGTTGGGCGGAAGAAATCCGGAGGCTTGCCGGAGGGATGCATGTCTTTGAGGGGCAGGCAATAAAAGGCAATCTCCATTGGCATCTAAGAAGGTCAGTGATGTGCGAGGAAAGGACGGGGAAACGACTTGTAAAGCTGTCAAGCTTCTGCAAATCTATGTGTAACAAATTTGATCCAGTTCAATCGCGGAAAGATCTGATGCTGGTCAGATTACCAAACCCTTGATCACCCCATTCACAATAGCCGTTCGTTCATGATCGTGATATGAGACTTAGCGGGCATCATCTAAGGTGTTCTGGATTAATTATAGGCCCTTTGATCAGTGCAAGTACTAGGATAGCATCTGCAGTACCCTTGGTGAGCAGTGGATCTGGGGACATCTGGGGCAATGCTCTTAGAAGACATGACCAGGAATGCACACCAGCCAGCAGCGTGGACACTCTTTCACCAGTGAGATGCTTCAGCACATGGCGTCCCTCCTCGAGAAGGAGCTCAGCCGACCGTCAGAAGAGACCTACCTCCCGCAGTTCCTCAAGGACAGCACCACCTGCAGGCCTTACTCACGTGGACAGGTTTGTGTTGATGCTACAGAGATCCCTTTCAGGCCTGTTATGCTTATGGCCTACAGAATGTATGCATGCATGCTCACAATAAAGATGTTACAAGTGCTAATTGAATGCCAGGTGCTTCTGCGCAGCTCGGGCAAGGCCTCCATGGTAGATGTTGGGCAAAAGGCCAGCACAAGCAGGGTGGCTGTTGCTTCCGGACGAGTGCTTCTGGGTCCCAAGGTATTTGACCTTGTGCGGGATAACCAGATGAAGAAGGGGGACGTCATTACAGTTGCACAGCTGGCAGGTCTGAGGCATGACCTGGCGCTTCTTTGTGTCGGTGCATGTTGCACCACTCTGATGGAATAGTAAGAGCCCTTGCCGGAAGTAGCACCTGAATACACACAATCTGTTCAATCTGACTGGTGGATCCAATATGTATCGTGTGATTATATGAGTTATGCATGCATGAACTCAGCATTTCCTTTGGCTGAAACAGGGGTCATGGGTGCCAAGCACACGAGCCTGCTGATACCCCTGTGCCACAACATCAGCCTCAGCAGAGTAGATGTGAGTCTGTCGATGGACATGGAGAGCAATGCGATAACCATCCGTGGAGAAGCCAGGACCACAGGGCAAACTGGTGTCGAGATGGAGGCCCTCACGGCTGTGAGCACAGCAGCCCTCACAGTGTATGACATGTGCAAAGCAGTCTCCAAAGACATCTGCATTACAAGCATCCGGCTTGACGCCAAGAGTGGGGGCCGCAGTGGGGACTACAAAAGAAGAAAGAATCCTGGATGATGCAGGACAGTGATGTACATAAAAATCAGCGCCTTGTAGTATCAGGACAACATGCGCCGAGGATTACAAAAGTGGTCTTGAGACTTTGGTGCTGCAGCTGGGATTTCCATGTGATGACTGATCGCTACAATGTCCAGCACCGCTGTTGCAGATATGCTGCCAGCATGGACATGGTGATGCAAATGAAGCTGCAATTCACTCCCTCATCAACTCCGATATTACATGTCCAAAACAGTCAGTTTCAAGATCAAAAGCATGCTCAATCAAGGCGGTTAATTAACCAGCATTTCCATGCATGCATGACAGCCACCACCCATACTATAGGCATCCACAGCAATAAAGCAAATTCCTTGTAAATCACAAGTCTGCAGCAGTGAGGCACAGGCTTAAATTCAAAGTTTGTTTGATCCTCGGCAATATAAAATTTGTTGCAATCCTTCCAGGCATGTAAAATTTCTCTGTTTGCAGCAGCTGTAAAGCCACTTGTTGTACGCAACACGTCCAAATTGTCCTTGTTTGTGCAATCTGCAGCTGCAGCTGGACTCTCATAAATTTTATCTCGAGCAAGTGGCAACAAATGACCTCTGCAACTATCGTTCAACCTTCCGGCTGCTACTGACAGCACAAACTGTCAAAGTAGTGTCAGTCGAGAATAAATGCACGTGTATACCACAGAAACACCCAATACTTTACAAATTACCAATACTGTATATTCCTTCAAGTGGTGAATGGAATAAACCAATTCCGTACAAATGCAATCCCATGATATTTAGCAAACGAATGCCCCAAAGTTCTTTCCACTTCCATGCCCGGCCATGAAATACTTCAAATAGTGCTCAGCTACTTCTGTTGATGCATCTGCTGCTGCAGGACCACATCTTAGAAATACAGCTTCAAAGCATGAGCACATGCTTTACTAATGTTGAGGGGAGGCACTCGAGCAAAAAAGGTCAGCCATAGGGCTGCCAGGGAGGTTGACACACAGCTGTATTTATTGTACTTGCATGCAGGCCCCCACTGACTGAAACCCTGTGACTTAAAAGGGGCTTTGTTCCAGCAGAGAGCAAAATCGAACGATATGTTATCATGCATGCGTGCAGTACTACGTGCAGACCAAAGGCCTCACTGGAAGTTCCGCCCCTCCATCAGCTCCCAACCAGGGTGATGCAGTGTCAAGGCTCTCTTCTCAGTCCAACGATCAAGCTGCACTGGAGTTCATTCTACACACTCAGGAGTACCCGTGGAACACAGCGCAGTGGCGAGGCATGCGCCCTGTCAGCCGGCTGAGGCCGCTCTGCGAGAGGGTGGGGCAGTCGCTGACGTTCAGATGAGTCAGGGAGCTTAGTCGCGTCAGGCCGTCCACGCTGGCATCTGCCAGATCCTCGCACCCCTCGAAGTCCAGCTTGCGCAGACCTGGCCACACCATCAACACATCAGAAAATTGTGGCATGGAAATGTACAGTGAAAGAGTGCCCATAAGACCAGAGAGCCTCAAGATTATTTCGACAGGTTTCACAGGTCTCTTAAATGCATAAATGCAAATGTCATAATGATATCCACAATACACATGCTGAGCCCCACACCGTCTCATCTCTGGTGCTGACAAGGCGGTGAAATGCAATTTAGATATGGAAGCCCCACTGCCAAAGAAACACTGAGGTCTGCACGAACATCTATTTCAAAAGGTTGAGAACTGCAGCCACTCGGTCATACTTTGGTGATTTTGACACCTTCAGATTACAGAAAGAAATGCAAGCGACCAGATTTACACATGCTGCTTGTCACGCTAATGATTGGGCTTTGCCCGCAAAGTGCTAAAGCTCGACCAAGGAATTACTTGCACACCTGGGAGATGCGCCAGATCATTCAGCAGAGTAGCGGTGATCAGGTGCTTGCTGCCGCGCAGGTCCAGATCACCCAGGGCCGGCAGGCCAGTGAGGCTGTGCAGTGCGCCATCCGCCAGCCGCGCGCACCCAGAGAGGCGCAGCCGCCGCAGGGACATACACTCAGAGAGGGATTGTAGGCTGACAACGCTGGTACCGCTGAGATCGACGTAGGACAGCTTGTGGCAGGACTGCAGAGGCTCCAAGCCCCTGCTGCTGACAGCGGGGCAGCCCTGCAGACTGAGCCACTCCAGGCTATGGTGCAAATCTGCGGCATGTGCTGAGCTCAAATGAATCGAACACATGTGATCACATAATCATGACGTGCAGAAGTAGGATACCATGCCACATAAATTGGGCATTCGATCGGTGCTGGTATCTCTTTCAAGAACACACCTTGGTCACCTCGTTCTGATAACATTGGACCACATCAGAATGGACAGAATCATGAAAAGGTGCACAAGAGTAAGTTTGAAGCTCAGACATGTCCCAGTGACCTGCTGTAAGCATCGTGTACCTGCCAGATGGCGCATGCTGTCATCAGTGACAGCGTCAGCGCAGCCGGACATGTCCAGGTGGGACAGCCCTGTCAGGGCAGTCAGGGCATGGAGAGAGGCCGGATTGAGCCCTGTGCACCAGTTGAGGTCCAGGCGCTTGAGGGCTGGCAGGGCCGATAGAGAATGGATGTGGCTGACCAGCTCGCACTGGCTGAGGTTGACATAGGCCACGCTGGGGAAGAGAGGCATCATGAGGAGGTGGACGTCACATGTCCAGTACATGTTCCCGCTCAACCTGCGCACACATGCAGTTAGAAGTTCAGACTCGTGTTTTCTTGAGATGCATGGACCTGACCGCATCACCAAGATCACTCGTGTGCAGTGGTATTTCTGAGACATGGTACGCTGGCTCGTATACCATGTCACAGTTGGTTGCAAGTTGAATCGAAAATTCCTGAGGATTGGCTTCGAAATCAATACCTCGAGACGCTTCCGTTGACAGCGCTGCGCCAGTGCTTGCAGACAAGGCGCAGGCTGTGCCTGTCCTCATCCTCAGTCAGGTGCGAGGTGATGATGGCCATAAGCTCATCAGGCAGCTCCCAGAAGGCTCTGCACCAACATGAGTCTGATGAGAACATCACAGAGGGGCATTGAAGAGGATCAGCTTGTGGAAGTCTCAGGACCAATTGCGTCCATGACCCGCCCATGGATGCAACAATAAGGGCTTGGGAGACCGATGTGCAATTGATCTGGACACTGCACCTTCTGTCGGATTGAAACGCACCCATCGTTCATGCCTTTGGCCAGTGATGGTGATAAGACCAGGGCCGTGAGAAATGTGGACATGGTTTACCTGCGACACAATTCGGAAAAGCCTTTTCAGCAAGTGCTCACACGACTGACCAAGCTGCACATCACAAGCTGCAGCTGTATTTTAAAAAGGTAGGTGCACATATGCAGTGATCCTAGCCACTGTTTGTTGGTCATCACTGTCAAAGGCCTCGGGTGTCAATTTTCGGATTCGACCTTTACCAGATTCCTTCTTGTCCGTGCTGCTTTCACTGTCGATGCAGCGAAATTAAACTGGATATCTTCTACACTTCTTGGAATAGAGCGACGGCATGCGCTAGCAATGCGTTCCAACACTATTCGTCACCACTACGGACAATGATCGAAGTGAAATACTGAAAGAACTTCGTAGTAAGTGTGGAATGTGCTTCCGCAGTTTGTCATCTGGATTCAACACCTAAGTATGAATGCCACATCCAGGCAGTCTCGTGCCGATCTCAATATGACTGCACTCCACAGTGCATCGAATCCTATTATGCACGGAAGCAAGTGGTCCATTTGACTGACCTATGTTGAGACGCAGCCGCCCACATCCAAAATTCGACTTGCAACGACGCTGACGCCAAAACGTTGGAGCTCTTGTATATATATGTGTCATGGGCTCGGCAGCTCCAACAGTTGCCGTTTCGGAACCCGCTCCCCCACGTGGAAGCATATGCCTTCAGAAATGGCTTTGGGCTGGCCAAGGTGCCCATAGCTGGGCAGAGGATGAGCAGACTTTGCAGTGCAGATCGGAGTAGTCCAGATGAAACCTCACTGACTGGCTGTCATGCAACCAGCGCGCGTCATGTCAGAGCCCGCCCGTGCCACAGAAGACCTATGCCTGCAAATAGCTGAATAGACCTGCAGATCTGAAATCCTCCTCCTAGGCCTGGAGGACCTTTAAAATTGAAGGAAGTTCCACAAAGTCACTGTGGCACTTGTGGCAACATCATGCTGATCCTGCTGCACACTTGCGCCTTGGCAGTACCCAGTCAGCCAGTCACTCAGGTTGCGGCAAGACTGCTGCACAGATTACAGCAAGCGTCATTGCACTGTCCTCTACAGCCTGAGGTAGCTCCCCATGCTTGGCATGCTAACTTTATTTATGTGGCCACTAGGGCCAAATCCAAGACTGGACATGCACTACAAATACTCAACAGATCCACATGTCACTGCAGGACCCTGTTGCCCCTCAGAGACACTGAGCCAATCATTATTTATCATCTCATCTGCGACCTCTACTCTGAATGTGCCTGGAACACGCTGCATTGCCGTGCAGATAAATCATGTGCGCACAGTGACACACTAATTGAATCGGCTAGGACAGTACCTACGCCTTAGGAGGCGAAAATAACAAGCTGCAGACTAAAGATACCATCACGCGTCAACTAATTTTGTCAATTATCATCACGAGGCGCCATTTGTGCCAAGGGCGTGAAGCGCTAAAACAGTCTGACTTTTCTTTTTGGACAGGTTTCCATGCTCAACAAACGCTTGATAGTGAGATCCAGTGCAGTGAAACTTTCAAAGGGCTCAGAGCCAAACAGAGAAATTGCCGGATCATGATTGCAAGTGTCCCCCCTGTATGCAGCCTGCTCCATCTCTGCCATGCACTTCCTTTCAGGTGAGTGTCTGGAAAAAATGAAAATAGCTGTTGCACTGCATGACTGGCCTGACAGTGCCGGACCTGTCTGCTACCCCACAGCTCCCCTTCCACACACCACATGCACAGCCGGGCAGTCAAACACAGCCACAACATGCTCTCAAGAGCCTTCTATGACCCGCAACCAAGCCACTGCGAATAGAAACGTGGCCACAGGACCCTGCAGCTAGCACACAGCCCATAGCTCGCCACACAAAGCTCAAAGGCGCCACTATTTTTCACTGGCACTGACATCAAGACCAAAAGATCATGTGAACTCCTACTGACACCGAGGGCCTTGGACTCAGATCTTCCCCCAGTCAGGATTGCTCCTCCTGGGCGGCATAGATGTGGGCCACTTTGAGGCCGTCCACAGAGACTTCGGCCTTGGCCGCCTTCTGGTTGGGCTGCAGCCCACTCTGCATGCCGCTGATATTGGCGTCCGGCAGTGTCAGCCGGCACACATAGCCGCGCCCCTCCGGCCCAGGACTGAACTCGTACGTGGGCAGCTGCCACTTGTGCTTCTCGCAGAACTCCTTCAGCTCCTGCGCAGAGGCACAAGCCCTCAGAAACTAAACCAAATTTATGGCAGGACGCATCTCTGCTCAGTCCTGCACAGGAATTCTTTTATGGGCCACCTGCAAGTGGTCAAATCAATCTCTTCAAGCTTGCCATGGTGACAGAGTTTTGCATATTCACAGAGATAGTCCCCTGAGCGCGCCGGGCGCATGCAAAGTTTGATGAAAGTCTCATGCAAATATAGATGAACGTGTGATCGTGCATCCTGGGCCATCTGCAGTCTTGGAGTCTCCTACCTGGGCCTCTTGTGCACTGCGGCTTAATGAGAACCTGCATCCTGGACCTCTTGTGCTCTGGGCACCCTGATAATTTGGGCATGTTGTGCACTGCAGCTGTACAGGAATAAGCAGCATTGAGTGTTGCAAGTGGCGTTTGCACCTGCACAGGCCCCTTGACCTGAGGCGCCTGCATGCGCTGCTTCTTCAACGCTGGTCCGTCCTCCGTGCCGCCTGCACACCAGCAGCATGGATCACCATCCGGACAAAATCAATACTCTCCCATGCTGAGGTTAAGTTAACTTTGTTCTGATTGTGTCCCGCTCTGGGGCGGATTGAACTCCTGCTGAACTCTTGCACATCTTCTGTCTTCCAAAATAGGGGACAAAGTGCGCCTGAGACCGAGCCAGGCATGTCAAGGAATATTCCGCCTTCCAACCCATTTGGACATGGCTTTGCATCCGTGCTTGTTGGGCATGTGGAAAACTGCGCCAGCCAGAGGCCACCTGAGGCCTTCAGGTCTATAGGCATACAAATGCACTTGAGCAGTGGGTAAACATGTCTGGCGAGGGCGCACCTGGATCATTGAGCTCCTTGAACAGGTTTGCAGCGATACTCTGGGCATTGGGTCCGCCCTGCAGCAGAGCCTCCTGCTGTATCTTCAACATATCCTGCTCCTTGCCCAGCGCAACCTTGCGCACCTCAAATTCCTGATCCAGCATCTCCTGCAGGGGCGTGCGACTTCCATCAGCACCACCCATCTTCTCTTCATAGGAAGTCCTACAGGAAGTCCTACTTGCCCTCTCTTATCCACGAAGTGGTTCGCCACCGCAAGTACACATCAAAACAGGCAGGTCATGACAGCCAGGCAAAACTTTCTGCGCAGTGCATTTCTGATGCGCAAAATCATGTGATGCATCATGCAGACTATTATGATCCCGCGGCTGCAAAGACCTTGCATGCATGCCCTTCCGGCTCTGTTGCACTTGCCAACCTTGCATACATTGTTTCTCTTGTTGCCCGCTCTTCCTGCCAATGAAGGGATAATGCGTCTGCAGACGAGGATGAAAATACAGTGCTAGAAATATGTGCAATGCATGACGCATCCTTCTTGCAGGGAAAAGCATTTTCGGTGAGGTGTATGAGGTGCGCGTGCCTGGCGGGTGCGCAGGGCATCCATGCGCTCCTCCAGCACTTTGACGAGCTGCGCATGGCTGGGCAGCGCGGGGCTGTTGACCTGCACGGGCGTCCAGCCGGGCAGCGCGGGCTGCCCGACCCGCGTCAGCGTGCACATCGCGCTGTCCTTCGCCAGGGCGCCCTCGATGTACACGATTGCCATCAGCGCCGCGTTCTGCTCAGCATCTTCCGGTGCAGCGTATGGCACCACTGCAGCAGGGAAACAGGACGAATTTAATCAAATCCAGGGATTTCGATGGCCTTGTAACGCAACCTTGCTTGCTGCACTGGGCAGCACGAGCAACGCCATCAATAAGCACATGCATGGGTGTTGAGCTTTCATTCTCTGCCATGCATGTCATCTTGTTGAGAGAGCTTGTCCCAACTAGGCAGACCATGACAAAAGGTTTGCATGCAATGTCAAGATGAAATATCCATAGCATTTTGAGGTGGTGACATATTGATCTCACCTGGGGTGACCTGCAAGGCCAAGTGCGGCAGGATGCATGTAGCCTGGAACAGAGAAGGTGCGTCGGAGCTCTGCATTACATCGTAGCATGGCCGCGGGAGCTGCAAATGCACAGAAGGCCATCAGCTCACAAATTACACTGAAGAGCAATCGAGTTAGCAGGCATGCAGGTCGTCCTAACGCTTACAAGACAGTAGGAGCAGCAATGAGAAGCCTATGATATCCAGCCAGTGAGATGAGGATGTAAGAAACACATGCAAGCCTTGCCCAGATGAGCAGTGAGGTTACCATGTGCTTGAGAGACCACTCAAGCATGTGCTCGCGAGGGGAGGGGCCGACCCACTGCCCTCTCCGCCACACAATGACATCAGCCAGGGCAACCCCCCCTTCTGCATCTGGGCCCTTAACACCATTGGTCTGCGCATGTGCCGCCACTGTGCTGGCTGGCATTCCGTCTTCATTTGCCTGGTTGACAGTGGCTTGGCCTGCTGGCTGCGCAGGGCTGTTTGAGGACCCCCCAGGTCCCCCCTGGATCCCTTGCTGACTCAGGGACTGGAAAAACTGCGCTGCTGCCTGCTCTGCGGACTCTCTGGTAGCGGCGGCTGCCAAGGGGTGCCCTGCTTGGGACGGTGGTGCCCTCGTCCCCGTCTCTGTCTGATGGATGCTCACAGGCCGCATGGCTGGCATGGGCTGTGCTGCCCCTGCAGCAAACTGGAAGGTGGAGAGGCCGCCGCTCGAGCTGTGCACCTGCTGTGCCACCGGGCCGTGCCGCAGCGGATCGTACGGCTCTGGGGCTCCCAGATGCTGCAATGGCCCTTGCGCGAGTGCGGCAGCGAACTCCTGCTGGGAGGGCAGCGCAGGGAATGATGCAGTTGGCAACAGCTGAGCTGGGACAGTGCCAGGTCCAGGCGCTGTATCTGGGTAGTGCTGCTTGGGGGCTGCAAGGCTGCGATTGCCAGGGTAGTACTGGGCTGCTCCTTGTGGTGCCCCTGCTGCGGCTCGCTTTGCCCTGGATGGCATTACCCAGCCACCCAGGGGCCCTGCGAGCTTCGACGTTGCCAACTGCGTGGCCTTGTTCGCCAGATCAATTGCTCTGCGGTGTTGACCTTTTTGGAATCGCTGCATGTTGGCATCGTATACGGGCATCTGCACTGGTGGCTTGGAATGCAGATGCGATTCGTCCATATTTTGATAGCCTTGTTTGCTGCAATTGTTAGGGCTCAGCTCTGCATTGAAGTTTTATTTACGTCCAGCAAATCATCCACATAGATCGTCCCAAGTCGTACGGCTGCAGCCGTGTGCCTTGTGACGATCCACAAGCTATCTAGATTTCTTGATGATGCGTTTCAGCAGATGTGTCAACAAGACAACTTGCAAAACGCATCCAGGCAAACCAAGCAGCTCATGATGTGTGATCTCTGGAGCCAAAATAGAGACAATTCTACTCTCGGATGAATAGGTCAGTGAGTACGTACACTGAGAACATGTTAGAGATATATCTGAGCTACTTACATCAAGTCTTTTCGCAATCAAAGTGCCAAAAACAAGTGCATGCAAAAAAGATTGACTACCCTGACTAACTACTCTCACGTGACAGACTGCGCCCGTTTCAGAGGACACCATGTTGCCCTGAGAAATAAATGAAAAGTTGCCGAAAATGGGCATTTGACTCGTTCTTGCCGGAACTTGCAGAAGGGGGTACAGAGAGACAAAGAGAACCTGGGCACCCGGAATCACCCATCGAAGAGGTGCGCCTCCACTCTCACACACTCTCTGACTGACGGCTTGAGACTATGATACAATTTTGCTATCTATTCTCAGCGCCACGAATCTGCTTGAGCGACATTTGCTTGCTTAAGTGCATTTTAGAGAAGCATCAAAACTGTTCGTGCTGCGGACGGTCAGCTGTGCAGATAACGTCTGGAATTGGATTCTGCTTCAGCAAGTAAATAAGAACCTTCAATCAGTACATCGTTCTCAATAGACTGTTCTTGAGAGACGTCCTTCTTATCATCTTGCTCCCTGGCCTCACGGCCTGTAGCTTCCCTGCTGCTCTTCACTGATGTGGATTTTCTTTGTTTGATGTTTGCAGAGAAACTGGAAAATGCTCTTCCCGGTGTGCACGCCACCAGCAGCATGCTATGCTGCACCCCATCGTCCCTGCCCTAACAATTCAGGGCAGCCCTTGCCAGACCGCCCAGCCCCATTCATACCAGCCGCCATGGAAATGAAGGGCGGTGGCTGGCAGAATGCTGTCATCGGGCCTGTGCTGCAGTGTCTGGAGGCTGCCACACTTGGGATGCCGTTTGAGGTGCGTTTCTTACTGCGCCAACAGGAAACCCATCAATAAGCCTGCCTAGTCAGTCAGTGGATGAAATCTTGTATGTGCTTGTCAGTTTCAGTCTGTGTTCCATTTGGACAAGAGTCCATCATGCAGTCAGCTGCCTGGTCCCCCTTTGCACCTGAAAAAATTGCTCTTTGAGAGGTGAAAAGGTCACAGGAGTGTGGTTTGTGCCTTGACGTGATCGGTGTGCTACAGGTATGGAAGACGCACATGGGGAGGAATCGGGGCCAGACAACACTGGGCTCTCTGCGTGCCATCTATACGGAAGGAGGTGAAGGCTTCAAAGGCATTTCAGCATTCTGGGCAGGCACAGGCCCCAAGGTAGCCAGAACACCTTTTCACATGAGCAAAGGGCACACCTGTATATGTCTTGGAATAGTGCTCCTGAATGACAGAACATGACCAGGGTTTCTTGATGCAAGTGTTGTGTTCTTGTGTGCAGATGTTTGAGAGCGCGACAAAGGGAGCTATCCTGATGTACTCAAAGGAGGCCATCCTGAAGGTCCTGCATACCACAGACATCAGTCCTGGTGAGCAACCTAAATTCTTTAACTTACAGGTAGATTAGACTATTGGTGGGTGCCCTGGATGCAAACATGCTCGACGGACATGATGAGTAAAGCATCAATTCCTCGTTGAAAATGAGATTACCCATGATCACACCATTTGATCTCTGATCCGCGAGCCTTCAACAGCACTCATAGATTCTCTAGGCATGCTTTGCCCTGCAAAGATGTCAGTGAATGCATTTGGCCTTTTATGATGCATCCCAGTAGCTGCCAGTGAGAGCAGAAGCCTGCCGATCTTCATTTTAACAGCTGATAAGCTAGATGTGTTCAGATGCCGATGTGAAATGCATCTGCCGACATGTGTGTGCCACCATAACAGGACTGGGAGGTGCACTTGCTGGCGCTGGTGGCGGGCTGTGCCAGGTGTCAATCATGTCTCCCTGCACGTACCTGGTGACAGGCGCAGTCACAGGCAACAAGGACGAGTCTACCATGCATCGCATCAAAAGGACCTACGCTGCCAGGGGTATCAAGGTGCTCTTTCTTCTTGAATCTCACTTGCATGTTGACAAACTACCAGACACATCTAGTTGCATGCATTGGTTGAGCACGTCATGCACGATTGTTTACTCTTCATTATTGCTCTGTCTATCGCCAAATGACTACTCATCAACATGATGTTGAATGTGGCTTGTGCAAGTTGTCAAATCGGGTTTGGATCTAACATGCAGGGCTTCTATCCTGGGGGCACAGCCATCGCGTTCCGCCAGGTGACGAACTGGGCATCCCGGCAAGGTTTCACAGAGGCTGTGCGCAACCAGTTTAAGAAGAGCATCCACGGGTCGGCAGACGCCAAGCTCACCAAGGGCCAGGAAGTGGGTGCAGGCATCCTCGGAGGTCAGCCTCTCCCCTGCCCTGCTCTCCCACCATCTCCCTTGCCAGAGGATAGCTGTTCAGCAGCTCACATCACTTGCTTGATTTGCTGCAATTTTAGTCCGCCCAATCTAGAGGAGCGCCATCGGATATTTGTCCCCACCTGCCCAAGTCCAAACCCAGCTGGTAATTCAGGGGCTGGGGAGCTCAAAACAACAGCGTATCCACAGATAGATGAAGAGTTAGGACCAGGAATTCCTCGAGCAAATGCCACGTGCGGATCACTCTAGTTTCTGCTGAACCACTGCTCTCATTCTTGCTTGACATGCAACATATTGGAGTGAATGCTTGTGACTGGATGGGCTGTGATTCAAAGAGTTTCTCTGCTTGGGCAGGGGCGCTGGCGTGCTGGAACCATCCGTTTGAGGTGGCGCGCATTGAGGCTCAGGCGCGCGGCGACCAGGGCCAGAAGGACATGAACATGGTCCAGATCTTCAAAATGATCGTCAAAGAGCAGGCATGCGCCCTGGGCTCCCTCTGACATGCCCTGTTTGTGCCATTTCAAACACTTGTGGTGCCCACTTCAGCGCACTGCATTGTCCCAAAACAGCCTCTCTTCCTGCTATGCAATAGTGAACTTGCATGGTGGAATGAAGGATAGGAGTCGGACATTTTTGAGATGAAGTGTGTGGTGCAGGGGCCAAAGGGCTTGTTCAAGGGCCTCGTACCGCGCATCATGCTGGGCATCTGGCAGACACTGTTCATGGTCACAGGCGCAAAGCTGGTGCAGGAGGCACTTGCCGATTACACCGCTAAGCCCGCATCATAGCACAGTCCTGATCTCTCTGCTGATCTCTGGGAAGTCATCGCCCACTTCCATACTGCTGTCACAGTGGCCAGCCAACTTTGAGAATATACTGTAAGCACCAGAGATGAAGTTGCATTTCTGGAGTGTTCTTTATTTGTGAGATTCGAGCCACTGTTGCTTGCGTGTAGATTAGGTCACCGTTGTGTCTTCCGGTTGTTTGTTGCCAACGCACATAGGCTTGGCACAGGTATGAATTAGGTTAGGGAGAGTGCAGAGAAGAGTAAAGCGTGCCAGCCAGGCTGGTAGCAGTATGCCATGTTTGGCAGCATCGAACACATGCTTTGTATCATTTCTGTATAAGGAGAGCCGGCTTCTAGCGTTTGTGCTGGAACAGGAGCATCCTTAAATATTTCCGGCACTGCAAGCAGTACTGCAGTGCAATCTCTGGACTGGGTACCACAGTATTGCTTGTTCTCATTTCTATGTTGCTTAGAATTACAACAGAAAGAGCAACCTTGATCACAATTGTTTTGCCTCTTTGCCTCATTGAGTTGGAGTCATCTGAGTATGGAACTGTAGCATTCCAAAGAATAGGAACGCGGAATGCCTCATTTAGAAGTTCGTGTAATAGAAAGCTTCCCATACACACCCATGATATCTCTTCTCATCCACTGCCAGTGTGATCATGATACTCTACTGGTCTAAACTTTCTAAATATTCAATGCCATGGCGCCACGATCGCTTCAAAGTATGCAATCTACCCAATAAGCAGAAGACTGTATGCAATTCTCCAAAGGCTAGGTTGATAAGGAAGCAAGCATGTGGCATGCTTCCTGTATCAACATAGGTCACTTGTCTGCCTGATCATTAATTTGCCACGATCAGCAGGCATCTGCACTGTCTTTGACACCACAGATCCCTGCTGCAGCTCCAGCAAATTCCAGCACATCACTCCTCTCTTATGGCCCAACACATCATGGTAGAGCAAGGGCCCAGGTGTTCTGCCAAGTGTTGCTCTGTGTAACGGCGTAGCCATTCCTGCGCAGCAGGTCTAGCGCAGAGGCCGTGTCAGTCTCGCTGAGATGATGATGCTCAAAGCAAATCAGCGCCGGTCGAAAGCTGCCAGAAGAATCCCTGCTGTGTCCCAAGGGCAGCTGGTTCAAGACTTCCAGGTCATAGCCATCGACGTCCAGCACAAACAGCACCACATCTTTTATAGCATGCTCGCTCAGGAGCTGTGAGAATGACATTGTGTCCACCATATACACTTCCACCTGTGCAAAAGAAGCCAGATGCAATCTTTTCAATTTCTGTGGCACCCTAGAGTACAAGATACAGTATGCTGAGGTGCAAAAACAACATGATCTATGCATATGCTTGAGAGGAAATGCTGAAATGACAGAGGGTGACTAAAATGCAATCAGTTGTATTTGAGGATATGCTGTCCTATATGTAGGACATGATCGCACCTGAGCATGCTTGAATTGTTTGTTCAGGTGAGCCATGTCAAAAGAGCATAAGATTGGTCCAGTCGGGTGGGTCTTCATCGATTGTGGCACCGTCCTCGTCCATGTCGAGACAGAACATTTTCTGCTTTCCTTTGCCTGGATGTCACATAGATATCTATCATCGATGCACTCAGCGGATCTACATACTCAGATGTCTTTTACACTTTCATTAAGCTGATAGAGTCCAAGAAGCACACAACATGTGACTAGTCAACTTGATCAGCGCTGCTAATCGCAGCGTTCACAAAGGTTGCATCTGGGAGGTGCGCCACATTCTTCTGCACCTGCTTAAAGAGGGCGGGATGGGTTCCACGAAGACTTTCCTGTAAGCTCCATATTTTCCAGGCTGCTGATCAACGGATCATTCGAATTGTTCATTGTGTTGGATCCAACCTGCAGGGTCAGAATTGAGCCTCTCAGTCCATCCATGATCCTTTGATGGTTCCTCAAGTTACGTCACTTGGGGTACCTCTGCATGGTGAGGGAATCAGCGATTGGGATTGAAAGTCATGTAAAGTAGGACTTACCACCAATATCGTCCCAGAAGTGTGAATTTTGGGCAGGTAATCCTAAAGCGCAGGTCTGTTCTCATTACTAAGAACACTTCCTCGAGAGCCTTTCTGATCTTCTCTTTGCTCTTCGGTGATGGGCAACCTTGTAAACGGCCTCCTCGGACTGTAGCCGCTGCAGTGCTGCTTGTTTGCAAACTAAAATGGATGGTGAGGAATACTGCCACCCGCTTCCACTTGCAGAGAAAGGCCTTGGCATTCCTAATTTCACGCTTGTAGATGCATGGGACATTCCGATTAATATATCTAGCTTGTTACAGCTCTTCAGTAAAACGATATATCAAGATCATCACTGGTTGAGCCTCCAAAATCGAAGTTGCCAACAGCAGAGCACAGAGATGCAAACAGCTTCGTTTTCTTGCACTTGTACCATGTCAATCTGTCTGATCTTGAGCGTCCGTCTTCGTATTGTTTTCGGAGGCAGACCTGGCACGTGGCAGCATGTGCGCTTTCTCCTAAACCCTGGAATTTCGCGTCTGCAGTGTGTTTTTCTGGTCAAGATTCACCGCATTAGTTGATCTAGAGTGCTTGGTTGAGGTCTGTGTATGCAGAAAGCACTTTGCCAAGAATTGTGCTCCCGATGTGAACAACCGATAGAAAAGCTTTGCCAAGCACTCTTGGAAGTATCTACACAATCGTTGCCCTTGCATTTGTGTCGATTTGTATACTACAGTCCCTTAGCTCACGGCAGAGCTGATCTTCACTCCTAGAATTACCTCGTTTCCATCACAGTGCCACTCATCAACTTGAAGGCTGCCCATATTTCCGATGTTGGATCGACATCGTTGACGTTGCCATCATGCATCTGTCAAAGAGGGAGCTGGCTGAGGCTGGCATCTTCTTTGTGACATTTGCGCGGCTGGCCATCGGCTTCCTTCAGATAAACAAGACTGGTGGGATTAAAGGAAATCTGTAGAATATCTCACTAGAAAAGTTGATGGGGAGCTACATAAGACAGCCTTTCGTTCCGTTTCTTCTTTCCTGCTGCCTCTGTCTGACAGTGAATCTAGCTTCCTGCAGGACATCTTGTGGAGTTGGTATCTTTGCTGGCTTTAAGCATCATATCCACGGTGCAAGAGTGGTCAACTGGCCCTGAAAAGGGTGAGTGCTCCGACCAACCCCTTGTTATCATTGATTGGGCTCAATGCGAATTGACGCTACCTGTGCAGCGCTCTGACATCTTCCTGCTCCAACAATGAGTTCCATGGGTGAATGGAAACCGACCAAGTCTGCCGTGATGCAGGATATCGGTACCGCACAAGGCATGCAGATTCGGAGGGGCTAGCTGTTGGGGCTCTGGCAGCACCTTGGGCCTTTGCTGGAATGCTGTTGTCAAGCTTGCGTCACAGGACAGAATCAGGTCAGCCTGCACATTTTATACGATGCTGTAGACCTCGGCATGATCACAGAACCACAGTGCAGGGAAGAGCGCATACGCCGACAGCACGTTGCACATTTCGCAGAAACAGTAAATTTCTACTGTCAACATAATTACAAGTCACCTTTCGATGCCTGGGTGCGCAGGATTTGCACACTTTGCTGTACGCAGTTCTATTATATCATCACTGGCCATGGTGGCATTTCTGGCCATCCGCACAGAAGGCAGCATGCTGCCACCAGAGGATCAGACAGTCTCACAGGCGCCTAAAAATGTACCGGCATCCCCCCTCCGGTGTGGTCCTGGCTCTCTTTTGGTGGCAGCACAGATATGGACTGCAAATTTCCTGGAGAGAAATGCCAAGGTGCACTGAATCATACAAGGCAAAAGACAAGCGCTGTGTGCTTTCAGGAACCGAAGCAGAGCTGGAAGTAACAAGGGGCCTTCCACCTCCTTGGCGAATAAATCAGCAGGCAGCGGATATGTCAAGAATGGTCTTCTGTCTGGGAATCAGATTGCTGTGGCTGCTGGAATTGTGATGCTGTTCCTCATTGCCGCAGCGCCTTCAAGAGGTGCTTGCTCACCAGCTTCGAGTTCTAGCACACATGTGCCCTGGGAGATTGCTCTTCGGCATAAAGCAAAGTTTACCGAGACAATCAGCGCATTTCTTTGGCACTCTGCAAGTAGCAAAGATTATGTTGATATTCAGGAGGAAAAGAGGAGCATATGCAGCAAGTTGCTTGGGACAATGCTTATGTGAATGGGACTATTGCTGCCGCTGGATATGCCCTCAATGCGACTGCAGCAGCAGGCAGCATGCACCTCATGCTAACCCATCTGCCCAACTGCTTCACAGTGGGTGCGAATCTCCTTTTTCTACTACCATTGTGCTACGTAATGGGGCAAATGTTTGCCATGGTCTTCACTGCATCCACACATGATCAGATGCATTTGGCGCAAACCTTGATGCCATGCTTTGCTCCTTGTCTTCAGGAGAAGCTATGGTGGTGGGGCAAGCTGTTGCACTGCTTCTGTGGGACGTGCTGCTCCTAGGAGCCTCCTTTGCTGCTGGCCTCCTGGAGGCAGCTTTACCTGTAAAGATTCAACAGGACAGCCAGTTGGCTGGCAGCGGTGGCAGTGAAAAGCCACTGGGGGGACTGAGCAACATACTTGTGTCGCGATCGGACGCGAGCCTCTTTGTGGAGCTGCTGGTCTTTGGGGCACTGCTGACTGGACTGGTGGTGACTCAACTGCTGCGCGCGCTACACGCACCTGCAAATATCCCGGTCAAGCCCGACAAGGAGCACGCGCAGGGGGTCAACGTGGCCGCAGACGGCAGCCGGGAGGCGCTCGCAGCCGGCAGGAAGCAGCAGAAGGGAGTCAAGCGGAGGGAAGGGGTGCGAAGGAGGGAGGGAACACGGCTGGGAACAGTGGCTTTGCTGGTAGCGGTGCTATGTCTGGTGTTGGCGGCGGCGGTGCGGCCGGCGCTGTGGGTGCTGGGGTTTGCGCTGGGCAGCTGGAGGAGGGTGGCCCTGCTGGGCTACTGGTGCCTGCTGCTGGCCGGCGCGCTGCCCTTCATGGACTGGGTGTCCGGCCGAGTGCCCACCATCATCGTTCGCAAGGTGCTTTGCTCACACCCTAATGCCTGACCAGCATGTCGTGCACAATCAGGCACATCGAGTGCTGTAGTGGGATATCTGCACTGTCCAAAGGTATATTCAGCTGTTCTGTGTCTTGTGATTGTTAATAATGATGCAAAAACGAGGACAAAGGGCTGCTTTATAGAAGCTGGAAAGGTGTCAGTCGCAAGGGTATATCTGTTGGGCAGGCCAGTAAGTAATTTATCATCTTCCTCTGGACGCCAAGGCACCACATAATCTCTAGATGGGGCGATGGGGAAATTCACCGTGAGTTTGGGCATTGGGCAAATCTGCAGGGCTACCACGTCCTGGCGATGGCGCTGTTCACGCCGGCGCTGCTGCTGGAGCCGCAGCTGCTGAGCATGTCGCTGGCCATCGCTGCAGCGCTGCTCGTGGTGGCCGAGGTGCTGCGCGTGGGGAAGGTCCCTCTGCTGGGCCCCAAAATCCACCGCTTCATGACCTCCTTCATCGACAGCCGTGACGCCGGGCCCTTACTCGTCAGCCACTTCTCCCTGCTGGCAGGTGGGCACCTATCTACTTCTCACTCTTCTTTCTCATGCCTTCTCGATCAGCGCTTGCGATTCTCAGTGCGCTCTGCAGTTGCTATGATATGTAAGTCAAGCAGCACGTTTTCCAGCCCAAACTATGCAATTCATAGCTAAAATAACCATTGAAGGTGTCAGAAAGGAATTCCGACAGTGCTGGAAGATATTTTGTCTGAAGTGAACCTGAGGGATCATGGGGGTTTGTCGGTGGCAGGAATGGCGGCACCTGTGTGGCTGTCAGCGGCGTCGAGCACGCCAGTGGGCAGCTGCGTGCCTGGTCTGGCGACCGCCTTTTCAGGCATCATGATCCTGGGCGTGGCTGACTCAGCCGCCAGCGCGATCGGCCGGCGCTTTGGCCGCCACCGGATCCTCGGGACCGGAAAGACGGTGGAGGGCACTCTCGGCGGTGTGGTGTGCACGCTGATCGCGTGGCTGCTGCTGTGGCCGCTGTGCCGCTGCAGCGGCAAGGAAAGGCCTGTGCTGTTGGAGGGCATTATGGGCGGCGCAGGGGGGGAGGCGAGTTTGGTGTCAGGGAGGGATCTGGTGGGCGGGCTGAGCTCAGGACTCAATCAGGTGTCAGGGGGTGTCGCTCTGTGGGCGATGATTGCGGCCACAGTAGCTTCCTGCCTGTTGGAAGCTGCCACCACGCAGCTGGACAACATCTTTCTGCCGCTCCATCATTATGCCATGGTCTCTGCATGAGTGCTTGTACATGCGCAAATTGTCATGCTACATTGTTATCGTAGGAAGGTTGTACGCTAGTCATCCATCTGATCCTATTGTTAGTGTTTCCTATTTGTCAATGTAATGGAATTCATTTGAGGCAGCACCAAGGTCCTGGACCAGTTTACCCCTGTTCTCACCCCTCTGTTTCTAGGCTTCTTGAGGGTTTAAGGCCAATTGACATTAACTCTCCGTTCACTCATTGCAACCACATCAATCTATTCTGTGCAAAATTTGCTAGGTGGCACCAGCTGTGTTGTCGTGACTGGGTATATCAGAGATTGAAGCTGTTCACACAAAGTGGATGTGATGTTCTTTTCTGGTAGACCGCATGAGTTTTCTTAGCACGATTATCAAAAGCAATCGAGTAGGTTTTTTTTGTAAAATGTCTGCTCCCACACCAGTGCTCGCGCAAGTTCCAAGTGGGAAAGGACGCAGGCTACATATATCGTGGGGCACTGGTGACCAGCTTCAGCTGAGCCCAATAGCAGGTGCTCAGGGAGCAGCGAAGGGAGATCTTGACAATGTCCAAACTACATATGCGGTGAAATGGTACGATGTCAGCAACTTAAGACTCGCAATCGGTTCAGATTGGATTGGATGGGCATCGGGAAACTTACTTAGACATTGAAATCTTCTTGTTCTTAATCGAAGGAGTGCACTTGCGGCATCAGAGAGGAGAGTTGCCTACGATAGCCTCCCAGCCTTCCAGGCTTTGCACACAAAACGCAACGCTGGTGAGACACTTGCATGCTTTGGTCCTCATTTTCAAGCGCTTGGCCTTGCAGCAGTAACGGAATTCACCATTGCGTGACCTGATGCTCCTTTGAAAGCAGGCAGTGGTGCAGCAGACCCGTCAGACTTGCAGGAGTATGCGGAGAGCATCAGCAGGACCCTTGCCCCAAGCATTGACAGGTCTGGCAGCCATTTGCGCCACACAGCACTCCAAATACCTGCCACAAGCGCCGTTCTTCACACTTAAGCTCTCGTTATAGCTGTATGTATTGAGAGCGGCGTAGAAAATACGCCGCTCTGCTATGGGGCTATCGTTATGCAGGGTGGGGGAGGAGGATGTGTGTGGCCAGCCACAGGAGGCAGCGATGTGGGACCTGCTGAGGATATTTTACCTGGGCCCATTCACAGATGGAAGCTTTGTGGAGGTAGTCACGTGACCCCTTGCACATCGCTCATGCCGCCAAGGATTTTGTCAGCATGCTTGGTAGCAGATGCATTGGCGGGCATGAGGGGCCTAACCGTTCCTCTCGTGGAGGCTCATGACTATTTCCACGTGCAGGCCTTGGCGGCATGGGTGCAGCGCCATGCAAGGGTGCTGACAACTGCATCCGCGCCCAGCGGCGAGGCTGCAGGCCCCTCTCTGCCTGAGCAGATAGAAGCGCTGCACAGCTCTGAGTCTGCGCCAGAGCAGCAGCCCCAGTACTGGCCGCTCCTGCAGCGCCTGGTTGCCCTGGGAATGACTGAGGACGCCGTCGGGCTGCTAGGGCTGCACTCTGCCTGGCAGCTCGCATATGCAGGCGGCAGGAACCAACAGATGCTGTCACTGGTGCGTCACTCTCCTTGACATTCTAGCACCTTTTGCAACAGGTCAAGGAGGATGTTATCAGCCCATTGCCAGCTGAGCATTGAGAGCCGAGCTTGATGACCGCAGCTGCCATGCATTGACTGCATCCAGGTGCAAGGCTTCAGATGAGAAGAAAATGTCATGGCACATTGTGTTCCTTCAGGACTGACTGATAGTGCTGTGCGTTCGCACAGATATCAATCCTGGAGCCGGCAATCCTGCTGCTGCGACGCATGCCTCGCCTGCACCCGCCTGCCCCAGTCGACGCGTCTGTGCAGGCCTTTGACGATCTCCCAGTCTTCCTGGAGCACAGGCGCGCCGCAGCTCCCTCCCTCCTCTATCCTGCAACTTTCTATGCTTACATTTCAAGGACAAGTCTGCCTGTCTCCATTTTGTCGTCTGATCTGACAGTGACCATCTGCTGCTGAGGTAGCCGGCAGAGTTGCAGACAATGATCATCCAGTGAAACAAAGGGAGGACATTAATCTCCATCATATATTTGTAACACAGTGGACCCTAAGGTGCCAGCGTGACCTGCTAAACATGAGAGCATCTGGCAGGAAAGGCAGGGTGCAAAGAAAGGCCTGGCTTCAGGGGGTTAGATGTAGAACCCCCCTGCTGGCTTGGTCATGGGGGCACTCACTCCAATTCAGGCCCGGTTTGCGCAGGCATGCATGGCAGTTGCAGGTGAGGCAGCTGCTGCAGGACGCCACACTGTGGAGCAAGGCTGTGGCGGCCAACAAGCAGACAGCCGAGGGGGTGCGCGAGCTACTTGACATCCTGCTGGGCGCTGACGCCAGCTTAGTCAGCGGCAGCGCCACCTGGCTGGAGCACCTGCTGGCCATGTGCCTGCATGTGTACCCTGGCATGCGCCCCAACGCTGACCTGGAACCCCTGCTGCTCAAGAGCCTCGCTTCCAAGGACGGCGGCGGCGTGGAGCTGCTCATCGTCTTGGAGGACTTCTTTCAGGTGCGCAATGCTTTAAAATGACACTGAAACTGCGCCTTATCAAGGCCGCCGGTCTGCACTTTATCCTTTGCATGACCTTTCTCCAGAAGTCTTTCTGGCACCCCATGGCACCCTTGTCTTTTTTTAAATGTCATCCCACATGCCATTTCATTGGCCTGCAACATTTCATTGGCCTCCAATAGATAGGATTGTGAGGTCAAATGCTTCTCAATGCCTCGTTTCAAATCAGAAAGTTGCTGGGGTCAGGCTGCTCTCAGCAATTCTCTCCCTGCATGTGGACAATGCTGCAGGACAAGGACTTCATATCCTTACTTGACTATTCATACGACCCTATGGCTGCAATGTGCAGTATGCCTTGCTCTTCATAACTAATTGCTCTTCCGCAGGCTGCGTTTGCAAAATACTACCATATGACCATACATGTTCAATCGCTGGACGCTCAGGTGAAATGCTTTGCAACGGCTCCCTTTCTGACAGAAAAAATACTTTGTTTTAGGCTGCGGCGAAGCAGGAGCTGCAGGGTGTGCTGGAGGTGTGCAGCCACTCCTTCAGCGCCTGGTTCATGGCCCATGTCCCCGACCTGCTCGCGCGACACCCCACCGCCCCCGCCACCCTCGGCCGCTTCCTCCCCCACTTTGGCGCAGACCAGGTGCACATCTGCATCAGCCTTCCTTATTAATAGCGCACACTGACACGTCCATACCGGTACATTTGTTCTCTTGGTTCGTGCTTGCTGAGCAGGCTTGTCTCCCAATCCCTGTCAATCATGTCATGGCAGCTGTCAGATCCAGGGCCCGGAGCTATAAATGTTTATCAGAGGGTGACTTACGAGCTGCAACCACACTAGTAAATCAGTATCACTATCAAAGTCAAACAGTCACAACTGAGTGTGCTAATGGGGCTTTGTCTATCATGCACACAGACGGAGTTCTACATGCTGGAGTATGCGTCTGCGCTGATGACGGCGCCTCAGACGTGGGAGCTGGCGGTCGAGTACCTGGCGTGGTGCCCGGTGCACGGAGAGGCTGTGCTGCAGCGATTCCTGGAGCAGCTGCCGCTCGTGCAGGAGTCGGATGATTTGGCGCTCAAGGCCCTGCAGGCGAGCACCCGACCAAATTGCCTCTCCCAGCCACAAACGGGCAAATCTGCCCCAAGCACCGAATCAGTCACCTTTGCGTGTGCAAAGACCTCCTCACCTTTTTTATATGCGGCGCTGTCTCACTTGCACTGTCCCTAGTGCAGTCCCATGAAGCTTTAGACTGCATGGGCACCTGAAATAACCCATAAGCGAAGATAAATATTTTAGCATCTTGGCGTCTAGTGCGTGGTAGCAGCGAGTTCCTGGGCCTGGATGGGGTTAGTAATGAAGGGGTGGGTGTGTGCAGGTGTGTCGGCGATACGGCATGAGGGCGCAGGAGAGGGGCATCTGCCTGACAGTGGGCATGCAGCGGCTGCAGCAGGGCCGACTGGCAACGGCGCTGCAGTGGCTGGGCAGAGCCGGCGACGAGGGCGCTCTGGCCGCCGCTGCACGGCCCCTTGTGCAGTCGATAGCCGAGCATGCCGCAGCTCCAAGCTCTCACTCAGGTGCGCCCTGCCAGATAGTAAGAGATCACGCATGTACTGATTCGAAAATAAGCTGCTTTTCAATTTCCCTTCCCCTTGCACAACTGCGCAGGTTCCCGTGTCGGTGCAGAGCCTTTGCCTTGTCGTGACTGTTCATGCATTCAAGGGGCAGAAGGGAGTATACTGATGTTGTATCAACATGTGCAGGGGACCTGGAGAGGACATTGGGGGATCTGGAGGCGATGTCAAATGCTGCTGCAAGCGGGTCTGGCAGCGAGAGCGGGCAGGGCACATTTGGGCTCATTCGCTCGTACATTGCCTTTGTGAGAGGCCTGGGACAGGGCTCCAATACGCATGTAGAGGTAAAGTCCCCCTTCAGAACTGTACTGGATATGCCCATTGCATGGTACACTTGCGGGTTGATAACATGATTGTTACGGGGCAGATCAACCAGATCTGACACTCGGTAGCCCAAACAACTTGCTTGAAACAAAGAACTTCACACCCTCCTTTGTGCCCATGAGCAGGCTCTTGAGGACATCAGAGCGGCCAGCGCTGCACTGCTGCAGCTTCTGAAACACCCCAGCTTGCCAGCTGCAACACATGCAAACCTGCTGTTCAACTCCATTGAATTGCTGGAAGCGCCAATATCACCGCCCCTCTTCTCAGTGGCAGACACACAGCAGCTGATTGGCCATTTGCTGGTGCGCCCATAAGCCTCTTATCTGCATTGTGGCGCCAATATGTTAATGATGCTGAAACATTGTATCAGCCTTTTGGCAGGAAAACGTGTATTTTATTATTTAATTGTGTCAGCCTGTAGCGACTGGTGCACTGACACCTGGTGCATGGGTGTGGGTGTATCAGGAAGCAGCATCAGCTTTGAGGAAAGGCCATGGCAGTGTGGCGGATGTGGACACCTCTGGACAGGAGCAGCAGCACTTCTTGGAAGCCAAGATAGATGCTGTGCAGTTAACACTGTCTAGAAACCTTGCCAGAGCGCACATTGCAGCTCCGCTGGCGTGAGACTGGGACTTTTGAGACACTTGTGCAAATCTATCACAAATCTTGAGCCGCACGCTCCACCAAATAAGAGCCATTCGTAGAATACGACGTGTCACCGAAAAACACTTGCAACTGAACAAGTACCGTAATGGAACTGCTTTCCCTCATCAATCCAGGTGAGCAGCCAGCTTCCTGGCTGTGAGAAGCTTCTGCCCACCCGGAATCTGCCAATCCCGTTCAGGATGCGGTTGCTTATCTATTCTTGTACGCACGCTTGCTTCTAACATCAAGAAATTGTCAAGCTCTCATTGATCTATTGTTTTTTTTTATAAATTAGTACAATCTGATGAGAGCTCTGTCATACCAGTAAATATGAACTGTCATGGCCATATCAACATTGGATGTTGGCAGAATTCGAGGTACCAGAGCGATCGCTTTTACATGCAGAATACATCTGTGCGCGACATTTCATTCGAATTCTCTCCTTGCTCATCGACAGCATAGGCGAGACACTGGAATATGGCAGGTGCCAGTCCTCGCTCTAGTGCTCTCTTCAGTCGCTCAGCACCCAACAAATGTGATCGTGACAGATATCGTGAGCAACAGATTGGATTCCTTGCACACGTTAAAAGGTGTCCTGGTCTGAAGGTAGATCGTATTCCACAGGTGCAGAAGAGATTCCAACAGCGTCCTTCCATATCATCTGGGAACAGAAGAAAGGCTGTCCTGGCAGAGAAAGACGAAGAAAACCTCACAGAAATAGACTCAGGCCACAACTTTGATGTTGCCACAGCAATTGCACTAGCAGGCTGTGCCTTTGAGAGCTATAATGAGCCGGTGGGAGTGGTGGAAGGATACCAAGAATGGAGCATCTTTGGCACCTACACCACATATGTAGACAGGTGCGCTGTGCCTCTGTATTGGACAAATGCACAGGCGTGCAAAATTAGCTGCAGAACTATAATGGCAATCGATGTGGACTTGCAGGGACTTCATGAAAGAGACTCTGGCGGGCATGCTTGAAGTCCACTTGAGGAGTGCGACCGGCCTGCCAGCTCGAGATGTGCGGCAACTTCCTCCTTGCAGGCCAGGAGCATGTCTTGATTTCTTGCCGCTAATGTATCAGCGCTTTACTGCCATGCCAGTTAATCGCAGCAGCCCTAGCGCGCAATGTCATTGATCCAATAGAAGGCATATAATGTGCATGCGTGCAGCTCTGGGGAAGCAGTGATCCGTATGCTGTGGTGACTATCGGGGAGAGCGCGCGGCGCAGCAGAGTGATTGACAGGACCCTGGATCCTGTGTGGGACGAGCGCTTTCAACTCTATGTCCGGTGTGACTCCTAGCCTGCATTGTGAAGCTCATGTTATGCCAATCTTGTACACATTAGCCCTCTCTTAGCTGCACCATTGAAGCCACATGTACGGCTCTGTATCTGGGAGTGTCACAACTTACGATTGAATCCTCTGGATTAATATGTATTATTCCACTGCCACTCCTGCCATGAAGTGGCAGTTTCATGTGTGTGTTGTCCCCGGCACGCGCCATAAAGCAGTGATTTCCTTGCATACAGCATGCGTCTTGACGCATCCCTCATAGTGGCAGAGGAAAAAATCTGTGACTGCAGGAGCATCTTGTGAGAGAGGGGATGGTTTTGCAGGGACCCGGAGAAGCAGAGGCTGACCATCAAGGTGTTTGACAAGGACACCTTCACAGCGGACGATACCCTGGGCTTCACACTCCTGCCCATGTCCAGGCTGACAGACGGCTCCACGCATGACCTGGATCTGCAGCTTGATGGGGATGGTGGGGGCGGCCGCATCCAGCTCAGCGTCACATTCTCTCCATTCTCTGGTGCGTCTGCTTAGATTGAATCTTGCAAGTTTTGGATATAGCGCTGGGAATTGGACTGTTGATAAGCATTATATTTTAATTCATTTGTTGTGCAAGCTAGAGTACACATAATGAATGACAGCCCTTGCACCAATCGATTTTCCTGCTGGTCTTAATCTTGTCAGTACACTCTTTAAAATTAATTGCGTAACACATTAGCACCCTCGAGTGACAGCATAATTTAACGTGACTCCTCAACATGTCACTGGAAGGGAGGAGGGACAATTTCTGCATGCATATTGTGCCAGACAAGGTGGCAGATGCTGTGAAGACAACACTGTCAACAGGGACTGGTTGTATTATCAGAAGGGATGAAGAAAACCTCTTCGTGTGTTTCATGGCAGATGAGGTGGCGGATGCTGCTGAGGCTGACATGGGGGAGCCAGCCAAGGGGTCAATCGTGGAGGGGCTCACATCTGGCGCATGGAGGGCCCTGGCAGAGATCAGCGGCAAGACAGCGGAGGAACTCTATGATCCGCTCTGCTACATTGAGAACGCCGTCACCGACACACAGGTGCCATGAAGTGCCACTTCTCTATTGCCTCATGCATTAACAGGATCACATCTATAGCAAATCAACGGTGTGTTCTGCGAAGGTCGAGCACCAAATGGTAGCTCCTTACAGCATGCAATGACATGCAGGTTCCTTGGGATCTTTATTTCAAGAGGTCCCAAATGGCATCCTAGATATGTGCTTTGACCTGTGTTTCATTGGCGCAGGTGTGGGTGTTCAGGAATGTGTCGATGAAGTGTCTCTGCATCGCCTTCCGCGGCACAGAGCAGGTCAAGTGGAAGGACCTGATTACGGACCTCAGCTTCCAGCCAGCTGCGTTCAACCCGGAGAGGGTACTTGAGAGCGGCAGCTCCCACTCCCTGCTTGCATCCTCTGACGAGGTATAATTTCCCAACCCTTATCTGCCGTGCTTTTACAAAGAAAAAGCTCGCACACTGCCAGCACCAGATTCTCAACCAGATATTTGGCAACCACCCCTACACCCCTTGTTCTGTATAGTTGGTACCCCTTTTGGACCTTGGAAACAGCAAATTCTAAGCGAAGTAGTCGATACAAAGTCCCCTGTTGGAATCTAAAGGACCTGAAAGCTTCTGCATGCATCAGAGACAAGGATGCAAATCCAAGCCTGGCTTGGTCCATGTGGCTGTATTTGACAAGTTTACGGATGCATCCCTGCCTGGAAGCAATGCCTGGAAGCAAGACCTGAGACATCGGTGTAGATTCTCAAGATAATTTTTCAGAATAGACTTTGACTTTTTTGTGCTGGCGCTCCAGGGCGGCAAGGAGGAAGACTGGGCCAAGCTGGCCCAGAGGACGTTCCAGGTCTTCATGGGCGCTCAGGAGGAGCTGTCACCATGTGAAGAGGAGGAGATACAGAAGGCTGCCAATGCAGAGCCCTGGGTCCATGAAGTGCGCTTCGTCCCCATTCATCGCCTACACTGCCGATTTGCATGCATGCATCCGATCTGCTATTGTTTCCATTGCCAATAGCACCAGTGGAAAGGAGCTGCAGCACGCATGCTGGCAACTGTGCCTTGAGTAGCCAATGTGTCCCGTACAATAGACAATCCCAATGCCTTTGGCAGCAGAATGGGGCTGCAATATGCCGAAGATACTCAAGCGCCAATTCTTCGCAGGGCTTCTTGCGAGCATATGACTCGGTGCGGACGAGGGTGCTGGGTGTGGTGGACGAGGTGCTGACAGACTCTGAGGACTCCTGGCAGATATACGTGACCGGCCACTCTCTGGGCGGCGCTCTCACCACACTGTGCAGCTTTGAGCTGGCCAACAGAAGGTGCGCAGGAAAGTCTGAAGGCAAGCATGCCCCTTTGGATCCCCTCTGACTAGCACCTCTGCATTGGCAATCTGCGCAGTCCAAGTTCTTCACGGCACGCCCAATACTTGAATGCATGCAGGCTTCTGAGAATACAGGTATTCTTGTGCCCCCTTTTAGACACAGGAGTCCACACTGCATGGAGCTGACTGCACGAATTCTGACTGTATGTATTGCCTGCATGCAGATACAGGCATGGAGGGCAGCCGAAGGTCACGATGTACAACTATGGGTCGCCGAGGGTGGGCAATGCAGCGTTCGCATGCGCATACGACGAGTGCGTGCCGGACAGCTGGCGGGTGACTAATCGGCTTGATGTCATCCCCCGCGTGCCACGCCTGATGGGCTACTGCCACGTGGGCAACTCTGTCAGCGTCACTCCCGACGGCCAGTTCCAAGTCAATGGTGCGCAGCGTCATCAGTGGCTCACAACATTAGTGCTAGCACTCTTTCACTTATCATTAACGGCCCGCAATGGTGAGTGCTGTTCAATGGACTTTTAGCTGCGATTCTCTTTGTGCTTCTCTCATGCATCCCTGTCAAAGTGTTGGGTTGCTGTCTTGCATCATGGTGAATAATGGTGAATGTGCTGCAAAGTCTGCATATGCCAAACGAGGTGGCAGACAGTAGCATGCATGTGCAAGTGATCTCAGAATTGACCATACAATTAAATCTGCGATAGCCATTGGGCCAGTGGTCGTGGATAGTGCTCACAGCGCATGTGTGATTGCTGCAGACAAGAAGGTGGACGTATTCAAGGAGGGCCACAATGCAGAGGATGTTCTGCCCAAGCTGGCACAGCGGGCGATCCGCGCTGCACAGGAGCGCAGCGAGGACGACACTGCAGAAATCGCAGCGCTCATTCAGCACGAGATCAACTTCATGCAGACCCTGGTCACTGGGAGCGCGCTGTCAGAGCACATGGAAGACTTTTATCTGGACACTCTCAGAGCACTGGCCACCACTGAAGCATCTGTTGCAGGGATTGTGGCCGAGGTCACAAAGTCAGCCGAAGAATTGACCTGACAGCCACATGCAGAGCCTGGCAGGCAGACGGTGCGCAGGACATAGGATTCAATCAGGATGTGGGATTCAATATAGGAAACGCTGAGACCGCGCATGCATCAATACAGGGGGATTTGTACATGTTTCTGGTGAGTCAGCGTTTCAATGAGGCAGATCTGCACAGTTGTTGAAAGTCATGGCATGCGTCTGTGATTAATGGGCTCAGCATTTTAGCTGACTGGTGTCTTCACCCAGCATTTTAAGAGAGTGGTGAAAAAAAGACGTCAACCTCAATATTATTATTGTCATTATTACACGCTTTTCCTGCCAGAAGCAAGGTGCGCCTGCAGACAAGCTAGCTGCAGTACAGGCTGCCAAAATCCTACCTCTTGGTGGACTCGCCAGATCCAAGCAAGACCCATTTAACCGTGGGCACAGTGCTCAGTATCTATACCGCCCCCCGCCAGCCGGGGCAAATCCTCAATGTAAATGTCGACAAAGTAATTGAAAGCATCCTCGGCCATCGCAATTGATTACGTCCTCCTCCTTTGCTGTTCCAGTAGATGGAAATAGCTATCTGACACTTTTTGAACAGTGGATTGCACATGCCGCACATGCATGCAGCAACTCTAGATTGACTTATTCAATACTTCACAGATGCGAACTTGATTGCAATTGCTTGCCTGGGAATTCTTTGGGGCACATTGGACATGAAGACTATAAGAGATTGACCAGCACCACAAGGATGACTATCATAGGCAAGTAGAAAGATTTTCCAAAAATCTCCTCCACCAATTCGTTCCAGTCCACACTTCTAGCACAAAACTCACATCTCTGTCAAGTTTTTGACTGATGGGAACGGTAATGAAAGGTATCGCAGTTGTCCGTTAAACAGCTTCATTTGTGGACCCTCCAGCTGGCTGACAACAGCATCAAGTGCTACTGCGTAGAGCACTATGCCCAGTCAAGCTCAACACATGGCATACAAATGCCATTGCCTCTCCATTTCATGTAGATGCAGACACTCTCACAGGAGAGGTCCTTCAGTGTGCAACCCTGAGTGCCTTGAACAACTCTCTAGGCAAATATGGCAGTGAAGTGTCCTGCAATTCTTTGCTCTCGCTCTCCTTTCAGTCCCATGGCTTCCACAGGAGGCCACATTCTGTCAGGTAGGAGGGCCTTCCTGCAAGTCTTTGTAGTCTGCTCTAAGGCCCCGCCCTGCAGAGTCTCAAACATTTTAGAAAACATTCCACCGATGAACAAGAGAAATGCAAGCAGTTTACTGAGAGGAGAGTGCATACAACATCAAGAACGGGAAAGAGGGGATACTCACTTTTTGAGTCAGCTCCCTGCAGGTGAGGTGTGCCCACGTCAATTTCTTCCAGGGCATCACTGACAGATGGTGCAGTGCTGAGGGGCTGCTCTACGACCTGGTCTGGTTGCTGTGATCCAGAGAGTGTAGTGGGACTCCGATCTGCTGCATTTGTGAGTGCCGGTGTCTGTTGGGAAGCCACAGCACTGTCCACCTTTGCCTCCAACAGGCTCATATTTATACTTATTCTCCGCAGCCTGCGCAGAGGCACTCTTTTACTGTCAAAATTGTCTCTACTGATCGTAGCTCGAAGTAGTGATCGCAAAAATGGAAGCAGCCCCTTGTGTCCCTGCTGACACGACAAATGCTAAAGGGCACAAGACCTCGGCGCAGAAGCAGGCCCTGGTCGAACCTTAGACTTCAATTTTATTTTGACTAGGAAGACTGCACGCACCTGCGATCGACGTCGTGCACCCTACGCTCACACAAGCTGGCCACCTCGTTCACAGTCTGTGTTGTATTTGCAACGTATATGTTCATCAGCGCCAACGTCCTCTGATCTGGAACTCCTGTTGTTGGATGACTGGTGGTGACTGCACCGTTAGCCTCCATTCTACTGCTGTTTGGGACTTCTTCCAGTGTCTGCGGGCCGAAGTAGAAATTGGAGGCCAAACCTTCAGAACTCCAGGAAAATTTTTTCCACTTGCTGATAGATTCTGCAATTGAGAGAAGATGTACATTACGGAATTGTGAGACGGGATTGGTTGTTGAGGCAAAGCTTACGCGTTTCAACTGCCTGCGATCACATGGTGTCACGTGCACGTGATTTGCTTGCTGATGTATGAATTGTGCAGCAGCAGAAATCGCAACCGCCAAAAATATGCTTGGGAAAGTTTTGACTAAGCTTCTTTATTTTTACAACTGGCCAAGGAGCTCTGTCGAATTTTCGCAGGCATCGAGGGCCGATATGCTCTGACCGATGGGCATACAAGGGCTCCTTCCTCTGCTGAAAAGCATCACAAAGTCTCCAGTCCACGTCCGCAGGTGCGTCTTGCTGGCTTAACCGAATCTGAGCCATTCTGACATCTTATCAAAGGGTAGAAATGAGCGCTGTGTTGCCGCAAGGTCGACTGATCAAAGGCATTAATTAGTGAAACACTGCCACTTAGTGCATCAATGCTCCAGATTGATAGCTTTAATTTGCGGATATTTTATTACACAGGTATAGTGGCCAAAAGGCAGCTGTGGATGCTTATGGCTGGCTTCACAAAGCAGCTTATTGTTGTTCCTATGAGCTTTGCGAGGGCATCTACTCTGACAGGTGCATCATTCATCCACCTTTTCATTCAATGGCTTGTCAACAACGCTATTTGATTTGAAAGCGGCAAGGCGCACCTGTGAAATTGAGCAGAGAAGACTTTAATGTGGCCATCTTATTATGCTGTGGCTGCCGTAGAATGAGACAGCTGTGAGCTCTGAACATTTGATAGCTGTGCAGGGTCTTTGAGCATCATCTTGCTTCGACTGTCATTGATTAGTTCTTTTTATGCGCTCTGAGCTCCCTACTTCTGTGTCAGGTTTGTTGCGTATTGCATGCAAAGGGTGGAGACCCTGCAACAGGCCGGTGTATCACCGATCATAATCTTTGACGGAGGCAGGCTCCCAATGAAGTCTGCTGAGGAAGGCACCAGGGCCAGGTGTGCATCGTGTTCTGTACTCACCAATGGAGGAGGATACGAACCGCAAAAGGGTGTCTGATGCGCTCTGGCTTACCAACCAAAATTGGAGAGGCATTGACAGAAATGTTTTAATTTTCCAGGAGCCGCAGCGAGAATCTGGAGAAGGCACGAGCGTACTGGCAGGCAGGGAATACAACAGCTGCATATGAGTCGTACCAGAGGGCCGTGGACATCAGCCCTGCCACTGCCAAACAGCTCATAGAGGTAACACTTCAGATCTGACCACTTACAGCGCGAGTCTACAATTTTAGGAGTACTGCTGATGATTGACAAAAATGGTTGGTGATGACAGGCGCTGAAGGCAGCAAATGTGGAATACATAGTGGCTCCCTATGAGGCAGATGCTCAGATGGCCTACTTGGCAATCAACGGCATTGTGCAAGTGGTGAGCTCACCAGCAAAATGCTCTGGCTTTTGTCCATGCATGTTGACTCGACAATTTTTGGTGCATTCCGTTGAATTACCGTCCTGATTTCTCCTCCAGATATTCCTTGGTGAGGTGAGGGGTAGAGCACTCCAAAAGCTTGACATAGCATACTATTGGTGTAATTCAGGTCATCTCTGAAGATTCTGACATGCTGGCATATGGCTGTCCGCGAGTGTTTTTCAAGATGGACAAGAACGGGGACGGCCAGGAAATCTGCATGGCAGATCTCCCAGAGTGCCGCAATCCCAGCTTGATCGGCTTCACACCTGACATGTTCTTGGAGGTTAGTGCTGATCTAGCCAGTCACCTGACTTTGTCTATCGCTTTTTCTTAGCCAATCCATGCTCATGCATCAGGACAATTCAGCACATGTGTGATTGCAGATGTGCATCCTTGCTGGCTGCGACTTCCTGAAGGCGCTGAGCTCCATTGGCATCAAAAAGGCGCATGGCCACATCAGAAAGTACAAGACGTTCATCCGGGTGTGTTCCTCATCTCCTAAATCGCAATGTCCTGACACAGTCAGCCCTTGCCCCATCCCAGTGCTTCCGTTCCAGTCAGTACCATTTTAAAGGGGTTACTTCTTTGCATTGATGGGGATGCTCACCACCACGCAGACCTGGGAGACCAAGCATGTCTCTATAGGTCTTTTTACCTGAGGAGAGATATGAAACATTTCTTTGGTACAGTTTGCTTCAGTGCTCACACATGCATGCATGCAATTGTGCTAGAAATGTGAACTGTGAAAACAAATTACCATGCATGCATGCATGCAGGTGTGCAAGAGCCTGCGCTTCTCGGGGGTCAAGGTGCCCCGCGAGTACGAGGCAGACTTCCAGAGGGCGCTGTGGACCTTCCGGCACCAGCGCGTGTACTGCCCGGCCGCCCGCGCCGTGGTGCACCTGCGCCCTCTGCCACCCGGGGGCCTGGCAGATGGCGTGCTTGTGCTGGCTGCCCTGCCCAGCAAGGAGGAGGCTGACCTGCCCTTCCTGGGGCCCATGCTGCCTGACTCTGTGGCGCAGGGCATTGCCACAGGTGGACCCTTGCTCCTCGAAGTCTGGTAGCACATACTTGCATATGGCGCTCCTCAGCGCTGAACAGCATTAGCCAGGAATAGAGATGATGACAGTGCTCAAGGAGAGCATGAAACACTGTAGAGAGAGCACCTTGCTCTCCGATGCTTGCCCTCTGGCAGAGCACTCAGTAGAGCATCTGCTAGATTCACACTGCCATTTATTGGGCGAGAGAAGTGTTTCAGCCTGTAAGATAGAACAAAGGGGTGCCCGGATGTTACCTGCATGCGTGCTCATGTGGGGTGACTGACTGGCGCAGGCAGCTTGGATCCAATCACAAAGCAGCCATTTCCAGAAATCCAGTATGTGCCAAGTTCTCTCCCACAAAATGGCACTGCTGATGATGGTCTCTTCAGGACGAACGCCAGAAGAAAGCAGCACAGACGGAGATCAGCTGGTAAGATGAGCTTTCACATGTGCCGCTGCAGGTCTGAGCAGCCATTTGACATCAAGCTTTGTGGGCCGTGCAAAAAATTTGTTTTTTGTAGGAACAAGGAACTCGCTGCCGGTGCATGCAAATGGCATAGCCAACTACTTCAAGGTGCTGCCTGCCAGCAGAGAAATCCAGCGCGAGTTTGCGGCGCCAAGGATGTTTGCAGGTGACTTTCAGCCTGTTTCAGGCAAGAGGAATGGCCATTGCAGATTCCTGCAAGTTGCAGTTGTGCTGTAATGAAACACTGGTCATGAATCAGTGAACCTGCAGCTGCAGACAAGGCTGGATTGGAGCGCACAGACATAAGGGAGCTTCTCGACCAGCGTGCATCCGAGCCGGAGTATGCTACACCAGCAGATAAGGTATATTAGATTTGCACCACCTTGCATTCACGATGCCCACAATGTCACGATGTCCACTCAGGTCAAATTCACTGACTAGCAATTGCAGTATGATTTGGGGGCGCATGATTTCATTCATAACAGTCAGGACAGAAATATAATAAAAGGCTTGAAGGGTGTTATCGGGTGTGCAGGCTTCACAGGGGTCTGTAGCTGATGAGACACCTGCCGAGCGCGCGGCCAGCCACGGCGTGGCATGCAGCTCACAGCCTGAGCTGGCCACAACCAGCCGCCGCACAGTCAACCTTAGCCGCTTCTCCTGCGGCCCATCCGCCCCAGCAGCACAGCACACAGGCATGTTCCATACTCTAACAGCCATGCTCGCTCTGCCAAAATGCCCATTTCTGCCAAGTCCCTGCCCGGAAGGAACTCCTGCATGCACCAACAATTGGAGCAATGCGTATGTGTCGGAATCTGTGAAGTGCTTCATCGCTTGGGGCACGGTTAGCATTCATCGCGAGCCAGCTTCAACCTCTCAATGTAGAATTTTGTTGCTAGAGAAGGCTCAACTCATCAAGTCATTGTTCCCTTTGTCCAGATCACCAGCCTATCAGTGTCCCGGCCAGGATCGGCCGCAGGAGGCCCGAGACACCAATCGGCGATCATTGCCAGCTAGCAAGCATGCCAGCAAAGCGCACACGTGGCATTGGCAGCCGCAGCCCCGTCCTGCCGGCCTCATCCGACGCCACGCTGGACTTCACCACTCCGCAGGACACAGCCACCACAGGGCAGCAGACGGCCGCTGAGCCGCACCCGGTCATGTACATCACAGAGGAGCACATCATGTTCACGGAGCTCCCACACAGCAGAGCGCAGGAGGACTGCGCAGCAGCAGACCACCTCGATGCAGGCAGTTGGCAGCCCTCAGGGTCGGGCAGGCAGGCGGCAAGTGCAGGCGGATATGACATGGATGGCTTAGAGAGGTCCGCTGGCGCAAGCAAGCGGGCAGAGGGGAGTTACGGACGCGGCAGGGTGGCTTCTGTGCTCAGCGGCTTGCAGCAGGACTCCCAGGCAGAGCTGGAGGGAGCTCTGGCAAATGCATGGGACGGCGACATGGATGGGCCTTGCCGAGAAGCGGAGGTGACCTTTGTGCCAGAGACAGCCGCCAAATGCAGCCCGGACAGGCCTGCCGCCGGCACGCACAGGGGCATCAGTCCAGCCGGCAGGCTTGGCTTCCAGGAGAGGGATGATGCGCAGGCCAGCCCCGCTGCAGAGGCAGCCCTTCGGCCAGAGCTGGGCTGCGCTGAGAGCCTCTCAGGGGCTGGTGCACAAGATGCATTCTTGGAGGGGCTGCGATCGCCGCAGCTATACGCTGAGGTCAGCAATGACTCTGCAGCGGGGCCTGGCCGGCTTGCGGCGGAGCCGGGATGCAGCGCGGGTGCGCTAGGACTGGCATGCAGCCCGAAGGTGCCGGCATGGGGCGGCGCGCAACAGCCGGTGTCTCTGTGGGCCGCCTACTACGAGGGGCCGGACATCCTGTTGGAGGCGGAGGAAGCATTCCTGCAGCCTGCGGCCCCTGGCGAAGCAGTCAGTAGCGAGGACATGCATGCAGAGGAAGATCTGCTCAGCCCCATCCACCGGCACCCTCTCGCGCTGGAGTGCGCACACGGTGGCGGCCCGGCCCACAAACGCGGCCTCTCCCGGCGAGCCGCCCCGGCCAAGCGCGTGCAGCCCGAGCTCTGCAGCCCGCGCCGGAAGCAGCGGCGCAGCTTCCTGGAGAATAGCTTCTCTGCGGGTGCCCTGCAGCTTCACGCATCGCCCACCGTCGAGGAGGCCGTGCTCCTGAGCGGGGCTGCCGCGGGGTCACCGGACGCCAGACATGCCGGCAGCGCCCTGAAGGGCTGCCCGGCCGGGCAGCGCTCTAAGCAGCTGGGCAGCCCAAGTGGGCGGCAGTCGGCAGGGGACGGCGGGTGCAGTGTGCTCCAGGAGCTCAGCAATGAGGCCAATCAGCACGACGCTGATTTGGAGCGCCTGCTCACCCCGCTGCGCGGTGCGCCAGAGCCTCTCATGCGTGTAGTCTGATACTTAAGATGGGGTGTTATCTGTCATTCCAGCACGTCAAGTGTGTATATGTGATGACACACTGGCAACTGTCCATGAGGTCCTGGCTGTGCAGGTGCCAAGCCATGTGTGGAGGTTGCAGCGGATGATGCTGATGCTGACATGCTGCAAGGTGGCTTTGAGGATGAGGCTGTGCCAGCTGCTTCCAACCTCCAAAGCCGAGCTCGACAACGGTCATCTCCTTTCAGGTGGCTATCATTTCAGGATCCATATTTTACCTTGCTCACACAACGTGCTATCTTCAGAAAGCCGCATGTCAGCATTCTTCATCATTTCATGTTGGGACTGCTCTTACAGGGGAGCCCAAAGCTTCAGAGCTTTTGAGGTTCAGGACAGGGAAGAGCCGTCATCCCAAGGCATTGAGGAAGAGCAGGAGGAAGAGAAGGACACAGGAGATGGGGATGCCTTCAATGGCTTGGGCCATGTGAAGAAATATAGCAGGATAGCGACCAAGGCACTTGACAAGGTCGAGGCTGCAGCGCGCAAGGGGGCTCACAGAAGACGAGGCTCATCTGGGGCCCTCAACAGGTGTGCACCATTGTAACTTTCCTGTTACGTAGATTTATTTATGGCATGATGTAAGGTATGCATGTATCATGCAACATGGTGCAATATATTTCGGTGACTGGGAAGCTGGTGACTGATCAGTGATGACTAATCTTATGATCTTTTCTGCAGCGAGAGCGTCCTCAGTCAGCCCTTTGCCCCTCCTCGAGCACAGGAGTCTTGCCACGACAGGAAACAGAAACAAGCTGTCAAGCCTGGCCAGGACGCACTCTTTGACAAGTTCAAGTGTGCCCCAAAGATCCGTGGCAAGTAAGGAAATACATCCTGGAGAACCAGTTGCAACATTTGCAGTTGCAAAATAGTTTCAATCCCAGTTCCAGAGATTTATCTGAGGATACATATTTTGAGACAACCTTATCAGTATTGTAAGCTCTTCAACAAGCAAAGATGTCATCTGCAATGCCCTGGAAAGATGCATGACATGCACTGCAGTGCATGTCTGTTGACAACTTTTCCGATGCCTACTCTTGCTTGCACTGCTTCTTATTAAAGCTTTCAACGGTGATGTTCCCAAGTTCAACAGGGACCACATGCGCGCATGGCCAGCGAATTGAGGCTTGATCGAAGGCACCGTTCATTCTGACAACATGAGCAAGTGGCAGCGCCGGCACACGCATGCCAGCAACTGGTCAGCTGCATGCAAGCCTTAGCTTGCAAGATGATCGAGGTGTAAGGCAGAAGAGCAGCACATCAGCAATATTACAATGCACCCGGCTGACATGCATCCCGCTGAGAAATCTCAATCCTCATCGGATTCATCGTCAAAGTAACGGCTCTTCTTCTTGTCCACAACTGCGTAGATGTGTTTTTTCTCAATGCCCTTGTCCTTGTATGTTTTGGCTATGAGCTCAGCTGCCTTGTCCACAAAGTCCCCTTGCACCTGTGGGTAATCATGGTGTGATTAGTCCAGGATATCCACACGTGTATTTGTTTTGTTACCACATGCTGATCCAGATTGGACATTACCTCAATTTGGTCTTTTTCCATGGGGTTTTTTGTGATGCTTGCTCCGCTGGCAAACTTCTTCCCAAAAAGCTTGGCCGCCTCAGCAAGTTTGACTCCAAAAGTTTCTAGCCCTGTAACACCACATCATGAGTCAGGGAGTGAGGGCCAAGCACTGAAGTCTACTTACCAGGTCAGTCTACTAGAAGCACAGGGTGATCTGATGGTGTCTCAAAGGAACATTCCTGGCAGTCGGGAGGGCTCTGTCACCGCACCTAGGATGGTGGTGACACATTTTTTCTTGCTCCTGGTGTTTGTCTCCAGCACCACCTCATTCTTGGCTTTCTTCTTGACCTTGCCGCCTGGAAGCTGCTTTTCAATGACATCTCCATGCCTGTCTTTCAAGGTGAGGTCTGCGACTGCACCAGCTGCTCCACCTGCCTGTGCTGCTTTCCACCTGCTCCCAATCGCGCCGTTTTTGGCTTTGCAAGATACATTGATGTGCTAATTCAACATCAATTTGAGGCTGTGAGCTGATCATGCCTGGTTTCTCAGCCCCTCTGAGGTGATAGTTGCCAACTTACCGTTTGTACTCCTCGCAATCCTTTGGCAGGTATTGGTTGAACTCAGAGGGCACTCCCGTTAAAGGATCGTATACAAGTTTCACAGGTTCTGCGGAAGGCGCCTCATCAGCTTGTAGATCAGCCATCACTTCGGCATCAAACCTAGATATCAAAGCCCTTGTTAGGTGTATCTGCAGGGCGCAGAACTGTACTTGTCTCAAGTCACTTGTTGCGTCTGTATCGATATGTGGATCCTGCTGAACATGTTTTGAAGCCAGAATTTTGGCTTGGCTGTTGGGGGTCGTCACAGTGTCGAAAAGCTCAAATAAGGGATTAAAACCTAGGCGTGGGCTCCATGTGATTCAGGTCTAGACACACTCGACGCATATTGCTCCCAGTATACAGCAGAAAACAAAACAGTTTGTTGCCGTTGAGTGCCCATTGCGGTGCGATGACATCAGCTCTGTCTGCTGCACTAAAAAAGCCCACACTTGATCAAGCAGCATCCTCAGCTCTTGCAGATAGCTTGAAGGCTCCTCCCAAAGCGGCCACTGCTTCGGGTTTTGATCTTTCATCTATTCCCTTACCTCCCAGTGCCTTCCCGGGCCTGTACCAGTCTTCCGCAGCTGAAGATGACTTTGTTGCTGAGCTCGAGAGCTTGGCACTGGGCACTAGTATAGGGACGCAGGCGATTGGATCCCTGAAGTCCCGGTCTGGTACACCTGTGGTGCGTAACTACCTTGCTCATGAGCTGGATTCTGCAAGTGGCATCTTCAAGCAGGACCTTGCCTTCCCAACTGCACTGCCATTTCTAGGGTTGTCCTTTCCCTGCTTTCTCTGGCTGATGCGTATCACGGGTGCATGGCCATTTGTAGCTTGCATCTGATCAGCGGAATCTTAAGTGCCTCAGTCCAGACAACATCTGGAAAGATTCTACCGGTGTCTGGCCAGTGGTATAGGAAGTGCTCGATCCGTGAGACTACAGTAAGCAATGATAGGATGCTCGATCCAGATAATATTAATTGATCGTCGATACATTTAAAAAGGTCTGCATGCCTCATTTGTATGTGTCTCTTTGCCTCAATGCGCAGGCCGACTTTGAGCCAAACAGCAGGAAGCTGAGTGGCCATGAACGCATCCCGGCCATCTATGAATCAGAGGCAGGCTTCTTTTCCGATGCAGTCAACTCAACATGCACTCCTGCTTTGGACCAAATCCCTTGTATTGAGATGTCAGTATGAATCGCTCTCTTCAAGAGCTCGAGTACAGAGGTAGCATTTGACGTTTGCAGGAGGATCGCTTGCACTGGGAGCAGATGGGCCGTCCAAACATTGCTGCCAACTTCATGTCCCCCACAATGTATGGATCCCTGCCCAAGGCCCTCAGCAGTGAGGAGCGGCTGTCCATCTCGCGCAACACCCCAATGTCAGCGTCACTGAGGGAAGTTCAAAATCGGACCCCGGTGAGTCACCTTATTGTCTCTGTTGTGCAAATTTCATCTTGGCCATGGTCATGTCCCACCGTGTATCTGCCCACCGTGTATGCTATTTTATGTGCTCACCTTTGCCTGCTGTGCAAGATATAGCATCAAGTCACCTCTGCTGGCGCGCAGGCAAAGGTGTCGGCACCAACAAGGGCCGGCAGAGCTTTGAGGAGATCCCTGCTGAAGGGCTGCGTGATTGTGATTGTGGTGGCGGGATACTCAGGCAAGCGGTTCATTTATGAGCGAGCCCATGAGCTTGGCGTCAGGTGAGCCCCAGACCCTGCACATACCTTTCAGGGCTGCCAGTGCCCGTAATGACAGTAACACTATGTATCAGCCAACTGCATGGGTAGGAAGGGGTCATGTCACAGAGGGAACCGGTGCTGCAGGGTGGTCATCATTGATGGGCCAGACAGCTGGGCAAAGACTCTGGTGGGGGAGAAGGTGATCGAGAAGTTCTATCCTGTAGACTTCACAGATGAGGCAGCCATTTTCGACAAGTGCCTGGTCAGGATCAAGCAGGCAGAGGCGGTGAGTCTGCTTGACTCTTGGAAATGCTACTGTGCTGCCATCTTCGTGATTGAGCCCCAGCATACAAATTGAGAATGCTGGTCTTAATTAGGTATCAATTACAGTGCTCTGATGAGACAGATGCCGCTTGCAGGAGCTTGGACAGGTGGATGGGATCTGCAGCTTCTGGGAAGCTGCGCAGGCGCTGGTGGCATCTCTGGCAGAGCGCCAGGGCCTCCTCGCGCACCCACCTGCTGCTGTGGAGAATGCCAGGGAGAAGCAGGTAAATGTTTTATCATTTTCTGACAATACAAACGAGCTCAAGATTGACTCATGCATGATGGGGAAACCACAGGCAAATCTCATCATAGCATTGTGCAATATCGTCATGCAACAGTACTGCTTGCTACATGGCATTGTACAGGTTTCGAGTCCTCGAGGGCATCAGCTGTGCCTGTGCAGAACACGAGGTCTTGCATGAAGGCCGCCGGGCTGCCGACGCCTGCGAATCACCTGATCAAGAGTGGCGCTGATGTCAAGAGGGCGGCTGAAGTTGTGGGCTTCCCAGCCGTCATCAAACCCATCTCTGGCGCTGCCTCTGAGGGTGTCGTGCGCGTTGACTCCCTGGAGCAGCTTGTAAAGTGAGTGTGGGCTTCCTTCATTACTATTAGAGAGCGCGAGAGGCATGTATTTGTCTGCAGCAGATCAGAGAAGGAACAAAGACAGTAGTCTGACTGTCTCTGGCATGGCAAGAGAGGTAGCACGGCTTGCGTCGATGTTGTCACAGCACACAAAGTGTTGTTGCATCAACCTTTGCTGAAATGTTGTGGTCTCATGAAACACAGGGTGTATGAGAGGGAGAGCAAGAAGATCAAGGCCAAGGCCATCGACTCCAACACCACCACCCTGGACGACAAGACTGCCGAGCAGGAGGTGCGCTCCATGTCTCTGCCACATGCTCAGATCCAAGTACAGCCACTGCAGCTTCCTGCTTGCCTTTCTGAGGACTCCTGTCACTTGGATACTGTATTACAGATCTTCTTCCACGGCAGAGTTGCAAGTGCTTGTACACCGTGATGGCAGTGTCACAACAATGCATGACACTGGCAAGCGTGAAGGATGCTGTAGGGCACTCCCCTCACTCCCCTGATTAGTATGTTACGTGATTGAAAGCATGGGAGCAAAAGGTCAGGAGGCAAAGTGATCAGATCTGAGCAGGATAGATAATGTGCAGTGCAAAATCAATGCATGACGCTGGCATGCATGTTGCTGTGCGCAGAGGGCGCGCGGCCGCGCAGAGCTGACATTCATGATGGAGCAGTACCTAGACGGGCCAGAGGTGGATGTGGATGTGCTGCTGAACTCAGACGGGGACGTTGTCTACGGTAATGTGACCGACAACTGGCCCACGATCGAGCCCTACTTCAACGAGACTGGCTCCAACTGCCCCTCCATCCTCAGCCTGCAGCAGCAGCGCGAGCTGTGCCAGCTGTCCGTCGCCGCCGTCAAGTGCATGGGCTTTGTCGTCGGCAACTTCCACGTCGAGTGCAAGTACACTTCCAGTAACGGGCCCCAGCTCATCGAGGTCGGCCCAGCTCCCTGCCCGATTTCAAAATTTCAATTTGATCTTGTAGATCTATAGCTTCAAAACTGTCTGAGGTCCTGGCGGTGTTCTGCTCAGGGTCTCAGTACTTTGCAAAGGTGTTGTTGACTGACATGCACATGCGAGGCAGCCTGTTCTCCAATCTTCTGCCGCTCGCTCTCCCTAGATATCTGCGTTCCTGTTCTCTCAATGCAGGAGTCATGATGCAGAGCAGCGTTGCATGGTGGTGTGATAGCGCACATGGGTGCATGCAGGTGAACGCTCGCATGGGTGGTGGGCCGGTGTACGCGATGAACCAGTTTGTGTGGGGAGTTGACCTGGTGGAGGAGCAGTTTCTGGGCTGCTGCGGCATCCCCTCGCGCCCCTACCTGTCCAAGACCCCCCAGAAGTGCATCGCCGAGTTCTCCATCAACGCCCAGAAGACCGGAACGCTGCAGAATGTGGACTGGGTCGATGTGAGTCACTGTGCTCTCCCAACATGCATCCACACTTAGTTCTTGCTGTCCAATTTTAGCTATCTTCGTTGCAAATTGTGAAATAAAATTGTCCTTCGCTGTCCCGTTCTCAGCGAGCTGCATATAAAGTATGCCACATATTTCTTAGATTCTATCGCAACCTTGCAGACCACAGTGATTTAGTGATGGAATGTGAAGGTTTTAGCCATGTGCATGAATGAAGGATGCGTGTAATTGGTCAATGATGGCTGATGGGGTGTTGTGTGCGTCTGGGACACAGAAGTTCCAGGACGACCTGCATGTGGTCTACGCGCGGTCAATTGTGGAGGAAGGCGCCAAGGTTGTCTGCGTCGAAGATGGCCTGCCAACATGGGTCGCCGAGGTGAGCCCACAAGCGATCTCCTGACCAGTCTCAGCCCTTCATCTGATCCTGATAATTTCCTTCTTGCAAGCAGAGCTAGCTACTTAGCCTTAGGCAGGGTCCATCTGCTTTTGTTGAGCTGCCTAATAATCTGGATGGCTGGAAACGAGATGTTGAGTGTCATTCCTGTGCCTCCTGCAGCTCATGGTCTGGGATGCGGATGTGAACAAGGCCATTGCGCATGTGCTGGACATTGAGAAGGACATCCAGGAGAACATTGTCATCACTTGAACCGCAGCCTCCTAGCTTTCTTGATTACCAGGATAATAACTTCAGCTGTCTGTGCGGGTGTGCCACGGATTGGGAGGGGCATTTTTGCGACCTTTTTCACTGCGGGTTGTGCAAGGATGGCCGTCCAAGTACATCTGTACCAGTATTCTCTGTCCATTAGCTAGTGGTCAGTCATCTCCAAATGTGAAAGGGTCTCTGTTTTGGGACAAGATATTTGTCCTGAAGTGATATTCTGAAACATACCCAGCATTGAGGGAGCGATATGACTGCTGGATGGGCTTGATTCTTATCGCCACAGTTTCCTTCTGGCACTAGGTTTAATAATATGTGGTGCGTCTGAGAGACAGCACAATCCAGGCTCCCCAAGATCTTAAGGTAAGGCTGCTGATACTGCTGTATTATGGAGGGATGTAACAGTCTAGATGAGTGCTTCTTAATACAAGTCACTGCCATGGTGACTGGCTTGACTAATACCGCACCGCGCAGCCTGCCTGCATGCATGCTGAAAACATTGTGCAACAGGGACCACTGTTCTACGTCATGCTGCACAGGGCCCCCTCCAGTTTGGAGAAAGAGAGAGAGAGGCAGCCAGCACTGCCACTGCTCTAACCCCAAGGATAGAAATTGTAGGTGAGCAGAAGAAAGGACAGTCAAAAAGGAAATCGGACCAAGAAAAGAGGGGAACAGGGGGACTCGAACCCCCGACCTCTTGCACCCAAAGCAAGAATCATACCCCTAGACCATGTTCCCTGGCGATCAGTTACGGTACATCTCTGTATTTTCCACTGTATATATTATTGCGGCGTGGGCATCTACCTCGTTCGGACGATGATTCATGTGCTAGGTGCTTGTGGAGTACAAGAACACCAGGAGTAGAAGACTAGTGTGAAAGATATCGCCACAGCTGTTCAGTTTGGCGGACGTATTCTTGCCAGTTGTTTTTGTCATTTTGCTAGGCAAGACGGAGGCGCACTTTTGACACAAGTCTTTGCAGAGTGTCAACTTGCGTTTTGACATGCAAAACCTTTGATCGTCAAGTTAGCAGCACATCCACATGGTAATCTGCGGATTTGGCTGCCCATGTGGGACTTCTCGCTTCGTGCCCAGGTACAGGAAAGGAGGCTTTCGCTTTGCAACCTTGTCTTCGAGGTCGATCATAGAAGAACGCTCTTGATCCCGAAACTCTTCTTTGTTCCAATTTGCATGAAGCAAATACAATCTATCTGGTTGCGCAACAACAAAGTTATAAAGGGGGCTTGGCAAGTATTATATCGACGTGGCTTGTCTTGTCTTGCTGCCTCTAAAGGCTGATAGGAACGTTACTCCGTGTGGTTCCCTGAGGATTAACGCAATAACGCAATTCCCTGGGTGCTGCTGCCAGCTCATTGTCCTTTCTGTCCACTGTCAGGCACACTCCAGGAGGACACTGGCTGGGTCGTCGGCCCCTGCAGCTGTTGGCTGCTGGCCGCGTCAGGCCAGAGCCCAGGAGCAGAAAAGCCGCCGGTGACACCAAGGTGCCTGAAATCTTCATCCCCCTGGGGCCTGCGCGTCCGTCTGAGTCGACCCCTGCGCCCAGCACTGAAAGCAGTCCTGCAGCAGGCAAAGCGAGACAGGAAGCTCCACAGCGCCAGCAAGGTGCCAGCAGACAGGAGCGTGTCGGTGAAACAGATCAAATTACACCCGAGAGGAGCTCTCTTTCTGCCAGCACAAGTGGGCGGAGCAGAGTGGCCGAGGGACTGCCGTCTTCCAGTGGGAGGTTTGGCAGGGGCGCCGGGGAAGGGCCATCCCAGGAGAGGGATGTAGCCCAGGATGAGAACAGCTCGCCCTACCAGCAGCGGCGAGGCAGCAGGAGGCCTCCTGACACCCTGAGAATACAGGACAGGAGACCCGCCAGGCCGCACGTGTCTTCGCCTGAATATGCCCAGGTACAGCTTTCATGACAAGGACTCTCCACAGCACAAAGTTTAGCGCAACACCCATTGGCAGATCTACCTCAGCTCTTTACTTCACTATAAAATGAAGGTGCTGCAGAAATTTCGGGAGCCATGAAGGGGCTATTCTTGGTGCAGGCGACGCTGCAGCAGCGTCGCAGCTCCAGGAAGGGGCCTGGCGAGCGGGCAGCATCCCACGACAACCGCTACGGCGTGTCCCTCATGCGCAGGGGGGCCGGCAGCACAGCCACCTTCTTCACGAAGGTGCCTGCTGCTTCACACCATGCGTGCTGTTTCTCACTTTGGCACCCATGCTCAAAAATTGATTTGTGTGGGGTGTGCGGAACAACAGTCTCCAAAAGGCATGCCTTGGTCTGATCGGGGCTTAGAGCAGGGGGTGCTATTGCGAACCCCTAAGTCAGGATATATCACCCTCTGCTTAGAGCCACAGGGGGTTCTATGGCGCAAAGACAATGATTGGGGGTCATTTGGTTGCAGTCGAGTTTCAAGGATGTGGGTGCGAGCGATGAGATGGTTAAGGCGCTGAGGGGGATCGGCATCGAGCGGCCGTCGTACATTCAGGCGGCCGCGTACCAGGTGCTCACGTCAGGCGCCCGCCACATCGTGCTGGCCGACCACGCAGGTGCCGCCACAATGACCGTCTTCACCATCGTCTACTGCACCTGTTCACTTGTCAACCCAGCGCATAGAAGCTCGCACCCTTCCTGCCATGCAGAGAGCGCACATCCATCCTAATATACTGAGGTACACTGGGAAGGCTCTCCGTAGCCGGGTCTTCATTGCCTACCCATGGCATTTGGCAATTAGCAAGGAACACTTTTCATTGTTGATGGGGACCCTGCTGGTGTGATGTGTGTGACTAACAGCACCATGGTAGCCATGCCGGGTACTCATCATGGCATAGACAGCACGCTTGGCATGATGGTTGATGTCTGTAAATGTGATCTGCCCCCCGGCTTTATCATGAAACGGGGGGCCATTGCATCTCTTGTTGAAGAACCCGCCGGCTCGGCGCAGGGAGCGGCAAGACGCTGGCGTACCTGCTGCCGCTGGTGCAGGCGCTGCGGGAGGAGGAGCAGAGCCTGTGCGACAGCCTCACCATGCGCAACGCCCCCCGCGTCATCATCCTCGCCCCCACCACCGAACTCTGCGCCCAGGCACGCTCGTGCACCCCCTCACGCCCCGCAAACCCCTTCTCACTCCCTGATGGAGGCCCTCTCCGCAGCTCAGCATTTGTAGGGACGACATTACTTTGAAAATGGCTGAGAGGGTGTGAGCGGCGCCATCAGTGAGTGAGTTCCCCAGGGGTTTCTGAACCTTGACATGTGTTCAGAGCAATTCCTTCTGATTGCAGGTTCTGATGGTGGCCCGTGGCCTTGCCAAGGGAGCACCCTTTCGTTCCATCGCCCTCACAGGTGGGCCAATTCGTGACCAGCCTGGTCCTCATTGCTGAGTGCATCCGCATGCTTGCCAAGAGACGTGTCCTGTCGCTCACACTGTGTCCTTTATGCATGCTGTGTACAGAGCAGCCCTGCCACTGTGGTGCTGGCATAAATCGGCCTGCACCAAATTCTGCACAGATTCAAGAAGCTGATGCCTTCAAGTTCCCTTTCAAAACACTGTCAAGCAAGGCAGGTCACACTATTCTGTTCACTCAACAATATCTGTGGCGTGTGCAGGCGGGTTCAAGTGGCGGACGCAGAAGGAGGCGCTGGATGAGGGGGTAGATGTGGTGGTGGCCACTCCCGGGCGGCTGGGCGAGCACATAAAGGCAGGCAATCTGCGCCTGGACCAGTGCCGCGCCGTCGTCCTGGACGAGGTCGACGTGCTCCTGGGAGACACCTTCGCGTTCGCGCAGCAGGTGCGCGCTGAGAAGCCCAGTGGCAGTTCTTAGAGGATGTGGGGCACGCAAACGTGTTGGAAAATGCACCATTGTTGGCCGCTCAGCATGCCAGCCCCAGACCAGTGACAAATCTGAAGCATGCCTTGTGAGAGAAGGTCAAGAGGTGCCAGAAATATTTCAACAGTGCATGAGAGATGTGCAGTCTGTCTAGCGCTCTCGGCCGGCTTCTCTGAAAGCAATGAGCCTGGGCTTGAGACCGTGCTCAAATACAGGGCATTTGCTGGACCTTCTCTTTGAGAGGTATGAGCGTCTCAGGGGCTGACCTCAGTCATGGGATATTCTGCCGGCTGAACAATGAGCGCTCCACACGCAGGTGGCGCCACTGAGGGCGGCGGCCCCCGAGGCGACGCGGTTTGTGCTGGTGACGGCGACGCTGGCAGAAAACGTGTACCTGCAGCTGCAGCAGGACTTCCCCGGCATCACCCCCGCGTTCGGGCCTGGTGACTCCCGCCACATGCAACCATGCAGTCATGACATTTCAAACAGTGCTGCTTTTGTCGCACACCTCAATCTCCACAGTGCTGCTGAAGCCTGCTTGGACGACACACTGTGCTTGGCCTCCGCCGAGCTGCTGATGTCTTCAGAGAGCGAGACTGAAGCATTAAAGATAGTCGACTTGTCAACAGAGGCCTGCTGATGTCTCTCACAGGGGTAGAAGAGGGGCGATAGGGTAGATAATGCTTTGCCAATGTAGAGTTGGTGAGAATGACGATACTGCGCAGGGCTGCACCGGACGGCGCCGGGTGTTCTGGAGCAGCTGGTGGACTGCAGCGGCGGCGATGTCATCAACGAGGACACCGGCTTTGAGCGCAAGTCGGCCGCCCTCCTACGCGTGCTCAGGGAGCAGGTGAGGGGCTATTTCTGCTTCTGTTGGAGACAGAACAGCTGCCATGAACCTGACATGAGCATTGCCCTTTCTTGAAACGAGTTGCTTGCAGGGTCCTGAAGCAACTGCTGTAATGCTTCTCTACTTGCAAGACAAACATGCTACATTGTTTATGTGAGGTTCATTGTCAGAATGTGCAATGGGTGAAGAAGACGTTTGTGTGATTTGCTGGGCTGAATGGCAGATTGCGTGTGGGCCAACAGGATTGCACGCGGACGATAGTGTTCTGCAACAAGATCGAGACGTGCCGCAAGGTGGAGAACCTGCTTAACAGGAATGGGGAGGATCCCAATGAGGAGGGCCTGCTGGTGCTGCCATACCACGCCGCCATAGAGGAGGTCGCTCGCAGCAAGGCTCTCAAGGTGAACCATGCCTTTGCTGCTGTTGTCCTTGAACCCAGGCCATTGCCCTTGTTCTTTAGGCGGCACAGGGACTGGGTCAAATTCTGAGCACTTCTGAGCACACTGAGATACGATCCTTTCTTCGCTCATGCCATGGCACCACCGCATGCAGCAGGTGCAGGCAAATTGGCTATTCTGAACTGCCCTAGCGCATATGCTGGCTGCAGTAGCTGGACAGGACTCCCTTAGGTCTCATGCATGCGCTCCAGCACCTGGCAACTGAAGGATCACAGGCCTTGCTGACGTGTCTTTTGTGCTGCCGCAGGAATTCCTGGCGCCGCCCATGGACGGCGCAAAGATGGTGCTGGTGTGCACGGACCGGGCATCGCGCGGCATCGACTCGGCGCATGTGGAACACGTGGTGCTGTTCGATTTCCCTCGCGACCCCTCCGAGTATGTGCGCCGCGCCGGCCGCGTTTCCCGCGGCGCCGGTGCCTCCGGCGTTGTCTCCATCCTCGTCCTCGGCCGCCAGGCGCGTCACTGATACTCCTTATTAGTCACCCTCGCTCGAATATATATGTCTGCGTTCCTCTGTGTGTAATTTGTGAAGGAGTGTTTTTGTCGTGGTTGATTGAAAGGCATGATTGAAAGGCACCAAGTAATAAATGTGTGTGTTCTGCAAATGCACCTCAAATTGGAGCTTTTGTAGGCGCATGCTACATGGTATTATAATGAGCTTGTCGGAGAAGCCCTCGGCTTCCTGGTGCACGTGTGGGCAAGTTCCCATGCGCATTGGGTATCATGAAGGAAGCATTGTGCTAGATTGAATCCCACATGCTGCACGCAATGATGCATGCAATTCCCGAAATACGTATTGTGAGTGTGAATGAGGCAAAGCATGCAAAGGAGTCCATGCTGGGAGGCACGGTTGTTTTGTTAAGCAGGGCTGTCAGAAGAAGGTGTGTGGGCTGCAGGTGAGCTTGGCCAGGCAGCTGCTGGAGCGCAACCAGAAGGGGCTGCCCATCCACAAGGTTCCATCCGGCTGAGTCCGGTTCGTGTTTCTGGGCTCTGCTGGCATTGCTGTCTTTGTTGTGCTCTTCAGTACTAGTGGGTTAGGCATGCACGAAATTTGAGAATTTTCGGATTGTCTTGGGGGCCAGGCAGGGAATGCATTTGGCTGCAAGTCTATCAGTACTCGTGAGCTGAGCGCTACATGATGCATGTAATGGACCGAAGGTGTACGGCTCAGGTGCCCTGGTGTTTTAAGCTGACATGGCTGTAATTTTCTAGAATTGGGCTGAACAGTAATACTGTCAAAGAGAATACGGTATTTTCTGATCTTACCAGCATTCTGCAATCCTACGTCATACTGTTAGTCACATGCATATGCGCGAATCTACGCAATCTCTTATGAGCTCAGCTCATCAGCTCTTCCATAATCAATCGCAATCTATCGTTAGTCCCACAAAGTATGGCGAACCCAAGGTAGCTCTGTTGAAGTCAGATTTCACACAGGAAAGCACCATGAAACCAGCAACGCAATCACCATATACTTACCTATATTCAGGCATCACAAAAAGAAGTGCCAAGGCAGGGCTATCTCCAGGGTCCCGCAGCTGCTGTGGGGGTGTTTGAGATGAAAGGAGCTATGTTCTCCCGCTCCAGGGGGGCGGAAGGCGCCGCACTATAAGAGCTCCTGCGGCTGCTGCTCGGGGGCGCGAATGACAGGGAAGTGGCTGCCGTGCTGGGCCGCAGAGACTGCCTACGGGCCAGTGACAGGGATCTCCTGAGTGTCCCTGCACTGCTGGTGAATGAGGCTGTCATGAAGGCTTCAGAGGGCGCTCGGCTGGTCCTCACTGGCTGTGGCCTGCAGCCCTCCACTACCTCAGGGCACTTGGCAAGAACCTCCCGCAAACCTGTGGCAATGCAAGGAAGCACTTTCACGCCCGGGGTCAATATTTTGCACAGTGCACGAAGCCATCAATGCCATATGGTGGTGGGGCAGTGACGAGCAAGTACAGGCATTCACATGCAAGAACACTCTGGCACTGGCATGATTGGTGTGCCTGTTCTGGAAGGGGATGACCATGTGTCCATGTTAAGAGATGACTTGACACCTACCCCCACTGAGGAGCAACATATTGTCAGCTCCCTTTTCAAAGAGCAGATTGGCAGCAGGCGCTGCGACTCGCTCGTCCCAATCGCACACAAGGATGAACCTCTGCTCCCCATTCATGAAATCCAGGATCTCGGGTGACAGGGAGTTCACCGCCCTTGACAGCATGCGCGCTGGGTAGCTCACAGCTGCAATTGAAGTCAGAGTCATCGTGAGTGACGGGACCGAGGTGCCGCACAGTCGTGGCATCAGAGTCAATATATGAAATGCCATGAGACTTTCACTGGAGCTTGAAGCCACACAACAGGAATGGGAGTGGGGCAATCTCACCAGTCCTGACATGGAATTGAGCGAAGTCATCCTCATCTCTCAGATCCAGGATGAGGCACTCCATTTCACTGGCACTGCTGTCCAGTAATTCTGTCAAGCGAGAAGCCTGCAGTCAGCAACAGATTACTTGTCTTGAATCAAACCTACATCGAGGGTGCATAAGATCTCCGATCCAGTAAGTTACGAGGTTTATATACCTTGATGCGGCAGAAGTTCTCTCGACGCTGGAATCGAGCATGCAGCCCCTGTTCCGCAAGGTACTGCTTCAGCTTTATCTCAAATAAACCGCTGTCGACCACAGACTTGACACTCTGGTACCTCTCATTGGGCGGAGGTACCCTCTTCTCCCTGACGTTGGCGGCCAAGGGCTTTGACCACGAAGGCATTGTATGAAGCTAGATGGGCTTATTTTTCATGAATGACTCTACCAGCCGTGCAGCGTCACACATGAATTGAAAGGATCCTATGAAAAATATTTGGCCACAGTTCTATTGCATCGACATCCGTACTGCCCCACTGGGGGATGGTCAAAGGCCCCGATTGACCTTCCCGATATATGTATAGATGTGCACTGCAGGTTGTACACGCCGGATCCTTGAAACTATATTATATTCCTGGATCAGAAAAGTATCTAGGATCGTTTCATATCCATGCGATCCTCAAATAGCTGAGAGAGAAAAGAATGAATGTGAGAAAGGAGCAGTGTGTACAGATCTCAGATGCCCCTTCCAGCACGCTGAAGAACACGAGTATAGAGAGAATTGGTGATAGTCTCCGATCGAAATAAAGGATACAAACGCGAGAAAGGACAGCAAACAGAGGACAAAGGTCCCGTGACTGTCACGTGCACTCAAGAGCACGTCAGCGGACAGCAATCCTGACTCACAGATCCGATTCAATATCAGCACGGGACATCATTTCAAATTAAGAAAGGAGCAATTGTCACGAATATAGCTTGATATCGGAGGCTGCAGGGGAGCAAGCAGCTTGTACAAGCACCTGGTCTGCTCTTCCGCCAACCTGACGCGGCAGAACGGGTCTAAAGCGTGATGGCGACCTCCAAAGGCGGCGAGATGGCTCTCGATATGCCCGATCAGCAGGTGTGAAAGATTAACTGAATATGAACGTAGCATCTCGGTTCTCAGGTTGCTGTTGGTAGCTTTTTCCGAAGTCTCCCACCACCTGCTCCTCGACAAGCTGTATCCCGTGTTTGTGTAGCATAATCGTAATGAAGGACATTCTTTAATGTGGTGCACATCGGCTTACATTGTGGGGATGTCAAAAACATTATGGACGCGAGTATTTGCCTGACCTGAGATAGACAGAAACCCCACATGAGAGAAGGTTTTGCTACGATCAGTTGCGGTCTCGTAATGTTGCTGTAAAGTGCATTTCACTTCTAGCACTGTTTCTCTAAGGGCAGGACTCCGTCTTGTCTGACCTTCAATCCGATCAGGGTTCCCTCGGCACTGCCCTTCCAGTCGTGAACTTACGTCCGATGTGACGGATTGCGCTGTCCCGTGCAGATGGATACTCATCGGATCATCAGGAAAGCGTACGTAGGCATCATTCCCTTCCTATTTCTCACCACGGTGCGCACATAACGATTTCGTATCTCGTGCTATTGTACGGCAGATGCATGTGCAGAGGGCCCACAGCTTTCTGCTGCAGTCAAATCAGCATCATACGGCGTCCTAGTAGACCAAAATATCTGCCTTTTCAGAGCAGATAATATCGCGATACAGATTGAGAGCCCCCAACGCTCTGATCTTCTTGGGGTCACACTGAGAGCTTGTCTCGGTGCAGACCCTGACATACATCGACCGATCCAACGTTTCCTTCGCCAGTCTCCAGTTCAAGTCCGACTTGGGGCTGTCTGCCGAGCAGTATGGTCTGGGTGCAGGTAACTCCCTACCCAGCCACTATCTTTTGGTATGCCTTATCCAACGCGCAAGTCAGTCGTCCCAGATCGGCAGGAAGCAACTCACCTGGGATCTTGCTTTCACCTCCTGTCTCCACGACGCAGGTATCTTCTACATTGGGTACGCGGTGTTCCAGATCCCCAGCAACCTGGTCATCACTCGCGTGGGGGCTCCCCTGTGGCTTGGCATGCTCATCTTTGCATGGGGGATCGTGTCAGCCTGCACCTCCACTATGAAGACCAAGGAGCAGTACTACGCTGTCCGCTTCCTCCTCGGTGGGTGTCCCCTTCCCTGAAGCGCCCTTGGGTTTTTGGGAGAATTTTGATGCCTCTACAATCCTGCCAAAGCCTGTGCTTGCACCAGGTGCAACACTGTGAGTTGTTCAGGTAGGCAAGTATCAAGGCCTGCATCATTATGAAGTTGAGGAAGAGTGTTAATGCAGACCATGTCTGTAGCATTAAATTGCCTGCGTGCTGGTGCAGGTGTCTTTGAGGCCGGTTGCTTCCCAGGCTCCTGGTGGCACCTGCAGCTCTTCTTCACAAGCCTGGAGGTTGGCTTTGCCTACGCCGCCGTCGCCTCTTCGACAGCCCTGAGCAACGTGCGGCCCCACCCCCCACACCTGCATCCACACCTCCCTGCAAACTGCACCAGTTCTTTACATGCCCTCAACAGCACCCATTTGCTTGGGAGTGGGGATCCCTTAAAGTTCCACATTGGTGGCTGGTCTTCCGGCTAAATGAGCATCATGTGCTGGTGGGTTCAGGTCATTGGAGCTCCCATAGCAGCGGGCATCCTGTTCATGGATGGAGTGGGCGGCTTGCGGGGATGGCAGTGGCTATTCATCCTGGAAGGCTGCATCACCGCCATCTATGGCATCATTCTCAAGGTACGGACCAATTCCTCACCTGGCCTCAGCATAATTGGATCATTAACTTGCCTACTTGCTCACCATGCCTGTCATGCGTTGACATCAACCTTCAGAGCATACCTTCTGAACCGTTGAGGTCCGACATCGTACGGTCAGTCCTTGTTGAAGCATCTAAAAACATATCAGATTGTTCAAATGATAAATTGTGTCGGGCGCGCAGTTTGTGCTGGCACCCAAGCCGTCGAGCGCGTACTTCCTGAAGCCTTCGGAGCGGACGTGGCTGGCAGCGCGCCAGGACAGGCTGCAGGCCGCCTTCAACAGCAAGCACAGCCGCCAGGGCAACTGGTGGGCCTCCATTCCAGACTGGTGCGCGCCCCCTCAGCCCCCTTTAATGCCCCCTGCACCACAGCGCAGCGTAACCACCGCACAAATGTGTCTGCGCGCAGTTCATGGAGTAAATGACCTAGAAGGCGGCGTGTGCGCATCCTGCATGTGCTGAAAGACTTGGGTCAAGCATGCTTGTTAGCAGGAGCGTGTGGTATTATTGTGAGGCAGAATGCGTTGGTAGAGATGGCCTGTGTCAGCTGGATAAGAGATTTTTGGTGACTTCTGCTGCAGGAAGATCTGGTACCTGTCTGTCTGCTATGCCATTCTGCAGTTTGGCATCACCGCCGTCGTCTACTTCAACCCCTTCATTGTCGGTGAGCGTCTTCCTTCAATCATCCCCACATCACCCGTCCCACCCCGCCAGAATCCTTGCTGTCAGCCATATAAATGTCAATAATTCAATCACATTTGCCCAGCACTTCCACACCCAAAATTTATGACTTCCAGTGCTTGAGAAGGGTCGCCTAATTTTGGTTGTGACATGCACAGAGGCCCTGTTCTTTGGAGGCAACTTCAGCGGCAAGGCACCCAAGCTGCACTTTGCCGACGCGCATGACCAGGCCTGGCACACGGCCAAGATCGCGCTCTTCTCCACCGTCCTGTGGGTGCCTGTCGGCGCTGGCATGATCTTTGTGAGTCCTCCGTCCTCCTTTGCAGGCCTCAGTCACACAATACACGACTAAACGTCCATAAAATTGCGAGGCAGTTCTCTTTTCCTGCTCATGGCGCTCGCTTTGCCTTGTATGTCTTGTAGTGACTTTTGCCTGAATATGTTAGGACAGCTGGGAGTTACTACTTCCTTCCCTGTATTTCTATTGGACTTGTGTGGGACATATGTGGGTTGCACAGCCGAAAGACAGCATTTTGCCGTGCCTTAGCGGCAAGGTGTGTACCGTGATATAATGTTGGTGACGGAATGCAGGTCTCCTGGTCTGCCAAGCACTTTGGCGAGCGCAACTGGCACTCCTCAATCCCCTCCCTCATTGCTGGCATCTGCTTCCTGTGAGTACCACCCCTGTATCATAGTATCATAAGTCCATCGAACTTGCCAGTATGCTTTTACAGATAAGCCAGGCAGGCAAGTTGATACAGTACATGAGATGTTCTTGCATTGTGCCAGGGTTGTATGCACCTTAGCATGTTTGGGGGAGAATCACCCAAGTGGCACCCATATATTAATCTGCAACCTGTTGATGCAGGGTGGTGCCAACGACAATCAAGCACAGCCCTGCTGGAGGCTACGTTCTGATCATCATTGCTGCCACCGGCGTCTGGGCACCCCACGGGCCCATGTGGTCGTGGTAAGGAGACTGCTCCTTGCGCACATGAGCCTGTGCAAGCCCTGACTTATTTTCCTTCTGATTGCATCACTTCATGTCATTAAGGGATAGCGCTGAAGTTTAACTCGTTGTTCCCCAAGGCAATGTCTTGTAGAGCAGCGCTTGTGCTGACATGCAGACCCCTTGAGACAGAGCAAACGCAGCTTCGCATTGTGGTCTCTGCTACTGAGTTGATTTTGTTTGCTGACAGGCCCAAGACCTTCCTGCACGGCCAAGGTGCAGCCGTGGGCATTGCCATTTTCAACAGCGTCGGCGCCATCGGTGAGTCATACAATGTTCTCTTACTGCACAAACACAGCATCAACATCTTACAACCCCAGCTGAAACTGCAGATAGACTGCACAGGTGCATGCCAGAAGCAGTCAGTTGTGATCGCCACTGATCCAGCAACTGATACCAGTTTGCATCGCCAGATCAAACCAATTTCCCTGTGCATGTGTGCTGCCGCGCTTTGACCTGCTAGTGCGTGTGGGGCAGGCGGCTTCTGCGGCCCCTATGTGGTGGGAGCTCTGGTGGACCGCGGCGGCTATGTGAAGTGCATGCAGACCCTTGGCGGCCTCTTCCTCATTCTGGGCGTCGCCATCGCACGTGCGTTCCCTCTCTCCCCTGCTTTCCACCATTATCATCACATCTCCCCTTTGCCCTACAGGGTGTTCGCGCCCTAAAGCATCCTGTACGCTGTGCTTCCCACCATTGCAGTCATTGTCTCCCTTGTTGCGCTCACTCTCTATCTCAGCCTTGGAATGCATTGTGGTGCATATGAACAGCGGGGGAAAGTGCTGCTCGATGGGTGTGCAAGGAAGCGTGCAAGGCCATGTGCCTGTTTGACAAGGAACAATCAAGTTGTTGTAGTGGACGAAGCGCTCGTGTTCAAGTTGGTTTGTTGTGCTGCAGTGTACCGGCCAAAGGATCTGGAGTCTGAGAACGTGGCTGGAGACGGCGTCAGCCGTGAGCCCGATGCTCCGCGGCCGGACAGCGTCGAGCTGGCCAAGGCAGACAACGAGTCCCAGGCCAAGACTGTCTAAGGTGCCGCCCCTCCAGGAACAAATCACCCCACAGCTACAAATTCCATGGACTGCTCTGTCAGCTAGTCTGGTGCCTGTTCCTTGGCAATCTGGAGATGTTGTGGCATGGAGTGTGGCAGCACCAAAATCAGGATGCAAGAAGATAAGGTGAAAGTTAGTTTGGCAAGAGTGAGGGGTTTCAGATAGGTTATCTTACATGCTTGGTGTGCTCTTGGTGTGCTGAGATGGCAAGGGGCTGTATTGAGCCTCTTCTCTGGCCATCGTTGAGTTTGCTCGCCTTGGGGCCGTCCAATGTGACATGTTGCCTACTGCTGGACATTGACAAAGTTGGCGACGTCGTTTGATAGCACAGGATGCGGAATTGCTGCGTCCTGTCATTCAAGGCTCTTCTTTTCTCCCATTGCTGGGTATTGACACAGTGGGACACAAATTTTGAAGGACACAAGACGCGGACTTTCTGTATGCCGTGGATTTGCATGACAGAGTGATTGCTGCATTACACCGGTGGTACCATTTTGTCCCATGGTACTTTCTGCCACTGCTGAGTATTGACAGAGTGCATTTGTTGGTTTGTTGAGCGCGCATCAAATTGGGGATCTGATTTGGCTCCCCTGTCCGTTCCTTTTGCCGCTTTGAATTGAAAAAATATAGAAAACAAGCAGTCTTTTGTTGGCAGCTCTCTACGTGCCAAATTTGGTGTTACTGGCACAGGGGTGCTGAAACAAGTTGATGCCCATGGGCAATTTTGATCGTGGATCTGCAGCAGGATTTTGACAGAGTGAAGCATGAAGAAGGTCCTGTTGTTGGGACTGGGAAGTGCCTTTAAAAGTACTGGAAGTACTGGATTAGCCAGGCATGCTTGGCTTTCATCGTGTTTGTTTAGTGCAACATCAAGGTCAAGGGAGGTGTACTAGGTCTGTAAGCTGCGGGACTTGTCACATGCACTATCATCACTGACGGGCAACTTGCTCAGTTGTGCACAATGCCTCTGCAGCAGATGCGCTCAATCTTTCACAAGAAATTTATAATGCTAATCAGTGCCTCCAGAGGTCCACTATCATAACGATATCAGCACATCTTCATGCAACTGCACGCCTTGCTTTGGTCTCGAACCGAAATTGATGCCTTTGCGCAAAGAGCAATGCTCTTAGAGCATGCATGCATGCAAGAGAACATCTTTGCACGCCTTTGCTCTACCGCGCTGTATGCTCGGAGACAAGACAAAGCTGTTGAGGACAAGTGCAGAGTATGGGACAGAACAGGTTTCAGTCATGCCCTCGACATGCATGTGAAGCTGACATGCATGTGAAGCTTCCACCTTGAGTCCGATGGGGATTTGTAAGCACGTCATCGAAGCCGACACCAGATCAGGTAGATCTGGATCGGCTCCCATTGCAGTGTGATGAACTGAAGGCTGGCAGTCGTAGCTCCTTTCAAACACTTGCTGCACATCCGGTGCCACACGATTATTGATGAAAGTTCGCAGGTGCAGCGAATAACACCTCCCCGCCATCGCACCCCGGCACAAGCTAAGAATTGACCGATGGGCGAAAACGTATGCGGCGATGTGGCTGTTGATATGCCTGATCAGGTAAGAATTATCGTGCACTGCAGAGTGTGGCACACCCTGGATGATTCTGCGAGCGCTGACCGTGAGCTTTGCAAATTGCTGTTGGTCTGAACAGCGAAGAACGTGTGTGGAGGCATTTTGTGTCTCTCCATGCATAGATTGGACACCATTGCTATAACTTCACGCTGTACAGTAACTATCAATTCTGAAGAGCCGAAAAACACGGAAAGGTGTCGTTCTAGGTTTTGCGCCACAGATTGTACCTTGTACTCTGTCTGAAGCGAAGTTTTCATTTCGATAAACTATTCATTCAAATATTCGAAGGTCTGCCGATGTATCAGGGGTCACAGGTACCGTTTGTGCAGGTGCCTGCCGATGTGGATGGCAACCGTGTAATCAGGAAAGCTTACTGGGGAATTGTGCCTTTCCTGTTCCTCACAACGGTGCGATGTTGTCTCATTGAATAATTTTGGAGAGGCCGCTGTAGGAAAAGAGTGCTGCATTTCAGATCGTACTGTACTATTGTGCTGGCATAAAAAGTTCTGCTTCTGCCCTGTCTGTTATAGCGCATTGCTTGCCTTGAAGAAAAGCGGAGACGTAAGTGCCCACTGTCAAAGAGGAAGCATACTGAAGGAGCTCTTCTGGCGCAGACTCTGACTTACATTGACCGCTCCAATGTCTCCTTTGCCAGTCTGCAATTCATACCGGATCTTGGGCTGTCTGCCGAGCAGTATGGATTGGGCGCAGGTGCAAATCTCACCACTCTTCAGATGGTCTCTGATCCCTTGAAACTCGACTCTGATCATGCACTTGCTCGACCCAATAGCCAATATCGGCGCTTGCAACTCCTTTGAAGCGCATGATCCAGGGCTCCAAATTGGGTCCAGATCTGAAATTATGTGACCTGTTCCTCATGGCTCAGGTATCTTCTACATTGGGTACGCGGTGTTCCAGATCCCCAGCAACTTGGTCATCACTCGCGTGGGGGCTCCTCTGTGGCTGGGCATCCTGATATTTGGATGGGGGGTTGTGTCAGCCTGCACCTCTGCCATGAGGACTGCAACCCATTACTATGCTGTCCGCTTCCTCCTTGGTGGGTCCCTTTGTGTATAGCCACTTTCAAAAGACAGCTGCTTCTCCAAGAACCTCTCCATATCTACCTTGGTAATTGCAGATGCATGCTCTGCTGACGCCGAGAATTTGTGCACATCTTGAGACATGCAGAGCTCTGCACTGCTGACACCTTCCCAGGACCTGTCTAGAAAACTCAGGAGGGTGGCAAATTATCGCCTTCTTGTCCATGGCTAACTGTGCAAGGCTTGCAGGTGTGTTTGAGTCCGGAGTCTTCCCGGGCTCCTGGTGGCACCTGCAGCTGTACTTCACCAGTCTGGAGGTCGGCTTTGCCTACGCCGCTGTGTCATCTTCCACCGCGCTCAGTAATGTGCGCCTGAAATAACAATTCCCCCTCTCTGTGGCAGACCTTTTCAGCACTTTGCCACTGAGCTGCAGGGAACCACATGCGGTGTAGTAGTGTTGGCCCTCTTGTGTGCCCAGTCATCTGCGAGGTGGGGTGCATTCAAGCTCCCTGGCTGCTTTTACAGGTCATTGGTGCTCCCTTAGCGGCGGGCATTCTGTACATGGATGGAGTGGGCGGCTTGCGGGGATGGCAGTGGCTGTTCATCCTGGAAGGCTGCATCACCGCCATCTATGGCATCATCCTCAAGGTACGGCCCTTGACTCCATTTTCTGACACCCTCCCAGCTGTGCAAGGCTGCCCTCTTGCTTGTTATCATTATGTTGCCCTAGGAGGGATCCATTATTTGATGGTGCTTCTCAAGAAGGTGATGTGCAGGCGCTGTATCTTCACTTCATCCCCATTTCGCGCAAGCCTGGGCATTCATCAGGCTCTGCATGATAAACTCCGCAGATGCAGGGGTTCCACTCTCTCTCTGCAGGATCAGTACACGCTGTTCCTGCCGGGGCTAAGTGCATCTGCAGACAAGCTGCATGTATTGGGTGATGGCTAGTATACTACGTTAGTGAAGTCACAGATGGTGCGCGCAGTTTGTGCTGGCACCCAAGCCGTCGAGCGCGTACTTCTTGAAGCCTGCGGAGCGGACGTGGCTGGCAGCGCGCCAGGACAGGCTGCAGGCCGCCTTCAACAGCAAGCACAGCCGCCAGGGCAACTGGTGGGCTGCCATCCCCGACTGGTGCGCGGCCCTTATTGTTTTCATAATTATTACATGTTTTCCAGTCCTTGAAGACTAGGTACGTCAAGCAGCACCCGAATGATTGCTCTCCAGTCTTCTCGATTCTTGCACTTTCTTCACCAGTCGTATACATGCCCGATAGTATCACCCTTCTAGCCCTCCTGTAAAGCCCCGCACCGCAGCGCAGCACACATCTTCACGCTTGAAGGTATTGCTGCTGAGAGTGTCTCTCAAGTTCCGGGCCGCTGTCCCCAAATGATGCCCCCTCAGCCCTCACTTCATCCGCTACATGCAGTGCAGTTGCCTTGCAGATTTTGCTGCCCTGCGCATGCCACAGGCTTTTAATTGTCAGGACGTGTGTTTTGTGAGTGCATAATCTAGGATACGGAGAATGGCCTGCATGCGAGGAGTGGCTCTGCTATTTCTATGGGAAATCTCGGTGCGGGATAGAGGTGGGTTCTGTATGACCTGGCGGTTGCCTGTGGTGCAGGAAGATCTGGTACCTGTCAGTCTGCTATGCCATTGTTCAGTTTGGCATCACCGCTGTCGTTTACTTCAACCCTTTCATTGTCGGTGAGGCTCCTACTCCTGTTCACTGATCTGGCATTCCATGCAGACCTGCGCTTAAAGGCTCTCCTGCTATTGCCCTTCTGCTGTTGCTCTCTTCTGCCCAACAATGTGATATTACCCTAAATGGCTGGGAACAACAAACCCCAGCTTGATGCGCGAGGATCAAATTTTTCATTATATGTATGTAACATGCGCAGAGGCCCTCTTCTTTGGAGGCAATTTCAGCGGCAAGGCAATAAAGATTCAGTTTGCAGACCAGCACGATCGGGCTTGGCACACGGCCAAGATCGCGCTCTTCTCCACCGTTCTGTGGGTGCCTGTTGGCCTCGGCATGATTGCTGTGAGTCCACCCTTCTTTCCCCATCAATTTGTCATGCAAGTGGATATTATCCTGCACCGGATTGCTGTATAATCTGAGGTCAGAATTGGTGCCTTTTGTTGCACCTTTGCGTCTGCACAGATGCACAACATAGTCCAGTAGCTGAAGGGCTGAGAGTTCTGAAGTATTACCCGTGATGTGTTAAGGCCTTTGCAAGGCAAGATGGCTCTCACATCATGCTGAGTATATGTGTTTGGTGGGTAACTGCAGGTCTCCTGGTCTGCCAAGCATTACAGGGAGCGCAACTGGCACTCTTCCATTCCGGCCCTTATTGCGGGTGTCTGTTTTCTGTGAGTGTTCCCGCCGCCTCTTGCCAACTCGGACAAACAAGACATATCTGCATTTCCATGTTCTGCATACACACGGAATTGGCAATCTGGTGCATGAGGCTGTCTCTTCCCAAATCCAGTGTAGCAGCCTGCAGCAGGTCTGCTGACGTTCTGTTGCTGCTTTGAACACCCGTCATGCATGCTGCGCAAGGTAAAGGGGCGGAGGTGAAATTAATTTTTCCTTTAATCGGCCTCAAATGTGTGCATGTAGGGTGGTGCCTCCCACAATCAAGGCCAGCCCGGCGGCAGGCTACGTTCTGATCATCATTGCTGCCACCGGTGTCTGGGCGCCCCACGGGCCCATGTGGTCGTGGTGAGTGCATTCCCCTTTAACTGCACGCAAGTGTGGTCCCAGCACAAACAAGTATTCCTTGTATAGATTGCAAGCATATCATTCATCAGTGGCTGTCACAGATTACTGAGCCTCAGGCGGAGCCCCAGTGCATGTGCCTTTTGAGGTGGCAAAGGTCTGCACCATGCTTTGATCTGACTGGCTCAATTCTGCCTAGTAATTTGGAGGTTGCATGCTCTTTACTCAGGCTTGACGCTATCGCATGCTTTTTCCTGCAGGCCCAAGACGTTCCTGCACGGCCAAGGCGCAGCCGTGGGCATTGCCATCTTCAACGGCGTCGGCGCCATCGGTGAGTCAGCAACCCAGCAATCATCAAAATCACACACCGACTGAGGTTATTTCGCATTTGTACAGGTGTATTGCTGCCTTGAACCACAGCAAAAGCAGAGCTCATGCATTTTTCTCCAGCACTAGATGCCCCTTGCAGAGTGCATCCAGTAGGCCAATTTTTTTCAAAGCAAGCAGAGTGGTCTATTGATCTGTGTTCCTAAGCGGCACCGGTTCTGTGCTGCAGGCGGTTTCTGCGGCCCCTATGTTGTGGGTGCTCTGGTCGACCGCGGAGGTTACGTCAAGTGCATGCAAGTGCTTGGATGTCTGTTCCTAGTTCTGGGCATCGCCATCGCACGTGAGTTCCCTCTCTGCCCTCTCCCCAATCTTACACTCCTCAAAACATCATGTATTAGTGGCATGCGCAATTCCCTGGTCACAGGATGCAGCTGCCTGATAGACCGTGCCAAAAAATGGCATGAGAATGCATGGGTCACAGGCAGAGAAGCTCGTACAGTTATTGTGCAATGTGTCTTCCAGCAATGTGACCTCAGTTTGAGATTTGTTGGGTGTTGCAGTGTATCGGCCAAAGGATTTGGAGTCTGAACATGTGGTGGAGGAGGGCAGTAAGGAAGAGGTTGATTGCGATGCCGCAAGCCCTCGCAGCATCGAGCTGACTAATTCCAACGAGTCCCAGGTCAAGACTGTGTGACTGTGTTTTGCCTAGCTATAGCATCCCCACCACGACCGGCTTCTTTGTCTAATTTAGCCAGTCAATGTTGGCTTGCTTTGACCACGTCCACAAACCATGCTACAGGTTGATCTGGGTGCAGCCCTGTTGTTTGGCAGGCAAAGTGAAGTATTTTTGACAAAACCAAGTCCAAGAGAAGAAATTTTGACAGGCCCCAAAAAGATGCAGATGATAGATGTACAGTGGGCTTGGAATTAGTTTTAGAACTTTGGTCTTCGGGCATACAATGAGCCACGTCGTGGACCCAGACCGCATCAATGTAACGATTGCTCTTTCTCGCCAAGTTGCAAGAGTTTCAGTGTGCAGAAATAATGCTTGCATTGGCACATGTATCAGTGGATAGCGTTGGTTTCTCAATTATCTCTAGAGCCACAGAACACACTCAAACATGATAAGAGTAGATCAGCACAGTACAATACCATCTGAATGAAAACTCTAATATATACCTCACTTGTTCTACATCGATGGATATCCTTATGGTCCTCGGATAAAGCCTCCATGTCGCACTGCAGTCCATCAATACAAACTCCATACATACTGCACATACTGCCAAGTCACCTCTCAGTTCCCATGCCTTTACATGGCTGCATACAAAAGCTCATGCTTGACACACCAGCCTTGTGTTGAGACCCCAGATGACATCAGCATCCAGTCAGACGACCCAGACAATGTCTGCCAGAAAGTTGGCGGCTATGTCATGCCCAGCACTTCATTGTCTGCAGCATCTTACACACACAAGATAGCAGGGAATTTTAAGCCAGAGTACAGTATTCAATTTGGGCCCCCCTAACGCGGACAATGACAGGTAAAACACATTATTATACTGTACAGTGCAGCCGCGCTATGCAGCCAAGCCGTGCAGAGACACGACATCGTCGAGGGCGAGTTGCGCAGCCTGCAGCGGCTCTGAGGGGACGTCTGCGTCGTGCGGGTGCAGCGGCGGTCGCTTGAGCAGCGCCTGGAACGTCTCGCAGACGCCCTCCGACAGGCCCTGCATGCTGTAGCCGCCCTCCAGCAACACCACCAGTCTCCCACCTGCACAAAGTGTAAAAATGCAATCATGTGACTCACGCATGCCACCAGCAAATTTGCTGAGGCGTTTGTAGCACGAAAGAATTGCAGCATGTCATGGGGAAGCCAGGAAAGGTGGTAAGTTGCGTGTTTCACAGGGCAGACAGTGAGATGAGGTAGAGTTGCAGGTGGTGCCTCGCAGCAATCTGGCCAGCGCTGCGCAGCAAGCTGCTTGCAGGCACGTATTGACAAACAATTTGTCCAAGTGGGCCGTTGCACGCACCACAGAGCTCGTCGGCCAAGTCTCGGATACCAGACACCAGCTTGTGATAGGTGGCCGACTGGAAGTTCAGCTGCTCCAGTGGATCTCTCCAGTGAGCATCGAAGCCTGCACTGATCTGCATGTGCAAACAAAGCCGTTGGCTAAAGGCACCAAATGTCTGACCCATACCCATACTTTGTTAAAATGAGGTGTGAATCTTCGCTCACACGATCTGACAAGCTTTGACAGACGTGATGTGTGCTTGTCTACACAAAGCCATGTCTTCCCAATACGCACTACACACCAACTGCGCATACTGAGGATTGTACCAGAATGATGTCGGGAGCAAAGCGGCGAGCGGCAGGGGCAATGATGCGTTTGAGGCAGTTGCCAGCCACCTCGTCACCAGATGCAACTGTGCACACAACTAGTTCAGCCTCTAAATAGCCTCCAGCAGATGGTGCAGGTGTGTGACAGGCTTGAATTTGTCGGGGTTGATCAACTCCCTTCATGCATTGGGATTCTGAACTTACTTGGGAGGGGCACGTTGATGGTACCTTTCTGGCCCGCGCCCTTGCCTGTCTCATCAACCTGAGGGCACATCATAGTCAACAACCTGCCTTATTTTTACACAGGCAATATGTTTAGCTGACAGCACATCACCTTCGAGCGTGTCCAGACAAACGGAGGACATGTATCTGACAAGGGAGAAGAGCCGTTGCTCACCTGGCCGCTGCCAGGCCAGACATCCAGCTGGTGGACATCAATGAAGAGCACAGATGGGTCCTCATAGAAGATGTCTTGAGTGCCATTCCCGTGGTGCACATCAAAGTCCACAATTAATACCTGCAAGGATCAGCAGAAACAGAATGTCCACAGTGTTTTCACAACACATGCAGGCACCACAGAGGGTTGCATGCCGGCAAGACTGCTCTTACTCAGTAGTACTGTGAGACCAACCGTCGCACCTTCTTCAACCCACACCGCTCCTGCGCGTGGCGGGCCGCTATGGCCACGTTATTGAAGAGGCAGAAGCCAATGGGCGCATCAGTGGTTGCATGGTGCCCAGGCGGCCTGATCAGGCCGAAGCCCTTCGTCCCCTTGCCATCTTTGCCTGCAGCTGCCACTTGATCCACCAATGTAACAGCAATCCCAATGCCCTGCAGACATCACATTAAACTCCTCATGATGCTTTCCAGCTGACCGCACAGTTCATGACCCGCTGATCAAATTCAGCACCATTACCTTGAGGGCATCCTCATAAGATGTCTTGGTCATGTATGTGACGTTATCTGCTGGCTCCTCAAAGTCAGCCACAACGCAGGGAGCCTCTTCAAGCGCCTTCTGCCGCATTTTGGTGATGTGCTCGGTTGTATGGACCAATTCCAAATCCGTCTCACTCGCTGGATTGATGCCCTGCAGCTCCACGATCTGCAGCAAGAGCTTTCACGGGAATGTTGCACTACAACGATCATGACGAGCTTCAATGATGAAAGCATTCAAACGACACCAGATCCAAAGTAATTTACTTGACAAAAGTTGCAGAAAACTTTCCAGACCTCATGGGAATGCTTGGCTGGTGTGAGACCGTGTGATGCAAGAGCATCCAGGATGGACGTCATTCTTTTCCCACATTCATAGTGTCCCTCCCAGTCATGTCCCCTTGACGCAGAAACGGCGTATACAAGTAAGGGATCACCACTGTGATGGACGCCAGTCCCATTGGCAGGGCTTTGATCAATAATGCCGGTCATGAGGTCAATTTAAAATGTTGGACGTCTGAAAGTTGCAGATAGTATGTATATCAATCTGGAATAGTGCCCAAGACCACGTTATAGGCTTTCGTTGTGTTTTTCAGGTAATGCTTATTTCAACAGATCAAGGATCGCAGCGTTGTCTGTGCCCCTTTCATCTCCAAGGTAATTCTTACTGTACTGATTTCAAATAAGTACAGTGTGTCTGATGTATACTCACAATTGCTAAGTTGCAATCCGAAGTGTGAAGAGGTCTGCCGAGAAACCCTTATGGAGGCTTTACTGCATTACCTCAACCCATAATACGTGCATGCAACTCACGTGATTTAATTTCACTAAAAAGACCGCACCTAAATTTCAAGCACAAAGCTCTTACAGGGACACTTCATTTCACAGGCAGCAGTCCACAAACATAATGTCACGACACGCCCGGGCCAGCATGGCCACCGGCATACGGCCACTGACACATGGCATATCACACTATGGCATGTGCCACAGAGGCCATCCAAATGATCCCTATTTTATGACAGATGTGTCAATAAGCAAGCACCAAACCAGGGCAAGTGACAGCCAGCATGCGCAAGCTGATAGTGTGCTATGTTGACGAGCTGATCTCCCGCCTGCGCTCAATATTGCGCAGCAGCAGAGGGCTGCCGCCCTCGCACGCAAAGCTCTGCGTGACCGGGGCGATGACTTCCACCTCAGGCTCGGGGAACACCGGCTTGTTGTCCTCGTCAGCAAACACCTGGTTTGGGTTCTCAGGGTCCCAGCCCAGCCTGCAATCGAAGGCACACGACGCATAAAAAGACGCATAAAAAGACCGTCTCAATCACTGGGTTGTCCCTGGGAATAGATCACTTCTGCCAAGCATAAAGCCTGAGCTCGCTTTTGCAGGATCCACAAACTAGCATCATTGACCTGCATGGTGTGAAGGCAAGAACAGCTGCACAGCTGTTGGCGAAAGTGCAGAGAAAGAGAATTGCAGGCATCAAGGCAGAGAGAGCGCTACAGATGAAAGAGAGAGCGCACTTGAAGCCGTTGATGACATATACGGCGGCCTGGCCGGCCTGCGCCTTGGCCTGGGAGTCAAAGGAGAATGGGCCCAGCAGCGTGGAGAAGGCGGCGCGCGTCAGACGTCTGCTCTTGAACGGGCCCGCCATGAAGGACTTCCGGTCCTTCAGCCTCCCAGGCGTTATCACTGCGTACAAACCATGCCCACTTATGGCTCGCTTGCATGCGACTTGGACGGATGCACAGACCTCTCAATATAAATCACTCCATCCTGGCCGTGCCATGCCGAGTCAGAACCCTTCTGGCCAGCCACATGGAGGCTGACAGCGCTCGCTCTACTACAGCAAACGGATGCACAGGACTTTCAATCCAAAAGGTTTGCAGTCCCTCCTTCCAGGCGATTGCATCTGCAATGTACAGGTGTTCAGGCAAGAGGCGACAAAGCCGAGGCATTACTCTCAGCCATGAAGTTTGCATTTGGCAGCGCCGTGAAGATGAAGTGGGAGTCCGGCACAAGGTTGCCCTTTTTGTCGACCAACCCAGTGTGACTCAGCTCCTCCTCTGCAGCAAGCATTCTGCTTTCAACAACTGTTAACATGCCAAGCTTTGACATCAGCAAGTGTCACAAATCCCACAACAGGTTTACTCCGGTTCGCCACGAAATATTTGGGTCTAGCAGCGCAGCGATACCTGTGAAGGAGTTCCTGAGACTCTGTAGCTGCCCTAGGTCCTCCTCTGGGGGCGGCTCCTGCGTTATGAGGAGCGGCTTTCCAGGCACCTGCACAGAACAGCCCATAGCTTGAAACTTCATCAAATCCATAGCAGTGTGTGCCTTAGCAGCTGCAGAAGAACAGCGGGCATCCTGTTGTGACAACCCTGCCAGAGGCCAGTTTGCAGGTATGAAGGTCTGCACAGCGCAAAGTTTACGTTCTCACCTGCCGCATGCCGAGGGAGATGCGGTTGATGAAGTCGTCTCGCAGAGCTCGCAGCGGCAGCGGCCGCACCGGCTGCGCCATGAATGTCAGCTCCAGCTTGTGCGCATTGTCCAGCAGGTCCTCGTAGAAGTCCTGCCTGAAGATGACGTCATCCCTCGGCAGCCCTGCATGCGCGTCAAGCACACCATGAGAAGCACTTCATAGATTGCTTTCACGCCAGAAATGGCAGAAATGGCTTTTGGTTGGTCCTGTGATCAAGGCACCTGCAGAAGAGAATGTGCACATGGAAGCCACATGCCCGGCTCAGCCAGCTGAAATGCAACCGAGTCAGATCCGAGCATATGGACGGATTAACAATGGGAGGAACAAGCGTGATGCCACGGTGCTTGAGCTGGTTGATACCCGGGCAAATGCGCTGGCAAATGCAGGAGAGTGTGTGCACATGCAAGCCACATCGGTGAGCTCAGCCTTTGTGGTCAGTTCAGCCCTCATAGATGCCATTTTGACGGCATCTGAGTCAGGTCAAACAAGTTGGAAGGGTTGAGAGCTGTGAGAAAGGATAAGAGGTAGATCTCACCGCCCCACTTGCCCTTAAGCAGCTTGCAGGCCTCGTCTGCCCGCGCATAGATCCCGAAGGCAAAGTCACGGCGGCCGCCGAATAGGTAGCCAACGATGGGGTGTGGGCTGAAGTGGCTCCCCCTTGCTAAAAGATCCTGGAGAGCCACCACAAATTGTGTTAGTTGCACCGAAATCCGTAAAAGCAAACATTAAATAGGCCTGCGATATGGAAAGCATGACGTGGGTTATCCTACACTCCAGAGAATGCACGTAACGGTTCAAATATCGCCTTCAAAACTCTGGAGTGATGAATATGACGTAAAAGGTAGATCATTGGGTGCTGGCACAGGCATTCTGTCGAGCAAAGGGCACAGCTGCGCTGCGCAGCCTACCAGGGGAAGCGCAGCTTGTTCCTCAGGGCGCAGCTGCATTTTGTAGGCTCCCGGCCGCAGCTTCTCGCCAGGAATGCTGTCATTCACCTCTCCCCTTGGCCGGTCGCGGATCTGCGGCTCCCGCCCTCCTACCTCCTCTATCTGCTGCTCCCTCACAATGTCCTTTCCCAGCTTGTAAAGATTTGTCTGCAGAAGCAAAGGACCTGGTCTTCAATGTTGTAAAGAGAGTGCATGGCTGCGAGTACCTATGGAAGCATTGACGAAGCTGCATGCTTCGCATGCATTGCTGATTGTCAGGTTGCCAATAGGATCTTGGGTGGAAGGCTTACTCGTTTCCCATCAACCCTGACACGCTTCTTCTTCAGTTTTTCCAAGAGGAGCACAGCTGTTAGCTTCTTCTTCTCTTCTGGACTCATCTTCGCTAGCCGCTCTGCTGCCTCGTCCCTACAGCAGGCACAACATCTTCAGAGCAAAGTAACAAGAGTTGAGCCTCATGAACATCCTAGCAGGGTTCATGCTTTGCTCTACAGTTGCCATCTTGAGAACCTGAGCTGACCTTGGTGCCTCAGGTGTTTCACTTGCTATAGCCTTCGGCCTGCGCTTCTTTTTTGGGGCATCCGAGGTGGCAGCAGCGGCTGCAAATGGTGCCGTGGGCCTAGACGCAGCAAACAAAATGTCACAAGCAAATTGACAAGGTGAAGACACCCCCACATGGACTCATCAACAGCTCCACAGGTGTCAAGAAACGAACACTTATCCAAGACAGTTCAGGACATGATCGAGGCGCTCACCTTAGCAAAAATTGGGCCCTTTCTGCAATGTCATTTGATCCCAAAGATGCTGATATCGATGCTCTATGCAGAATCTGCTGGAAAAACAGCTGCAAATGATTGGTTTCCGCTTGCTGTCGACCAGCCATCTGACAACAGAAATGTCAAAAAAATGGGTAAATATGTTCCTGGTTGTACTCGATCGGCCCAGAATGCTCTTGATGCCCAATACAAATTGAGTTTTTGCTGAACCAATTAGGCTGCTCGTCAGCTGTCCCTCAAGGGTGTGCACAATCGTTCAGAGGTATGCTGACTCGAATAAAGTTTTTACCAAATCTTCAAGTTTTTACAATCTCTCTCAGGGTTATCAGTCTTCCCAAACGATAGGCTATAGCGATAAACACAGCGGGCCCCCCGATTGGGGGCGCCGATAGGTTCCCCCGTTTATTATGAAGCGCCGCAATCGCCCGTGGAGGACTGGGCTTGGCGGCTGCTTACTGCTGTTCTCTTTTATTCCAATCTCGGCTCCCTTCCGAAAGCTCGTCAAGATGCGCGCCAAGGTAGGATGAACCACTGCTCTCTCCATACCACAGGATCACCAAGGCTGTATTCTCTAGTTGTGCTCTGTCTAGGCTCCAGATTGTGATGACAGAAACAGGGCTCTATCCCTTTGCATGAAGCATGTCTTCCTCGGATCAACTCGGATAGTGTATTGTCACAAATGCGCTCATGTAGTATTGCCAGGAGGAGAGCTGTACAGCTGTGATTGCAACTTGTCTTGTGCCCTGCATCAGAGCACTTGTCTTGGGGATTTGCCCATGCTAAGTTTCTGCCGTAGCCTGTGGTGATTGACGATCGGAATTGATGTGCTCTGTCTGTGGAGAACCGCGGGGTCGGAGGCCCTCGATTTGGTGTTTTAGCTAGGTGCGAACACTGGTCTGATTCTCACTTATTTGTGTCTTGCAGTGGAAGAAAAAGCGTATGCGCCGGCTAAAGAGGAAACGTCGACGCCAGCGCTCAAAGTAGACTCTCGGCCCAAGGTGCTGATGGGTGGGCGGATTGGTGGAGGAGGAGCAATGAACAGGATGGGAGGTTGATGTGTCCTGTGAGTGGGAGAGTGAAGAGAGGATGATGCACAATAATGTGTACACTATGTGACTCCTGGATCTCAGATGCTGTAAACCAGATAGACATCAGGCCAAGTGTAGTCCTCGACTGACTTGCACCCGCCCCTGAGGCACTGTACATCCACAAGCGCCGCTAGCGCCAATGCATATGGCTGCTGTACCAATTTGGGCCATAACACGACAATTCCACAGTATTGAACGACCCTCAGAATCAACTGTGCTCACCCATGCAACAGTGTCAGCAGCAGGAGATGTCAAATTGCACCATGGTGGCGGCCTTACAAAGCTCCAACATCATGTTAGGTTAACATTGAATGATAGTGTCAGTACAGAGTTAATCCTTCAATATTAGTCTTTCCAGCATATGCAGGGCAGCCTGGCACAGACATGCTCTTTCCAGTCTCCAATATCAGTCATCAAGCCGTACCAGCAGGCAAATTTTGCACCTCCTGAACGCTGAATGCACTTCACAAGTACCGAGTGACACACCAAAGGATTCATCATGTCAAACCTTGATGAGATGTAAGATTGACCAGACGAGTCTAGGGAAGTCAAAGTCTCCATAAGCATATCAAGGGAATAATTTCATGCACATCTCGGCCCCACAGGTTGTTCCATAGGCTGCCAATTGTGGGCTAACCCAGGTGAAGCACTTCCACAGACTCACCATGGTGTCCTGCCCTTTTCCACTGAATCCAAAAAGCAGTTCTCTCGATCTCGATTCTTGCAAAACAGAAACATATAAACCCACCCCAGGGGGCGGCCTGACAAACGTACTCCTGAGCGCTCTGCTACAGCCTTCATTGATTCTTCCTCAGGTGTGCAACAGGCCGCCACCCAGAGCTGGTCAGCTATCAATCGCAGCCAACATCAAGCTTGATGTTGTCGGCAATGCGCTTCACATCTGAGATGATCTTGTCCTGCAGGTCGTCTCCATGGCCCGACGCAATGGTGAGGATGTCTTCCAGGACATCCATGTGGCCCAGGATGTCCACATGATCTGCAGATCGAGGCCCTCCCCTGCACACATTGAGCACAGCCCATTGGATTTCAGCGATACTGTACATTTAAGCAGCTGGGGAATCTGTCCCCACATATCCGTGTCGTGAGCATATTCTTCCATTGACCGATGGAGACGCCAGCAGCGAAATCATCGCTGGTAAGGGCCGCAGAAAGGCAAATACAACAACCAGACATGGAGCATCATGGTGTCAAAAACGGTGTATTCATTGCTGGGAGCATGGCAAAGGGGCTGAAGGGCGCTTGCTCATGCCATGCAACAGGTCAATGGGGTCGCACCGGAGGTCCTTGTAGGCGGCGACGGGTTCGTGGAGGTACTCGCGCGAAACGACGCGGATGCCGGCCGGGTTGAGCTGCTTTTCACGCCAGTGCTTGTGGCACATGACGCCGGTGCTGATGAGTGGCACAGTGCCGTCGCCGTCGCTCGTGCGCACTCCGTAGCTTATTGTCCCGCCATGGCGCTCCCCGCTGGCGTCCTTATCCATCTTCCAGCGCACCTCGTACTGCTGGTGCGTCTCGCTCTCCTCCTCTGACTTCCTCATCGCCTGCGCGGGGAGGGTAAAATTTTTTCATGATGGCTGCAGGTGCTGTGATGTCACAGGGACAGGTCCACGAGAAAGGTGGGAGTTGCGAGACAATGGGAGAATTATGACACAGGCTGATAAAAATCCCCCCCACAAGATCAACCCTGAAAGTCTTTGTGCATCATGCACCCACAAGCTCCCTGTTCAACAAGTACAATCGCGTGCTGCAGGAGCGCCTGTGGCTTGCAGATGACAGCAAGCACTGGAAACGACAAGGCACAAAGGGTTAGATGGCAAGGACAACTACATGCCACAGGAGCACCCGTGGCTGGCAGCAACAAGTTGGCAAGAGTGCAAGGGGCTGGATTGCAGGAACGAAAGAGTTGCTTTGAATGGGAAGCGGGGTGTTGCTGACCTTGTCAGACTCGAGGTTGAGGTAGTAGTAGGAGCGTTCAGTGGGCAGGCCGACACCGTACAGGCAGTAGATCTGCATGGAGGGCGCCTTGGGCAGTGGGCACTTGAGTGGGTTGTAGTAGTACTCCTCTGGGGATCCCTTTGATGCCTTGCAGCTGCGAGCGGATATCATTCCTTTCATAAAGTATTCAGTTACGCAAGAATGGTCATACCCCAGAAAAAAACAAAAGTGTTGAGCAAAAAGAATCGGAATTTTAGGCATGTTGACCACGCTGAGGTGTCATGAAAGGTATGGTCAAGCATGCATGCTGGAGTCCCACCTGCGTTCATCCGCATGCACAGCTCCCCACTTGACAACATGGTCGTGGAAGAGCGGGCCCCCGTTTTTCAGCAGAATCTTGACTGCCGAATCCACGTCGTGCTTCTTGACCACCTGCAGGACACCAGCAGCCACCACCTTTCTTGTCAGTACGGGCCACAGCACATGGGCAGGACACGTGGAACTGGACCAAGGTGAAAATGCACAAGCCATAAGAACCACACCAGGCGACAATACACAGGGGAAGAGCGAGGTGTGAGAGAAAAGCACCATCTCGATCTCTGTCTTGTTGCCCCGGTCAAAGATGCTGGAGACCCAGCCGTGCACAGTCTCTGCAAAGGACTTGTGCTCGTCCAACTTGTCATCTTCCTCGTCCGCCTGTTCAGGAATGAGAGTCTCTGTGATGAGCGGCCTGCACCACACCACACCACCAATCTGATCCCCTCTGATGACCTAAACACATCTTGCTCTACAGCAATGTGCACAGAGGTCCATGCTTCAGCGCCGTACAAAAAACACTGACATAGATATCAGCACTTCCCTCTGGCTGCCACCCTTCACAGCATGCAACAAATGCTTGGACTTTGATACTATTATAGTATATATGTAAGTATATATAAGTAAATATGTAAGTTTGACTCCAAATTAGTCGTAGATATCGAAAAAAACTGCCCACCCGAAGGAGACATTTTGCTTAGTCATCTCGAGTGTGTCATCTGGGGCCCAGGTGGTGTTGCCCCAGATATCTGGGCCACCGACAGGGAGCATGCCCATGGCAGACCCCCACGTCCTGAACAGCTTCACACGCTCGTTCCGCGGAACCAGATTGTCTGACAGGAACGCGCCGATCAAGCCAAGCTCCGCTGTGTCCCTTGTCTCGCCTGCACAGCAATGCCAATCACATTCATCATCCTTTTCACCTCAGCTTGCCATGCATGCAATCCAAAACTTCACGCCCAGGGTTACATGAAGGGCCGGCTGATCACAGCATGCAGCCAACCTGCATGAGTTTGCACTCTGGTCCTGGCAGGGCCATGCCTTACAAGGGTCCCTGTTGTCACAAGGGCTTCCTTAGGAGGAAAGGGAAGCCTGTGATCACCTGAGAGGAGGGATGTCATGGACTTTGCGACGCCCAGAACGGGCCCGGCAATGTTGACGTACGCGGCCACATGTTTCTCAACCCAGTCCGGGTCATCCTCACCGATCCACACCATGAAGTTGCGGAAAACATTGTCCCCCCAAGAATGGCTGGCCACCACTGCCTGCACCATGCATACATGATCATGACATGGCACGTTCCCTGTAATTTCAACAAGGAAGCAAAGCCTATTTGAGCATGACATGACACATTCCCTGTGATTCAGCAAGGTTATAAAGCCTGCACCATGCATACTTGATCATGACAAGACGCATTGCCAGTGATTCAGCAAGAAAGAAATGCTGCTTGGAACAAGTCTTTCCAAATGAGGCAATGGATCCATGAGAGCAAGCTGTAGGTTTCTAGGCATCCAGACAAAGCTGCGGCTAGAAGCATTGGGCTAAGGGGCCTAAAGCGCAAGTGGTCGCACCTTCTCGCCCTCAGTCTTGAGGGAAAGCTCGAGGCGCCACTTCAGGCGGGTGAAGTAATTGTCTCGCGCTTCCATGTTGGGCACTGACAGCCTCCAGTCATATGTCTCCCCGATCTGAGACACCAGAGAATACATGTTTGAGCCCCAAAGATCTACTATATACCAGAGAAGGCCCTGCGGTAAGAGTGATATTGCGATGCAGCATTGGCTGCAAACAAATGTCAGTGAAAGTGCAGCATGTAGCATGCACCCTACTGTCCTGACACTTGCCAATTGCCCTTTCAGAGGCCAAAATTTGCAGTATTGACGGGCACACACCAGGTTGTTTGTGTCATAGCCCATATCGGCGGCCGCCTCGATGAGCTTTGCCCACACGGCGTAGCCTGGGAAGAAGTAGTCCACACCCAGAAGGCCCTGCGCATCATTACCTTGTCTACCAGCCTGCCAGATGTTGAATTACATTACATCTTATAATTCAGTAAACAGACAAGCACAAAGGTTAAGGCAAGAACATTCCAATGACAGCCAGAAGAGGTGCAAGCAGTGCAGCACAGACAGCCCAACAGTGGCCCCACCTCTGAAGCGCGCAGGCGGACACCCTCGGGATCCAGCCCTGTTGTGTTGTCAAGGGCCATGTGCTCCAGCCAGCACGCCTTGTCACCCATGAAACTCTGCGTCATGGACAAGCTGCCCCAGATGCGCTGCCTGCACCCCAATCTCTTGTTTGAACAAAGAACGACTGGCCACAACATCATGTAACATCTACCTTTAAGATCTGCTCAAATCATCTACCTTTTCTTCTCCCTCACAATTCATAACAGATCAGATCAGATCATCTGAGACTACCTCTCAGATTCGTTTGCATGCTTCTGGGCAGCAATGCATGGACACTACGTGGAACAATATTCCTCTTTGAAGTTCTGAAGAAATCATAACAAGAGTGTAGGAGGGGGTGAATGTGCACCTGAAATAGCGTGCTGCGCAGGGCTTGCCAGACCAGAGCTCCAGGCCGCTGGTGACGAAGCCTGGCACGATGATGATGGGGTGCTTCGGCTTCCAGCCCTTCTTGGCCAGCTCCCGGCCCGGCCGAGGGGCCATCTCTGACTGGAACATGTCCGGCAACTCGATGCCGTGGCGCGCTGCAAACTCACTCAGGTTAAACTCCGGCATCTTCTGTATGAGGGGATCCAGGATTGGCTCCACTGCTACCCTGACCTGCTGCCGCCTCTGTGCGCTCACACAAGCCAGCGTCAGGCCATACCGACAATCTCCCTGTTGCAAAAAAATCCGCTGCAAGACATGGCTGGAACAGAGAACGTTTTGCTAAATGGACGAGAGATGCAGCACAGGGCGGTGTCTCACGTGGTACAGCGCCCATGCAACGGCTATAGTGCCCATGACGATTGCCCAGCGGCCTTTGGTGCCTCCCTTCTTCGCATGCTTGCCTTTGCCTGGCAGGCAAATAAGAATTCCGTGCTCAGTGTTGGGCGCAGAAGAAACCTCCTAAGCGTCTTCACCAAATGCAATATGGATACCAAGAATGCTGCACTGATGTACACCCAGGGCAAAGTGACTGTCTGTACTAGGCCCAGGCTCCTTCCGACCAAAAATGCGACAAAAAAAATGATCGTGGGAAGGGCGCCAAATCATCGATGTGCTGTTGACAAGAAATTGCACTGATCCTCACATTTGCAAGGGATCTCACCTTTCGCATGCGCCTTGCTGTCTGTGCTGCCCTGCACATTGCCCAAGAAATGACTCTGTTTATCAGGAAGTAGATGCAGCAGTATCAATCTGATTGAGTATCCTCACATTGGAATGGACAGGGGGCTTCAGTTGCTCAAGGCTGTTCAAATAGACACTCCTAACTCCTGGTGTACTGCGAGGGCATTGCATCTTGGCATACGGGAGGTTTCGAGCGCTTGGGCCTGACCTTTTTCTGGCTGGCATCATCTGTGCTCTTGCCATCTGATTCCTTCTCAACCCCTTTCCTTCTGTTCATCAGTGTGAGTTTGGGCTCCAATCCTCGGCCGTTCAGCTACCTAGAAGGTGGTGCGCTTTCTTGGTGGTGAGCCGCAGAGAGAGAGCGCTTTTGCCCAGATGCAGAAACTATGATACTCGCTGTACCAGCACGAAATGTTGCAGCCTTCCAATCCCTCTATGTTTGCAAGCACGCCCACTGTCCAGGACAGCCATTCACTGCAGATCGAAACAGAGCAAAAGGTCAAATCCCTTTCAGATATCTAGAACCCTTTATATTATTAGGTAATGAAGCAGGGCGTGTCAATTTCAGCGCGGGCCTGCTCAACGCAGAAAGCGCTGCTCTCGATTCAGTTTTCCGTGCAATTTGTGATCGGAGTCAGATCAAAGATGTTGCAAAGGGCCAAAGTCATCGCCCAAGTGGCGCAGCATGCGGGTATCAAGCCTGACATCCTGCAGGAAGCCTTGAAACCGACCGTGACGGCGATTCAGAGAAGTGTACCAAGCTGGGTGTTCCTTGGCCCGCCCGGCGTTGGGAAGGGGACATACGCCAGCCGTGTCGCAGACGCTCTCGGCATTGCACACATCTCAGCCGGAGACCTAGTCCGGACAGTAATGAAGGAGCAGACAGAGCTGGGTCGGAAGGTGCGCTGGGAATATACACCTATTTGAGAACCACCTGCCAGGTTGTGGGCTGGACTGTGTGGCCTGTGGCGGCAGTGTTCCATCGCTTTAAGGCTGCATTGCAAGATGGAAGTGTGCGAGATGTGCTGTATTTGGCAAAGGCTGTCACGCAGTCCTTTTGTAACGTTGGCGAGTGACAATCTTCTAAGTATCACCTGGAATTCTTCTTGGGAGCATTCAGCCCCCTTTTGCAGGCTATTTAAGTTTATTTTGGAAATTTCATCTGTTGATTATTTGTGCTAGTGGTGCACTTGAGTCGCCATAGCTGTCAGAATCCCTCAAGAGTGGTAATCTTGTTCGTAATCTTGGTTTTGTGGGGGGGTGGTCTTCGTGAGTGCGTTAGAAGCTGCCGACACTGCCTACATTTCAAGATTTTTTTTTACACTTGGCGCCATAGATTCTTTCTGGCGTGCTATGTTCAGAAGGTCTGTGGTGCTGGTGGGGCTCTTGGTCTGAGCCAGAGCTGGTGGCCTGATCATACTTCGTGTTTGGCACAGGTGGCAACAGTAGTGAACGAAGGGAACCTGCTTCCCGACTCGTATGTTCTCCAGGTGCGCCCTCCTACCTGTCTCACAGTTGTGATGCGAAGGGGTTCAAACTTCCCAAAATCAACACTTCACAGTGTGCATGATTGCATAAATCCCAACACTATATTGCTGAAGGATTTGCCTGTGTTTGTGCAGTTGTTGCAGAAGCGATTGCAAGAGGGCGCCAGGAGAGGGGAGGAGGGCGTCTTGTTAGATGGCTTCCCTCGCACCCGGGCCCAGGCAGAGTCGCTGCTGACCTTCTCAGATGTGCAGCTGGCGCTCAATCTGTCCCTCAGAGAAGATGTGAGCGCCCTTCTACTGTTATGTGCAACACCCTTGTCTGTGCATGCGAGTGTCTGCCTGTTCTTGGGCATGCATCATGACTGCCTTGCTATGAGAGGCTCGTCTGCAAGCACACCCCACAGGGCAGCAGTTGTTGAGGAAGCGCACATGCACTGCAGGTGCTTATAGCCAAGTGTTTGGCGCGGCGGAATTGCAAAGAGTGCGGCAAGAACTTCAATGTTGCAGACATTGACTTGCCGGCGTCCCCGACTGCCCCAGCCATAAAGATGCCACCCCTCATGCCCCCATCCGGCTGCATGGCCTACTTGGAACGCCGTTCTGACGACAACTTCACCACAGTGAAGCGACGGTTAGAGGTGCTCACCGGATGTCCACCTGAGCGTGCGCATAACATTTAGAAATTGACTCTGTTGGGAGAGTGTCGTGGCGTCAAAATTATGCTAAATACACATTAATGGGCTACTGACATGAGCCATGCAGGGACAAGAAATTGTGTGATTGTGTTAGTTGTGTGTCACTGCCGCATCATAGTGCATGGCATGGGGCAGAATGTGGCGTTGACATGTGTTTGCGATTGCTTTGCAGGTGTACCATTCAGAGGCAAAGCCAGTGGAGGAGGTATTCAGGCAAGCGGGTGTGCTCAAGGATTTCCACATCACTGGCGGCATCTCTGAGACCTTTCCCAGGCTGCTGGCAGCCCTTCAAGCGCGCGGCTCCATCACAGAAGAGAAGCAGGCTGCATAGGGTGACAGCACAGCGAGCCTAGTGGCTTTGAGGAGACTGTGTTTCCCAGCCAGTAGGAGGTAGAGGCACGGATTGGGCTGAAGGGGGATTCGAGCATTTGCTAGGAGGCGAGAGTTGCTGTGGATGCTACCTCCAGGGCAGAGTGGCCACCTCGCAATCTAGGAAGTAAGGCAGTCAGGCTCAGGTCCTCTGTCGGCAATATTCCTCCATCATTCTTTGCACCACCCAGCAGCTCCAAACAGTGGTGGGGTGCACTTGCGAGCAATTGCCGCAGGAGGATTGCTAATTGGAACCTTTCTGGCCAGAACTCCTTGGAACACAACTCGCATGGTTTCCTGTCTGCTCCTGCTGTTTAATCAGATGATTCTGTGGTGGCCAGAAGTACCAGAAACTGAGCCTGCAGCGGATTGTATTGCATTAGATAGGATGCATTTTTTGTCACAGAGATGCCCCCTCGAGTCAGGGTGCGTTGGGAAGTGCCTGAAAATTAGCAGCACACCGCAACTTATTAGAAATCATTCTTTCGCAGCGCAGATTTGCTGCTTTGGCACCCAGGTGTGTCCATAAGGTGATTTGCTGTCTACCGACCATAGGTGGAGCGTAGACAGATGCTGTAGCTCATATTACTTTTCTCCAGATTGGTGTGCAGATGTGAAGGTTTTGCACCATCATGGCAGCAATGATTGCAGCAGCAGATCAACGCCTCCTCTGCAATGAATACATGGAGCAATAAGGAGGTCTGCAGGTGCCTGCTTGATATCCTATGAGATGATCATCAGGATTGATTGGAGGCAGCTGTCAAAGAGTTCTTCATTGCGATGCGCCTTGTGCAACTTACATAAATGTTTTTGTAAACATCATGATGAGGAGTACTTTAATGCTCAAACTCTCGGCCCTACCCAGTTCAAGGGTGCATCCAAATCAATCATGATGGCAATGGCATTGGTGGCATGCATGTTAATAGATCATCAATGCGCATGCTGCAGCTGTTGCCGCAGCGGCTGATGTCCAGCTGGCACTTGATGACTCAGTCATGACTTCGGAAGTCATGAGTGCCGGTGTCGGTGACTGCTGTGGCACAAGTGCATGTCCACAGGCAGGCCGGGCATCGCAGAGCTGTGTAAAAGTTAGTACCAACAGGTCTTACAAGATTGCATCCATTCCTTTCGTTGCACCAAACGCTACATGTTCTTGCTGCTGGAGATGTGGGTATTTTCGGGCTGCCCGATTTGGGCAGCTCCGGGTTTGAGCTGTAAGTTCCATGGTGCTGCTATTCTCGATCAGAAAATTGAGCTGCCGCATGATAAGGTGTTACAGAGGCCTTCGCCACTCTTAGTGGTGCCTTCTGAGTGGCAAGGCTGCTGGCGATGGCCATGGTGATGCTGGAAAAGGCAAGGGACTGGAACACTTTGGGCGGCTCTTCGACTTATTCTTGGCAGGACTTGCCGTGCTTCAAGCAGGTGAAGGCCGAGGTATACGGGCAGGTTTCTAAGGAGGTGTCACCGATTGGCGACTTCAGCTTGAAGTCCGCAGTGGCATCCTCGAATCCTCCTGAACTGACTCCGTCGGTAGCTTCCTTCCGTTGGTCCCCGAAGGATTCCAGGAAGTTGTATGCCGTGGACGGCTGGGGAGCTCCATACTTTGCCGTCAGCGATCAGGGCCATCTCTGCGTGAAACCCGAAGGAGGTAGGCCTCGCCTCCCTTCATTGTTTTGCTGGTGTCGGTCTTGGGTTCCCAAAAAGCGGCAGTGACTAATTATTCTGTGCACCTTGCAAAGGTATTCAAAAGCGTGCATACGAGTAAACCTCCCAGGATCGTCCTGGTGTTCGCCTGTGGGCAGCTTCCTGGATGGCAAAGCACCCACACGTTAATGGGAATGTGAATGTGCAGATGGCGGCCCCGTGATCGATCTATTCACTCTGGCCTCCACTCTGAAGGATGAGGGCTTGGAGATGCCGCTGCTCTTCAGATTCCCTGACATAGTAAACCACCGGCTTCACCTTCTCCAGGTCAGCATTTATCACCAGCTTTCTGAGGCTGTCTATCCTACAGTAGCAGCAGGGTAGGAGCTGTCTTCGATGTCTGAGTTGATTGTATTCGAAGTCGTCTGTCTAGTGGTTTCCTTGCCTCCGGCTTATCTTCTGTCACTGCACCAAACCTGTACCCTTCACACTGAAAAAATCTCTTGCCATGCAGGGTTGCTTTGACAAGGCCGTGGCGCGCTACGAGTATCAGGTAGGCAATTGTTGCTCTGCCATTTGCACCTCCTACCCCCATCACAAGCAAATTGTCACTGGGAACTTCTGCATACCAAGGCTGCATGACAGGTGGACATTACTGGGAGGTTGAAAGGCTCCACCACAATTTCACATTGTGGCTAATTTTCTGAGCAGGATATTGTGGCTGTCTGCAGGGCTCTTACAGGGGCGTGTTCCCAGTGAAGTGCAACCATGACCGCGAGCTGATCAGCACCATCCTGGACTGCGGCGCCAAGTTTGGCTGGGGCCTGGAGGTCGGCTCCAAGCCGGAGCTGCTCATGGCCATGTCTCTGCTGGGGCAGGCCCCCGGCTCGCTGCTCATCTGCAATGGCTACAAGGACCAAGACTATATCGAGCTGGTGAGAGCAATTTCCTCTCACCTGCTCTTCCCCACTGGCTGAGATTGCTGGAAATAAAGTTCATTGGCTGAGCCGCAGTAAATCTATGTGCAGCAGGAGGCTTTCTGAAACATCCGAAATGGCCTTGCAGGGCTCGGGTGTGCAGAGATTGATGTTCGGGGTGCATGTGACAGGTGGTGCAATGCTGGCGGCTGGGTATTGAGGCCGTTGTCGTCCTGGAACAGTTCAAGGTGCTTCTCCCACCCGCCTGCCATCACAGCCTGTTTCCACATACCATGGCTCAAAGCATCTGCAGTTTACACTTGCCGGGATACCCTGTCTGCAAGCAACACGCAGCGAGCTGCCTGGGGGGTATGGTCCAGTGCGTTTGCAGCCTCGGATGCTTCTCTTTTAAGTAGCCAATATTCAGATAATCGATTCGCCATGCACGCAAATTGCCATTCGTGAAGTTACTAATGCGTTTCTGTGAAATTTATGGGATTACAAATGGCATGTCTGAGGGATGTCTGATGCGGCAGGAGCTGGGGGTGTTGCTGCGAGTGGCGCAACGGATGGGGGTGCGTCCGGTGTTAGGCGTTCGCGCAAAGCTGTCCACGCGCCACGAGGGCCACTGGGGGTCCACCTCGGGCGAGAAGGCCAAGTTCGGGCTGCGGCCGCGCGAGATCGTGGCCGTCGTGCGCCAGCTTGCCGCCCTCGGCATGACCGACTGCCTGCAGCTCCTGCACTTCCACATCGGCTCCCAGGTGTGCTGCATTTCTTGCGTCCTTACAAACTCCATTTGCATTCCTTCAAGCTGGCAATCTTCACTGCTGCCCTGCCGAGCGTACTCTGCCCCACAATCCTGTGATTTCTTTTTCTCTTGGCCCAGCTGCCATGTCTTGCAATTCAAAAAGCCCTGGGCAAGACATAGTCCTCCATGGCGTCATTTATACGAGGCTCGGTGAATCTGCGTCTGCCAAGAGCAAATTGTGTATGGAGTCATGAGGTATGACTGAGTGCTGGAATCTTTTGCCTAAGGCTAAGGCAAGATCCTTTTCAAAAGCCACTGATTGTCAAAAGAGGGGAATCAGCGTTTGACGGATGGGCTTGGGTGTTTTGCAGATCACGAACATCCGGGTGGTGAAGGAGGCGATGAGTGAGGCGGCGTACCTGTACGCGGAGCTGGTGGACATGGGCGCTGGCATGCGTGTCATCGACTGCGGCGGCGGCCTCGGCATCGACTACGACGGCTCCAACACGGACGCCCCCGCCTCCCTCTCCTACACCATGCAGGTCCGCCCTGGGTTTCAGCAATCCAGCTGCACATAATGAAACTAGTGAGCTTAATCTGATTCGGTTGAATCCAACTTTGGCAGAAGACTCTTGTGCCACAGCCGCAACCTGCAGCAGCCATCGCTTGAATATTCCGCTTGCTGGGGTGATGGGCAAATTTTGGTGCTGTCGAGAAGGGGTAGTCTTGTGCCATCGATCCTTAAGAGGGTCAAACACCCTCGCACTTGCCATTCCAGGCGTGTCTGGGTTATGTGAGGACACACAGGAAATTGAGCATGCTGTGTGGTAGGAAGCACTGTCGCTGATGCTGTGCATGTTGCCGTGCGCAGAACTATGCGAATGACGTGGTGTGCTCTCTGCGCGACGTGTGCTTGGAGCGGGGCATCCCCATGCCCACCATCGTGTCCGAGTCCGGCCGCGCGCTCGCCAGCCACCACGCCGTCATGGTCTTTGATGTTGTTGCACGGTCAGCCCTTCCCTAACAGATCCATACTGAGTGCCTATTAGACCGAGCCAGGCCTCTTTTCGCATGCCTGATATGTGTTACGCAACAGGATGCCCCACCTCGCGGCCAAAGTGGCCTTAGGGTCCAGTGGATCTAATCCTTGTGTCACATCTGTTCATCCGCACCTCCCTGACACAAGCCTGTATCAAGAGAGATGTTGTAAAGCTCAGCTGTGCTCGTGGGTAACATTAGCTTTCTCTGGGGTACTTGCATTGGCCAGCGCTCCACAGCTCGGAGTTTTCCACATCTACAAACAAGGGACGTTCGAAACTGGGACAGCTTGAAATTGAAATTCACATTTTATTTTGTGTGTCGGACAGGCCGCCGACAGCTGCGGAGATGGAGCCACACAGCCCTGAGGAGGTGGTGGCCGCGGCGCTCAAGCCGGAGGCGGCAGCGGCCGGGGCGCAGCCGGGGCGGCCGGCGCGCGCTGTCGGCAAAGGGCGCTTCCTGCTGTGCTCCTTCCGCGAGGTGCTGGACGGCCTGGAGGCCACCGCCTGCTCCCTGCGCGAGGCCTACTCCGACGCCGTCTACTTCAAGTGCGCAGCTTCCGCTGCATTTCCTGCCCTGTCCTGTATCTCAAATGACGCATGGAGGTGGAGGCCTGTACAGTGGCATCATCAGCATACCTGTAGTCAGCATGCCAGAATTACAACCGCCATACTTCCTGTTGGTGTCCTGCCACTGTGTGTCCTCTTTTTCCATGTCCGCACACGGAGGCCACTCGGCTGGGCCTGTGAGGATTGCTGGAGTTTCGCTAAATTGATAATTACACCATTTGAAAATATTAGTGAAGGAAGGGTTGCGACAGTCAAGGTTCTCAGTCAACTGCAAACAATAGTATGAAAACAAATTTGAGAGCAAAAAAAATTACAACAGGGAGGAGGCACTGCGCGCGTTCAAGCTGGGAGTGCTGAGCTTGGAGGAGCGTGCAGCGGTGGACCTGCTGTTTGACGCCACCTGCAACCGCATCCTGCTCCTGGCAGCTGCCGCAAAGCTGCCCCTTCCGGAGGCCCTGCAGCCCTCTACCCGGCCTCATTCGGCCACCTACCATGTCAATCTTTCAAGTAAGTTCCCCGTCTCAACCTCCCCCTTCTTGCCTCCTCCCGGAGTGTCCTTGGTGTCTCCTGCCTGTCATCGATGGGTTTAGAGTCGCTCAATCTTCAATCCTGACATTAATGTGAAGGAGAGGCAAGCATTTATTGTAAATGGTGTGCCTGTGCAGTTTTTCGCTCGGCCCCGGACACGTGGGCCATAGAGCAGGTGTTCCCCATTCTTCCCATCCATCGTCTGGATGAAGAGCCCACCGTGGCTGCCACCCTCGCTGACTTGACCTGTGGTGAGTCCCTCCTACATTTGTGCAAAATTTTAATCTTATATTGGAATCTTTCCACATGAGCATTGGTGCCGGGCATGCAATTTCAGGACGTGGGGTCTCATAGATCAGGAGGATACATGACAGCACACGCAGGTTGCAAGAGATGGGTCTGACATGTGGGGTGGGTGTTATGTGTCAGACTCGGACGGCAAGATAGACCGCTTCATCTCCCCTGTGGGGGGGAGTGAGGCCGCGCCCGTGCTGCCTCTGCATGAGCTGCGCAGTGGCGAATCCTACCTGCTTGCCATGTTCCTGACCGGCGTCTACCAAGAGGTGGGCACTTTTGCAAGCACCCAGATCTGATGTGGGGCCTCTGCTGACATCAGCACACCACCTGTGCCACCTTGCTTGTGTTCCTGTAGTTTGACAGCTGAGAACGGTACTGCTTTTGGTGCAGTGATACTGCCATGTTGAGCACAAGGAGGTTCTCGGTCCATGAGAGCCACAATCTGGGCATGCTGTGCGACTGGGGGAGACTGATGGGTTTTGATGCATTGCAGGTGATGGGATCGGCTCACAACATGTTTGGCAGCACCCACTGCGTTGTTGTGCGCGCCGCAGAGTGCTGCGTGCCCCCTATGCCTGGTGAGAAGCCTTCTCTTCCTCATCGCTATGCTGGTATCTCCTGCACTGTTTGTGGGGGTTTGTCCTGTGCAACTGCAAAGCAATGCAGCCCCCCATTGGCGTGACTCTGATCCAATACATCTCGGATTGCCGCAGATGACACTCTGATACATGATGGCGAGGGGAAGATACTGGGCAACGGATTTGTCGTGGACCACGTTCTGCGCGGAGAGACAATGGCAGACGTCCTCACACGTTGTCAGCACTCGGTCAGTCTCCCCTTTTCCCTCTCCAATTGTTCCACTGCTCTGGCTACATGGTTCCCTGTGAGGTGCTTGTTGCAGTGCTGTGGCTCTTGGGTCTTGTGCTTGCGGTAGTGCACAGTGTAGGAACTTCTAGAAGGAGCAATCAGAAGGATCTTGCATGATGCATGATAGCAATCGCAACATGATTTCATTAGTGTTGAAAATTGTGCAGGAAATTGATTCTTTCGGTGTATATTGTGCAGGGTTCCGATATGCTGCTGGCGATGCGCGCTGCAGCGAGTGCGGCGGTTCTGGAGGGACGCATGTCTTCAGAGGCTGCAGAGGCTCTGGTGCAGACCTTCACGCGCCAGATGCACTCCTACACCTACCTCAGCCTCTAAGCAGCAGCTGCTGGAGTTTCATCTCCCAGTAGTTCTGCAAATATATTGATTAGTGTTCTGTGTTGAGCATTTATTATTTAGATAGTGTAGGTAGCTGTGGATTATATGCACTGCAGTTGAATTATTCTGATCTCGTTTGCTAACAGCGAGTGAGAAGTCAGCATTTATTACGGTATAATTCCCCATGAACTAGTTGTCAGGTAGGGGCTTCCTTGGTGCTAGAATTCTGAGATGGAACTGTGCGCTTTTGTCAACAGAAGATGATCATTGCTATGCCATCATTGGCAATTTAAAAAAAATTAATTTCACTTTCATAAATGTTTTCGAAGAGAGAAATGTGTCTGGTGACTGTTATAATCTCTTAAGGATACGGAATTTGGGATTGTTTACAATGCGGCATTACAAGAACTTGCTCTCAAACCTGCAATTGGTGATGTCAACACCATGTGATGCATGTATTTATTCATCATGTTTTTTGCTCTCTACTACACACCAGTCTGCTCCTGCTGACTGTCATTCGTGATAATTATGTTTTCAATAAATGCTGGCTGCAGCAGCTGTGCTGGCAGCCTTTATGTCCCGCCGGTTGCGTTTGCGGAAGTCTGTCTCTGCCTCTGTGTACACGCGCTTCCTCAGCTGCGGATTCACTTGCCCCAGGGCTCCCGTCTGAGCTGCCTGCCCACCATTTGCTACCGTCCTGAGCGCAGCACGCAGCGCATCTGGCACAACGTCCTCTGCTGCGCTCTCAAACTCCTGCCAGCATCAATACTCGGCACCCATTATAATCTTATGACTCATCATCAAGCTTACGCCACTGCTGCACTTTCAATGGGCTGGTGCTTAGCAAATAAAAGCTGCCCTTTTAAGTTGCATTCGTATATCTTCAAGAGCGCCCTGCACGCCTTCTGTGGGCTCAAGTGTGGAGAGAAAAGGTGCAGCACAACAAGTGCAACGCAGTCTAGCAGCAGCATGCACGTGTGATGGGTGTTTGCTGCAGGCTCTCACCGTTCCTGCGTCGTTTAGAGCAGCCACGCCCACTTTCAGCGCGCCACTTTCCTCCAAGCGAGGCCTCCCGACCGCCCAGATCCGTCCCCCCCGATCAAACTGCGCACAGCCAGCAATCATGACTCTTGTAATTGTACACCTGAACATTCCAAATATAGAAAACATGCTGGCCCAAGAAGGGCTTGCATGGAATTGGATGGGCAATTGGGAATTGTCAAGGGCGAGCACGGAAAATTCACCTGCACGGAATTGGGAAGGGCCAAGTCGTGCATGGCTAGGCGTTGACAGATGGACAGCTTCCGGGCGGCTGCGTCAACCTCCAGTATGGTCACCTCATCCTGACCCTCCACGAGCGTTGCCAGGTGGCGCCTGCATGCCCAAGATCATTTTAGCCATATCGACAGAAAACTTCATTCCCAGCTTGTGAGTGCCAGATGCTGTGCCGAGCAAACCAAAAATAGTACAAAAGGAACAATGGCCAGATTTGTGCAACCATGAGTTCATTGTCTAGTGAGAACTCTCTTCATAATGAGACCTTGTCTTTCAATCTGTCAAGCCCTCGTGCCGTTTTGACGGTGGACTTTGATGCGCTAGATTTAAATCCAGCGATGGTTCAGGATCATAACAAGGGCCAGTGACGTGCTTACCCGCTGGGAGAGGCAGCCAGGGCAAGCGTGGCAGCTGTGGCTGGCTCAGCAGCATGCTCTCGGAGCGCAGCGTTCTCTTCGCCGTTGTCTTCATCGTCGCTCTCATAGCCGCTGCCGCTGGCCGGCACATCACCCAGCTCCATCTGCACGCGCATCGAGGGAAATTCAAACAACTGCCACCTGCACAGACTTTCTGCGCAGACCTTCTGCATTGACCTTTCGTGTGGGTGAGTCCCCACGAATCTCTGGCCTACATATTCCCTGCATGCAGTGACAAGATTGGAAGCCTAACGCCATCGTCAATGGGTGCAGAGGCAGATGCTGGGTTCCTTGGCGGCTGCCTAATTGCTGTACAGCAAGCTGCCTCAAAGGCAACGCCTTACACGAAACAGCTAGACTAAGGGTGTAATGTAACAGGTCATGTTTGGCACCTCGGCCGCGCTGGAAGGTGCGCTGTCCAGGTTCAGTGCGCCAGCTTCCTCTGCAGCCACTTCTGGTGTGCCTGCTTCTTCAGCAGTGTCTGCTTGCTCTGTGCTGGCGGCCACAACATTTCCAGGGGGCACTGGCACGTGGCAGGTGTCCAGCAGCTGCCCTGACACATGGTCCCACAGCCTGAAGCAGCACAGTAGGCGATGACAGGCGGCACCAGGGTCTGCCACGTTTCCACCACCAGAACAGGTGCAAAATTTACCAAGTCTCTACATCCTCGAACAGCAACTTGACCCATGTACACCAGGTAAGCGCTGGACGTTTACAGTGATGTCATGAGCAACTGCACTGGTAAGCTTTACAGACAATGCAGGAGCTTGGAAAAACGCTGCAGAAGTTTGGCGCAGACTTGTCACCAGATTGAGAAGGTTTGTGGGGATGCAAACGCTTTGGCACTCACCATCGATCAAATATAACAATCAGGAATTCGGGCTCTCTGATGGTGTTAAGCAGGTGATGCACAAAGCAAACTTTCCCCCACACTGATGACAAGGGCTACAGGCCAAATACCGTCAAGTCACTGGACACCAGGTTGCTATATGCTGCAGTGAGCATCTAACGGGTTTATGGGTGGTACATCTGCAGAGGTCGTCTTGCAGGGATGACCTTGCCCCACACTGCTGAAGCTTCAGTAAAGCTCAAAGTCTGCCAAAAATATTCTAAGGCGACAAACAGACAAAGCTCAAATACCTTACTGTGCCATCTCCACTGGCAGAGGCAAGAAGTGTCGCTTCTGGTGTTGCCACAAATGCGCAGGCCGTGACAAATGAAGTGTGGCCCAGGCAGTAGCTCTGGATCTCATGCGCCCCCTGCCATTGACATGCATCCTTATCATTACGGTCAAGGCTTACAACCCACACATCCACTTATTCTTACCGAATGGGGCCTAGTAAATGCACGAAGGATGTCGCAGGCCTCATCGAAATATCCCCCAAGAAATTCAAGGAGGTCACACCTGGAGGGGTTGCCTAGGCAGCAAGCTGACCCTGGTCTTGCTGTCCCTGTCCGTGCTGACCACAAACTTGCCGTCCGGCGAGGCTGCCAGGTCTGTGATGATGCTGCAGAAATGACCCAGCAAAGGCTTTGGCCCTGCTGTTGCATCAGCAGCCGTCGCTGCAACATGGACATCCCCAAACTTGTCCGCAAAGAATGCAAAGCTGCCATCCGCTGAGAAGGCTGCCGCACTGACTTTCTTGGGTACAACCCTGTCCAACACAAAGGCAGTTCTCAGTACTCTGAAGAGCTTTACAGATGAAAGATCCAATGACATCAAAGATTTTATTGAAATAGGGGCAACCAGCGTCTGCAGAGTGTGTAACGAACTGTTTACAAAGGCACAACAGAGTACTGGCTTTGCTGGACATACCATTTATGCAATAATTGCCTGCTGTCCAGCTGCCACACGCGTACGGTCTTGTCATCCCCTCCAGTCAGGAGCAAGTTGCCGGTGGGATCGAAAGCAACTGCTCTGATGGGTGCACCAAATGTGGAGTCCTCCAGCTCGATCAGAGAAGCATTGCTGCAAGCAGCAATACACAGGGTCACGGTAAAGTAATTTGGAAGAGGAATCGGTCGGTTGGTATGCGTCATCGGGCCTTTAAAATTGAGGAGGGCAGCCACCTGCAGTCAAGCAGCCACAGCTCTTTGTCGTGCGCAACAGCCACGCAAGGACCATTTGGCTGCGTAGCAAGCACTACAACTGGTGCATGAGCAGCATCGTTTGCCTCCTCTCCAGCTGCAGAATCACCACCTGTGATCACGAGATCTGAGCTTGCTAAAATTGGACTACTGGATGGCTGCTACAGTTCACACGTTAAACATGGTAGAATTTAAATTTCTGTTGACCAAGATTACCTTTTTGACGTTGTTTATTCCTTTTCTTTCCCATTCTGACACACCTTCACTTCAATTTTTGCAAGACATTGAGCGATCCTTTCACCAGAATAAGCAGTCAATTCAGATGCTTAGACGACGTGCACTGTATCAATCCGACGTTAAATACATCGATGTCAACATTGCAGTGATTGCGAAAAGCAAACTTCAACTGCAGGCTGTCCTAATCTGGCTTTCGAGCAGGTCGTCAGCATGCATGCCTGGACTCAGCGAAGGAGTTTCAAGCATGCCTGTATGCATTAGCGCCACATTTGCTTGCCCTGCATGCATGCAACTATTTTTTTCGGAATGTCCGGGCAGGGCTCCAAAACTAGCGTGGATTACAATTCCGGGCCCCCCGCAGCGGCGCCTGGCAGTGGCGGCTGCTGACTCGAGCACCCGGATAATTGATCAATATGAGTATTAAAGTTTATGCAGATCTTATATATAAATCTATATAGATCTAGCAGTGCAGAAGCTGAAAGACCATTTTTAGGCTTACCAAAACTCATATTGATGGGACTTCCCAAAGAGCAGGTCAGGCTGACTCAGAATCCGGAATCCAACAATCACAATCATCTCCACAGGGTCAAAGCATGCGCTAGCAAAGTGTCCGCACCATGTTATATCCGTTAATAGCAATACGTAGTTGCTCTCTGACCAAGCCAATTGCCCTGTCCCGAATGCTCCTCGATATTTGGCCATGTAGAATTATCTGCTCAAAAATCTTGCTCACGAACTCCGCCATTTCGTCTGCAAGTGTGCCCTGTCATGAATATATTGAGAAGTTGGACAGCTGCAAGTGATAGCTCAATTGAGCCATCATTCAAAATCAAGCACCAATATGCCTCATCTTGTACTTCAAATGTATCAACACCCAGCCCGACGGTTAAAAATATGAGGAAAAACTCAGGGCTTACCTGCTCTATGCTGCTTGCTTGAAGATTGAGCTGGATGGATTCTGCAAAATTTTTGTTGGTCTCGAGAAAATCTTAAAAATGACTATCACCAGCATAATCCCACAAGGTGTTGTCACACCCTTGCAGGTAATCTTCCTGCCACCACTGGTTGTACGGGTTGTCGTAAGCATATTTGGTGTGCAAGAGAGCGGGTGCGTAGCGTTCATCTGCATCTGCAAACGTGACGCTCAGATGATTGCAAATTACCCTGATGCCATGTATATGCATCACCGGGGCTGTAAAGAGGCTCAACAGAAGCACAGGGGCAATCTGGGAAAGGTGACGTTCACGGCAGTTAGGTAATTCTTGAGGCTTTTGTTATTATCGTTACAAGCATTGTGCCGCTTCATGAAGAGCTTCTAGCGCATGCAATTTGTGCTCTGTTTGTTGAAAAAATTGCTATTTCCAATCTTTGTGACAGATCACTTCTTTCGAGGCATAAGCAAAGAAATAAATAGGATCCTCTGGATCCTCGGGATGCGTACTACCCCAAAAGGTGGTCGGGGGGACCTCTTAGGGGCCATGGCAAGGGACTGTTGGACGTGCCGGAGTGAAACGATCGACAAGGTTGATCCTGCTGCGGAGCCTATTGTGGCTCCAGGATACGCACGTGCACATTTTTGGACGCAAGCGCGAAAAGTCCCTCCATGTGCGAAATGAAGGATAGGGTGTGCTGCAGGAGAGAGAATTCTGCGCAGAAGACTCATTGTTTTGTTTAATAAAGTACAAATTTAATCATTGTTGAAAACAAAGGAGTTTATCATTTGACCACCTGGAATGGCGGATATCGACTTCGCCTCTTTGGCCCAAGAGCAGCCTTATCTGTTGGCTGCTGCGCTGGGAGCAATCGGTGTCCTGTTGTTCCTGATATTCGGACGCAAGTCGTACGGCCCGGTGCCCAGTAAGTGCCCTCTGATGTCCTGATGGCATCAATTTTTGGCTTGTTTGCTTTGTAGATATCGGGAGTTACGGGGTTGAAAAGTAGCTGTTTTTTCCAGAAGAGATAGGCTGTTTCCAATTTCCCTGAGGCGTTTCCGCTACACGGCCTGTATTTTTTTTGGATGGCAGAGACGCATGCAAGGACAATTAAAGCACCTTACTTTAATGCGGCATGTGTATTGTGTACATACCTAGGGATGACACAAATCTAGAAGTATCATTCTTTGTATTTGAGCAGTCAATTGGGGATGCTGCAGCCGTCAAGTAATGCAGCGTATATTATGTACAAAGCAGGTTTCTTAGAGTGAAGCACAGAATAACACGGCTTTGCTCGGTTGGCAGAGTTGCTACTACCCTACTTTGTTCGCAATTTTTTTCCTGTACCTCATGTCGTCAAGGCATCCTGAACCCTGAGAAGAGTTGCTTCTGTTGCCTTGCAGAACACCTGAAAAGCTTTGATAAGATCCCAGGACCAATTGGGCTGCCAGTGGTGGGCAACCTGTTCAGTATTGGGTCCGGCAAGGCCTTTGTCACATGGACTGAGTGGGCAAAAGCCTACGGCAAGATTTACCAGTGCGCTCTCTCTCACACTCTTGCCTCTGCTCTCTATCTCCCTGACAACTGTCAGACTCCCCAATATCTTTGCATGCACATACTGCGAGCTTAAAGGCTGTCTGTGTGCCACAGGTACTCTGTATTTGGCAAGAATTTTGTGGTTGTGACAGACCCTGCCGCCCTCCCCACAGTGCTGGGCTCTGACAGCTTTGTCAAGAGCCCCTTGGCAGTCGCCGGAGAGGGTGCCCTGTCCAAGGAAGCCCATGCAGGCCTCGCTCCTGCATTTGGTCCGGAAGGAGCCAAGTGAGCTGCCCTTGACTGTATTATGCTTGTCTTGGTGGCTTGGTAATGTGATGATTCAGCTTGGTGATCTGTCTGGACTGTAATTAATGGAATCTGTGCCTCCATTATGTGAGCATTTGTGGAATCTGTGCAGGGCACAGTTCAGCACCGCATTGAGGAGAGCCGTGGACCTGGCAGCCAAGATTGACAAGGATGGCCCCGACAGAGCCACCGATATGCAGGTGCTCAAAATCCTCCTTTGAATCATGGACTTGCTTGTCTGTATCGGCGCGAGAGCACATTGCCTTGATTGGTGTGATACTGAAGGCTCAATGTGCAATTGCAGGCGGCTCTGGAGGATGCCGTGCTCGATACCGTCCTGACAAACGCCTTTGACGCAACTTCTGACAAGCTGGATGCCGTGAAGAAGCCTCTGCAGGCCTCCCTGCGCTCCACCAGCATCCAGGCCGCCGGGTTAGACTCTACCTCCCCCATTCAACATTCACCCCCAATCTTCCCACACCCATACCGATAAAACTTTGCGCAGCACAAGTAGACCAAGCCATGTGTCATCCTTCAGCAATCCTTATGAAAGCTTACCATACATGCATGCACATCACTTGGATGAAGTGCAGGGCATCTTCCTCTGAGTGCATGGGGTAACAGACCCACTACATCTATGCGCATCCAGGTACAGAGCATATAATTCTTATATATAGGAAAGTATTGAGCCCAATCGTGGGCCCCAGCTGGCGGGGGGGCGTTTAAATACTGACCACCACGCCCACGGCTGATTGGGTCTTGCTTGGATCTGGCGAGTCCAACAAGGTGTAGGATTGTGGTAGCCTTTACCTGCAGCATGTTTTCCCTTGCCATTGGCAGGGAAAGCGTGTAAAATGAAAAGGAAATGGAGATTTGACCCCAACAATGACAGTCCTTCTTCTTGGCGTTGCGCAGGCCCATCAGCAGCCCGCTGGGCGCGCTGTTCAGCGGCGGGTTCAAGGCCAGCCCCAAGGCCGAGGCTGCCTGGGTGGAGCTCGTGCGCGGCTTGCGCCGCCGCGGCCCGGCCGCCAAGTCCGACACATCCCTCGCCGCCGCCCTCAACCGCCTCACCGACGCCAGCGGTGCGCGCATCTTCCCTTCCTCTTGCCTTGTGCTGACTCACTGTGTGCTCTCTGAAGACTGAGGGGTGCGCTCACCTTCTCTGTCTTCTCCCTTGCACTGTCTGTGTGTGCTTCTCTGAAGACTGAGCCAGGAAGAATCATCTGTCATCTCCCTGGTGTTTGTTGTTTATAGTGTACTGTATGTTTTGCAGCTGCCCTGAAGTGTAATACGATAGCGTGACTGCGAAATGCATAGGCAGTGTCCACTATCCTGTACATCTCTTCCACATCCCCTGCTTGCACCTGTGACGTTGCCGTTCTCTGCAGTGCCGTGCCGGCCATTGTCGCATGCGTTTTGGATCTGCAAGGTGTGCTTCCTGCTGTGAAAGGGATGGATACGTGTGAACGTAAGCATCGAGTGATGCACAAATGGTGAAAAGCTGGGTTGTTGATGCAAGCAGGCGCTCCGCTATCTGACGAGGCCGTGGCCGCCCAAGCCGCCGCACTGACCGCTGCCGCCCTGGAGCCGACCGCGCAAAGCGTTGCATGGGCCCTGTGAGTATCTCCACTGAGCCATCCGCACTAATTCACGCATGGGCAATGCCTAGGAGCTGCAAATGTGTATCAGTGCATGACGGCCATTATGTAACATGGAAAATGACAATCCTGGCCCTGGAAGCTGCAGAATAGGAGGCATTCCCATGTGTGCTCTTCTTCCCTTTGGATAACCACAGTTGTGCTTGTGTATCTGTGAGACCCAAGGCTCTGGACCTTGGGGTTTATCTTCCACTGGATCAGCAAAAAGGTGCTGGTATGTTTTAGGGAGAGCCCTACGATCGGTCATCAGCCTTAGGTGCCTGCAATTGTCTGACATGTGTGTGCGCTCTTGCAGGTTCTCCATCGCAACCACGCCGAGCCTGCAGGACGGCATCGCCAAGGAGCTGAGCGACAACGGGCTCCTGGCGCACGGCGAAGACCGCGAACCGCGCCTGCCCGAGTTCGACGACCTACCCAAGCTGCCCTACCTCACCGCTGTGCGCCCCCTGCTGCAATTCCTTCCTCACCCCTGCAGTGAAAATCGTTGCCCCACAACCACAAGGTTGACAGGCGCTGTTGAGTGGACTGTGCCTTCCCTAGGGCCCAGACTGAAGATCAAATCCAAGAAGCAGAAAGCAGTCAATTGACAAGCCCCAGACCGCCTTCAGCAGAGCCTCAAGAACCTCAGGTGTCGAGGGACCACGGGGAGGCGTTGTGTGTGTAAGTACCATGAAGGGACATATATGACTGTCACAGCAAACAGGCTGGGTTTTTTATAAGGATGTTTGCGCTGGCGGCAGGTGATCAAGGAGAGCCAGCGGCTGTTCCCTGCCGCCGCCATCGGGCCGCTGCGCTACGCTGCCAAGAACACCGAGCTGGCCGGCTACTTCATCCCCAAGGGCACCCACGTCCAGGTGCTCACCCTTTACAAATCACTCTCTTTTGTATTCCACACTTGACTCTTGGCATCACGCTCTTGATGCTGATGGATCAGCCCCTGTTGCCCCTCAGATAGTTGCATCCCATCACAATATGTGCAGGCTCATAGAAGGCCACAGGCAAGCCCATACCATGCTTCAAGATATTTATAGTACCATTCGTACTATGCTATTCTACTGCCTTGACCATGATTGGTGCATCCCATCAGGATGACAGCTGCTTTGCAATTATTGCCAGTGTCAGACAAGGGTTGTGGGTGCGCAGGTGCCGCTGCTGGCGCTGCACACGGCGCCGTGGAACTGGCCGCAGCCGGAGCGCTTCTGGCCGGAGCGCTGGACCACTCCCGAGCTGCGCGGAGGGCCCAAGGCCGCCTCCGAGGGCCTCGCCTCCGCCTTCCTGCCCTGCGGCGCCTCCTGCATCAGCAGCCACGTCGCCGAGGCCCAGGTATCTCAGCCTGTGCTTGTTTCCAATCCTCTGTGGCAGCGAACCCCAATTCTATTCATAAGCTGCCTCCGGGCTGTACCTGTCAAGGATGCCATGCAGTTCACAACTTGCATGCAATCCAGCAGCGCAGTGTCCTGAGGACTGCATTCATTGAATATTTGCTGAGCAGGGGAGTTGACCAGCTTGTGACTGTGGAAGAGCGTAAAACCGTCAAAATGCACAGCTTCCTTGTACAACCCTGCTGACTGCAGCGACTGTCTGTGTGCAGGTGGCGGCGTTTGTGGCGGTGCTGGCGTCGCGCTTCAAGATGAGCCTGGCGGGCGGCGGGCGCAAGGCAGCCCTGAAGCGCCAGACTCTGGACAGCTCCCTGCGCCTGGCCGGCGGCATGAAGATGGTCTTCGTGCCCCGCGCCTCCATCGGCTTCTCCAGCCGCCTCTGAGCGCCATGCTGGACCCTTCCTAACTCCCTCTGGGATGCGCCAAGCTCGACACTGACTGGGATCACGGGTCCCTTTGCAAGTCCCTCTGGGGTCTGGGGGTTGCTCAAAGCTGGATGATCACAGGGGAAGCCCTAATTTGTGGTCCATGCTGGCCACTTTGGCAGACTCTACAGGAGTCTCGGGGTGTTTCTCAAAGCTGGATGCTCACTGGGAATGGTAACTGGGCTCCTCCGCAAATCCCTCTGGGGTTTGGGATATTTCATGAAGCTGCAGATGGATGCAGCCCCGTGTGCGGAAGCTGCAAGTGTATGATCTCTGAGATTCATGATCTAGGGCGAAACTGATATCTTTGGACCCTGATCAATATATTTAATGAATGCGTTGTTCAGCAGCCAAATCCCAGTTGTCTTCTCGAGTGCCGGCAAAGTAGGGGTGTCCTTGCCGGAGGGTGGCCAGCAAAAGCTGGCTGGGTGCAGACTGCGCTGGTGAAGACTGGATGGCAAGGAGGTGCATCTATCACACTCTGGACTGTCACTGTCAGGCACTGGATTCCCTGAGGTTCAGTAGCTCGTGATGAGTCTGTTCATACAATGCAGCTGCACTGCTGTCTATACTGTGTGCGCATACCTTTCAGGTGCCGCTGCAGAAGACACTGGCACACTGCACTTGGCTGTACAGATGCTCAAGTGCTCAGCAATCAGGCTGATCGAATTCTCCGAGACAGTATCCCAGATTTGGCAATTCGGTCACCTTGCTGGCTCGAGAGCTGAACAGATGTTAGGGCAGGCCCTGTGGATGGGAGCCGGTGCAAAGAAGTGTTTAATGTACGGTACACATTTGGCTGAATGCTAGCATCATTGATCTCAACTTGAACGAACTAGGGCAGGCTCTTCTACCGAGGAGCCTGGTTAGTCCATGGTGGACCTCAAGATCCAAGAGATACCGTATGGCTAGGGATGGCCCCTCAGCATTCGTGTAAGAAGGGGGTGTAGACCTGTAGGCTGCAAGGGTGCATTTGCGAGTTGACAAGGCTGCAAGCCTGTGCATATTGGCCCCGGGGTCCGGCTGCAGACGGACATGTGCATGCCCTAAGGCCCTCTGGGCTCTGGATTCGCCACTCATAAAGATTATTATTATTATAATGGCGTGACGCAGGCCTGGTAGGATCCGGCCCTTAAAGTATATGGGTGCACTGCAAGCGCATGTTGAGAATGAGATTGCATACATCAATGAGGTTTGTAACGTTTTATGTTGTCGTACCCAGCCTGTCCCTGCAAATGCTGCTGTCATTTACAAGAGACTCATGCTCTCATGCAGTGCTCTCGTGCAATGGGAGACCTGGCTTCCAATTGGCAATTGCAACTTCAGGGAAGCTGCCTGATGTCAGCAACGAAATGCAGAAGGATCACGCCTGTGTTCTTTCTCATCCCTGCAAGCTCCTACACCCCTTTAAGACAATTGCATTCTATATCTCTAGGGACTTCCTAACAAAAGATTCGTGATCGATGAAGATTATATTTTTCTAGCTCTCTCCGAGCGCCCATCGACCATGTCTGGTCTGACCCTCGAAAGCTTTGGTGTTTCTGTTGCTGTCAATGTCATCATCTGTCTCGCGGTTTTTTTCTTCTTTGGATGGCTTCGAAAGATGGCGTCCCTGGAGAAATTTTACGCGCCAAAGCGGTATGCCCTTGAACACCTAGATTTGTTCCTTGTACATCCTTGGCATCCTCAGGATGCTGGCAAGAGTCAGATGAAACGGAAGAGTTTGTACTGTCATGTTAATCGTGCTATGTATCTGCCTCGATCAATCCAACTGAGGTCGTGAGCGTACATGACAAGGTGCTTACTAGGGGGCTGGGATGGAACAGGTTTGCACGCACTCGGAGAGTCAGGCCTGAGCCATTGCCACGCAGCGTGTGGGGGTGGATCCCAAAAGTGTTGCATTATACACAGGACGATGTCGTAGAGCTGGCTGGCTATGATGCAGCCATGTACCTGCGCATTTTAGCCTTTGGTGTGGCACCCTCTGCATGAAACCTATTAATACTGTGTTGTTTTGCAGCTTTTAAAAATTTAGCACGTGTGCGATGACATCATCTTTTATGACTGTGCTTGGCTGACCAAATGGCTAACATGCAGGTATCGAGTTGTTCACTTTCGTCAGCCTGTGGGTCATCATAGTGGTTCTGCCGACGAATCTCTCAGTGAGCCCTTCTTTTCAATGCATGGACTACGGACTAGCAGTAATCTAATCGGTTGTGCTGTGATGCATAAGCACATACGGCCCTCAGGATCAGGGTACTTACACACAGGGGCGCCAAGTGGAGCACTTGATAGGCAGGAGTGCTGTGGAGCCCAGCAACTTCACTTACTGGATCCCGCCTCCACCGCCGCTGCCGCCTCCTGGGGTCAACCCCCCTGCAGGAAACGCACCACCCAGACCCATCAAGGTTTGCGTCACATCATCGCTCTTCAGCAGCGTCTCTACTGAACCTTGTTGTTCATGCACTCTGCTGCCTCCCTTCGCGGACTATTTGTTCATAACCTACAGTGCATTCTCTTTTCACTACGGCAGACAGCTGGTGCCACAAATAGAGTGCCAAATCATGCATTCTTTTTGTGTCCGCCCAAACAGGCACCAGACTTCTATGCTCCAGTGCCGCCCGCCCCTCCTGGCCTGGAATGGTGGCACTACCGGCCGGGTGTCCCACCCTTGCCACACCCCTCCCAGTACTTCCACAATGAGTCCTACAAGAGCTGGGGTGAGTAGCCCTGCCCCTTCCACCTATACCTTTAAAAATTGTCTGAAACAGGACCTTACAGGTGCATACCTTGACTTCGTATCACACTGCTGCCAGTCCTCAGAATTGGGTACGTCGTGGGTACATGCTGGAATGAGGTGAGTGGGCAGATCTGAATGGGTACTGAGCGGGCGTGTGGCACAGGTTGGAGGTATGATGAGAACTTCCAGGTGGTGGACTACACGTTCTCAAAATTGGACCTGACGACCATGGCCAACATCAGTGGCGGGGATCAGCGCCTGTGGGTGCACCTGCTCTCCGCATGGGTCATCAGCTGGTTTGTGTGGAGGGTGAGGTCCTCGTCCGGCATTCTTTTCATGCTCTGGTGTCCTTGCAAGTCCTGTATGATGCTGCATACGGCCAGACTCAGCTGTACTCCTTGGGTGCCATTGGTGCACAGGCCTGCCATGCACAAATGAGGCAACATCACCGCTGATCGGCAACGCACAGATCGTGAGGGTCAGAATATGTTATGCACCCACACTCCTCACTGCTGGTAGTCCTCGTTCTCATGCAATGTGGGAAGACTTATTACTGGCGCGGACTTGCATGTTGACATGAGAATGACTACTGCCCCTGGCGCAGCTGCTGTGGCGGTACAACCGGGAGGCGGTGGCGCTGCGAATCGCGTTCTTCATGTCGGCCGAGACCGGTGGCGTGGCGCACACGGTGCTGGTGCGTGACGTGCCCGGGCTGCCCTACGGGACGGTGGCCGCGCGGATCGAGGACACCGCCCTGCGCTTCCTGCCGCGCTTCGTCAAGAAGCGCCTGGTGGTGCGCCAAATTAGTTCTTGTCTATGGAGTGTCTTCCATGTACTCATTAGATTGTCTTGGCTCTCTTTGTGGTACAGCTCCTGCCGGTTTGCTGCATATTTTCATGCACCACAACTGCTATGTTCAAGCAATTGGTGGTTAAATTGCTGAGTTGCAAACAAGGGCCGCTAAAAGCTGCAGCTCATTTCATTGATCATATACCTTATCACGAGCAGCCTGCAGATTGCGCAAGAACGCCATTCTCACGCACATCCTGCCCCAAGTCTTCTCTCGTGGCCCTGAAACTGCGCGGGCATGCATGAGCAGCGGGGAGCGACTGTGGCGCACCGCAACGTGCTGAACGCGGTTGACACAGTTTTGGACCTGCCCTCGCGCGCGACCAATGCTGATGCCAGCGTGCACGGGCCCCCGGTGCAGGGCATTTTCTCTGCAGCCTCCGGTAACGACGCGCAGCTCGTGCGCAGGACGTCCTTTTTTGCAAAGGTCCGCTCTTTCGGCCTCATGGGAATGCCCCATGCACACCAGCCAAGTACTCTGTGGGGAGTTTCTATTGCATGATTTGGTCAATTTTGATAGAGCATGACTGCTAATCTATCCGGTAGTGCAGCACATGGCTTCTGTCAATCATTATCTGTCTAATGAAAGGTGTCCTCGATTGGAATTTCTCGGTGCCGTTCTCTACTCCGATCCAAGCAATAGAAGGTGTTGGAAAGGTCCCGCTCAAATCGGAAACAGATCATATCATCCGCTTTGAGCGGGACTTTACATTGCCTACATCGCCAGGATCTAGATCGCATGCCACCACGGATTACGAGCCCAGAGAGTGTCACACCTCAGATATGGACTGGGAATAACGGTACTATGCAAACTCAGTAGTGCAGCGCAGTGCCAATACCGTAAGTACCCTTGATGAGCCACCCTCTGCTGTCCCTAAATGCACTGCTTCGTGTTGCAGAGGCACAGCAGCGGGCACCGCCCTGCAACGGCACCGCTGGACCCGAGCGGGGTGGTAACAGAGGTGGACGCATGGGGTCCGGCCGAGCGCGCCCTTGAGTCCGGCCTCACGCCCAAAGAGGTGCGCTATACTTGGCCACACGCCTGACTCCCCCCATATATATTTTGCAATCTTTTTCTATTGTGAGCAGCAATCAGCACGCCAGTATGTTGCACTGCCATGCTGATTGCAGTGCATGACTCAGAGGAGATCAGTAGCAATTACATTCAGACAGTTTGTGAGCAATCAAGGTGCATTGTCACACGTGCTGGCATATTTCATATGGCGCACAAATGGTAAATTTTGGACATGTGGCGCAGATGGTGCAGCAGCACTTCCAGAGGCTGTTTGGAGGGGAGGTGCTGCGGGTGCACATGGCGGTCGACACGCGCAGAGTGGACGGCCTTGTGAGCGAATATCTGCACACGCGACAGAAGCTGCTCGACCTTCTCGACCCCACCAGCAGCCACGAGGACCAGAAAAAGGTGCTCCCGCTTGTAAAGCATTTATCTGTATATATGAATGGTGCTCCTATGAATGATGCACGCAATTGGGCCAGTCTCCAGTACAAAAAGTGGCTGCATGAAGATACGTAGCTGAAAAGGCTTGGGCACAACTCCAATGCCAGGGCCTTTATCCTGATCAACATGCAGGGAACCTAGTGCGTCCTGTGAATGATGCATGGCAAAATAGAGAAACAATCTACACCCCTGCATTGTCTAAGGGTTGCATTTGGGTGCGTGCAGGAGGTTGAGGCGGAGCTGTGCAGGGTGAGGTTGGAAGAGCTGGTGAGCGCCATCCGCACTGCCTCGGAGGAGCTTCGCAGGGACCCGGAGGCCGCCCTGCCTGCCGCCTTTGTCACCTTCAACACACGCTCTGCTCAGGTGCGTGGCCCGGATCTGCATACCAGCCCTTCGTTTCACACGGGCTGGTATCAGTCATACTCTCTGGCATTAAAGTCTCTCTTCTTCTATAAGCCATACTCTACGATGTGAGATGTTGCAGCAAACCATATATAGGCTTGCATGCATGTGACTTCATGGCAGGTGCCGGCAGGCATGCAAAGTTCACAAGAAAAAAAGTGTATCCTTCAAAGACAGCAGTGCATATTCTGCGCAGGCGGTGGCGTCTACATCCATGGTGCACCATGACAGGACGGCTTGGATCGCCACTGCTGCCCCCGAGCCCAGGGATGTCATCTGGGGGAACCTGGGGTGCGTTCTGCTCATCATGGCGATTATGGTTTGGAACAGAATCGTCCCTCTCCATTGCCTTCCGGCTCCAAGAGTGCTGCGCTTACCTTAACCCCTAATACAACTAGGATTCAGGAAATGTGAGGCATCAGGACTTATATGTTTTGCAGGTGGCGGCTGTGGGAGCGGCAGTTGAGGTCGGTGGTGTGCTGGGTGGTCTTCTTCTGCATGATCGCGTTCTACCTGCCAGTCGTTACCGCCATTCAAGCCCTGCTGCAGGTGGGGCATGCTTTGCTCACCACTGCCCGTGGCCTCCTAGGCAAGCCTGAGGTCCCAACGATGGATGCACGCGGAGCTGCTTGAAAATTTCTCCTGTGATAAAACTAAGTTTTGTCACAGTCATCAAGATTCTTCACAGTCATCAAGAAGATGGCCATTCTTACGTCCTTTGGACAGCAGGATTCAAGTGGTAGTAGAACGCATTGCATGCAGTCTTGCAGTCTTCCACCCTTCGTCTGGTCATATGATATATTACTTCTTTCTGTCTTTCAGCCTGTCTTGCACCATCCCAAGTTGTTCCAAGCCCACCAGCCTTGTTTCTGCGCTGGCACTCGCTTTTAGTTGCTCGGAAGCAGGAAACATTACATGCAGTGCTGCAATCTTCGAGCCTTTCTCAGTCATCTGTAAGTCATTCATGCCACTTTTCCAGCCATACTTGTACCAGCCAATGTGGCTCCAGGCATACCCCTCAGTGTTTGTGATTGCGCTGACGCTCCGTCTTCCGCGCATGTTGCGCAGATAGACAAGCTGGTGGATCTGCCGGGCATCCGCGAGGTGGCAGAGCTGCCGCTGGTGAGCGGGCTGCTGGCCGGCTTCCTGCCGCAGCTGGTGCTGCGCCTCTTCTTCTCGCTCATGCCCACCATCCTGGCGCTGCTGGAGCGGCTGGAGGGGCTGCCAGCAGAATCCGAAGTCGAGTGGGGCGTCGTGCAAAAGTACTTCTCCTTCCAGGCGCGCACACTGCTTTTTGTACTGCCTCCCATGCTGTCCCTGTGCTCTTTTAGCACCCCTGCACCTCTAGTTGTCCGGAGTGCCCATAAGAATTGCTGAGATTGGAAGAAGTTAGGCTCCTCACTTGGGCTCCAAAACTGAATGCAAAGAGTGTGAGCTACATAGCGCCAGTGCTGTGCACACTGCTTTTGTAGCGCAAGGATGAATGCCACAATAAACAACTCACATTCAGTGTCGTGAGGAAGAGAATGTCGAAGGCACATTTGCTGACTGTGGTGACTGCAGAAACTTGTGACAACAAAGATAGTGACATGTATGGCGCACGGCGCAGGTGGTGACGATATTCCTGGCGACGTTTGTGGCGGGGTCGTTCCTGAACCAGGTGCAGCTGCTGATCAGCGCGCCCAAGAGCATCCTGCGCATCCTGGGGGCGGCCGCGCCGCAGACCGCCTCATTCTTCATGTCCTACCTCCTCCTGCTCGGCCTCACCACCAAACCCATCCTCTTCCTGCGCATCCCCCGTGAGCGCCCCCTTCACTCCTTGCCTACTGCCTATGGGCCTTTTGCTTTTCTGAATGATGGATGAATAAAATCTCACCGTTGCTCGTCTGCAAGGACACTTGGCACCTTGATGCCCCCACTCTGACAGCTACTTTGCTTGTCTTGCGCAGTCTTTGTGATATAGATGGCATGTGGTTTTTGGATATACAGTGCATGCCCTAGACCTCCCCTGCCACCTGCGCTCATCGCATCGTTTGCCAGCAGCGCACGAACCTATTTCTATGGCAGCACAACCCACCAGTGCCAATTTCAAAGTGGTTTATTCTCTGCACACATTCGCAGAGCTGGCGATGTACTGGGTGGGGGCGTTGTTCAGCAAGGGTGAACGGGCGCGCGCGCGGCTGTGGATGGGGCAGTACATAGATTACGGCTACGAGATCCCCGACAACCTCATGGCGGTCCTGCTGGGCCTCACCTTCTGCGTCATCTCCCCCCTCATCGCCCCCGTGGCGCTCCTCTTCTTCATCGTCAACAACATCGTCGGCCGGTACCAGCTCGTCTACGTCTACGCCGAGCGCTTCCAATCCGGCGGCAAGGTGCGCTGCTGTCCCAGCTGCTGTGTCCCAAGCAAATTAGCCTGGGCGCACTCCCCAGTTTGTGTCAAGCAGGCCCTGGGTCTTGAAAAGATGTCCAAAGACTGGCTGTGTAGCACTCCCGGCGCTGTGTGTTTTTGGTAGTGTGCCTGTTGCAAGTGAACTTGCAAATTTTGAAATTTGAATCTGAGCCGGCAGCTGTGATGCCAGGCCTTGCATGACATGGATGGGTGGAGTCTTGGGAAGCTTTGCTTGCACCTGCCCATGAGATGAGCCTTGCGCATGTGGTGTCCAGGACAGCCTTTAGGGAATGGAAAGGACAATCTCTCTATACAGCTTCAGATTCCTTAGGATTGAATTTTCTGTGATGTGCCAGTCAATACTGAGGCATGCCGTATGTATTGGCAGTGCCTTACATAAGCCTGGCATGTGCATGGCAGCATGCACATGATTTGGAAGATGAACCTCGTGCTGCACAGGTGTGGCGGGAGGTTTCGGGGCAGGTGTTCTTTGCGGTGCTGACCTTCCAGCTGGTGATGGTGGCGCTCCTGGCGCTGAAGCAGGCACCCATCGTGGCTTTGCTGGCCGTCCCGCTGCCCATTCTCACCGTCGCTCTCTGGCGCTCGGCCGAAGTCCTCTTTGGGCCGCCCCAAGAGGTTCTGTCCTTAGAAGCAGCCGCCGACCTGGACCGCCGAGACCAGGTGCGGCAACACTTCTTGCCCAGCTGCACATAAGCTCTGGAAAACCCAGAAATGCACGGAAGCCCCACCAAGGATGATCTCACTGGCAGTATGGCCAGGGTCAGTGTGAAGAGTCCTTGCAGGATACTGTGCGAGCGTGCACATCTCAGGCTTAGCAAGTATTCTCACAAGTGCTTTCAAGTATCCCAGGATGTGCAAAGAGCGCACTGAATACCTGTAAAGTCAGTCAAGTCTGATGGTCATCAAGAAGAAACTGTAGCGCCCCTTTGGGAAGGTTTTTCTGTGCACAAAGTGAGTTGCTGGGAGGCCATCAAAACAGTTTGGCTTGTGTGGTGTCAGGAGAATGCGGATGAGAGGAGGCAGCTGATGGAGCGCAGCCAGTTCCTGGATACCATGTATGAGCCGCCGGCATTCAGGATCGCCAGATGGGACGCCGCATCCCTGCGCACAGAAGCTGCTGCGACCGCTTCAGGCGCCGACAGGATGAGCGCTGCAGAGGTGAATCACCCCAAGGAATGCAACATGTTGTGAAGTTCCCCCTCCGCTCAACACTTGAATGCTCCTAGTGCATCAGGAAGGTGTATGTTGTGCTTTCCCTGGGTTTCGGAGAGCACGATTGGTGTTATCGCTGATGGCATTGGACACACTGGCAGATGACGGTATGATTATATAAGGGTGTGTCGGTGCAGGATTTGGAGGCACAGGCAGATGAGGAAATGCCAATGATGGATGACGATGACCTGTACCAGGATCTGTACACAGAGCAGTTTGTAGATCGGAAGGACACAGTCGTGCAAGGCTCAAGTCATGACAAGGACGAGGAGCTGCCCTTGTCAACTCCCTTGCTGAAAAGGAACTCGCATCGATCATAAGATCCATGCATGGTTTCATTCATGTATATAATAGTTAAATTACACACAGATGCATCAATGACCTTGATAGCATATTTTGGTGCTTCGTTGTAGCGGAACAAATGCCCAAGCTGCGGCAATACTGACATCAGGATACAGGACATGTAATTCCATCTCATTCCGATATCGCAATCGATTGGGTACTATTTCTATTGATCTCCCAATTCAGATCAACAAATTGTCAATGGGCATATTCAATATTGAGGAGACTTTGCGGGCTCAGAGTACAGCAATAATACAACATCCACCAGTAATTATGATCTTTCATTACCACATCTCAGCAGCATCAGCACATGCACATTCGCAAATACAAATACAACTCCTGCCTTACACGCATTTGCACAAGGGCAATTGCGTTTCGTCAAGATTGCATACATGTGCTTCTTGTTGTACACAGGCAGACAGAGGCCACAGGGTCACTTGCTGCTCGATACTGCTGACCTCCTTGCTGCGCTGGCCGTGAAGGGGCACCACTTGCCTTGCACCGCCTTGTCTTCTTGCAGGGTTTCTTCTGCGCTCCTCTTGATCTGATCTGCTTGTCGCTTGCGCGGTTTCAGCCAGTCCACAGAGTCGGCAAAGTCACACTTGAGCACATTGCCCTCTGGTGACAGCTCCCTTGGTGTTCCCTCGCTGCCCCAGGCCGGCGTGCCATTCTCATATGGGTCTGCATGTGCCACTCAAGACTCAGTACACTCAAAAGCAATTCACCCTGTCAAAAAAGCGCCAAGCTGAGAAACAGCAGCTGCATGATTGACTGCATATGTGTCACAGAGGCAGCATGCAAGCATGGCTTATGGATGCAGGAAGAAATATTTTACCGTGGGTCAAGCGGCGCAGGTTTGTGCCATCCGTGTCAATGGCAAACAGGTCGCCGTAAGGCTGAAACTGGTGTGGTGTAGAAATCTCCTCTGCCGAATATCCTGCAACAGTCATATTCCCATCAATGTGCGCCTTCCTGCAATCTTGCAACATCCATCTTGCCAGCCGATGCCGAATCTGCTCAGTCAATGAAGAAGTTCTCATGCCGCCCCATGCGCACAACTCCATCAAGCACACCTAGGCAGTCAGGTCCTGACTCCCTGAGGCTACATAGTTGTCGGTGGGCAGGTCTGAGGCGTGCCTGCAAAGTCACTGGTGAACACGACAGATGTTTGTGATGGGCTGAAGTGGGGGTGGTTGGCCAGACCGCCGTGCGAGTCAAACACCTTCTGCAAGCCGCTCCCATCCGTCCGGATCTGAAACCCAACACGCAAATTCTTGCACACCCTCTCTTACAGACAAGTCTAGTGCAATGAACTCACTTGTTGGAGAAGCATCCAGTATAACTCATTGCACCATGGAAGTTTGTGGTGCTTCAATAACCTGTGGGCGGACAGATCAGCACCAGAAGGTGTCAGCAGTGCGCACCATGAAAATATCAAAGGCGCCGGCGGGGCGATTGCTCTCAACATATTCTCTGCTGGATGCAAACACGATCCAGCCAGAGGCGGGGGTCCATCCAGGCATGGTGTCATCCCAGGGCCCCTCTGTCAGCCTGATCAGGCCCGCGGCCTCCCCCTCTGTCGGCATTATGTACAGGTTCTTGAACCCGCTGCGCCCGCTCCTGAACACTATCTGCGCACAGGCATGCACACCATTGCTGCTGCGTTATCCGCTGTGGCTTTTCTGACATCCTTTGAACCATCAGAAATTCATCTACCGTAGTCATTGAAGGGGGGACTCTGCAAGGTGCAAAAGGTTAATAGGACTCCTCCAATTTATTGCTGTACATGGAGAAGATGAACGGGTGCAAGAGCTGGATGTGAAGGGGCTGTCTTACCTCGCTGCCATCGGAGGAGAAAGAGGGGAAAGCGTTGTTGCCGGTGCCGTTGGCGGTCAGGGTGAGCACATCCGTATTGTGCCAGTCCCCAGACTGCCCATCTGCAACAAGTCATGCCACCAGAGGGTCAGTCCAAGAGATGCATGCAGTCAGCCCCGGAACTCAGCAAGCGCTGCAGAGACTTCAGGGAATAGAGATGCAAGACATACACAAGGCAGATATACTTGCATCAGGCAAACATCAAGCAACAGCCTTGATGCAGGCTGCTTGTTGTAGCTGAATTCTCATGGAACAAACAATGCACAGCCGCCACACCTGCTAGCAGCAGAATGTCAACGACATCCTTTTCAGTGGCAAATGTCGGCCCCTGGGCGGTTGCCACGACATGCCTGCCTTCATGGTAGCTGGCTGTCGTCCCAAATGCAGGGCCCTGCAGCACACCACATGCTCAGGCAGTTGCAGCAACGTGACACCTCTCCCCCACACATCCCACAGGATCCCCTTAAGACGCTTCCAAACAGGCCACAGTATTGCCTAACCTACAGTCTCCTCTGACTGCAGCACACGGGTACAAGCACTGCATTCTGATGAGTGATTTTTCCTAATGGTGGAAGGCAGCAGGTGCCCACCTTGTAGATGACCTTCTTGTTGCTGCCATCCCGCTCGGCCACAGAGACGCCTGTGAAGCCCTCGTTGTACACGATGTAGCTGTCATCATCGGAGAACGAAGGAAAGGCTCCATCAATGCGCACCAGGTCAACATCTGCACACAGAAGTCAATTTTATCTTATTCCCTCAATTTTCAAGCTCTTCACCTGCATGCAGCCAAGTGTTCATTGTGCTGAGGTAGCACAATAACCAACCTTTGACAATGCTCCTGCTGCTGGAGTTCTCACAACTGCGGAAGTGTGCACCATGACTCACCTAAATTCATGTAATCTGGGGGGGGAAAATGGAATGTTGAGGGGCCTTACTGGGGAGTGGGGAGGAGTGGCGCTCGAGCACAGGGATGTGCTCCAGAGTGTCTGAGTCAGCACATCGGCAGCGGTGGTATCCCAATCGCTCCCCATCCGCTGACAGGAAGGGGTTGTAGTGATGGGTGGTCTTGTTGGTGATCTGACTCAGTGCCCACTCTCCCCCCTCATCCATGCGCAGGACCCCAATTTGCCTGCACACATACTCCCGTACATCACACTGCTATCTTTGAAATTGGCTTTGGAAAAATTCTTCTGAGCGCCTTCGGAAGTGAAATCATGCTCCAAACTTTTAGCAATTCTTGCTGCTTAGAAGCGCACAGCAGCCACAATGCATGCATGCACAAGTGCGAATGAAAAGTATTAGCGGCTGAGGGGGAGTGGCAGTACCTATATCCATCTTGATCAGGCGTGGCCACAGCTACCCAGTCCTTCCCCTTGGAGGTCGCCGGGGTGAACACATCGACCCCAGGGGGCGTGATGCGCGTAATGTTCCCACTCTCCAGCTCCACATTAAATATGCTCCACCTGCGCATTGCGCAACCACCATAAAACACCTAGATATTATGTAACATGAGAGAACATGCCATTGTACGACCTGTCATGCCAACAACGAAGGGGCACCAACCATGACCCTAATTTGCAACATTGCACAGGAGAAGATAGATGCTGGTGGCAAAGTGAATGTGAGCATTCGCAACGATGTATGCATGCAAGGCAGCCGGTATGGCCTGAGAGACATGCTCACCAGCCTTCTGGGGTCTGGCGGTGGAAAAAGATGCTGCGGCCGTCCCGGGAGAATGCCGGCCAGCCGCCGTTCTTGGCCACGATGCGGCGCTGCAGGCCGTCGGCCGAGCGCATGACCACAACGTCCGATTTGCCAGTCTTGCCGCTCCCGGTAGCCGCCGCCAGCCACTGTTCGTCCGCGGAGATGGCCGGGGAGTAGTCGGTCTCATTTTCTGGTGTCAGCCGCCGCACTGTGTGCCCCTTCACTGCATTTGCACCGGCCCACCCGCTCTTTACTGGTTGCTGAGGCAGGCAATGCAATTGGCAAAACACCTTAGAATATGGCCGGTCCTGATCTAAGCTGAGGCATGGGGTAGCAATGCAACTGGCAAAAGCTCCTGCAACAAGGTGTGGTGATCGAGGGAAAAGCTAATCGGAGAACAGGGTGGCACCTCCGCTGACAGAGTAGATGGCAGTCCAGCCCTGGCGCGGCTTCTTGGCGGGCTGGTGCGTGGACACAAAGATGATGCGCCCATCAGGGCTGTAGATCGGCCGGTCCTGCAAGGCAGCATGCAGATCCCATCAGCGCCTGCAGGGCTACAGATCTGGGCTAGTCCCATACGGCCACTCAAGACTTGATTATGTAGACCTTCACCTGAAGTGTTGGCGAGTATGTGAGCCGTTTGAGACTGGGCCTGTGGCCTCCAGTAACACCCTCTGCATGGCCCTTGTAGAGCTCCATGTTGCCATCACGCTCTGACACAAAGAGCAGTGCTTCGCCATCCCTGCGCAGGTATAGGGACTATTGGTGACTGCATCATGCATCTTTTACCATGCAGGATCAACTGACAGCACAGCAGCTCCTGGAGAATGAGTTCCCTTATGGATATGCAGGAGCGCGAGATAGGTTACCCTGCAAAGGCGCCATTGTAGTTCACAGAGACTCCATCAGTCAACTGCGTCTCAGCTGCATTGGCAAGCTCTGGATCCCGCTCATTGCCCATCAACTTGGTGTATATGTCAAAGGCATACTGCGCCCGGCCGACTGTGGCATACACAACGGTAGTCCTGGCCTGCTGGTCCAAGGTAGTTGTGTCTTTCAGAGACTCCGCGCTGAAGATGTCAGCTTCGTCCACGTCCATGCTGGCCTGCTTATAGATTAAAGATTGTATTGCTTTCGGCCGCAGTGGACAAAGTGCTTGTTTGTTGACAGTATTTGTCTAGCTAGCTAGCTACCTAGCCTGTAAAATCCTGAACACATTACTTTTGAAGCAATCGCCACGATGTTCCCAGTAAGTATCTTCAAAAATGAAATCTGGAAAGCTTCCAAAGCGGATGAAAGGTCCCACCTTTCGGAGATCGCTGGTTCCCTTGCCTTTCACTTCGAGGTCGTCGCAATGATGGACTGGAGTGCACAATGCTAACATTAATAAGAGCACAGCATGGAAATGTTTGATGCCCCAAATTATGCGCGTTCTCGATGCCCTCATCAGCAAAGAGGGTTATTTGATTGCTGGGATGGATGATCGGAGTCGTCCTTTTTTTGAGCCTTCGTCTTTGGAATTTATGCACGTCTAAAATCTTAATCTAGGATGCGCCCACTTATCATTGAAAGAGAAAAGATCACAGGATCTGGCAATGCCATTACCTTACATAAGCATGCAGGTCCAGGGGTGCATAAAAGCCAATACTGCTCCCAGTGGAGCCCGAAGATTGGGTCAGAGAAGAAGGACAGGAGGATGGGGACATGCTCGGGATATGGTCATGATTGTTGGTGATGCACTGATGATGCTGCTCTTGACCCATCATACTCACTGCTGTGACTGGACACCAACACAGCGGTACCGGTCAGGGCATCACATGGACTCGCAGTGGCCGCAAGACATCAGCTGGTCAAGTAAATATTGATCATGCGATTGCATTACCGGCTCATCAGCAAGCATGCTGTGACACAGCACCGCCAGTTCACACAAAGCACATCAAGGATCCAACACTGTAGAAAGTACATGTCCTGCACAGTGCAACTGCTGGCTGCCAGCTCAGGGGCTGCTGAACTTTGCACCCCGCTTTGATGTTGGACATCGGCACACAATCTACATGGTGAGCTCCATAATGGCTGACACAATGTCCCCATCGGCGCTTTTGAGTGCCTTGACGGCCTTCTTGCGCGATACATTGGCCTGTGTCATGACCAGCTCGATGTCATTGGCCTCCACGCCAGACTCGTCAACCTCACCATCATCCTCCTCGTCGTCAGCCGCAGCAATCGCCTCGGCCTGCAAAAGAATTCAAAATTCAATTTTGAATCAATCCAATCGCATATATACTGCCTCGAATGCATTGATGCTCGAAGGCATAGAATGCAAACTTATTTGAACCAATTGAATCTCATAAGTACTTGCTCGCTGTCAAATATGCAACCTTACTCTGCCGCTCAGTCGTAGATGTCTGCATCTCTCTCTCAACTGGGAAACGTGCTTCAGTGTTATAAAGATGCAGAGATGGAAGGCCTGAGGCATGCTGGCAGTTGAGAGCACCAATGATAATGAACAAGTTCTGCGTCACTGGCGCCAGATAGTCAGAAGTCAGCCTGGCTGGTGAGGTGTACCTTGTTGTCAGCCATAGAGGGCTGCTCCTTGGGCACAAACTGCTCGGCAGCCTGCGCGCTGGCCTGCGCGCTCAGATCCTCAATCTTGGCCTCGCCGAAGATGACATAGGTGTCCGAGTTGGGGCTCTTCAGCACGTCCGGCTTCTGGATCACGAACAAGATCTGTGCAGCACAGGAAAGCGATCAGTCTCAACTTAGCATGCTGACGTGCTCCTGAAATGCCAGAGAATTCTTGACAGAATTGGATGACGAGCGCGTGCAGCTTTCAAGAACTCACGTTCTTGCTCTTCTTGATTGTGACACGGGTGATGCCCGGCACAGGCTTCATGCCGAGCTTCTGCATTGCCTTCCTGCTCTTCTTCTCAGAGCGGCTCTGCTTGCTCCTGGAAGGGGTGCCGTCATCTGCACATACAAAAGGGTTTTCAAGTGTCACATAGATTGCCTGAAAGGATGATTTCTCCTTAGCTGGGATCACGAACAAGGCACTGCCACCTGCATCAACTGTGATAGAGAGAGCTGTGGAACACACCGGCCTCAGCGTCAGGACCATCATCCTCCACGCTGCTGAGCTCCGAATCGTCGTTGTCAACATCCTGAGGAACCAAAATATACATGTCGATCCAGGACAGCAATATCAGGGTCATGGCCAGGTGTGTCTGTACTATACCGAGTTCGAGAGACGCAAATCGTTGCATTGGTTCAAAAATGGATTAAATGCAACAATAGAATACAAGAATCAATCGTGCTGTGCATAAAGACCATTTTATGCTGTCCTCCAGGCGGCGGCCTGAGCGATCAAAAGCAGCAGTCCTTGGCCTAAGGCTTACCTCCACATTGTCCTGCTCGGCCTCAACCTCCGCCCTTGTCATCTTGGATAATTCGATCAAGCTCAGTGAGGCTTGCGGGACAGTCAACCTTTACAGACCTTCCTTTCCTGCGAAAACCTTAGCCCATCATCGATGACCTTCAGGCCCTGACATAATATAGTAAGGCGCATGCACCAAATTGTGTTTAGGATTCGAGAATTCCTTGAAAGATCCTAGAGAACTTTCCAACATTTCCAATTTTAAATGCGACATCGGGAGTAGGAGAAGAGAATCGTATTATTTGACGCGGGTTTTGGTGGACATCCTTCTATCACATTAAAAGAGAAACTGCCCATTTGACTGACAGCGCATCTGACGTCCTTCTTCACTTCCAACATAGGCTGCTTATCCGAGTACCTCTAGTTTTGGCAGCAGAGCACCAGCCAGTAACACGTTGCTGCAATGAACGAGCAACAACAAGCAGCATATTATGACGATCTGAAGACGCGTGGGAGCGGTGCAGCCTATGCAAAGCAGGGTTTGGGCTTTTCTGGTGGAGGGTGAGTCTTACATTATGAGATAAAAAATCCGTGCAGATTTACATGTTTGGGAATGTACCCCATCATGGCACAGGACCTGTAGATCGGAAATGGAGGACTGCATTCAGCTCAAGAACTGTGACTCACTGCATCAGTTCCTATCCCAAGCCATTGTTCCTTTCATAGGCACCAGCGCATAGGCTGAAGTTCTGTTTGGACAATGCAGGAGAGGCATCCCGGCGGGTCGTGGCATGCCAGCAGCACAACACATGCCCGGTAGCCTGACTGGCGCAAATGGGCCAGGACCTCCTGGTGCTGTGCATCCGCGGCCCCCTCCGCATCAGATGCCCGGCCCGCATTTCATGCCTGGGCCCCCACAGAGACCACCGCATGGGGGCCATCCGCCACCTGGCAGACCCCCACCACAACAAGGAGGCCCGCCGCAGAGCCTCCCACAGTTTGGCAGGCCTCAAGGCGGGCCCATGGGCATGCCGCCGCCTCCTTATGGCATACCGCCCCCTTTCAGCAGGCCCCCCAGTGGCATGCCACCCCCAGGAATGCGCCCACCAGGGGTGAGCCCAGCAGCCCCCTCTATTGAGCTCTGCTGGTGTCCCCCTGCCAACAAAGATGCTGGGAGTATGTTTTCTGCCATTGTGTGGGCGTAAGGCAGTAGGGAGGTTTGTGACAATGCCCGAGTTTGTGAAAAACGCTGTGAATTCAATGCAGATGCCACCAATGATGGGATTTCCACAGCCGGGGCCGCCTGGACAGTTCATGGGGGGCAGGCCACCGCCTCCAAGGCCGCCTGCCTCCAGGACACCCTCTGACGGCCCTGCCTCCTCAGGCCCCTCTCCTGGACCGCCACCATATTTCCCAGGTACAAACCCTGCACGTGCCTTGCGCAACCTGCAGTATGCTGCGCAATGTCTTAGATTCTTATGTTGACTTGCACAACTCCCTTGCTTCAGAGTGTGGCCATTGTCCTGCATTGTCGAGGGCTTTGGGACTTCTCAATTGAGCCACACATGTTCTAAGGTGATCCGAGAAGTGGCTGTCAATGCATTATTTCTGTACCATATTCTCCTCCCAGGCCATTGAGCGCCTTCTTTGGGCTTTTGCAGGTCCTCACCCCCAGTTTCCACCGTTCCCAATGGGGGGGCCGCCCTCAGCTCCTGGGCAGGGCCCATTGGCGCCACCTGGCCGCCCGCCACCAGCCTGGCACATGCACCCGGGTGGGCGCCTGCAGCCAGTTCTTTCACCAGTCAGTCAGACACATGCCGGATGTTCCTTCAGCGCCTGTCAGTCTGTCACCTGGGTTCCAAGAGCCAGATATTTTTGGTGTTTTCAGTTGGTAAGGATACCGTCGGTATTCTTTAGTAAGAAGGCAAAATAAAAGCATGCCAGAAGAGGTGACCTGATATGAGATATTGACACCATGCTGCAGGTCAGCAGCAGCAGCAGCACCCTGCTGCAACACCTCTCAGCCAGTCCTACAGCGCAGCCGCTCCAAGCTCTGGCCAAGAGTCCGATGCAGAGGCGCTGCGGCAGAAGGAAGCCAGCGGATGGATTGCTCACAAGGCTGAGGATGGCCAGGTGTGCTCCAGCAGGTTTATGACAATATGCAAATCACGCATCTCCACACTAGCTGATGTCAAAGCGGAAGGTTGCACGCCTCCTTCCAGTCGTCCCATTTTGGATCAGCTCCTTGGGAGCTGCAGAATTTGCACATTATCAGCTGCGTGTTTGAGTAGATTCCCTTAGTTGTGGTGAAGGAAGCTCCTGAGGTGTCTACACAGGTGTATTACTACAACACCCTGACCAATGAGTCCACCTGGGAGAAGCCGGTGGGCTACAAAGGGGACTCCAGCAAGGCATCTGCCCAGCCCAAGCCCCTAGCAACCCAGATCATCAAGGGCACCACTTGGTCAGAGGTGGTGTGCGAGGATGGCAAGAAGTACTTTTACAACACCTCCACTCTGGTGAGCATGCTGACTTTAGAGGCTGCATTGCCTTCAGCACCTTGTTCTTATGCATGTTACTTGGAGCAAATTTGACGCAGTGAGTCTTGCATGTGATCGCAGGAGACATCTTGGACTATGCCTCCTGAAGTGGAAGCTGTCCGCAGCAAACAATCCCAGGTACAGTCCTTTGAAAGCCAGTAATGCTGTGGCAGCGCCCACTTGGTGCATCTATCGAGCGACATGTTCTGCGTTGCAGGTGTCTGGGCCGGCCTCCTCGATCTCTACAGCAGCTGCCGCCCACCTCGCCCGCGCTCAAGCCAACCTTGGTGCTTCCCACATTGGCGGTGCCTCACCCTACCTGCCTCATAACCCCCCTCTCCATTTGCTTCATCATCGTAACGACTGCCTCTGCAGCTTAGCCCACCGAGCCACTCACGTTGTTTGCACTGCACTGTCAAAAGGTCACCCTGTTTGTCTGAAAGGTGCACTGCTAATAAAGATGTACTGACTTACCATGAATAGATCATAATTTTGAAGTCCCATGTGTTTTATGGAATTTTCTCGAGCTTCTAGGGGACAAGCAGGTGTGTATCTGCCGGCGCAGGCGTGGACGAGGACATGACGTTCACAGAGGACGACATTGCGCCATCGGCGGATGCGGCTGCGCAGCCGCCACCGCCCGAGGAGGCGCCGCCGCCGCTGCCGAAGAAGAAGAGCGCGGCAGAAGCTGCGCAGGACTTCCGGGAGCTGCTGGCGGAAAAGGTACTGCAAACAGCAGCCTGTCGGTGCCCCCTGCCGATCCGGTGTGTCTCACGACCCCCCCCAACCAACCCTTGCCACCCCCGCAACAGAGGATGGCCCACGCGCGCTGCGATCCACCCAGCTCCCCTTGTACCAACACGAGTTCTAGTATCCGAAAGACTTGATATGTCGTTGCTCATCACACCCCTGTCTTTTTGCTTATCTGACGAAATGCAATGCATTTTATTGCTCAATCACTCGTGGCTCTTTGCACGTCTGTTCAGCATTGTCGCGGTTGTGTGCATTTGTCTGGTCCATCGTGAAGCGACCTTGGGAATCAATACCTTGTCTTGTGTGCTTTGTCAAGCCCTTGTGCCTTGAGAAGGTGCTGAAGGTGGCTGGGTGGGGCGGCGCTGTAGGGTGTGACGCCATTCTCGCGGTGGGAGCGGGAAATGCCCAAGCTGATCACTGACGGCCGCTGGAGCGTGGTAGGATCGCTGAAAGAGCGCCGCCTCATCTTCGACGACTTTTGCAAGTCGTCCGCGGCCGATCACATGCGCCAAAAGAGCGGCAAGGCCGACGGCGCCCGCGCCGCGCGCGACGGCTTCCACGCCCTCCTAGACGAGGCCTCTGTCCAGGGTGTGCGCATGTCTGGCACCCGGAGTTCCGTTTCACCAGGCCACAGAAGTACCTTCACATCTCCCCTTTGCCTTACAGGCTGCGAGAGGCATGCCTTACAGTATCATTCTATGTATCCTTGGGTGTCACAAGATCACAGATGTGCCCTGGCAAGACAGAGTATAGTGATAAAAGCAGCTTGTATTTGTCAGGAGGATCTGGATTCCTTGTAATGTACTGCTCCTTGACAGTAGCTGCGGCGCTGATGGCCGCACTGTTTTTTTAAATCTGTGTTGCACTATCGTTCACTCACAGCTGGACATCTGGGTTGCTTGTATATGGGCTGGGCGTGCTTAGGCACTGATGTGCTGCAAATGCAGGCAAGGGTGATGAGGAAGGGGAGACGGTCCCGGGCATTGGCGCTGACACAACTTTAGAAGAGCTGGCTTTACAGTGGGGCAACGATCCCCGATGGAAGGTGTGGCGCTGTGTGCAGACATGTGCAGCCCCAGAATCCAGAATCACTTAGCACCAGGTGTTTGCTGCCACTAGACCTCCCAAGTTTCCCTCTTTACAATCCTGCCCTGGGCGCGTGCAGGCATGCGATGGGAAGCTGCGGGCGGAGCTGGTAGAAGCCAGGGTGGCTCCCCTGAGGGCCCAGGCGACACAGAAGGTGCAGGTGTCAAAACAGGCGCACGAGACAGCCTACAGGCAAGCGCCACGTCTCTTTGCCTTGTATTTATATGCCTTGCTGCAACTTGCTGAGGGGTGCATCTACAAACCCCTTGCTAGAAGGCCTACCTGTAGAAACTTTCTGGCAGAAGGGTGGTTCAGGCAACAGAAGCTGTGCCATCTGTATGTGAATGGCCTGAAGTGCTTCCGAGCATGACAGCGTGGAGCAAGGTGTGAAGGCAGATCCAGTAACATGCCAATGCTTGCTTCTTTCCTGGCCACCCCTGAAGGAACAGTTGCTAGATGATGCCTGTTGGGTGCATCAGGGAGCTTCTGCGGCAGCACAAGGTGGGCCCGGACGCACGCTGGTCCAAGACAAAGGAGGCGCTGGCAGCGGATGACCGGTACAAGGCGCTGCCCAGGGACGACAGAGAGCGCCTCTTTCGCGCCTACGTGGCCGAGCAGGAGGTGTGCTCCTTTGCTCGATCTCCTTCCTTCCCACCTTAACCGTTGTGGAGTTGAAGAGGCTGTGTTTGCAATCAAATTCTCCAGCAAACTTGCGGATTCTTGAAAATCAGAAACATGAAGTGCACAACCGCTCTCGAGAAAATGGGTGCACCTTGTGGTGTTAAACACTGGCATGCGAGACTCGCCCTTGGAGAAGTTGAAGGACCTTCTGCCGTGAAATGCTGGCATGCAAAACAGGCGTTCGGTTCGCTCTATTGCTCCAGTCAGTGCGGTGTGTGAGGTTGCCAATCTGCGCGGCAGCCGCGGGAAGTGAGGATGCCATCGTGCATTTCCCATCCTCAATGATCATCGCTTCAGCTTTAAGAGAATGCGCACATCAAGCATCAAATGCGCGCGTCAGGCGCGGGAGAGGGCAGAGCGGAAGGAGCGGGCGGCGAGGGAGGAGAAGGAGAGGGAGGCGCGCGCAAAGCTGGCACGCGATGCCGAGGAGAGCGACCGCCGGAGGCGCAAGGCCGGCGCGGCCGACGCGGCCGCCAACTTCCAGACGCTGCTCAGCGAATCCGTCAAGGACCCCGACGCCCCCTGGCACGACTGGAAGCTGCGCCTCGCGCGCGACCCCCAGGCGCGTCCCTTCACAAAACCTTGTATAAAGGAGTGATAGCCTGCCTAGGATACGGCAAAGGACAACCTGCAGGACACAAACCCACTGGAATTTGTGAGACAGACCCGGAAGCAATGGTGCTGGTGAAAATGACCCCCTCTTTGGAGTGTATCTCTTGTGAAGGTTTACCCGCGATTTGACGGAACACAACATGCAATGCCTGCCCTCATACTGGTGAGTATGAAGGAAGCTGTAAACAGGGGGGTGGAAAAGCTTTGACAGAGAGGCCAAAGGTGAAAGATTGGAGGAGTGCATGGCATCAGGATTGCTGAACAGGTGGGTTGAAATTGGTGCAGGGGCGGTTCAGCAACCCCAATCTAGACCCCAAGGTGGCGGAGGGCCTGTTCCGGGAGCATCTTGTGCAGCTGCAGAAGCGCGCAGTGGACGGCTACATTGAGCTGCTGGAAGAGGTGATAGCACACCACTGCATGGCACCACCTGCATGGCTGCACATCCCTATTGCCAGCTTCAGCTTGAATCCTAACTGGAAAAGTTGGACTCTGCAAGAATATGTCATGATATTACGACAGCCCACGGGCAGAAGAGCAGTGAGATGAGCAAGCTGTGGCTTTATTTTGAGAGGGACAAAGATCACGGCTGGCGCTGCAGGTGATAAAGCCGATGCTGCCCAAGAGCAAGGCGAAGGACGAGCCGAGGGCGCTGCGCAGCTTCTCGGAGGCAGAGAGGCTGATGGGGGAGGACCCGCGCTTCCTGCGTGCCCCTGCCAGAGACAGGTGCTCTCTCCTGTCGCCGCAAAGCTTCAGTCTGGAAATTGGAAAGACTGATGCCAGGGACTGCGTTTCTTGAACGTACTAGTGACGTGAAATCGTCCTCATATGGCCTATGCAGGCTCTGACATACATCGCTCTTGTGCCAGCCACTTTATGGCTGAGGGGGACGATCTGGTTGGCATGCTAAATGACTGCTATCAGAGTCATGCAAACAACCAGTTCATGACCGAGCCAGGCCTGTCTTTGCATCCTGCCCTTCCTACCAGGCGCTTTCGTGTATAGCAGGTCAAGCTGGCGCCTTAGGGTCCAGTGGATTACAGTTCTACTGACTGTAGTAATGTTGACATTCACTGTCGGGACGGCGCAACAAGCAGGGAGAAGCTGTGGCGGCGATTCGTGGAGGACATCATTTTGGAGCGGGACGATCCGGCAGCGGCCGCGCGACGCGGGCGGCTGACGAGCTCGAGCCGCAGCGCCCGGGGGCCGCACCTTAACGACGCGTCTGGCACCGTCACTGACAAGGCCTACGAGCGCGAGTACCTTGCCCACGATCGCAAACGCATCAGGAGGGATTGAGCTTTTGGATTTTTGATCGAGGGAGCATGTTGCGGCGTGTTCGCTTATGATTTGTTCAGGGAGGAGAGGATTGATGCCAACACCCAAATCACAAGAATATTTCAAACAAGCTCGAGCTGGTGCCAGTTGAGTTGATGGTGTTTCAGTGCATTACACTGTAATGATTACAGATTCATTTCTTCATTTTGGGGGACGACTGGTTTGCTTTGCCCCATTACAGACAAAATCCTACAGCTGCCTAGTTCCCGGTCGGTCACTAATGTGATGGCGCTTGTGAATGCCAAGATGCGTCACGTCGTGTCACTTTTAAAAGCAAGCATCAATATGAGCCAGTCATGTAACATTAAATGACTGTACAAAAGCACACTACAACTTTTCACTCCTCCACTGCCGCTCCAGATCCTGCGATTGCAGCGGCTGCAGATGGGTCACTGGGGATGGGTTCAATGACTCCTCCCTGTATCCTCAACTCGGGGATGGGCACTCCCAGCCTCCGCGCCAGCTTCTTCATCACAAATGTCTCCGAAGGCTCCGCCAAAGACACCACGACACCATCCCTGCACCAAAAGCATACATCTCAAAGTCATGCAAAGCACATAGATCCCTCGCAACGGCATGCAGGAGTCCAGTCACGCCTAATAAAATGGAGTGATTGAAAGCAACCTCTGTTAACGGTCTCTACCGTTCAGCATCAAAGTTTGGGTCAAAAGCAGGCAAGGAAAAGAGAATCAAAAACTGGGGCAGAGGGGCAGCACCTGCCGGCGCGGCCGGTGCGGCCGGCGCGGTGGGCGTAGTGGGCAGCATCGCTGGGCAGCTCCAGGTTGATGACGGCATCGCAGTCCGGCAGGTCCAGTCCACGCGCAGCCACGTCGCTCACAATCAATGCCCGAAAGTCGCCGCGCGCGAATCTCCGCAGCATGTTGGCGCGCTCGGTCTTGCCCATGTCCCCGCTCAGTGTCCCCACCGCCATCTTGTGCACCTCCAGCTTGTACTTGGTGTCCTGCAGCACAGCCCACTGACACTCAAACAAAACAGCCTGGGCCGGAGGTGTCTTATTTTGCACACGTTGCATAACATTGCGAGGTAGCCCTTTCTCCCTTCATGTTGGTCGCACTACATTGTATGTCTTCACTGACATGTGCTTAGAGCAGGTCTTCCCGTCGCTAGCCTCCGATTGGCATGGCTTCTGCAGGAAATACCGCCTTTCCACCGTCTGTTTGCTTGCAGTGAAGGAAAGCCAATGAAGGCTCCTGTAGAGCACATAGACTCATCCTAGAAGAAGGCAGACTTGCAAACAGAGGGAATCGCAACACAAAGATGAAGAGAGGGGGAAGCAGGGCGCGCACATTGAGGCGCTGCTGGAAGTTCATGAAGACGAGGGCGCGGTGCGAGTTGAGGGCGTGGATCACGCGGCGAACGGCGTCCACTCTGTGCCGCCGGTCCACCAGTAGCCAGCCGTGCTCCAGCTTCGGCGGCATCAGCGGCATCGCGTCTGCCGTGCCCACTCCACCCGCGCTGCTCCGCGTGGCTGCGCGCACCCCAACACAAAGTCAGCTTTACACAGAGCATTTCAAGGTTTCCCATTTAGCAACCCAGCCCGACGCCACCGGCGCTGCCCACAGTCGCTGCGCGCACCCCAACACAGGTTGAAACATGCCCATGGAACCATGCAAAGTGCCATGCATCACCCGCAGGCTCGCTAGGCGTCTCCGCACTGTCTGAAATGCTCTGTGCAAGACAAGGGACGGCTCAACATGACCAGTGACACGGCGGTGGGGGAGGATATACCATTACAGTTGCATGGGTTTTTACTTCTCTCACACTGCAAACTCCTTGCAGCTACTAAAGGACTGGAGGCTTTCTGCGTGAGGGGTGCACCTGGGTTGAGGGTGTCGCCTGCGCTGAATTTCAGGTCATCCCAGCCCCACTGCGGCGCAGATGGAGATGCGGACTGCTGCTTCGGCTGGCTCGGCTGTGCCGCCTGCACCGACGAGAAGACCGCCTCTGGCTGGGGGCACCACTTCGCACACTGCACCAGCACCTGCACAACGGAAGAAAAATATGTTGTCAGACCTGTTGGAGGGCCAACCATACCCAGTCACAGTTTATGCAGATGCTGGCATCCCCAGACAGCGCATTGAAGGTCCACTGAAATGCCCTGTATGTATGCACGCACACCACTACAAAGAGAGGAATGGTAGACTGCCCCTATCCCACTCAAGAGTCAGCACTGTGCAATGGGTGTGCCCTTGCTTCGTGTGCGGAGGTCTCTGAGAGCGCGCACGTTTTGGGTGAGGGTGGCTGAGACGAGGATGGTCTGGCGGCCGGCGGGGCATTTGCGGCCGACGTGCTCAGTCAGGCGCGTCATGTCCTCCCGGAACTGCACCGCCAGCAGCTGGTCCACCTGTCAGCCCACACACAGCGGCCCTCAGCGCCGCATTAATGCATGCGCGCCCTGCTCTGCGCAAGCTGACAGAGGACGGTTGTTCAGAACGGCATGCGTATCAACAATTATGGTCCCTAACGATGCCGATTGGAGACAGTAACACACTCACGGAAGCAGAATTTTGTACTACCATCCTCTGACATCAAGCCTGTCAACACCCGCCGGCTTCTCCTTGTGATGTCCTGCAGCCACCTTGGCAACGTGCCGCGCCAGGTGCTTAGACACGGAATGATCAGATGCAACAGAAGCTGGCCGAAAACGTGGTGCATCTTTCAATGCCTTCCTGTCATAGGACAGCAGGAGCCAGCAAAGACCCAGAGGCTGCCCAGGAGAAGATTAGCGTGTAGACGTGGAGGCTGGGAGTGCAGACCTCGTCGAGGACGAGGATGCCGGCCGGGTGTGTCTGCAGCGCTCCAGAGCGGCTCAGCTCTGCCAGCCTGCCCGGCGTGCCCACCACCATCAGTGGCTTGTTCTGCTTTATTGCCTCCATCTGCACGGTTTGAAACACACGCTCAACTCCCAGTCATACCTGCGCCTGCTGCCTCAACATAAAACTTACACAATCAAACTGATTAAATAGCCTTGAGCACATTCTCCCCCAGTCTCTGCTATGCAACCTCTCACCACAGGAAATACAAGTGCTAATTGCCTCCTCTGCAGCATGCAAGCCCTGCGTGATGGATCCAGCATACTGCTCCGCAAAGTGCTGGTCTCCTTGGTGAGGGCATGTGGCTGACTCTCACTTCTCTTAGTGGCTCCTTCAGGATGCATAGCAAAGCCAAGCGAATTCGTAGGTACACACACTGCCATACTTGAGCCGCATGCGCCACGCGCGCTTGGAGGGAGACAGCAAAAGGGTCGGCACCTGGCGGTTGATGTTGGCGCCGCCGATGGCCTGCTGCACGCAGCCGCGCGCCTGGGGTGGCAGCAGCGCCTGACCCACGCGCGCGATCTGCATCGCCAGCTCGCGGCTGGGCACCACCACAACCGCCTGCAGGCTGCCAGCCAGCGCTGCCTTCTTCCGCGATGACAGCGCCTCAAACTCCTGCTCCGCCCTCTGCAGTGCCAGGCTCAGCACTGGCAGGAGGTACGCCAGCGTCTGCGCGCACACGCCCCACACATCACAGATCGGCATCGATGGCTGGCTTTTCGGTCCAAAAGCATGGTTACCGAAATGTGGCCCTCTAGCCTGTATATCAGGTCACTTGTCACACCACAGCTCTCCTCAGTCAGATGGACAGCATCTTGAGTGGATGTGCAAGCCCCATCCTGTGGGCTCGTGAAGCGCTTGCCAGGGTGAACAGTGCTGTCTCGGATGCCACAGAACAGCACGCTGCAATTGTAGATGCTGTTCCTGCCTGCGGCGGGGTGTTCTGCAGGCACCGCATTGAGGTGCAAAGCAGCATGATTTGGACTATACATGATGATAGAAGTGGGAGCTGCTTGCCTTGCCGGAGCCCGTGTAGCACTGGATGGCCACGTTGCCGCCCTTGAGCACCTTGGGGATGGAAGCGTCCTGCACCTGCGTCGGCTCACTTATCCCCATCTCGTGCAAGCGCGCCTGCAAGGCAATCCCATGAACTCTTTACAAAACACTTCAAGTGGCATTACTTTGCAAGGGTACGGCAATCCGGACAGATTTGGATGTCCCAGGAGTCTCACCAGCAGCCTGTCATCAACGCCCAGGGTGAGGAATGCTTGCTCTGGTGTGCGCCCAGAGGTGCTGGCTTGGCTGGAGTCAACACGCCTTTCTTCAAGCTGCGCCTCTGCTTCTGAGGGAGCATCTGTCAGTACAGCCGGCCCTGCTGCCCCTGATTCTGCAAAAGAACAGCCCACTCGTCACGCCTCTCTTGGAACTCTCATCTGCCACTCTCAAATTGATAATACTCAGGAGGTCCTTGCGCTAGGTGCCCACCTTCCCTGTGTCTTCTTGTCCCAACGGGAGCCTTCCTTGCATTAGTTCGCACTGCTCCACGCTCTGTGGCAGCCTTGAAGAGCATGGTGGACCACTTGACGGCAGCCTGTTTTGCTGGGGCAGCATACTGTCGATGACCGAGCATCGCTGCATCTCTAAGCAGCATCTGCAATGGAAATACACTGCGCATCAGTCTGGTGTTGACATGCCAGTTTGATTGTATTTAGAAGGAGAAAAGAGATGCCTTCACCTGCTGGACCGTCTTTGCTGTAAATCGCGTTAGCATTGCTGTGATATTTCAAGCCTTCGGTCGTAAAGGGTCCTTCCAGAAGCCACTGGATCGTCAGTGTTCAAGACACTGTTGCTCCGAACTTGCTCCGAGACTTGCATGTCGGAGAAGACCACCCTCCCAAAGTAGGCAACTGTTGGTCATGATCACCAGCAGGAGAACCTCAAATTCACGACATAAAATCTCATAAAAATTGTTTCGCCACTCTTCTTCAGTAAGGCAGCGAGCTTGATACCCAGAACCAGTGTACAGGCAGTTCACTCACGATTGGTGATCTGACATCTTGCGATCTGCCGATCTGAACTTGTGCAGCCCATTCTGTAAATACACTTCAGAGATACAGTTTTCTAGGCGGTACAATGAATTTTCAGGCTCTGAACGCTCGTCCCTTTACCGGTGTAAGGCACACATGCCATGCTGTGAGACTACCCTCTGTTAGCAAGGGCCCATTTAATGGTTCGTGTACAGCGATTCCCTTGTCAAGAAGACAAATTCTTAGCCTGACTCCAAGCCGTTCAACTTCCACGAGGTTTGGTCACGATTTTGTGGGTGAGGTTTGCACTTTATCATTGACCCATTCTCACCAAACAGTCAGCTCTCACAGGCCTTGCAGGGTAGGTGCTGGGAGAGATGAGGCGGAGACAGAAGTTCAGGAGGGCAAGGCTGCAGATCCACACAAGGCACCAGAGCAGAGCTATGATTTGATCAGCGCTGCAGGGGGCCTCCTCTTCTGGGCTGCCTTTGTAGGTAGCCAATTCCTTTGTCTCCTTGTCACAATAGTATGCTGTCGTGTGTGCAGCGCAGAACAGTGTTCAGACCGTCACCCAGACTGCCTGTGATGTGCAGGCTACGCGCTGCTGCTGAGCCCCAACCAGACACCATACAGGGACATGTACTTCCTGGAGAAGTTGAGCGGGCTCGGTGTCGACGATGGCGTGCAAGTGAATGCAGTCTTCACGCAGCTCTTCTTTATGATGGGACTCTGGCCTGCCATCTATGCAGCCCTGCTCGTTCCCTCAGCTCGCAGCGGCAACAAGGTGTGCGCTCTGCATGCATGCGGGCAAAGCTGTCCTTCTGAAGAAGCGTGCAGCTGACAGGTCTCACGAGCATGCTACTTTAAAGGACAGCATTATGGGCTGCTTTCTTTGCTCAATATGAGCAGGAATCTGATCGATTTTATTTCCTGCTGGTCAGATCCCGGCATGGCCATTTGTGACACTGTCCTTTGGAGTGGGAGTCTTTGCTCTGGGGCCCTACTTTGCCCTGTGGACGCCTTCAAAGGAGGCAGTGGCGCCGCCCAAGGCAGAGGAGCTTGAGGGCTGGAACAAGCTGGGGCTGAAGGGGACTGAGTCCAGGATTGGCGCCTGGCTCATCCTGGCTGGTGCTGTTGCCACTGTTGCCCAAGTACGCTTCCCACCCCACTCCCGGCTTGCCTCACCTGTTTGCTGACCCATTCAGACCAGAGCTATTGCATATGCATGCCGTCAGATTAATGGATGCTAGAGCCTGGACGCTGGAGGGAAGTTGCATGTGCATGTTAGAGGAAGGTCAGGGGTAAGTGTGCATTCTGCACGCAGGCGGCCTTGGCAGGAGGAGACGCATGGAGTGCATATGGAAAGCTCTTCCTAGAGAGCCGATTTGTGCACGTTACAACCTCTGACTTTGCGGCGCTATGTCTGTTCGCGCCCTTCTGGATGTGGAACGATGCGGAGAAGCGCCAATGGCAGGGCAGGTACATTCTTGCACAGCCCCTGACAGGTCATGATCCTAAATGGAAGTGTATAGGTGAGATAATTGGGGTTTGGTTGAAAGGAGGATCCTTGGGCTGAATCTGCTGTGATCGGGTGGCGGCAGGGAACGATGGCTTCCATTGCTTTCGCTCTTGCCCTTCCTAGGACCGGCAATCTACCTGACTCAGCGGCCCAGGGCAGAGAATTGAGTGTGGAGCTTGGAAGTAGGAAATGGGCCAGAAATTGTTGGATCTTTTGTGGGATGTCGCTGGAACAACAGGGGCGCCCAGGATTAGTGATGCCATTTAAAGCAACGATTTGATATGAAATGTCATGACTATGGTTTGAAGCCTGAAATTCGTGTCTGTAAGGACAGATACATGCAGAGGCCACCTGCTAATGCAAAGGGCACTTGATCAATGGCCTTCTTGAGGATGACTCTGAATCCAATAGGTGGCACAGTGTTTTTGAAGAAGCCTAAGCAGCTTCATAATCACTATGGAACATAACGTGGTTATTACAATGCCGAAGTGTACATGAGACCAGCCAGAATGAGAGGTGCAGTCACGATGCACAAAGCACGCTGTGCCGCAAGCTTGCTGTCAATTCTAGTCCAACTGACATTATGCTGCCAGCACGCCAAGCAACCATACGAAACAGCTGCAGGCCACAGCAATTGCTTTCTATGCTTCGTCGTGAGCCGCCCATAGACAGCAGCCACCCTGCCCTCCTCACTTCTTTCCAACAACTGCAGAACACAGAAGAACATTAGCCATCAATACAGAACCCACATTGGGAATTGAATAGAATATTTCCGAACGAAAACACGCTGGAAATATGCATACTGTGCTACAGCAACCCAGATCCTCACCTGCGTTCTTCTTGACACCACGGATCTTCTTGGTGCGGTTTTTCCTCTCCTTGATCTGCTTCCTGGACTTGTTCTGTGGGGCCTCTGCCAGTCCATTCTGCAATCAACGACACACTCTCGTCAAGCCTCAACAAACAGCCCCTCTTTGCAGCAGCTGTATGAGCATGAAAGGGACTTGCATGACGTCACAGTGGCAGACGGGCTCCTCGTCGACGTTTCACTTCCACATTGAAGGTATTTCAAGAGCATTCTGCGCCCCTTATGTCAGCAGCATTGAAGACGCACCCTGATGAGCCTGTACTTTGGCTCGAACTTCTTGGCCGCGTCGACGGTGTCATAGATCAGCCCAAAGCCTGTGGACTTGCCGCCACCAAACTACAACAGCAAGAAGCAGTCGGTCAGCCAAAGTGCCTCTGGTATCTGCCTTTGCAACAACTGCCGAGCACCTTGAGTATGCAACAATTAATGTCTAAGGTATCGCCATCCAGTATGATGTGGCTGCAGGCACCGCATACCTGGGTCCTGAAGCCAAAGACAAAGACGCCGTTGCTGTCGCGGACATCGTACATCTTTGTCAGCTTCTCCTTCAGCTCGGCCTGCAGACAAAGAATTGCATCAGATAACCGTTCTACAGACAGAAGTGAAAGTGAAGAACTCCAAAGCTGCCTCACTACATCGAGGCCTCCAAGCTCACCTTGGGCACATTAGGCCTGCCTGGGTGCAGAACATCGATCACCTGCATTGCAAATCATTGATAAGACTCTTGTAACGTATTTTGATAAAGGACAAGGAGACCCTCACTACAGCAAGGATGTCTGGCAGCCAAATCAAGGTGTCGAAGGCTCCAGGACACGATGCCAAGAAACGAAAGTGCTTGATCGTAATATAGCCACTAAGCATCCCAATGCTACCAGCATGCTGTAGACTCAGCTGGCCCGAGAAACTTACAAATTGCCGTCTGGCCAACAGCTTGTTGGTCATAAACTTCCTGGTCCGGATCGTGCACGACTTCTCCGCCATCTTTGCAGCGGCAGAAGAGTGTGCTTTAAAGAGCAAAGTACTGCCGCTGCCTCGCACTGTCTGTGGCCTTGTTGCTTTCGCTCTCCAGTGAGGCGGCTCTGGGTCCTTCTAATCGATTAGTAATATGGGATCAGTAAGGCATGAGAGTTTTAGGGTCTTGCCCAACACTCCTGCTTTCCCCTGCTCAATCTTAGATTTCAATCTATCGATCACAGAGAGACACGGACACCAGATTCAATAACCCCTCGATCAACCCAGTAGGCTCAGCCGTGCACCTTGGTTGATAATCTGACGGGCACCAAGCTCTACTTAACGTCCCCAGGATAAATTGAATGCGATTGTGATCTGATTTCTGAATTGCGACTGGGGTGAGCTGTGTCGCTGAGTTCAGAGATGGCATCAGAGGATGAGACACCCCCACCGACATCAGCAGTCCTCATGTCTATCTCGAAGCACTTGGCTGCTCGATGCTCGAAGCAAAGCAAAGTTTTCGTAGAGTGCAAAAGGAATGACAAAAATCCCGAAGCATGCCTCAAGGAAGGGGACGCTGTGACCTCATGTGCTATTGAAACGTGCGCCTTTCCACCCTCTTTGTGTAGGGCCCATTTTGTGTCGAATCATCTTCTAATTGCCGTTCAACGTCTTCTCAGAGATCTCTGGCTAATAGTTGATGTTGGCAATCCAAGCAGAAGGGATGAGGTCTGCTAATGCAGTTGAGTACTTAGCCCATATTTGCCCTGTAGGTTGAAACTAGCTCAGGAGAAGGCGCCAGAGGAGTTCAAGGCCTTCTATGAGTGCATGGACTATTACAGGTGCGCGCTGATGCAATGATGTCAGTTGATCAAGGATGTGCTGCAGACTGAGGGCTGCCGAGCCACTTACAGACCATGCAAGTCTTGACTGAGTGGTGTGCTGTACATGCAGCAACAAATTTGAGAAGTGCCGCAAGGAGCAGAAGGCATTCGAGGCAGCCTTTCCAGTTTCATGATGCTTTGCAATGCCGACAGGCCAGGTTACAGGCGCATTTTGTCCTTCTAGAATTTTGCACTGCTAGTACTGCCGAAGTGCAGCTCAGAGATCCTCAGATCCAGATGCCAGCTTAGACAGTAGCGAGTGTAAAGCTGTTGACCAAGCACTTGAAAGGCTAGAGACATCTGTAAAATCGTAATTCTCCGTGATTAGCAATTGAGACACCTTGAAGCGATGGGTCAGTGAGATGGGAGTCCATGTGGAGTCATACTGCAGACTCTGAGGCCGGCACGGTGGAGCTATCATGATGCTGATCAGCATCAGCGATACTTCCTGCCACCTGACTCACTGGCCTGCTTACCACAGACGAAAAATACATCCTTTCTTATGTATTGCCGCAAGAATTAACTTATGTTCAATTCAATGCCTGGGGGATTATTTTATTGTTGTCAAATGACGTGCACTCGCGAGGCAGCCCTTTTTCCTATCTCCTGGCGCTCGCTCTGCCTTGATGTCTGCATACCTCTTTCTCTAATTCAATGCCTGCGGCTTCAAAGACACCACTGCGTTGCTCCTGCTTTGCTCTGTTTCCCTGAGCTTAATTTGAGCTATAGCTTTGAGTAATCTTGCTAAGCTATAGCAAGATTCCAATCAACCTGAAAGTTGCACACTGGCAGTTGAAAGTGTAAACATGTGCCAGACAGTTGTCAGTTACAGTCACTCATCGCTTACATCTAAACTATCGCTTCCGAATCCTCAACATTTCAGCGTATTGTTACGGTACACGCTTTTCCAGGAAAGTTTTCCTAGCTGCGTCTACAGACAAGCTGCAGGGAAAGGCTGCCATATATCCTACCCTTGATGGACTCGCCAGATCCAAGCTTGCTTAAGCAAGACCCAATCAACCGTGGGCACGGTGCTCATTACCGCAACCCGCCAGCCGAGGCATTTTTAAAAGTTCTATGAATCCTAAATGCACAAACAGGGTCTAGTCAAAGCCAGAATAAACGCCAAACTGCCGGGCAATCCGCTTCTCCTCTTCGACATAATTGCCCTTGCCGCCCTTGGCCTGCCCAAGCTCCCTCTTGCGCTTCTCCTTCTGCTTGAAGCTCAGCCGCTGCTCAGCTGCTAACCTCTCCTTCTCCTGCCGAGCTTCAGCCTTTGCAATTCGCGCCTGTACATGACAAGCCGAGGCTTCCCTGAATTTCCTGCTAACATCTGCGTCTCCCACTACAGTTTCAGGAATCCCTTGTCCATTGCATGCAGGGCACATTGCATTTGTGCCTCCGCCTAGCTAGACGCATGAGGAGAGGACAAATGGAAGACACTGTGGGCGCCAAGAAGGAAGAAGGGGCTGCCTCGCATTGTATATACACAGCATCCAGTATCCAGATCTGCGCCATGTGGTTGTCTGACCTCCCCCAGCATTGTGCGAGAATGCAAACCTGCTCTTGAGCGAGGCGCTGCCGGCGCGCAATTTCTTCCAGCTTGTTTCCGGTGGCATGCCTGGTGTGCTCCCTGTCCTGAAAACTCTCCTGTTCCTCGTCCTCTGCATCATTTTTGGACCCTGTTCCCCTGAACCGATCATAAAGCAGCAGTCAGCGGGAGAGGGCCTCTGGGGTTGAACTGCTCTGTGCAGGACATGATGGTGCCTTCAACTGACGTCTGTGATCATCAACAAATTCTTTCGGATCAAGGTACAGCATGCCTCACCAATCCCAATTTGGCTCAGAGCTATCCTTTGGTTCAGGCACATAAAGAATGGAGGGGCCGCGTTTGTAGCCTAGGCGTTCCAGATCCTCTGGAGCAGGTTCTGAGGCAGCTGTCTTTTTCTTCTTCTTCATAGCCGGCTCTACTTCCCCTTCTGGAGCATCACTGGCATCCTCTGAGTCTGACCCTGAGAGATCTCCCAATGTATCCATGAATCTGCGAAGAACCAATATTAAGTTTCACGTGCAAGTCATATGCTGAAATTTTTGATCGCAAGGGGTGGTCCTCTCTGTCCAGATCAATTGATGTTCCCAAGGGGAAGCAGGCGTTATGCTTACTTCGACATTTCAGATGATTTATCTACTCTCTCAAGATGTTGTAAGCACCACTTTTCTGCGAACAAGCGGTGCTTGTGGCCTGCTTTCACAATATCAGAAGCAAGTTGATCGTTGAAATCAGTATAGACAGTTAAGATCGTAAGCTACTTTCACTTCAATGGAAGCTTTGATCCAATACCAACACAGGTGAGATGCAAATGTCCAATGGAACTCTGTACAGTGAGTCACCCGGGCCCCCACGTGGAACAGATGGAACTTTATCCGTTTGGTGGACAGCTCATACGTAGAAGGCCTCTTCATGTGTTGATCCTTGCTCAAATATGATGGATGTTTGATATCACCGCATTGTACAATATGCAGATGCATCCCTTCAAACCCCCGCGAACCTCTCCTACGTTAATCAATTGCTTCCTTAGGGTACCAGCTTTCTCAGCACCAGCCTTAACACCAAGATGTCGATGCAGATTCGAGGACTTGGTTTCACATAGACATACCGCGAGGAAGGGGCATTCGTTTCGAGCAGGATTACAACGTGATAGAAGGCAAGTAGATACTGTGATTTCTTACGCTGACGATCAGGCACCTGAATATCGCCTACCAACGCAAGGAGAGTCTATAGTCAGAGGCTCGGCGGACGATGACCAGTACGGGGTGCAAGTCATGGAGAGGTCAAAACCCCCAGCAGACATTGACTACCTAGCGGTATGTCCACTTCATAAAATGAGTATTAGTGAACAGCAGCTTTGGCGGTCTGATAAGACTATCTGCCAAGAGCATACGCCATGGCCAGTCTTCATCTCAGCGGACCAAGGCAGAGCAGAAGTCCCTCTCAGTCTATTTATCTGGCTGCGCACAGGAGCTCATAGCTATGCAGCAGAATGGCCCCAAGCAGCTGGGCTTCTTTGGGACGAGGAACATGGGCTTTCTCCATCAGAACCTCATCGAAGTGTTGAGCTACGCTATGGTCCTCACGGTGAGTCACGCTTTTTGTAATCTGAATGCCTGTGTGGTTCAGTTGCCATGCGTTCGTCACTGTCTCTCTCGATCATTTCGGCAGCCAGAGAGTGCTTGCATTCTTGGTTTCTGAGGCTGCAACTATTGCTCAGGACAATCACATCTACACATCTGGGGCGACCGGGACAAACGCAGCTGTGATCAGAGGCGCCTTGCGCGCAGAGAAGCCTCATCTTTTGACGGTGGTGCTTCCCCAGAGCCGCAGCAAGCAGCCGCCTGAAAGCCAGGAGCTGCTGGAGCAGGTGAGCCCACCAAGAAATAATGCTGGGCGGCAGGTTTTCTTGTCACGTAGCATCCTGATCAATGGCGCTGTGCGCACCCGTCTATAGTCTTGTGTGAACAGAAGTGCATCATCGCCTGCTGAAAATTCATGGCCACTGTGCGGTGTTGAGATAAATACAACGGTGCATGCAGGTGCAGAATGTCATTGACATGCCTGCCAATGACAAACTCTCTCTCCTGGAAGCAAGCAGGTCAGCTGTCTTGCACCTTATGTCCCAAGCCACACCAGCTCGCGCGCACTGTGCTTTGCTGAGTTCCCAAGTGTCTTCACAGAGCCAGGAAATGATGGGATTGGATGTTACAATGAGCTTTGTTGGGGTGCAGGTTATGACCAGCTCGCGCGCACTGTGCTTTGCTGAGTTCCCAAGTGTCTTTTCAGAGCCAGGAAATGATGGTATTGGGATGTTAAAATGAGCTTTGTTGGGGTGCAGGTTATGCAACCAGGACATTGTGGGGCGGGTGCAGCAGGTCATCTGCTTTGCCTTCCACGACAGCCGCCTGCTGCTGGAGACATGCAGCGAGGCAAAGGAGCAGCGAAAGATTGTGACCCTCTTCTATCTAGACTAAGCTGCTTGGCGATCACCGTCATGAATGGGGACAAGGTCGATGATTGGTACTGGGGCATCCCATAGCATAGATTGGTGGCCCTTCAGATGCTCCGGCTACCTGCCCCAAGCATGCACAGCTGCCGCCTGTCTTACACTTAGATAGTGCAGGTATCTTTTGGGTGGGTCGCTGCGAGGTTGGGTGAAGAGGCATGCTCCTATATTAGCCGTTGAATAATATCCAGTCCCCTTGTGTGTGTCTTTGGGATGGCGTGTTGTACACTACGGTTGCTGAGCCAGGAATGAATCCGCAAGAGCTGAGAAGAGCTCAATTTGCTAGAACTGAGTTTACTTGAACTGAGAAGGACTACTATTGTGCATGCCTGGTACCGCAGCAGCACTAGAACGCATATAGGTTTGTGGAGGTCCATCACTGCGTTCAGAGTTGGGTGCAGGATCAATTCGCTTACATGAGGTTACTGATTAGAAATAAGTGTTCTTGGCGCTGAATTTCTGCGAGGAAAATATTCTGGAATCTGGGCCACCCCACGTTGGGCAATAGCGGAGTTACAAAGTCTCAGAAGCCATGTGTGCCAGTACATTCCATGGGGCAAATATGTTACATGTACTATGGCATTTGGAAAGTGGCTATTCATGCATGGCACTTATCATGGTATCGGTGGATTCTGTTCCTGTGCACTGCTGTCCATCTAAGCGCTGTGCCGGAGAAAATATGCAGTGGGGACACTATCGCTTGCCGCACAAATCTCCTTGATATATTCTTGCGTATTTGTCAACATATAATATACAACTGTGGCACAGCCTACTCTTTCACTGGGTGCACCTACAACTGACCAGCTGGATATCCTGCAGTACTCTTAGAATCAAGCTTGGCACTGTCATACTTATTGCGTAGCCCTTGGCAAAGTGTCTCTCCCTGCACAGAGTAAGTTGGCAGAGATGCACTACACAGTAGCACGTCCAACTTTCTCGTGCATGCAACCCCATAGATACAAGGCCATCCTTAGCCGCGCGAGACCTTCTTTGGTACCGTAGCACTCCTTTCTTATTTATATACCCATGACCATTCGTTGCCCACAACAAGACGGCTTGCAGCGCAGCAGCAGAAGCGGTGCTCAAAGGCGGTATGTGCAGTCTCTATGGTGTGTGCATGTTTATTCAGGCCTCCTCCGCAAGCCAGTCCAACCTGTCTCGAAAGAGCTGTGCTGCAAATCTCAGGCTCGCATCTGTGGAGCCAGGGGCTTTGCAGGGCTGGGTGTTGGCGACGCCAAGGGGGTGGTCGAAGCTGCCTCCCCCTTCACCCTCTGCGCAATCCACTCCATGCCCTCCATAAGCCCCTCCCCAGTCTTTGCGCACGCGGCCTATTCCCAGCACAGCACAGCACACCCCATATCAGCCTGAGGTAACACATATCTATATGTGCTGTCACTTCGTGCAACGCAATTACACAGTCTGTCCGGTTGCCAGGCGCATGTTGTTCTTTCAGCATGCGGGCCAGGAGGCAGCACCTGTATGTGCCAATCATGGCGCTTGATGCTGTGCAGCGCCAGGACATCGCTCATCTCCTTGACGGTCATGGCATCCTTCAAGTCCTGCTTGTTGGCCATTATGAGGATGGCCGCCTCTGCCAAGTGTTCGTGGTCCAGAAGGTTGAACAGCTCATTCTGCACAAATCATTCAGACACCCGTTCAGATTTTCTGCTTCTGAGGTCAGGGACAAATGCAGACCCAGTACATGACGGACTTGCAGATGGCCCAATTTGGTTGTGTTGAGACGCATGCAGACTGACCTTTGCTATGGAGGCTCGTGCCCTGTCAGTGCTGTCTATCACAACAATGACTGCATCTGTTGATCTGTAGTACGTGGCCCATGAGGGCCTCAAGTTCGCCTGCCCGCCTAAGTCCCACACCTGAAAGGCACCTTGATCGCTTCAGCCTGGCTCCCAACTTCTGTTGTGCAACGATAAGGTAGCAATGCTGTTGTAGACGTACCTCAAATTTGAGGTTTTTGTATTGCACACACTCCACATTGCTTCCCACGGTGGGCTGTGTGACTACTGCTTCCCCTAAGTGGAGCCTGTATAATGTGGTTGTCTTGCCGGCATTGTCCAGGCCAACCTGCATCATGCCCTCACAATGTCACGGTTTCGGCCTGAAAGGGCTTTCAGATGAAATTATACACAGGTAAGCCAGGATCCTGTATTCCGGCAAGAATGCACAGAGGAAGCAAGCCCAACAATCTTTCGGCTGCTCTCTTTGTACACCATATTTCGAGCACACAGTGATCATACAGGCGTGCTTAGAGATGCGCACCATCACTATCTTGTACTCCTTATTTGGGAAGAGGTACTGAGCTATGAGGCTAAAAAGTTGCCCCATCGGGCTGGAAGGGGGTCAAGAATGAACGCCAAAATCTCTGAAACGACAGTCTTCTTCCAAAACTATGCTTTATTAAGATATGGTGCTCTGTTTAAGGCCAGATCTGGACACATCGCCTTCAGCACGGAGGACGAGGAGCAACATATTTAATGACGAGAGTCATGCAAGACGTTCACAATGCTCCTCTCCGAATTGAAGACCACAGAAAAGCATCTGGATTGACACTTTGCTGACAGTGCTTCTGAAGAACTCGCTTAAAGACCTCTCGTCCCATCGAAATGGCAGATACGCTATATGCAGTACTAGGCGCAGCCGACGTCGACGTCAATTCCTCGACATCAAATTCTTCTTCTATTGTCCCAAAAGCCAAATCAAAGCGGCACTGCGCAAGGAATGCTGTTCCTGTTTCCAGAGTGTTTGGAGATAGTTCTGTGGAGCTGCTGAAGTATGGAAGCTCTCAGATCGGATCTAATATCACCTATGTAGTTTTCGGAAGCAATCTATTCTTCCATAACGGCTTTAATCAATAGCTTATATCAAAGCAATGATTGTCCACAATCCTTTGCTGTGCAAATTGCAAAACTACGCGCCTTATAGGATTGCACCTTTGGGTGCGAGCCACAGAAAGCAGTCGATTGATGTCACAATCAGAGCCAAAACAGAGAGCCCTGTACCAATACGCAGACGTCAAGCGCTCTCGATATTATTTATGACAGCATCCACCCTGCAAACTGCTGCATCCGATGCAGGTGTGTGTCCATAGCACTCACTCTGTGCTCGTGGCCTTTCATCAGGAGCGTATTGTTGCTAATGATGCCTTACATGCTATACAGAGACAGAGACATCGCAGTTCCAAACGTATTCCAGCCCAAAACAGGGATACAAATTTCAGATACCGTCTGATTGGCAAAAGACAGAGAAATCAGGTGGAGCCCAGCTTGAACTCTGTGTCCTTTCCTGTCGCGTTAAGAAGAGGATTGCTGCATTGTTGCTGCCCTGTCTTCTCTCATCAATCCAGGTGATGTGATGGCAGGGGCAGATGTCCTTTTTGTGGAGCCAGCTAGCAAAGCAGGAGACATCGGGGTCACGGTTTCACCCGTCCGCATCAAAAGCCTGGAGCAGTTTGGCGATTTGACGGCTGTGGGTGATAGACTTTTAGCAGCCGAACGCAGCAAGGTGATCATGTCTCTGCTGCCATGTCCTTCTTACTGCAAGCTGCAAGTTTTGCGATGCCCATTATGCAGCGATGTTGTATAAGCTCCTGTGAAAAACAAGCATGCAAAGATTATTTCCTCACACGAGTTTGGCAATAGGTGATGGTGTGTCGAGAATGGACCATTGAACAATGGGCGTTGCTAAGCGTCATCACTCATTGCGCAGGAGAGCACGGAATATGTGAACTTGCTGAGTAGCGCTTCACGGAGAGGAGAGAATGGTACTCTAATATACTCGTATGATTACAAGCTTGACACGTCCCGTGGCAAGAAGCGGGTCATATCAACAGTTGCTGTAGCAGGACAGAAGCTTTACATTCTGAATGGCACTGTTAAATGCTCGAAACCTGGACCAGACTGCAGCCCACTAGGAGGGCCCGGGGTTGTGGAAAGTGTGCAGGCTGCATCAAGTTCTTTTGACATCTTGGCTGTTCAATAATGATTGGCTGTTCCGCATTCTGTCTGCGGAAAACCATTTGTGTGAGTGGGTGTACCAGAAGTGGCACAGCATATGCTGTTGAAGCTGGGCAGGCGTTCATCCAGTAAAATTCAGTCGTGCATGGGTACTACAGTGTAAGAGGAAGCCAACCCTCGCAAAAGGGAATTTACATTGTGATTCATTATCTGAAAGCGAGAACAGTTCAACATTCAATTGAGCATGATTCTCATCTAATCGGCCTACAGTTCTACAGTTACATGCTGTTCATGTAGGGCACTCGCGTTCAGGCATTTCAGAAAGCAATAGGCCTTCGACGATATATGATAATTAGCATACAACACAACTGAAGCCGACTGAAAGACTTAAATAGCAGCCGGCAAGCTCATCTATCCTACAACCATCAGCTAGTAGCTCAGCGGCCAGCTACTACTCAGTCCTCTCACACATCCTGACTCTCAGCCTGATACTGCCAGCCGTGTCACTGCTGACCCTCCGTTTCATGCATGCTCGTCTGCCGGGGCGCGCCATGCTTCTGGCTGACGCGAGTAATCAAGCCCAGGAGCTCGGCATAGGCTGGATCCTGGCGCGAGGGGGGCTTGCAGGCATCGATGTGATCGGCGCTCGGCAGCAGGACGGTATCTCCATAGCCGGGGGAGGCCGTCTCGGCGGGAACCACCACGAGGCGCGGCAGCATGGGCACCAGAGACAGCGGCATCCCCTCGCAGAAGGACAGCACTGCCAGCCGCCCCGACTCGTGCAGGCCCCGGATCACGCTGTTCACGTCCTGCCCGCCACACCAGAAATTTGCTCTTGCTCCCACCCTCAATTTTTTTTAGAAAGAGAGATGCAGACATCAAGGCAGAGCTAGCACCTTGATAAGAGGAAGAGCTGCCTCGCATGTGAACATCATGCAGCAATATTACAATGATCCCCCAGCCCAGGAGCAATAAAACCCTCCTTCACTTGCGTTGCGGCGCGCATATTCAGTATGGTGGTGCTTTAGCTGAGATGCTGCAAGGCATTCTCAAGTATTTCTCTGGATGGGATCAATGAATTCCTAGGGTGGGCAGCGTCCTTGGTATTTGAGCAGCAGATACCACGTGACTGAGGCCCATGGAGTGCCTTTCTCACGCGCTTCTTTCAATGGGGCCATCATCAAAATCTTCGGCACGTAAGACATGAGCAGGGCATGGGTGGGTCAACAAAGGCCGCACCTCGAGGTGGGACCCTGGCTTGAGGTGGACAACAGAGGAGGCGGGGGAGGCGCCCAGGAAGCGCAGATTCCAGCCGATGTCGGCCAGCCAGGAGCCGTGGTGGGGCGTCGCGTAGAACACCAGGCCGGCCGTCGCGTCCAGCAGCCTGCGGTGGTGCGCGGGGGCGCCCTCATTCGCGCTCTTCGCCAACATCTCCTTTATGAGGATGCCGCCCATGCTGCACCAGGGTGAAGTTCTTTACGTTGGCAATTTATAATGGTTTTTCGATCAGACGCTGCCAGAGGCAGGGTGCAAGGAGTAGCTTGCTTGATAAAGCTGTACTGTGGCCAGCGGAAAGCATGATGGACAGGTCGGCAGTGTGCTATTGTTACTTGAGCAGGGTGTAGGGGTAACTTCATATCAGTTGAAGTACGACATATATACCACCAGCTTCACTTTGATCCTTCCAGAGAGCAGGTGAAGGCTAGCTTGTGAGATAGAGAAGGAAGGTGACTTCTCGCACATCCATTTGTTTTGCGGAGCATGTGTGCTGACCTGTGGCAGACAAAGATGACTGGGCGCTGGCCCACCCCTGCGGCTGTCAGCTGGTCCATGAGCTGCCCCACAGTTCCCCACAGCGGCAGTGACTGCCCCTGCAGCGCAACACGCATGCAGAACTGAGAACTTCTAGCCAGACTGATACTGCATGGCACCAATACGGCATTCACTCCCCACCTGGGATACTCTTTCTCCCATTCCTCACAGTATCACTTCACTGGTCAGAGCAGCTCTTGTAAATCACTTGAGCCACACATGGGAAAGGCCTTGCTGCCACAAACATGCATACAGGATGCTTGTTGAGCTGTCACTGTCCGTCCTTTTCTTGCAATCAAACTTGAGCATGGCGGTGTTCATGCAGGCATTACAAGGCCCTGACGTGTGCGTCACTGCAGCCGCTGACATCACCCAGCCAACAGGGCTGCCAGAAAGGGACAGGTGCCGGGCTCTGACCTCCCAGCCAGAGGCAGGCGCAGCGTACTCCATGGAGAGCAGCCGTGCGGTGGGCATGTCATCGGCGAGCCAGGTGGAGGGCCAGCACTGGTCGTGCTCCACAGCTGGCGGCGGCTGCGGCGGCAGCCCGGGCGTCCGCTCGCGCCGCCACGTCACAAAGGGGCCCCCGCGAATGCCGTGCACAAACACCACGTCGATGCTCGGCGCCTCTGCAGGGACAGTCACCCCATGTGAGCTCACAAGGTGCCAAAACTGCTGATGCAGAAGGTAGGGACATCTGTGACACCTGGATACACAGCAGTCACATACCACTATGAATAGTGAGGGACACGAGGGTACTGTGGCTACTGTGATACACCTCCCTCAGAGTGCAACATTGGGCTCCCTAGCATGCCGAGATCATTCTGTTCCCAATGCGTGCAAATCGCTCCGCCACGAAGGCTGTTCAGCACATAAGAGGGCATGAGGTGGCATGGTGCTTACCTGGGGAGCTGGTGGCGGTGCCCTCAGTCGCAAGCACATGATGGTGGCGGGCGCCTGGGTCGAACAGGTGCACAGCGTCGCGCATCACCAGGCGCGGCCCCTGCAGTGCGGTGCTGTTTGCCTCTCCAATAACCGGCTGCCGCATGCCCACATCGTCCATCTGCACACAGCCCTCTCCACCTTTAGTCCATATGCAATTGCTCCCAGAGGAGCGCAGAACCAATGACTGCCTGTGACTGTTGCGGATGGCAATGGCACGCTGTGGAGGGCATGGAGAGACAATGGGGGCGCACCTCGGCGAATGCCACGGCTTGTGCGGATTCTAAATTGAGTGTGGCCCGCCGGGCATGGGAGGACAGCTCGCAGTCCTCTGTGGACGCGCTCACGTCCAGCCAGCGCTGCCAACCACTGCCCTGGAAACTCCCCTGCAATGCACACCATAGATACCATAGATGCCCAACCTGCCCACATTCTGCATGCCCCAACCAGGCTATCAGCGGGCAAGTGCCAACCTTGAATTGAGCACGCAGGACATGTAATTTCAAATGTATGTGCCCAACCTATCACCCTCTGCCCACAAGGGCATGCGCCCCCCACAAGGCTATAAGCAAGGGAATGCCATCCACGATAAAGTAAAGGAGCATCTGCTTGGTAACTGCTTGCTCTGTTTGTATGGTAAGAAACGAAAATGGCGTACCAAAGCGCGCTCGTCAGCGGAGAGGATGGCCAGCAGGCGTGCGATCTGCCGTTGCAGGGCATTGGAGATGTGTTGGCCCATAGCAGGGCTGATGTCTTCCTCCTGCTCGTCGCTGTCGTCGTCCTGTGGCTGCATGCCCAGGGTAAGCCTATACAGGACCTGCAGAATGCCTGCGCTTCGCAGCCACTGCTGCTTCGCTGGCTCGTTGGCCACCAAGGCGCACATCACCTGCAGCATGAGCAGCCGGTCTTGATGAACAACGGGACTGCATTGACTATGGTGCAGCCTCAGGATAGCCAGCCAGCACCGTTGCCAGATCGCAGCTGCCAGCTGCCATTCGGGTGCATCTGAATAATCATCCCATATGAGGATGAAGCCAACCGGCTTGCCTGACCTCTATTCCCTCATTGCTGCCTGGTGTTTTGTGTAAGTGCTCCTTGATACGCCTCTTGTTTCAAGCATTGGCCCAGTTAGCTTCATGTATCTCAGGCATGGCCCCGACTGGCGGGGGGGCGGACTGGGCACCGTGCTCACAGTTAATTGGGCTTTTCTTCGATCTGGCGAGTCCATCAAGGGGTAGGAATTTGGCAGCCTCTAATTGCAGCTTGTCCGCAGACGCACCTTGCCTCTTGGCAGGAAAGGCGTGTGATCTCAGGCCTGGTGCAATGCCGATAGGCAGGTTACCTTGAGGCATCTGCACAAGAGCGGGTCGGCCAGGCGGGCTTCCAGCTGCGCGGAGGCGGGCGGAGGGGAGGTCGGCTGGGCCACATCATCCATGTGCGGCGGCGGCTCGGCCCAGGATGCGGCGCGTTCGGAGATGCCGCGCAGCTCGGCCGCGCACCCGCGTGCGTATGCCGGCAGCACCGACACCGCATTGCTGTACACCGCCTCTGTCACCTCTTGTGGGGCTGTCACCTGCGCATCGTGCGCACATGTTTGGTTGATAAACGCTGCGTCATCCCTTCTGTGTTTGCCAAAAACATGCCCCCTGTGGTTGCATTGCCTATCACTCCTGCACACCAATGTGCTGGCCCCCACCCAACTTCTTCACAGGTGTAACGCTCGACCCAGCAGGCGATCTGGCTCTTCACATGATCAACCGGCATGTGTTAAAGAGATCATGCGTGCATGCGAAGGGAAAGGTTGTGACGGATGGCGAGCGTTGGATGAGCGCCTCTCTGATTGACTGGTATGTCTTCACGCCCCTTGTGAGGAAGACGAGGAGGTCTCCCAGCCAAGCGCACGCCACGTCCAACCCCCCCGGACCATTGTCAGACGCCAACGCTGCCAGCGCCTCGGCACATGCAAAGCGCAGCGGCTCCTCACAGCTGTCACTACAGATCCACTCCAGTATCTGTGTTTGCAGTTCCCATTTAATCAAAGCTCGCCTCAAAACACAAACTTCCGTCATTACTGCAGCACTTATCACAGCAACCGCTGGGCAAACAACAAATCTTGCCTAAAGGAAGGATGCAGTAAGCAATCAGAATGAGAAGTGTTGCTGGAGGACAGATCCTCACCCGTTCAGCCCAGCGGTCTCGCACAGCATCTGGCAGGTCCCCTCTGACTGTGCCAGGCTGAGCAAGTGCAGCGACGGCTGTCAGCAGGGAGCGGCGCAGCAGCAAGTCAGACTCCCCAGCCAGCCTCTCCAGCAGAGGGTACACATTTGCCGTCGCAACTTCAGCCTGCACAGCAACAGATGAGCTTCACCCTTGTGGGCTGAACAGCACTTGCTCTGCGTGAAGTCCTCTTCAAATGGGCATGGTCCACATAGCACCAATTAGCCACACCAATTGGCCTGCATCCTGATCATGAAGTGCCCAGAACGTGTACAGTAAGCTGTTTGCATCATTCTGCAAATGGGATAAGAGGCGCACATCCAGCTGTGAGCCGTATTTGATGCAGGCAGAAAAGCTGTCCATGGCTCGGGCTGCCAGGGACCAGTTGCGCTCGGCCGAAGCATCTGCCACAAAGAAGAGCAGCGGGTCTAGCCACTGGCCCATGCCCAGAAGATGCCTGCCAATAGGCAGTGTGCAGCCTCAGCAGTTTTTCTAACAGGTGATCAGCTTGCTCAGAGCTGCAATTTACAGAGCGTGCAACTGACACCTCATGGCCGAAACTGACGGCGGTGTGAGGTTTAGGAAGTGAATGTGAGAGAAGGGACCTGATGGGGCAGTCTCGAGCCAGGATGCCCATCATTCGGGTGAGCTGCGTCTCCAGAGTGTATCTCCGCCCTTCCTGGATGGCTGATGACGCGATCTGTCCGAGCTCGGGGCCCCCGCCAATCATAGCAATCTTGCCGCAATTGACTACAGATGACTCAGCATAGTCACTCAGGCATGCTATCGCCAGCTCCTGTATCCTTGGCCCCGACTCACCCTTTGCCTGCTTGTGCGCAAGGTCATCTCATTGCATCAATATCAAAGAGCATGTGCATATTGGGTCGCAATGGTGCCATTTTGGCGGACAAGATGAGTGCACCAGAAAAAGTGCACATGTGTGAAATGTCAGGCTGAGAGTGGTCTTGCCTGAACCAGCATGCTGCGAATCTCATCGATGGAGGCAGCAGCAGGGAGAGTGATGCCTCCCAGAGCACTCAGTAGGGCATCCGCAAATTCATCGCTATCAGGGCTCTTTCCAGCAATATCTAGCATCTTCGGCAGAGCCCCTGGCAGATACAAAAGTGCAGAGGCTGTCCGTCCTGTGAAGCAATAATGTCCGGGGGTAAGGCTTCAGGTCCTTCAGCTTCAAAGTCCCCCCCAATGTTGCAGATTGCTGGGATTTTAGAATTTGGCATATACTTACGATGCTGCAAGAGGTTCAGCAGTGCGCGCTCTGCATTCAGCTGTTCAGCTGAGCTGTCTGACTTCGCTGCAGTTGTGAGGAGCCAACTCAAAAGCACGCGCCCTCCCACCATGACAAGCACCTCTGCATGCTCCTGACTCTCCGCCCAAGCCTCCGCTTGCTGTGCGATGGACATTGTGAGCTTCCCTGCTCACCCCATGAACTCCTCAGCCATATGAACACCCGGTACCTGTGCATGTCAGTGATCCCGTCTCCAGCCCACAGGACAGTACCTCTTGGAAGAAGAGAAGGCTTCCCAGATGCAATACTGGAGGCCAGCGACTGTAAGAGGCCTGCCATCGCCTGCCCTGCCTCAACCACTCTCCCTGCTGCGCCTTTCATGGTGTTCTGCACACAGGTAAACATGCCAGATGAAGCCCGTGGTCTTGAAGGTTTTATGATATTATTCTGCGTTGCCTCAGTGCTTGAATTGTGGTGTTACAAGCTCGACAGGGTCCACAATTGCACCATGCTCCCGCGCATGCGACATTCGCTAGATTGGACCTGCTGGATTCCTCCAACACCCTGGGCAAACCTGCCTTACCAAAGATTGGCATAAATGTGCTCAATCTTCTAACGAGGCAAATTTTGCTGTTGGGACTCCTTGCTTCATATGACAGCGGACATCACCTTGACTGCATCAGGTCCACGAATATCCTGGGAGAAGCTTATGATCGCTATGACTGATCCACCAGCAGCTGCACCGAGTACCGTGTATGTCGTCCGTCTAATCAGAGCTGGATGGCTTGTAACGAAACTTGGGATCCTTTGCATGGCTTGCCCACACTTGACAACACCCTCCCTTTTCGTGCATGAGAGGACTTGCTCAGATCACCTGTATCTTGACACCAGCGAAGACGCATCGTTCACATCGAATGATGCATTGCTTTGGAGCAGCACCAAAGAGATTGTGTGTAACTCCTGGAAGGAGAGTGCACATGCTGAGTCATCAGGTGGCACATGTGGGGATTGGGGAGTGGGGATGAACCTTCCTCGGCGGCCCCCCCTGCTGTTGTCAGCGAAGCTCGCCGCCTCGGTGCCCCCAGCGCCACGCGCACCAAGCCGCGCCCCGTGCTCATCAGCTTCAGCGGCGTGGCAGCCAAGCACGCTGCCCTCAAGCACAGCAAAGCCCTGCGCCAGCGCCAGATTTTCCTGGATCCCGACCTCACCCCGCAGCAGCAGCGCATCCGCGTCAGCATGCGCCCACACTATGTCGCCCTGAAGACAGCCGGCAAGCAGCCCTTCTGGCGCGAGGAGCGCCTCTTCGTCCGGGAGGGCGACCGCGTGCGTGAGCACATGCCTGTGCCTGGGCCTCCCCCGGCTGCCGCGCCGGGCGCCGCTGCCGCCCCGGGTGCTGCCACTGCCGGGCCCTCTCAGGCCGCGCCTTCCTCCCCCGGCCGCGCCGACTCCTACGCCGAAGCAGTGCGCCGCTAGGAAGTCTCCAGCCGCCTATCGCTGCGTATATTGTCCTGGAATGTCAATGGCTTACATGCTAGCAAAATATCCTTGTGGGACACGGCAGCCTATCTTGACCAGTTCGATATTGTACTTCTGACTGAGGCCCGTTGCTTGACCTGGGATGACTCGATCTTGCCTCACCACTCTGTGACTTTCACGGCTGCTAGTGAAGAGGGCAAGGCGGGTGAAGGCATTGTTGTTGCGGTTCGGAAGCACCGTGATTACCACGCACAAGACTGGGTGTCAGACACTGACAGTGCCTTATGGGTGAAAGTGCAGTTTGAGGGGGACTCTACACCGCTGCTGATTGGCTCCAGCTATGTGCCTCCAGCGGGTTCCCGGCAATTGCAGACTGTGGACCTGACCAGTCGATTTACGGGCTTATGTGCAGAAGTTGTTGCCGCTCGTGCTCAGGGCAATGTGATCCTGGCAGGAGACTTCAATGCTCGTGTGTCAAATTTGCCTGACGCTGATGACAGCAATACTCGAGGCTGCACTGATGAAGGTGTCAATGCTCATGGGCTGCGCCTGTTAGATTTTTGCAAGGAAACTGACATGCTCATATGCTCTGGCAGAGTGCTAGGAGACCTTGAAGCAGTGCCTACCTTTAAGGCCAGAACCCATACTCAGGCAACTAGACCTGATCATGTTCTCGTTTCCGCTGATGCGCTCCCCTTGATTTCTCATCTTGTTGTGAACACTGGTAGAAAAGACTCTGATCATCATCCTATTGAGATGACGTTGCAAGTGAATGTGGCTGCCAGTGTTCCCTTACCATGTATTGGGGCGCCATTGTCACGAGTGAAATGGCAGCCCAGTGCTAGGAATGCGTATGCTGCTGTTTTGCGCAATGTTGCCAGTGCAAGTCTTGACGCCTGCACAGGCCATGCTGTGGCTGGGGAACTTGATGCAGCCTTTCAGACCCTGGAGGCGGGGATCCGGGAGGCCGCAGCCGCGAACAGCATGCCGGCCCGCACCGGGCGCCATCAGCGCAAGGCGCGTGCCGACGCGCCCTTCTTCGATTCGGAGTGCCGCCAGCTTAAACGGGACGTCCGCGCCCGCGCGCGGTGCGGGGGCGATCCAGCCGAAGTGCGCGCGCTGGAGCGTGCCTACCACAACACCGTCCGCCACAAACGGCGCGCTCACCGGCTCGCGCAACTGCGCCGCCTGCTTGATGATTTGCACAGTGACCCCCGAGCCTTCTGGAAGCGGCTCAAGTCTCAGCAGTCTGATATACCTGAGCAGCTCAAGCCAGTGCAATTGTGGGCTGGCTATCTCAAGCGGGTTGCAAACTTGCAGTTGCCACTCATTGCTGAGCTGCCCCACTTGTCTTTCCCTGTCCAGCCCAGTGCTCCTGTTGCCCATGTTGATGCTCTCAATGCACCCATCTCTCTTGGGGAGGTGCTTGCTGGGCTCAAAAGTTTACACAATGGTCGTGCCACCGGAGTGCAAGGTTTACCAGCTGAGCTGTTTCGGTATGCAAAAGATGAGCGGGCGCCAGGCATGCCTCCTCCGGAAAATGTCCTGGCGCATGCTTTGGTGGCTGTGCTGAACTCTGCATTTGTGGCTGGGCAAGTGCCACCCTCTGTGAATGGTAGCCTGATCACCCCTGTGCACAAGAAAGGCAGCAAGCTTGACATGCTCAATTATAGACCCATTGCCGTTACTGAGCCCATCATGCGCTTGTATGCTGGCATATTGAATTCTCGTATTCTGAAGTACACAGAGGGGGCTGGATTGCGTGCAGCCACACAGGCTGGCTTTAGGCCAAAACTGTCTACGGCCCACCAGCTATTCACCTTGCAGCATTTTATCGACCGGCAAAACCATGCTAAGCAGCCCTTGTATTGTTGCTTTCTTGATCTGAAGGGTGCTTATGACAGAGTGAATCGGGTGTTGCTCTGGGAGAGTCTGCGTCGCCTGGGCATTGATGGCCACCTGCTCTCTGCCATTCAGTCTTTGTATGCCAATTCTACGGTTGCCATTAAGATTGGGAGCAGGAAGGGTCCTAGTTTGCCCTCTGAGACAGGATTGAAGCAGGGTTGCCCCCTTAGCCCAACGCTGTTTGGCTTGTTTGCAGATGGCCTGCACAGGCACTTGCTGCAGAGGTGCCCTGGGGTTGGCCCGCAGTTGCGTCCTGGCAGTTGTGTACCAGATCTAGGCTATGCCGATGACTTTGCTTTGCTCGCCACCACACCTGCTCATTTGCAACGCTTGATTGATGCAGCTGCTGAGTTTTGTGAACAAACGGGAATGGTCATCAGTGTTGACAAAACAAAGATTGTGGTGTTCTCTTCAAGTTTGCCAGGACCTTTTCAATGGCTTTGTGGTGGTGCGCCTTTACATTGGGTTCAGCAGTTTGAGTACCTGGGTGCCCTTTTTGACGGTGCCCAAGGCATTAATCTCACCTTTGGCAAGCTTCACAGGAACATGTGGGGTGTGTGGGCACAGCTCAAGCAGCAATATGGGAAGTTGCATTGCAGCATGTCAGCTGGCCTGTTGTTGCGCCTATATGATGCATGTGTGCCGCCGACTGCCTCCTACGGTTGTGAGGTGTGGGGCCTGCGCAGCCTTCCTGGTGGCGACAGCCGGCGGGGCCGGGCTGCCTTGGCCTCCTCTCACCTGAAAATTCTGAGAGACATTGCTGGCGTCCCCACCTCTGTGCATGGTGCCATCTTGCTTAAGGAGTTGAATCAGCAGACCCTTGATTGTGTGTGGTGGCGGCGCATTATCAAGTTCTGGAACAATTTGGCTGCCTTGCCTGCAAATAATTTTCACAGGCAAGTGGCCCTTGATGATTGTTGGGATGCCATAACCCGTAATGTTAAGAATTGGGCTTGGGCCTTCATGCGGGGCTTGCGCCGAATTGGGTATGAGTTTGTTATTCGGTTTGACACCCTTGTTCCTGTGGAAGTTGATGCTGTGATGCAGCTGCTAGATGCGCAAGCACTGCAGGTTTGGGATGACATTGACATTTGCCCTAGGACCTGCCCGTCCAGCAATGCCACCTTGTGTACATATCACAGATGGTTTGCTAGGCCAGCTTGTGTGCGCCACCCTTGCCAGCTCTTACAGCAGCCTTTGAGTGCCCGTTGCTTGCGTATACTGTTGAAGTTCAGGATGGGTTGTCATAGTCTGCCCAATGTCTCGGGCCGCTGGGCAAGGATTCCCCGGCCCCAGCGTTTGTGCATGCGTTGTGCCCAGCAGGTTATTGGGGATGAGCGCCACCTTGTGTTTGAGTGCCCTGCCTTGCAATCTGTTCGGGACAGATATCCTGGGCTGTTTGGTGCAGCCATTGTGACGATGCAGCAATTCATGTGGCAGTTGGACATTGTTGGTGTTGCACATTTTGTGATGGATTGTTTTGATTATTTGGATGCTGCCAGTTCATCCAATCAGCCCTAGGCGGCTGGAGTGATGTAATCTTCCTTCCTTCCTTCCTCTCCTCAAGGTTATTAGATGGATTTGCGGCCCTTAACGTCTTCGCATGGAAGCGTTCAATCTCACCGTTTCCTGTGTTCAGCATGCTGAGAATGAGCATGGAGCGGCACACCGGCAGTCCATTGGTCATACACCATGGCTGAGACCATCATGATGCATGCTTCAATGGCTGCCGCGATGCATTAGAACTCCTAGTTACACTGCTGTCACTAATAGCCACCCAGGGGTTGCTGTTGGTACTTCAGAGCGCTCACTGAGGGCTCATTGGCAATCATGTCATGCATTACATGTGTAGACAGCTTGCTGTGAGTGCGGCCGGGTTGCTGTACAGCAGCTGTAGCATGCACGATTGCACGAACCACTCACTTCCCCTTATTTGCAAGATAGTCGTCTAGGAAGTCGTCATCATCGTCTTCTTCTGACCGGACAGGCATAAGAGACTCAGAATGGAAAAAAAATATGCATTATTGATACAGAAACAATGAGAAATGTAACAAACAATTGCTGGGTGACAATCTTACCTTCCTCCTCATCTTCCTTGTCTTCGCCTCCAGGGAAGTACTCATCATCTTCATCACTTTCAAGATCACTTTCAAGATCTTCTTCAACCTCCTGGGCACACACACATGATTCCCATGAGTTGATGAGAAAGCCCTCCTGGCTGTGATGGTGTGCAAAGTGTTGGCCACATGTTAGCATCTTGTTGAAGTCGATTAAGCAGGGTTCAATACATAGGTCACGGCCCTTGAGGCATTTCAAAGGCTGCACCTGCTCATTGTTGGCTTCTAGTTGCCTAAAGAACTGCTTCCCAGTCAGACCCTTGTCCTTTTTCTCACCGCCCTCTCCTGTCAGCTTGGTCTTGCTGAGGGCCATCTCTGCCTCAAACCGCGCCTTCCACTCTGCAAAGGTCTGTGGCGTGATCATGGTTCCATGGGACCTGATCTCCGCCAGTCGCCTCTCCTCCGCTTCTTCCTCTGCTTTCCTGGCTGCTTCTGGGTCAATGCTGGTCACCGCCTCTCCCTGTGATACCTGGTGACAAAGCGTTCGATATCACGAGGAGGCAAGAAAATTCTCTTGCTGCTGCCATCGATGGGCAGATGATACAACCCCAGTTGTCATCAATACTTACAATGCTCGGGTCAGAGAGGCCTGATGTGCAAAAAAGCATTGCGGTAGAAAACTCGTGGCTTCTTGAGGTGCTGGGTATATTGCAAGAACTTGCCTTTTCTCGGAGCCACTCCTGAGAAGCAGAGACCAACACATAGATCATTGCCATGCCCATGTTCTCTTCTACTTGCTCTTTCAGGCTGCTGTTCAAATCCGCAATATCTGCATCGCTGAGCCCTCGCACACTGCATGAGAAGAAGGGCTTCATTCAACAAGCTTCCATCCATCCATCCACCAGCTGTGTAAATCGGGGCGCACAAGACAAGCAAGGAACACCGGGCCAACAGTAATCAAGGATCTGAAGAAGAGCATGTCGATTGGTTATTGTGCGCTGTCTCACCTCCTGGCTCTGTACAGAGGTGGCTCGTCTGGGTAGTGTGGTGTGTGCGCGAACACCAGTTCTAATTTGTCTGCATGTGAGCAAGGGAGCATGCAGACTTAGCAGGATTTAAATGGTGCATGCTGCACTGTCTTGAATTGCAAACAATTGAGAAACTGGTCCAGGGTGACTAGAACATACATTCGTTCCCATTTGCATCATCAAGCTCCTCTAGATCGATAGCTATCCTGTAAATTGAAGAAGAAGACGGCCACCCTTCTGGTCTGTCATCATGTAGCACTGCGCATTAAGCATACTAGATTACTTCACGTACATACAGGTGTAGACAGATGTTGTGTCTTTCAAGTTTCCGCCGACCACATGCGCACAGATCACTGCTCTGAAGATTGCCTTTTCATGAGGGGACAAGGAAAAGACCAAAATTAAGATCCCAATACCAACCTTCTAGATCGTCCATAAGGATGGCCTGCAGAGCTTCCAGCTCCATTTCCTGCTCAGATTGGTAATCCATGGTCTCCCTTTGTTAGGCAGACTAAAGTTAAGGTACGCGTGCTTCTGAAAACAAACGTGAGGCAAGTTCTGCAAGATTTGCCAATGCCCAGGCTCTATGCCCTCTCCTCTTCTTCTCCCAATGCAAAGGTCAAATGATGGTGTACTTTAGGTGAGGATGACTGATAGCTTCCTGTAGGTTCCCACTTTCCTCCTCGAAGATGGAAGAGGGGAAAGGAAGAAGAGGAGACCGAATCATTAGAAAGGGTGTAAGCAAAAATGATTGTAATATTTTTGCTCACGTTACTGTTAAAGTAATCTCTCACATCGAGTACTGTCGACATTCTTGATTGACTCGTCAGAGTTATGAGTGTAAGCTCTCCTGGCAAAACTTCACTAAGAATCTAATTCAAATCAGCCAAAATTCATGCATTCGTTAGAAGTGGAAGCTGGACAACGAATACACGAGGATGACACTTGGGAACAGGTCCCACTCTTGACCGTTCTTGACAAGAGAAGCCCGAGCAATCTGTTGATTGCGCAGTGAAAATACATTTATGAGAAGCTTGCTGAATATACAGCCCATTAGAATTCCTAATTCAGCCTGCATCTGTTCCAGGTCGAAGGGGCTTTGAGGGCTGGTGCGGCCTTGGAGGAGTTTCTACCTGCTGAGTGCCGCCCAACGTCTCACAAGAGAGCAAGAAGGTGTCCTGAAAATCGATCTGACAGTTGTACAGCTGATGCATCAGATCCTACCGAAGAAGCACAGGCGCAACAATCACAGCAGTGCAACGATGCCGCTGAACCCAAGCAAGCAGCGTTAGCAAGCGATCAGGTGAGTGACACTCCCTAGCGCATGCGCAGTAATACATCATTGATATGCATGTCCACTTAATCAGTCTTGAAGTCATCGGAGGTCATCTTGCAGGCACAGGTGAAAGAGGGGCCCATGCAGCGCTGGCTGGTGATCAGCCAGCTTCGCAGAGCTTTGAGCAGCAGTGATTGGGAGCCAAAAATCCTGGCAAGTCCTAGCTGTGCTGGGCTTACAAAAGCAGACTGGTGTTGGGTGTTCACGCCTCCTTGCGGCACCACCTTAGAGGACAGCATGCTGCTGCACTCTCGTGCTCCTGTGCCTGGGCTTCTGGCACCTTGGCTGCACCTGCTGCAGATTATTGACAGCCCTGCCTTAGGCGTGTTTGTCCTCTGCATTGCTCTGCCCCATCACTGCAGGTAATGCGCTTCAAATCCTGCTGAGAGTGATTCTCTGATCACAGGATCCTGGTAAAAAGGCCTCTCTGATATGTAATGCTGGAAGTTTCACAAATTGTATCTACTGCTGTGTGCAGGGAAACAATCTGGCTTCTGACCGACCCCAACAAGGAGGAAAAAGAATGTCAGGATGCCAAGCAATTGGTGGGAACTTGCTTTGGTCGTCTCATGCTTGGAAAGCTGAAGGCATCAGATATGGTGATTCTGCTTGGTACCCTTGGGCTCAACAACCAGAAGGGGCCACTTGGGGTGCTCATTGACTCAGAGCTTCGACTGCGGTATTTTGCAGCCACAGGTATAGCATGCTGATGTCAATATCAGTTTCAGCATCTGCAAAATTTCGAAGTGCACCCTCAAAATGTTGCAATGTTCTAAATAAAGTGAAATGCCCAGTGATTTGAATAGTGGGAAGTGTCAAAGTGGATTATGTCAGATTCAAATACTCTTCGGTCAGCAATGCAAGGAACCCCTTTCCCTCGGGGGTTTATATGATTTAAGACTGCAATGAAACTTACACTCTATCCACACATAAACAGCTTGAACAGCTGGTCATTAGCCTATCCTGACGTGGACGTTCATGACCTTGACACACATCCAGCATTTCACAAACTCAATCCCTCGCCCGGAAGGGCACTGAGATAAAGAAGACCTTACTGGCTCCCTAGAAGGGCCCAACATTCCCCAGCACTCACTGGCTATCAACGTGACACACCTCCAAGGATGATACACTCTTCCAAGCCTCTGCAGGAGACATCACCTTGGGGACAACCTCACGCACGCTACTCAAATCAAACTAATTACCTGTGTAGTCTCTTATGAAAAATTGGAGGACTCGTGTATCAAAGATCGTGACCAGAGTCACTGATCTTCAACACCAATATAAAGGAAAGTGAATACATGCTTGTCTCATGGATCCGTGTGCATATGCACAACAGATGCCTCCTTGATCCCAGTCACACCCCCAAGGTCCCGTCCCAAAACAGCAAGGCTGCACTTGCGACCTCAATTTCCCCAATTGCCGGCTTGAAACTTGTCTCAATAGGCTCTGCATGTGCAACTATCGCTTTGACGCCTGACTTAGGGGTTATATTACCACAGATGATAAAATGCACCGCACATCTCATGCGTGATTGGTCTTTTGTTTGTGAGCTTTGTAGCGGGCAGGCATTTCACAACATTCCCAAGTCTGTATCGGACGGCCATTGGCTGTTGCTTGTGGAAGGCACTACATTCAGCTCCGCCCTACACCTCTTGATCACAAGGGACTGTTTGGCTCCGCTACACCCCTCTCCATCGCATGCCATCAGCCGCCTTCCTTTTTTTCTTTGGTGTTTGATTGGTAGCAGGGCCCCCAAACTGCGCAGAGTTACAGAAGGGCTGGCACTTGCCCTCCTTCCTACACGGCCTAAGGAGACAGTAGGCCTCCTTCCACTACTGACAAGTACACTTCACCTCCACCGCCCACCAACATGACCGTGGCTACACTGTCACTGGTGCGCCCAGAGGCAAGCTGCACTGCAGATTCCCCGCTGCTGCTGCCAATTTATGAAGCTGCTTTGGCTGTACATGCTCACTCGCTTACTCAGCCTGCATTTTCCCTTTCCCCAAACCCTTTTTGAAAGGTCCACCCCTTGCACCTTCTAGAGATCTACGAATTCCATAGACGTCCAGTAAACAACGTGCGCGCCTCCTAATTGCCTTTGAGCCTGCTTGGCAGAGCCTTGACCATACGCTTCCACATTGGCGGCAGATGTCTTGATGGCAGCCGCCTGCAAAGAGCATACTGTCACTTCAGTAGAGCGCCCACACACTCTATTTCAGTCTTCGCTAGCTCGTTTCCCCCATGCTGGTGCGGCAATATGCCCCTGTCTTGTGGGCATGCCCACGATCAGATGTGCAAACATCAATCCGGGGTTGTCAATTTTTAAATGCTACGATCAACAGAATGCGAAACTGCAGATGAATGGCGCACCTGGCCCTCAGGAATTCAGAGCGTGAGCGGGCCTCAATCACAGCCGCAACCAGGATGGGCAGGGCCTTGCCAAGCACCAGAGCCACCGCCAGGTCTTTGAAGAAGTCTGGCAGCGTCCGCTTCGAGGACTGCAGCACAAGATCCAGCTCCTGGATGACAAAACACACCTGCATGTGCACAGGAGAGCTTGTTCCCTGTAGGTGCACAGGCACTCATCCCTCATTCTCACGTGTGATGAGGACAAGTGCAGCATATCTGAAACACCCCTGATGCTCACATAAAGGTAGAGTCACAGAGGATGTGGGCAGATCACTTGGCAACTGAAGCGCGCAGTTTAGAAAGTTTTCCTAGGGATTGTCGCGCACCATTTGGATGGCATGTAAGCGCAGGGCAATGGTCAGCCGATAGGTCTCCCCGAGCACGAGGAACCCCCGGATGCAGGTGATGCCAACGGGGGCCTTGAGGCCCAGCTCGTGGTGATGAGAGAGTATGCTGCCCATCATGCACGCAGTGGCGCCCACCAGGGAGTTGGCTGACTTCACGCTCTCGTGCCTCCACACCTGTGCATGCATGCGAGAATTTGATCGCCATCTTTTGGCGCCTTTTGGCACGGCCTTCAGATCATTAAGTCGGGGCAACCGTTCAAGCGGGTCGAGCAATAGGCAGCCGGATGTCCATCCTGCAGGAAGCAAAGAGAAGCTCACAAGGGGGAAGCTCAATGGGAGTGAGATGCAATGACCGGCAGTGGGGATCACCTGTGACGGCTGCACCACGGCGGCGAGGGTCCAGGCATGGCTGCACAGCAGCACCGAAGATATGGCGATCAGCAGCGCGAGCCGAGGTGTGAGGCCATCTGCCACCGCCAAGCTGATGCAGCGGCTGAGGCTCAGGGCAGCAAGGAGAGTGGTGACGACAGAGGCTGCGACGGCAGCCTTCCTGCCCTGGGAGGCATACTGCAAAGCAAAACCAACTTCGAGGTCTGAATTGCCGAACGCGAGAGGGCCGTCCATGCAGCACACACCCTCATGCCCTGCTGACCCCTGCGAGAGAGCAGTCATCTTCAGGCCAGCACCCCTGTGGCACCCACTCGTGCAATTGATGCATAATTTACAGATGACCTCGACCAAGGAGGTCCATCCAAGATATGCTGCACATTGAGCAGATATCCACAAGTGTTCGTGAGTCATGCTAACCAGTCACCCCGAGAAATATCTGACCAGCCTGTCAGCGCTTCTGCCTGGGAGAGGGACTATCGCTGCTTGAGGCAACTAATTTCAAAAATACCGAGAAAAATACTGCGGACAGCTTCGGGAATGTCTTATTGATCGCTCCCTCGTAAAATTAAGAGTCCGGTAGCATCGGCGGACCACGATGACAGATCTCTCAATATGGCGGCTCAGATGATCGTCATGCCCAGCTAAGACTTTATGAAACACAATCGCAAAACTTTGTCCTAAACGTCTCGACGACATAGACGTGAGGGCCCCTCCTGGTGTCTAACCTGAGCTCGATGCCCCGCCCATCACCAAGGCATGCACACCCGACCGCAGCTGGACGCCAGTGAAACGCTCATCCAGGTCATCTGTTCGGTCATAGATGCATATCCTTTGGAGGTTTCTATTGTCAGGCGCGTCTTTCTGACCAGTTCGGTCAGCTCAGCCCTACGTCTAAGTTTACGGAAGCCAAGGGCCAATTTCCGTGGCCTCCCAGGCTTGTCTGGCACAGTGTATTTACTTTTCTTCGGGAGACCTTCGTCTTCAAACATTCAAGATGGTATTTGCGCCTTGATTGCGGCGACAAGCCGCACACAAAATCTCGGGTGATGCTTGTACTGCCTGAACTGCTTGGGATGCCTAAACTAGTAACATGCAAAATATCTTTCGAATGTGCCAGAAAAATCCTCAAGCCCTGGCTGTGAGTTAGGGCCTGAGCTGCACGGAAGCAGCTCTTCTGCAAGTTTTGTCCCAGGATTCCTTGCCACTAAACCATGCCGCATGCTGATCATCAGCAGCTGATGCGCCGCATGCCGCTGGCTACCCCTCGGTGGTACCATGGAGTGTCTCCGAAAACTGTTCTTTGGAAGGTGATCATCACCAGGCTGGCATAATCATGATGATTCAATCGAACTTCAAGTTCGAGATCCGGGATAATCATCATGCATAGCCCGGCCCTCAGGGGGCTGGGGCGCGGGGTACCTCCACTGGCAGTCAGTGCGTGTGTTGGCTTAAATTCCCTCACAAAATAAACAGATTGCATGGATACCATCAGTGATCCCTCCGGCCGGCCGCGGCCCCCGGGCTGGGCCTCATCATCAAGCTGGCCTGTGGCGCGGTGGTCAGGGGTGGGGGTGCTGCCAGTCGGTGTGTATGTTTTGGCTCTTTCATTCAATCCAGAAAAATTGTCCAAATGGGAATCTCGATTTGCAGCAACCACGTCGTTATTCATATCATCTCTCATTTGTCATGCGCCCATGACTCACTCTCAGTGACTGTCCTTGGCTGTGAACGCCATCGTAGGACCTGTCCAGGTATGAACACAATTTCTGCAAGGGCCCATCCTCTCGCGCGCCGAGCTGGTGATCCAAAGCTTTCATGTGTCGCTGGACTTTTCCAACGTCTTCCATTTCAGTCTGCATTCGCAGCCCGTTTAGGTAGTATCCGTGCGAGGCAGCTTTTATACCGCTTCCATCTCAGATTGCCCAGACACGAATCTATTCGCCGGGCCGTCAGAAACGGGCATTGGCCGTTTGAAGCCTCGGCCGTCAGGTAGAATTAATATTGCGGGCTGCAGACAAGTTTCAAAGCTTGGTCTTGCGATAACGTGAGGGACCGGAGGAGTAAGGGGCTTCAGGCAATCTTTCCACGTGGTCACCGGTGACCTTCTGCCAAGGTGTGCTTGGAAGGCGTCAGCAACCCCATCTGAAGTAGAATCTTCCTGTTCTTGCTCGCTTGCGCTGGCATCGCTTGGTCCACCTGAGCACGATGTCGGCCAAGCACATGTTTCGCTGGTAAAAAGCCGCAATAATGCAATACGAGGACTGCGTCTCATGCAGAAGCACAGGAAACTTCAAAATTATTGGCCTTGTTGTAAATGCGGCTGAGGCAGGCAGCCCTGGCACCCCAATTTGAGACCAACGGTCAGGAGTAGGGAGTGTCTCAGCTTTCAGAAGGAGCTGCACAGCACTGCGTCAACAGCCCTCAACCCATGCGATGATGCAATATATATCTAGAGAACGTTTATGGGAGGACGGAGGAGCATTTGTACCGTTGGACAGCGTCCCACTGTCAGATGCCCTTGAAATCTCAAAAAGCATGGCCTGGATTCCTCTCAGCTCGCGTGCAGACTTCAGGACGTTGAACACATTACACCTTTTTCTGATAATTCAGCTTATATCGATACCTGGGGCCAATATGTCCGTACCTGCACTTTGCCTTTGGTAGGCAAGGCAGGTACAGTAGGAGATCAAGCAGCCAGTGGCTGGAAATGGGGACGGCTCCCAAATGCACTGAATTTGGCAAAATTACCACCTTCGAGCACTTGTACCTTTCAATCAGACACTCAGTGTGGTCATCGATGGACTTCAAAATGTTTCAGCCCAGGAAGAGCAGGGGCGCACCCCACAAGTGAGGCAGAACACAGGAAGAGGCGTATGGCGACAAATCCAAGCTGTGCAGCAGGATGGTGCAAGATTTCCACATGACACCAACAATTTACTTGACGCTGTACAGGGTGGGAAAGGAGCAGTCACAATGAGCATGCAGATCGGCCACAGCCCCACAAGGCTAGCGGCAGGGCACAACAAGCCAGCGCAGCTGCCCAACATTACGCACGTGGACAGCCATGCGGTGACTAAGCGGCTGCAGTCAGAGCTCATGTCACTCATGGCGTCAGCGGACCCGGGCGTGTCAGCCTTCCCGGATGGTGACTCGCTGTTTGCATGGCTGGGCACCATTCACGGCGCAAAGGGCACGGTCTACGAGGGCCTCAGCTACAAACTCTCGCTCAAGTTTCCCACAGGTGACTCACCTGCCTGCATCCTGCACACATCAAGCCACAAGAAGGCCTGCCACGTGCCTCTCTGTGACCGGTTAAGTGCCCCTGTGCAACCAAAGAAATGAGAAAGACGAGAGCCACATCAGGGGAGCCACCAGCGCCAGATCTATGTGGGATCATCCTTCTGCATGCTGTCCTCTCAACAATTTATCAAACTTTTGTTTTCAGGGGAAAAAAAAGTTTGAGAAAATGCTCCCAAGTGCTGTGGGCTGAATTTCATGCAGACTACCACCTTAAGGTGCCGCCTGCACAAGACATGACTGTCATTGGGTGGCCCCAAGTGCTCAGGGCTCACATATGTTAGATGCGTTTAGAGTACCCAACTAAGGCTCTTGTGTATGTGCGCGCAGATTACCCGTTCAAGGCGCCGTTGGTGAAGTTTGAGACGGCCTGCTTCCACCCCAACGTGGACCAGTACGGCAACATCTGCCTAGATATCCTCAAGGACAAGTGGAGCGCGGCCTACAGCGTGCGCACCGTGCTGCTCTCAATCCAGTCCCTGTTGGGCGAACCCAACAATGACTCACCCCTCAACGCTTATGCTGCCAAGGTGAGCCTTGCGCACGCTGCTGCTGCCCAAAGGATGCACAAAGAGAGGGATGCAGGCATTGAGAATGATTGATGGGGTTGGCTGGGCCCAGCAAGCAGCTGCAGATCTACCGGATATGGTGAATCAAGGCAGCAGCATCTCAACACAAGTTAAGGAAAGGCTGCATCTCGGCAGTTTGCCCCTTGCAGGAGTCCCATGTCATGGTGACTGAAGCACCACATGCTGATCCTCAATAAAAGGAAAAGCAGGGAATGGCTGATGAGGGTTGGTTGAATGTGTGGCGCAGCTGTGGGAGAACCAAGTGGAGTACAGGAGAGTACTGCACAAGAAGTACGCGGAGCTGCAGAAATAGGAGTCCAAGGGGAGAGCACAGCAGCATGCAAGGACTTCACCGTCATGGGACTCAGAAATGCATGCACCCAAACTTTGCTCAGCCACCAGCCGCAAGTTTGGAGCCTTACCAAGTTGCTCAGCAGTGCTTTGAGGAACCGGCGGGTCACAGGACAAACATGCGGGGCTGTTTGCATGGCTGCACAAAGCTTGTGCTCAGATGACCACAGGACGCTGGAGTGTGATTGGATGGTATGGATGTCTGGGAATTTTATGACAGTCAAGGAAACATGCAGAATCTGCAAATTGCCTTTGGAAAACTGAGTTGAAACGCAATGTGCCCATACGCGCATGAACACTATGAATACTATGCGATGACAGATGCTACTTCAACAAGACTTGGACTATGTGGTGGTGAGGACTGCAGCCATGCTGCGCAGAGCCATAGAATGTCTGCTTGAGCTCATGTGCTTTCAATGGTCCTTGCGGCGGCCATCTGCAGGAGTGCAGCTGTTTGCTAGAAAGTAGCCCACAGAATCGCCTGCTTTAGATAGGTCTGCTTTGTGCCTCAATGCGGCTGTCGTCGTGCAAGCAGTTCCAATATTGTGGCATGAAGGCATGCAATCGTTTCATCCCTTTCATCTTACCGGAAGAGCTCGAGATATCTATGTTAAGGATCCGACCAAGGATAATGAAGGTGTAATGCTGCTGTGCTCGTGGCCCAAATCCCTGCTTTTTCAAATGTGCAGCTGCACAAAACTGGACCTATGCCCAAGCACTAGTGCCAGAGTTGGACAGACATCATTCTGACTCTGAACTCACACGCACTATGGCGAAATCTAGACTAGTCAGTACTGCCAAAACCTTGAGCACTCCAGGTGCACTCTCAGGACCCATTCGGACAGAAGGGCACCACAAAACTTGGCCATGTCTCTCAGATCCCGCCTATGGAGTGCAAAGCAGGTCTTGGGCTAGGAGACCTGATGATTCAAGAAGGACAGGACGGGATGGGCAGTCATTGCAGACATGCACTCTCACTTCTCATCCAGAGCAGCCACTCCGGGGAGGACCTGCACATTGCACATTTATCCCTCAGTGCCATTCCCACGATGCTTTCCACAGTTCTCGGGGTTTATAGCCGAACTTCTTCTCGGCCCAAAATGCTCTTGATGAATCAGCTAGACTATGTTTGAGCAGCATATGATTCTGGTGCCACAAGACACCATCATGACGAACACAGGACACAGATCTTCGCTTACTTTGGTGGCCCCTTTTCAACATATCTTATCCGTGGGCATAGCAGACAAGATGTGTTGCCCATGCCTGCCATGATGGCGAGAGTGCCAGTCTTGCTAGCTACTGTTGCTTCAAAATTCCTCATGTCAGATCCTTTATCACATATCAACAGTGTTGTTCATCTATGCTATACATTTCCCACGACACTGCGATTGGCAATTGAACTTGCTCTTCGACCCTGTTTGTGAGACTAGCCGCTAGTGTGTGCGGCAGAGCCACTGGCAGTAAAACATCTCAACATGATTAAGTTCCCATTGCATTGCACTGAGAGGGGGAGATGCTCACCTTGCCCTCGAGCAGCTCCAGAGAGGCGCCACCTCCGGTTGAGATGTGGCTCATCTGGTCGGCGAGGCCGGCCTTCTCCACAGCTGCAACTGAGTCTCCTCCACCAATGATGGTGATGGTGCCCTGTGCAGCCACTCACACTTCTCACTCATTCGATAAAATTTATGCGACCTCAGCCTCCTGCCGAATCTTATGTCAGGTCCACTAATCCAAAGAGTCCAGGTCATGGCAGGCCAGGACAGTCCTCTGCACACGGATGTGCAACTGTCGGGTCATGCAACTGTCAGCCCGCAACACAATTTACGTCGGCCTAGCTGAGTAGCAATGCTCACAACTGTCCTGAACGAGGCAGCAGAAAAGGCTGAAGCAACCAAGTCCTGACTTGTCCACTACGCGCTTAGCCTGACCAGCCTCATCAGCCGATGAGAGAGAACGATTTAATAGGATCAATAAATTGCAGTTTGAGTGGCGGGGGCGCACCTTGGGTGTGAGCTCTGCGAGGGTCTCGGCGACGCCGTAGGTGCCCCTGGCGAACTTTTCGAACTCGAAGACGCCCATGGGACCGTTCCAGATGACGGTCTTGGAGTCGCTGAGCGCGTCCTGGAACGTCTTCAGCGAGTCCGGACCAATGTCCAGTCCCTGCGCGCACATGCAAAACACCGCTCAGCACATGCACGTTCAAATCCAAGACTCCCAGACTTTTGGATCAAAGCGGTTATTGAGACAAGTTAGGACATCCACAGCCCGGCTGTTGCGTACTTAGTGCACACCCTCAGAATGTTAGGGCAGAACCCCCAAAGTGTAATAGCTGACAGGTTGGGGCATTCAGAGGCCAGCCGTTGCCGAATGCCTTGCACAGCAGCATGCATGCAGCACTAGCAGGTGCAGAGGCAGAACAGCTGGATGCACTGTATGGGAGGCCCAATGGCTGCTCCTCACGCCGCTGCAGTCAGACCCCATCAGCCTTGTCTGGACAGCTTAGCATGCTGTCATATGGCATATGGTCCACGGGATAAAGCTGATGAGAGTTGCCTGACTCGAGCAACACGAGCGACCCTCCGAAAGCCTCCTATGCAGAGATTTCAGCAACTCTGCCTCCCAGGTGGAAGGATTGCTGTTTGATGTTGCGAAGATGCACTCGTTTGCAGACAAACCTTACCAATTCCGGCAGTAACAGTGACTGAACCATTATTTGTTGGTGCGACGTGCTATTCCTGCAATGAAGGCAATATGGGTGTGCAGACGAGCTGCAGGTAGATAACAGCAACTAATGACCCGTTTTCTCCGAATTTAAAATAAAGGCGGCAAACGGCGCACCATCCAGCCGTCGGGGATGGCGTCGGCGGAGACGGTCTGGGTGTTGGCCTCGGCGTCAAACTTGTCGGCGATGATGACATCCGTGGGCAGGATGAACTCGACGCCCTTCTCCTTGGCGGCCGCCTCCAGGCTTTTGGCCAGCTCAAGCTTGTCCTCCTCTACCAGCGAGCTGCCCACAGACATCCCCCGCGCCTTGTAGAAGGTGAAGATCATGCCCCCCCTGCGCGCCAGCCAAAGAAATTGAGGTTTTGATAATTCTGCAGCCCGCCTCGGACGCGCAACAGTCCCCAGCCGCCATTCGATATGCTTTCGACAACTTCGCTCATGCAGTCACCCAGTCTAGAAGGAAACGGGGCACAGATACAAGCGTCAATCGCATACACATTAGGACACAGACCACATGGGACAGGCCGGTTCCTGTGTGATGTGCATGTGTCCGCGCTTGTACCCATGCCCTCCCGGGGGTAGCAGCCATCGTAGGAGTGGCCGTTGGGACCGAGCTATGCGTCATAAAACAGTCTGCAAACATGCACATCAGTCTGCACAGGTGGCAGCAACAGCGTTTGCTCGAGGGTGAGACAGCAGAATTGGCGCTGCATTCTGCCTGGGTCCCCACAGCAAGAAGGCACGTCTAGGTCAGAAGGGTGCAAGTGTGCTGGTGTGATGGTGGGTCAGGGCATCGCCCGCGCACCCGAGGATGATCTTGTCGACCTTGTTGATGAGGGACTCGATGACTCCAATCTTGGAGGACACCTTGGAGCCGCCCACGATGGCCACGAATGGGCGCTTGGGCTGCGTCACAGCGCCATCAAGGTAGTCCAGCTCCTTCTGCAGCAGGAAACCGGCCACCGACGGCCTCAGAAACTTGGTCACACCTGCACACACGCGCATGCTGCCTCAGCGCCTCTGCCTTGAAATTACCCTGAACATGCTTGCGCAAAATTTTGCTATGCTTTGCTGTGCCTATACGGTGTGCATACACCGCTCGCTTGTGAGTTTCCTATGAACTTTAGAAGTGGGTGGCTTCAGCAAGACGCCTATAAGGACTCTTTCATGTCCAGTTGACATGTTCCCCATGTACTCATTCATTGCATTGGACCCCACAAGACTTGAGCACTGCATGCGAGACCTGCAGGGTGCTAGCAGTACACAGCAGTGGGGCGTATGCAGCGTCACCCTCAGTGGATGCGTGGGCGCGGTGGGCAGTGCCGAAGGCGTCGTTGACGTAGATGTCAGCGTTGGCGGCCAGCTTCTCAGCGTAGCCGGGGTCGTTCTCGGTCTCCTCCTTGTAAAAGCGCACGTTCTCCAGCACCAGCACCTGCGCGCGCATGCCGCCGCTTCAATGGACTCACCCATGGACCCCCTTTGTCAGCGTTTCGGGTGACCCTCTGACCTTCCCCCTGCTCCTCTCTTCCCCCTGTTCCTCTCATCACACCATCTGACACAGTGCAAGCTGCGTTTTGCAATTTGCGGTTGATGGACGTTGGAGACATCGTTGTCTGCTTGCCTGACTGACACAACCCCCTTCATAAAGGAGACTACATCCTGCTTCACATGAGTCTCCAGACCACAGCTTGAGCGGCCTAGTGTCGTGATAGTGGGGCACAATGCAGCGTAGGCAAAAAAGGGTGGGTTTTGGACTTCCAGCAGATTATGGGTGATTTGGGGAAGGTGACCCACCTCGCCGTTGCCGAGGGCCTTGGCAGCGCCGGCGACCTCTGGGCCGATAGAGTCATCTGCCTTGGACACCTTGGCGCCGCCCAGCAGCTCTTGCAGGCGCGGCACCACCGGGTTCAGCCTGAACTTGTCCTCCGGGCCATCCTTCGGCCTCCCCTGCCGCATGTGCGAGGATACACATCAATGACCGAGCCGGGCCTGCCTTCGCATCCCTGCCTTTCCTCCCAGATGCTTTTATGCTTAGCAGGTCAAGCTGGCACCTTAATCCAGTGAATAACAATTACTATGCCCCTTTATGGGTCTTTTCAAGATGGAGGCAGCAGCAGTCTTCACTTTTATGTCTGTGGACTGGCTCCCTGCAGAAAGCGAGGCTGCTCACCAAGTGGCTGGTGAGCAGCACTTTGGCGCCGTTGTCTGTGAGGTACTTAAGGGTGGGGATGGCAGCGCGGATGCGGGTGTCATCGGTGATCTCCAGGTCCTTGTTGAGGGGAACGTTCAGGTCAGCCCTGACCTGTGGCACCAGCACCAGCACCAGTCAGTGGGGCAAGGAATGCACCATAGACAGGAAGAGCATTGTCTGCCAGGAGTACAAATATTGCCTGGGCAAAAAAAAAATTAATACACTCAAAGGGGTCTTTTGTATTCGCTGGGGGGGATCGACCGACGTTGATGCAATATGATAAGGTGCATACAGACATATTGGTTCTAACCGATTCGGAGGCAGCGAACTACGCACTTTGATATATTGAAATGACATAAGATGCTGACAAGCCTCAGATAAGTGCATTGCATGGCCTGCAGATGCGCACCAGCACGGTCTTGCCTTCCAGATCGCTTTTTGTGAGGTCGCCGACAGACTTCTTCGCCATCTGCACAACCAGACGGCTCCTCCTGCCAGACACTCCATTCACGCGAGCTGCAACAAAAGCGTGCAGGCTCTGCGTGGAGGGGCGGCTGATCTGGTGCGTGGCCAGGCCGTTAAATGCCATCAACCGAGGCATGGGACGCGCGCTGCGCATCGCCTGCTTCACACCAGCTGCAGCTGGTGCCTGAGCACGCATGTTCATCATCATTGCCGACATCTTGACCCGCTGTGTAAAGTGCTCCGCGATGATCCAGCGTCGATCGAATCCATAAACCAGCGCCTGCTGAGGTGACCAGCGCCAGCGTGGCATGAGAGGATCAGAATTTATCTAGAGGCCAACGATGCTTCCTTGCAGCTCCTGCTCGAGATTTTTTTCTGGTACTGCAATATCGTCTGCCCATAATGATTAAAGACATACTTGGAGCGCAGGGGGGCACGGCACGCATTTCCCTTGACACAGATTGCCCACACGATCTGGCGCCGATCTGAAGCCAAAAGCTGTCTGCATAGAGTCGTCGTTTGGAAATGTACCTGAGGAGGAATTTGCCAGGCGAAGAATGTCCGTTCACATTACCAGAGCATCACAGAAACGCTAGCTGCATCACAGCAGGACACCACTGCACATCTAACTGCAGACTTTTAAGTGAAGTCAACTCTAGTCAGAGACAATTCGCGACAACGCTTCTATGAGCTGCTTGAGATTGCTCTTGTTGCGTGCATCCCCAGTGAAGCCCCCCAAGTCGCCTGTGATGCCCTCGATGTGTTCCAGGGTCTTGGTCAGAGTCAGCACAGACTCTCGCAAGGCCTTCACGTTGTCCTCTGTCAAGACCTGTGCGTCACATCAGCAATTTGCATACATCAGACGTGGGTGCTGAGGAATATCACCCACATAGTAGGGAAGCAGGAAAGCAGACATCAAGGCAGAACAAGCGCTAGAAGATAGGAGGGAGGGCTGCCTTGCAAGTGCACGTCATGCAACAACAATACAATGACCCCCCAACCCAACATACATGCATACAAGTGTGGCTGGCCCAATCAAGTGCACGAGCACAGCCTGCACCTCATTCTGTAGCCTGTGGATGTCGGCAGCGGCGTCCGAGGCCGATCGCGTGAGCTCCTCCAGATTGTTCACCATGTTGCCTTCCCGCAGCTCTGACAGCAAGGGCGTGACCTGCACAACACCGCACCCATGCATCAGACACAGGCCTTCCCTGGATCCAAAGGCAATTGGGCCCACAAGGCACAACCACAACAAATTGTTTGATGACCACAGCAACTCCCAAGCTGCACTACACGAGGAGCATTCTGCAGCGCTTATCGTACAACTGAATAAGGTGCTTCATATCATACCTCATCAACAAGCTCCACGACGCGCTGCAGCAGCGGCCGCGCCTCCTCTATCGCTGAGGTGGCTGCCTCAGCCGCGTCAAAGATGCGATCCAAGCCCTGCGCATCCATCTGGCGCGCAATCTTTGTGCAGATGTACACCAGATCGTCCATCGCCACACCTGCACACCCACAGCACATGTCGGTCAATCTAGCTTTTGCAGGAATCCCACAGGGACGCCACTACTAGCATGGTGCTCCGCATTCGCAATATCTTTGCCTTGGAAAGCAAGTTGCAAGCTGTGGTACGTCAAACTGCTTGAAACTTGATGATCCCAGAGATCAACGCCAGGCTCAAAAAATAAGAGTGGACGGTGAGCGCACCTGGATGACCCTTAATGTGCCCCTGATGGCAGACAATCTTGCCCTCTGCTTCACACTCAGCATCCAAGGGGCTCGCCTGCACCAACCAGCCAAGCTCATTTGATAGTATGATGCAATGCCTTCTACTCTCTCCTGCAAGCGCAGAGCACCACCGTATTTCGATGAGAAAGCAAAGCTATGTGTGCATAGGAGAGAGGGAAGTGGAGACCTTGTAGTCTGGGATGGGCAGCTGCGGGGTGATGTCGATCAGAGGCTCTGCTATGAGACCGCTCTGGTTCGCCTCGATGTGGGAGTTGCGAGGAATCACTGTGGTGGACTTCTTGACCTGATCACAAGCAGTACAAGACCAGTGAGCACAGGACCTTCTCCCAATATAAATTTCGTTCCCAAGTGCCCACCTTCCTTCCTAACAGGGTTTATTACTCAGCCGATCGCTCTCATGAATTGCTTGCTTGATCAGGGGCTCACCTCTGTCAGTACCTCCACCTTCTCAAGTGAGGCATTGAGGTTGAGGACGCTGCCGATGGGCACACCCCGGATCCGCACGGGCGTCCCCACTGTTATGCCGCAGGCCAGTGGAAACTCCAGCACACACTGCCATGCATGCACAATTCAGCAGCGGGCCTCTACATTGCCTGTCCAGCTAAGGTCCAGGTTCTTGAAAACTAAAAGAATGGGGGCATGACGAGAGGCAGGACATTGCTGTACCTGGTATCCCTTGCCTCGCCTGCCAAGCTGACCCCCCCTGGCCCAGCTAATGAGCACAATGGCAAGACCTGCACAGCAACCAGTGCTCAGGTGGCTTCCAGACTTTCATGTCAAATCGGAATCAAGAAGATTTCGGCACGTTTTCGAAGTGCCAACAATTGATTTTCTTCTAGGGTGTCTTGAGACGCACCTACGCCAGCAAAGACAAAGAGACCGACACCGCCCTCCATGAAGGACATCTTGCCAAAGCCAAAGTCCTGCAGGGGCTTCATGACCCTGGTCACAAAATTCTCCCGACGCTCTTCCCCGCTTACAGGGGTTGCTGCTAGGCTTCCAGGCTGCTGTGGATCCCCAGACCCGCTTGCTGAAGCTGGAGAAGATGCGCTGGCGCATATCTGCGCTCCTGCATTCCTATCTTCCCTCCTGCTCTGGCTTTTCCTCCATTGTCTGTTGGAAACCAGAGGAGGTGTCAGAGGTCATCCAATCACGTGCCTTTCCTGGACTCAAAGGAGGCCAAGACATCACAAACTTGGAGCGTCTTCAAAGACAGCAATTGCATGTTGGCAAGATTCGAGGCGTGGGCATGCATGGTAATTACTCAGAAGGGACGTCATGAAGATTTGTCTTGCACCTACAAAGCTATCGGAATTAATGTTGCCGAAATCCACAACGAAAGGCCAGAATACCAAACTTTTACCTTTTTTGCAGACATATGTGAAGGGAGCTGACAGCTGGATATATTCTCTGAGGTGCTGGTCCTAGGATGGATATCGTTGGCAGGGGACTTCTGTATGAACACACGCCAGGCTGCCTGACCCACAGCGAATGGCCGGTGGGAACTCTAGTATTCATTCCACGGGTCTTTTCTGGCCTGACTACTCCAACTATTACTCTGTCAGCAGGATCCAATCCCAAAATCCTCTGAAGCAGTAAAACAAGCCGGGCACACAAGCCTGTATAAGGACTAACCTAGTTAATAGCCTCACTTCTAACGACTTCGAGATGATGCTGCATCCTTTGCTCCATTTCCTGCATGCTTCGGAGGCATTGCTTCCTGCTTGATCTCGGAGTTGAAAGCCAGAAGCCTAACTTGGCCGGTGACTAAGCACCATCCTTTAGCTTCCGCCTGTGCCCGACACGATCTTGGCGTTCATTTTCCAGTGGTGCAACTCACAAGAGAATGGGTTTTTAGGTCCTATCTGTGCTTTTAGCACGATTCAATTTCTATCCCGGTGGAACAGGCAAAGTTGATCTAAGCAGTTGCAAACATGCTGGATGTTCTCAGCGAAAGAGCTGGCACGATGTTTGCGATTCCAGCTGAAGCCGCTTTCAGAACGCTACTGTCGCTTTTGGTTGTGTACTGCTGTACAAGCCTTCCAATCGTTCTGTGGGGGCTGAGGAAGCTCTTCCACACTGCACAGGTAACGTATTGTTGCTCTGATTTGAGCACACTTAGAAGACCGCATCTCCATAATCTGCAGATCTATGGCGACCCTCTGCAATGTAGCAGGGCGCTAACTGTGCGTTGCGTGTGTATCGCAGGGCAGCAAAACACCAGCTGAGAGCACCCCAGTCGTTGCACAAAAAGTAGCTTCTTCATCAGCAGCAACAAGACTGCCTGCTGTGCCTGACATCATCACTCTGATTGCAGCCAGACGATCCATATTTCCCAAGGACTTTAGTGGGGATCTAGTGGACAGGTGTTTATCTCAAGTCTGAACACATTAACCCGAATGCAGCAGCCATGAAACGATTCAAAGTTTATCATTGTACCTATATCCTGTTCAGGATGCTACTCTTCATCCATGCCCTCTGTGCAGGTCGGTGGTGGAGACCATGCTTGAGGCAGCCAATTGGGCACCCACCCATGGGAAGACAGAGCCCTGGAGGTTTGTGGTCTTGGGTAGGGAAGCCCAAGAGGAATTGCTGGATCTCTCCCTCAAGGTAGACATCCATAATTACTCGACACAGCTGCACCGTTCCACCCTGTACCAAGTGTTACATTCCTGTACTGGGTGCTTCGGTCTGAATAAGCTGTCAGTAACTTCCTGTCATTGTAGGTGCTTGAGCGGGACTGCAGCCCAGAGGACTTTGCCAAGAAGCGCGCCAAGATTGAGGGCAAGCGCAAGAGTGCCTTCAGCAAGGTGGCGTACATGATCCCCATCTGCATGAAACGGCGCGCCATGGCTGGCAAGGAGATGCCGGAGTGGGAGGAGATGTGCGCAGTTGCCTGCGCTGTCCAGAACATGTGGCTGACCATGACTGCGCAGGGCGCCGCAGGTGTGAACATGCTCATTGTACTGATCTGATCGGCTTGTGGGGCCTGCTCATGATCCATCTCGATAACTCTGGAGCCTGGAATCCAGTTGCACCCCATATTAAAAGCACGTTGTCAAGACAGGGACGCAGGAGACAGGCCCGGCTTGGTATTGGAGATACTAGCACCATGTAGTTGTAGGAAGGCATGGACTAGACAGCTTGTTGGGCCCGATTTAGCAATTATGCAGCGCTGGTAGATCCTCAAAATAACTTGTAAACTGAGTGGGCATATGTTGACTCCTCGCTGGTGCACAGGGTACTGGAGTTCCTGGTACGCAGAGGCAAGGGAGAGCTTGGAGATTAAGCAATTCCTGGGGCTCGAGGAGGAGGACAAGTGCATGGGGGTGTTCATGGTGGGCCACTGCCCGGATGCCAGCGGCTACCGGTGTAAGCGCCAGCCGCACGCAGAGAAGGTCACCTGGCGCGTTTGAGCACTCCAGTTTTGGCACAAAGCACAAAGCTTTGGACACCGTGTAGATAGCCCGGCGTGATATGCAGCTGAGATCCAGGAAATTTTTCACACCCCTAAGCACAGGGTATGTACCAAGTTAGATATGTGCAAGCCTTTCAACTGAACCCAAAGGGTCTCTCCTGGACAAGTATAGACAGTGCTGCTTAGCAGCGTGGAGGCGTCAAAGGCTCAAATTACAAGCCTTGCAAGGATCCAGTCGCAGCCATTGCTGTATATACATTCTTTGAGTGAATGTCATCCTATACTAGCATCGACACACACTGCATTCGTGTCAGAGCTCTAGAAAGCTATGTACAATAGATTTTGAGAAAATTCAAGACGGTATTCAAAGCAAGAAAATTGAACACCATGCATGCGAGGACAGTTGCCGTAAAAGCAGTCTGTAAGTTGACAAGGCCCAGGTTGGTGGTCCTTATGAGATGAGGGGCATCCAAGAAGGATCCCATTCATATACTGGCCTTAGCCTCTCTACCGTAGTTCAACTGATGTAGTACATCAGTGCTTTAGCTCTGAGTGAAGAACACCCACACAACGAGCTCTTATCGTCGCCACTACATGTACATCACTTTTCCTTATAAGGACCACATTAACTACGCAAAGATCTTACAGACGCAACAACCATCAATGATGTTCAACGTGTCCCTCCTCGTAGACCTTGCGGCAAGAGTGCTTCTTGTGGCTGCCACGAATGACGGTGAGGTCCAAACTCTGAAGCTGTCGTGCGCATCAGTGCTTCTTGTAGACCTTGCGGAACGAGAATGCGCGCGCGTCGCTGCGGCCCTCCCCGGCCACGCAGCACTCGGCCAGGCTCTGCACCAGCCCCTCGAACATTGCGCCCGACACCTCGGCCGGGGCGGCCGCGCCGATGGGGATCTCCAAATAGATCCGCTCAGCGCTGCGGTCGGCGTGCATGACGTAGCCGCGCCGCATGAAGTCGTACTGGAGGACTGAGAAGTAGCGCTTGAGGAAGGCCGCCAGCTCAGCACCGGTGCAGTGCGCGCCGTACTCGCCCGCCCGGTCCAGCGGGTTTGGATCCTGCGCGCCAGCAACCTCTGTTTACAGTCATGCCAGTCAATTTGCAGGTACATGCAGGGCCTTCATACTGCTTCTTTCCTGTGTGAACGCCTAGTCACATCAAGTCCAGGGATGTGTGGACAATACTAAACTTCTTATGGGCCAGGGATCGAGAGGATCAAGGTCCCGCCATACTTTGCTGACCGCGTTTTGGGAATTCTGTCACAGTCTGGCTCGCAGATTTTTCCTTTCCAGGTCCAAAAGGAGCATATATCACCGGAAGTGCGTCCTGAGCAAGCAAGAAAGTCTATTGTGACAAAGCCAGCCTGGCAGCTGCTGACCTGAGAGGAGGACGAGGATGAGGAGTAGTGAGTGCGCAGGGAGAGGGAGCAGCGTCCCAGCTGCACGATGCCACCGGCCCTCTCCGCGGAGGAGCGCCTGGCATCCGGCGCTGGGGAGCGCCCCGGCTTGGCATCCTGATTGAAGGGGGACGTCGGCTGCGCCAGGGTTGGGCCGTACATCAGTGCAAACAGTGCCGACTCTGCGCGCTCAATGTTGCCCGCGCCCGCCTCTGCAGCACTATGACCCCGTTACGTAAACGCTCCCAGATTTGCAAGACATTGGCTCACTTGGCGGCTGCCCAGCGAACAAGGGGTTGGCCTCCAAAACAGCAAAATTCCCTCCAACACTTTAAACAGATGAAACTTTCATGGGAGTGAAGATGCTAACTATGAGAGGCATCATGCTGGCAGCAATGAAGTGAGGGGGCAGAGTTTGAGGGGAATGTAGGGAACTGACCCTTGCGGGCATTCTCAAGGATCCGGATATATGCTTCGGAAGCATGAGGGATGCCGGCTGCTGGCTGGGCGGCTTCTGTAACAAGGCCATGGCCCGAATTGAGGAGGTCCTCCAGGCCAGAGATCTGAACGCACCCCAGACACAGGCAATGGTCATGTCTCCCTCTTAGCATGGAAGATAGCATGGGGCACCTTCCAGACAGGTCATGTGACAGGTAGTGCTGCAGCAATTGTACCATTTAAAATCAGTGGTGAATTGAGCATCATCCACAGTACGGTATCTAAGCGATCGTTCAAGATCGACGCACCTCAAAGTGTTCAGCCTCCCTAGCCAGCTCCCTCCGCTCTCTCGGATCAGCTGGCAGGTCGCACTCATCATCCCGCAGGTAGTTTAATATAGTTCCAAAATGCTGCAGAATACAAAATCAAGGACACAATCAGAACATGTATTCAGAGGGCCAGTTCAACCAACCAGTAGCATACACCGTTGAGCACTTTTAGAGGCCTTGCCTTCGGGTCTCTGTCCAGGAAGAACCTGCCATCTGGATCAACGGCGCAATTTGCCAGTCCAGCTCCACTGAACATGCCTGGGAAGTACATTGCTTACTTGAGAATTCACACTTGTGTGTTGTATTACATTTGCTGGTGTCAAGGCTTTCAAGCTTTCAAACAAGTGGCAGAAAACCAAACAAACGCACTGGATCAGAAAAACTCTGAAAGCACCTGCAAGTGTGGACTCTTCATCTTTCTGCAGGGTCTGCAGCGAGGTGGTGAAGAGCGTGCCACCAACATTCAGGGAGATTACTCTCTGGCTGCCCGTGAGACGGTCGGACACATTGGGATACATCGTGGCACCAATAGTGCTTTAAAACGCGCAAAATACTATTTATATCGCCTTGTGTTGACGGACGCTGTCAGGACGCTGAACGAGGTCTATAACCGAGGCACCTTCTGGTAGCTACCAAATAGTAGGCAACAATCAAGAGGGCTGCTCTATACTGCGCACGGAGACTATTGGATAGAAGGCAGCAATGCTATCAATGGAAAGTCTCTTACACATATAGGGAGTAGCTGTCGGAGCAGAAAAGGAGGACCTCTTTTGGGAAGGACTGGAATGGCACGTGTCTCAGAAAAATTGCGAAGTTGGAAACGAAGTGGACAAAAAATGTGTATTTCCTGATACTGTATTTGCACGGTTAAATTGCAATACGATTTCTTCGGACTTCCTCCAGATGCGAGAAGCACAACCCACTCCAAATTCCCTACCCCGTTTGAATTTAAGCGCAAGGATGACGTACACCTTCATGCAATCTAGAGACTCATCAGAACCGAAGGCCATAGATCGAAATCGTGCGAAAAGTGACTCGTGTATGGTGTTGTAAAGCCCTCTTGATTGCGCACACATTGTACAAAGCACCTCTTGATTCAGGTGCTTTTTTCAGCAATGCACCTAGTAATGGTGACTCCGGGTAGGTGAGGAGCACCCACCTTGGAATAATTCTGTTGAGTTTAGTATCATTTTGTCGGATGGGTTCGACAATAACTGATGCGCGTTTGGCAATTCCAACTCAAAAGCACGGTCCATCCTGAAGAGCACATGTATAGGATGTGTCGGAAGCAGGCAGTGATGATGATCAAGCTGGATTGATTTGCATAATAAAGACGCGAACAAACGAGAGAGCGTGCTCAGACGGTGTCATCATCCCTAAGCAGAATCTCATGCATAGCTTGCGCGTTTCTTGAGGGCCCATGTCCACCAGAAACTCTGAGCAGCATGATTATGATCAGCCCTCATCATCAGCCGTACCTGAGCCTAGCCCCTCCCAAGCATGCTGCCAGGTGACACCCCATAGCCATCACTTGGCACACACCACAACTGAGCTGGTGACACATGCCACGCATGAAGCCCTGGGAAACGGTGTAAAGCTGGATGGGTGCTTGTGCACAGGGAATACTCTTGAATTTCAAGGATGCGGAGCTGGAGGCTGCGTTCAGGAGAGACTGGGCCAAAGTCAGCTATAGGGCGGACTGTGGTTTGTACTTGCTTGCACTGTCGCTGTGGTGCCTCGTGTGGCACACCCTTCAGGCCGCAGGCGAATCAGGACGAGCGAAATGGGCAGCTGGGAACGCCGTCATGTGCTGCTGCACCCTGGTTTTCATGCGGTAATTTGTGGTCTGGCCTCCCATAGGATGCAGTAGGAGGGCTACTTCTTGTGCAGGACTACAACCCCATGCAATGAGTGGAGGGAGGGAGTCGTATCATGCTTGAATCAGGTGGTGACAGGTCATGTACGCTTTGCAGGCTCAATGAAGGAGCGTTTATGCGGAGACGGACGCTCATAATTGCTTTGACAAAGATAGCAGCCACGGTCCTCGCCACAGAGATCATGCTGCTGCCCGGCTACCCAACTGCCAGCTGGCTGGTACTGCTCCACAAATCTTTGTGTTTGTTGACACCAAAGACACTACGTGCTACAGTCTAAGGTTGGGCACGTAATCCACACAACACATGCAATAAGATCCTTTTCTTTTAGTGAGCAGGGTCTCTTTAGCGCGCTAGGCGTGCTGAGCAAGGTGTGCATGCTGCTCTTCACAGCATGCTTCATGCAGATCCCCTTCTCAGAGCACCTCGTTGTGCAAGGGCTGCAGGTGCCAACCCCCTTTTGCTGCATTTACCTTTCCTCATGTCAATTCTTGGCCATGTCTGCCGCTCCTTAGATGTTGTTGAGCGTAAATCAGCTGCATTGTCTGTACTACTGCAAGGGGCTCTCTGGTACACAGCCTTCAGCACAACGCACTATAGGTGCTCACAGGCTGACGGTCTCTGGCTACTCAAGAAAGTTAAAAATTGATATCACCTATTCCAAGGTCAGCAAAAGTTTGATTTTATGTGGGCAGGTGGGCTACTGCATCATGCACAACGGTCGCATGTGCAGCGCGCTGGAGACGCGGTACCTGGGGATCAGGGAACGATGCTTGACGATGGCGCGCACGCTGAGTGCGCTGAGCTACGAGGCGCAGGCGCCCCTCAAGATGCGCAGCCGCACCCTCAGCAGCGCCCACGCATGCGAGAGCGTCAACGCCTACCTACAGGTGACCCATACTTACACACATCTGCACATGTGGAAGAGCTGACAATTGTCACATTAACAAAGTCCATCCTGTATTTCTGTGCTGTGTCACACTGGGGTCCACTGATGTTTCTTGAACTTCTTCAAGTTTCTGCTCACCGCACACCATGGTGTCTGTGAATTCCTGGATGTCCAAGAACCTGCGCAATGGCACCAAGCGGGTGCTTGGAGGCTGCAAGCTGGCATGGCCTGACCTCTATATGGGTAATCGGCTAAGCTCGCCGTTTCGTGCGGTGCTCTGGTGCAGATAACGTTTGGGTACGTTTTGTCGATGCTGCTGCTGCACGAGCTGGAGGGCCGATCGCGCGCGGACTTTCTGCGCAGCCGCGGCCGGCTGCCGGCGCATTCGACCTCCGGCGGCCTCTTCATGGGCTGGCTGGCCGTGCCGGTGTTCATGCTGCTGAGCGCGCTCATCACCTGGGAGCTCGTGGAGGGCGCCTGGGAGCTGGCAGACACCTGGACCCCATCTTGAAATGCCCTTAACGGACCTTGGCAGGCAGACAGCAGATTATCAGTGTGGCTAGTTCCGTGTCAGGAGCAATGCAGCAGCAGCAAGGGAAATGGCAATTAAGATTGCAGTATTTTTAGTCCTCCTACGAGGGAGAAGGAGGGCATCGGGCACTGCATGCGTCATGAAAGCTGTCAGAGCAGTCAAGCCAAGCGCTGAGAAAGGGCTCATGGGCTTCAGTTGAGTTCCCACGGCCAAATTTGCCGGCTGAGCGGCGATCAGAAGGTTCTAGCTGCCATTTACAAGCAGAGGCCATGCGTTGTTGGCGGTCATTTCAGACGGCAGTGTTGATGTTGCTTTGCACACACTGAGTAGAAGGAACACATTAATGCTGAGCTGTGTCCACAACAGCTTAGGTGTGGGCCACAAAATGTGGCCATTAATATGATATTTTGGCCAACGCATACTTTCCAATTTTTTTTGCTGTGGCCGCAGGGTGCCTGCATGTCTTTTATCCCATATACACCAAGAGGGCACCTCTGCCTTGTGGTGTGTCTGCCAAGACTTTTGCTGTTACAAACATTTTCTTATCGTAACACTGTAGAGACCTGACAGACCTGACCAAGATGGGGCACAATATTCGTGCAATCCAGCGATTTTGACATCCAAATCGAGGGCAAGCCACCAGCAGCTCTCAACAGAAAGCTTGAAAGCGCATGCATCACCATCGAGAAGGAGGTGCTTTTGAATTGTTCTACCTCCTGTGTACAAGTGTTGCAGCTCCACAGATTCTGCGGATTGATATTGTCCATAGCCTGGGAAAACTATTTCCAGATAAGAGAATAGGCAATTTTTTTGTTGATATCAGTTGTGTTGACTTATGGTCCATAAGTTATGGATATATATTGGAATATTTCTTTGCTTGGATGCATGCAGCCAAATGCAACATACACTGTTATGCCTTGTAGTATCAGGTCCTTTGGAAAAATGGAAAAATCTTGGAAAATTTTGAATTTTCCATTCCACAACAATATGCTCAAAGTTGTAATCTGATAGCTGGCTGTTAATTGCAACCGCAATAGGACAGGCTGCACTGAAAAATTGTGGCAGATGCTTCACAAGTGCTCTAAATGCGCGATCATGAGCATTTGTGATCATGCTTTGGCCTGCTGCGCAGACAGTGGCACTCAAGAGGTCCTTCACAGCTTTGAATTTGCTGCATTCAGACGCTCAACTCCTTGCTGTTCCAAGTGCAACTCCTCCCCTGGCGGCAGGGGCTCAAAAAATCTGTCGACCATCTCTTTGGTCACCTGCGCTCGGCAAACAAGACCCCAAATGTTTCCCCTTATTCGGAGCCTTCTATGTATCTGGGTAACAATGAAACCGTGAAGCTGACCAACTCAAGACAAAGACACTGCAGCCTGTGACATCACCTAAAGACATGTTCCAGAATTGCACACCAAACAATTCAGTGCCATGCTCTGCCCCACCTGTTCTATGGACGAGGGGTCCCACTGCGGCTTGCCGGTCTTGTCGATCAGCAGCGCTCTGACCCCTTCAATAAAATCTGACTTGCCTGTGACACACTGGTGCACCATCCTGAATTCCATGCGCAGGCACTCTGCAAGGCTTTTGCCTGCACCCTCCCTCAACTCCAGCAGCACCACCACCTGGGACAGCTTCGATGACCTGCACCACAGCCAAGGCTCAGTAGTGTGCTCTGAGCTGTCATCATGCAGAGCAGAAACCCCTTCCCCCTGCTGCGGCAGGGAAGCCTGGGATCTTCTTGGTGTCTTGAGGCCGTTGTGACATGGTAGATGCTCCCCTCAAGGATGGACATAACTCCGTAATCAAGTGAAACCATGCCCTGGGAGGCCGGTGCTGGAGAGTAACGCATAGGCTGACCCAGCATTGAGACTAGTCCATGCATGCTGGCGTTGGCTGTCAAAGCGCACATTAATCAGTGTCTCTGATTGTTGGGAGACGACAGCTCACTTGTGAAGGGTGTCCAGTGTCTCCCTGCTCCAGGCATCGTCTCTTCGTTCGAGGGCAGCATAGATCTCCTGCAGGGAGTCGAAGTCGAAGCATTCGTTGATGGCTGGCATCTGGTCCAGCAGCCCACTCGGTTCTGGAGGTTCCCCCTCATCCTGCATTCCCAATTTGCACACCAGAGCTTCATAATGTGATGTCCACCCCTGAAAGATCCAATGTCCAACTTCTTGCAATTTCAGGGGGTTAACAATTCCTATCTCTGCTGAAGAAAGTGTATTCGGCTGGCACTGCAGCTTCATGCTGTCCTGCCGTCAGCACATGAATGGAAGCCCACCTCGAAGGTCTGCAGGCTGCGGCGTATCTGCTCGGGGCTCTGGGATTGCGGATCCATGGCGTGCAGCATTTCCTCCAGAGCAGGCAGGCGCTCAGATGCCACATAGTGAGTGGCCAGTTGAGCTTCCTTCACCTCTATTCCTGCAAGGAGGAATACCATTATTCATAAACAAAGCCTCTCATTGTGTGGGTACTTCCCATTCAATGTGAAAGATTGCTTTCAAGAATGTAGGGATGAAATGCCAGATTAAAAAAACAACAAAGCCCATGTAGCGGCCTGTTCTTGCTCGTGCATGGTGGCAGTGAGATTGAGAAAGTAAGGCAACATCCGCACCCTTCAGCCGGCGGCCAGTGAGGCCCAGGTATGTGCCAAGCTGGCCAGGCAGCCGCGGAAGAAAATATGACGCGCCCACATCTGGAAACAGGCCAATGCCGCACTCCGGCATTGCAAATACCGTCCTGTTCCACACCAGCACAAGAAACTCAGTCGCTGCCACAGCAAAGTGGACTTTCCCTGTCCATGTCTTGGAGAATCTTTCAGTAAGCTCGATGGTCGTGCATTGGTGGACTCTAGGTGTACCTCCTATGCTGCAGTAGTGAAATGCACTCCAGCAGACATGGGACAAGGGACAAAGGCACAGACCTCTCAGTAGCAACCCGGTACGCTCCATGAACAGAGATGCCAGCGCCTCCGCCCATGACAATGCCGTCAATGAGCGCGATGTGAGGCGTCTGCAAAGTGCCCAGCCGGTGGTTGAGCCTGTACTCCTCCCGAAAAAAGCTGCGCACCAATGCCATACTATATCAGCATGCGGTGTGGGGTCTTCATCAGCACATGCAAACGTAGCAGAACAGAACAAGGAGGCCTAGCATACTAGGGATGCATTACCACCATGCACACACAGCGCAGGTACATGAAGATGCAGATCATATGCTAGTGGCAACCAACGAAAGCAGCAATAATTAGGTTAATACATAAGCGGTGTGTGATGCCCAACCTGATGGCTTTGTCATGCTGGCCTGCCAGGATGTACTGCACCATGCCCTTCACATCTCCACCGGCGCAGAAGGCCTTGCCGCCCGCACCCTTGACAAGAATGGCATGCACGTCCGGGCTGGCGTCCCAGTCATCATAGAGCCGGTGAAGGGTCTTGCACATGGGCTCATTCAGGGCGTTCAGTGCCTTGGGCCTGCAAGCGCATGAACGCCATAAATAAAAGTCAAACTCAAGAAGTATGGGGGACTTGCACAGATCTAGGTGCATGACGAAAGGTTTTGAGGAGTTTGAGGTGTCTGCACCTGTTGAGGATGGCCACCCCCACTGAGCCAGGTAGAGTTTCGTCTTGTCTGCCCGTCCGAAAGAGAACCTGTGACACGATTTATATAGACTGTTATCACAACATAGCCAGTCACAGTGGGCACCCCAAATGTGCAACCCAATGTCAGCAAATACAATAATGCGCTCATTGCGTATCTTCGGCGAGCGATATTCACATGACTGTGATAATAAGGAGGCTCCTTTGCACCAGCCATTCAGGAATGGCATGCTCGCGTACCTCCTGCTCGCCAACCGGCATGGCGAGTGTACTGCTGCGCTTAGACCCGTATATGCATCCTCTGATACCGGCGATCGTGCCAAAAAAGATCTTGTGTTTTCGTAACGTCGCCACTCTGTCCAATGAGCTCAGATTTAGTAGCTTGGGGGAGCAGGACAAGCCCAGTATGTCTCAGGGACTAGTACAGACATTCTCCAAAAGTTTGCAGAGCAGGAATTAATCAATGTCACAGAGCCTGTGAGCAGATCTCACTACCAATTCTGCCTTGCAAATAACTTCTTCAAATTTGCAGGCTCGTCAGTCCACAGCAAAGTTTCAGCCCAGTCATGCCAAATTTGGCTCATGAGTACCTTCCTCGAGCTCCCTCCAACTTGGCAAGATCCCTTGCCTGCCTTCGTTTATTTGTGGCAGATCATCAGGTGTGTACATTGCATGACAGTCTTGTCAGGGAGGGTGACTTTCGACTGCTCTAGACTCTGCAGAAAGCTGGTGGTTGATCCAGCAACCTGGTTTGGCATCAAAGACAAGGTTGGTCTTCTACATCGCTTCTTCATTTACAGTGGCTTTTGTGAGCATGTTACTTGAAAACTGATTGTTGAGATCAGTTGTCTGTGAAGCCGTGACTTGCCCCCAGAAAAAGTATAAATCTTGATCATCTACTGTTGCGTCTTGCATTGACCATAGCATCGTTTGACGACGCATCAGTACAAGCGATATTGAGTCGGTCTTCTGTTATTGTGACGTCTGTATGACATGAAGGAGCTTTTGTAAGCGCTGAGGAAGCTTCATGACGCCCCATCTTTCTGCCGTATTCTGCTTTTCATTTCGCTCCTAAGGACATTTTCTGCATCCATGCAGAGATATGGCGGACTCTGCAAGCATTGCGCAATTCACGGACGTCACTGGAGCTTCACAGGAAGCTGCCAAATTCTTCCTCGACAGTTCTGAGGGCGTGGTTGATGCAGCGATCGACCAGTACTTCGCCACTGGCGGTGAAATGTTCGCTCCAGCCGCCCCTGAGGAAGCAATGGAAGAAGCTGAACCCATAGCTCAACCAGGTAAAACTGGTCCCTGCTCTTCTGCGTTCATCACTCTCGATGCCTGCCTAGACAATTAGGCCAACTGATACTGGCAGAAGATACAGTCAGTGCCTCTTGCATAGTATCCCAACATTGATGTGCCAGTCCGTTACCTGCTGAATTGGACTAGCCTTGGTGGCATGCGTGAAGTCTCACCACCTGCTAAAATTCGCTGACCAGGCCATGTGGTGTTGCAGTGCTGCCACGCCAAGCTGCGCCGGTGCCGGCAGCAGCCGCACCGCCCCCGCGCGCGAGTGCCGCCAGCAGCAGAGGAGCGCGCCCTGCAGCGCAGCCCAGGGGCAACGTCCGCTCCCTGGCGGACATGGCCAAGAACCAGGACGACAGCGACGACGATGAGCAGAACGAGTACTACGCCGGCGGCGAGAAGAGCGGCCAGGTGCGCTGGCATTCAGTAGATGCTTGGGCTTGCTTTGGTGCATTGTTGAATGCTTTTATGTTCACATGACCAGCTTCCTTTTGTTGTCCTCCTCCTGATGGGGGGATCCTCTTTGGAGAAGATCTGCCCTGTTCAAGAAGGGGACCCATGGGACTCTGATGTGAGCTGAGATAGACAGCAACCATGATGTCTGCAATGTCCGCAACAGGTGGTCAAGGGCAATCCAGCCCCGAAGGAGAAGGTGGGCGAGCTCTTTGACCGCGCGCGCATGGCCGGCGCAGAGGACGGACCCGCCGCGCCCCTGCCGGCGCAGCGCTCCGCAGGGGTGTTCACCGGCACAGCGCGGACGCTCGCCGGCGGTGACGTGGCCCCCGAGCCTGCACCGGCGCCAGCGGACGGCCAGCCGCCGCGCATCGTGCACAACATCTCCTTCTACGCAAACGGGGTCTTCACCATAGACGATGGTGCGTGTGCCTCCTCCATGCTGTTGCGTGCTGTAAGTGTTTTGCTCACAATGAGCTTTAATTGGGCATCACAGCAAATGTGTATACATGAGACCAGGGATCTGTTTTGCACTATGACGGCACAAGATTCAAGAGCTCACTGCTCGCTGAGATATGGAGCTTATGCTGTACTGCAGTGGCAGTCCTACATTATGTAATATTCTTTTTACTTCTCGCGTCAATCCTGCAACATTGTCCCCACAGGTGAGCCACGCCGCCTGGACGACCCGGCAAACAAGCCGTTTCTGGACAGCATAGCGCGCGGGGACTGCCCCAAGGAGCTCGCGCCCTCCGACCGCCGCATCGTAGTCAATGTCAACCTGATCCGAGTCGAGCGCGAGTACGTGGCGCCCCCGAAGCCGAAATACAAGGCCTTTGGAGGGACCGGACGGCTGCTGTCAGGTGCGCTCCCGGCCCCCTCACTACACAACCCTGTGCTATAGCTATCACAAATGCCAACACAGGTAGCTTTGCACCTCGGCACCTGCACGGCTTTTTGCCACTTCCAAACCCACTGGTAGTTCTGGGTGTGCCACCCTGAAGGATGTGTCTGAGGCTCATATTGTGAACTGCGCAGCGGACGATGGGCCGTCTGCAAGCAGTGAGGCGACGCCGGAGCAGCCGGCCGCAGCCCCAGCAGCAGGTTCCCAGATGCCCTGGGAGGGCCCTGACGAGTCAAAGGACACAACTTCCCTGCAGCTGCGCCTAGCAGACGGCTCTCGCATGGTCGGTCCTTGAGCCTGTAACTTCAAAATCAATCAGGGTGCACCAGACAAGAGCAAGGCGTGAACTGTGCATGTGACTTCCTGACGTTGGATATCTGTATCCTGTGCAACTGCCGGGTGTGAGTAGATCTGCTATGATTGTGTGCATGGGGGTAATTCCTTGCAGCTGCAGTGAATAAAATCTGTGCAGGTGGCACGCTTCAATCTGGACCACACAGTGGGGGACATCCGCCGTTTCATCCGTGCAGCCCGACCCGAAGTCACAACTCCATTCCGCCTCATGACCGCCTTTCCGCAAGCACAGCTGGAGGATGACGCTGTCACCATCTCCGCTGCAGGGCTGGCCAACGCTGTCATCATACAGAAGCTTTGAGTCTGCTTCACCCAGTGCATGTGAAAGTCGTCAGCCAGATAGTAAGTGCGGGCTCTACATTGATAGCAGGTCTAGGTTTGCATTTAAGTGTTTATTCAAGATGGCATTTGTGCCTTTATTGCCTCAACTCTAGGACTACTCACCCGATCAACATTCAGGTGGGTGAGAGTGATGCAGAAATTTGGAGTTTATGTTTGCATGCTTTGCCGAAATGATGTGTTCATTCATTAGCGTAGGATTGCAACCCCTACAATTCCTAGCCAGTAAAAGGCTACAATCTTGTTGTGCAAACTACTTTTAAGCACATTCTCTATAACAACACACAATCTCTGAAAACACATGCAACAGCCATAGTGATCTGACAACTGTTCACCCTGACGATACCGTGTCATGTCAGGCTGGCATGTTGCAAATCGGATGCACTCTCATCTCTCAAGTCTGTCCCTCTAGCATGCTAATTTCTTGCAAAAGACCAGCCTCTGAGGCAATCTTCTGCAGCTGCTCTGGCTCCAGCGCAGCTCCTCCTGCCTGCTTCTCCTTCAGCTGCTGCACCTGCCTGAGCTTCTTCTGCAGATTGCGCAGCCGCTTTGCTGCGTCTGCGCCGGAATCCTCCTGCGCCTGAGGCTCAGCTGTGGTCAGAGCAGAGACACCTGCAGAATGTACACACAGCTGACGTGAATTCATGGGCCATAAAAAAATCCGAGATACACTAGAATGAATTCAATCTTCCTGCTTATGCATGGTGCAGAAGGAAACATGCCGTGTCTGTGACACGACCTTTGATGCTCATGTGCCCAAGCAGCCATGAATGCCTTTGGACATTTAGGATGCACCTTCTGTGACGGACTTGACTTGGGCGGCGGGCTCTGCACCGTCCTCACTAGCCTGTCCATCTCCTCCTTTGGCCTGCACACATTTCCCAGACGCTGCTTGAATTCCTTGTTATGGGCACCATCCACAACACATGGCTGCCAAGAATTCAGGCATATGCCACAGTGCTGCACCTTGGCGCGTTGCCGCCGCTTGGCGTTCTTTGACGCAGTCTTGGTGTCGGGCGCAGGTGCGCCTGGCACAAGGGTCTTGTGGTGAGCGTTCACACCAATGCGGCCGCGAGAGTCGTTTGGATCATGCCCCAGGCTGAAGTTGCCGCTGGACGAAGCACCTGATGCATGCATGCAACAGCTTCATCTTGCTCCCAGAGCCAGCATCCTTTTGCGTTTGAATCATCAACTAGCCAAAAATATATGCAGACATGCAGCTTGTCTGCAGGACGTACCTTGCCTTTTGGCACAGAAAGCTTGCAACAATAATAAGTTTTAATAATAATAATAATAATAATAATAATAATAATAATAATAATAATAATAATAATAATAATAATAATAATAATAATAATAATAATAATAATAATAATAATAATAATAATAATAATAATAATAATAATAATAATCATCATCATCATCATCATCATCATCATTGCCAGGGAGATACGCGACATCAATTGAAATGCTTGAAACACATGATACATGAGAGCAAGCAGGTTGGTGAACAAAAAACATAATGAAATGAACGTACCTGCTGCAGAGCCCCTCAAGTGAGGCAGAACATAGCCAGATGCTTTGGCTGCTGCAGGGGCCGCCGGTGCACTGCCGTTGGCCCGAGGCGACTGCGGCCGATCGGGGAATGTGTCCCGCGGCGCCGGCTGCCAGCGAGCTTCCAGCAGCACTTCCACCTTCTGCTCAAGCAGCTTCTCCCCAGTGTACCTGACACCCGCAAGTAATTTTGTTGTTGAAGTGCCCGTGCCCAGAAAATGGGCATGACAACAATGCAAGCCATGCTTGCTGAGCCTGGCCAGAAGTCCCCAAGATCCGGACAAAATAGACACGCAGAAAGGCTGGGAGATGGAGGGTATTGAGGGATTTAAAGGCGCATGCATGCGTGGATGTGCGCGTACTTGTATATCTGGAAGCCATTGTCCACCCTCAAGCGGGGTGCTGTGGTGGCTGTCAATACACTGCGCCCGTCTGGAGCCCACTCCAAACTCACAGCATTGTCAGCCCTGCATGCAAAAGGACGATCAGCACACCTATGCATGTCATGCAAACTAAGAACAGTGTCTCCAGACGGCTTCGTTTCGAACAAGGACAGTGAGGCTGAGTCACCTTGTGGCACCCATCTGCTTGAGCTTGCCGTCCGCCTTCTTGTCGAAGAACAAGATGTCGCCTGGCAAGTTCCCAAAGCCCGCCACCGCCACAAACCTCCCCTGCATTTGCAAAGTCCTTGCTCTGAACCACACCGGCAAAAATTGACCATGGCCGCAAATATCATGAAAATGAAACTGTACAGTGCAGCTCCCTGCATGCTATGGAGGGAAATGTGCAAGTCACACACCTGAGGACTCCACCTCACAAGGTTGTGGCCGCCGCTGCCCAGATCAAAGAAGGGCTTGCAGGCCTCAGTGAACACAGTGCTCTTGGCAGGCATGAAGCCAGCCACTGTGATGAAGTGCTCGCCCGAGGGTGACCACTGCACATCATGCACCGGCCCCTCCTGCAAGACAAATACTTTCAAGCTACAGCTTCGCTTGCCTATTCCTTTCATAAAAGGCGGGCTAATGTGATCGATGTGAAGTGCAACAGGTCCACAGACCTTGAGCTGGACAATGCAGTCATTCTTTCCATCAGCTGAAAGGTAGTTAAGCTTCTGCTCGCCATAGTAGCTCTGGTTCGTGGCATCTGTGTCCGAGGACGTCAGCGCCAGCAGGGCAGTCCCCTTGGCATTCCACAGAAGCTGCGCTGCGTTGGCCTGTCATGAAACACCACGTGCATGAGTCAGGAACTTGGGCAATGCACAGGAAAAATCCAGCAGAGTTTAAATCTGATGCATGCGGCATGAGTGTGGAGTTGCGCACCCTGAAAAAGGACCGACGTGCAATGGGCGCAGGTGAGTCACCCTTGCTCAGCTGATTCAAGTCCCAGATGCCCACAAAGCCGGGGGCGCTCTTACCCTCTGGCACGTACGCAGCCAGGAGGGGCTTTGCTGTGTTTGGTGACACTGCAAACCCTGCCAAGCCCTTCACTGCCAGCTTCTTCGCCACCCCTGCAGCCAGGCACATTTGACCAACCAGCATTTGCATAGTGCATGACAAGTTATTAATATTGTCATGACTTACACCAGTTTGAGCAGAGTTTGGAAGTATCAGTGCATGCATGGATGCATGCAGACTTGCTGCAATGCCGCATTCATTGGGCAGCTGCAAAGCTGCAACTGCCTGTTGATGTAAAATGGTTGTGGATGGAAGCAAAAGGCTAATGCTGCTTGAAAAGCAAAGTCTCAGCCCCCTAGATCGCCAAGCACCTTGTGAGAAATTGTGTGGGTCGTAGACATTGACAGCATTTGTCACGAGGTGCAGTGCGGATGTTTCATCAGCCGTGAATGCCACTGCTGGCCAGTGATCCCTGCTGAAGCTCTTCTGAAAGAGCTGCATCACCACCGTGCCTTTCCTCCAGTCCCATACCTGCACATTTGAGATTCTAAAACCTTGATTCCTTGATGCGCTTTGACTTTGGTGTCTGATGCCAGTCAAATGACAGACTCGCTATCTGCACAGGTTAGCATGGGTCAGCACCTTAAGATTCTTCTCTGCATTTCCAGAACCTGGGGCGGGCCGTTGGAAGGTGGTCAAGTAGGTGTTCTGTGGAGAGAAGGACACTGCCACAACTGTTGGCAAAGTCAAAGCCGCCACCTGTTCACAGTTGTTGCTTAGAAGGCCTTGACCAGCACATGTCCATGGCAACATCTGTAGGAAGGACAGCAACTGAACAACCACCCGGAAAAGGACATCCTGTTCAACAAGGTACCTGGTCTTGATTTCTGCCATCATAGATGGTGACTGCATTGGGGGACATGGCTGCTAGATACGCCCCATCCTCTGACCATAGCAGACTACCCGCTGGCACCCTGAAACACACTCGATTTCAGTGCACAGGTGATAACTGAACAAATGAGATTCCACCCATAGTTGAGTCTACGCTCATCATGCCGCATGACATAGAAGCCTCCAGGGACAGCAGCCAGCACTTGTGGCTTGTTCCTGCTTTAATGTTCTTGCAATGGTGTCGTACACTTCGCTTTTTATGAGGATATATTCAAACACCAAATTCTATTACAAATCAGTGACATCGTTGGGTTGCTGGACTCACTTGGAGATCTTGGTGGTCGCCAGCGCAAGAGGCGTCTTCTTTGGTACCAAGCTCACAACCGAAGCTACATCCGGAATCCTCACTGTGAACATGAACGAAATAAAATTATTAAAAGATGTTAGAATCATCCACTCCTATCCTGCAAAGCAGAGGATCACTTCAGATCACAAAATGCAGTCAGTAGCTGACCTGTGATTTGCTGGGGTGGCAAGTCATGGTGCTGGCCTTCTGCAGACATTTGATTGTTCTTTCTCCTATGAGATCGATTTGGACTTTAGACGCTTGATAGAAAGTGCGGATGTGCTGCAATGCTCACTGCAATTATACGACTTTTATTTCTTGCCGTACTCCTCTCCTGTCATCACCGAATCATTTTGAAGGCTGCTCGTGGATTCGTTGAAGTTGCAAATCTCATTTAAAGCAAAAGGGAGAAACGTTGGAGTGGACCCCCAGTGGAATTGATGACGTCATCACAACTCCTCTTCTTTCTCCCAGATAAATTAAATTGATACATGATTAATCTTGTAAATGCGCGCATGGCTGATGAGAATTGTTATACACAACTGCGATAGGACTCTCGAAATGTAGACGTCTCGGAACCAATTTCCATTGCTTGTGTACAAGCAACTAGGATCTAAGTCGTGCGCAATCGTAGGGATACACAAAATGAAATATTTTCAATTTTCCAGTATGTTCTAGAGGAGGTGTCATGACAAAGCATGGATTTTTACAGGATCTTAGGTGTGAAAAGGGGTGCTTCACAGCAGGAGGTGAAGGATGCCTGGCGTCGAGAAGCCCTCAAGAACCATCCTGACAGGTGAATGTAGTGGCAGGATAGTATTATATTCCTTTGTGTGTTGATGCCTGATCACTCCCAACAGCTTGTCAGCAAGGCCTCTGACTGTCGAGGAGAACCTGCGCAGACTACAGAACGCTTCAGACTTTGACAGAGCCGAGGCTGCACGGAGGTTCAAAGAAGCCAAAGAGGCTTACGAGGTGCTCAGCGATGGTACGCATCCTTTGCTCTCTACACAGCTTGCCCAAGAACTGCACCTTGGCCTTCTGCAACTCTGAATTTCCCGGCTTTTGACCCATCTGCAAATTCAGTGTCCCTCACATTTACTCCTGACACTCTCACGAGGGTGCCAATGTGTCATCTGCAGATGGCAAGCGAGCGCTATACAACACCTCTGGCCGCTCGGCAGTCTATGCAGCGCAGAGGGCAGGCAGGACATCCTCATACGGCAGCGATTTCACTCCCAGGGCGCGCAGCGGCTGGTCTAACTTCAGATACCAGCAGCAGCGCCACAACGTCCATGGTGAGGACTTGCATGCCCCACCATCTGCCCTCCGCCCCAGCTATGCAGTAGCCAACTTGATGTGACAGAAAGACCCTTGCACTCAATATTGCGAAATCCGCAAGTGTCCAGTTGCCTAGACTGCTGGCACAATAAGCAGCAGCCCTTGTGTGAGTGTCGATTGAGCAAATTTTCTGTTGGCCAGGGTCTGCATTTAGTTTCTTCAGGGGGTTCACGCGTGGCATGGGCCGAGCTGATGCCTACTTCCATGCCGGCTTTGCTGGCATCCTGGTTGTTGGAGTCGTGCTCGTCGCCCCGATGGCTGACTCACTCTGGGAGCGCATGAATAGTGGGGTGCGTGCATCGCTGCCCAACTGACTATCTGCGTGTCTTTCTGGCCAATCCATGGTGAAATATGGTGTTGCTGGGGACGACTGGTTGCTGATGCTAGAACCTGTTCTGACACTGTGCTGTGCCCGCACGCAGAAACTGTTCAAGCATATGAAGGCAGCGGAATCACACACGGTACCTTTTTTTTCGCTTCAAAATAGCCTGTGATAGCATAATATGCGAGTGCAGGAAACTCACCGATTGAGATGTGGTACGATGAGCTAAATGTTACTATCAAATGGAGTGTGTTGGCGCTGCAGGCTGTTTGGCCTGTGAGAGATCGGATACAGGATGAGGGTGAGAGGCTGCGGGCTCAGGGAGTGCCTCCAGAAGTCATTTCTGGCATGCGCAGCATCAATGCCCATGATTTTGCCAGGCAGCCAGCTGACGCCAATTCCAGAAGCACTCTCACGATGGTAGGGATTTGTCATGCTTCCCAGATGCCAGCGTCACTGGCCCATGGGTGCGCCAATATGTTAGACAGCAGCCCAATATGCTGCATTAAAGAAGCCTTCAGTCACGGCGCCAGGCAATGTTACTTCCTAAAAGTCAGCGGTGTGCTTGTGCGCAGGGCACTGTTACCACTGGTGAGCGTGTGAATGCAAAGGAGGCTTCTGAAGGACCCTGCAAAGAGCAGGATACTGCCGGCCAGGTGCCACATGAACAGTACAAAAGGGCAGCCTCAGAACCTGCCGCAGGCACAGATGATCCTAGTGACTCTTTCAGTAAACGCAGTAGTACCAATGGGGGACTTTCCACGCAGAGCGCTTCCTCACCCCAAAGCGCCAGTGATGATGCTGTGATTGAAAAGCCACAAGTGGATCCAGAAGGCGAAGCTGCAAATCCAGCAGGCAATCCTATACTAAGAGAACCGTTGCTGCCGGACAGTAATCAGAGTGTACAATAAAGAGAAGAGGAACACTGAAATCGTGGCGCATAGATTGTGGGCTCTCCTCAATGGATTTGAGGACAGATGTTTTTTTCGCAATGACAGTAGCTATGCTAGGCACGGGCAATATAAACGGGTTATGCATGCTGTTTTTGCGGACCCAGATCCATTAATCATTGGAGGGAGCGGGGCTGTACGTTAGGTGGCAGTGTACCAGCATTGAAAATCAATTTACACCCTTACCAATGATGATGAGTGCCATTCCAACATCATCGTGTCCAGACATGCACAGCATGTACATTAAGTTAGGTAAGCTTGCATAAGCTTACCCTAAAGCTTTGAATAAATTAAGACTAGTCTAACACATGTGCACATGATGTCACATCAATCGTCTAAGTTGCGACAATTGACTTGGTAAGGCCAAACTATCAATACTGCTGTCCATCCATCTTGACTGTGCTTGTTCTTGCAAGCGGCTGTCTCAGCTGCATAGCAATTGCGACTGACCATATAAGAAGACGATGAGGCCTGATGCCCTGATCATTTGCGAACATAAATAGAGAAGTGACACAAAGCACCAAAAACACAGTCCACAGCATCCATGACATGATCCGACCAGAAGTTTGAGCACGGTATATCAGACTAGCCTAGTAGGCAGAGCGAACATGTTCGCTATTGGGTGACATCAAATATGCAGTCCCTTCATAGGACAATGCTCAGAGAATGAGAATGCTGACCATAAGAATACACAGCGTATTCTACGCCAGGATCAGATTGCAATGCATGTGTAAGTTGCTACAGTGGGGTCAAAGAAGAATACAAGTTTGAATGAGTCCATACCGGGCAGATCAAGAACCGCTTGCCACAAAATCCTGTAATTGGCCTCAGAGCGAAACCCCCACCATGTGCGAGAAAATGGGGCAGAGCCCTCAAGAATAGAGGCAAGTAAAGACATTTTGTGAAATCATTGGTGCCATATGGCCAAGAGAAAAAGCACCTGCTTGCCAATGAGGGACGCCCCCAAGATGTCAACATGCCGGTGCTACAAAGCAAGAAGAATGGGTGAGCCACTGCATGTCGTGCAACCTCTTGCGCAGAATGTGCAGACAAATGCAAACACAGGACCCTCAGCAGCTCCCAGCCGCTGCCTAAGAGTATATACTGCAACAACGTCAGCTCCTTCGCTGCTTGGTGACCACTATAAAGCCGATCAGATCCTGGAGCTGTTTCGCGCGCCCAGGCACCCGGCAGAAGATCATCTGGCGCTCTCTTTTGGGAAGTGCAGGCTGGGCACCTGGGTTCGCAGTCGAATTCATCCAATCGTGCCCTTCACGTGCAGCCCTTCTCTGAGTCAAACCTCATCTGATCGTACCTAAAGCAGCACACTGCCTCTTGGCTGAGTCGGAGCTCATCCAATGGTGCCCTTGACGTGCGGCGCGCTGTCTCTGTTGGCCGAGTCGGTGTGGAAGGGGTTTGGCGGCGCGAGATTGGCCGAGGGGCACAGGTCGCGCGGCGCCAGGCGCGACAGAGAACAGCCCGAGACGGAGTGCCAGCGCTGACTCAGCGGGGAGCAGCGCTCCTTGGACGGCGCAACTGGCGGCCGCGCCATGTCCTTGCGCTTGGGAGTTGACCCCGCCTGCGTCCGGGGCGGCCTCTGCCGACAGCATGCCTGCAATGCGTCCCCATTTTTAGACCCTTCTTTAGACATGCCAAGCAGACACTCCTTGCCCGGTTGTTAGCTGGTGCTCAGTAAGCTGGAAATCAACGTGCGAAAGGGAAAAGCAGCGAACGTGCCTCGACAAAAGGGATTTCAACGCCACCACAATTTGACATTGGAAAATTCTGAAGGACCCTGTTTTGGTGAAAGAGCAGGAACTCATGAAGGGGAGAGAGCAGGTCTCACTGCGCGGCAAAGGTCTGGCGACATGCTGTTCCTGATGATCTCAAAGGCCTCCTTGGCTGAGGGCCTGTCCTCTGGAGGCCGCTCCAGGCATTCGTCTATCAGCTCTGCTATGCTCTCAGGGCACTCCTCGGGCACCTGTGCAGATGCAGAACACACAGAGGTTTCTTGGGTATAAACTCACAGACTTTTTATGCCATGAAGCAGCTACACCCACGAAGCAGCTACACATACACAGTAGCCATAAGTATGAGGGGACTGGCCATCACAAAGGCATTTGCGTGCCCTCCCAAGCTTGTGGTTCTGGAAGACCAGGAAAAGCTCAGACCTGCAGCCGTCGAAGATGGCCGCGCAGTGGAACCTCTTGAGTGCAGATGTTCCACAGGACCACCCCCAAAGAGAAGATGTCCGCCTGCAGCAGCAAATGAACAAATGCTCCATTGACTGCATTTCTGCCCCTTCCCAGATGCCCACATCCCACATTACTGCAACATAATTTCCAATCCTTGCCCTTCTTTGTTCAAGCCAAGGCACTGGCCACTGTGCATCGTTGTGCAGGAGATTTCCTTGGTGCTGCACACCAAAGGGACCGTTTCCCACGCACTCAAGGCAAAGCTGACCTTCTCGTTGCAGCGCATGTTGAGCAGCAGCTCAGGCGCGGCGAACGCGAGGGTGCCACCGGCATTGGCGTCTGTGATTGTGGCCAGCATCACTTTGGCCAGACCCAGGTCGCCAATCTTGGCGACTGTGTAGTCCGCGTTCAGCAGGATGTTCCGGCACGTCAGGTCCCCATGCAAGCACTGCAGCCATCACACAAAAACGACCTTCAATCGAAATGATTGCACAGGGAACAGGTTATCCTGCCTGCCGCAGAGATGGAGGTGTCCCAATCCGAAAAGTCAGCACGGCGTGGGGGGATTTCAGCAGTGTCACTGCACTGCAAGACATACAAGGCGGAGCAAGGAGTTGCAGAGGAGAGGTGCGGGGGGCTGGATGCGCACTCTGCAGCTGTGCAGGAAGCACAGGCCCCTGCCCACATCCAGGGCAATCTTGTGGCCCTTGCTGTACCAGCCCAGGTCGCCGCTCCTGTCGTTGGATATGGCATTGGACAGATCGCCTCCCTGCAAGCCAGTGCCTCAATCAGCGTTTGATAAACCTGTCTGCCCAACGTCTTGATGGGTTGAACGTGCCACTGCAAGGCATGCGCATGGGACCCAGGAAGCATTGTTGTGCAGTACATTGGCACCACTGCCATTTTTGTGGTGCAGCAAATTTGAAGTGTGGCATAATGCAAAGCAGACAGGAATATTGCAGATGTAGGCTGGGGCCACACCTCCATGCACTCCAGCACCAGCACAGGGCAGCCCTCCATGATGGAGGCGCCGTAGAATTGCACAATGTTGCTGTCAAAGCTGAGCGTCCTGAGAAGGTCCAGCTCCTGCGCAAAACACCCAAGACCGGGGCTGCTTTCAAACCCACACCCCCTTCAGACTCAACAGCAGTCTCAGCACTGCAACATCAGGTAGAGCCAGGCAATCTTGTACAACATGGCGTTAATGGTGGTGGACACTGGGCAGCATAACACTGAACCCCATTTTTGAAATCCGTAAAAATTTTCCAAAGGGATTTGAAAAGGACCTTAGTAAAACGGGCCAACTCCTTCTCAGGGTCCTCCACATCCAGCAGCATCTTAAGTGCCACCTCCCTCACACCTCCATGCAGCCCCTTCAACACCTGTTCATAGCATATGGTGATAACATCAGTTCCTTTCACACCGGGCTTAATTTTCGTTGCCGCATGATGCAGCATGGAAACAGGTCGCAAGCATCAGCATCAGGGATCGGGGATGGGAAGAAAGGGATGATCAGGGGTGAAAGAACGTTAGGACTCTGGCTCTGGCACCTTGCAGAAGCCACCCCTGCCAAGCTCATGTGGCGTGCCATCGCTCCTGAAGCATATCTCAATGTCCTCTCCATCCAGGGAGTTGCGCAGACACCACTTCTTCATGTCAAGCTCCGAGCAGACAGAGCTGACCAGGGAACGCCTCGAGCTGGGTTCCATCATGCTCCCTGTCCAGTCAGAACATGTCAATATACGGAACTGCACCTCGGGCAGATCAAAATAAAGCCATCCAGAACCTCTTTACGGAATCTGGCTCCACAGTTGTCACCTGCAGATATCTTGACTCCTGTCAGGCCACACTCTGTGTCTTGACTCTTGTCATCGCCTGTAGCAGGGAAAGCATCCTTGGCACGCTTTTGCCGCAAGTAAAGGATGGCGCCTGCAGCCATCCAGCAATGCATACTGTCAATTCACCCAAAGCTGAATGCTGACATATTGGCTGCTGCCAGTGCGGACATTCTGAAGGGACATGAGCATGTGCCAGTGTCATTTGAAGGCCCATGATCTGCAGACGTACCAATGATTGCCGTGACCACAATGACCACAGCGACACAAGAGCCAAGGATTGCAGACATTGGGGCATTGTAATCATCCTGAGGAAAGCCGGCTGAGGGCGGAAAGCCTATGGCGGTCGCCTGATCCACAAGAGTCAGACCTGGTGTGTGGGACACAAGAGTGCCTCAGTGCGGCTTTGGATGAAGTTGAAAGACACTGCAAGGCATCCAAGATGCACCAACACAGACATGGTGTAAGCCGTTCTTCATCAGAGCTGCAGACAAGGCCACGCTTTTTACACATGCACGCATCGCTCTGCAAATTTTTAGGACCTCACCTGGCTGGTGTTGTATGGAGAGCAGCATGGCATCCGTGAGATTCACACCCGCTTCAGCAAATTTTTGAAAGAAGGATGCTCTCGCGGCGCCATCTTTGCAGGACACGCATGCAAGCATGTCTGTGAAGGCCTGCCGATGCACCCAAAGCTGTCATGCACCTCACCAGGAGTGTTTCTCTTCCGACCTGAACAAATTTGTGCAAAGGCTATGCCATCCATGCAAAGACCAATTTCAGGCATTGGGAGACATCAAGGAAAGTCACAGGCCTCACCTCCATAACTTCCTCGATGCGATTGGCCGCCACAAGGTGGATTACCACGCTGATGACGTCCACATCACCCATCTGCTGTGTGATCTGCAAGCATCCCCAATGCCTGATCACCGCTGTGTACATTTCTGCTTGTAAACAACATACAGTGAAGCAGCATCACACAAAGCCGTCATCAAAAACACGAGCATCCATTGCTATCAAGACAGGCTGTGCTAGCTCCACTGGACACTTTTGGCCCATTTCCAAACGAGCCTCACATTTGTCACAAGCGCCCGATGGATCCACAGCCTCTCGTTCAGCGGATGGAACATTGCAGACATGAGCAGATTTTCCTTCTCTACCACAAAGGGAGCCAGGCGCACACCCGCGACCTGCACAAGGGTGAACAACATCTCATGCTGTACTCAGAGGTGCGCCTCCTTCAATGGCGCCCACTCAAGGCATGCCTTCAGGCCTCAACACTGGCACATAAAGATTGAAATCAAGGTTGAAATGCTGATGACTGAGCACTCATGTGTGTCAGTTAAGCAAGTCACCTGGATGTTCACGGTATAGCCCTGGCAGGAGCTAAGGGGGAGGCGTGCGACCACGGGGGCAGCTTGAGGGTATATACACTCGGTCAGATGCCAGTTCTGGTCAATCTGGGCACATAAAGGGGGCTTAGATTTTATACTCGCATGCGTGCGCCAATACTCATGTAAGCAGGAAATAACACGATTAACAGCAAGACCTGATGCTTTGCTCACCGTCGTGTTTAGTACAACATTCCGATTTTGAGTGGTTTGCATGAAAAGGGTGAAGTTGAAGCCCTCTGCCCTCTTAAAGTAGCTGTCAATCGTCCAGTATATCTTGAACGTGAGGTCCACGCTCGTAAAGTAACTCAGGCTGGCGCTGAGGCTCTCGGAACCGTTAGAATCAATGTCCCCTGGCGACCATGATCCAAATAAGCACACCATATGGTTCTTGTACGACAGCAACAAAAGTGCGCAAGCTTTGGGGGGAACCTAAATCAATGGCCTTCATAAACACTGGTGTTGGATGTCATGAACGTTGTATGTTCTCACCCCTGGACCCAGTAGTGATTGTCTTGGCTCCCTGGCTTGGACTGATGTCAAGGACCTGTAGTTAAGCATTCAGGGTACGAATTATTTGCGGGCTAATATTTCTAGTTCTGATGCTGCAAAAAGATATTCTTGACACCAAGCCCAGATGCAAAGGAGTCGAGGCTAACCTCACAAGAGACATTGAACCCCTGCCAGTCCTTTTGGGAAGGGTTGTTCACGTTTCTCAGGTACAGCTGGCGGAGGTTGCTCAGGTCGCCACCGTAAAGGCGCTCAACGAATTTAACAGCAGATATCACCTGATTAGGAGGTCCAAAGAGGTCTGCCGCGTAATCTGCACAGTGGAACATGTCCAGTAGGGGGCAAGTGCCTGGCTACTTTCCACACAAATTTGGCAGCTGGCATTAGGGGGCATTCTAGTTATAACCCCAGAAATTTCAAAGCAAGAAACTAAGTATGTCGCACCTTTTATCCTCAGGGGAACAAAGCCCCGAGCAGGGACGCCATCTCCATATGCTGTGCTGCTCAGGAGGCAGCACAGCAAGCACACCACCGACAAGCGCATCGGCAAGCTTATGCATGATGTCACAAAGATTCTCCTATTGATCATCGATGCACAACCATCAACGGAATGGGCACCTGACGCATGGCTAGGTTGCCAGGGCGCAGCTCAGCGGCCATCGGGCGACCCCCAGCCATCGTGACTGCCTCTTTCAGGATTATACTATGCGCAAAGACTTCATCGGCTGCCACTGGTGTGCGCGAGAGGGCAGATCAGCCATGACCGCGTAGGGAACGCCAGCTGCTTTCACGTGCGAGCTTCACGTCCACACGTCAGCGCGCCAGCGTGGATTCAATTGAAGAGGGGGACTCTTTGACCTCATAGAGGACAATAATCGTTTGTGAGCGCGCACATTGACACAGCAGCACAGGCAGCTGCCAAAAAACATTCTTGCGTGTGGATGCAGAAAGTACTCTGAGCTATGGGGGTGCGTGTCCTTCTTTACAGGCTTGTTTTCTGCTGCTCATCACTTTCCCAGTGCCAAGGAGCTGACCCACTTTCGTTGTGCCATGCAGGGTGGATGCAGTCCAAGCAAGCGTCAGTGGGTCTACAATAAGAAGTATCCGCTGCGCTTTAGCACCTACTGAACCATTAGCTTCCAGCGTCCTTCTGTGTTCACGTAAGCAGTATGACTTCAGTCGCTCTGGCTCGCCAAGCACAGCCTGCTGGCTGTCACAACGCACACCAGCGTCAGAGAGCTGCCTCCCTTCGTGGAATTGGGCCCCAATGGCGTGGCCCACGCCTTTCGAGGGCCTCGGGCGGCGCGCGATCTCGTAGAGCGAACACGTGCACCCGCGCGTCGGTCAGTTTTTCCATCAGCCAGACAGCTGCAGGCGCGCCTGCCGTCCGCAACTTTGACTTTCTGGTACTGGGAAGCGGGATCGCCGGGCTGAGCTATGCTCTCAAGGTCGCCAAGCACGGAAGCGTGGCTGTGGTTACCAAAGCCCAGGCTGAGGAGGGCTGCACCCAGTACGCCCAGGGAGGCGTGTGCGCGGTCCTGGGCAAGCACGACAGCGTGGAAGCACATGTCGAGGATACCATGATCGCAGGAGACCACCTCAGCAGCCGCAGGTGGGCACCACTGCTCTGTTGTATCTTGAAGACAAGTGCATACTCTTTGTGCCCGGTGAGCTTGCTTACGTTGCTGTTTCGATGTGGAGTGCTTATAGTTGACCATTTTGTGGTGGCTTAAATCGCTGCTGTAACTTTGGACACTCGTCGTACCGCGTTAAGCACTGTCAGGGTATCTTTTGTCTCTGCCCTAGTTATGCAGCCATGCTCTGCTGGTTCTGAGCCAATGCCACCGCTTTGCATGAGCGTCTCATCCATCCCATCCCTTTCCCACTTGCGTGCGCATGGCATTTGGCCACGTCCGCCGCATGCATCACATTTTACAACGGTAGCATGCCTCCTAGCTTGAGCCCAGGCGTGGTTTGCAGATTCCTGGTGTCATTTGAACGATTAGGATGTTCCACATTCTTTGATCAGGACGGCTCACACCATCTTCGTGGAATGTCGCTACATGCGGTGCAGCTGAAGTGGGCTGACATGGCGGCGCAGGGTGGTTGAGGTGGTGTGCAAGGAGGGCCCCATGCGCGTGATGGAGCTGGTGGAGCTGGGAGCGCAGTTCACGCGTAAGGAGAACGGCGCGCTGCACCTAACGCGCGAGGGCGGCCACAGCCACCGCCGCATCGTGCACGCAGCCGACGTCACCGGCCGCGAAATCGAACGGGCCCTGCTGGCCGCCGCCGCCGCCAAGGGCAACATCACCTTCTTTGAGCACCACGCCGCTGTGGACCTGGTCCACACCGAGGTGGGTGACGCCCCTCCTGGCTTGACAGATTGCCTGAAGAATACTGTAGTGGCATTTGCAGGTTTGGTGTAAGAGCTGTGTCATGCTTGAATGCCAAATATCCTGCTGTTTACTGTTTTCAATGCCATAGCAGAGACGGATTTGTGCAATGCTTCCCGCAAGTTAGTGCGTTGTGCAGCTTGCAGGAGGAATTTTCTAAGCCCTCAAGGTGTGTCCTGGATGACAGCGCTGATGTCTCTGGCTGAGCTGTCCAGGTGAATGGCCAGAAGGTGTGCATGGGAGCGGACGTGCTGGACCAGCAGGCCATGCGCATGATTCGATTCATGGCCCCGGTCACCATGCTTGCCACCGGCGGCGCTGGTCAGGTGGGCTCCCATGCAGCCCTCGTTACTGCAGCAGCGGATTTTTTATGGGATCTGCATTGAAAAGATTGTCCACAAACAGTGTGGATTTATGGATATGATTTGATGAGAATACCGTATTCATGAACAGTGTGCACTTGTGATCACTGACTTACCGGGGTTCAAGGCAAATCGTCATTTTCATCTGCTGCTGCTGCTGCTGCTTACTGATGAGCCTTTGTACACAGGTGTACCCCAACACCACAAACCCGAGTGTGGCCACAGGCGACGGCATGGCAATGGCATATCGCGCGAAGGCGACGGTGGCCAACATGGAATTTGTGCAGTTCCACCCGACGGCATTCTGCGCGTCGGCTGTCACTGGCAAGCCCTCGCAGGGGCGGACCTTCCTCATCTCTGAGGCCCTGCGCGGCGAGGGAGGCCGCCTGTACAACCAGTCAGGCCACAGGCAATTGTCACCCTCCCTCTTGGTGATTCTGCTTGACTTGCTGTGGATGATTGCATGTTGATGTGACTCTTCTTCTACGCTTACGTATGCGTCCGCTTAGGATTTTGAAAGGCATTTCTAACGTGCTGCAGATTTATGGAGGATTATGATTCTCGGCTTGACCTGGCGCCGCGTGACATTGTGGCGCGCGCCATTCAGGATCAGATGCTGAGCCGCAATGACAGCCACGTGCTGCTGGACATCAGGTGCTTGATCCCAACTTTACTTTATAGGACACTGCCAGCTGGCTTTTGCCTTTATTTATGGTGAACGTTCCTGGGGAAGGAAGATTAATAATCTTTTTGTGGCACCTGCAGCTACAAGCCCGCTGATGAGATTCTGGCGCACTTCCCCAACATTGCGGCCCAGTGCAAGACCTTCGGCATTGACATCACCCGGGAGCCCATCCCTGTGGCCCCGGCTCAGCATTACATGTGCGGCGGTGTCCAGGTGAGCAGCCACCTCATCCCCAACCTTGTTCTTCTCCCACCTCATCCTCCTCCAGAAATACGGATTGGTGTCTTCCTTTGCTGCCATACTGTGTGGAGCCAGGGTGCCTTGTTTGGTGGACTAACATGTTCTCATTATGCTCTACCTGGAGACTTTTATCTGGAGACTTTTTTGACGCGCTGCCATGCTCTTCACAGACGGGCCTGTCTGGTGAGACCAACGTGGCAGGGCTATTTGCCTGCGGCGAGGTTTCCTGCACGGGCCTGCACGGGGCGAACCGCCTGGCCTCCAACTCGCTGCTGGAGGGGCTGGTATTTGCAGAGCGCGCTGTGCTGCCCAGCCTTGCCCATGCAGAGGGAACACTGCGCGACGCCGGTCAAGCCATGACCCGTGCTTCTCAGTGCCCGGAGTTCACAGGTGCCTGCTTCGGCCCTTGCTTTGCTGGGTTTTCCTCCGGGAGACATGGCTTTCGCTGTTTGCCCCATGGTATGTCATGTCATGCTCGTAACAAGCCTCAACAAGGTGCATATTTGGCGCAGGCCTCTCGGCACCGAGGCGGCTTTCAGTGTCGAACAATGAGTGGGTGGCTGCAAAGCGCGCCGAGCTCACAGCAGTGATGTGGAGTGCGGCCGGAATAGTGCGCAGGCGCGCAGACATGAAGGAGGCACTCCAACAGCTGGCGGGCATGCATTTCGACGTTCAGGTGAGACATATTTACCATTTTATTGTGTTACTGTGTTACTGTGTTATTCCTGTCACCCACACCTTATTGTTCCTGCAATTTCTTGGCAATTGCTGCCGTCTGTGACATCTTGCATGCGAGTCCTTGAATATCTGTTGCTAGCGGTCACCTTGCAAGCGCTGAAGCACATACCAATTTTAATCTTGACACGTAAATTCGACCGTGCGCAGGCAATGTGGCAGAGCTATGGCACATCTACAGAGCTGGTGGAGCTGCGGAACCTGATGGCTGTGGGCGAGCTGATCCTAATGTCGGCCCTGCAGCGCCAGGAGTCGCGCGGCGGTCACCTGGTCCTGGACCACCCCGGCCCGGGGCTGAAGCTGCCGCGCACCACGCGCATCGGCGGCAGCAACCTGTCCGCCAGCAAGCCGGCCCCGCCACAGCTGGTCGGCAACGGCGTGCCCCTGCGTAGCGGCAGCCTCGGCAAAAAGACCGGCGGCGGCCTGATCGAGCGGGCACGCTCGCGCGAGGTCGCTCTGAAATCTCAGAAGGAGGATGTGGAGTAATTATGCTTGCCTGGAGAGCCAGGCGTGCAGGCAGCGCTGCGCAGAAGCAACCATTGCAGCCTGAGAAGCCGTGCATGCAGACAATGCAGCCCAGAAGGACTTATCGCAATCTGTGTTATCATTACAAGGTCAGCATGATGTGGCTTCATGCCAGAGCCCAGAATGTGAGGAGAGAAAGGTTTCTTGCCCAGGCAGGCATGAAGCGTGTACAATAATTGTGGTCTGACAGAGCCACTTGCAGTAGAGATAGGCTTCGTTTTGGAAACAGTCTGCATCAGTTGCATCTCATGCGTGAAGAGGTTTTGGTATGGCATATGTGTGGCATGAAGGCCTCTTGATATTTTCTGCATTCAGCTGAGTTCATATTTTGATTAAAGCATTGCTATGCAAGTGATGGCCCCAGGGTTCATAATGTTGCAACAAGTTTGGACATCAATTTTCAACGAATAAACATGCTGTTGTGCTAGACTTATTTCAAGCATGAAGGAAACAAGCTAAACACTGCTATACTCCTGCGAAGCCTGAGGCAGGTTTGGAAAATGTGCACTGGCTGTAAGATCAGTAAGTGTTAATGCTGCCACTCTTCACATCAGATCTCCCATCTGCGCACAGATGTTGCTGCACTCTGATCTGAGAGCCTCATCAGATGGAGAGCTGCCGGTTGATGTCAAAGGCTGAGTTGGAGGAGAGCACGGGTGTCTGATTGCTGTACTGCTGCCCACCCCCCACCATGCCCAGGCCCTGCCCAAGCAGAGAGCCCAGCAGACCACCCATTTGAAAGGGGTCACTCAGAGGCTGCCCACTCCCCGCGCCCCCACCATGACCCATGTCCCCCAATGTGCGGTTCATCTCCTGTACAGCCACAGGCCAATCAAATTATCGATAATATTGTTATCAGAATCACAAGCTTTTCCTGCCAACACAAGGTGCGTCATCAGATCACATGTGAGCAGAATTCCAGCCCAGGCTCAGACCCATCATCTAAACACGGTGCAAGCAGGTAGCAAACTAACTTAGGACTCTCAAGGCATGGAAGGTGGGTGCTCACATCCAGGAGACGGCCGTATGAGATGTGTGTGCCAACCCGCTCTATGGCCTGCGCACATGAGCCCACACATCAGAAGCAGTTTAGATGGTGTTCTGATCTGATTCCTTCCATGGACAGCACACGGCTATCAAGACATACAACAATGTCCCAAATGATCACCTGGATGAAAGCGAAGGTGGCTGCGCCAGTTGAGACATTGCCAGACAGCTGCGAGGTGTCGGCGGCAGTCTGGCTGTCCCTTGCAGCCCCAAACTGGAAAGCCTCACCACCAGCTGTGCCCTGCAACCCGATCAAACAACTGTCAGCGCATCTGCATCAACCCTTCACCGGCGATGAAGATGCGCCACGTTCAATTCCCTCCTAGTAACGTGGCCCAAATGCCAGTCTCTGTGAGGCAGGTATCAGAGAAAGAGGAAGGGGTAAAACTAGCCATGAGTGCACCTTGTAGATTGAGGGCCGCTTTGAGAACTCATTGGTCCACACGGGCATGCCATTGTGGAACTCTGCCCTGTACTCCATGTCAAGCACCGAGCCGGAGTGGCAGGCGTCTATGATGGCGTGCAGCCGCACACCCGGACGCAGCGGGTTGACCAGCAGCTGATTCAACTCATCATCCACAATCTGGCCCCCCTGCAGGCAAACATGTTGCCGTATTAACGACACTTTTGCTGCTCATAAAGACATGTTGCTCCATGTACTGAAGTAAGGATTCCGGCGAGGAACACCACAGGTTTGGGCCGGAGCAGGCTGCACATCGTGCGGTAGTCTTTCATCACCGAGGTCCTGCAAATACAGCTGAGGGACTGAGTGACGCACTTGCTTGAAATCGCAGGGGCACAGAGTCTCGTTGTACCTGCGGCAACAACCGGACTCAGCAGCCTCAAGGACACTGCAACATAAAGCTGTGATCTGAAATTTCTGCAGCAGGTGATCTTGCCAAGGAAATGATTAAAGAGAAAGCCCACCCGTCATCTTCGTCCCCTGACCAGTCAGCAGTCTGTGATCCATGCCCTGCACAGCACAACGCCACATAAACATCCACAACGCAAACGAGGTGCTTCAATTGAAGCCATGGTAGCTTCAAGACCTTTCACAGCAGACTTGAATGCAGCTGGAGTGAGAGTCACCTGAGAAGTGGAAGATGAGGGAGTCGCCGGTCTGCGCGTCGCCGACCAGCCGCCGCATATGCGCGCGCATGTTGTTGCCGGTGGGCCACTTGGCAGGGTCGTTCTGGTCGTCGGTCAGCATCGTGATGTCCTCCTCCTTGAAGCCGAAGCGGGTCTTCAGCAGGTACTGCATGCACTTGGCGTCGTTGATGCAGCCGTTGAGTGCGTTGTCAGTCCCCCTGCACCACCAATGATGCCTCTGAGCACACCATAAGATGAAGTTGGGCGTCTTCCAGCAAGGATGCTGGTTGGACTGGCATGATGGACACCAGGTGTTCAGTGCCAGGATATGATTGGGCACTGATGAGTCACGTACGCATAATTGCAGGCGCAGATGAGGGCTCTCTTGCGGCCCTGCTGGGCGGGCGGCTCTCCGTAGCCCGGCTGCTGTGGAGGCGGCGCTCCGTAGCCGTCCTGTAGGGGAGGCGGTCCCCCGTATCCTCCCTGCGGTGGGCCACCGTACGGGCCTGGTGGACCCTGCCCGTAGGCCCCATATTCCCCCTGCGGTGGTGGCCCGCCCCATTGCCCTGCCAGGCACAGCAGCAAAGTCGATCCTATTAATTTCAGAGCTGTAAATTGGTTCACTTTTGCCCATGAAGGGACATTGTTATTCTTGGGCAAAAAGCAGGAATAGTTGGCACACACATGTAGGAACTGACCTTGAGGAGGGCCACCGTACGGCCCCTGTGGAGGTCCCCCGTATGGTAAAGGGCCTCCATACGGCGGTGGGGCCCCGTAATCTGTCCAGTATTCTCCACCGTACTGCGGCGGGGGTGGTCCCCCGTACGGTGGCGGTGCCCCACCGTATGGCGGCGGTGCTCCGCCATATGGGGATGGGGCTCCATTGTAGGGGGCCGGAGCACCATATTGAGGGTTGAAGGGGGGTGCGCTGGGTGCTCCTCCATATGATGGGGCCGGGTAGTTGCGGTCTGTGGGCAAGGCCGGCTTCTCTTTTTCCTTCTTCTTCTCTTTCTCCTTCTGAAAGCACAGGGTGGCTCGCTCATTCCTTGAACAAGCAGTGTGAGACAAGGTTGAGAGATGTTGCAGCTAGCGTTTCGTATTGTTCACACACACCTCTCTCTTCTTGTCCCTCAGCTCGATGGCTCTGTCGATAAGGTCTTGTTTCTCATCGCAATCCTCATCATCGCCTCCGTTATCCTTGATATATTCCTGCATTAAATGGAAGACCACTTACATATCTAAGATTTTTCAGCTATCGAAAGGGAGGACTGTGGCATTGGCATGCAGCGATTTCCCAAACCTGAAGCTGCTTGATTTTCCAGCTCTTGAAGTCCAGATCATCATCCTTGCCCATCTTTCTCTGTTGAGTAAGGTGTGTAACCAAAATAAACGAACCGCTTCTAGTCCATGCGCCTCTTTCCAAGGAAACCCCAATATGAAAGCAGCACCTATCGCATGTCTGACACAAAATACTGAAAGAAAGGTATCTCAATAAACTCAAAATAACCCAAACACAGACAAGAAGCAATTGTGGAGCATGGACTTCCTCCAAACCTGCACATGACCAACGTCAGTGCCACGTGTGACCGGTCTTTTGCATGCAGTTCTGTTCATCGAATTGTTCATTCTGTTTTCTGCACACATAGAATAGGTGATAAGTTCACAGACCTTCAGTCAAAGATCCTCGTCCTCCAGAATTCTCACAACTGCGAAACATCTGAATTTTGATCTGTTTGATCTGCCTCAGATCCGATTGCCCAGTAACCCAACGCTGGCTCTGTATTTGGTGTACATCAATTAGCAGAAGCAGGATGGCATGGAAGGGACTGGTGAAGCAGGCACAGCGCTACCTAGATAAAGGTACCGCAATTTTCAAGTGTCTACTTGTATCCTGTCAGACATCCAGCAAAATGGTCACAAAGAAAATTGTTAGCACAGCAACTGAAGTCAAACCCCTTTCTTTTTGAAGTGCAGAATCCATACCCTGCTGCAGAGCGCCTGCTGTACCAATTTGCAAGCGCAGAGGACCTTACCCAATGGAAGGTGTTCACAGACAGAGAGTATGGTGGTCAATCGACTGCAGAGCTGTCCCTATTTAGCGAATCCAGGGATGGGACAGTGAGTTCTCAGTGCCCTCTCTCAGTCAGCTGTGACACTTGGAAGCCATGGAACATGAAATTGATTCTGCTGTTGACTGGGAATTCACCGTGCCTGTGCCTGGTTCCTTTCAGCCACCGTCATCTAAACAGAAATGCCCTGCTTGCAGGCAACTGCTAGCTTCCATGGCAACATGTCAGTGGAGATCGATGAGGAGACAGAAGGCAAACGGATGCAACGGAGTGGCTTTGCTGGGCTAAGAACAGAGGTACTTAGCTGGAGTGGTGTCTACGGGCTGCAAGCATTGCTGCTGCAAATGTTCTCTTGTCCTTGCTGTCATATGGGGAACACGGTGAGACAAAGTGGAAAATATTGTGTCTGCAGGAGATGGAGGGGCAGTACATGGATGTGGAAGGCTATGATGCGCTGGCATTCCGCATGCGCAGTGATGGAAGGAAATACATCGCAAATCTGCGCACCGCTAACTGGATAGTTGGCGAGGAGAATTCGCATGATGTCTGGCAGGCATTCCTCCTTGGAAGGTGAATTCCACTACAATTTTGTTCCGCCACATAAAGTCCTCTAGAGCATGCAAGGAAGGCAACCTCAGAAGCCATATTTCTTGGAAGGGGAATGTGATAGGCAGACGCTGCTCTGCTTCAAGTTGTCACGACTGTCATGCGTCCTGCTGCATAGAATGACTTGCTGTGTGTGAGAGCTGCAGGAAGGGGGCATGGCAGGAGGTGGTACTGCCGATGGATCGATTTCTGCTGACGCACAAGGGGCGACTGGTGGAGACAAGGTCGGAGATGAATCCCCATCGCATTGTGAGCCTAGGAATCAGCCTGGCAGCAGGGGGCAGCGATGCGGAGAAGACAGGGCCGTTCTGTTTAGACCTGGAGTGGATAAAGGCAGTCCGGGCTCAAATATAACAAGTTTGAATGATTGAGATGCTCAAGGAACAAGAAAGAATGCCTCACGCTGAATTACAATTGATACATGAAGACCTGGAAGCACATGAGACATCTACATCACAACAGCGCTGTATTGGCCTGTCTAAGCACTATAGCTACATGTCATGAACAACTATTCATGTGACTGAAAGGTGGCATCATAGATACAATGAGGGCAATGTGCATAAATAGGTGCACTGGCGAAATTGCCACACAAGCAAACATGTCTAGTGTACAGGCAACTGTATTCAGCATCACGGTCTCAAATACTGCACATGCGAAGAGGGAGAGCCCACCAGACCCACCACACAACAACATCACAGCGACACTGTGCATGCCATGCGGCCAGCCCTAAGGTCCCTCTCACCTTCACATGGCACCCCAAAACATTCCAATAGTCAACACCATGACGCCTCATGTGAGCACGTCTTCCTTGCTGGCTTTTGCTAATTTCTTCTGTTGGTACAAGTTCAGCGTTCACCTATATTCACTACTCATGGTCCCTGCACCATTGCATGATGCAAGGCCACAATCAGGGCTGCCTGACTTGATGTGCCATCTTGAGTACTCATGGCCTCATCTCACCCCTCTGCATGCCTCAGCCCAAACCTTCAGCTGTCTTCTGATATACAATAGCTTCATCTGGCGGACGTGCTGAGGGGAGATATTGAAGATGCTGCTCAGGCGGCGGCGGCTGCCTGGGGAGGGGCGGGAGGCCGCGGGCGGAGCAGGCGTGAGAGGGCGTTGTCCTGGCGCAGGCGGCGCAGCAGCTCGGTGCGGATCATGGTGCGCTCCTTGCCGCAGCCGCCCAGCACGTCGCTGTTCTCCTGCGCTCGCCTGCGCACGCACAGATGACACATGTCCTTCATGACCTGACGCAAAATTGAACTTGTGGACACAAAATTCAGGTGAGGATTGCTAGGGCAGTTGGGACCATACACCCTACGCACTGGGGCAGGCTTTCCTATATCTAGGGTAGAAGGTAGTCGGGTAGACAAATATCCCCTCACTGCAACTTGGCCAGGGTGGCTGCACCGCGCCTCAGAGGAGAACCATGAATTCCTTAAGTCTGGGGAGCATTACTGCCTCTCATGGGATTGGCAGGCAAGAGAAGTTGTGGCTGGCTTTTCATGGGATTGGTGGGGGAAGAGAAGCCAACTGGGGGGCACCTGATGAGGTACTGCAGGGTCTCGTGGACGGGGCCGTAGGGGACGATCTTGTGGATGCGGTACCCGGCACGGCCCAGCGTGAAGCTCAGGTGGTCCGCCATGCCCAGCAGCTGCCCAAAGTACACCCCTGCAACCGCGCGCGCATCAGCTCAGAGACATCTTAACTGGGTGGAAGATAGGGTCTTCTTTATCAGCCTTTTGTACATCTCCTTCCCGCAGGATTTACGGTGACCAATACGGTAATAGGACCTTCCCCCAATCCTGCAGTCCAAATAGTGAGACGACAAGCAGTAGAGCGTCCTTACAGGATAATGCAGGTTGGAGACTACACTTGTCTGCAATTCTACGGCATGATCATTGTCTGTAGCCCGCTGTCATTCAGCTAGATCCGTTCCTCCTCTCCAGCAGGCTAGCTCCGAACAGGAGCATATAAGAGCATACTGGAAGCGTGCAAATAAGAAGAGTGTGGCTCACCGCTGGTGGCGGGGTTGAGGCCGAGGCGGTGCATGCAGCGGGCAGCCTTCTGCACAGAGGCTTGATTGTGGCTGGCCACCATCAGCTCCGCGTCCCCCTGCGCCACCGCCCCCAGGATGCGCTCCACACACCTGCCACCCACACCACCACGTTACTGTCAGCCTCATTCGCACTGCCAATTCAAGCCATTTGCCCACTCGAGAAGTTTTGACAATCCAAATTGAGGAACGTCTGTTGGAAAGAAAACTAGTCATTCGAAAAAGAAGAAGGCAACTTTGGTGGCATAGAAAGTCTTGAGATCCTTGCTGATTGAACAGAGCAAGCCTGAACAGCCTTTTAAGAAATGTCTGGTCTTAAATTTTTCTCTCAAACAATCTGGCAAGGAGTGCCGCATTCTCATGCCCTCAAGCTTGATGTCAATAAGGATACTCTCAGCAATCAGGGGACTCTACAGATAAAATCGTGATGAGTGATTGCAGCATGCGGGAGAAATCTCCTTCGTAGCCTGAGGCCTTCCGCCTAATGTTCATCCCTGTTAGTTTAAAGTCCCCTGCAGCGATACATGAAAGGGTACAGCGGGGGGCTCGCACCGGTCATAGTTGTCGTGGGTGGCCTGCAGCGTGTCCTGGATGGGGCTGGCGTAGCCGTGGGCCTCGGCGCGCGCACGTTCGACCATCATGTACGCGCCGCGCACCGTCTTGGCGCCGAATGCCCAGCCCTCCTCCGCCGCGCGCGCCATGTCCCTCTTTAGGCGCGCCGCCGCGTCCTTCAAGTAGCACTGCGCACACAAACATCCACCCGTCCATCTCAGGATACAGGACCCTGTTTAAATGACTCAAAGCAGATGGCTCACAGTACCTCTGTCTTGCTACACCTGGAACTGTGAATGAGGGAGTGGTGCATGAACCCCCACAAATAGACGACACACGTGCATGGAGTTGCGTGCTGCTCGTCGATGGTTCAAGGAGAAAGCGGACGGGATCGGGATTCTTTAACAGCCTTCCTGTACCTCCCCGAGACCTCCCCGGAGTCCTCCTTGATCTAAGCAATAAGCAAACACCATCCCATGCAGTGGGGTGAAGGGCGAGGAAGGCGCGTGCCTGGTAGGTGTTGATGACTACGGGCTGGGAGCGGTTGCAGCGCTGCTGTGCGCGGATGGCGAGAGCATCGATGGCGGGCTGCATGTAGGTGTGCTCCGCGTCCACCAGGATGCGCGAGTTGCCCTGTGCAGACACCCACACTCGCTTCAGCCATCGCCCCCGGCACAGCCTCAAAACAGGGCGAGCTTTACTTGCTTTAGGCTTCTGTCTACACAGAGCAGAGTGGGGCCCGCCTTAGACTAAATCACAAGCAGTCTGGTGCCATGCGCGCCGCCAGCAAAAGTGGCATCTGCATGCACCTTCCCATTTTGCATGACCGACGGGGAAGGCGTCCACTTACTGGAGGTCTACACCAGTAAACTCACAGGGGTTTCTCGGAGATAACAGGGGCTGTACCATGGCCAAGACCAGCATGTCAAGCGCCACAGAGCAGACACTGCTGGTGAGGAGCAGCCCATCATTCAGCCGCCATCCCACGTGAGCGTCCGGTTTCTGGGTTTACTAAAAAAGGGAATTGTAGGGGCTGCACCTTGGCCAGGACGGCGTCGCAGAGGGTGTCCATTCGCCGTAGCATGTTGTCCAGGGAGGCGGTCTCATGCGCGTCCAGGTGCGGCAGCAGCGCCTCTCGCAGCCGCGCGCTCGAGTGGCCGCGGTCGGCCGGGTCCCCAGTCGCCACCAGCACCTCCGACATCTTCTCCAGCAGCTTCGGCGGTCCCAGCGGCGTCACCTGTCAGCGCCAGCACCAGCCGTTGTCAAAATGTGATCTATTTGCCTTGCGCGGTCATGGCAAAACACGCCGCAGCCAAACTATTGCTCCAATGAGTATGAGAAACAGCTGTCAATTATTGCTCCAATGAGCATGGAGATCAGCTACATATCATAACAACATGGCAGTGCAGTACTCGAAATAGCATGAGCTGCTGTGTTCTTAGGTTGCTCTTTAAACTTGAACAGGCTCGAACCTGGCTATCAGAGGTAGCAAGAAGAGACATTGCGGATTCAGGAGAGCATACCTTGATGGCGACGAAGGCTCGGTTGCGGATGTTGTCGCTATCGCGGATGCTGCGCATGAAGATGTCCAGATTACGGTCCAGCTTCCTCTCGGCCGCCGCCACGGGGCAGCCCTCGCAGCCAAACTCGTTGTTCACATCGTCCTCTGCCGCGTAGTTCAGGATGGGCCTGATGCCGTGCCGCTCCAGGTACTGCACCAAAAGGAAGTGTTTTGTCCTAAGTGCTGCATCCCTGCTGTCAAGTTGACTGGTGCATTTCGGTGGGTCATGCATGTTCATGCACAGCAGACATGCACAGCTTTGTAGGCCCAGGTTTAGGTGGGCAGCAACTTAATCCAAAAACCTGAGGTGAATGTGTTTTTTTTTCTTCATGCATGTGCAATTTGAAATTAGCGCCTGAGCTGGCACATGCATGTAATTACTAATCGCACATGCAGTTTCCTACACGACTTTCATGCCAATTGGAAGAGCTCACCTGCAGGGTTGGCTGGATGCTGTCCACACACTCGCCGCCGCAGAAGTGCCGGAAGAATGTGTGCTTCACCGCCCGGTCCACCACTGGAGCGGCAATGCTTCGTGACACCGTCAGCAGCGTGTCGGCGTTGCGCACCAGCGGCTTGATCGTGCACGCCTTGAACACCGCCAGAGACTGCAGCAGCTGCGCCGTGCTCTTCGCCTGTGCAGCGCTCCAACTCGAGGCATGTGCTGAAGCTTATCGAGGGTCGAGGGCAACATGTGAAGGGTCTGAGCTTGTTAAGGAAGAAAGACTGGGGACTGCTGTACCTGGAAGGCTTGTTTGGGGTCGTCAAACTGGAGGTCCTGGAAGGCAGGGAGCGCTGAAGAATGCTCGGAGCTCATCTCAACTGCCTCCTGACGCATGGGGTCGGTGCCCTGTGTTTGCATCAGTCAAAAGGATGAGTAGACTAATTGCAGTTTTGATATCCCCTGCATGCTTCAATTTGATCAAGAGGGGCAGCCTGCTCAGGGCATGGAGGCAAGGAAGGCACCTGCACGGACGCTGTCTTGAAAACTGCTGACGGAGGTGCACTTGGGGCAGTGCGAACAAGCATGCTGTGTGGGTTGAATGCGCCCGAGCGCCTCATAGCTGCCCTCAGAGCCATCTAAAAACACGCGAAACTTCTGAATCCAGTGGCAATTAGAGTCAACTGAGGTCTTGAATTTGCTTTGGTCCCTGCACACGAACGTAGCGCAGACGTACCCTGACTTTCCGTACACTTCAGGCTGTTGAATTATTCTTCCCGATAGCGTGACAAAGCCTTCCTCCAGCAATGACCTGGAGTCGTATTTATCTCTTGTTGGGTACCTGGCTATTGGGATATTATTGTATGCGTTGAAGGTGCTTTCAAGATGCAGACATCTCGGCACACTCCTTTTTAAACACAACAGATATGGACAGTGAATTGCTGGAAATGTCGGAATACGGGGGTGAAGTGCGTAGAGGTGCTGACTTGACTGGTCCAAAGGCTTCACCTGCCTCCCCCTTTGAAGTCCCTGCTGAGGACTATACAATCGTGATCTGGACACACCCCAGAAGACCTCGCAGTTGCGTGGTGTGACACGCTCTGTTCCTCTGAAATGTCGGAAAAGCTACAAAAGTCCACCTGTATCAAGTCACATGGATCCACGTGCACGTGCACTGACGCAGCAAGCCGAGGCCCCGCGATTGAGGATGATCGGGCAGTTTCGCCTCAAACATACGTTTTCTTGTCTTTGTTTGGGGATACTTGGTCTTGCACTTCCCCGAATTTGAGGCAGTTGTGGTTGTGTGTGTTATCCTCGGACACTGCCACAAGCAATCTTCTCAAAGCTTGTGACATATTCTTTTATTCATGACCTTAATGGACTTCACGATGCATTCCGCGTGATTATTACTTACGACAGCCAGGGCTGGACTGATATAACTGAAAAGTACCGTATTTAGGTCAAGCATCTGGAAATCCAAGTCCGGACAATTCTAACGTCAGTCGTTTACAGATTATAACTCTTTGGATCATTTCATCAGCTAAAATCATGGCTCCTTTGAGTTTTGAGGGCAGCGATGTCATAGAGCTCATAACTCTCTTACCCAAGGCAAGTGATCCTACAGGCATGAATGCCTGACATGATGTGTCTCACCGAGCAGTAATACCTGAGAACATAGCAAGCTTTGTTCAGAACATGTTCAAGACTTCTCGATTATTTGCTCCAGTGCAGGCGGAGCTGCACCTGCACATTGAGGGCACTCTGGAGCCAGAGCTCTTGTTTGAGCTGGCAGCCCGTAACGAGGTGCTCGAGAAGATCCCCTATAAGTCCTTGGATGAAGTACGGGCCGCGTACAACTTTCAAAACCTGCAGTCCTTCCTCGATCTCTACTATGCTGGCTGCGCGGTCCTCATCACAGAGCAGGTGGGTACCGCAGGACCCCCCTCAATTGCAAACGTTGCATTGCACAAAAAACATGTCTTGTCATGCCTTGGCAAAGATTTCATGTGTTATTCTTTGTGGATATGGTGCAGGACTTTTATGACATGACTTGGGCATACCTGGAGCGAGCAGCAGCGGACAAAGTTGTGCACACAGAGATATTCTTTGACCCTCAGACGCACACATCGCGCGGCGTGCCCTTTGCCACAGCGTTCCAGGGCATAACCAAGGCGCTGAAGGACGCAGAGGCGAAGCTGAGCATCTCTTCTCACATCATCATGTGCTTCCTGAGACACCTTGGGTCAGAGTCGGCCATGGCCACTCTCCAGGAGGTGAGTCACAGAGACCAATGCTCTGACATTTTTGCAAAAGTATCACTGATCAACACTGTGCTTCGCTCCGCTATTTCATAGCATATGCTCTGCATCACTCTATTTAATATTGGTATTACCATAGAGAGCTCCTCATATTCAACGCAGAAAAGTCAAGTGCTGGACTGCAGGCGTTGCCATACAAGGAGCAGATCAAGGGGGTGGGCCTGGATTCTAGCGAGCTTGGCTTCCCGCCATCCCTCTTCCAGGAGGTGTTCCAGCTTGCAGCCAAGGAGGGCTTCAAGCTTGTAGCCCATGCTGGTATGAAGCTTCCAGTGGACACTATAATCTTGCTGGACTTTCCACAAGAATGGGCTGACCAAACATGACGAACCCTCTGAGGTCTGCTGCTCCATTCTACAATTGATGGGGAGCAACGAACATGTGCAGGGTGCTTGAATATGACAGGGCCCATGATGTGTTGCTTTGTTAATGCAGGCGAGGAGGGGCCTGCAGAGTACGTGTGGGAGGCAGTCAATCTGCTTAAAGTTGACCGAATTGATCATGGAGTGAAAAGCATCGAGGACGCCAGTCTCTGTGCTCATCTTAGCAAGGCACAGACGCCCCTCACCGTCTGCCCCCTGTCCAATGTGAAGGTAAGGATTTGTTTTCCCAGCGTCCTTCTGCACACAGAACATGCTCGACAGCTGTCATTTGTCACTGCCTTACCTGACGAACGTTCTTGCACCTGCTCTTACAGCTGAGGGTGTATGATGGAGAGCTTGTGGAGAAGCTACAAGTGCTCCTGAGACAGGGGATGTGCATCACAATCAATTCTGATGACCCCGCATACTTTGGCGGCTATGTCAATGCGAACTATGTCTTCCTTGCCCAGTCCCTTGGCCTGGATGCCGAGACGCTCTACCAGTTGCACCGGAATTCTTTTATAGCCTCGTTCCTGAGTGATGATGTCAGGGACAAGTACCTTGGCAGCCTTGACCAGATTTTCAAGCAAGCCGTGGCTTGACAAATATATGGGCAGCACTGTTTAGTGGAAGCTTCTGGCGCACATGATATGACCTTGGCATTGCAAAGGCATTGATTTGGAGTACTAATGTCTGCTCTTTACGTCTGAGGGCCATTCCCCATGGACGGAAGAGTAGTGAAAAAGGCGCCAGGACGGTGTCTTGCTCTTTGACAACCTTCCTTGAAAGTTCGGTTAAAGCTGTGTGCTCTATTTGAACTTCAGATTTTGAAGGCGTTGGGGTGCCTGTGATTTTTTTGTGGATATTGTGCGTCAATTTTCTGGCCATGTTGACTCAGGTGAAGGACACAGTTGGATGCTGCGAGTCCATAGCTCTTTGGTCAGTCACACCTGTGACTGACCAAAGAGCTAGTCAGGTGCCTTGCGTACAGCAATGTCAGTCATCTTTGCCAAATTCGGCATAATTATAAATGCGCAGCAACAGGCTGCAGTGAAGGGCCTGCACTGCGGTGAGACTCTTCAATAATTTGGTCACAATGTGCCATTTGCATGGCCTCATGTGCCGGATATAAGCGGACATGAGGCTTCTTTAATTTGCTAGTTGCAAATTTAGGCGACTGCCACTCTTACAAGCAAGCCCTTTGTAATAATGCACTTGCAGATGCAATTGCACACAGGCTTTTACATTACATCTCTCAAGCATATTTGGTCTCCAAGACATCTGGACTGGTGCCAAGCCTGCTCTAGCTAGGGCACTTGTGCCTCAAATGGGCCACATACATTGCTGCGCCATGAACGCTGGATTAAGAGACTTTCTTCCAAGAGGCATATTAGACGTTGCAACAAAATTGATATAAATTAGCGAAGCATCCTCACAGCGCCTGCTCGAGTTAAACACCAAAATGCCTACCTATCCATAATGCAGGATTGCCAAGACATGTCTGTGCAGGAATCACCATACTCTGTCAGACTCCCTAGATCATTCAAATCGGAGCTTCATCACAGAGCATGCATCCACTTGTGCCCTCACAGCAGTTTGTCTCAACAAATGCACCATTAGAGCCGCCCTCCCACTCAGTGCTTCACGGTCACTATAATAATGCCTCGCTAGGTGCTGGTATGCACAAGAAAGACAAGGCAGAGCAGATGTGAACATGCCGCTGAGAAGACAGACACTCCAACCAGCCATGATGGTGGGACTTGAAAGCAGCACACAAACGGGAACAATGAGACAGGACAGAATATATGAAAGTGGTCTGTGGACATCCTGCTGCTATTGAGGCCCTGACACCTCAGCCAGATCTGCCAGCAAGGCGCCCACTTCACTGCTGCCGTTCAGGAAGTACCTGTGGCACAGAAAATGATTGAAAGTGAGCTCCTGGGATTCCACAGTCGCCAGCAGATCACAATCTCAGAGACCACAGGACACATACATCAGCAGCATGAGCGCACAACAATGACAAGGGAATTATAGCCACGGCAAACAAGGAACTATTGCAAGTGAGGAGTGGTGCAGCGGTGTATTGAGGGGTGCACACCTTGCTTGAGAGCGGTTGCGGCCGACTGTGCAGGTGAAGAGATGCTCGGGGGGCAGGCGCAGGGGGACGGGGGGTGGCTTGTCCAGGGAGAGGCTGCCGCTGCTGTGGAGGCTGTCAAGGTCTGCCGAAGTTCTGAGCAGGTGCGAATGGCTGTGATGGAGCAGATGCTGACCATGGTGATGGCCTGCACACAATGCCACCTGTCAACGATATTCTCATGGCACCCTTCTTCAAACACCCTTTTTCTACTGAGAACATCTGCATGGACACCAGTATGGCTTAGAAGGAGCAGCACACTTGCATAAAGATCCTCTTTCCTACAGGAGGCGCATTGTAAATACTGTCATACGGGCACAAGAAGGTCGGCATGCACAGGACATTTGCCTGCCGCAATGTCAATAATCCAAGCAGACCACCAATCCTGACAGAGAAATGTCAAATTCATTGAGCCGATTGATGCTGCAGAGCCACCAGCATTGGCACAGTACCATAGTGCCAATTTCCAAAGGTTGACCTGTGAAGCTGCAGAGCACCAGCTACAGCCCACAACTGCCAGCTATCAAGATGACACAAAGGTGGTACGCACTCCATCGGGCAGATGCGTAGTGGGCGGCCGGATTGATGGAGGCGGAGGGCGACGGCAGCTGCGTGGGCAGCCCGGGGCCGGGGCCGGCGCCACCGTTGCTGTCGGCCGAGCTGCGCGGCACGAAAGCCTGGCGAGCGCGCGGGATCGGCAGCGGGTCGGTGGACGTTGACGCGACGGCGTCGGCGCGGCCGGCCGCCGGCGGGAGGGCGTCTTCGGACTCGTCGTACTCGGGCACCACGTGCAGCGTCGCCGCCTTGTCCTTGTGGTGCTGCCCATACCCCTCGCTCACCTGCAAGCATCATGGCTTTGCTTGCATTTGGCTTCACATGCAGCTGCAAGTCTTCCTAACCTGATGGTGTGATTTTTTTTTAGCTGCAGCGCTCATCATCATATTTGCATGGTCAGTCGACTGCGACCGCACAGAGGAGCACAAGAGCGTGGCAAATAAGCGATGCCGATCAGCTATGCAGTCTAAATAGCCTGGGATGGTTGTTAATGATGTGGGATCCCTGTGGACACCATAATGCACACAGGCAAGCACAGCATAATGGGACGTGCCAGCTGCCCAAAATACGTTGAACAGGTGTCCCAGCATTAACAATAGCAATACCAGGCTCACAAACACCCTGCATTGCGGCTGCATAGACGCCTGGCACTAATTCTTCCCGCAGTGCAGCTGAGTTGCATTGTGACAGGGACGCAGCTGCCATCCCAGTAATACAGCTGGTTGTTGTGACAACAGGCAGCCACATGCACAGGGTTCAAAGGGGGGGCGCGCGCACCTTCAGGGACTGGCCCTCGAAGAAGGTGAAGATGTTTTCATCGCGCGCCAGGAAGTGCCCCGCCACAAGCACAAAGTCGTACTGCATGGCGTCCATGCCCACACGCTCCGCTATGGCGTTGATGATGCGCGACATGGCCAGCCCCTTGCTTATGCCCACCGGCCGCACCTCCACGCTCTTCGCCCCCTGCCGCCATCACATAACTCCCTTTCATCCCCGGATCCTTGGATGACCGGAATACTGACTGTTGCCTTTTGACACACCCTGCTCTCAAACATATCTCCTCAACTTGCTCCCTCTCAGTGTGCATGCCTTCTCTAATCAAGAGTGCAGTTTCTCCAGTGTAAGGCAAGTGCTCGGGGATCGGCCTTCACCCGCCGGCATGCACCTCATACCAGGCTACCAGGCTATGGGGGATTAGGGGAGCACCTGCACGATGTCCACGGGGGCGTTGGAGATGGGCCCTGTCCAGAGGTGCTGCAGCAGGTCGCGTGCCTGCAGCCGCCCAAATTCGACGTCCGCGTACTTGTAGTTCCACACCACGCTTGTCTCCCGCAGCTCCACGAACGATCGCGGCGTCCGCTCGCAGAAGTAGTCGAACACCAGCTTCACACTCTCCATCCACTCTGTCTTTGACACCTGTCGTGCAACCCCAGCCATGCCATGTAAGCATGCAGCCATGCAAATACCATCCCTTCGCCGACAAGGACTGCCATAGCCCCAGCAATTGTAAAAACAGCTTGCTGAGACATGAGTGATCCACCATGGAAAGTTTTGGATACGTGGGGGTTCAGGAGTGCTGCGTGAGAGACAAGGCAGTAAAAGGCAGGAATGTGGTGCATGTGTCATGGCTGAGTCACCTCGAGCAGGTTGCTCCAGGCGCTGTCGGGGGCGCGCATGAACATGCCGTTCTCCGCGGCCAGCCACACGTCCAGCTCGCCAAAGGTCTCCTCCAGCTTCCACTTGTCCGAGCCGCTGAACACCACAACCGTGGTGTCCGGGTCGTCGCACAGCGCCGCAACGCTGTCGTAGACCGTGGGATTCACGCGAGTCAGCGCCTACGTGGATGCATGCGGTGTCAAATCTGCCTTGTAAAGTGCATGTTGCATGGGAACATCATTCAGCACAGTCAGGTACAATGCCATCATGGAACCATAACGAGCGGCGTTGCTCATGTACATGAATGCTTGAAGCCCACAAAGGGTGGCAGGCTGCTGGCAAGCCTGACCTTGATCTGGTCAAAGTGCCGCTTGGGCTGCCGCGGAGCTTCCACAGCAGTGGTCAGCGTGGCATTGTAGCCCAGCACCAGCAGCCGCCGCTTGCACGAGTAGTATATCTCCACCACTTCATCGCTCAACAGCTGCAGCACCACAAATCTCAGTATTATCATGACATGCCATTCCTGCCGAGATACAAAGGTGCATCCGCAGACAAGCTGCAGGTCAAGGCTGCGACCAATATGGGGTCTATCAACAGCTGGTTGCCATGCAAGCACAAGGCCCACATCTGAAACGATTGGGTGGCAATGCCGGCTACCCTCAATCTGGTCAGCTGGAGGAGGGCACTCGTCAAGCATTGGGGCCACAGACCTGGGGAGGGATGTGCTTGGTGCGCAGCTCTGCCTCCACGTGCGTGTCATTCAGCTCGCTGATGAAGGTGTCTGCCCACGTCTGGCTGGTGTGGATGGTCACATGCATGTAGTTCTGCCGATGCCGCTCCCGCCTCTCCTATTTGTCATCACAAACCCGTTAGTGGAGCGCCCATGGAAGAAACCCGTTCAGACGCCCTCTGAGCATGCAGAGAGCAGCAGAAGCTGGGTTCATACCTGATCGCTCATGGTTAGGGCGTCTTCTATGGCGGCGGCCATGTCAGTGATGTTCCAGGGGTTGACAAGGATGGCACCCGCGCCGAGGGATTGCGCAGCGCCCGCAAATTCGCTCAGCACCAGCACACCTGCATTTACATCTCGTCATTAAGCTCCGCACAAGAAGATCCTCGCATTACATCACAACTGCCAGAATAAGCGTGGAGCAAATTGTCTAGAAGAGAATGCAGGCATGAAAGACAGAGCAATCGCTAAAGTGGGCAGGAAGGACTGCCTTGCAGGTGTGACAAGGGTGTATCGACAATAAATGACCTCCCGGGCCAGAGCACCATCGATCACATGGCATACATGCTGTCAAGTGTGGCTCTTTGTCGCAGTTGTGGGGATCACCAGCGTTGTCAGACTGGCAGGCCACATACTCGTAGGACACCAGGTTCATGCCGTCGCGCAGGCTGGTGACCAGGGCCACATCTGTGACTGCGTACAACGCGCACAGCTCATGGAACGCCAGCTGGCGATCCAGGTGGTGGATGGGCACATGCGTCAGCGTGCCGTAATGCCCGTTAATGCGCCCCACGATCTCATGCACCATGCTCCTCAGCCTCTGCAGGCACCAAGCTCAGATGTCATTCAAAGTGCTGGCCCTCACATCCTTTGTGAGTGCATCTCACGCAGTAGCCTTATCAATCTTGCAGTTGCCTCAGGTGACATGCAGGTCCGACACTTCAGAAGATTCTTCATGATCGAAATTCAGCGATCACTAACCCTTAATACTTGCTGCAACCAGCTGTCGTGCAAAATGCTAGACCCTGGGGCATCTATCAGGGGTGCATAATGAGGTCTTATGCTTGCTGCAACGCAGCATGATACATGGTGCGGGCGTGAGGGTGTTAAGGTGGGATGGGCAGACCTGGTACTCTGGCACGTCTGTGCGCGAGGGCACAGCGATCTGCACCAGCAGCACCTTGTCCCGCCACTCCGGGTGCTCCTCCAGGAACTTCTCAAACGCCAGCAGCTTCTGGGGGATGCCCTTGATCATGTCCAGCCGATCCACGCCCAGCATGACCTGCAGCAACAGCACAGCCTGCTCAAGCTTGCTCCTCCAAGGAACACTTGTTCGGTGGTCTCTTCGAACAGAGACCTCACTGTTTTTGCCAGCTTGACCTCTGTACACTGTAATGAGACAGACATGCATGGATTGACAAACGCCGTGCATGGGGTGCAGGGTTTGGACCAACCTTGCGGCCAGCGTATCTGTTTAGGAGCTGCGCGATGTGGGCCTTCACTTCCATCTGCTCCAGGGCCCTGGCAAAGCGGTCCGGGTCGATGCCGATGGGGAATGCCGCCACACGCGTCAGCGAGCCATTGTCTTCAACGCCTTCTGGTGTCCCCTGTAAGCACAGGCGTCATGATGGGGAACGGCTCTCTTCTCATATCTTAGGGTGCAAAGCACCGGGGACGGCTGTCAGATGAAGCAGAGTCGTCCACATTGCCCTCAAACTGAGTGACAAGGCGTATGCAGGCCAAAGCTTTAACAAGAAGGGGTGGGCATGGGGAGATGCAGCCTACCTCTAGCCCCAGAATGCGAGTGCAGGCGGAAACAAAATGACGGGCGTAGTCATAGGTGTGGAAGCCGATGAGGTCGGACTTGAGCACCGCCCTCAGCACCTCCTCACGCACTGGCAGCGTTCTGTAGATCTCCGAGGATGGGAATGGTGTGTGCAGAAACCACCCAACCTGTGTCAGTCAACCACTCAGGAGCTACCACTTATCTAGAGAAAGGAAGAGGTGCATCTGCATGGAAAGGGCAGGAACATGACCTGTAGCTTGCACAGCACAGAAGAGGGATGGATTGATGCGTCTATTGACAGTCAGAGAGCGAAATGATACCTTCATTTTGGGCGCTCGGCTCTTCAGGATGGCAGGCAGCAGCATGAGGTGGTAGTCCTGAACCCACACGACGTCTCCGGCCGAGTAATTCTGCAACACCACCTCTCCAAACTTCTGATTGGCCGCCTGGTGCGCTGCCCACTGGAACTGCGCACACATGGGGGTACATAGTTCAGTATTGGCAACAGCATGCACCAAATAACACATGCAGGCATGCAGCTAGTGATTGCTGGACTGACAAGAGCAGGCCTGCTCACCTGCAGGGTCCTCGTCTCACTCAGCTTGCTGTCCATGTTGAGCGGCACGTAGTGGAAGAGCTGCCAGAGGACGCTGTTGCAGAAGCCGTTGTAGTGCAGATCGAACACCTTTGGGTCCAGGTACACTGGCACATAGTACTCCTTGGCCAGCGCAGCTGTCAGCGCATCACGGTCTGGTCCCTCATCCACATACACCCCTGCGTCGCCGAAAGATTGCTTTTTGGCTTCAGGGCTGCATTTTACAGTAGCAGTGTGCAGGTAGACAGGCAGACAGATGTCTGGCACCATTGTGATTGAACTTCAAGGAGGACCAGTCACTGCACCTGGCCAGCCGACCCAGCAGGTCCTGAAGTTGGACACCCCCATGAGAGCACTCACCAGTCCGCCAGCGCTGACCTGGCCAGACCAGGAAGAAATGTCAACAGATGCGTGGGGACCCATGTATTTGACTGCACACATGCAGGCATCGGCAATCTAAAGGATTGCTTTGTCAGCCCCACCTGTAAAGACCAGCTTCCATCCCGCTCCCTGACGGCAGACACAGGCAGCCGGTTTGCGACAACAATGAGCCTTTGGCTCGTGGTGCCCTCATAGGCTGAGTACACTGAAGGCTCTGTGAAGTCCTCAACAACTTGCTGAGCATCTCCGTACAAGGCTGTTCCGCTTTGGCTCTTTCGCAAGCGTTGTAGAAGCAGACGGTCTGCAGCAATGAAGACAGCTCATGCCAAGTTTGAATATTCGTGACCGACCTGTGAAGTGACCTGTCACTTATTGGAGAAGTTCTTGCCCGTGCAATCGTCCAAGCACGAGCAACTTGCTATGATACCAGCACCAAATAAGGCGCTCCATCACTGTACGACTGGACGGTAGGCAGAAATGTTGGATCTGAAATCTATAGTACCCATTGAAACAACAATCTTAAAAATGAATGGGCACAGGAGCACATCAAAGCCGTTCTTAATACATCAAACATGCCCACCTATGATGAAGAGAAGCTTGAGCTGACCGATGCAAAAACAGAAAACAAAAGCCAAGTGAAGGTGAGTCTCTCAGGTGGTCACGCACCCACACGGGAGCTGGGAACTGCATTGTTCGCAAGCGACTGAGAAGACTGTCTGTGGATTGGTGATGTAGGCGGATCGAGATTCTCTGTCTCGCCTCCAGATCCATCTGCTCCTCCCTTTCCCATAGTGCAATGTCTCACAGTCGAGGCACCAATTGGTCATCTCATGTCCACAACGTTGTGGAGCGAGTCGAAGAAACACTCGAAGACATAGTTAAAACATGAAATCAACCCTCTGGCATCGGTGTTTCTTGATCGCTGATGGAAATGGCCCGCGATGCCCAACAGACTTCTAGCAAGTTCTCGATGCCTGCATGCTGCCTTGCACCCAGACGCTCTATTACAACAGAGAGCAAACACCTGTTATGAAGTAGTCGTCCTTCGAGCAATCAAATTAAGCGAGCACGGGATCATTTCTGTGACTCAACTAGTGGAGTCTGATTTGGCAACGCAGGTGGGATTAAGACGCCGCCGTAGATCATGGCCATTCTCCTCTTTGCTCTTCTCGGCGGCTGACACTGGTGCACTTTTGCCTGGGAGGAGGTGAGTGAGCATGTCCCGCGATCTCTAATGCACATTGTCGCAGTGATTTGATACACCGATCATCTCCTGTGCGTGATTCCGGGCTGACGCTTGTTGCCTTGACAGGGGTGAACCAGGCAAGATGGTGAAGCATAACAATGTCATCCCCAATCAGCACTTCAAGAAGCACTGGCACGGAGGAAAGAACGGCAAGGGGAGCTATGTGAGGACATGGTTCAACCAGCCAGCCAGGAAACACCGCCGGGCGACGGGTGAGACCAATTGATTGGTCTTCATCAGCAGTCGGAGTTGTTGTTCTTAGTGAATGGGAGGATCAACCTCAATGTCGAATATGTTTGCTTTAGATGATTGTTGGCTGGACGATGTAAAACGTACCGCCTTTAGCTTGTGTCTGTATAACACACTGAGTGTGGCCTGCTGAGCAAGTGTTTTTCTGCACTGTGCAGCTCGGATTGAGAAGGCAAAGAAGGTCTTCCCAAGGCCGGCAGCAGGTCCGCTGCGCCCGATCGTGCACGGACAGACCATCAAGTACAACTTGAAGAAGCGTCTGGGAAGGGGGTTCACCTTGGAGGAGCTGAAGGTGCTGCCCAGTCACCTGTCACAGGATGGCTTTCCCATCAGATTGTGTGCTCATCTCTGGAAGACATGTCCAGCTATGTGCAAGGCATGTAGAACAGAGGTGATGAATTATATGGCATTGTGTGTTGTAGGAGGCTGGCATTGCTGTCAAGCTGGCGCCCACCATCGGCATCGCTGTGGACCACAGGCGGCACAACCGCTCCCTGGAGAGCCTGCAGGTATGCTGGAATTTTGCGCACCCATAATTTCTCTGGCACGTCTGGCACGTGCTGCATTGCTGGAAGTCACCAACCTCAGCAGATGAGCAAGACCGCAGCAGGTGGGCAGAATACAGGGAGACAATCTGGAAGGGACAGGTTGTGGTTCTGACAGCCATGACTGTGCTGCGCAGGAAAACGCAGCGCGCCTGAAGGCCTACAAGGCCAAACTGGTGATCTTCCCCACCCGCAGCAACATGCCCAAGTCTGGCGACAGCACGGCTGAGGAGCTGAAGGTTGCGCAGCAGCACAAGGGACCTTTGCTGCCTCTGGTGCACGCGGCCCACAAGCTGGAATCCGTCAAGCTCACAGACGAGCTCAAGGTAAACCCTGCTGGCCGTAGCTGGTCAACGCAGTGCAGAGTACAAGCTCAATGCATGTGAGTTCTAAGCTGCAATACAACGTGCAGCATTAGGGAGGGTGAAGGCAGTCTACTGATCGTGCCCCACTTCAAGTACAAGCTCAATGCGAATGACTTTTTAGCTAATGTACAACCTGCAGCACTTGAGAGGTCGAAGCCTTTGCTTATCATGCCCCAATGGTTCAAGCTTGCTGCATGTGACTCTTCATCTCCGATGCAACGTGCAGCAGTTGAAAGGTGAAAACATAGGCTGACCGTGCCCCACTTGTGGTGATGCAGGCAGAGAAGGCATACTACAAGCTGCGGCTGGAGCGCACAAACGCCAAGCTGGTCGGTGTGCGTGCCAAGCGCGCTGCGGAGGCAGCTGCTGAGGAGAAGGACAGGGCAAAGTAGACATGTCTGCTTTGTCATCTTCGCTAGATACCTTTTATTCAATGTTGTGCTGTATCGTCTGAAGAAAGGTGTCCTTGGCAATCTCACAAAGGCCGCACAGCTCTTGGAAACTTTTCTGTTTGCTCCTGTCAGTGCTGCTCAGCGTCAGCGGCTGTGATCTGTAGTGCCACAGGACAACCATGTCATGCGGCTGGAGTGATTATACCGAGGAATATTTGTAATTTTGTGATGGCCATCGCATGTTGCATAGCAATGAATGAGTAATCTTTGTCCTGCAATGCAGCTTACATGTACCTCCAGAAGAAAACCTTCGACTCAAAGCCTTCGAGTCGAGGTGATACCAGCCGAACATGGGATTGCGCATGACAACATCCAGCAATTTGTCTCCCTGACCATACAATCTTCTGATATGCCTAGTGACCACCCACTGATTCACAGCTGATTTCTAGTATGCGATATCGACATGGCTGAAGAAACTTTGGTAACCGCTGTTGTGGACACCACTCCTCCATGGTAGAAATCTAGGCCAACCGCTGTTGTGGACACCACTCCGCCATGGTAGAAATCTAGGCCGATTGGAAGATTCTTGTCTCTGCCAGCTGCAGCTCTGGGGGAAATGCTTTGCGGTGCAGTAGGGCACAAGGCTTGCAGAATCTGCGGGTGTAGAACAAGGAACAAGAGCTGCACACCATCTTCTGGCAAAGGCTGCAATGAGCACCAAGGAATAAGGGTCTGCTTCTTGATGCAAATGGATCCTGCCGCAGGTAGCTGTCCTCCAGAAGACTGCACGACAGGGGAAGTCATCACGCTTTGCTTGAGAGCAGGTGCACGGATCGCTGGGCCAAAAGAGACAATCTGTGTTCCCAGTCTGAAACTAACTTAGCAGAGCCCCCTTACATGATCTTTGATTTGTTGCTTGATCTGGAGTGATCTCCCAGTGAGCGACCAAAAGACTCGAATGGGGCTGTCAAACCACACAAACAGCAGGAAAACGTCTTTATCCCATCAACTCTGTCGTCCTGTTTATCCCTCTCCATGCCATGCAGACTGAGGACGAGGAAACCAAGTCATTTTTGCGAGACAAGTGCGTTGCCTTGCAGCTGGAGGATAGCTCCAACAAGCCTCCATGAAAGCACGTCCATCATCACTTCTACGACCAGCTTTGATGATCGTCCAAAACAATCTCTCAATGCATGAAGTCTGAAAGAAACATGGCAAATGCGGAGGGTGGTCCACCCGGGGTGGTGATGAGGTTTCCCCTCAAAAGTTTTAGTTTGTGCACCGTTGAGGGCACTTGTGTTCGCTCCATGAGACCACTTGGCTCTCGCCATGGCTTCTGGTAGGCGGAAGAAAAGCAAGGAGGAGCCCGCTGTGAAGCAGGAGGCCAAAAAGGAGGACAAACCAGTGAAGCGAAGGCGCACTGCAGATGGAGACAGGCAGTTCCGGGATGATAAGCGGCAGAGGGTGAGAAAGGGCCCTGTACTGTCGGCATCGGCCTTGTTGATGGGCCGTGCACAATTGTATCGCTTACCTTGCTTTCTTTGCAGGTTTCGCCGGAGAATGACAGGAGAATTAGGCAGAAAGTTGTACGTCCTGGAGTCCCGGCCCCGACGAGGACTTCTGCCTTTGTGGTTCCAGACAGACCCTCTCCTCCCTTCAGGGAAGATGATAAGGTGACAATGGACAGATTTAGGCCCCCGTAGTGCGCCCTAGGTCCACTGTCTCAGTGCAGTTTGCAAACATCCATCTTTACAGATGTGACCTTTTCTCCTGCAGGACGGGCACTTTGTCTACGAGCTGGGCGACAATCTTACTTCAAGATGTAAGTGAACCTCGCTGGTCCACCAGTACCTATTTATATAGCACATGTTTTCCGTGCCAAGGTTTCAGATGCTGTTGTGGGCATCCTCCTTTGTCAAAAGAGCACCAATGAATGCGCTGTGCTTGTGGCTGCGCAGACAAAATACTCAGCAAGATGGGGGAAGGTAGCTACTTTCAAAAGCCTGCAGTGTTAGGATCAAAAACCATCGCTCAAGTTTCCCCATTCCTTGGACTTATTATTATTATTATTATTAAGAATTTGTCTGTTCGTTCAGTACAAATTGACTCCAACCTTGTTTTCTGGCTGTCTAGGCACTTTTGGAAGAGTGCTCGAGTGTTGGGACAGGAAGAACAAGGAGTATGTTGCCATCAAGATTGTTCGAAATGTGCAGAAATACAGGGACGCTGCAATGATAGAGGTGCGCTGGCCTTCAATGCAGACCCCTTGGAAGGAAGTTGAAGGTCCCCCTCATGCATACGAGCAAGTTTGCATACTTTGGAGCAGTGGCATCTGGGGAATGGAGCTGTTTCGGCACTGCTGTCACTGCTTGATGCCCTCATAATGTGCTGCGTTGCTGGATTCTGCTGCCTCTCATCCTTCCATGTGAAGCTGATCACGTCTGTTCTGTGCAGCTGGAGGTGCTGAACACTTTAGAAAAGAATGACCCGGAGGGCAAGCTGCACTGTGTCAGCCTGCTGGAGTGGTTCGACTACAGGGACCATGTCTGCATGGTGTTCGAGAAGCTGGGGCTCAGTCTCTACGACTTCCTCCGGCGAAACGGCTACACCCCTTTCCATGTGAACCTGGTCAGTGCCCTTCTTTGCAGGCGTCATATGTGTATTCAAAAAATAGCGAATCAGAGCCCAGTGTCCTCAAACTGCAAATGATGAGGGTTGTCGCTCCCCAGGTACGATCGTTTGGGAAGCAGCTGCTGGAGAGCGTGGCGTACCTGCATGAATTGCAGTGTATACACACCGACTTGAAGCCGGAGAACATCCTCCTAGCCTCTCTAGAGTACAGCAAGCACAGCGAGCTCCCGGGGACAAGGTGCATTGCTGTGCCTGCTCCCTGCCTGCTCTGTTTCGCATGCATATTGCCTGTGACAGACGCATGCAGCAGAAAAGCTCCTCACCTACCGGGGGTGCGCACTATTGCCTATGACACGATGGGATCTGATCTCGGCTTTGTTGTGTGCAAAAGGGGCGCGAAGCGGATGCCGGAGAACAGCGACATAAAGGTGATCGACTTTGGCAGCGCCACGTTTGACGACCAGTACCACTCGTCCATAGTGTCAACGCGGCACTACCGGGCGCCCGAGGTCATCCTGGGCCTCGGATGGACCTTCCCCTGCGACATCTGGTCTGTGGGCTGCATCCTGGTGGAGCTCGCCACAGGTGACCTGCCCCCTCAGGCTGCGCTCGCCATCAGCAAGCGCTGCAGACGAGCGATTGCCTACCTTTAGCACATGCAGCAGGCAGGGATGCGCAGAAAGGACTTACCAGAAGGCCTAGCGTCAGTGTCGCAGCTGGGATGCACATGACAAGTAATCCATTGACCTGTTTGGTCTGTAAGACCATCCACATTTAGTGGGCCCCACATATGACTGAGGGAGCCAGTCTCACAATAGGAGCAGCAGAGCTGCAGGAATTTGAACCATTCTTGTGCCGGCGGGCAGGCGACGCGCTCTTCCAAACGCACGAGAACCTGGAGCACCTGGCCATGATGGAGGCCGTGCTGGAGAAGATCCCGGAGCACCTTGCCGCCGCTGCCAACGCCGCCGCCCGGAAGTATTTTGTCACCAGGTGACAAGCTGCGCTGCCGTTTATGCCACCTATTTTGGCATCCCTCATGCATGCGAGAACGTGTCACCGCTTTACTTGTCCATACATGGTTGCCTTACTATGCATATCCATGCATGCAGTGCAAAGGACACTGGCCTTGAAATTCCAACAACCGGAATGCCCTCCGATGTCTACAAGGTAGGAGGCTTCCTCAAGATGCGTGAGGGTAGGCATCTATTTCTGACAGCAGGGGGCTGTGGCTGCAGGCGGGACAGGTTGGAGCTGAACTGGCCCGGGGGTGCGGCCAGCAGGCGCAGCGTGCGTGCAGTCGCAAAGCTGTCGCCCCTCAAACAGCTCATGGCCTCGCTCGGCGACAAGTCCCTGAAGCCCCACCTAGACGCCCTCCAGGACCTCCTCTTGCAGGTGTTTTGCAGCCCATAGGACTTGTCCTTCGCGGATCTGACCATGCCATTCCCTGCGCTCAACCAAATGCCATGCAGCTGGGCAAGCTGAGCGTCGAGGGAACGTCCACCTCGTGAGACCACGAGCATGTGCTTTGGACCAACAAACGACGAAGCTGCCAGCAGTACCTCCATCCCTTTCAAACTTATGAAGATGACGACTGGCTGTGTGCTGAGTGGATACGTGGCGCGCGCAGATGCTGCGGTACGATCCGAAGGAGAGACTAACGGCGCACGAGGCGCTGCATCACGACTTCTTCAGGATGGGCGCCGCGGCGACGGCCACGCCGAACGGGCGGCTGCGGCCGGAAAAGAAGGAGATCAGCGCCACATACGCTGAGCCGGCCGAGGCCGCCGTGGTGGGCCTGGGAGGCAGCGCCTCGGGTGAGCACCGCTGCCCACAGCACTATTTGTGCGGCAGACCTTGAAATCAGTATTTGAGAGCTTCGTTCCAAGAAGCCAGCGCACTGCCTGTGACATCATGATGAGGCCATCTTATTCGTAAACGCACATGATGCGGCCCCATGATGTCCTGGGGTTGGCAAGGATGTGGAGATTGTTGTTAATGCACCAGGGTTGGTAGGTGCAGAGATGATCTGCTTTCACGAGAGGTGCCATCTTTATAGGTGTGTTCGTGCGCAGGCAAGGGGTCCAGCCAGGCGACAGAGGGAACCTCGAAGCCGGGGGCCCCAAAGGAAGCCGAGCTCCCGACGGAGGATGCAGAGTGACGGGCGCGCAGCATCAGCTGTGTCTGCATCCTCTAGAGTTGCCCGCGGGCTAGAGTGGCGCGAAGTGTGCAGAGGGCTGCTTCAGGCTGGTCCGAGATGTTCAGGGACCACCATAATGATGATGGATCTGGACCGCACCTCAGCCACGCATGCCAGCTGCCAGCGGATCTCCTGTTGTTTTCTTTGGCACGCAGGCTTGGCTGTGTCTCAGGGCGCGCTGCTGTCAAAGAACTGTTTGTTGTACTGTGTTATGGCCGATCATGGCAGGCAGCTTTGTGGTTGATGACATGCATGGTTACTGACCGTTTTTCTCAACGCATGAGGTGTGGGTTGCAAAATCTGCAAATTGACCTGACTGCAGACAACGATTGAAGCCTTTTTAGGTCAAGACCAAACAAAGCTTGGGAGGGAGAGGTACTGACCAAAAGTTGCCATTATCGACAATGTCTGTACAGCATATATGCTGGCCTCCTTACATTTTTGGGAATTTTGCCTGCTGCCGGTTTATTGAGCGGACCTGTTCTGACTTGATTGGATCCTAGGGCAAGATCTCTGAGTGGGTCTCAGTGTTATGGCCCTACAAGTCATCCTAGTTGTCTTTTCAGAGGGTCCAATGATAATTTAGCAATGAATGTCCAGGGCTATAGCACATTGACAAATGCGTGATGCGGTTCAACCTATTGTAAATTATTTGGATTCATCGCGTCCAACGCTCGACTGGCTGACTTTCACCACGACTCTGGTCGATTCTGCACTCACTCACAGTTGCACAAGCCTGCCTAGGCTGCCACATCTTCTGCCATGCAATCCACAGAATTGATGGCTGCTGTCCAGGCCCTTGTAATATACATGCCTCCACACTGTTCTCTATCAGCTCCAATAAGTTCAAGCGTTCCAAGGTCCTCGCTACAAGGTTGCTCATCTGAGCATATTACCACAGCAACAGCCCCAACTCCCACCACAACACACTCCACACTCCAAGGCCAGGCTGCTGCCAATCCCACATAAAAATAAAATGAGGTAATCTCACAGCAAAATGCTCTCAGAACCCTTACAGATATACAATCAGAACCCTGACAGACCCAGCTAGAGCATCTAGCTGTCCCAAGAAGCATCCACCTGCTTCTGCCGCTCGCGCTTGAGCTCCTTTTTATTGTGCTGCTGCTGTCGCAACTCCTGCTCTGCTACCTACGGACAACATTCATGCTTTCATGGTCACCGTCCTGAAAAATTCGGTTAATAAAATCCAAACAACCTAGGCAAGGCAACAGGGAACACGGTATACTGCAGACCACGCTGTGTCAAGGCATCTCACGCAGTCACAAGTACCGGTATAGTGTGAGTGCGCGAGCACTTTGCTGTATATTGATGACAGCAAAGTGCTGCGGATGAGTGTGCTACAGGACGTGCCTTGTCCCGGACTCTGGGAGCATTCAGGGCCAGGCTGATCAAGCGGTTTGCAACGACGGTCGACGTTTTGGGACGCGGCCGCGGCGGCTGCAGCTCTGCCGCCGGCGTCGCCTTGGACGCATCGCATGCCTGCCACGCAGGCACCAACTGTCAGTGCAGAGTTTGTACAATTGTTATTACTGTATTGGCCGCTTCTCCTGCCAGAAGGCAAGGCGCGTCTGCATGCAAGCTTTGCGCAGCAGCAATGTGCCTCCCTTGGAAGCACAGGCTATCAAGGCGGCTGGCAAGGGAATGGTGGCATTTAGTCAGACGGGGCGGTGTACCTCGCTGAAAGGCCGCATGCTGTAGCGGCTGTTGCCAGCTTGCAGGGTAGCCTGGGCAGCAGCTGGGTTGCTGAACACAGCCAGCGCCGTCTTATCATTCACCCACCTGCACATCAAGCCACGTTTGTTCACAGCAGGGCGCAAACAGTTTCCCAAAGCACCCCTGTCCTTGTGCGTTGGTTGGGTGCTTCATACTGTATTGTAACACCCAGACATGTAGACGGGGCTGTTTCATGAACTAGGAAGAGCGGATCCTGTCTCAAAGGCTCACATGTATTCTAAAGGCAGGAGCAGTAACATGGGTAGATGAGCACACCTGACAACAGGGTCAATAGGGCCGCTGCTGATGGATACCAAGAAGGTTTCCAGCTGATTGGCAGTGTCTGCAGAGCTAAGGCCATGGAGCTCCAGGATGTGGCGGCCATCGAAGGGCACCTCTACCTCTTCCTGCTCCCTGCTGCCGGGACCATTGTCTGCCCTCCGCCGAGAGGCAGCACCGTTCGAGCGCTGCGCCGCAGGCTCTGCCTTTGGCCTGACTGTGGGCCGCTCTGCTGTGCTGTGAGGAAGGGGCTGCCTCTCGCTGGGTGGCGTTATCTGACCCAGGTTCTGCTCCCACTCCCCTGCAGATACACAAAAAAAGGCTAAGATTAGGAAATATTTCCTGGACACTACATCCTTGACGGAAGGTCGTTTCCTCGTTTCCTTATTGTCTCAACGTCACAATTCTTCACTGAGGTGTCTATTGGAAGGGGCCTGGCCTCCACCTGTCTCCCAATCGTCTTCACCATCACTCCCACTTGGGGGTTCGGGAGTTTTTACGCCTCCATTCTCCCCACTCCGTGCTGCAACAGCTTTTCTGAAGCACTCTACACCGTCCTGCACCCGTCCCTGCAATTCAGGAAGATTTAGTGCACTGCAACAGAAAGTTACCACCGATGCTTGATTTGCCTGGCGAGGGCGTGATTCGACAGCGACAAAGATGAAAGCAACAATTCAGGATGCAAAGAGAGCAATCAGGAGATGAAGCTGTGCATGCCTCGGCAAGGTGTAAATTTCCCAGATCACTCAAAATTGCCGCCTGATCTACGCTGTCCTTCACGTCCTTGAGCCTCTCGAGCAGCTCTCCCTCATCGAAAGAGATCATGTTGGGAATCCTCTTCGTTCCCACAACAAACAGATCAATGTTTTGAAGTCTCCAAGGGTGGGAGCTGGAGGGAGCCCTAAAATGTAACCCTAGGGCTTGAACATGTGCACGACGTCGACAGGATGGAACCCTATATACCGAGTCAGCATTTTTTCTTTCGGAGGAAAGTCTTCGTGAATGCTTCGTTTCTGGGCATTTTCAACATCGGAATCTACGCAGACTGCGGCATTTGGTTGCGTGGGGCCTTTGGCTGATGTGGGAATGCTAGGATTTCTACGCGCAGGCCGCCCTCCAAAAGGTCGCGTCAGCGTGCTTTCCAATTGGGCCAGTCACGTGGGTACAATTCTCTTGTAGCAAAATTTGCAAAGCTATTTTGGGATCGAAAGCACAACAAGACTCATGGAGACCCTCAAGGTCGTCTGATCTCGATAGGACAGCCGACCGACGTGCAGAGCGTTTCACTCGTCAAAGAAGGTTACAGTGCACCCAAGCAAGACACTTGCCCAGCTCAGATATAAAGATCAAGGATTCACTAGATATGCAGACCAGCAGCACTTGTGCAGCTTTGCTGTTTCTCGCAATTTTGTGCACAGCTGCCGGGAGAGATCTGCAGAGTCTGAAGCCTCTCCTACAAGGAGAAGTGATGGCCAGCCCTGCATCCCCCAACGTCAGAATAGAAGTGGATGTTGCTACGAGACACCCGGTGGCTCCAAATCTTTACGGCATCTTCTTCGAGGAGGTACAACCCCATACCCTGCGCATAACGTGTCTTCAGACATGCGGATTTATATCATGCAATTGCTGGGCTGTGTGTCTTACCTTTTCGTTTTTGCAATGTGATGTCACACTGCTACCTGCACCTGGCGTCGAGAAAAGAAGGAAACGTGTAATTTAAGCTCAAGCTCGAGGCTCAGTAAGTCACGCCCCTGGTGCAGATTCAGCATGCTGGAGAGGGCGGCATCTATGCAGAGCTCATCCAGGATCGCACATTCAGCGGCCTAGCCTACACGCAGGTGCTTCCTCAAGCTGGGAAGGCCATGACATCCTTTTGATGTTGCATTTCATGATGCGCACTGCAGCAGTTTCCCTTATCAATCTCTGTAAGCGGTGCAGGCATTTCTGGACAGCGATGCACAGGAGCTGGTCCTGGGGCCCAGCGCCTTTGAGGGGCCGGTCCTGTCGCTGCACTCCAGCTTGCATGCTGAGGCCAGCCACCTGTCTCCGAAGAATGCATCCCTCACAGGCTCAAGTTCTCTGGCTGAGCAGCTCTGGCAGCATTCCGAGAACAGGTATGCTCATGTCTGCTGCATGGATCCCCTGATCTGTTGCCTTTACCCACCTTGCTTTCTGCTGTGTGCAGTCTTGCAAGCTTGAGTGCACGCCAAGAAGGGCTTCTCTGTATCAGTGGTTGAGATTCTGCTGGTGGGGGATAATTGCAGGGCTCTGGGAGCGACGAGTCAGCCGGTGAGCTGGAAGCCGCTGGGAGGCACGACGCTGACGCTGACTAAGCAGTACCCGATGCCGGACAACGGCGCGCGTGGATTGGCCATGCGGCTGGCCTCCGGGCCGGGGGAACTTGGGGGGATCATAAACACCGGGTTCTGGGGGATCCCAGTGCAGGCCGGCCATGACTACGAGCTCTCTGTCTACCTCAGAGACCCCAGCTCAGACAGGGTGCGTGCCTGCCTTTCTGCCCAGTCTCTGCCTTTGGTGCAGCAATGAAAGTACACTCTGTGTGAGTGTTTGCTTTTTGAGCCTCCCCTTGCACCGCTCTGTGTCAGGATGTTTAGATTTTAGCCTTCCTTGCTGCACTGGCATTTTGCTTGGTGATTCATTGTGTAATTGATCGAGAGGCTGATGCTGTTCTGCCTGCAGGCAAGCCCACTGTCAGTCAGTATTGCGCTGGAGTCGAGCCATGGCTCCCATACATATGCAACGGCGGTGCTGGAGGGTGTGGACGCCTCCTGGCGCAATTTCAGGGCCACTCTGACAGCGGAAGCCACAGATTCCAACGCCCGCCTGGCTCTGCGCTTGGAGGTGTGCCTTGTGCTCTTTCTGCTTTATTCAAATGTCCACTGAGGACATTTGCAGCATGCTTACATGGTAGATCACATGACCGTAATGGTCACTTGTGTGTTGAGTGAAGTAGTGTGAAGTAAAGAAACTTTTCAAATTCTAAAACTGTCATGCTGCAGGGTGGGGAGGTGCTGGTGAACATGGTGTCGCTGTTCCCAGCTGAGAATGGGGTAGAGGGCAGCATTTCGCCCTTCAGGAGCGACCTGCTCACCCTCTTGAAGGGACTGCAGCCGAGGTGCACAGTGCCCGCTTGCCCTGCCCTACACTTGTACTACACCCGTAATGCCATAAATATCAAAATCGATTGTCATCGTGCGCCTGCGCCCTAATTGCATCTCTTTCCCAGCCGCCACTACTGCGTGCTTCTCCCCAGTTGAGAGGCCCAAGTGGAAGGGGCAAGCACGGGGGAGGGGAGCCTGGAAAGAGTTGCACTTAGCACAATCATAGGCAACACCATGAGTCATAATCACTGGTTTTGTGAGCGTCCGTCCCATGGTAAGGCACCAGAGAACAATCATGGGTTGTATCCAGGTTCCTGAGGTTCCCTGGCGGCTGCTATGTGGAGGGGGTGACGATGCGCAACGGCTTCTTCTGGAAGCCCAGCGTGGGCGCCGTCGCAGAGCGGCCCGGTCACTGGAACGGCATGTGGCAGTACTGGAGCACTGACGGTGTGCCTTGGTACTTTTTGCGTAATTTTATCTGCAAGCCAAAAGTCGCTGGTTTTATTATTGCAGACCTGTTCTCTACACAGCCATCAGTATGTCATACTCCTGGTCTAGCCGGCTGTTCAGAAACCATGACAGAACCAGAAAGGCGGCCCCTCATGGTTCTGTGACAGCCGCGCTGACTGGCTGACTGGTGGAATGTCAATTTCGATGCCAGCTGAGCAAATCAACCAACAATATCTCACTTGGCGTGTCCAAGATTTTATCAATGTTTGCTGTAGAATCGCTGAGGTGCCCAGGGTGTTGTGCTGCAGTCACAATGACACATGCAGGAGGCTGCTCTGAAAAAAGAGTTGTACTCTTTGTTCCCTATCCTAGGTCTCTCACAAGATTGATCTTAGATGCGCTGGTCTCACACAGCTGGTCTCTCCGATGTTGCGCAGGGCTGGGCCTGTACGAGTACATGGTGCTGACGGAGGAGCTGGGCGCGGAGCCCATCTGGGTGCTCAACAACGGGCTGAGCCACGAGGAGAGCGTGCCCACCGCGCGCATCACACCCCTGCTCGCCGACGCGCTGGACTCCATCGAGTTCATCTCCGGCCCGGCCGACTCGCGCTGGGGCGCCGTGCGTGCGCAGATGGGCCACCCCGACCCCTGGAGCCTCACCTACATCGGCGTCGGCAACGAGGTGGGCATCCAAATGGACAGCTTTACCCAAGCGTCCACCTTGCATGCCTTCCTGCCCTTCCCATGTTTTGGAAGATCATATGGCTTTGAACCCTGCATGATGTCTGGCTAATCTGCCATCTGCTATGAAAGAATACAAGCCTCAAAGCTGGACACATGTGCGTTGATCTCTACGTTTCCCTAGCATCAATCTTGCATTTCTTCCTGCACCTCATGCATTGGCCATCATAAGGGGTCCCTACTTGCTGCATAGATTCAGGAGCCACATGGGTAGCTGGGAGGTGCGCTTGACAATCTAGGGAGGGCCTGACATTGAAGGGAGGGACATTTTGCATTGTTTGAGGGTAACGCAACACTGGAAGCCGAAGCGGGGTTGCATGTACTGTGGCAGGACTGCGGCAAGCCGTACTATGTGTCCAACTACCTGGCCTTCTTCCACGCCATAAAGCAGCGCTACCCGCACATGCAGCTCATCGCCAACTGCAACATGGGCAACGACGCACCCACCGAGATGTGGGACTGGTGCGCTATTCTGCCTCAGTAACCCTTGTCATGGGTCCTTGCTCCTGGCCTTTTGCATTCTGGGAATCCTCAGTTCTGCGTCAACATTGCAGCCCCGTCTGCGTTGGCACTGCTGCAGTGTGGAGCATGGGGTCTGTCTTTGCATGCCTGGCACAAGCTGACAGGACAAGGTAATTCTTCAGGTGCACTTGGTTGTCTGCAGGCATTGGTACACGGACCCCCAGAGCATGTTCAACGGGAGGTACACCTTTGACACAATGACGGTGGCCAAGGACAGCTATGTCTTTGCATCGGAGTATGCTGTCTTCGACTGGGGCATTAAAACCATCCCCAGGGGCAACATCCAGGTGGGGTAGCTGTCTGCAGAAACTATGATCTGTTTTGCTAGCATCGCAGCTGCCCGCTTTCATGGCTGCTTCGCATTCACCACTGGCATCAAACATTGGACCAGGTCTGCAACCGCCACCAAGTGCAGAGACATGCGCTTTGCTCGTGAGCTGCTCACAAAGGGGTGGCGCACGCATGTCAGCTGCCTCTGTCACTCTGCTAATTGCTGTCCTGGTCTGAAAATTATATACACGAGGAGCGAAGGGCTGCGTGGAACCTACTGCAACATCCAGATGCTGCATCTCGATGTAAGACTGCTTAGTGAATGTGCTCATCCCCTTACGGTGTGCACAGGGTGCGGTGGCGGAGGCAGCGTTCATGACGGGGATGGAGCGCAACTCGGAGGTGGTCCAGCTGGCGGCCTACGCACCCCTTCTGGCCAACATTGCCCACCAGGGCGCCCTCTGCCCCACCAACCTCATACTCTACGACAACCACAGGCACCACCCCACCTCGCTCCAGAACGCTTGCTGATTTCTCCTCGACCACCTGCACCACTGCACACCCTCTGCATGTTTCCCCCCATCAAAACAGTCGCAGTCTCCCTTGGAGGCAGTCTTATATGAGAAGACAACTTGCCCATCCATGCAAGATTATCCTCACTCCCTTTGGCATGCCTGTGGCCGCATCTTCTCGTAGATGAAGGCATGAACCACTGATAAAAACCCAGGCAGAGATGCAGTAGTGCACCACACGACTGACAGCAAGGGGAATGCAGTGAATGATTGTGGCTGGTGTGTGTGGTGCGCAGGGCGTTTGCCAACCCGTCGTACCACGTGCAGGCGCTGTTTGCGCAGCACCAGGGGGTCTCCTATGCGCGCACCTCCGTCGCCAGCCGCTCGCCGCGCGACAACGGCGTCGCAGCAGCCGCCACCTGCCAGGACGCAGCATGCACCTCTCTGTCCATCAAGGTAGGTGGTGCCTTTCGTATTACCTGCAGTGTTCTGCACAGGATACTCTGGATCACCAGCTAATGGTGAGGGCTGCAGCATTTCACAGACCATCCCATAGGATGGAAGACAATGTATCAGGAAATAAGCAACAGAAAAAAGGGCACCAGTAATCTCCTCATTTTCATTGGCTTTAGAGTGTCCTGTTCTGAATATTTTCTAATGGCTGATAACCTGCTGGCTTGTGACTTCCGGCAATGAGCAGTCTTTATTGAGCAGCAATCTGGTCGTTGCGATTTGCAGTGCTGCAGCGGCCATGAGACACTTTAAAAAGGGCTGCTATGTTGGTGCAGCTGGTCAACTACGCCTCATTCCCCCAGACTGTGGCCCTGACCATCTCCAACACCACTGGACTCAGCAACGTCGCCATTTTGACCACGCTGGCCGGGACGGGCCCCTATGACACAAACTCCTTCGATGAGCCTCTCAAGGTGTGCTCAACTTGCCACTTGATCACTAAAGATTGTTTGAGATTGTCTAAAATTGTCTCTTGTTTCGTTGTCTTCTAGTGGCTCGTGCAGCAGTCGAGGGGCTGCCGCTCTGAGCAAGAAAATGCTGATTGCTGGAGTGGGATCTTATATTGGTGCAGGTGGCTCCCAAGACTGCAGAGCTGCTGGGCATGACATCTGACATCGAGCTGGAGCTGCCTGCCTTCTCTGTGGTCATCATTGCCACATCAGCAGATGACACCAGCGCGGCGGCCGCAGCATAGAGATCTCACTGTGCTTTTGCCTGCGCCTTGAAATGTTTAAAAAAGGATATTGCAGCTTTGCGCCGTGCCGCAGCACAAAAAATCAGGCTGCCGGTGCTGATCAAAGCAGCGCTAACATTGTCTGCCACTTACGCAGCCAGTCACAGAATTCTTTATCTTATCACATAGCAGCTGCACCCTGAGTCTCAGCGGCCGGGCGGCAGCTGCTTCTATGGCCAAATTAGTGTGACTATACACTGTATTCTTACTGCTGGCCGCTGAAGGGACGGATCTCCCAAGCGCTGCTCCTGAGGTGAATCAGGGACACTGGATATGCAGCAGGCTTGGCTGGCAGTCCTGCAGTTTTGAAAAATGCGGTCGCTGTCAGAATGACTGCACTTGTGCTTTCGGGCATGTGTCGCAAGTACTATGTTCCAGGAGCACTTATACCCCTGCGGCACACAATTTTGGCAAGGTTTTTGGCTGTGTATCCGGTTGCCGGGCCCTCTCTGCCCGGCTGTGCCATGAATGTCTCATGTTGGTAGCATTGAGGTATCTGCCCTTTTAGGTATCTTTAATACTGCAGTGCTCTGAATCTGGCTCTGATGCCGTAACTCTAGGTCTTGGCGCCATCAAGCTAAGGACATTCATAGGTAGGCATTAGGTAAAGGATGGTGTATCAGGTGGATCTGTTAAGCTTAATGTTGTTTAGCAGTAAAGTCAGGGGATGATTATGTCATGGATTGTGTCAAGCTCGAGATGGCTTCTCCTGGAGAGACTCGATTGAGTTCATGCATGAAGCGTCAGGTCTCTAAGATATTCAATGCATTGAAAGCTGTGGTCATGTTACCAAGACAAACACAATAAACAAATAGTACATATTTGTGCAAATTATTAATTGCTAGACCGAAATATGATACTCAGAGAAGATTGGCAGGTGCACTGCGCATGAAAAGGGTGAAGCTTGGTGTGACGTACAAACTTCAGTACCATGCATATGCATAATTCTCATAACTCCCCAATATACAGTGACACTCTTGAGGAGAGTTCATAGATACCATGCGCACACCCAGTAAAGGCAATTGCACACAAGTAGTCAGCGCAGGAGTAACCATTCACTCAAATTCTGATCCCATCAACACATATGAGCACAGAGAACCGCAGACCAAGCTTAGCATTAACATACCCGGCAAAAATGGCTTCTGATACAACATTGATGGCGAACAGCATTTGGAGAAACAGAAGAACAGGCCAATAATCCAGATAATATCATCAAAACCCTTGAACAGAGCATATGTGCACACAGAAAGCTCACATCCATACAGCGGTTGGTATTGCCAAGATCCCATCAGTGATTGCATGAACCCCAATCATAAAATCTTCATTTGGACTTTGTCCACTTGAGAGCGTGGCCATTAGCCGTGCTCGTAGACATTGTCTCTGTCATATGTGTCCTCACCAGGAGGTTCATCATCCCTTGGTAAAATGTCAACAAGAATGCTGCCGCCACCCTCGTGGACACAGTAATACATGTTCTTTCGCTTCAGGTAATCTTCAACGGCTGGCAGCAGCCGCGCAATGTTGTTCTGGCTGTGCAACCCCCTGCCTGTTATCAATTCCAGCTTGCTCGCAGCTGCACCCCAGTCAGCACAGGCGATCTCAGTACACAGCTCCTGACCAACTTTGGAGCAGTAAGAAAAGAGGATGAAAGGGACAAATGAGGACTGTAAGGGAAGGTGACGCACTTGGGAGGCCCTGGAGTGCTCGCAGGTATACGTCCACTGTCCTGATGGCCTGGTCAACATGCTGGCCATGCAGATCCACAGTGTGTAGGTTCTTAATGCGCTTGTTCCTGCATGGACATATACACCTCTCAACATCATCAGATAGTTTTGCTGACAGCATGCTTGCCCCAATACTGAGGCCGAGCTGGTCACAGGGAAGGGAGATGAGGGCACAGGCACAGGGAAAGGGCAACAGTCCTGAAGCACAGCAAAGAAGAACGCATCCGCGAGTGAGACGCACGTTTCCTTCAAGATCTTTTTCGAAGCCACTTTGTCGGCCTGGAGGTACCTCATGCGCGCCTGGTGAGCCTGCAACCCAACACAAACCAACTGCTTGCTAGCGGACCTTTTGTGCCAGGAGCTGTGAATGCCAGCTACATGCGAGCAGCCCTGAGAACATGTCAGAAAGATCAACAGACACCCCCCACTCACCCTCTCCCTGAGCTCTGTGGCCAGCCTGTGGTCCCCACGGTCGTTTGCCCTCTGGGCCTCTGCATACTTGAAGCGCATCTCCTCCCTCAGAGCGTCCGCGTGGGCGCGGTGCTCCTGCAGCACACAAAGAAACCCAATTCTCACCCCCATTAAGCATTCAAGTTGCCCTGCAGCAGACTGACGCCATGCCTCAACAATAGTGGCCCCCTGCTTGCACTTGGGCGCCTGCTCTCCAGGGATCAGAGCGCTCTATTTTGAATTCCCACTTAAGCATTCGCCGAAGATGGCATTGGGCTTGTCAATGACCGAAAGCAGCAGCAGCAGCAGGAGGCAATTCCAGCTCTCAAATCATGGCAGGGGTGCCTGGCAGCATGAAGTCTGCGATGTGTGGAATCAGGAGAAGGGTAGTCACCTCGTAGATGCGCTGGTTCTGCGCGTCGGAGCGGCGCACCATGGCGTGGGGGCGGTCGTTGGCACGCAGCATGGGCTGCTGTGTCGGGGCGCTCACCTCTGCTGCAGTCGGCTGGCTGAACAGCACTGACGTGGGCTTCTTGGGTGCCTCAAAGGGCACCAGGCCGCTCTCTTGCAGCATCTGCGGCAATGACACGCACACACCTCAGGAGAACTTAAATTGGCCCTGAATGTGGCAAGACATTGTCGAAGGCAGAAGGCATGACAGCACTTACTGAAGTTGGACCTGCACCACCTAAGAAAACATGGCATGAGGCCCTAGCTGTGGGCGGCATGTGAAAGAAAGTAGGGCGGCATTAACGTGTTAGAGTGCTGCCCATAGCATGCTGCTGTGAAAGGATGCATGGTCAGCATGAGAGTGCGGCGGCGTACCTTTTTGGTGACATCAACGTTCTGGCCAGCAGCGTTGTAGACGTTGTTCAGAGTGGAGTCGTCCACTTCGGGGTACAGCTCCTTCAGAACCAGCACATCGGCAGATGCGCCAGAGTGGGGTGTGCCAGGCTTCTTCCTGTCATATGCCTGAGCACCAACGCAACATGACATTGTCAGAGACCCTGTGTTGCAAATGGCCCTCAAATTTTGCAAGAAATGCCTCTTTCGCTGCTGAGCAGGTGCGATACATTCCGTTACCAATGCCTTTCTCACTACCAGCTCTGACAACTATCAGGGCCAGCAATGTTGCAGCATAGAGCAGCGCACACAAAGGGGAAGAGGTTGAACGGCACCTGAGACATGACGGCGATTGCAGCGTCCACGTCACCGGTGCAGACCTCCAACGCATTCATGGCCTCCTCTGGGCTGCACCCCGGTAGCTCGCGCCGAATCAGCGCCACCTTCTGCTCATCAGACAGGTCCTGCATCCCCACATGGTGCTCAAGACCCAGCTCTTTTTTGAATTGAAAAACAAACCTGCCCTTCTCAGTGTTTTATATTTCAAAACACAACCCTGCCCTTCTCAGTATTTTGAATTCAAAGATGAAATCTGCCCTCCCCAGCGTTTTGAATTCAAAAGTGAATCCTGCCCTTCTCAGTGTTCTGAATTCAAAGATGAATCCTGCCCTTCTCAGCCAACTCACATCCTCTGGGGTTCATATTTTTTGAGTTGGAGACATACCTTGAAGGAGTAGTCGACCGGCACTCCTGACACATCCCAGGGCTCGCCACCATTGGCCGAGGCGCTGTCCAGCTTCGTTGCCAGCTGTGACTGCGAGATGCTGCCATCGTCTGATCCACTTGAGCTGTCCAGCGTCTTTGTGTGGTCCACAACGTCCTGCATAATAGCACATTAAAGTGGGGCAAAAAATACCAGAAACCATTCAGATATTATGCTATACATGAATTCCCGGGCAGAGTTCAGGGAGAAACAACACAAAGCTCAAAGGAAACGCAAAGCAGAGTTTACTGCCCGTCTCCACAACATTACAGTTCTGTCATAAGCCATTGACTGCATCAGCAACACTCCTTCTGGACAGATTCAGAAACAAGGCAAGCTGCCCACCTGGAGAGCCATCAGCTTCTCAATGGCTGCCTCGGCGTTGTCATCGACGCCCTGGAGCACGTCAGCCACCAGAGCAGCGTCCATGCCAGCAAACATGCCCTGCAGAAACTCCAGCTTGGACTCCTCATCGGACGCGCCGCCACTGGGCGCTGCACTTGGGCCAGCGGACAAGTCCTGCTGGATTGGCTGAGGCCCATGCTTCAGGGTCTCCTGCGCCCCTGTCTCCTCCCACCCACCGGGCTCAAACTTGGTGGGCGGTGGGGTACGGGTGGCTGTGGGGGGCGGAGGGCTCAGCAGGTGCTGCAAGTGCAGCGGCAGAGCTGCCGGTTTCTTTGCTGGGGCGGCCATCTGGGGCTCTGGCTCGTCTGGATCAAGGGGCAGCGGCTGCGGCAGGGGCTTCCTGAGTGCACGCTTGGGGGTGGGCAGGGGCGCTGCTGGCTGAGTGGGTGCAGGCGGCATGAGGGTCTGCAGGATTGAGGGCGTCAGGCTGGCGCTGGTTGGTGTCGGAGGTTTGGTGGGTGACCGCTTGAACTTCTGATCAGGTGTGACTATCCTAGTGGGCAACCGTGTGGGCGAACACTGCGCCACTTGGCTGGAAGAGGTCTTTGAAAAACTGCCATTCACACGAGTGCAATCCGCTGTATTCAAGGCACTGTCCAGTGTTGCAAACCCAACTCTTGCGTCAATTGCATTGTTCACCAGCCTCTGCCCAGGCACAGGGCTCCAAGGAGTGCCACATTCTCTTGGGGGACTCTGAACAGGAGTCACAAGTGCACCAGAGCCTGAGCATCCAAACACGGACTGGATGTGCGCCTGAGCGAGAGCGGTGTCGCCCCCACACTCCTTGAGCACATCATTGACAGTGTCCACATCCAGCTTGGGGAATGCAGCGTGCAGTTTCAGGATGTTGATCTCCTGCATGACGTTCATTCGAGCCTGCACCAACGAGCTGAACTTGAGTGCTGGCATGTGTTCATGTTGTCCTGTTGGCAGGACTTGGCTGTGCCCTGTGTATGGGCCCCTTTACACACAGAATCAAAGTCAGCTGATATTGCCAAAGATCAGAACAAAGCAAACGTGCAAGCAGTTGTGGGCCTCCAGAAGCCTCCAACACACCAGGACAGGCTGTGCTTGAACTGCAACGGGCTGGTAACCTAGCAGACCCACTCGCGTCAGCTCAACATTTTCAACTGAACATGTCGCTGCATGTCTCTGCTGTTTATGCGCGAGTTTCTCTAGCATATACACTGTGAGACCTCTTTCGCACAAAACACAGATGGTGACTTTGACACATCCACGTGTCGGTAATCTACGTTCGACGGACGGCTGGGGTCCCAACATCTGAGCGCGTGCAATAGCCCTCAAGAGGGTGGAGACATGCCTTGGGAAGTTAACCACGAGAGTGAAACCTGTTGCGCGGGGCACGGGCTCGTCCACGCCCAAAAGGTACCAACACGGGAGCGCAGCGCCTTACCGATAGCAGTCCAGGATCCAACGGCTGACGAGCGGTTGCACGTGTGTCATTATGCTTCCCGTTTCGGCGTTCGTGACGCACTATCGGACTTTGCAAGTTTTGAGTGATCGAAGCAGCAGTCAAACGGCGTTCCTGGTGAAGAGAGCCTGCCGAGCCAGCTGCTGCAGAAGAAGAATCAAGACGCCCTGGGTACAAATTTGCTGGAGGTGAGCAAGACGCCGCCTCGTGAGGGACCAGATACACAGTGCCGTATCCTAGAATAAGAGCATCGGCATTGGAAGGTGGATTTGACTGGCCGACTGAGACTGCGTTGGGCGGCAACGAGGCAGGATGGTCAGGTGCGCACAGCTGGCACGCACCTGGTTGTTTCACTGGGTAGTATCCCTTGGCAATATGGTGCACCATTGCTTTGTATTTTTGGATATGTGGTATTTCCCCGTGCAGCCCTGATACAGCAGCACTGATGTCCAGTTGATTGATTTGGTGATGGTGGCACAGGCCTCTGGAGCTTGTTCGACCCTTCCTCACCGTGCTGCCGGATATTGAATTGCCTGAGAGGAGAGTTTCTTTTCGCGAGAAGGCAGCGTACACGGCGGTGGCCCTGTTCGTGTTTTTGGTGTGCTCTCAGCTGCCCCTTTATGGGATCAAAACCAACTCTGGGTCAGACCCTTTCTACTGGGCCCGCGTCATCATGGCGTCAAACAGGTATGGACAGGTTGCAATTGTTGTCCTCTTGTGCTGTTTGGTTGGTTGTCGTCCTGTAGCTTCTAGAATCGCCATGATGGTGGCTGGTGAGTTGATTATATTTAAAGGTCTTGAGCAAGCGAATTGCTTGGCAAATTCATAAATGTCACCACCGTACCTGATTAATGCGACAAATTGTTTGGTTTGGGTTTCATGTACCCTGATTACTATTTGAGACAGAAGGAATTAAGACAATCAAAGACAAACTCAGGGCCCTGACGTCCAGTTTGGCCATGCAGAACCTGAACTGGTGGGTATACGCATGCAGGGGTACATGCATGGAGCTGGGTATCAGTCCAATTGTCACGTCAGGACTGGTGATGCAGCTCCTAGCAGGCTCCAAACTCATAGATGTGGACAACAGTGTGAAGGCGGATCGGGAACTGCTGTGAGTCATTCCAAGATCCACGCCTGTGCAACTGTGTATATGAATGGTTTCTGCTTGTTGATGCCCTGCATGGGTGATAGCAGCTGCTAAGCAAACAGACACAGAGCATTGACGTTCGAATGGGCTGTCTGTACAGAAATGGAGCGCAGAAGCTGCTGGGTGTCCTTATAACCATCGGTGAGGCTGTGGCCTACGTGGTGTCTGGCATGTATGGAGACGTCCGTGAGCTCGGCGCCGGCAATGCTATCCTGATCATCACCCAGGTACCGCCATCCTTTCAAATCCCACTATCCCCTGGCTTGCTACCCTCACATGTAGCACAGCAATATGTCCACCCAACCTGCTGCGACTCTGCCGGATTGCCTCCAGGCCTTCCTGGATATCTGCACCTCATGCTGCTACACAACGGACTTGCGAGGCATGCACTGTCCCAATCGTTGATAAGCATTCGTGGCTTGCAGCTGTTCTTTGCCGGCATCATCGTCATCTGCCTGGACGAAATGCTGCAGCACGGCTATGGCCTGGGCTCGGGGATCTCCCTCTTCATCGCCACCAACATCTGCGAGAGCATCATCTGGAAGGCCTTCTCGCCCTACACCGTCGCCGGCCCCCGCGGCGTCGAATTTGAAGGCGCCATGATTGCCTGCTTCCACCTACTGCTCACCCGTGGGGACAAGGTGGGCTCCCTACTTTCTGTCAGATGTGAAGCTCCTGACGTTCGAAAAAACATGCGGGTATTGAACCTTAAGATGGGCTACCAAAGTCCACACAAGCAGAGAGTGAGCTTTTCTAGCTGTTGTGCGCAGGTCCGCGCCCTGAAAGAGGCCTTCTACCGCAGCAGCCTGCCCAACGTCATGCAGCTGATGTCTACCATCGCCATCTTCATGGTCGTCATCTACTTCCAGGTAGCCCCCCCTGCGCTGCATGCATGCTCTGCTGATTCCCTCCTTCCAAAGCGCTGAGCCGGCATGTAGCTGTGACAGTCCTGTTTTCCATGTGACTTTGGAAGATGTTTATTGATTGGGGCTGCAGGGCTTCCGCGTGGACCTCCCGGTGCGGTCGAAGCAGAGGCGCGGCGCGCAGCAGAACTACCCCATCAAGCTGTTCTACACCTCCAACATGCCCATCATTCTGCAGAGCGCACTTGTGTCCAACCTCTACTTCATCTCCCAGCTCCTCTACAAGCGTTATGGCGGGAATATTCTCGTGCAGTTGCTGGGCAAGTGGCAGGTGACCATTACTCCCACCTGCATCCTTTACATTATTTGTTTCTGCCTATGGACAGGTGCTGCCCTGTGCTCACTTATTATTCACTGGATCTTTTAGTCTAGTCAGCCAAAAAGGCGAATTATTACTGAAGGTCTGAATCTGATCATGGTCAATTCCTGTATTTCAGAATATTGTTAGTCCGATATTACGGATGTGGGGAGGTGTCCTGACAGAAGTGGGTGTGGGCTCTCATGACACAGGAGGTGGACATGTCGGGGCAGATGCACCCGGTGGGCGGGCTGGTGTACTACATCAGCGCGCCCCACAGCCTGGCGCAGGTGGCGGCCAACCCGCTGCACGCGCTTGTCTACGTAGCCTTCATGCTGGGCGCCTGCGCGCTCTTCTCCAAGACCTGGATCGAGGTCTCTGGCTCCTCCGCCAACGACGTCGCCAAGCAGCTGCGCGAGCAGCAGATGTTCCTCCAGGTCAGCTTGCCTTAAAATTGTGCCCTAGTTGCACTGTGGCTGCGTTGCTTTTTGCATTGCCCAGTAGATGCCTGCCAGTGGAGGAGCGCACTGTGATTGATTTACTTGTGTTTCCCTCTCTTGCCTCCTCCTGCAGCTGGTACAAGAGTGCATGATTTTTGCCCTGTTTTGGCTAGGTTGTTTACCGTGTAATTTTGGGGTGCACAGGGGCACCGTGACACTGTGCAGTCGTTGAAGAAGGAGCTGAACCGGTACATCCCCACCGCCGCCGCCTTTGGAGGCATGTGTATAGGCGCGCTGACCATTGTGGCCGATTTCATGGGGGCCATTGGATCAGGGACAGGTGAGCCAACTGTTGCTGCTGACGGTGTTTTCCTGATTTCCGAGGATAAACAAGATGTTTGTCCATGACCAGTCTTGAGGCGCTTGGCAAGGCCTGTTTCGTACATTCTTGCATCTTCAAAGCAGCACCTGGGCCTCCATGGATTGTGCCTTACTGTTAATCTGCCGTGCAGGGATCCTCTTGGCTGTCACGATCATATATCAGTACTTCGAGGCGTACGAGAAGGAGAAGGCGCAGGGTCAGAACCTCTTTTGAGTGCATCAGGCCTTCACTGTATGACCTGGTTCCTGCTCAGGAACTGCCGACTGTCTGCGAAAAACTGGCTTGATTACAGGAGGGGTGCAGTGTGTCATCGGTGTCAGGTCTGGTGTGCTCCAGCTGTACAGATCTGACAAAACTTGACTTGTTACTAGCACTCGGCCTCTTGTGGGTTGCTGTTGTATCGCCGTTGGTGCAGGGCCTCAACTTGAGGGAGGCTAGGGTCTTAGGGCAGCTTTGCAGGAATACTTGAGCAAATGGCTGTCACCTGCTCTTACATGGGTCGCAGCATGGGCAGAGGATAGGGAGTGATGTTTCATGAGTGTGTGCGTGGCGTTCTTAAGTGAGAGTGGGAAATACAATTCTGGATTAGTTTTGTAATATGATGCATAAGCATATCACTGGAGCAGCTACTGGAATGAACCGTTTGCGTTTCAGCATTGCATGGCCATGGCGATGCCGGACCCACCTGTAGAATCTGAGATTCGGCTTCCTCTTTGTATAATTGAGATGCCTCGTTCTGTTAAGATATATCCATCCATCGGATAACTCTCCCGTACCATAACTGCTGGAGCTGGTGCCAGCAGCAACACCATGTACTACAAGACGGTCACGTGGCTTTCTTGCTCTACTCGAAGACGAGTGTCCACAACGGCAGGCGTGCATTCACACTCCGCAAGTAATTACTCTTTTGGAATCAAACAGCCGGATATCGATTTGATATCAGGCTCACCATATCTGCTCTGGGTTCATCAGAAAAGAAGCTGGCTCGAGTAGGCTTCCCTTGAAATATGAATAAGTTTGGTAACACGCTTGCATTGATTCTCCTTGTCGTGTGTGTCCTGCTCTGGTTGAGGGCCATGTACCATCAGTGGCAGTACACCGCCACAGTGGAGCACATCTGAGGGATGCAGGTAGATCACCCAGTGCACCTCACACAGAATGTTGCATGTTTTCCTCCATCAAACCTGCTGGGAGATACTTGCATTCACATGCTGTGCTTGAGATTTGTTGCCTTGGAGAAAAAAGGGGACGTATGACAGAGCGAGTGATTGTTTTGTCACAGGATGGCTCAAGAGTATTCTCGAGCAATTGCACGGGTGATCGTGGCCCAGATGGCCCAAGGGGCAGGCTTTGAGCGCCTGCAGGTGTGCAAGACCTGTCCAGTGCCATTCCACCCTCGTCTCTGCAAGTCTTCAGAGTATGCCTGGCAGCATGTGGGCATGTATAAAGCAATGCAAAGCTCATCTCTGTGCTTGCAGGCCAGTGCTCATGAGTCACTGGCAGACCTGCTGATGCGGTTTGTGGCAGAGCTGGGCACTGCATCACATTCCTATGCTGAGCTGGCTTGCCGGACATCCACAAACCTCAGCGATGTGGTGAGCTTGTAGATCTCTGCATCAGTGATTGCTCTGGTTCATTGACAAGACTGCTCACTTCTGCATTGCCACATCAATGATACCAGTGTCTGTCCCTAATGTGTGCAGCTGCTGGCCTTTGAAGACATGGGAGTGCGAATGGAGGACCTCATCCAATATGCTAATGCTGAGGTGCCCGCTTGACACCATGCATTTGCTACCCTTTTCCTGCAGCTCTACGATCTCCACCTGCAGCTGCTCGCCTTGGATAACTGTCTCCATTTTGCTTGGTACAGCATGCAAAGTGGGATCATCCTTATGCTGCGTATGACTTTCCCTTTTCCACTCTGCAGGAGGAGGTCCCCTTTGCATGCCCTGTGGCAAAGTACCCAGTCAGCAAGCGACCTGTGACTCTCCCCACCTTTGCTGACCGGAAGGAGGTACAACAGACCGGCCCCTGTGGCACCAAACTTGGTTTCACATCTTTTCACGCCTGTCAAAAGTGCCTCAGGATCAAGTGTTCTTTTGTACCTGCTGCAGGAGCCGCCAATGCACGTCCCTGAATATCTGCCAGCCTTCCCAGACAAGCACACGTGCGATTCCCACCCAATCTTGGCCCAAACTCCAGCATGCGATCAATCATTCGTCAATGTCATCAAGTTCAGACCCCATTCTTCGCAGCATCGTATGTCATCACAGTCATGTACCCTGACACAATCAGGGAATGCTTTCAACATGCATATTTGTGTGATTACTGGCGTTCATGCGATCAGGTATGTGGCGACGCCCGCGTACGCAGCGCATGAGAAGGACGCTCGGAAGCAGCGCGCGGCCGCCGACGCCGCCAAGCGCAAGGCGGAGACCGCCCTTGTCAAGCTGCACCAGCGCCAGACGGCGCTGGAGGCCGCCAATGCCGCAGCTGAGCCCTCTGCGGTGAGCCGCACCTGCAAATTGACATGACCCTCCTTGCCGCTGGACACATGCTGCTTTCCGCATCGAAAAATCACGTTTGCCACATACCCCTGTCCCGTGAGGGTACTGCTGCTGAGTTGCCCTGTTTGCAACAATGGAGGATGTGTGCCTGCGAGAACTTTGCTCAAGAATGTGTGGCACACGTGCAGGCTGCAGAGAAAGTGGGTGCGCCTGTGCTGGGCGCAGACACGAACCCATTCCTGCTGCAGCCGCTGTGGGAGGACCAGCCCCCTAGTGAGGCCAGGCCAGACAGGTGCATTCCTTACCTTTTCCTTGAATTTGCTTGAAATATGCTGGTTCCTACTTGGGCGCTCCAGGAGCTTTTCATGTCAATTTCTATGGGCTTCAAGTCGAGATTTGTGGATGGCAGGAGTCTGGCAGTGTCCATCCCTGCGGAAGCGGCAGCGCCCGAGGCGAAGGGACAGGCTGACTCGCTGACACATGCGCTTGGCCTGTCAAAGGAGGACAGCAACAGGAAAGGTGAGCTTGGACTGCTGCCCATTGTGCCCATCTCTTTGTCATCCTGGAACTGCAAACTCTGGCAGAAAACTGAGGACCCTGTAGCCGCACTTGAAGGTGCCATGGACATTGATAACAAGCCTTGTGTGAGTGGTTCTTGCAGTGGAGTGGCTGGAGGTGGAGGCGGACGCTGCTGGCGCGCAGTTTGGCGACGCAGGGCCTGTGGCGCCGTTCTCTCTGGACTGGGCAGCTGGCGTGCGCGCCAAGGCTGTGGCATCAGCCTCACACCTGTGCGCCCCTTGCCCTGCCTCGGCAGCCCTGTGGAGCCTCCCGGCTGTGTGGTTGCTTTGCCAAACACAGTGCCATCGGGCCCTTGCACATGCCCGCTGGCCTTTTAGTGCATTTGAAAACGAAGATATGACCGGACTAGTCAGATGCAGGTGGATAGCAAACGGGTGCATGTGCATGTGATGTTCACTGAGAATTGAGGCGTTAGATCAGCCCTAAATTGGTCGGAAGCGATATAATGTGACTGAATGACAGAATGGCTGGCTGCGGGGACAGGGGTTTTGAGGATGCGTACGCGGCGCAGAAGGAGGCGAGTCCCGAGCCAACGGCTGCCGGCCGCAAGCGCAAGCTGACGGCCAAGGGCAAGGGCCGCGCGCAGGACCCGAGCATGCAGCGCGCAGAGCACATCCTGGCCATGGGCGGCCAGGTCGGGGCTGGTGCAGATGACATGGACATTTGATTGGCTGCACCATGTGAGATCCTCATTGGCCCGATGAAGTCTCTGATGCCCGGGCATCGGCATGCCTGCTGGGACTTGCACCCAGTGTGCTCCAAGGAAGTCCCAGGCCCCGGCAGCTTCAAGTTGCGGAAGTTCAAAGCAGCACTGGATATCCCGGGGATGGGCGGAGCTGGCCATTTGGACCAGAACCAGTCAAAGGAATTTTGTCAAGGAGGCTGTATTGGTTTACGCACAAATAGGGGCATGTGTTTTGGTGAGTGAATTTTGGTAGGTCAGCTGGACCTTAATACCCTTGAGGGTCATCGTGGAAGGGTCCATGTACTGCTGTAAAGCGCGCGATCCGATTCCTGGGCAATTTGTGAAATTGTCCTGAGTGAATATCATTCTCTTGTCCCTTAAAAACATCTGAGATACGACGCGGCAATGTCGCAATGCTAGTATTCTGAGATTGTGGGTGATGTCGGCATCTAGATCACAAGATGTCGGAAAACGCTAGGAAACAAATTTCATGAGGACAGTGTAATGAACGAAGGTATTCACGATGGAAAACTAAGATTATCTGGCAAATTTAAATGGTGATTTATTCACGACTTAAGAGCTCGTTGACTCCTTGAAAGAGTCACTTGACCTTTCATCATCTGCAGGGCGATGTGGACGTTACTGCGTTTGCGGGCGTGTCTACTGTTGACTACCACGACAGTTATCCTAGATGTGTGCAGCGCTACATACCTGACAGTGGGAGGACGCAGTGATGGGTTCGGGGGCCAGCTGCATGGGCAGGTGTCCTGCCTCCTCATGAGCAAGATGCTCCCCAATTACACATATGCCCACAGCCCCTTGCAGAAGATCGAGCACATGGACAGTTCTGGGGAAGACTGGGAGAAGATCCGCCAGATAGAGGCCTTTGTCAACCTGGGCTACGATGAGATCCTCATCAGCGAGGTGCCCAGTGATGAGGAGGTGGACACTCGCGTGTACTGCCACGAGTACACAGAGGCAAACCTGCAGCTGTATGACCTGCTCAAGGGAGAGCTTTTGCGCAAATTCGCTGCAAACAAGCGGTTGATGAAAGCCGGGCGCAAGGTGACAGGCGGCTTCAAGGTGGAGGTTCATGTTCACATCCGCAGAGGGGATGTAGACCCTCAAAGTCGCCGGTACATGTCCATGGGTACATACCATGACATACTCACGGCCATCAGGAAGGGGTTGAAGGTCCATGAGATCAGCATGGATGTGCACGTCCACTCAGAGGGGGACCAGGCAGATTTCCACAGGATGGTGGATGACTTTGATGCCGTGCTGCACCTGGATGAAGATGTGCTGCAGACTTGGTATGCCATGGCGCAGGCACAGGTGCTTGTGCTGAGCCAGAGCTCCCTGTCCTACACAGCAGGCCTGTACAACCAAGGAGTGGTGGTCTTTTCTGAGCCCAGGTTCATGCATGGGCCGGTGCCCAGCTGGTTTGTGTACCAGGATGACCCAGGGAATCTGGAGAGGAAATTTGCCGAGCGCAGGACGCGTGATCTGCTGCGCCACAGGGTGCAGAACGCTCGGCGGATCAGCTTTGCTGGGGTGATCAGTCGATTCAAGGATGATGAGTAGTGGCCTGGTCAATGATCATTGATGGTCGTAAACTAGTAAGTGTGGAATGAAACGGCAATGACATTTGGCATGCTGAAAATGGAACAGTCTTGTCTTCCAGTGTGATTCAGGAGCTCCTTTAGAAATTGCAATGTACAGGATAGACTGAACAAAAAAGTTACAGGTGACTGCCACCAGAAATGAAATTATCAATACATTTAGATCTGGAGTGCTGGGACAGTGTATTGCAGACTCTCTGCAGAACTCTGTCCGAGGGAGTTTTACTTTTTTAAGTTTGCCTGTATGGTTGCCGCCTAATCAGAATAGCTGTGTCAAAGTCAAGGGTGCTCACGGCTGTCCCTAAAAGTTGGAATACCAATGCAAGCTGTCTACAGGCCTGGGAAGTCCACTGTCTGAGCCTTGGGAGACAATGCATAGCTGACGCACACCTCACCACCTCCAGTGCCTGCCTGTACTCGCACTGGCACCTTAAAGTAGATCTCCTCAAACAGGCACACGTCCTGATCTTGGCAGAAGTACACTTTGCAGAATATCAGGATCCCTGAAACGCTGTCTAAAGTTGAAAGATTGACCCGCACATCTGCTGACAGCTCCTCTGCAGTCTCGGTCAGTCGGCCACTGGACGGCTGGAGAATGACTCCTGTGCACAGACAAGCAATTTCTCAGAGTCGGCGCACAAGCATGTTTGCATGATAATGCAATGCTGGCAATGACTTATCAGCAAAAAAGTTCTGACCAAGCAACATGACAGATGGCCATTGCTTCAGAGCAGCTCACGGTTTCTAAGGCACACTCACGGATGCTCAAATGATTGTGTCTTCCCGAATTTCTTGTCCAATAATCAATGCACTTCGGCACAAGAGCTGAAACCATCCCAGTGTTATGACTGAGGTATCACCTTGTGCTCCAGGCCCCAGGGCCGAGGCTTCAAATCTGCTATTGGCTCCCTTTGTCAGGTGGTAGCCCCGGGGAAGCTGGATCCGAACGTGCAGATTGGCAGAGGCTGATGCGATGGCTGCATCTGAAACCACCAAGGTGGCTCCCTTGGGAATGGCAGGGTCCTCAGCAGAGCCCGGGCTGTCGGCCGGGGCGGCGTCTGGTGATACTGTGGGCGGCGGCACATCCTTCAGCTCCAGAGTGCGCAGCGCTCCAGTCTTGGGGTCAAACACCCTGTCACCAGATGAAATGATGCTTCTGTCAGCAACCTGCTCACAGTGTAGCCTGCATTGCAGTATGCCTAAAATTTGCTGGTTCTGCCCAAGCAAGAGCCATCTAATCCGAACTCTGATTGACGGGCAGCATGTCAGATTATTTGACAGCCACTGCTCAGCAAAGCAGAAGCTGCGTTCTGCGCATGCAGGCTCTTTGTGTGACAATCAAGCCAAAGGTGCAGATGCAGGCAGGGACACCAACTGAGTGTTCTTTTGCTGTCTTCGTCTCAATCTTGCCCATGCGCCCCTCATTTTAGACATGCACAACAAGATGGGGTCGCACCGGATGGCGCTGTTGTTTGTGTCGGCTATGAACACCGTGCCGCGCGGCCCGGCGCAGAGCCCCCCGGGCTCTGACACCCGCGCGTTCCCTCCAGTGCCATCTGTCAGGCCAGCAGCGCCGCTGCCTGCAACGGTGCGGATGCTGTCCGTCGCTGGGTCCAGCAGCTGCGCAACCACCAAGTCTCTTCTGAAATGTGACATTCTTATGCTTGCAGTCTTAGTGCATGCAACCTGAACACTTGAATTCTATGCACCCTCCAGATCTGGCCAGTGCATGGCAGCAATTCTGTGTGTTTAGGCAGCGGTGAGGATGGCTCTGCCAAAGCATAAAGCTTGACAACCATCACTCTCATGGCCTACTTATGTGGGTTTGAGTCCTGAGGTTGCAACACTACGGCGCAGACAAAGGGGCACCTTGAGCCGGTGGTTGTAGGAGTCTGCCACGATGACATCGCCATTGGAGAGTGCCAGCACGGCCAGCGGGTGCTGCAGCAGCGCGCCCGTGCCGGAGCCGTCCTTGTCGCCGAAGCGGAACAGGTTGTCCGCAAACAGCGGATCGCCGCCCACATGCGCCTGCGCAGCCATCTGCCCCTCACCATCTGAGCTGTCAGGGGTTTCTAAACACTACTTGAACATCATTACACTTTCAATTAGAAACTTCTGGAGATGTACTGCACAAGATGGATGTCCTCCTTGACCACAGCGATGGTATACTGCCAATGGAAGGAAGGGGAAGGCGCTTGCTTTTTGTATCTGTAGAGAGAGATGTGGGGTGGAGGCTTGTAACTGCAAGGAGAAATGTCCCTACGTTTGAGCATGCGCAGAGTGGTTTACCTTGCCGCCGCCGGATGTGAGGTCCATGCTGCGCACGGTGCTGCTCTCGCTGTCGGCCACCCACAGCTCCCGCCCGTCCGCCGACAGGCTCAGCCCAGACGGCTGTATACACACAACACTGCTTGCTTTTGCATGACTGTAACCTGTACAGCATTTCATGCTCGTTTTGTGCCTTCTTGCATGCGGCAGTGGCAGACGGCAGTGACAAAGTGAAGAGCTGCTCTAAAATTCAGGGGACTCTAAATCAACTGCTTTTAGCAAAAGTCAGGAAGTATTCATCGTGCCAAATAGCTTCATCAGCAAGGTCGGCAAAACACTGCCTTGCGCGCAAAATCAGGTTATGGTACAAGTTAATTTTTAATAGTTCTGGCATGGTGTGAGTTTCCCTCCCCAGATTCAGAGTCCTGGGGCTCTGCAGGACTCTCTGCATGCAGGGTGAGCGAGATGCAACTTTTTCAGAATCTGCGAACCTGGGCCCAGGAGGTGGCCGGCCCGGTGGCGCCGTTGGCGTTTCGCTCGTAGCCGTCGCCGCTGAACGCTGCCATGCTGCCGCTCGCCAGGTCATGCCGCCAAATCTGGTGCTGCCCAGCCATTGCTATGTACAGGGAGTCCTCCTGCACACAATCTCCTCAGTCCAATTGGAAATGTATTATGCACGCAGAGTTGTGCTCTGGGACTGATAGCAGGCCCATGGATACCCAGTCCACAGTACTGTCATGTGGTAAGGAGCAGAAAGAGCGAGTAGAGGTCTTGAGGTAGTCCTGGTGCACATAATCTGATGGATGCAAGACAGGGTTTCCAAGTTGGTGATTTGCCTGCGCATTGAAGGCCAGGTCCCATGGGGAGTTGAGCCGCTGTGCTCTGCCAGAGCGGCCGCCCGTATAGTCCTGCTCTGCCTTCGCGCCGTCCCCTGCCAGCGTCCTCAAAGTTCTCGTCTTCAGATTGACCTGAAAGCAGCGTCATGATACGATCACTCTCCTGCAAGCAGAGCAGCCCCCTCTGACTCCTTAACGCAACAAGCAGGTGTCCACCTTGTAAGAGATTACTAAGGACACCACCACCAAATTAATTACTATATTGGGGACTATCACTAGTTTGATGTCCCGCTTCACCAAGCAGTAGCACAGAGGTACAAGCGGCGAAGAGAAAGGGAATCGAGGGCAGATGTACCTCTCGCAGGGCGTTGTTTTCGGTGTCGGCCACGTAGAGGCAGTCACGCCGCGCGCTGTAAGCGAGGCCCTGCGGCCGGTAGAGGGCGGCCGCCTGGTATGCGCCGTCGCGCAGGGCCGGCCCGTTTCCGCCAATCTGGTCCAGGAAACGGCCCTCCAGGTCGCACACCACGATCCTGCAGCAGGGCAATTTTTGAGCCGTGAACCCCCCAAGAGATGCCAGATTCTGCAGCAAAGCAACTTTTGTGCGTCTGAAAGCTTTAAGAGATGATCCAGCTTGCAGCTCGGAGTTTAAATTTCAGCCTGTCGGGCAGATCCCTCAACAAACATGGAACACAAAACGCAGGTGTATCGGCAGCAAGCTGCGATTCACGCATCCACTAGCAGCTGAAATCCTCGAATGCATTCTTGTGCTCTTAGCAGACCGGGTGAGGCGTGGAGTGCAAAAGGGCTGTTGCGTGCGCTGCGTGCCTGTGGTTGTTGCTGTCGGAGATGAACAGCCGGCCGCCGGCGAGGTCGGCAGTGAGTTTGCCCGGGTAGCGCAGCGGACTTGAGGCGGTCGCACTGCCTCTGCGCTCGCGCTCGAGTGTCATGGGCACTGGGGTGTCGTCCAGCATGCCGCGCTCGCCATAGTACTCCAGAGCAGCCGCCAGCATGTCGTCCACATTCTGCTGGTTGCCCTCGCCTGAACAGGCGACTGATGCTCTCAGCAACCCATTTGCTCTGAGTTGGCAATTGAGGCAAGGACCTGCCTGCTCACTTCTGCTCTGGTCCCTCAGGCTGCAAGCTCTCTTTGCTTGCGTGCAGGCTGGACAGCACTGTGATTATCAGATGCTTGTGAGCAAGCACATAAGCACAGTACCATTCTTGCCTTGGCTTTTGAGTGCTTCACGCAGAGACTAACAACCCTTACACTGTTGTGTTCTGCATGTGACAGCGACTTCCTTTTTCAGCAAGTCAGGCACATGTGTGAAGGAAACTAAGCAAGGATAGGCTGCTGTGGCACAAGATGCCCTGACTGCAATTCTATGCAAGCATCTCCTGCTGCAAACGCTCTTCACGTGACATCCAGGCTGGACGGCCCTAATCTGTTAGAATGCTTGTGCACACACAAGAAAAACGCATGACTGTGATTTGGATATTGAAACATCCAGGGAGTAGAGGGAGAGCCCACCGGGCAGGGTGGCAATGACGCGGCCGCGTGGCGACACAACGAGCAGCGTGGGCCACGAGGCGATGCCCAGGTCACGCCACAGCACCATCCTGGCATCGTTGATGACTGGATGAGTGATGTCATAGCGCAGCACCGCATTCCTGATGGCCTCGTTGTCCTGCGCAGTGAAAAGGTCAGTCATGCTTGATGCCAAATAGTCATGCAACCAGTAGCAGAGTTCCATGCATTGCTCAGAAAGTTACAATACCTTCTCCCTTTTGCCTCCAAACCAGCCCTCCAAAGAACAGCGCTACACACTTGCAATGTGGTCATGCATGCTCAACCTGGGACAGCTTCTTGTTGCGGCAGGTGCCTTCCCTTAGGCTGAATAACTGAGCGGCAGATTGCAATTCCTGTGGACAGTTCTATGTAACAGAGCCGGTGCGCGCGTTCAGACACACACCTTTTCGTTGTCAAACTTGGCGGAGTGCACCCCGACGACGGCGACGGGGCGGCCAGCATACTTGCGCTCCAGGGCGGCCAGCTCCGGCAACACGTGCATGCAGTTGATGCAGCAGTACGTCCAGAAGTCCAGCACCACCACCTTGCCCTTCAGCTCCCTGCAGCCGGGTGGAATTTCAATCTTCATTGTTGCTGCGAGCGACATCTCGGGCATGGCTTGTGGTGGACACACTGGTGCTTGTGTTCAGGTGCCCGCAGAAAGGATCACATCGCTCTTGAGTACAAGCTCTGGCAAACGAGATGCTCATTCGCCACATTGAAAAAGCAATGTCTCCTTTCTGGGGTAGGCATCTCAAGGACTTCATTTTCAATTGAAATCCTGCCTTTATTAATCAATTTCTTACAAATCAATGGCAGACCCACCTGCTGAGCTTGAGCGGAGGGGAGTTGAACCACTGAGCGCCGGCAGGGAAGTCTGGGACTTCCTCGCCGCCGCCCCTGCGCTCCACGCTCTCGATGAAACGCCGGAACGCGGCCGCCCTCTCGCTGCGCTCCTGACTTAGGCCTGTGGTCGGGGACGGCCTTGGCAGCAGCGCGTTTAATATCGCCTTTGGACTCGCAAATGACATCGCCTGCATGCGTGGCGATGCAAACCACGTTAGCACTCCAATCTGTGCATGAAAATTTGTAGCACCCTTCAGCCATCCCATTATCTACAATATGATTCATGCATGGGATTTGATACCAGCAACGATCTGTACCTAGATCTGCTTTGTTCACGAAGAACAAAGAACAAGACATGGCTCATCTTGGCGTGAAAATGCCGTTTTACGGAGGGTGTTTCTTTACGATGGAGATTTATATTCTGCAGGACAGACCTTGCGCCAGTACTGGAATGCAGAGGCGACATAAGCCACAATGCCCAGCTGGATGATGGTGGCAACATGATACCGCTTGAGGAATCTCCTAACGCGCACATCCCTCTAGGCAAAGCACAGTCAAGATCACACGCCACCTCGTGGCAAGACAATTTCATGGTGTTCCTGAAGTTCAACATGCACTGCTTTGGCCTGGGGCATGAGGCTTACCTTTGTGCGCGTCAGGAGAACATAAAGGGACCCCAGGCCTCCTCCTAGTGCCACCACCTTCAACGCATCTCTCCTTGTGGTGGAGTAGCCACCGGGCAAAGCAATTATAGCGTCCAAAGGTCCTGGCAGTCCCTGCATAACAGACACGTCACCCCGCAAGTTCCACATCTCATAGACCTATGATGCATTTCATAGATCCGGCCATAGCAGCACAGGCTACGTGCATGCCTGTGACTCTTACGATCATCAGCACATTGACCTCCTTGGGGTTATTTAAGAGCGTTACATGTCCTTCGAGGCTTGCCATTCTCCAATCCAGATCGCTTCCAACAGTCAACCACACTTACAAAAAGTACAATTCTAAATTGTCATTGAGGCACATCTGGTGTCAAAGTTCACATGGCTACATAGAAGTTCACTGGCTCTGGCACGTTCAAGTCCTCACATTATCCGAAGGGCCAGCCTCTTTGCCGCTGTTTGCTCTTTCTTCAGCTGCTGATTCATCTCGAGCTGCCCAGTGCAGGCCTTGCAGAAGATCCACACTGATTTCTGCAATTGTAGGCCTCACTTCGTCCGGTCTCTGGGCCAGCATGTCTTGCTTTGAGAGAGTCGTCGTCACTCCCACCACCCGCATGCCTGCGAAGACCAAGCAAAGGACATCTCAACATGCAGCTGAGAAGCTGAACAGGAGTTGACCATATGATGGCACAGGCTGAACACAGAGGAACTGATCAACTCAAAGTGACATTCCCTCACCTGCAGCTCGTGCTGCCTGCACCCCAGCAGCAGCATCCTCCACAACAATACAAGCGCTGGGCTCCACTCCAACTTCCCTGGCAGCTGCCAGGAAGATGTCAGGAGCCGGTTTCAGCCGCTCAAACAGATCTGCCGACACGATTGCATCAAAGTCTGCCTCAGCGTCAAAGCCGACCAGCTTCAGATTTGCATCCACCTGCGCGGCACTCCCCCATCAGTTCTGCTGGAATTGCTGCATGGCACTAGCACATGAGATCGCTACCACAGTACTGACCATAGAGAGATCAGGCCTCACCTTGACACGGTCAGCACTGGAGGCAACTGCCACCTTGAGGCCAGCTTCACGGCAAGCCTTCACCAGCTCAATGGCACCTGCAGTGTCAGTGGCATATTGAATGGGCATGCATCACGGGCATGCATGACTTCAATGTACGTATTTTTGGCATGCACCAGGATTCTGCCTCACCAGGAAGGCCGATGTCTTCTGTAGGATCAGCAGCCTTTTCAAGGTAGATACCATAGAACACCTCTTTGAGCTTGTCTATGTCATCAATCTGGATCCCATACTTGCCAGCCACACCGCTCAAGAAATATGCCTCTCCCATGCCAGCAAAGGCTCGAAACTCATCTGGGTCGACCGTCACTCCGTACACCTTCAATAGAGTCTCGGCACCCACCCTGACCAGAGTCACAGGAGGCTTCAGGAAACAGCACAAAGCAAACAATAGAGCATCGCAAAACGTCAAAGTCAGCCTCTGAGTCTACCTTTGCGTCATCTCTTCGCTGTTGCACAAGACACCATCCATGTCGAACAGGATGGCTTGCACAAGGTTTGATGCAAGCTGCCCCTCCCCAGCACTTGTCTCGAGGGGAGCTGAAACTGCTTGCATCCTACAATTGGTAGATCTTTTCATTCCTATGCTATTCGAGGTTGCATATGTAACACTCTTCTTCCCTCTTAAAGATTGAGACTGGGATAGAGCTCTTGTGCCCCAGATCGTCGGTGATCTGACAGGCAACAAGAGGTCTTGCGGGGTCAGACGGTGTCTCGATGCCACCGACATGACAGGTGACGGCGATATCAGACCTTCCAAGCCTTCTGCTACATTCGCTAATAAGGAATAATTGCAGAAGTATTCAATGGCTTTCAGAGCACATCGGATCAGCTAAGATTACTAATATTTGGAACAGCCGAAAGCACATTTCCGAAAGCCAAGGAATGGTGTTTTCCTGTTGGAACTGGATCGGGAAATGCCATCTGAATTGCAAGATTGTTTGAAACAAGTGATATAGTCTTTATTCTGTGTCTGGTGCCTGGTGTTTGGAACAAAAAAATTGTGCAGCCACTAGACGATCGCAATGTTTTGGTTTGGACGATGAGAACTTTCACCGATCAAAAAGTACCGATGAGAATCATTCAGCTTCAAGACTAGTTGACGCGCTCTCTAGTGCTGTATCGTTCGCGGGATTCCTAGAATGGCGGTTCCACTCTTTCAGCCTTTCAGAGCGTTGGGATACATCACCGACGATATACCCTTCGCAGTCCAAAGGTTGGGCAGAGAAGCTTTTGTGACTGTAAGCGCAGGGAAGGCTTGGCAGGTACGTGCTAGTAATGGTCCCATGGCTATGTGCTGGTGCAGGCATGGTTTGAGTCTTTGATCATGCAGCTTGTTCCGCTGCTTGACTTCCTTGGTTGTCGTGCCAGGTGTACAACTGCAGTCAGCTCCGGCTTTCTCTGGTTGGACCACAGGTGCGTGCTGTTGTCCAAACCTTGATCTGGTATAGTATGTCATCAGTACTGCTCGCTGTCCAGCTGGATATTGAAGCCATGTACTGTGCCCCTAGCTGCCGCACACCATCCAGGCGCTGGCTAGCAAAGGAGAGTTGGTGTTTGCCGCTGTCAAAGGCGACATCATCGCATGCAAGCGAATGCACAGGTGGGTTGCCTTGACTATATTGCTTATGCTGGGTACTACCTGAAGCGTCTATTCCGATGGGCGGGGTGTCTGCAAGAGGATGATCTTGAAGGCAGGGAGTATCTTTCGCAGGGAAGGCGTGTACAGCGGGCATACTGGAACTATCCTGCAGCTGCTGTGCATGGGGGACCATCTGCTGAGCCTGGGCAGTGATAGCAAGTTGCTGCTGTGGAAGATTGGTGATTTTGACAAGCCCCAGGTGCAGCACAAATCCACCTTTATGTGCATGATGTGCAGGAAAAATTTGTGCCAGGCATGTATTGGCAGTGCGTGCGTCCATGCGTCCAGTGAATACAACTTGTTGCAGCACTGTCAAGATGGACATTCAACACACGCCCGTTGGGCAAATGAAGCAATATGGTAGAGGACAATAATGACATGGCATGCAGGTGTCGATGGACCTGGGAGATGGCTTCAGTCCTGCCTGCATGGCGCACCCAGACACATACCTGAACAAGGTCTTGGTTGGGGGCGCAAAGGGCCGCATGCAGCTGTGGAACTTCAGCAAGGGAGTGCGCCTTTTCGAGTTCACTGTGGCCGACAGCGACGTCAAGTGCATCGTGTCCTCGCCTGCCCTTGACGTTGTGGGCGTTGGTCTGGCTGACGGGTGCGCAAACATCATTCTCCCAACCTAATAAGCATGAATGCAATTTGGTGCGTTGCACTTAGCAGGCATGTCATGCTGAACGTCAACGGCTGAGTGCCATGGATTCCTGCTGAACCAGGCGAGCACTGCTCCACAACATCCGCTTTGATGAGCCGGTGGCATCGTTTGCGAATGCATCTGGCACTGGCACCAATGATGAGGCGTTCCTGGGTGGCGGCCCCCGCAGCAGCACGGCCGGTGGCGCATGCACAGCCATCTCCTTTCGGACAGGTTCGCCACATTCCCAGTGCAGATTTCTTAGCAGCCACAGACGCTTGCCTTCGGTGCTTGCCCGTGCCCCATTTAAATTGCCAGAACTGGGGGCTTTGGGAGGTTGAGACTAGGAGCTAGTTACATGCGTGATTTGCTGCCCATTTGCCTGTAACCAAGTGGCTCTTGACCTTATCTCTCACTAGGGGTTTGCAGTTAGGTGATTTTTGGGAAACCCCCAGCGAAGTAGGCGCCGACCAGGGGTAGCTCCCGAAGGCCACACCCTATTCAGGCACCCAGGCTCCAGTTGCTCAAGGACGCTGCGTGGGCCTTGTAGGTGATGATCACCCGTAACAAAGCCGGTCCGCTCATGCGCGCAGGTGCCGGAGTGCCGCTGATGGCGGCGGGCGGCGGCGCGGGCGCGATCACAGTGTGGGATCTGGAGAAGCGGCGGCTGCACACGATCATCCGCGATGCGCACGACGCGCCAATCACGACGCTGCACTTCTTCCCGGGCGAGCCGCGGCTGATGAGCGCCGGCGCCGACAACGCGATCAAGCAGTGGGTGTTCGACGCGATCGACGGCACCGCTCGGCTGCTGCGCTTCCGGAGCGGCCATGCCGCGCCGCCCACGTGCCTCAAGTACTATGGGGAGGCTGGCACGCGCCTGCTCTCCGCAGGTGGCCTTTCAATTTCGCTATCTGATTTGAAATATCTCATACGTAAGTTGGATTTGGGTAAGTTGTACAGTAGGGTCAATGTTACTTGAATGCTGTATGTCATGAATGTCCACCTGGCCACGGCCTTGTTTCAGTCTGTGAAGTCTTGCCTGAGAGATCATCTCCTGGGTGATTGTCTGCCCCCATTACTAGTCTGCAGTAGGTGGTTGCTGTGAATGATTTCCTGGGGTTGGTAAGAGCATGTTGTGCTGTGGCATGGTGCAGGCCAGGACAGGGCGTTCCGCATGTTCTCGGTGATCCAGGACCAGCAGAGCAGCGAGCTGAGCCAGGGGCACATCGCCAGCCGGGCCAAGCGCCTCAAGGTGGACCAGCAGGAGCTCAAGCTGCCCCGCGTCACCGCCCTCGACGCCTGCCAGGTCACCTCCCCTGCCACATGCGCGCACCAGTCTCACTCATCCACCAACAACCTCCTGATGCCCATCCTGCTTTATTCTCACCTCGTATCTGCCTGGATTCGACTGCATGGGTTTTGTTGGAGAACTGAGGACATGCAACGCACTGACGCAGCCTCTGATCCGCTCTTGTTGCATGCTGAAGCACTTTCTTGGACACAATTGAAAATAGAAAGTGAAGGGGATTGAAGGAATGTCTCTGGGTGCGTGGCAGCTGCGTGAGAGGGACTGGTGCAACGTGATATCGGCGCACGAGGGTGACACGGCGGCGTACACGTGGCGGCTGAGTCACCTCTCGCTGGGGGAGCATGTGCTGCGGCCGCGACGCAAGCGCGAGCGGGGCGCAGACGCCGCGCCGGACGCCCCGGTGACGGCCGTCGCGATCAGCTGCTGCGGCAATTTTGGCCTGGTCGGCACCGCCGCTGGTCGCGTGGACCGCTATAACATGCAGTCCGGCCTGCACCGCGGCTCCTATAACAGGCATGCTGCCAATATTATTGCTATATTATTTGTTACACACAAGATGTTTGATGGTGAGCATGAATGCAAGGGAAAAGAGCAACCAGTTCATGCCGAGAGCGGAACTTCAGCAATGCACCAGGATGTCAGGTGGCGCTAATGGATTTTGGTGAAGGACAGGGTGATGGTGGGGCAATATGCGCGCAGGGAGAAAGGCAAGAATGCGCACGAGGGAGCTGTGGTGGGCGTGGCAGCGGATGCCTGCAACAAGCTGCTGGTGACGGGGGGACTGGACGGGCGGCTGCGCATCTGGGCCTTCAAGGGGCGCCAGATGAGGGATGAGATTGCTCTGGGCAGCCCCCCCACCCACCTGTGCCACCACGCCAACAGCGCCCTGCTCTCTGTCGCCTGCGACGACCTTGTCATCCGCATGTGAGCCCCCCGCCCTCCAAACTTGCCTTGTCTACTTAGAGGCGTGTAAATGGCATGCAAAACTGCACGGTTCAGGGCAACAGGGTCGCCAATCCTTGGAAATTGAGAAAGGGTATCTGTAGGGTCCTTTCTGCGCTGCATTTGCCTGCCTGTGATATCAGGCATGCAGGATGACAGGAGATTAGGCAAGACTGCCGGCATTATGTTTTGCACAGCTCATGATCCAGTGTGTATGCTGGTCAAGCACAATCATGCGCAAGGTGCAGAGTGCCTTTTGTGTTGGGCAGGTATGATGTTGAGGCGGTGAGGAGCGTGCGCCAGTTCAAGGGCCACACAGACCGCATCACGGACCTGCACATGAGCGCAGACGCCCGCTGGCTGCTGTCCGCCTCGCTGGACGGCACCGTGCGCGCCTGGGACGTTCCCTCCTCCATGTGCCTCCAGGCAAGCAGTACTGCCCGACTTGAGCAAAGTCTGGTAGCAGTGACATCTTTGGCCGTCTATCCCTAGAGGTATACTGACCCAATGTGAGGGCAGAGGTACTCACATTGATGCGGACCCTGGGAACTCTTGGAAAGAGATGTCTTTGAATTGATACCCTTGCAGGGAAATGTAAAGCTTGGATAAGTACGCTCAGTTTCAAGGTGCCTCAGATTGATGCTGGCTTTTGCTGAAATAAGTGAAAGTTGTCTCGGTTCCGCAGGTGCTGCGGCTGGGAGCACCGGTGACAGCGCTGAGCCTGAGCCCGGCCATGGACATGCTGGCGACCGCCCACGTGAACCGCCGCGGCATCTACCTCTGGTCCAACTCAGCCATCTACGGCTCCGGCGCCGACATCCGGCCGTCCAACAAGCCCGTCGACGCGCGCCTGCCCGCCCTCTCAGCCGGTGCGCACTCTGCCTCTCCCCCATGCTTGCGCCTTTGTAAAATAGACATTTGTCTTGGGATGGGTGCTCGCACCAGTGGAGGTCACCACAACCTGCATCTGCATAGGTACCAGAGGCATGGCAGCTGTTCAATTAGTGCTTGCAGGGCAGGGGCATGCTTGTGACATCATTTTGGTTGTTGCAGGCGCAGGCCGCAGCGAGAGAGATGCAGAGCCCGAGGCGGACGATGCACGCGATGCTGGTGGGAGCTCGGACGAGGACTACGGCGAAGATGACGAGGCGCTGCCGCGGCCCCTTCCCGACGAGGAAGCGCCTGAAGGCATGCCCGCACATATTCCTGCGTTTCAGGCATCTGTGATCAATATTTGGGGGGCTTTTGCCATGTATTCCTTTGGCCAGCAAGTAGATCACCTCCAGCAAGGGCACCCTATCCGAGCATGCTTGCAAGGAGTATAATCCATTTTTGCGGCTGCTGCTGCGCAATCTATAAGGGTCATTTTTATGGCTGGCAGATGAGGAGATGGAAGAGGCGGGGCCGAGCGGGCGTGTATCTGTGGTGGATGCCAGCGGGGCGCCGGTGCCGCTGCACCCGGCGCTGGTGACGCTCGCGCTGCTGCCGCGCAGCCAGTGGCAGGGCCTCGTGCACCTGGACGCCATCAAGGTGCGCCATTTGGATGTGCCAAATCCACCCACGATCACACACAGGGGAACACTCCTCTGGGCCTCATATATTGATACAGTATTAACAGAAAAATGTGTTGCTGCTTTGACAGCCTGGGCCATCAAGCATCCATCAACCCTGCCCATATGCTAGCCATGCGGTGTTGTAATTGCGTGCTCAGGAAGGGGCGCAATGAGTGTGTAAGCACAGGTTGTGGATAATTTGCTGATGGTTGGGGCTTTCTGATGTTGCAGGAGCGCAACAGGCCGACTGAGCCGCCCACAAAGCCAGCAGCGGCGCCGTTCTTCCTGCCCACCATACCTGGCCTGGAAGGCAACCCGGTGTTTGACACAGAAGCAGACGCCGATCAGAATATAGGTGGGAGACTGACCCTATTCTCTGTATTTAGCTGCTCAATCTCACACTTCCTTTTAGAGGAGGATGATTCATTGCAGGGTCTGAATGCCACGCCACCTGTGAGGCGCACATGTTTGGTTTGCCGACTGATCATGCATGAGCAGTCTTTGAGGATTCAGTTTGTCATTTCTGGTGCGGTGTCCAGGGGTGTCGAGGGTGGCAAAGAGGGGGACAGTGGGGGAGGTGTCGGATCTGGCACGGCTGCTGCTGGAGGGCCGCCGAGCTAAGGACTACACACCACTGCTGAGCTATCTGCGCGGCTTAAGTCCTTCAAAGCTGGATGGAGAGCTGCGTGCCATGCAGGTGCGAGCACTCCCTCACTTTGAACCAGGGTGGCTGCTTATACGCCCACGGCCTGGTTGTCTTTGCCCAAGAACATCCTTTCCAGATCTGTTCAAGCCCTTGGCGCTCCTTACCTCTTGGCCTTTTCTCCTTTGCATCAGAGCCATAGCTGCCATGGGGAGCTAGCTGTTGCTGTCACCACTGAGGCACCCCTTGATAGAACAGACTGAATGAATTCGGCGGATTCAATCTGCATTGGGCGGAGGCTGGGAAAGGGTTTCTGCTGCCTCAGATAGCCAACTGCTGTGGCATAGCTAGTTCTTCATGTCATCTCCTATTTTAAAAACCAGGAGAATTATATTGACCCAGTGCTGCATGTGGGTGCAGCTGATTGTGGGTATCAGCAGCAAGGAGGAGCTGCAGGACCTGTGCAGGCTGCTGGACTTCCTCACAGTCGAGCTGGCCGCCAATCGCAATTATGAGTTCATGCAGGCGCTGCTTCGACTCACACTGCAGGTGCGCACTAATACCTCTTTCATTCAAGCAGACCCTCTGTCAGCCTTAGCCCACAAATAGCATGCCGCACAGGAAAATTTGCCGGAGATTTGGGATGACCTCACCAGTTTGATACCTATATGCCATCCTGGGTGTGCGCATGCGAGTGGCAAGGCACAATATATTGTCCATCATCGGGCAAGGATCGCCAGTGAATGTGTAACGAGGAGGTAACATTGCAGGTGCACGGAGAGGCGATTGTGCAGGAGACAAAGCTGCGCAAGCGGGCAGTGAAGTTGGAGGAGATTGTCAGAAATCAATGGGGCCGTATGGATGACCTGTTCCAGACTACTCGCAGCACGTTGTCCTTCCTTGGTAATCTGCAAACGTAGATTGAGGAGAGGACATGAAACTACAACGCATAGATCGTCTCACGTGATAGGCCGTTGAGGGCCTACACATATGTATGCCATGCATGCATGCTTTTGGCGGACATGTACGGTTGCTTTGGACAACTGCATCTCAACGGTGGCTGTAAAGATTGTGATAAATTCAGTAGCTGGGTGGTGATTTCATACCGCTAGATCAAGTGATCTGCGGTCAAGCAGCACGTGCTGGTTGCAGAATTTAGTGTTTTTGGGACCCTGTGTTACAGTAGTAACAGCCAAAACCATTGTAGTGCTGCAGCTTTTTGTGACAAGGTAGCTGCGCTGGCCCTTTCGCCCCCATAGCCGGTCTCCACCTTGTCAATCGCTGCCTCGCTGCTCACATTTGCTCCACTATCTTTTGGCAGACGTCTTGACCTACTTTACAAGTGTTGAAGGAAGGAAGGAAGATTACATCACTCCAGCCGCCTAGGGCTGATTGGATGAACTGGCAGCATCCAAATAATCAAAACAATCCATCACAAAATGTGCAACACCAACAATGTCCAACTGCCACATGAATTGCTGCATCGTCACAATGGCTGCACCAAACAGCCCAGGATATCTGTCCCGAACAGATTGCAAGGCAGGGCACTCAAACACAAGGTGGCGCTCATCCCCAATAACCTGCTGGGCACAACGCATGCACAAACGCTGGGGCCGGGGAATCCTTGCCCAGCGGCCCGAGACATTGGGCAGACTATGACAACCCATCCTGAACTTCAACAGTATACGCAAGCAACGGGCACTCAAAGGCTGCTGTAAGAGCTGGCAAGGGTGGCGCACACAAGCTGGCCTAGCAAACCATCTGTGATATGTACACAAGGTGGCATTGCTGGACGGGCAGGTCCTAGGGCAAATGTCAATGTCATCCCAAACCTGCAGTGCTTGCGCATCTAGCAGCTGCATCACAGCATCAACTTCCACAGGAACAAGGGTGTCAAACCGAATAACAAACTCATACCCAATCCGGCGCAAGCCCCGCATGAAGGCCCAAGCCCAATTCTTAACATTACGGGTTATGGCATCCCAACAATCATCAAGGGCCACTTGCCTGTGAAAATTATTTGCAGGCAAGGCAGCCAAATTGTTCCAGAACTTGATAATGCGCCGCCACCACACACAATCAAGGGTCTGCTGATTCAACTCCTTAAGCAAGATGGCACCATGTACAGAGGTGGGGACGCCAGCAATGTCTCTCAGAATTTTCAGGTGAGAGGAGGCCAAGGCAGCCCGGCCCCGCCGGCTGTCGCCACCAGGAAGGCTGCGCAGGCCCCACACCTCACAACCGTAGGAGGCAGTCGGCGGCACACATGCATCATATAGGCGCAACAACAGGCCAGCTGACATGCTGCAATGCAACTTCCCATATTGCTGCCTGAGCTGTGCCCACGCACCCCACATGTTCCTGTGAAGCTTGCCAAAGGTGAGATTAATGCCTTGGGCACCGTCAAAAAGGGCACCCAGGTACTCAAACTGCTGAACCCAATGTAAAGGCGCACCACCACAAAGCCATTGAAAAGGTCCTGGCAAACTTGAAGAGAACACCACAATCTTTGTTTTGTCAACACTGATGACCATTCCCGTTTGTTCACAAAACTCAGCAGCTGCATCAATCAAGCGTTGCAAATGAGCAGGTGTGGTGGCGAGCAAAGCAAAGTCATCGGCATAGCCTAGATCTGGTACACAACTGCCAGGACGCAACTGCGGGCCAACCCCAGGGCACCTCTGCAGCAAGTGCCTGTGCAGGCCATCTGCAAACAAGCCAAACAGCGTTGGGCTAAGGGGGCAACCCTGCTTCAATCCTGTCTCAGAGGGCAAACTAGGACCCTTCCTGCTCCCAATCTTAATGGCAACCGTAGAATTGGCATACAAAGACTGAATGGCAGAGAGCAGGCGGCCATCAATGCCCAGGCGACGCAGACTCTCCCAGAGCAACACCCGATTCACTCTGTCATAAGCACCCTTCAGATCAAGAAAGCAACAATACAAGGGCTGCTTAGCATGGTTTTGCCGGTCGATAAAATGCTGCAAGGTGAATAGCTGGTGGGCCGTAGACAGTTTTGGCCTAAAGCCAGCCTGTGTGGCTGCACGCAATCCAGCCCCCTCTGTGTACTTCAGAATACGAGAATTCAATATGCCAGCATACAAGCGCATGATGGGCTCAGTAACGGCAATGGGTCTATAATTGAGCATGTCAAGCTTGCTGCCTTTCTTGTGCACAGGGGTGATCAGGCTACCATTCACAGAGGGTGGCACTTGCCCAGCCACAAATGCAGAGTTCAGCACAGCCACCAAAGCAGGCGCCAGGACATTTTCCGGAGGAGGCATGCCTGGCGCCCGCTCATCTTTTGCATACCGAAACAGCTCAGCTGGTAAACCTTGCACTCCGGTGGCACGACCATTGTGTAAACTTTTGAGCCCAGCAAACACCTCCCCAAGAGAGATGGGTGCATTGAGAGCATCAACATGGGCAACAGGAGCACTGGGCTGGACAGGGAAAGACAAGTGGGGCAGCTCAGCAATGAGTGGCAACTGCAAGTTTGCAACCCGCTTGAGATAGCCAGCCCACAATTGCACTGGCTTGAGCTGCTCAGGTATATCAGACTGCTGAGACTTGAGCCGCTTCCAGAAGGCTCGGGGGTCACTGTGCAAATCATCAAGCAGGCGGCGCAGTTGCGCGAGCCGGTGAGCGCGCCGTTTGTGGCGGACGGTGTTGTGGTAGGCACGCTCCAGCGCGCGCACTTCGGCTGGATCGCCCCCGCACCGCGCGCGGGCGCGGACGTCCCGTTTAAGCTGGCGGCACTCCGAATCGAAGAAGGGCGCGTCGGCACGCGCCTTGCGCTGATGGCGCCCGGTGCGGGCCGGCATGCTGTTCGCGGCTGCGGCCTCCCGGATCCCCGCCTCCAGGGTCTGAAAGGCTGCATCAAGTTCCCCAGCCACAGCATGGCCTGTGCAGGCGTCAAGACTTGCACTGGCAACATTGCGCAAAGCAGCAGCATACGCATTCCTAGCACTGGGCTGCCATTTCACTCGTGACAATGGCGCCCCAATACATGGTAAGGGAACACTGGCAGCCACATTCACTTGCAACGTCATCTCAATAGGATGATGATCAGAGTCTTTTCTACCAGTATTCACAACAAGATGAGAAATCAAGGGGAGCGCATCAGCGGAAACGAGAACATGATCAGGTCTAGTTGCCTGAGTATGGGTTCTGGCCTTAAAGGTAGGCACTGCTTCAAGGTCTCCTAGCACTCTGCCAGAGCATATGAGCATGTCAGTTTCCTTGCAAAAATCTAACAGGCGCAGCCCATGAGCATTGACACCTTCATCAGTGCAGCCTCGAGTATTGCTGTCATCAGCGTCAGGCAAATTTGACACACGAGCATTGAAGTCTCCTGCCAGGATCACATTGCCTTGAGCACGAGCGGCAACAACTTCTGCACATAAGCCCGTAAATCGACTGGTCAGGTCCACAGTCTGCAATTGCCGGGAACCCGCTGGAGGCACATAGCTGGAGCCAATCAGCAGCGGTGTAGAGTCCCCCTCAAACTGCACTTTCACCCATAAGGCACTGTCAGTGTCTGACACCCAGTCTTGTGCGTGGTAATCACGGTGCTTCCGAACCGCAACAACAATGCCTTCACCCGCCTTGCCCTCTTCACTAGCAGCCGTGAAAGTCACAGAGTGGTGAGGCAAGATCGAGTCATCCCAGGTCAAGCAACGGGCCTCAGTCAGAAGTACAATATCGAACTGGTCAAGATAGGCTGCCGTGTCCCACAAGGATATTTTGCTAGCATGTAAGCCATTGACATTCCAGGACAATATACGCAGCGATAGGCGGCTGGAGACTTCCTAGCGGCGCACTGCTTCGGCGTAGGAGTCGGCGCGGCCGGGGGAGGAAGGCGCGGCCTGAGAGGGCCCGGCAGTGGCAGCACCCGGGGCGGCAGCGGCGCCCGGCGCGGCAGCCGGGGGAGGCCCAGGCACAGGCATGTGCTCACGCACGCGGTCGCCCTCCCGGACGAAGAGGCGCTCCTCGCGCCAGAAGGGCTGCTTGCCGGCTGTCTTCAGGGCGACATAGTGTGGGCGCATGCTGACGCGGATGCGCTGCTGCTGCGGGGTGAGGTCGGGATCCAGGAAAATCTGGCGCTGGCGCAGGGCTTTGCTGTGCTTGAGGGCAGCGTGCTTGGCTGCCACGCCGCTGAAGCTGATGAGCACGGGGCGCGGCTTGGTGCGCGTGGCGCTGGGGGCACCGAGGCGGCGAGCTTCGCTGACAACAGCAGGGGGGCCGCTGTTGCTGTCAAACAGCGCTGCCACGCGGGCTGAGACATTCTCTGTGTTGTCCTCTGCCAGACCATGGCAGATCAGGTTGGCACTCCTGGCTTGGCGGGCCTGAGACTCCACGACAGACTCCAGATGGTGCACTTTGTTCACCACTGCTTCATCGTTGGAGGCGGCTCTGGTCTGCGTGTCCTTGGCCAGCTCAGCGCGCAGGAGAGGCAGCAGCTCTGCCTTCAGCTCAGCCACCACCTCATCCTTCAGCTCGGTTTTCAGCTCTGCCTTGAGCTCTGCCTTCAGCTGAGGGAAGAGGGCCCCAAATTTCTCGTCCAGCTTACTGTCAAGCTTGCTTTCCAGGCCGTGGATCATAGACTCGACCTTTGCAAGAAGGAGATCGTGGAGGGGCGGCTCCATCTCCTCATCTGACTGCCCTGGGCTGCCCTACGCTGGGCGCTTCGACTGACTTCTGGTTCCCTGACTCATCGCAGCAAGATCGCAGATCAAGATCGCCCAAGGTGGGCACACTTTTTTTTTTTGAAAGGCCGCCACTGCTCACATATGGGCACCGCCGTATGCATGCTCAGGGGACGATCGGTTACTACTCCACCCAGCCACCCAAGCTCCACCGTCATCATCCCAAAAGGCTCGAGCACGACACCATCAGCTGCCTAGCTTGTAGTACGGACCACCATGGGGGGACCCGATGGAAGAAGTCTGCATCGTACGCACAACATTGTGTGTTGGCTGCTCCCTTGGCATAGTCACGCTAGCTAGTAACGAGCTGACGCATTGGGTGGAATTGTCGTGGGGTCGAGGCGATTTTGCTGGGTTCTGCACATGATGGTAAACAAGGTGAGCATGAGAGTTTCAAAGGTATATGGTTGATGTTCTGAAGTCCTGGACCAAGCCGCCGCAGGAAAGGTGCATCCTTTGCATGCACTGATGGTGTTCCAACGACAACCTCTTTTATATGAGACTATACTTGATCACAGAGTATTTCTGTACTCCATTAATTTGAGGTTGTTAGACAAGCCGATTACGGCTGTTTGCTACTCAAAACCCTTACGTGTGTGTGTGCCACAGGCTATTGTGTTGTGGCCTTCTGGAGGCTAACCTTGCCGTACAAAACAGGTCGGTACCTGCTATATCAATTTTCTACATTTAGCCCTTCAACACTGCAGACGTCATATGTCTGACTGATGTCTAGGCACACACTGGCTGTTGAAGCCAACATGCCTGCAATGCAACATGTGCTGTAAAGAAATGTCGTAGAGCAGCCTGCATCTTCTTACTAGGCAGCAACAGGAGGCTACTTTGGCCTCATGCATTGAGAAGCTCCATGTGTTGCTCCTGCCAGTCCACAGTGCCTGAAGATATGGATGGTAGCGCTTCCTTTGAGGCTCTGCCTTCGGATTTGATTCAGCGCATCGCTGCCTTCATCCCAAATAACGGCGACAAAGACAACAGAAGGTGCTTTCCCAAGCTTGATGTTAAAGCTTGTGTAGAGTCAGCTCCTCTCGAAGTACGAACGTTCAACTGTAGACTTGGTTTTTTCTTTGTGGTGATGGGTGCAAGTATGCTTGCGAGAGATTAAGTGACTGTTGCAGCAATCTGACATCCCATACATTCATGCAGGGCCAGACACAGCCTACACTTGGTGTGCAAGCGCTTCAATGAAGCCCTTAGAGAGCCATGCGAAATGTGGGCATACCTGCAGCTGCATGCCAAACACCTCTCCAAGGTGACAGCCGGATGTTACATGATTGTGTGTAAATATGCGCAGACTCAGTGTTCATTCAACTGATGGCTTGGTTCTTGAATGTGTTAAATGGTGGCTGATGGGAGATCTTCTGGGGGTGCACAGTGCCAGCCCTGGTTTGTGAACTGGTTGAGACCCAGGGCGGCGGCCATCCAGACATTAGACGCCACATTCTCATCCGATGACTCTCACAGGCTGGAGCTTCTGCTATCTCTGTTGGGCAGGTAAGCACCGTCCTCTGTCTGCGCAGAAAAGATGACAAGTGAAGGGTAGTAAAGTTTAGCTCCGGGATAATGCTTGCAGATGTCCCGGGGATGAATAGTCTGCCCGATAACAACGGCCCTCTTCACTTTACCTCGATGCTAGTCTCTACGGCGCTCAAGGTCATTATAGGAGGGCACACCACCTTTTCCTTTTCCCCTTAAAAACATGCGCAGCCTTGCAGCGCGCCCTACAAGGCGATCAATTTCCATGGGGAACTTCTTCACACGTTGTTGATACTGTGTCACAGCTTGCACAGCTAGCATCTGTCATCTGAAGATTGATCTAGAGATCAATCTCTAGAAAAGTTGCTGCAGTGTAAGGACATCCGACGTCCCAGGCAGCTGGTGGGGCATGTTATATGCGGTTGTTGAGGGGGTATGGTGTGCCGGCCCTTCCTGCACAGGACACTGCAGGATCTGCGGCTGCGGTCGGACACGACGGATGTGGTGTTTGGCTCCAGCCACATCAGCCAGCCGGTGCTGTCCCACCTGGCGTGCTGCCCGCGCCTCAAGCGCCTCACCGTGTCCTCCGCGGAGCTCATGTCTGTGGACCTCGGCGCCTTGCGCTTTCTGGACCAGCTACAGGTGTGCTTCCTGCCCCTTCTGCTTTTTAGTCCACTGTGAGACACCCTGTATTTCACCTTGGTCATTCCATGTCTGGCCTGCCTGATCTCATTCGCTGTCCTTGCCAGCCTATTTTATGTCTACAGCGGCAACCAAGCGAAGGAAGCCGGTGGCAAGTGCAGCATTTGCTTGCAGGTAGGCAAGAGCATGCATTCGGTGGTCGGCATGCCGCGTGATCTGGCTGCTGTGGGCTTGGTCTGACATTTGCACATGTTCAAATATTTTGATAGATACCGCATCATGCGAGCTGTTCCTCTGTCTGGCTGTACCGAGTGGACGCTTCTGCAGCGGACGGATATTCACAGGCATGACACGCGCAGGAAGTGAGCCTGACGTCCAAGTACGACAACACACACCACTGCCTGCCGGAGCCGCTGCTGTGCCTGGGGCAGCTGCGCGTGCTGCACATCCGCTTTCCCTCCCTCACATCCGTCCAGGACGCAATCTCCAAGCTCACTGTCCTCGAACGCCTGCGCATCGAAGGCCTCCAGGGCGGCCTCTCCATCGAGCCCGGTGCGCTGCCACCTCCTGCTTCTCCTCTCACGCGCTCTGGAGCCCCATGCTCTGCCTGAAGATTGTCCACCCCACTCAAATAGAAGCTTTGGGCCAGATGTTTTGGCAGCAAGCCGTGTTGGCACTTAGCTTTTTGGGCCTGACACTCTGCAGCCAGGCGTCGCTTTGGAATGCAGACGGCAATCGGTCGATCCTGGAAGGCTGTGCTGAGCTGCAGGAGGAACTTGCTGCTCAATCACCAGAGGAGCATTTTATTGTGCTGCATGGATGCAAACAATGTTCATAGCGTTAACAACACTGTGGCTGATGGTTGTTGGGGGCCTTTTTCTGGCAGGCCTGGGGCAGCTGGGCAGCCTGCGCAGCCTGGCGTTCAAGGATTGCAGCTGGCTGGGGGACCTCAGCCCCAACGCGCCCTCCTGGTGCCCCAGCCTCTCCGGCCTCACCGCCCTCACCGAGCTCGTCTTCAACCACTGCCCCCAGCTCAACACCCTGCCCGATGCGGTGAGGCCCCCCGCCACCTTCACCCTTGCCACCACCCCTTGATTAGATTCCTTGTCAGGACCACCCATGTAAGTTCTAGAATGGCGCGCATGTGCATGCATGAGCTATTCAGGACCAGAGACTGAATGCCAACAGTGGCGCGCATGCATGCATGATAGCTCGTGGTAGCCAATGCGATGTTCAAGGACACAGGTGCTGGGGTGCAGGTGTGCGAGTTGAGTGCGCTGAGGCGGCTTGTGGTGAGTACCGAGGCCGGCGCGTGGGGTGGAGAGCACGCACGACGACGCAGCACTGATCTTCAGGTCAGTATCTCCATCTCCCTGGCCGTACATAAAGTGGGAATGTTGTCTTATTGCACAGTATGCCACGAGATAAGTGCGACCTGCCTTTCCTTCCATCACACTGAAGATCACTAAAGCGAATGTTGAGCGCAGTGTTCTGACTTAGCAATGAGGTTCTGCTGTGGTTGCGGCAGGTGCCAGACAATTTGGGGCGGCTGACGAATCTGCGCACGCTGATCGTGGGCCTGAAGACGGTGAAGGCCATTCCGGAGCCCATCCTGCAGCTGACGGCCCTGGAGAGCCTGGCCATCACCTTCTGCAAGCTGCAGCGCCTGCCCTGCGGCGTCGCGGCGATGACTAATCTGCGCACGCTCAGCCTGCAGGGCAACCCCGGCCTGGCGGTGAGTAACATCGTACTCATCTCACTCCGTAGCTGTGCCCTTCTTGTTGTGCTGTTCCTTTGCTCTTCCACCGTCAAGCAAGGCTTGCAGGTATTTGTGAGCACGGTGGATCTCTTGAGAGGTCGTTCTTGCCTGTGGATATAGCAGTTGTATGGTAGTGTCTGCGGCTGCTGTTGCATGCGATTTGGAGAAGTTGCACCAGTGCGCGAGCTAGGACAGAAGCCGCCTCATCAGGCAAACTGCTGAGGAAGTAACATTGTGAGCGTGTCACCGCAGATCCAAGAGAGCGAGGAGTGGGCAAAGATGGGCAGCCTGGAAACGCTGACGCTGTCAGACATCGCGAACCTATCGCCCAACTCTTCTTTTCTGGCGATTGCGCAGCTGCCCGCACTGAAGAAAGTCAGCCTGAAGGGTAGCATGCCGGCTGACTCAAAGTCGTTCAAGACGCTGCTGCGGTTGTCCAATGAGTTGGGAGCGCGCGGCATCCCTGTCGAGTCCTAGTCGTCCTTCATTCAGATGTGCTGAAGTTTTGCGGTGTGTGGGTCGGAACGCTATTGCCACCTTGTACAACATGTGTACATCATGATCTTGTTCTGGGTATTTTTAAATCTTCTCTTTTTCCTGAAAAGGTGATTAGCTAGGGAGTGTCTTGCCTGCCAATATTGGCAGGAAGTTGATTTGATACCAATGGTATCCCAGGTGCAGCAGGGCAAGATGATTCTCCCACCACACGCGACATTGAAGTGTGCGTGGGCTGGTCAGGATAATTGCAAGGTCATTTGATGGCCAATGTTGCAACACATGTGGTCAGTGCAACGAATGAGACTTCTTACATACGTTCATCTCCTTGGAAGACACCGTTCTGATTGCACCTTGTGGTCAGTCAGGCATCTTTTGGGCAAGAGTCATCAGTGGGACCGTCCCACTGGGAGGTGACCTGCAGTATACTACGTAGCTTCCCTTGGATTGTATTTTCTTATGTAATCAAATTCGTGGGTGACACATCCAGACGAGCACCTCGACAGCCCTAAGCGATTGTGGCACGCCAGGCTGGATTACAAGAGCTCGATCCAACTGGACTTCAGGTAAAATGAAGATGAGCGAGGCCAACTTGGCAAGTGCCGCGGACAGCATGCATGCCTGGCCATATGGCCAACAATGAATGCCTAGAAAGGCTCTCATGAAGCTTCAGCCATCTTCCTAATACAAAGGATGCATTACATATGGATAATAGGAATTGATGAAGCTGCCCGATGTGTTATGCTTCCAGAACCTTCTCACAGTAGCTCTAAGATCTGCCCTCTCATTGACATACCACCACATGCCATACCGACACTCATCTCGTAAGACTCCAATTACTCGGCTGCTTGACCATAACGGTCGTCCATGTCTGAAGTGGTGCGATGGCAAAAGAAGAGTGTTGCCGTGCAGTCCATTTTGCTAGGTATCATAGCACTCCAGCTATGTATGTGTCAGGCAGGAAAGGTTCTCGTGCTCACGACACCTCTGGGAGTGTCACACATCATGAACCTGAGGGAAATTGCAGAAGAGCTTGCTCAGCAGAGGGCCCATCACATTACTGTAAGCTCCTCTTCCTCTGACTTCCCTCTCAGTGACTTACATCATCATCAAATGGCACCAGCAAGCTCGAATATCGACCCTGGCATGTTGTTGACTCCTTTGTGCTCTGCAGTATGTCACCACGAACCTTGACATGAGTCCCCTGCAGCCTACCAACAATACTATATTGTCCTACAACATCCATGGCATGGCTGACACAGAGACACTGTCAGACTGGGTACTGTCCTCCAAGAACACCTCTGCGGGCGTGGCGAGCAGCTTCATGGTAATTATAAATCAGGCTTGCCTGGGCCTGATGAGCAATGAAACTGCTCTCACCCAGCTGAAGGTGCAACACTCTCATCTGCAGATTCTTGGTCAATCACTTTGCATGGAGTTTCGCTGTGATGCACGAAGTGCTTCGGCAGTCAAGCTGATTGAGCAGAAATGTGGTGTCTGCAGGACTTTAGGGCTGATGTCATGCTGGCAGAGATCCAAAATCCATGCACTGCTCTGCTGGCGCATGTTCTGGACTTGCCATGGGTCAACCATTGGCCGCTGGCCCCAATTGAGCATGATTTTGACCAGAGGCCGAGCAGAAGCACCATACATCTTCTGGTGAGCCTCACGCCTCAGAATTCAACATCCAGGGGTGCCTGAACAACACTCTTTGAGTGGCATGATAATGATGAACGCCTGCTTACATCGCGCCCTGCCAATACTGTCTGCGCAAGAGCAGGTCAATACATTAAATGCCACATTAGCGCATCAATTCTGGCACTCAGTGCTCTGTGCTATACCACAGTGCTTCTGGGGGAGGCTGAAAAGCTTTCTGGCGCACCAGCTTAATGGCTTGAAGGTGTGGCGGATGCACAGCAGCACAGGTGAATGGACCTGCACAGCGCTGCTCTGCATTTCACCGTGCATGCAGTCCCTACGGTGAGCTTCTCCACCTAAGCACATCGTCAGGCTTGTGTGCAGAGTCTCCAGAAGTCTCTTTATCACCAAGCCTGAAGTGCAGAAGACTTCATCACAGTGGCGATGGCTTGCGGCATATCCCTGAAGCATGCTGCACAAGACCTGCTTTCATTGAAGTCGCATTTGGTGCTGTGCAGCAAGAAGTACGACTTCAATCCATATGCGGCCGAGGAGCGCAGGAGGATGGTCCTGTCAATGTCACCAGTTGACTGGGCAGCAGAGTGGTTGCGGCCAATGTCACCCAGCTACAAGTATGTGGGTCCAGTGCTTGCTGGGCCGGGCAAAGCACTTCCAGCGGATTTTGAGGTCCGCCCCTGCCTGTGTATATGCAATCTGCGTTGATTCGTATGGGCCAAAATGTCGTGTGCGTTAAAGGCATGGTATAAGTGAACCAAACTCTTTCTGCTAGGAAGTGGCTGAGGCAAAAGCCAAGGCAAGGTGTCAATGCAAATAAACAATGTGAATCAATGCGTCTGACTGGGGAAGCGCAGTGATGAAAGGCTTGCGCCCGCAGGCTTTTATGACAGGTGCTGGCGATCAGGGAGTCCTGCTGGCGTCCATGGGCACGATGGCTGAGCTAGGTGCGCTATTCTGACGAGCCTGTCATCGCACCACTGAAGTCAAGAAGAGGGCCATTTGTTGCGACAGCACCCTTCCAGAACCTTGCCGACTGCCGCTTCACCTGCATCACTGGCAAGGCTCCAGTGGCGCTTCAGCTTTTGACATGAATCTGCGGCCCACTCAGTTCCTAAACGCCGCAAGATGTGCAGACCAGGAGGAGCTGGCGAGCATGGCTGCAGCATTTGCGACGCTGCCGTGCAAGGTGCTGTGGAGGCTGACGCCCAAGGAGGCGCCTGATGCTGCAGCAGTGGCTGCACTTAACCTGGGCAACAACACTTGGGTCAGTCTGGAGCGCGCCATCACCCTGTGACATCAGCAATGCCAGTGCATGGTCAGCATTGGTCTTAGGCATCCTGCAGCATGGCTGGCAAGCCGTCCTGAGGCATGTGTGGTTACGCAGGTGGTGATGCGGGTGCCCCAGAATGATGTGCTGGCGCACCCCAACCTGAGGGCGTTCCTGTCGCATGTCGGCATCAACAGCATGTACGAGGTGTGTGCAGATCTTTATGATGGCGCAAACATGTGTCTCTCGGTTTGCCTGCTCACGCCATGCAGGGCCCTTGCTATCCAACCAGCTTGGTGTAAAGTTGTAGAAGCCGCGGCGGTTCTGCAATTTTCATGCTCTCACATGCCATGTCTGCTGCAGGCGATCTATCACGGAAAGCCAGTCGTGGGCATGCCCTTGTTTGGCGACCAGCCCAGCAACGCTGACAGGGTCGTGGCAAAGGTATGCGCGCCTGCATTTGCCAGCCTTTAGGCTTGCGATGACAAGAGTGCGTGCTCCAAAAGTGCAATTGCTTGGGCTGCCTTTGAGTGAGCCCAGTGCCATCACTCTGCAAATCGCCCCTATACGCTGTCCACTGCTCATGTCAACAATGCTACTGCTGGCAGAACTGCACTTGAGCAAGACACTCAGAGCGCTTTTTATGCAGGGCTTTGGGGTGCGCCTGAGTCCTGATCAGGCCGGCACGCCCGCATTCAAGGAGGCGTTGATGGAAGTGCTGACAAACCCCAAATACACAGCGGCCGCCCGGGCCATGTCTGTCAAGATTAGAGCACGCAAGAACACTCCTGTGCAGGAGGCTGCAGGTGTGCATTCTTAGCTGCTATCGCAACATAGCAGCATTGCCCTGGCAGCCTCAAAAGTGCAACACCTGTTTCATTACATGAATCCTATCTATGCCTTGTGTGAATCAGATCTTGCACTGGGAACGCTCGGGCAAGGCGGCTTGAATTTCAGAGCTCTGTCACAGGTCTTTGCACCTATCTTGTGTAAGCCTTCTTCTGTCGAAGTCTTGACCTGTGCCTTGACTGATTGTGTGGCGCGCAGACTGGGTTGAGCATGTGATTGCAACCAAGGGGGAGCCCTACCTCAAGATCCCGGAGGACGAGATGTCCTTTATCGCGCGCAATTTCTTGGACGTCTATGCGATTATTGCAGCATGCTGCCTGTGTCCTGTGATGGCTGCATGGGCAGTTTTGGCCCTGCTCTAAAAGCGCTGCAAGCCCTTTCTGCTGCAGCTCAAGAGCGCAGTTCGTGGCTGCTTGCCAATTAATGAGAGAGCACACCAGGAGTGAAGCGGAGGAATATGTAGATTAGAAGGTCGGCATGCCGCAAAGGCGCCAGAGATTGCTCCTGTTCTGTTGCTGCTCGCACTTGAACGACAAAGAGTGTCTGAGTTGCTGGAATGAGAGTTTTAAAGCGCCTGCAGCAGCCTGCGCTGGGATTGAGATCATCTGCGCAAATGACGTGCAACTTGCAGTGACTTCCAAGAACTGTGCCGCAAGCTTGCCAATAGTTGACATGTACGTTTACGCTCTGTAGCTAGTAGCTGAGCTGACATAGTGGACGTGGCTGTGATAGAGGGAAATGGGGATCATAAAGCCTTGAGGGAAGGCATGGAATTTATGTATACCTGTCGTTGCTTCAAACAAGGCGTGGGTCCGCTGAAAACCCTGTGTCAACTCGCACAGCTGCTGACGCGAGTTTGAGCCGCACATGGGCTGCTGGATGGGTTGGCCGGAGAGCAATGACTCCAAGTACCTCTGGCGTGAGGGCGGTGAGCTTGCGCACCAGGCATACGCGAACGTGGCCAAGGCCATCTCGCAGTTTGAGCAGCTGTTCATGATCGCCAACCCGGGCAAGCCGGCTGCCAATGCGCGCCGCGTCTTAAGCGACAGCCCCAACGTGACTGTCGAGGAGATACCCATCAACGACGGCTGGACCCGCGACTGGGGCCCCTCCGTGAGTCCCCTTCACCCTCTGACCGCTTCACTTGGCTGGTACCTAGTGATATCAGGCGTCATGCAAAGTAAATGTCAGCGCATTGAATGGCCTCTTCTACCTGTCTGGCCTCAGCACAGCCTCTTTTACCTTTTCTAGACACTAGCAAGGAGCGCACATGGGGTGCCTGCCATTTCTGATTTGTTGATTATGAAGCATCTGTCAGTCAGTGCCCTGCTGACCCACGGCATGGATTGTGTTTGGATCTAAACCTCTCATTGTGATTGCTGTGCAGTGCTTTGCGCGTGACGTGGACGGCCACCGCGGGGTTGCGGGAGTGCACTGGGACTACGACTGCCACGGCGCCCCCAACAAGATCGCGCAGGGCCGCCCTGCTATGATGCCCAACTGGGACAAGAACGTTGCGGCCGGCCGCGCTCTGCTGACCACCAACGGGCTGCCGGTGTTCAAGGCACCTTTGCACCTGGAGGGCGGGTCGATTCACAGCGATGGGACGGGCACAATGGTGGTCACCGAGGAGTGCCTGCTCGACCCCAGCCGCAACCCCCACCTGGACAAGGCCGGCATTGAGAACGTGAGCTGCCCTTCTTGCCTCCTCTTCTGTATTTCACATGCTGCACTGCTGTAGATGCGAGCCCATGCTGCATTTGAGTACTCAAGCAGAGGCCCGTCCAAATTGTGTTGTTTGCAAAGGCTTTGGATCTGTACATGACATGAGTCATGCATTACTGCAGACCAGAGTGACAGTGCGTGCCAAATGAAACAAAAATGGTTGCACATGGCTGGAGTGACCGGAAGTGTCGGGCTAGGCAGATGTGGGGCTTTGTGACCAATTGGCAAGGGTGTTGTGCGCAGATCCTGAAGGAGTACCTGGGCCTGGAGAAGATCATCTGGCTGTGGCGCGGCATGGAGGGCGACACCGAGGTCGTCAACGGCCACGTGGACAACTTGTGCTGCTTCATCCGCCAGGGCCACGACGCCCTGGCCTGGAGCGACAACGTGGACGACCCTCGGGTGTGCGCCATGCTCAAGTCATGAGCAACTCCACGAAATGTGCTTTCATGCCCTCAAGTCAGGCAGGTTACGATTGTCCCATGTCGCATGTCTAGATCTGCCATTGGCCGTGCCCGCCAGGTGCAGTCTGTCAGTACCAGCATCCTTCTCTGTCATTCGCAGGGAGACATACAAGTTACTTGCTGGGCCTAGTACTGCCCCACGCAAATCCAGATTTGGCTTGGAAGTTGAATCATTACCCTGGGTGCTCTGGCATGCCAGCAATTCCATGAGGAAGCTTTATGGATCCAATAAAAGATGATTGCTCTGACATCTGCTGCAGGCCCTTTGCGATCTTGTAAATTATGTTTGCACTCCTGAGTTAAAGCAGATGGGGCCATCCTGTTGTCCAACTCGCTATGACTGACGATCATGGCCCATGACTCCGCAAGTGCACACACGCTATTGTAAGGAACTGCTAAAACAATTTGAAAACATATCGCAAGAGGACATATACAATTATGAAGAACACCATCTGCTTCCATTTTGGTCCAGCACCCCTGCAAACAGAAGGGGGAGCATGTCAGACAAAATCCCTGTAATTCAGGAAACCGCAAAGTTTTGAAACTGCTCGAACTACCTTACACAGCTAGACAGCAGGAGCTATTCTGACCCAAAACCTTGATTTCATCACCCTAGAGGAGTCTGATCAGTATCTGCAGTGACCACGGACGCTGCACCACATGTGTACAAATTACCTAATCGCGGTTGGATTGCACTGCATGGCAATCATGGCTGCAGGGTGCTCATGAAGGAGTGCTCACCCAGCAGGATCAGCTTGGCCGGCCCAAGGAAATTGCAAGCAGCCTGGAGAGTCCCGCATGACAGCACCCCGTGCATTGGCATTGATGACCTCTCCGTTTGCATCGATGATGACCAAGGCAGGAATGCCACTGATGCCAAATCGCTGTGCCGCTGCAGCAGCCTCTGCGCGGCTGTCAAAAGGCAGCGCCAGCCAGGGCATTGTTGCAAAGTACTCCTGGACAAGACATCAAATCCACGCACTCATCGGTGCTGCCGTTGAACATTTGTGGTGCTCGTGATGTACCGTATAAAGCTCTACTTGCAAAGCTAGACTGCTCTGCTGGATATTTAAGTTGGCAGGTGAAACATATAGAGCTCTGCAAGATGAAGATGCTTGCCTCAAACTGTTTGGGATTCTGATCTGACGAAATGAAGACAACCTCAAATCGCTTTCCAGTCCCTCTCACAGCAGCATACACCTCTTTCAATTTGGGTGTGAACTGGCGGCATGGTGGACACCTGCAATTGCAAAAGATCATTGTTCGCAAGTTCCCAGTATGTTTCAACATTAAGTGACGCTTGATCTGTGTGCAATTAGAACGATCGGCGTAATACACACCAATGCGCCGAGAAGTAAAGACCGACCACTGTGTCCTCCAAGCTTGTCAGTGGCACTGAGCTTTCGTGGCTCACGAGGAGGGGTCCAAGAAGCGACCTAAGATCAGTCTTAACACCTTCGTTCGTCATCTGCATAAGGGCTGATGCTTAGCGAATTGGGCGTATTTTGATCAGTCAATATGACACATCCGGCTGAAATGGCAGCATTAAACTCTTTTCCAAGTCCCTCACGATTCCCGAGGGCCTTCCTTGCTGCACTGTTTGACCCACGTGTGCAGATTTCGCACGTGCTTTACAGTCACGTGTTCAACAGTTGCCTGTATAGATCCAGATCACTGGCAGTGACCAACGGTACGAACTCATTCTCTCGACCTGACTTCCTCGGCCCAATACTGGGAAAAGTGCGATTTGCGGCGATGTAGAGTTTGTGAGCCTCCAGCATCCAGCAGGTGAACCGGGTTGGCTGCTCACGGTGACCACTTTCGAAGAATCTCGGGGCTTGCGGACGGCCATAATATTTTGATCGCGAGTGTAAAGAGCGTTGTTTAACCAGAGTGCGAATAGAATCGTCCTTAGCGGTGGCATCGGACGTGGTTTGCGGGGTTGGAAGAGCAAGAGAAAGCTATCAATTGTGCCGAACACACTCCAGGGTAAAACTTTACCTGCGTGGCTTCCATTTAGCTCTCAGCTCCTGAGGACCCATTGGAGTTTGTTATTCGTGTCTCACATATTTGAACAGAAGTTCTTTGTCTACTAATGAGTCTGACGATGCACTCTCCGGAAGGGCTGAGAGTTTGCATAGCAATGCCATCGGAGACTGATTGATGCTGGGGTTCCCAGCATTTTCTTGCCAGTTGCCTGGCATGAGGTCCCCTGATTTTATGCATTGAAACGTAGGTATTATCCACAACAATGGATCGGATGATGATCGTGCTTCTAAGTTGCATCCTGTTGGTCACGGGGAGCGAAGCAAGGAATGGTTTTGTGAGAGAACTCTTGCAGGTACGGTAACGGCTTTCCTCAGTCCTTCAGAAATTCAAATGGCACGTTGTTTGATTGTCCACAAAGACCGTGTTCTATAGAATTTTATGTACCTCTTACCTGTTCTTGCTACCCACTACAAGTGCGTAGCCGCCGCCTGGGCTTACTTCTTCAGGATTAGAGCTCAGTTCCATGGCAAACAATACTTTAGGGTAAGGTAGAGGTAAAGGGGTGCCTGCTCTGCAGACGGCGTATGGGGATAACGCAAGCAACAGCACCATTTCCGCAAGCAGCAGCACCACAAACTACTTTGCTCCACACTGGGGAGCCAGCTTCCAAGCCACGAATTACCCTCTCAACAATGGCGAATGGGCGCCAAGCAGCGCTCCTGCCAACAGCAGCGCCATCTTCTACATGGACACATCCAACGAGTGCGCAGCCCCTCTCTGCCCATTGTTATCTTCCTTTTCACGACATTTGTCTCCTGCTTCATGTCTTTATCGTTGTGTGAAGCGAACCTTGTCAGCGTTGGCTGAAGATGTGCTGCCTACAGAAAAGTCATTGATAGATGTGCTGATGGGGAAGTTGTGTGCTCTGCAGACTCAAGTACACAGTGAGGCTGCAGGCGCCCTTGCAGCCAGGGGATGCAGTAACGAGCGTGGTCCTGGCGGGCTCATACTCAAATGACACTGGGGACCGCCCAGTCCTTGCATACCTGTTCGGGCCCGATGCAAGCCTGGTAAGCACCCCTGCTTCTGTCACCCTACACTGTCAGCCTTGCTCAGACTTCGCACTTGAGCCCTGAAAAGGCCAGATAGGGCCCTGCTCATAAGATGGATGGGTCCTTTGCATCTGACATGATTGGATTCTGTGTTTGCAGCAAGCACCAGCGGCAGTGGCTGACGGCTCATCGCCGTGGGAGCTTGCCAGTGGCCTCTTGTACCCGGAGGACATCCTGGACGAGTCGCCATACCTTTTCATAGAAATCCCTGGGCGCTTGACCGGCAGCTACAGCGGCTACAATGTTGACCCCCTCTTTGTCATTGTAAGTCCCTTTGAAGCCATTTGTCATGGATCACTTTGCTGCTGCATAATACTCTGCAGGTCGGACAAACTTTGCAACTCAATCAGAAAAAAGTGTATGTCTGCGACTGACTCCAATTCAAATCTGCTGCAGGTGAACACACTCCAAACAAAGGAGGCATTCATTGCCGGGGTTGAGAACGGCCTGAAGCCTCTGAATGTAGCAGCTCTGAAGTTTGTGGACCAGGTCTGATCCTTCTTCAAAGCAGCTGCTTTGGGTAGCATCTTTGTCGTTTGCTGTGCATTTCTCACCTTACTGCGCCCAATCATGGGGAGATTCTTCTGCGACGCTCCAGACATGCTTATCGCTCCACTTGAGATGTGCAGCCCTCGAGAAGTGCGTCCTGACCCGAGGGACACTTGCTGGGCGCAGGACACGAGCATATTCAGGGACGCCAATGCTAACGTCACCTCGTCAAGCGGTGTCACCGCATCTGGCGGGAACGTGGTCACGAGCAGGGACCACGCGGATGCAGCTTCGCCGGCGGCCGCTCCTGCCGCCGCAGCCGGCCCGGCCGGCGCGGCGTCAGCCGTGGTGGGCTATGGGACCTCGACCTTCCACGTGGACCTGACGGCCTCGCCAGGCGTCTCCACCAACGCGACCGGGGTTGTGTACATCAACGTCAACCCTCAAGAGAACAGGTGCGCGCACATGCTCCCATGGGGATCAACTTGATGGTCAATCTGACCGGATCACACCGTGTTGTTTGCAGCGTCAGAGTGCCTTTTGCTGCCCTGCAGTCCCCTTTTCATTTGCAAAATTTTCACTAGTGTGATCTCCCCTTCGCACCTGCCTGCCCTGGCTGGGTGTTTCCGTTGCCATGGATCACACGTGTCTCCCTCCCTGCGATGTTATGTCGGGCTGACCTTCTCCTTTTGTCCTGTGCAGCTTACACTACAGGATCTTCCTGAGGGACCTCACGCCGTACGCGCTGGTGCGCAACATCAGCTGGATAGCCACTGACCAGGGCGGCCCCCGCGTGATCATGACCAAGAAGTTTGGCCTGCGCAACGGCCCCAACCCCAGCGGCGGCCTGGGAGTGCCCCCCGACGGCAAAATCTTTGCCCTCACCACGTGCGCTCTCTAGCAGCAAACCTAGATCCTTCCTCGCAGCGGAGCCACATTGCTTCATTTTGCAGCTCCACTCTGGTTTGCCAGAAATTTGACCACCTCAGGCCCACCAGCACCAAGCATGTGGCTCCTCTTGGACATATTAAACGCTGGTGTGCACTTTGCTCTTAACAATTGCCTTTGGACGCAGGCTGCGTGCTTGAGCCTCAAAGGAGGGAAAATTACATCTCCATGCCGCTGTAACTTGTGCCCCTTTGCACAGAGGAAACGAAGGGTCTGCATTGAAGCAATGCAACTCATGCTATCCTTGCAGTGATCTCATGGGGACAATTTGTGCTGCAGGGGCAATATCCCTGATGAGAATCTGCTGGGTGGCCTGGGCACAGACGACCTGGAGATGTACCGATACAAGAACATTGCACGCGCCCTGCGCTACAACGCACTCGTCGTGCGCCTCAACAGCGTGGTGCACCCTGAGGGCCTCCTGGAAGGCACCTCGCGCATCGGCCCTGCCTCCTCGGACTGGCCAGCCCCCAGCCTGTGATCAGAGTGTATCTGTCCACAAACACCGCCCTTCCACCGACTGGCATGTCCTCCACAGCGTCCTGCAGCACTTTTTGCTTTCACAAGCGGTACAGGGTGTGAGGGGCGTTTCCTTGTCACGTCCTTCCTCGTGATCGTAAAGGACATCACTCTAGGTGAGTCTGACCTATGCCTGGCGGCATGTGCAGCTGGATGTAGCTGATGATGGTCTCAGGATATATGAATATCACCAGAGGGGGGTTTTTTGTTCCAGATCGGCCTCTCTGTGGCCGAAGGATTGCTGCTGAGCGATCGCTGCAGAATGGTCTTCACAGGTGGCTCATGCGGCGAGCTGTTGTACAAGAAGCATGTGTTGTATGTGTGACAGTCTTGTAAGGGTGCTGGCCTGGGTTTGTTATCAAGCCAGGACCACAGTCCAGTGATGGCCGACCGACAGGGCCTCTCTTGCATGGGGCCAATCAGGAGGGCAGCAGACAGACAGACGCTGCTGTCCTGGAGTGTTAGGGATGCCGAGAAGACTGTGCAGTCTTTCGCTATCTCAAGGAAAGCTTGGAGATCTCCATGGTGGCACCTTTCATACTCAGGTGATGGGCGTGGTGCATGCGTTCCTCTCGCATTGGAGAGGGTGCAGACCTTACTAACTTAGGCCTATCACTTGAAGAACGTGTGAAATGAATATTCAGCTCTGTCTTATATTTGATCTTCCTTTTTGGGGTGGTTGTCTTCTCACTTCATTCAATGACTGCTCAGCTGGCTGGGCTTGTGGGGTTTTGTGAGGCGCTCTAGAGGCCTGTTTGACATGATGTTTGGCACCAACTTCAGGCTGTCCAGGCAGCCGTGCTTATTCAAATACATTTTACTTTTCAGATTGCACATATTAAACCAAAGCTGCTTTTAGGAGGTGACACATGACTGTGAATGGGGTTCCGGAACAGCCAAGCTGTAAATTTCCTTGCGAGATTAAATGTCTCATAAATATTCATACAGCTCGCGCAGTTGTGACACACATATTCAATTTGCAGTTGCGGATAGGCATACGTGCATGCGGGATATAGCAAGGACAGCATTGCATGGGACTAAGAAGAATTAATTGGCAATATTGTTTGTTGATTAATCCAAGTGCATTTGCCATGGGAATATTATGCAAATCACAATTATTCATGTCTGTATAGTGCATATCATGCCCTCATTGCAAAGACATGACTACCAGTTCCAGGCACATCTCAGAGAGACTCCATGTTGTCATTGAAGTACCTTTTGTCTTATTCAATTGGTCTGAAGAAACCATGCCCATCCCTTACACTTGCGAGCAGCTCTCAGATGCAGGTTCACATGCTACAAAGTCAAACATGCAAGCACTCAGGTCAGTGACTGCAGCTGCCCCACCAGCGTTTTGGCCAATAGCGCAGATCACACCTTCTCAGTGTCCGGCTGACAAATTCTGCAGACAGTCAAATGCGACTGTGGCCTGCTCCATGCAGTCATGAAGCATCCTGAGCACTCAACCCAGCTTCGTTGTGGTGCTGCAGCCAGCTTCTCAGCTGTCCACATGGCTTGCTCTTCTCTGCTGATAATAAACTCATGGAAGCACTGCGCCTTTTTGATCAGGCCTCCTATTGAGCCGAGAATCGCCCTAAGTCAGGCCCTCCTGGGCGTACCCTGGCGCCTCCATCTGTCCCAATCTTAGCAAAGCCAACGGAGCTGTTCAGCCTAGTCCTGAGGGGCCTCAACGGCTTGATAGAAAAAAGAAGACAACAGCATGACGTGTTCTCACACGCTAGGCGTGGAGCTACTGCTGGTGCTGATGCAGTTCTGGGTCTGGTACACGTAGGTGCCCAGCTGCTCGGCAGGTCCCGGGAAGCCGCCGGAAGTCAGCAGCAGCTTCCCGTTGGCCGACAGCTTGAGCGTGTTGCCAAAGTCCTCGCATGTGCGCTGCGTGGAGACGTACTGGTTGTTGGGGCACACCATCGACGTCTGGGGGGTCACCGTCAGCCCATTGGAGCCCTTTGCCTGCGCACAGTGAAATAACACTAGCCTCACGTAGCCACACATGTATGCACTTATGCTGGTCATTTGATGCCCCTGGGCCGGGAGATCATTGTACTGCTGCTGCATGATGTTCACTTGCAAGGCAGCCCTTTTTCCTCTCATCTCTGGCGCTCGCACTGCCTTCTGCATATCTCTTTCTGTAAATTGGAGACCAACGATCTGAAGTGCGGCTGTGCCCCCTGCCAAAGTGCTGCAGAGGCTCACAGAGCAACTGCACTTGATGGTGGTGGGCTACTTGAAGTTTCTAACAAACTCGAACAAGGACTTTTCATGCACATTCAGGCATGCCCACGCAAGGTGGGGTTGCAAATGTACACTAGACACGCACCAGCTTGAAGGTGTAGATGTGGCCCCCAATGTCGCTGGTGTTGCCATTGCTAGGTGCTTGGCTGAAGGAACGCGGGTAGGGCAGGGGAGCATGCACCACCACCAGCTGCCCATCGCCAGACACAGACACCTGCATGTCCCACAACACCTCACATAACTGATCCATACACATGCCGTTCATCTTCTTGCAACAACACAGGCTTCCCCGGTCACCAGAGCGGCTGCATGGAGGGCCCCAGATTACACATTCTGCCGCATCTGCACAAACAAGGTTGCCCGCACATAGGCATCCACATTACAATGCAGCGATTAAACGCATCGACAACCTTCTGTAACAAGGTGCATGGAGGCGTGCCTGCTGGCCGAAACGGCTGTTCTCAGGGGCACCGGCGGGCGCTGTAAGGTTTGCGCGCTCCACGTAGGCATTGTTCTCCAGCGTGTACACCTTCACAAACCTGGGGCTCGTGGTGGTGTCAGGTGCGCCTATCGCCAGCACCGACCCATCCGCCGACACATCTGCAACAAGAAAATACCTGGCCCCTTGAGTTCAATTTGTTTCTTTTCATTTCATTTACACTCTGCTTGTTTGGTAGACACCCCGCCCCTTCAACTCAGCTTGTTTGTCTTACTTATCAGCCTGCTTGCTTTGTGGGAAAACCCTCTGTTTTCCGCGGGTGCTGCACATTAGGAGGCAGTGCTTACCCCATTTGCATGGGAAAATCATGCACACGCACTCAACAGCATGCTGCAACAAGGTACACATATGTATAAAAAAGACTCCTAAGTCAAGTGTTGAAACAGACTGATCCTGCATGAAGCTTTACAGAGGACTCATGCAGGACTAGAGACCTGTCTTCGAGGGCCAGTCAAGGTCAGGAAAACATGTCACCGATGTCAGCGCCAAAGCCGGTGGCGGCGGAGGTGTTGCCCTGGAGAGTCTGCACGAGCTTGTAGGACTGGTTGTTGTCCTGCAGCGCGTACACAAACACCTGCCCGCTGGTGACGTAGCCCGGCATCGCTCCAAAGATGCCGCACGACTGCGGCCCGGAGACGGCCAGCGGATCCGACACCACCAGCCACTTGCCCGTGTCCGACACCGTCACCTGCGCGCACATGCCGGCATCAAGCCGCAGCATTCCCCCATGTGCCGCCCCGCCAGGCTGTCCTTCTCAAGATTGTTTCTTTGTTATTACATGCTGTTCCTGCCAAAAGGTGCATCTGCAGACAAGCTGCAGGGATAGGCTGCCACATATCCTAGCCCTTGTTATACTCTCAAGAGCCAACCAACCGTGGGCACGGTGCTCAGGACATCTTCTCAGAATATCCACACTAATATACCGTCTGGCATAAGGATCAAAGCACAGTTGTGGCCTCTTGAGGTGTCCTGCTCAGGGCATTCGCAACATCTGCCCCATCTGGCACTCTTACTATTGCGCAGTGTGATATAGGGAGTTGTGCACATGCCACACCTTGCGTCCAAAGTCGGTGTTGTTTGCGCCTCCCGGCGCAGGCAGCGTCTGGGCCAGCTTCCATCCCTTGCCATCCTCGCTTTGCTGTGGAAACCACCCCAATGTCTCAGCTATTACTTCCACAGCCATCTAATACAATCAGAGAGAGCTGTGCCTGCGGAGGCCCCTTTCCTCAGTAGTGAGTAGGATCCGCTGCGCTGTCGTTATTCGACATTTGCTGTCATCGAAAGTGGGACATGCATGCACGAACCTGGGCCTAGTCAGATGCCGCGGAGACTGTAAGCCACACCTTGTACACGAAGACAGAGGCGTTGCCGTAGAGGGCGGCAAGCTGTGGTGTGGGCTGGGGGGCCACGGGGGAGGCGACATAGACAAACTCCCCTGCCTGGGTGGCGGCCAGCCCGCCGCTGGCAAAGAAGGGGTTCTTGCTGTCAGAAGGCGGCATGAAGGGCTGGTCAGTGACTGAGTAGCCCCGGGTCGCCCCTGGCAGCTCCGGCAGCTTGTAGACATACACCTTCGCCAGCACAGCGATCAGGCATGCATGCTCCTTTATAGACATGCAGATGATAAATGTATGCCAGACTTTCCCTGCAGCTTGTCAGCAGATGCACCTTGCACACCGCCAGCATGCGATAATGACAAGCTAGCTGCTGTGGCAGCGCAAGGGCATGCATGCATGGCATAGAGGGCGCGCATGGGATCGGCAGCTACCTTGCCGTCGATGGCTCGGTCCTGGCCTCCATAGAGCGCCCCTGGCAGCACGCTACCTGCTGCTCCCACCAGGATGACCGAGGCGTCGCCAGAGAGGGCATAGGAGGAGCCCCACCTCAAGCCCGACAGGGGTGCTGAGTCCTGCACCACACCATAGCATGTGATCAGAAACGCTCGCGCAACAATCGACCCTTGAACTCTAAGCGGCCGGAAACGCAGTGGCTCACAGACGATGCCAGCTAACGCCCTTCAAAGACAGAGTGGGGGCTGCAGAGATGTGCCATGCACTGTACAATAGCGTGTGTCATGGCAGGTGAGGGCTGCAGCACCTTGATGGTCTGGGGGCAGGAATTGTACTGGCTGACGGAGGTGTAGAAGGAGTAGAGGTAGGCGGAGGCGGTCTGGCTGCCGGATGCAGGGCTGCCGCTTAGCAGCGCCACGCTGCCATCGGACGCCAGCGCAATCCCCCTGCCGCCCGCTCCCTGGCCAGGGGTGTTTGGCGAAAGTGCCTGCACCCAGCAGGCCGCTCCCCTCAGCATAAGAAGCAGATCGCTCCTGTCAGAATGGATGCAAGACACATGACCCCCCTCACTCGGCCATGTACGGTGCGTTTTACACCAGATTATGCAGCGCCCACACCAAGCTGGCTAGAAAGGAACGAAGAACTTCCTTCCAAACCTTCTGATGAGCAACGAGCTCTGCACTTCCCTGTATTCAGAAGATGATATGATGGATGAAGATCAAGAATGAAGGACTGCTGGCGTCACCTGTGAGTACTGGAAGACGCAGCTGCCATTGGCTGCAGCACCTTGGGATGGGGCGGGAGCTGCGGCCGGTGGCGAACTGGGTGAGTTGTTGGGTGAACCACTTGGGGAGCTGCCTGGAGAATAAGTGGGTGAACTACTGGGGGAGCTGCTTGGGCTAGAACTCGGCGAACTACTGGGTGAACCACTGGGCGAGCTGCTGGGAGAGGGCGACTGGGCAGCTGCAATGGCAAGCAACACCTGCACACAGGGCGCCTCGTTCAAATTTGCCTGGAGAATGGCCACACTCTGCAAATATCTTTCTGAGGACACTTTGCGTATGGCCATCCATGCAAGAGCCTCCTCTGATAGATATGTCTGGGTCTATTGGAAAGGCAGTCCCAGAGTCCGAACTCTGCATATCTATGAACATGAGGCACATCCTGGTGTTTCCTGAGCTTCTCCAGAAGTGCAGGGAAGGTGAAGCCCCACCCAAGCCAGTATGATGTGCTGCTTCCAGAAGCCTCCTAATCTCCATCGCCTTAGATGTGTGTTGCTTCTGCCCATCTGAAGGTCTGCTTGTTTCGTGTCCAGTGGCGTCTATGCGGAGAAGTCGAAGGCCTTCTTCAGGCACACTAAGAATGAGAAGTCGCTCACCAAGCAGAATCCTGCTGCAAGGCAAGCACAAAATAGCACATGGGGATAAAACGATATGTCATTAGTACGGACTGTCAGAAGTAACACTATAAAAGCTGCTTTCAAAACAAGAAAACATGGCAAGCCTTGGGAAATACACGGAGTGATAACATTGCAGCCCAACTTCACTGAACAATTGCTCTGAAGAGGTCTCAAACATCAAAAGATGGGACTTTTGGCTATCATCATCGCAGTGACCTTACTCTGTGGGATGTAGATCGGAGTGATCCCGAATGGGAGAAACGGACGTCCGACAGACGGGACCACCAGGGTAGCAGCTGGTCGTGATCGTCGATGAATCGATGTGAGACAATTTGGACGTTCACAGAACAGAAGTAGTTCCCAAGCAATGATTCCTAATGAATCTCCCTCCTGCTCTGTTGGCCAGGACCAGTCGCTGATGCCCTTGTCAGCTGGACGACAAGAGCCGCGAGTGTCGAACAGTGTGGAAAGTAAATTGTGCTCGGGCACTTTTGGGCAGATCAGGCCGAGATCGTATGTCAGATGCAGAGTTGAATCGACAGCTGGGCCTTAGGTGGTCGCATTAGCAACCCCACGACAAAGCATGACTAAAGCGACTTGCCAAACTTGGCGTGGATATCTCCAGCTGCAGATCCTCCTGAAGCTACAGGAGCGTCCACCTTCCGTACTGTGTTGCCCATAATAATAATAATAATAATATTCTGTATGAGTGGCGAACCCAGAGCCCAGAGGGCCATAGGGCATACACAGGTCCGTCTGCAGCCGGAACCCGGGGCCGATATGCACAGGCTTGCAGCCTTGTCAACTCGCAAATGCACCCTTGCAGCCTACATGTCTACACCCCCTTCTTACACGAATGCTGAGGGGCCGTCCCTAGCAAACCGCTCGAAACTTCGGGACGGATTTCGACAGCAACGATGCGGGTGTCTCAGGAGCGGCCGCATCGCCGAATGTACCCGAAAATCGATCCGAAAAAAGTCCCAGTGTTTTTCCTGGGGATCGAACCTGAGACCGTGGCGTAGATATCGTTTCATCTACCCCTTAGCTGTCGGTCGGTCGGTTGCCCATGCGTTTTACCAATGCCCCTGGTAGTGTGACAGGTGCAACTCCTCCAATACAGTCGTAAGGTCACTGCATGCCCACGATGAACTACAAAAAAATCAACTACAACAAAATGTGTCCGCCCCCGGCCGGGCCCGGCCGCTCCCGGGGCCATCATCATGATCCCTCTGGCATGGGACTCCATGTAGCTACTACAGTAAGTAGTAACGCGGGCACATCCCTATGACACGTAATTGTGCCATGCATGCTCCGCGACGGCTGCCATCATGGTAAATGATGATCATGCATATATATGCCTGTGACAGCCTGACAGCTGAGCTTACTTGAGCCGGCTAGCAGAGGACTTGCCAAGTCAGACTCCCTAAGTGTGCATTGCGCAAATACTGAGGTCGTGACCATCATGATGAAGGCACTCCGCGTCTGGACAGACAGCAATGTCACACTCACACATGCAGTGCTGTTATCACTCACGGTAAAGTTCAAGTTGCAGCAACACCATCTGACAAAACGCAATTGACAGTCTCCGCGCATGCAATGTGCTCATTGTAGCGTTTTGCGGACAATTCATCAGGTGCCAGCTGTTTGAAAATATCCATTCCACCTAGAGAAGTGAGTGTACAGCGCCATAGTCCTATGGCTTCTGGCTCTATCTGCGCTAATTATAGTACATGTGTAATTTGATGTACAATGGCGACGATCACATGTCATGCATGCCTTGCTTGGCTCCACTATCAGGACCGCGTCCCAGGAGAGGATAGACCCAACTTCAAGCTGACATCCATCCTCCTCCGCTTCAGCAGGAGCGCTGCCTTGTCTAGAGTACTTTTGCCCTTCACGCCCCCTCTGACAGCTGATTTGTTGCCTGTCCCCAGTCCACTCGCTGCTGACCCCCTGCCATTGCTGCCTGCCCTGAGAAGATGGGCTGATCCTTGATAGCCTGCCGCCTGTGTTTCCTGCTCGCATGCACACAATTCCTGCCTCAGCCCAGTTTTCTGGGAAATCTGAAAGGCCATACCAGTGCGGAAGGCTTAAGGAGTTCCAATATAAATACAACAGCTTCAGCACAGGCCAAATGCATACCTGTTGTTTGCAAATGCGCTGGCATCCCCAAATGACACAAGCGCTGCTGCTTCTGCGTCTGCACCTGAAGCTGGCAGCAGCCGCACTGCATCTGGCAACCCCAGCTGCTTCCGCTGCTCGTCCCTCCTCTTCTCCTCTTTCCTTGCACCCCTACACCAGAATTTTTTTAGATTTACTTGTCAGCTCCATGGATATAATCAAGGCGTCTCACAGGATCTCAAGGCACTTGATTCCTGCAATGATCCAAGGGCAGCTGAGCAAATGATCCTCCTGAAAAGGCAAATTGGCGAGAGGCAAACCTGAGCTGACGCCGCAGGGCCTTATTGATGCTGTAGTCATCCTTAGTCTTTGCCTCGCTGTCTTCCAGCAGCTCGGACAGTCTGTCTGCACCTTCGCGGCCGCGCCTACTGTCCTCCACCCGCCGCTCCAGCTTGGAAAACGGGTCATCTTTGGCCTGTGCCTCCTCAGAGTCCGGAAGCTCATGCGTCTCTGCATCCTGCGCTGTGTACGTCTCCGCCTGCATGACACAAGTTAATAGTCAGACAAGTTTCTCCTTCCCAGAGCACCTCAGACTGCGCTTACTCGACCAAGGGCTGCAGGCCTCTAAGCAATCACAATCCCTGGTTCCGGGTCAAAAAGATCAGTGCAGAGTATGCAACATCTACAGTGCAAGTGGATCTTGGTGACTTGCCTTCCGTCTCGCGCCGGCCACCACGATGTACTCATGGTTCTTGGGATCCGTTTGCACTTCGATGTGCTCGCTGCAGCAGGGTGCCGTCATGGAGAAGCTCCATATCTTGGTGGAGAAGTAGTTCCCGATCTGCTTCTTCTCAGCGTTGAAGCGCACGCCCTTGCCGATCAGGTGACCGCAGCCGTTGCACCACACATTGAAAGGCATCTCAAAGCGGATCACCAGGATGCCCTGGTCGAGCTTCTTTGCGCGCTCCCTCAGCGGGTGCTGGCCCTGAAACTGCAGTGCACAGGGAACACAGAGGGTGAGAGCTGTGCTGATAACGGACAAGTCATGGGTAGCTAATCAGCTGCACACAATTCTCCAACAACATCTCACCTTGTTCAGGCCCCCCTTGGAGGGATCCCATTCTGGAGGGTAATAGAAGTTGTCTGCACGAGCTGCTGCAAGCGTACTCATGTCGGCAACAGCTGATCAGCCTCTTGCCGAACCTTTCTAGACACAACGTAGTGCAGTGATGTCCACAATCATGGCTGAATGGCTAGCTAGACGATGCTGCAGAAGCGGTATGTTCACAAACTTCCAGAGTTATTCTGCGATATTTGGGCCTTTCTCACACATTCTCAAGACGATTTCAGGTGCCTCTTGATAATGGTGGACTTTCAAAAGAAGGTGTGGCTCTGTAACCACTGCACGGCTACGTGCAGCCCAGATTTGGTGATGCAAAGTTCTGCAGTCCTTCCTCTACGACCAGGATGAAACGCCAAGCACAGTGCCTGACCACTGGATCCTTTCTTTTCTCCCGTAACACCACTAGAACTGAGAAAAGAAGTCAGATTTTTGCGTATGCGTTCGTTTCTGAGCATCTCGAGCTCGTTGGTAACCGCGTAGTCACCCGCAGGGTCGTCTCGGAAGGACTTGGACTCTTGGACTTCAAGTGTGATCAAACCCTCCGTACAGCCGTACTGCACGCTACAGTAGTCAAAGGGAACGCTTCTAGTACCAAGCACCTTCTTCATGGTGTGTGAAGTTCTCGGGGGTTCCAATTTTACCGTTCCGGAATAACTTCCGTGAAGACGCAGCTCACAGAGTGCAGCAAACTAACAGTTCTGTGTCATTTGCATCATTGGAAACATGTACTATGATATATAATGCAACAACGAGAAGGTTACCTCTATAAAAGAGGTATTCTTCTATCCGCTTGCAGTGATGGTCTTGGAACCCAGAATGTCCTTATTATCATACCAAGACAAGTATTTTTCTGTAGTGTAAACATCAACTGTTCCAAACAAATGCTGTTGAATGCCTAAAAATGTACTGAGTGGTTGTCATGTGGACTGACCTATCGTTTAGCAGACAAGATGTGCACCTGGCCTTTCTTTCATAGTGTGCCTGCTGTGGGGCCAGGCGACGTTGTGAAGAAATGGAACCTGAGGTACTTTGTACTTTACACGGCACCCCAGCCCTTTATAGTGTACTACAGGAAGGTGAGTAGTGGGCGATAGCTGCCCTGTAGATTTCGGCATGAACCGGGCACCCAGCTGTTGTTGCCAATTCGAGTGTACCCATGAGCGATACTTGCCGTTGAAAGAGAAACAAGCATCTATATCTGTATCTGTGTCCCTCACTTGGGCAGGTTGGCGAAGCAGCCGCCAACACCCTGAAATTGAGCGGCGCAAATGTCACGGTGGGCCCTATCAACACATATATTTAGCCACGCTTATTGCCTAGTAGATAGTCCTTGCAATCAAAGATGACCTGCAGAGCTTAAATCCCTGGCTTCAGACAGCACATTCTAACTTGAATCGTCTGCACCAGGTTTCGAGCACAGTCAAGGGAGGCGCTCTGTTCCCATTTACAGTCGAGGCCAGCGGCGAGAAGTATGAGCTGGCTGCAACCACTCAGCAGGATCGCCGCAGGTGTGGTGGCCCAATTCTGAACTATATATCGCATAAATTCTCCAGAAACACCTGACAAGAGGTGCGTAAATGTCAAAGCTGCATGCTCTGAGGAGGTGTCTTGGCGGCATGGCAGATGGGTGGAGCAGCTCATGCAGGCCTCTGCCAGGGGCTCTCCAGGAGCCAGCGCACTCACACTGACGGATGCACAAGCCAACGGCCATCTCCTGGCTCCTTCCCCACTGGGTGTGCCTCCACTGCTCTTACAAAACCCCCTTGGCAAAGAAAGCAGCTTTTCTAAGCAGATTATACCTCTTGCACCTAACACATGGACTCTAAGGTGCAGGTCTGCGCAAGAGCTCCGACCATGCAGGGCCGCAGTTCCTTGACAGCCCCCCAGCCTCGCCATCTGCCCGCAGGCACACCACCGGACAGGTGCCTCCTCCACTCCCTGGCCCAATTTCCCTTGCATGACGTGCACTGATCTTTCAGTTGAGAACCTCCTATTACAGTACACATGCACACCTGCTGCAGCTCGCCGAATCCCCTCTGTCCTGAAGGCTAATGCCGTTCTGACGCACAGGAGGTATTCACATCGCCATCAAAGCTGCGCCGGATTGCTCTGGACTTCAGCAGCCCACAGCAGAGCCCACATGGCGCGCCGCGCAACAGCAGCCCCGGCATGCCGCGACGCAGCGGCACGCCGACTGCAGCTGGAAACCGCAGCCCCCTGCCGGACGGCCGCCTCGGCAGCGGCTCAGCCGCGGCAATAAGCGGCGAGTCACCCGGCTGGGGCCAGAGCTTGCGCTCCCCTTCTGGGCAGCACAAGCGCTCCTCTCTCCTTGCCGCCATCTCCTCATCCATAAGGTGCAGCACGGCCAATCTTCTGGACATGCATGACGCCCATCACAACAAATGCCACACCCACGATTTGTTGACAATTTTACAATCCTGCACAATCATGCTGACACTCCTGCGAGATACCATTCTTGACAACTCTGCTGATAATCTGTGCAAAACTACTGAGCCCCTGATGATATCTTACCTGGTCTGGCTCAGGAATGTCATCGTGCCGCCCGTGCCCTCGGACATTGCATCCAGCATGTCGGATGAATCACACGAGTCAGGGATGACGGCGTTCTCGGCCTACACGGCCAATTTGCGGCCCCTCAGAGGGACGAGTACGCCCACAGCCGGCCAGGCAAAGCCGGCCTTGGGCGGCAGCCTGGCAGCGGAGTCCCTGCTGGAGCAGTTTGACCGCGCTCAGCAGTACGTGGTGCGCCACAAAGAGGACTTCTCTGCCGAGCGCCTGGAGTCTCTGCAGGTGCCCACCTCTGTTATGCGGAGACTTGTTCGTGATTTAGAGCATGCCCTTACACCTTATCACTTATGCTGAGTGGGGATCCTGTTGCTAGCACGCCACGCGTGCGGACCACTGCTTTTGTGCTTTGCCTAGAGATTTGAAGGCAGTCTGACATAATATTGAGTTGCACAGGGCTGGGCCGAGGCGGCCAAGAGCGGCCAGCAGGGGAGTGACGGCACCCTGGCCGCCGCAGCCATGTACGTAGTGCAGGTCACGCAGGCAAATGGACTCTGGGCGTCCGAGCACGACACCGCCTTCATCAGGTATTGGCTTTACACATGCCTGGTGCATCAAGCACCACTGCAGCGCCAGCCTGTCTCACAGTTCAAGACTCAGTGGAGCTGCTGGAATGTAAGATGGGCTGATAGGGATATATGCTGGGCGCAATCCACTATTCCTGCAGCCAGACCATTGCACACATGGGGATCCCCGGAAGACACAAAGGGCTGAGATTGATGCATGCTGGTTGCAGCCCGGACGCAATGCTGAGGGATGTGCAGCGGTGCCCGAGCGTGCGGTGCCTGATGGACCTAAAGGACTGCCTAGACTTCTGCTCGACCTCCTGGGTCTCCCTCTTCTGCCAGCTGGGCGGCGCTGAACTCCTGCTCCAGGTGTTCTTTCTGTGGTGTCCTGCGTCAAGGAAGAAACCCCGAATAAAGAACGAAGCTTCTATTCATGCCAAACAATGCACTGCATTCCTTATAATCAGCATGGGGATGGATCGTGCATAGTGTGGCAGGCTCCTTGAAATTGCCCTTTTGGAGAAAATTTGCTCTCTGCAGATAACCTGCCTTCTGGAAATCGCGCTCCTATGTTAGTTGGGAGAGCTTGTGCCAGCGGGTTTTATATCTTGACAGCTGCTGCGTGCTCGTGCGTAATCAGGTGACTCAGTTCCTGCAAATGCTTAGTTGAGGGTGACTCGCAGGCGCTGGACGCGCACGCGGAGGCCGCGGAGGAGGCCGCCGGCGGAGGGGAGGCGCGCGAGGCGCTGCTGGCGTCGCTGCAGTGCGTGCACGCGCTCATGAGTGGCGCGGCCGGCATGCGCGGCGTGCTCGCAGTGGACGGCTGCCTGCCGCGAGTGTGCGCGCTGCTCGCGCTCTCGCACACAGACGCTGCCAAGCTGGTCGTGGAGATGCTCATCAAGCTGTGCCTCTTCTCTGCCGACGGGTACCGCCTGGCCGTCAAGGTGCGCCGCTATTGGCTGGTTCAGGTGTCTGTTCTCTGGTATTTAGGGGTTTTGCGCAAGTCCACGACTCCTTTCAGCTCCTGGGGTTGCATAACCCTCGGGCATTGCCGAATGCATAAGGTCTCAGGTGCCGCAAGGGTTCCTCCTTTCAGCACTCCTGCCCCTCAGGCATTGCAGATTGCATGATAATATTGATATAATATGATGATTTTGCATGATTGAGGTAATGCAGGTAGAAGTGTTGGCAGTATTGCAGGCTGAAGAGAGCATGTACACTGTCGTGCAGGGGCTTTTAGGAGAGGGTGCTACAGAGGTAGCCGCCAGCCCAGCAGAGGCGGCAGTCACTTCAGGCACAGCATCCTCACCAGCTGCAAAAAAAGCGCCGCCCTCTGCACCGGTCCCTCCGCCGCCGCCGCCGCCTCCACGTCCTGCCAAAGCCGCTCCCAAGGCACCGCCACCGCCGCCCGCGCCGCCCCCGCCACCTCTCAGGCAGCCCAGCCGTCCCGCACAGAGCCCCGGTGCTACCACAGTAGAGCCTACCAAGAAACCATTGCAGGCCAGGGAGGAAGTCAGCCGGCCGCCAGAGCAGGATGAGATTGCGCAGATCCATGCAGCTAGCGAGCATGCTCCGCTGCAATTGATTCAGCAGCCATCCAGAAGTGCAAATGGGCCTAGCAGTGGTGGGCCAGAGAGCGTGGGAGCATTTGGGGAGGGCAAGAGCACTCTGCTGGAGCAGTGCAGCTCTCTGATAGCCCTGCTCAAGGTGAGATATTTCTTTATTTCCATTTCAAAACTGTGCTGCATGGAACGTGTCAATGTGCTTTCATGGGAATTTCTGTCCAGAGTGTTGCTTAAGGATGTCAGCCAATGGCAAAACTGAGCAGGTGCAATGGTGTGGCATGCAGGTGGACAAGGCAGACAGAGGCGCAGACTTTGAGCTGTGCGACCACATCATCTCCTTCCTGAATGCAGCCCTCACCTCCCCAGAGGCCCAGGCCAACCTCCCCCTGCGCAAACGCTTCACCAATGCCCTCCTTGACAATGGTGCGCCCTTCCCACATTGCCTTGATCAGAACTCGCATCCATGCAAGTGACATGCACCGGCAACGCTACATATACTGTGATCATCTGCCAGTCTCATGGAAAGCGCGTGCTGCTTCAATCAAGTTGACCTTCCATGCAAGTGTCATGCACCTGCAACACTGGATTTATTTGCTTTTATTGCCAGTATCATGACAGACGCTTGTCTGGCCTACTAAAACTGTGCATGGATTGATTCACGGATTGTATGACTGTTTTGCAGCATCATTCTTAAATGTCTCTTTGCGCGGCACATTGCTGGATATGCCCAGATTTTCTAGGCACTGATAACATGTAACGAGAATATAAATGATAGCTTGTGTCATGGCAGGGCTGCTGAATGTGCTGGCGGACATCTACAGCCTGCTGGACCCATACATGAATGCCTCCATAGACATGCTGCGCGCCAACATCAAGGATGTCATCGCTGCACCCAAGCCCGCGCCTGCGCCGCCTCCGGCCCCCGCCGCAGCGCCTGCCAAACGGCCGGCACCCCCGCCCCCACCCCCCAAAGGACAAGGTATCCACAATGCTCTTGGCAATCTATATTAATACACGACCCAACTTTTGTGTCATCTTGCCAAGGCTTCGCATGCCTGACCGTTGGCTGTGTGGGAGTAATGGCATGTTTGCATCAAGAATCTTGCGAGAGCTATGAGGCTATTCCAGGGTCAGCAGATTGCAAAAAGACACTGTCAATGTCAATGTCAAAATCCACTGACGGAGTGGCATGGATGCATCATGAGAAGCGTGCAAGCCACGTGGGACAGAAGGCCTTTTGCAAATCCAGCAAAACGCCAAGGGACCCTGGAAGTTTGTTTGTGATGAGCAGGGCTGCTGAAGGGCCCAGGACGAGCACCACCGCCGCCGCCAAAGGCCCGCGTGGTTGCCGGGCCGCAGCCGGGCAGGAAGATGAAGTCCTTTTTCTGGGACAAGCTGCCCGACAGCAGAGTGGAGGGCACCTTCTGGGCAGCCCACCCGCCCGCCTACTCCTCCCTCAACCTCCCAGAGGTGGGCCCTGTCCTCCTTTAAGCATGCCTCCCAATTTTGCCTTGCAACGGTTGTCACTTGTAGAGATTGGGCCTTGAGGGCATGAAGATAGGTAATTTCCTCAAGGCTCTGTGGGAAACTGTCCTAAGTTCAAGGGGTCCTGCTTTGAGTATCATGTTCAAGGACGCCGGACTTGGATGTTATATGAGGCCTTAAGGCCAGGAAAATGCAGAGGTAGCACTGCCCTGTGTTTGTGCACAGTCATACACAAACTATCATCAGTGCAGTCCCAGCTGGCAGGGGCGGTAGAAATGCTGAGCACCGTGCCCACGGTTTATTGGTACTAGCTTGGATATGGCGAGTTTATCATGGGGTAGGATCCGTGGCAGCCTTTACCTGCAGCTTGTGTGCAGACGCACCTTGCCTCTGGCAGGAAAAGCGCTTTATGATAGGTACAGTATAATGATTATATCCAGCGCAGCTTGTGGATGTGAGGGGAGCCTTGATGTGGGCACAGGTGGAGGAGCTGTTCCAGGCGGTGCAGCTGCAGAAGGCGAGTGTGAAGAAGTCGGCGGTGAAGCAGCTGGCCGTGCTGGAGCTCAAGCGCGCCACCGCCATCGGCATCCGCATGGCCGGCCTCAAGTCTGTCTCTTACTAATCTTAGCTTCCTGCCCAGTTGCTACTCAACAATGGATACTGAGAGGCCAGGAGACTGTAAAATCTACATTGGACTCCCCAGCAGAGGTTCACCTTGAGACTTTGGATTGGGTGCAAGACAGTAACTCATGTCTCTCTCCCTCCCAAGGGCGCTGCTCGGCTTATTGCAGATGTATGGAAGTCCATGACCATGCAGCAGAGAGCTGACTGACTGTGAGTGATCAGTGTGTGATGTGTGCGTTGTGCCCAACTGCAGCAAGGTACAGGAGACTGAGACTAGGTCGTTATGTAGAGCAGAAGATGGCAGCACACGTACTGTGGCATCACATCTGCAGCCAGGGCTGAGACAGACCGAGCGGGTGCAGGGTGCACTGGAGCCTGACGGCGGATGGTGTCATGAGGTTGGACCGGCAGCTGCTAGCGAGCGCGGACGACGCGGCCGCCGTGCTGGCATGTGTGCCCACCGCGGAGGAGCGCAGCATGCTCGAAGCTTTCCTCCGGTCCGGCGGCCGCGCAGATGCGCTGACCGACGCAGAGCGCCTCTGCCTGGACCTCATGAAGGTGTGCTGCTACCTTCTTCTTGGCTGGTGAGGCAGGATTGCGGTTTAGCTGCTCTCACTATCTGACTACGATATCGATGACTGTGCAATGGCTATACAGTCTGCTGCCCTTGAGATTGCCTCTTTTCAATAGCCTTGATCTCTGGGATTGCCTTTATTTTCTAGTGAGTTGCCTTGCCAATCAGAATGTGCTGCTGGAGGCATTGCAGTCTTAACAATTCACCTCCACTGTCCTGTCGGTTTTTGGGTCCAGGCCATCAGTGCGCTCTAACTTTCAATGCTTGCAAATCAAAATTCACCGAAAGATTATGCTCATTGGGGTCATGTGTGCGCAGGTGCCGCGCATCCAGGAGCGGCTTGCGACGTTCGCGTCGAGTTTTGAGACGCGCGCGCAGCTGCAGGAAGCTGGCCGCGTGCTGGCGGCCCACCTGGCGGCTCACGCTGAGCTGGCGGGCAGCGGCTGCTTCCGAGCAGCGCTGACGGCCGCGCTGGCGCTGGGCAACTTCCTCAACCACGGCGGCCGCCTCGGCCAGGCCGCTGGCTTCCGCTTGAAGAATTTACCGAAGCTACAGGTGTTGTCTCTAGCTTCTTGCGCATCCTCAGCGTGCCACTTCTGTCACCCCACTGTCTCGCAAACTGCCTTCGATGGCTCCAGGTCTTAAATTGGGAGACTGGGATACTGTCTTGAGGTGGCTCCCACTTTGTCATCTCAGCATGTTCTAAGCTGCCAGCAGGGTTTGGCTGAATGACTGTTGACTTCAAAAGTCCTCGGGGCAGGATTGGGTTTTACGGCGGTGTTCCCTGGCTGACATGGGCTGTGTGTGCGCACACCAGGACACACGCTCGCGCGACGGGAAGATCACGCTGCTGCGCTACATCGCAGCGCAGCTGTGTACAGCAGAGCCGCCGCACGCGCTGCTCTCCGACGAGGCACCCCATGTCGTGTCTCCCGCACTGCAGACCTCCCTCTCGGTGGGACCCCACTTTACCCCCCTTACCAGACCCCCTATATACGGGGGTACCCCACTTCCCTGCCAAAGCTTTCCCCTCTATGTCGCTCTGCAGGTGTCCTCAGGCGGAGGTTGCTGACACATCCTGTCAATTTGTGTTGTGTAAATGAGAAGCTTCGACTTGAAGGTTGGACGTTTGTCGTATCATTCAAAATGAGAGCAGTATGTAATGTCTCTGGTGTGTGGCGCGATGCAGGAAGTGGCGGAGATGCTGGAAAAGGCGGGAGCTGCGGCGGCTGCCATGGCGCGCGAGACGGAGAGAACGCCCCCGAGCGCCAGGCTCTGCCTGCATGTGGCCGGAACTGGGAAAGACGAGCGAGTGTCAGTGCAGCTGCTCCCTGACAACTACCATGATACCATGGCCACCAGCCTCGAGGCAAGTGAATTTTCCTTTTGCCCTGTATACCGGCAGAATCCTCTCGGAATCCCGATTGCAGAATGTCAATGCAGTCATGGCTGCGTGCTGTGGACAATGCTACATTGACGCATGCTTCCAACAAACTTGCTCATCAAGAGGTGTCTGGGTGGTGATCTGTATCAGCTTTGCATCTGGGAGAGCATGGAGCGTCTGAGAACGTGATGGCTCATTGCAGGAGGTATGGAGTAATCTGGCGGAGGCAAAGAGAACGCTGCTGGAGGCCAGGGCCGGCTTCGGCAAGCTGGTGGCCTACTTTGGCGAGAACTCGGCCGCATTCGCCACCGACGCCGATTTCTGGCGGGACATCACCGCATTCGTGCACGTATTCACGCGCTCCCAGCGTGAGATTATGCAGCAGCGACAGGTGCATTTTCAAGCCTCTGCAGAGTTTCTACCTCCTCGATGTCATTCACACAGCTACACCAGGAATGCCATGGCAAGATGTTGCTTCCTGCATGCTAGGGATGCTGTCCCTTTCGTGAAGAGTCCTTTTTATGTATTTTGCATGACAGGTGAGTTGGTGTACATGTGCAGGAGCAGGAGCGGCGGCAGGCCAGGCAGCAGAAGCAGGGGGCGCGTCAGCCGCCAGCAAGGTGTGCCAAAGCAAAGCACAGCGTTGCACAGGCTGATCACACATCTTCCTCCGGCGTGCCTGCGCAGTCTGACGCATCCATTGCAGACAATGCGGGACAGCAAGGACTGCCAGAAGCAGGGACCCTCCAGGCTGCTTCTAAAATTGGTTATCAGGAAGCAGTAGGCTGCAAAGCTGACCATAAGGCAGCCAACTCTTCCTGCGGCAATGGCAAAATATTAGCAGCAGGGGGCGCGGCCAGCGGAGGGATACACTTGCATGCAACAGCGGGACTGTACACACATGAAGCCGCGAGGAGCTCTCCAGGCAAGGCTGCGAGGAGCATGGAGGGCAAGAGCGCTAGCGGCAACCTGACAGACAGTGCAGAGGATCTGGAATACCTGTTAGGGCAGCTGGTCGGCCGAGCAGAAGGCCTGCATGGCACTGCGGGCGCCCTGGCAACCTGAAAATGTACTCAAGCCATATAGATGTGATATGGCTTGAGTGCATTTTGCACATGTTCATACAGCGTAGATTGCTATCTAAGATTTAGAAGGCGCGATGACAAGAGGTGCACTGCAAACGCACGCTGCGATAGGGTGCTTTTTGAAATTTGACTGCTCTATTAAAACGCAAATAGGGAATGGCACAACGATATTGATGAGGGAATTTTGGCTTGAATGACTGTGCAGAGTCTGAATAGCTAATTGTATAATTTGCCAATCTCCACGAATGCATATATATGCTGTGGCTGCACATGTTACTGCATCCTATTGTGATCTCCAAATATATAGAATCTGTAACGAATTTGTGCATTGTAATCAGGGCACAGGTTACACACTATTTTGACCCTAAATACTAGTATACATATATGATTGAATCTGACGGTCACAGGAGCATGTCAGGCCCACGACTGCATCACTGCTGCCCTAATATGGACGGTTTCCATACGCTCAGCGACCTCTGCTGGTATGCTACAGTAGTAAAGTACATGTCCCCCTAACTTACGACACAAGCCACAAGTTGCCCGCAAGCTAAGCAGCTGCTCTCCTGAGCGCCCGAATCTCCTTCACAAGCCTCCCTTCCGCTTGATACACCAGGTACAGGGTCACCAGGAGGGCAGACCCGCCGACCGCCACGTGACCCACCAATGCAGGCCACAATCCCACAATCTTTTCCGCGCTGCCGTGGGGCAGACCGACAAAAATTCCCTTGGGGGAGGCAACGCCCCATGGCAGCCCCATGCCACCCAGGAAAACACCGTTGGAGCCTAGCACCACCGCAAAAGCTGCGGCCAGCGCCAGAAAAGTTCCCCTGCTGGGGAAGAGGCCCCGCAGGCTGTGGCCGGGCACGGCAGCAAAATGGCGGCCGATGAAGTGCAGGCAGTAGAGGATGCGCAGGGCCATGTTGACGCTGTCGGCGGCTATGAGGCCGACCGCGCCGTGCGAGCGGACCAGTGCTGTTGCCAGGGCCAGGTGGATCCCGGAGCACACCACCAGCCACACATTCGACAGCGTGATGTCCCTGCAAGCACAGAACCTCGCATGCTTTCTGCTGCATTGTCTCCCATTTGTGAGGGACAATCAAATTTTTAAAAATTCATTAATGCACAAGCAAGCAAGCCTGCAACCACAGGAAGCTTCATCTGTGTGTTGCTTGTTATCCAATCCTTGATGTCCCCATTCACGTCATTGCCATCACGGGAAGGCCAGATGTCTGTGGTCACCCTGCAGCCGTCCCTTGATGATATTGCGGTGTGCGAGTGAGGGTGAGAAGGAATGGACAGGAAGCAAGAGGTGCCCTGCAAACTGAAGCTTGGAACAATTCTGCCGGGAGCCCACAGACAGGGAGAGGCGGTGCAACTTGCCTGCTGCGGGCAACGGCGTGCACAAAGGCTTCTAGGATTCCATTGACGGCCAGCAGCAGGATGTAGGCGCAGTAGACGCCCAGGGCCTGCGGCGCGTCCGTCTCAGACCAGCGCCGTCCGTACACAATGCGCAGCACCACATACGTGTACGCCGGCCCGAACGCAACCGCCAACAGCCCTGCACATGCACCCAATCACGAGGTGCGGACTCTTCTGGCATGCAAAGGTATGCATGCAGCATTGCTCCTGAGCAAAGCAGGCCTTGGAGGCTGACAGAATCCCACACTGGGCTGGTGCAGACGCACAGCAGCAAGAAAGATAAGATGATAAGACAAGAGAAGTGTGCTGGGATGAGTCACGAGATAAAAAAGCAGTGGATGAATAAACGGATGAGATGGCTCACCCACGACGGTGACGCAGCGCACGGAGATGGCCAGGACTCGGGAGCGCTGTGCGGCCGCGTCCTTGGCGCATAGCCCAGGCTCCGCCCGCGAGAACGCCAGGAAGGCCGCCTCCTCAAACGGCTGCAATCAGCCACAAAATCCCATCAAACTCATTGCCCTGCACTTTCCTGTTCACCCTGCATGCAAGACCGGCGATGCACTGCTCTGCCTGACATACTCAAGACTTGCAATGCATACCTCCATCAGCCGGAGTGGAAAGAGTAAGCTTGGGACAACACAGAGGCAGCTGTGTGGGACAAAGGGGTGGGAATTGTGGGGAACAAAGGGGTGGCTTACCTGGAAGATGGTGCGCACGACGAGGGAGCCCAGGTTGGAGACGAGGCCGTAGACGCCCTGGCTGTAGCTGCTCTGAAAGGCCACCATCACCATCTTGGACCCCTCCGCCAGCAGCAGCTTCTCCAGCGCCTGCCCACAATCACACCACATGTCACGCATCATCCTATGCCCAATAACTTTCCTCAGGACAGAGTCTCCCAAGGGACGTCATTGCGGCAGTATGGAAACCAGCGGAGAATTTCAAGGAGGGTGTATTGCATCTGCCCCACCTGGAGGGTGAATATGGCGCACATCCACAGCACGTCAACCTGGCGGAGCGGCTTTGAGCTGTCCTTGCTGACATCATCTGCCTTCCCCTTGCCCCCTGGGTCTTGCTGAGGGCCGCCTGCACCCGAGGCGGATGCGGGAGGCTTCTCATGTGTTGAGCTCGACCCCTTGCCTGCACCCCGCTGCCGCAGACCCTGATGCCGCCCCGTGACATCCTTTCCCGCTTCACTTGATCCTGAAAGTCTCGCTTTCGTTGCTGCCAGCTCAGCGTGAGCAACCCCCGCGCGGTCGATATCGGGAGCTGAGCGCTTGCTCAGCAACTCCCAGCCCTCCGCACCCTGCTCCACGCTCAGGTCATCCTCATACGCGCCCTCGTCCTCGCAGGGAGAATTCTCCGCGTCCGCGGCGGCCGCGCGCGTCGGCAGCTCTGCCGCGACGGGCGGCGGCACGTCGGTGGGAGGGTCGTCCGGGGCGGTGGCGGCCAGGCTGTAGTCCAGCACTGCGGCCGCCTTCTGTGAGGCCGTGCGCGCCGCCGTGCGGCCGGCCTGGCCGCCGCAGCAGGACAGCAGCTCCCAGCCAAAGTGCCGCGCATACACCAGTAAGGTCACCGCCGCATACGCCAGCTGCAGAACACTTTCGCATCCCACATCAGACTCTACTCCTTATGATCATCGATCACGCGCATCAGATCCGTGCCGGATGCATGGCACAATAGAATGCGCATGCGCACGGCCTATTTTTGGCTCGAGACATGACGGACATACTCTACAGTAGAGCTTGCACACAGTACAAACTAAGGCCAGGGGTGACCTGTGCGAGCGAGAGCGCGATGCCGACATTGCAGGTACCGGCCTTGAGCAGGGCGAGCGTGAGAACGCCCCGGACCAGCGTGGCAGCCGCCTCGGCGAGCACGCGCAGCTGCAGCTTCAACCGCACCTGCGCCAGAATGTACAGCGGCTCGCTCACCAGCTCCACCATGGCCGCCAGCCCTTCAGCGCACACACAGCAGTTGCTCTTTCGACAAGAAATCGTACGTCGTGTCACTGAGAGATAGTCTGCTTGCAATGCTCTCCACTGCTTTCAGACCCAGGTCATTTGGCACAGGGCTCCCCATTGCTGTACAGCATTATTGCAGGTATTGCAGGTCCAGTCCTACCTTGCAACAGGATGGCCACAGCGTAGGGGTCGGCCAGGGAGGAGGCTCCCCTGAGGGCCACAGCGCACACGCACAGCGTGACAGCCGCCCCCAGAGGGATGCAGTATGCCGCGATGCGCAGAATGGCGCCCGGCCCGGAAGCATCCTGCAACTGCTGCGCGCGCAGGCAGCCGCGGCGGAAGCCCTCCCGGCTCAGAAACAGGATGGTGGTGTTTATCAGGTGGAACTGCACTGACGCCAGCTGCACCCAACATGAGCTGTTAGACCGCACTTCGACACTATAGAAGAGATCATCTCAGTCAGTTAAACCAGCATGATGTTTTCCCAGAAGGCACATGGCAATGTGTCATACCCCATAGGCATCCACCGTCAGGATGCGGGCTGTGAGCAGGTTCAAGAAGAATGTAATGAGTCTTGTAGAAACCTGGGACACTGCACCCACACGTAGTCTCCTTTTAACCGTCCTTGTTCCCCAACCGAAAGTAGCGAGTGCAAAAACCTCGACGATGAACAGCACAAGCAATCTTTATACAAGCTGATCTGAACAAAACAATTGTTCTAATGGTATTCCTTACCAACAAGATGCGAGAAGCCCTGCACAAGCACATTTGCGCTTCCACCCGTCATGCCTCTGTTTACATTCCCTGCTGTGCAGCCCCAGTATCAGGTGCAAAGGCTGGGATCGGATATGCGCACCACATCAAGCATTTTCTCAATTTAAGCACCGATTCTTGTGCGGTTTGTGCAACAAGGAAGGAACCTGGCAGTTTCTGACAGGGATTTACAATTTGAACACCACCCCTGATACGCACGTGCTGCAAGCTTTACTAATCTCACGGCACCACCCTGCCAGCCGCCTCGCATTGGGCTTCACAGTGTGCGTCTGAAGGTTGAGCAAGGGCACGTTTGGGCTGTTCTCCAACAACATGGCGGAGGTGACGATGATTTCAATGCTGTTCTGCTTTGGGCAGAGCCTTATATTGCAGGATGATGTTCAGAATGTCTGATGTTTGTTCCTTCTCTGACGCTTTCTCTATTTGTGCTGCAGAAGGAGACTCAGTCAGTGCAGACCTTTGGCAGGAAGGTGAGTTACGGATCGCTCAACTTGTGAGCCTGGGGCTGATCATCTGGGATTTTTTAGATACTGCACACTAACTCTTTCCTGCGTCTAACCTTTGTGCTGTCGGTCTTAGGCAGCTACATACTTCAATAACATGAATACGAAGCATTATCAAAATGATTGTGTGCGCGCAGAAAAATGCTGTCGCAGTGGCATACGTGAAGAGGGGAACTGGACTGCTGAAGCTCAATGGTGAGCACCCTCAGGCAGCAGCTTGATAGGAGTCAGGTCACACTATAATACTGCAGATATTTCCCATGTCCCTGTGGAAAGCAGAACGTACTGTTCCTACATTCACAGACATTGCTCAAGTTTGGCGCTCTGTGATGAGCTGCCAGATTTGAAGGGCCTGGGGGACTGTTGTGCAGGGTCTCCTCTGGAGCTCGTGCAGCCCGACACACTGCGGTGGAAGGTGATGGAGCCAGTGCTGCTCCTGGGCAAGCAGCGCTTTGAGGGCGTGGACATCCGCATCCGCGCATCCGGTGGCGGCCATGTGTCACAGATCTACGGTGTGTGCAGCTATTTTGGATCTGCTGACAGTGGATACGTTTTGCACTAGCAGCTGTATCAGATCTGCTGATAGTAGTGGCATCTGCTCTGCTAGCTTCAGTTAATTTTGTGCATTGTGCACAGAAATGTGCAGCGTGAGCTGCTGCAATAAGAGAGTGTGGCTGAGCCTTGTGTGCCTGTGCTACAGCAATCCGACAAGCCATTGCCAAGGGCCTCGTCGCTTTCTACCAGAAATGTAAGTTCTTCTGGCTGGATGCATTCTATGGCGGTGTCCTGCATGCATTCTTCATGCTGATCAGGAACAGCACATTGCCCAAGATTGTGCTGTGGAGGGGCCTGGAACACCTGAGGGGTGCTGAGAAGTGTCTGGGCCTTGCGGATGTGCAGATGTGGACGAGCAGGCAAAGAGGGAGATCAAGGACATTCTCCTGACCTACGACAGGACTCTGTTGGTGGCAGACCCCAGGCGCTGCGAACCCAAGAAGTGCGCAATTTTTCCATTTATGTCTGTGCAACAGGCTCTGGCGTTTTGTCCATATGCATGGAACCCATTGAAGCACCGCTCAGATGAGTTTGCTTTGTCTGTGCAGGTTTGGCGGTCCGGGAGCCCGTGCTCGCTTCCAGAAGTCTTACCGTTAGAAGCAGCTTTTTGGATGCTTTGGGGAGCCAGGGATCAACAGCTGGCTGTTCAGAGTATTTGGAGGCATGTTGGGCTCTTTCAAGCATGTACCACTTATCGCTCAAAACTTCCGGAAATATGGCATTGCTCCTGAAGTGGATTTGAGAGGGACCTGTGTGTAATAAATAGCAGTTCAACGTCAATGCAGCAAATTCAACAAAAGTCTCAGCTAGCTGCGCTGAAACCAAATTGCATCAGTGACTGCTTTGGCACCATGTACTCTTCTCTCTCACATGGAATTGTTCCTGTTCTTCCTAATGTTACAAATTGCATGCCCAAAAAGGAGACCGAAGTAAGTGTGCATTCATCCATGCGCCCCTTGATCAAGAATCATTGTGAAAGTTCCCAAAGGAGGTTTGAGACCCATATCAGAGATCGAAAGAGTTCACAGTACAGTTCGACTAATGAGTTCCAGCATAGTCCAACCTGCGCATGATAGCTGTCCTGAATCCCAAGACAAACGCCAGCACATGTGCTATCCAAGAAGACTTGCACACAATCGCCTGGTTCAGCATTGTAATTACTTGCCCCTCAGAAACTATCGAAGGTGCATTGATAGCGGCAAGAGCTGCTCTCCTGCAAGGCTGATATTCCTTTGCCTGTGCCTCGAGACACGGCTTGCAATCTTCTGATGTCAGACAACTCACTGGTCAACATCCTTTATTGTGTCCCCACTCTGTCAGCGGTGGTCCCACAACCCTGTGCCTCACAAGACCTCCTAAACACCTTTAGTACCAGCCTGGTTTCTCGTGAAGCCAGGTGTTCCTGGTGGTGGGAAGCACTGGTGGCAGTGACTGCACTTTCAATGCTCGCACTTGACTCAGCACCAGGTCGTGCTCTGTCTGCTTGAAGAGCTCCAAGACACGTGGGGTGAGCTTTCCTTTGGCTAGAACTGCCTCGAAGACTCTGCACACCAGCTCCTCTGGCAGACCCTCCAAACTTGAAATCCTGGTACAAATGTATGATAATTACACTTCAAAAATCACAGTGGTGGGCTCCAGTCCTGGTGTTGTCTAACCTCGGCAAGATCTGCAGAATTTAGGTAGGCTTCAGTCATTTTGATGCGCAGTGACGTACCTATCGATGATTGAGGCAACTTTTTTTACGCTCAGGTCGGTCAAGGTCGGTGATCCTCTTTGTGAAATACTCATAAGTCGCTTTCGTTGTTTTGCGATGCACTCATTTATGTGTTCTTTCGACCTGCTATCCTGTGAAAAACATGCCTTGCACCAACCAGATTGACACCCTTGTATTTTGAGAATTGATTACACGAGAGAACTTGTCTGGAAGAACCTCTGCTCTGATGGCACATTTATAGACCTCAAATCCCTTGGGCCTGCAGCTGCCAGAAGCTGCGACCTGTGACGCAATTCTCACCTACCAAAATCTGTTGACATCAAATTTATTGTACAACGCATGCACATGTACACAAAGCGCTCTTGAATGCATTTCGTTCTCATTGACTCATTCCAGAAGGGGCTCCTGAGCAATGTGGCTGTGCTGGTCTTGGTCCTTGGTGATCCGCCACATGAACTCCGTGTGCTCGCGCGTCCCAATCATGTTTGCAAACCTGCAGCAAAGAGTCACCCTCAATCACTCTAGCACCCAGCGTGGCACCCACAAGCGCCCAGCGGGCGGTGCAGGCACCAGGAAGGACAAAAGGGTGCATGCATGGAATTATGCTGGTCTCCCATGCATTTCCTCTGGACCCAGATGCACCAGATTGCTCCTTCGCATGCAAGAGAGCAATACAAGACGAAAGGACTGGACCCGACAAGGGGGAGTCAGCCATTTGAGTACATGGTACGTAGACAGGACATGGGCAGAACTTCCATCCGCTGCATCCCGCAAAATAATACATGAGCGCACCTCTCGTCGTGGGTGATGACCACGAGCTGGAAGTTGGCCTGGGCGGCACGCTGGGCCATGATCTGGCGCAGGGCGTCGGCCAGGGAGGCCGAGTTGGCCTCGTCCAGGTTGGTGGTGGGCTCGTCCAGCGCCAGGATGCCGCAGTTGAGGCAGAACGTCTCCGCCAGCGCCAGCCGGATTATCAGGCACGCCAGCACCTGCACCCCAACCCAGTTCTCCTTGATGGCCTGAGGTGAAGTCAAAGCAAAGCAAGGAGAATAGTCAGACCTGCCCGGACCAGGTCTGGGCACCCAAAAGTGCATGAAGTGCACCCTCAGAGCAGCTTATCAAAGTCCCGAGCATGTTCCCAACCAAGCCTCAGACAAGTGCATTACTGCCACATGGTGCAAGAGGGCCGCAGGGATCATGACAATGAGTCAGTCAGGAGCGGTAGTAGGTTTAATGCAACACCTTTTGGCCGGCGGAGCAGCGGCCGCGCATGTCGAGTTCGGCGCCGCCTGCGACCATGGTGACGCGGTAGTTGTAGGAGCGTGCGGCCCCATGGTCGGCGTCGGCCGCGATCTGGATGTAGTCGATGTCCTGGTTGCGGTACGTCTTCTGCCACAGCTCCTTCACGATCTTGTTTATGTCCGCCATCTTCGCCGTGTGGAACGCCAGCAGCGCCTTCTCCAGCGCCTACCAAGGGCATGGAATTACTGAATTACTCATCTACCCTTTAGAATTACTTTTCCAAGTGACCCTTTTTTAAAGCGGCATGTTCGACTGGGTGCCCCATCAGGCAAGATTTTTGCAGGCGTATCATCTACTGTCCCATTTTTGGCATACTTTGTCTCCTCAGAGACCGAGCATAGCCAGTCTTCATGCATCCCTGCTTTGCATATACCGGTAATAGAGTGCCGCATCCAGAGGTCATTTGGTGCCTTGAGCTCCATTGGAAGTGTGTCAATAACATGCACATGTATCACTTTTTAGCAGAGGCCCCACCTTGTGGTACTTGTCCAGGTCGGAGGCGGCCATCTCGGTGGTCTTCAGCTCTATGAGCTGCTTGCGGTGCCTGTTGTCAATGTCGCGGTACTCCTTGGCAGACAGGTTCTCCCTGGCCCGCTTCAATCCTTCCCGCACTGTCCCCAGACTCCCCCGCGCCATGTCCTGATTTTTGCAGAAAAACGGCACACATGGCTCATCCCTTCTGCACACTTTCAACAGATGCAAGGCACAGAATTCTTGCTCCTATCTGAGGCTCTTGTGTTTCAAAGATTTGCAATATAACTGTCAGGATGGGCCCTCGGATGTCACCATAATACTGTAATGTGGCTTCTGGTGGCATCCTAGCATGCTATTGAAGCTCACCTGGTCCCGGCAGAATTCTTTCTTCTTTGCCTCAAGCTGGTCGTGCTCATCCTTGATCTTCTCATGATCACCCAGATTGCCCATGTCGGCTGTCACCTGCAGCACATACAAGTATGCCAGTCATCCCCACATGCCCGCCATTCTTCTCCTGCACGCCTGCATGATCCACGAGCGGTCCTTCGAAGGCGCGCGAGACTCTGTTGATGCCAAGTGTGGCGCTATTCATGATCTGTCAAAATATCTGTGGTCCTGCTGCATTTAGACAACCAGTGCGAAAGAAGCCGACGAGAAAGAAAGAAAGAGGAGACCTTGGCGTGGCGGGCTTGCAGCTCCTTCTCTATGATGAGATTCTTCTGGTAGGCCATGCACTCGTCCAACTGGCGCTTCAAGTCATCATGGCCCTTGACATCCGCCTGCAGCCTCCCAATCTCCTCGCTGATGGCCTGCCGCAGCCACAACACACCCCTGGTCAGTGAAGCAGATTAGGGAACCCTGAGCGTAGGGACTGCAGGCATTCTCAATGCACGCATTATCGCCAGACCTCACCTCAGCAAATCATTGGTTCTCAGATTGTTGCATAGACTGAATCAAGCATCCCCGCTCTGATCAAATGAGGTGGTGCCCCAGCTGAAGGTCAAGCGGGTGCCTACAGGACCAGCAGATTGCAAATAGAGCAGAGCAACAGACCAGCAGTTCTAAGCTACGAAGTCACACACCTTGACACGCTCAGCATTGGCCTCCATCCGCTGCTTGCTGGCCTCCATCCCAGCGCCAGCCCGCTTCAGCTGCTCCTCCTTGTCAGAGGACGCGTACTCTTCCACCGGCCGCAGCTTCGCGCGCAGCTCTGACGCAGCTGCATTCGCCTCGCGCAGCCGGCCCTCGGCCTCAGCTTCCCTCGCCCTGGCAGCTGTGCGCTGCTCGCCCCGCTCCCTGTTGTAAAATATGCAACCTCTCTTGAACAATTTCGATTTTGTTTGGAGCACCACTCCGTGTCCTCAGAGAACCGTCATAGTTCAGCACCGCCTTATAGGCATTGAAGACCATCATTGGTGCTGGGTCAGGGGACACAGTGCCTCTGATGACAATGATAGGTACACAGATCCACTTACGGCTCACATATAGCATCAGTGCTGCACTCAGCTTATTTGATGACGCACATGCATTCTGACACCTTCAATATGCTGCACATGGTTGGACCAGATTTCACCGGAGAACATCCACCGAGGCAGAGAGAGCCTCACTTGGTGCGCTGCGCACGCTCGGCTTCCAGCGGCTGCATCTGGCGGCGCAGCTCCTCGATCTGGCGCCCGGCGGCCGCGATCTGCGTCTCCAGGTCCTTCACCTGCGCGTCCAGCTGCGCACGCCGCTCCGCCGCCGCCACCTTGCGCATGGCCTCCTCCCGCACCTGGTGCCATTCGTGCGTCGCGCTGTTCACCTCATTCCTGCAGGCACACGAGCAGCTCACCTCAGCGGAGTGACACTTCACTTCTAGCATGACGTGCAAATATGACGTCCTGCTGACCGCAAGAGAAAGAGGCTTGCTGCATCTCTGAGACCAAAAGCAGGGAAAGAACGACATCTGAAACAGACGGCTCCATTCTTGTCAAGGCATGCATGTGGATGGGGTGCATGCAAGCAAGCGTCAGAGCTTGTCAGCAGTGCACAGGGTCGTGGGCTTTGCAGCAGATTAATCGCAAATTCCTGCATCTGCCACCAGATCTCAAGCATTCAAGTGAATAGCCCCACCTGAGGCGCTCCAGCTTGCGCATGGCGGTGTCCTTTTCGCGCTCGAGGGCGGTACGCTGGTTCTCCAGGGCCTCCATGTCAGTGTCCACATCACCGACGGTGCGCGCGAATCCGCTGGACCGCGCCTGCGCCGTCAGCTGCGCCACGTCCCTCTGAGCCTCCGCCAGCTCCACTGCCAGCCTGTCGATCTGCCACACCACCTCTGCATGCAGCTTCTGCGCTTCCTGCACACCCAATTTTTGAGAAATTCATCAGGCCACATCTCCACAAATTGACGAGGTCCAACGGCCCGCCGCTTGCCAACATGTATACTTCAGCGGCATGCATGACAGCTGCTTCACATTGGTTGATGACAAGTGAGCAGGGGCACATGCATCCCCCAAAAATATTCAAATAGTATTTCTTCAAAGGGTCACTGCTAGCACATTGGGTAGGTTACCTGGAAGGCGTGCTGCGCTTCGGCGGAGTCTGCGCTGGCGTGTTCCAGGGTGTCTGCGCCGTGCTCTGCGGTGGCCTCCAGCTCCTGCAGGCGGTGACGCAGCTGGGGGATGTCTCCCTGGGACAGCGCCTGACAGCGCACCGACGTCGGCTGCAGCTCGCGCAGCGCCTGAAGCCGCGCACCCACATCGGCCAGCTCCCTGTCAAACTGCGCCGTCATAGCCGGAATCTCCCTGAATTGGTCGTCCTGCAGAACGCATCACATGCTCAGTGATTGCACTCAACAAGCAGTAGTCATCAGTCTGCAACATGCCATCCTGCAGGAAATTGCACGGCAACACTTGCTGACTGGGTGCACCCAAGACGCACCACACCACCAGCCTGTAACATGACATTCTGCAGAACACAGAGCATCACCTGTTGCCTAGGTGCACCCGGGGAACAACACATTACCAACTCAATGCTGTGGGTGTTGCACAATTCCTCTCAGGCGACACACAAGATAAATATTGAGACAGGGTACAGAAGTGATATTTGCTGTTTCACGGAAGGAGCGCGCCTGGTATTGCAGAAAGTTCTGCAGTTCTTGCTGGCTGAGGGGCCGGTTGCAGATCTGGCACTTGTGCTGCTCCACGGCCGTCTTCTTGAAGTGCACGATGTTGACGCTGAGGGCGGTGACGCGGGCAGCCTTGGTGCTGGTGTCCTTGTGCTGCCGCTCCTCCTTTGCCATTGTGTCCACGAACGCGCTGTCTTCCACATTCTGCAAGCAGGGCAGAGCACGTAATCTTCAAGATAGTCTATGATTTTCTTGTGCTGCGTTTGTTGGCTACCCTGCATCCTACAAATTTGAGCTGTGGCACATTGACACTGTGAATACCAGCAGTACACCACATTGGAAGGACCACCACCAGTAAAAGTCTTAATTAGTCTTAATTGGAAGAAACAAAGATATACCAACATTACAACTTGGTGCAGCCACATGCCTGGTTGTACAGCTGCGCAAGGCCCTGCTGGATCTTCTGCTGGAGCCTTTTGCACTCGTCTGAAGCTGCCTGCAGCTGTGAGCGTGCCGACTTAAGGAGGGCCTCCGTGCCGGAGTGTTTGGACTGTGCGGCCCGCAGCGCAGCGGCCTTGCTGTCCACATCCTGCTTCAGGTGCTGCAGCGCCACCTCGGCTGCTGCCTTCAACTCCTGAGGCTGTGGCAGACCTGCAGTCACTGAAAAGAGTCAGACGACATATACACATACTTTCCCAGCCACAGAAATACACCTTTGTTGACAATTGTCTTGACGTTGTATGGATCTGACAAGCGAAGCAATGGCCAGCCACTATGCATGGAAGGCAAGGCGGACAAAGCAGGATGCAGCACCTCTGCCTCGGCACTTGAGGAAGGTTTCCAGCCTGCTCTTGTGGCTCTGGATGAGCACGTCGAGCTCTGCCTCCTTGGCATTTACATCCTGGCGGCGCATGCGCAGCCTGGTCCCCTTGTCAGCTTCCACTGCAAGCCGCTCCCTCTCCTACAACACAACGACCGATTGGGTAAGCCCAATAGCCACGAGTGAAGGCATGCATGCCTTCATTCCATCACACCCTCACTTTGTGAATGGCAACTTTGAAAGCAAAGATGAGAGATGGGAGAGCAACTGACCTGTCTCAAGCCAGACGTCTTCCCCTGCAGCTTGGTCAGTTCGGCGGACAGGCGCTGTATGTCCTTGTCCAGACCGGCCTTGTCCAGAGCGGCCTGCCTGGCGGACACCTGGGCCTCTGCTTGGTGTTCCCTCTCCTTCACCTCCTCCAGCATTGCCCTGCTCACCGCCCGCTGCCCGCCGCTCGATATCTGGACAAGCACCAAACACAGAGACCCTTGGGACAGATCTGCAAGGCATACATTATCGAAGTGATAGAGACCAACCACAGGGTACCAGGAAGACATGGTCCCCCAAGCACATTGTCAGGTCAGATATAGCCAATCATGGGTTATCTGGGATATTTAATTTCTGGGTACCTTAGCAAACAGCACATGGTCCCTCCACTCTGAACGGTGAATATGTGAATTAAGATGGGATGTTCAGATTTGTGAGTACCTCGGCCTGCAAGCGGGAGATGGTGGTCTCGCTGGTGCGGATGAAATCCTGCTTGGACCGCACGCCCTCGCGCGCGCCTGCCAGCTGGGTGGTCACGCCGTCCACCTGGCGCCCCATCTCATCATCCCTGCCGGCATTGGCCGCCTTCAGCTGCTGCAGCTCCTGCGTGAGCTTCGCCTCGAAGTCCTGCATCGCCAGCTTCATCCTGCAACATGCACGGGTGCACTCTCAGGACACTCCTTGGTGTGGGATGCACTCTTCTGGCGCGGGAAAGTGTGCATTGGTGTTGGGAACCATTCACCACTTTGTTTGCACGAGAGGAAGCACAGTGCAGCAGCCTTGAGGAGCGTACGCGGCAACATGGCCAGGTGTCAGGGGGCCGTTGGCAGGGAGCTGCATAATGCCGTTGCGCATGGCGAGTTCTCGGATGAAGCGGTCTCTGTCAGCCACGTTGCGGCTGTGTGCCTCCGCGCCGGCTGTCAGGCGGCTCAGCTTCTGCATGGCTCTCTCATGCTGCTCACGCTCTGCCTCCACATTCATCCTTGCACCCTGCAGTGACACCCATACACATTCAGCGACTGGATCACGGCTCGTTAACAGGCCGTCCATATATAATCACCAAAAGCACTTATGTAAGGAATGGCACGTGCAGACTTTTTCACCTGCAGGTCCACTTCTCGTGTGCGCAGCTTGTTGCGGCTGTCGCGCGTTGTGGGCTCCAATGTCTTGGCAAACTCCTCCAGCTCTTCCAAGGATGACTTGAGATCCTCCTCGCCATATGCAGCTGCCAGCCTAGCCCGTGTCTGCACAGCAAGCACACTTCCAGTCTCAGCCACTAACAGGAGCGCTGAGTGCTTTTCCAGAGCTTTATACCAGATGCACAGCCTTCTGAGCTCTCTGGCGTTCTGGCAAATTTCTTAAATGGGCCTTCAATGGCTTCTTGCTCACCTCAGCGTTTGTCCTCGCTGTGACCTCAAGCCGCGTTTTAATATCTCGTTCCTCATCTGCGCAGTCGGCAATGCGGACAAGCTGACTGTCCAACCCATCCATCACCTGTGACAACTCGGAACACATTCATAAAATTCAAGGTGTCAGTGAGAATGAAGCGTTTTAGCTTTCAATCTTTCCGCTTCCAATCCCTCACAAATATCTTCCAGAGTCTAAATCCAGTGGCCACCTACATTACCATGCATCCCATGGAAGCATGGGGGGCATGCATGCCTACGCAATTGCTGGAAGACTCAACAGGTGGCATCATACCTGTTGCAGCTGGGTCAGCTGCTCGTCAATGGCACGGATGTGATCCAGCAGCTTCCGCTCCTGCGCCTCTCCTTCCTCCACATCCCGCCGCAGCCTCGCAGCGTTGTCCTTGTGCGTGCGCAGGTTCTCCAGCCGCAGCTTGAATTCCTTCACATCTGCCATCTTCTCTGTCCTCAACTTCCTGAGTGCCTCCAGTGCCTGCACAGCTGCTGATTTCTGAGGACAGGGGGCCAAAGAGCAGGCATAAATTAAGGGTCTGTGAAGGATGAGCAGCGCACCTTGGTGTACTTTGTGGCTGCAAATATGTCGTCAAACCTCTTCTTCAAGATCTGCCCTTCTGCCAGCGGCCAATTTGAGTCTTCTTGGTGCACGAAGATGACATTTTCCAAGATCGCCTGGAGGGCAGTAAACATGGCCAATTTGGTCAATCAGCCAGAGTACAGTCGACACAGAACTTGAAATGCCGCACTGCCCAGTGAATTGAAGCAAAGGATCACCTTTGATACGCCCATCAAGGAGGGGACTATGCGGTCCATGTCTGCACACCGATAGGACAGAGCTTCCTTCTTGTTGGTGTCACGGTTTATTGTCTGCAGAGTCTGGTCCAGCGCCTTGAATTGCAAGGCGGTCTTTTTCTGCGTCAGCTGCAGCAGAGCACGCAATCGTGTGAGTGGCATCATACCAAGAGTACTTCAATTCTGCAGAGAATCTCACAGACCAGTAGAGAGGATGGTATCTGACCTGAAACGCTCTAATGATCACCACAGGCTGCCCAGTTGCTGTCTTGAAACGCAGCTTGATCTGTGCCTTGACTTCATTCTCCCCAGCGATCTGCACGCAGGGAAGCTCCACATTCAAAAGATGCTAACAAGTATGATGGCAACGACAGGACGTGATTGGACCTCCTCGCTGCAATGTTGATGACCTGAAACTCCTACCTTGGGATCGTGGATGAAGCTTTGCCCTGACCTCGTATTGGGTGGCAAGTCTCCAGTGCAAGCTTGCTTCAGACACTCTATGATTGTCTGCATTCAGACAACGATTATCACGTGTGGAGCAAAGGCCAGACCATGCGTTGGTGCACTGCAGGACGTTAATTTGGAACATTGGAGGGTATGCTCACCGTTTTTCCAGCACCATTGTGCCCAACGATGAGCGTAAGAGGTTTATAGAATTCTATGACGTGCTGATTGTCGGGGCTGAAGCTCCTGATGCCCTTGATGAGCATCTGCAAAGAATGCCAGAGTTTGCATGCGAAGGTGTTTTGGAAGCTTATATCCATTTCAATGGCTCGTGGTTATGTCTGCTACTCCTGGATCTGTTGAGAAAGCCTTCGGGACTTCAGTACACCTGTGCTTGAGAGTTTCAGAGCCTGACTTACCTTATCGATCGTGCACATCCTGCTAAGATTCCTATCTAGTTAGTTCTGCAGGGTCTTTATTCCTCTTTGCTGGACATAAGATCACAATTTGCTTGGGGAAGTAAGGTCCTAAGAGACCAAGGCAGTATTCATCACTCAGATCGTCAGTGTACTGTTGGCTTAATAGTTGCGTGCATTTGCATCTCGCCAGCCCCAATAGCTGTTTAAGAGCATTCAATATATAGTGTAGGCCTTTCCGTGCATTTATGCTGCGGTTGATCGTCCCTTTAGAACAGGAGATCGTGCTGTGCATGCTTCGGCTCAGTGCCAATTGAGGCAACTGAGACACAGCAGCGAACGAAACAGCCATTTTCTTGGGATTTTTGCTCCCAAATTTCACATCACATCGGAATATCTTCCAGTAACAAGCACACTGACTTGCTAGCATCAAAAGGTCCGTCTTACACTTCGTGACAATGATGATCTTGTTGCTAACTACTAGATAGTATCCAGGAACTGGATTCCAGTTGCTTCGAATACGCGTGCTCTATAGTAAGCTTAATTAAGCTGCTGCAGCGGATGTCATCAGGTTGATCGCTCTTTTGTATCATAATTAAGCTGAAAAACCAGCACAAGACTCCGTTCACTATAAGACTTCGCTTCTGATCACAAGCTTGACGCTGAGTCCATGAAGTAGCCCCAGGAATCCAGACGAGCGCAGTCAGCTTCAACTTGACACTTGAGTCACTTATTCTGTATGGTACAGGGTACACTACTGTACTCATTGACTGCCTGAGATACGACACTGGCACTGACGCCACCAGAACTGAAGAAGTTTACAACCGTGGCAATCATAATTTGCCGCAGGCACAATGGGGATATCAAGTGAGCTGCCAGGCTGCCCCCAATGCTCAACAGCTTGGGGGCAACACATGAGCAACTTCCATCATGGTGCAACATGCTGGGTAATGGGTATCATCATGGCATTCATGCAAACATGGCACAAAGCATCTCACGCCGAAGCTGGGGCCCTCTTCAGACCGACACGTTTGTTTGAGAGGGCGCCGGGCCCCAGATTACTCAGGATGACATCAGCCACATCCGCCAGGCCCACCGTGAAGGTTCCAATCTGTTGGATGGTCAGCAGGCTGATGACAATCCTGGGACACCACTTGCTGAGAGCCCAGTGTGGCAGCGATACCTCAGCCTCCTCGGTGAATGTGTGCAGGGCCCCGGCAGGTGCATTGGCCGGCTTCTTGTCTGCTTCATAGAGGACACCTGAGCATACACCATGTTATCCTATTACCGATAGATTTGCTGGAGCACGTCACCCTGAATTGTCATTACTCATTGTCATGGTGGCTGCGCAAATACAAAGGGACATGGTATACCTGGGCAGATCAGCGACCAGTCCAGCCCTGCGGCCTTGTCAGAGAGCAGCTCTCCATAATTCTCTGTGTGTATCCTGCTTTGGTGCAGACAAGTCAAGGTATTTTGCGTTTGAGCACAAAAAGCGTTGCACTGCATTTATGGGTACCGACCGTGACATGTGCAGACAGCGTACCTGTACGGCGTTCGGTACAGCATTGGCAAATCATTGAAGGACTTGAGTTTGTCTGATGAGCCTGGCACGTCCAAAGCTGTGACACCACCCAGCATCCACAGTTTCTTTGGAGGCTCCAAACACTCTGCCACTGCCTCAACAATCCCTGCGCTCAATCACCCCGCCTCTTGTCTGTGGCTTGCATGAGAAAAATGGCACTGAAGCCACCAGTAAATAGGGTTGCAGATGTCAGTACCCTTGAAGAGAAGATGAAATTGTTGGCCGTCCTTTGCGTGCCCAGCTGCATTTATGGCAACAGAATGGCCGCGCACTGCTTGTCTCACTGCAGCGCCATCCATGGCATCTCCCTCTATGACCTGGGGAATCAGCACATATTATCTGGCATCAATGTTTCGTCTTGCATGACATCTTCCCAGGTCAGTACATGAGGATTGGCTAAGGTTCCAATCGTGTCACACACCCTGCATTGACTGAGAATCTCAGACGGGAGGAGCCCTTCCAATTTCTTCTTGTTCCTCACAAATAATGTGACATCTTGCTTATCCTGGACGGCTGCTTTCGCGATGGTCTGACCCACATTCCCCGTTGCACCGAAGATGATCAACTTCATTGGGACCTTAGATGTCTCTCTCAAAGGTATTGTGCAGAATGTCTATAACGCTTTGCTAATCTAGAGGCCTTTTATGTTGTTCTGCACCTGCTATGGACCTTGCCTTTCAGCTTGCCTCAAGAATCGGCAGATCTGCGGGACTGAATGTCCCCAATCTGTCTTGCAAGTAATGTATCCTCAGAACCGACGTAAACACTGCCCTTTCGAAGGAGACAAAGCTGAGGGGATCGAGATTTCGCGATCTCCATTTCATCGGACTCCCTTGTGCCAAATTTGTCTCCATGAGACTTCAAACTTCAAGATGCAGGATCAAATGCTCGGATCCAAGAAATCCAAGGAAATGTCACAAGTGCTCTACAAAGGGTGATTCTGGGAAGCTTTGCATCTGTGCCGCTGAGATATCTTTGGACATCACCTTGTATACCTTTGGGGTGTCCATTAGAACATCTTGCTAGGAAAGGCAGTGGATAGCTGTCCGACTCGCACCTATTGCCTTATAGATCATCTCTTGGAAGCCTCGGCGCGAAGATCAAGAGGAGCAGACAGTCAGAATGTGATCATTGTCGAAGACTCCAGGTGTACGATGGCCAAGCAACAAGCTGCTGCCCATCTGTTGATGATCGTTCCTGTGGCAAGCGCTTGCACAGGCCTTCTTCTGTACTCAATATACAATCACAGAGCACAAGAAGCCAGTCAAGAGTTGATCTGGCTGCTGGATGGCAACAAAACTGAATTCAGGCAAGCAGAAACACACTTGGGCTCATGAGAATTTTCCTGCGCAAACGAGTCATTGCATGGAGGTTTCTGTTGCACGTTGTCCTGCCAGAGTAAAAGCATTACGCTAGATCTCGTTCTGTTATGCAGGCAATTATGTACCTTTATAAGTTCAGCATTTTGTGGTGCTGGCGTACTTTGTCTGCTCACTCTACTTGGCACTGCAAGGCTTGCACTGCGGAGAAGAAAAGCTAAAGGCTCATGGTCTCTGCATCCACGAAAAGAGCCACATCAGCGTGTGGCGCCTGCCACTGCTGCTGGTCTGTGCATTATGCTGGGTCTGGCTGCTGTTTGTGCCATGGGAATGCTGGCAGGAAGCTCAATGCTGACAGCAATGGACCACACTCTCAGTGTTGCGCTTGGTCGGGCTACAACGGTGACAGTCTTGCTTTCTTTCTCTGTTTCTAGATACCGTGTGATCATTCGTCCCAGTTTATCCTAGCAAGGATCTTCCCTGGCCAAAACACACATAATGTTTCATCAGATCTGCAACCTGCGCAGGTCTACACGACTGCTGAGGCAGCTCTGCTTGAGGGGCAGCGCGCACTTGAGCTCAGTCTGAAACCCCCCCAGGACCTACAAGATGCTTTGTCCCATGCAAAGGCATCCCTGCCACCGCCTCCAGATCCGGTTCAGCAGGTCTTGGGCGCCTTTGCAGATTCAACTTTGAGCAAACTATGTGAGATACTTTCCAATTACCAGCAATCAAGCTTGATGAAATTGTACAAGAGATATTCCCCAATGAAGATTGGGATAAAGCCCACATTGGATCCATGCAATGGGCTCACAATTTACATCACATGGGTGACAGATTCTGGTGTGCATTGCAGTGCAACCAGCAATGGATGGAGTGCAGCAGGCAGTGAAGGAGAACATGGACAGGGGTGCAGCGAATCTGACAAAGAACAACACAGCACTGATTGCCCTTGTTGCTCAGTTGGAGAGGCTGCAAGGGGCGCAGCAGCCAGCTGGGGGCGCATGCCTGGAGCCCTGCCTGGACCTGGGGAAGTACCCAATGCTGCACAGCTCTGCATGTGTCTGCGCACACCAGGCTCTAAGCCACATGCATGACCTTGCGCTGCATGCGCGATACCTGGGCGCTGTTGCAATAGCCGGTGCGCTGCATGCCCTTTCTCCGAGAAGAGATTACATGTATGAGAATAAGTGATTTGCAAACTCTGGAACCTGGAAGGATAGTTTCTCTTCATCGGTGTACAGTGACTGGCAAGTGGAGGGCTGATCACATTTGCTGTGGCAGGATCTGCAACGGTGGCAGTGGGCCTTGTCTGGCTTCTGGGACACGTGGCATTTTGGCTCGGCGGGATGCATGCCAAGCACATGATTGTGCAGCCTACTCTTTCATATGAGCATCTCCCACTGAAGAGCGCCATTGCTAGGGACATCAGTGAAGACAGCCTCATACCGGCCGAGATTGAAATGGGAAGCACCCTCCCCCAGGACTCCATGCAAGGTGAACAGAACAACCTTGACCTACTGTGACGATGTAGCATCACCAGCGCTGCAAGGAGGAATACTGAAATCACACAAGGTGACATCTTCGGATGCCCCGCAGGAACACCGCAGGGAACACAAATGGCCGAAGTTGAATGCTAAAATGGCGACCAGTGCCATCAGAACCTTTGGCCAAGCTGTTTGAGGGTAGCTTGGTACATCATGCATTCATGGCTGCGTTTGATTTTGGAAACTGTACGGTTTGCATGTTGTGTTGAACCGTTGCATTTGATTTGTGCTTACAGTCGTATCCACACTTGGTGCCACCGTTGTTTAGCTTTTGCTCAGGAGCCGCACTTTGACGGCCAATATAAGTTGGCTCTGTATCAATGGCTGAGGTTTGCCAATTCCAATGGCAGCATGCGCATCACTAGCCACGCCTATAGGACTAGCTAGTGATTTCAGGAAAATCCCTGTTTGTAGCTAGCAGGGGTGCTTCACCTGAAACCAGCTGCAGCGCCAATGTATGATTTCTCTGATGAAAAGGAGGGATCCTGAATTTGATGATCCTGGATCTGAAGTCCTGCTGAAATTCCATCTGCCCGATCCTGCCCAACCTCCCAGCCTGCCCTTTGACCCTGTGATCGAGTAACGGCCAAATCCGATGGTGTCAGCAGGCATGTACTCGCATGTCTCTTTAAGTGACGCATTTTAGGATGTGTTGAGACAGATAGTAAGGAAACTGCAATATTCGTTTAGTGAGCTACTACTGTCTAGTACACCCATTGCCTTGTCCATGCCACATTTTGTGGGTTTGTCTTGTCCAAAGATTAAGATCGGAGTCATATGACTCCGTGAAACAAGTATTGAGCTGATTTGTTCTAAAAAGAAACTTGGATCGCCCGCCAAACAGAAGCATCGGCATATATACTAAGATGATGTAGCAGCACAGAACTATGAATCTGCAACGACGTGTGTCCAGCAGGGACTGTCCGATTGCATCATATTATTGCGTTTTGATCAGCACAAAGGCTTACCCTAGGACAGACTAGGAAGCCAAACCTGAGCGCAATAGCTTGTATCCAGAAATGGAAGTGGTGGAGCCTGGTTCCCTGGATGCTGAGGTGAGGAGGCAACGCGGCAGGTGTCCATCAGAGGCACCTAGCAGGCAGTCTATCAGATTTGGTCAGAGGCAGGCCTTGTCCAAATTGCCACACCACCAGAATAGCTCACAGCTGCAGGAGTGTCTGGACCCTGTTCGGGGAGTGAGGGATGCACTTCGAAGGTGATGTCATCAATCAATTCCCAAGCTTAAGGTCCATACAGGACAAATTTACAAGTGGTGCACTTAACTCTGCCAAGGAGCGGCACATGTGCAAGCCAGCGGATGCCTTCTGTGCATCCATCTACAGGCATGCAATGGTGCACTGAAGCTGGGTAACGATGTGCAGGCAGGGCATAAAGCCGGTCAATCATGCGCAGAACAATGTAGCAGCCATTCAGGCACAAAGTGACAGGATTCGGACATTGAAAAAGCAGCAAGAGGAGGCAGCCGAGGCAGCGCAGAGATCCAGGCCCACATCTGCAGCCTCTGTGAGGAGCAGTGGATATGCCAGCCCACACTACACACCCAGGTGTGAGCACCTTGAAAAATTCAGTTCAAATAAATGATCACGTTCATTCAGCGATTGCGCGCAGCGTCACGCACAGACCGTAAGGGATGCTCAAATAAATACTACTGAATAGCAGGCAATCTTCTGAAAAAAAAAACGCTGATGGTTGCTCATCAGGCGCGCCTCATTAGGCGCAAAGCAGAGCGATGCACAGAGCGAATTTGGGCGCAGCAGCTCACAGGCCCCTGCTCCATTTGTCCCTGTGGTCAGAGCGCGCCCCACAAGGGATGATGGTGATGCGTGGCTGAAGAAGGATGACTATGGCTGCGTACCCCAGTATCTCATCCACCGGCAGCTAGAAATGGCTGCCGCATATGCTGAAGAGCAGGTGTGACTCCAGCATTGCCATTCAGGCATTCACAAAATGACACTTCACATGCACACTTCCGTGCCCTTATCGTGAAGGCACTTTGAAGTGGGTGAGGGCTTTTAGATCAGTGGGTGTGCGCAGGCTGAGAGAGAAGCAGCGAAGATCCCTGATGGGATGCGGCTGCTGCCTGAGGAGGAGCGCCTGGAGATGCTCAGCCTCCTGGAGGCCAGCAGAGACGAACTAGAAGCAAAAATACGGGTATGATCGCCACAAATCAGCATGTTACTATGGTGGACGAACGGTCCCGATGGTTACTCAGTACGCGCCAGTAGTGCAATCTCATCGTTTGAACATGTTGAGAGGAAGCCAAACAATGCTGTAGCTTCAGACAGGCAGGACTCTATGCGACAGGCGTTCCCTTCTGTGAGCACATGCCTTGGTGTGTGCAATGCAGGCACTCCCTTTCATTACAGAGACTGTCAGCCAGAAGAAGTACAAGGCCGGCCTGGAAGCAAGGCTGACGGAGGTTGAAGCAGCAATGGAAGCGTTTGAACAGCCTCATGTTCTTGTGCCCATGTGATGGCCGGCCCAACTGACTGTTGGCCTAACTGTCATCAGATCCTTGTGGGTGGCCAGGGAAGTGAACTAGATATCTGTGGTATTACCACAGTTGGGCCCCATTCCGGGAATGGTGCAGTATTACCGATTTCCTTCACATTCGTCTTGCTCGCATTTACCCTTTTGACCATGGTCATGGGATTTGGGCAATTGTTTGGGCAATCATTGCTTCTATTGTCATTGCGGCATTGCTTGTATTTTACCGAGGACAAATTGAAGGCTCTCTTCAAGTTGCATTCAGCTGAGGACAATTGTTTGCAGGCATTCTTTGCATGCATTTCTGACAGCACCAGGCTGCTGGCAGCAAAATCGGCTCTGTTGCTGATCTCAGTCCAGGTGTAGCAGTGTGGCCTGTATCTGTGCCAAGGAGCGCTGCTTTGTCTCCACCATGAGCGCAAACACAAAGATCGCTCCCAGGACATTCAAGACCTGCACATCCAAATCTCACTCTTGTCAGTCAGACCGGAAGCACCAAGTGGTTGAAGCTGCATCCTTACAACATCTGCAAAACACCCTGGCACATGCCTTGGCGGCAGAGCAAAGGGAATCCAGAGCGCTCACAGCGTAGACCAGGTAAGCGCCGCCGAGGTGCAACAGGGCGAGCATTGCTGGGAAGGTGAGGCCCACGATGAGGTTGCTGAGCCAGTTGAGGCTGGTGCACAGCGCAGCGGCGGGGCCCTTGATCTCATTGGGCAGCACCTCGGGCAGATACACCCAGGGGATGGGCCCACTGCCAATTGAGAAGCCCAGCACAAAGCCCATCACTGCGATCAATGACACTGCTCCCTCCACCACCCTTGACACTGCGAGCATCAGCACATGCCTCAACGCAGTAAAGTGTTGGCCGTGAAATTACAAACACATAAGTAATGCAGGAGCAATCCCAATAAGATATGCACACCCTTGCAAGTCATACAGATATCCGCTGATAGCTGCAAAGGAGCTCATGTGTTCCTGAGCGCAAGGGCTAGTAAGGGCAATTGCAGGGGCTCACATGGCAAATATGTTGAGATAGCGAGCGCAAAGAGGCAAGCGGCCATGACAATGTGGCTGGTGAGCAGCAGCTGGCGACGGCCCGCCCTGTCCATCAGCGTGGCTGCCAGCAGGGTACCAGCAACATTGACTGACCCCACTATGATGCTGCCCAGGACGGGTGAATCCAGGCCTGCCTTTGCAAAGACCTGCCCAAACAGTCACACATGTTTTCAGAGGAAATCACGCAGCAGCTTCCAGCCACTTGCTAGCATATTTTAACCGCAATGGCTTTTCGCAGAAGCAGTCTGCGTTGACATCAAGATCTGCACGCAGGGGGGCACTCACATCTGAGGAGTAGAACACAACGGTATTGATGCCTGATGCCTGCTGCAGAATGGGGAGGGCAGCGGCCAGGATCATGATTCTCCTATAGCGCCTCTTCAGCAGCGAGCCCCATCCACCCTCCAACACAGACTGCTCCTGTGGATTTAGGCACAGCCAATAAGTAAGCACAAACCTTGAAGCCCCTGCCACCAAGTCTTATGACACATTTCATTCTGAAGAGATGCATTGAAGGCTATCCTACCAAGCAAGATCATGGGGTAACACACAGATAGAGAGATTGATCTTGTGCTACTGTGCAATCTCACCTCTGCAGCTTCCTCGCCTTGCAGAGGCTCCTCCAGGTTGGATGTCTGGTCCACCTCACCCTCTTCCCGCCACAGAGACCCCAAGAGCCGGTGCTCATTGTAGAGGGCCGTGGCCCGCCTGCCCTTCCAGTTCAGCCACACTGGGCTCTCCGGCGTGAACAGTAATCCCACTGCCTGTTGCAAAAATTCCAGCACACTTCAGATCAACATGCTTTATAACAATAATGATGCATAACGCAACCAGCAACGGAAAGGGACTAGAGAAGTTTTGACGCCCACCTGCAGAAATGCAGGGATCATGCCGAAGAGGAACATGACGCGCCACCAGGAGACAAGGTGGGACCCCACGACGACAGTCTGAGGCTTGTTGTGCTGGTAAGGCAAGCCCACCAGGTATGCCACCAAAATTCCAACGCAGATGAATGCCTGAACAGCACACCAGTTTTGAGAAATTTTTAATGAGATCAAAGTTCAATCGCCAATTTGGAGTGATGCAGAATTCTTCAGTACTGTTCGATAAGGCACAAGGGCAGCTGAATTGGCAGACCTGGTTCAGTGTGGCCAGAGCGCCCCTGATGGAGATGGGTGCAACTTCCGAGATGTACCGAGGGACATACAGTGAAGCCGCTCCCGCTCCCACTCCTGCCAAAGCACGGCCTGCATGGCAAGCCACAGGAGCATGGCTCAGCATTATAAGTAAAAGTTGCAAACGCGCGTGGTTTGGCAGGCTGGTAACTGAAGATCATGTATCCCTTCGCAGTAGCTTGCCTGCAAGGAGTCCCCAATAGCCCCCAGGGGCGGCGGCACACAGAGCTGTCCCCACCAGGAGCCATGCATTGTTGATCAGCAACGCCTTCTTGGGTCCCAGCGCATCTGCAGCCTGGCCAGCAAAGAGGGAGCCCACAACTGCGCCCACCACCACTGCAGACACCACCACTGCTCCCTGGCTGGTGAAGTCCAGGCCCAGATCTTTGGTGACCCAGAAAAGTGCTGTGTTCAGTATCCCGAGGTGGTACCCTGCGAATGCATCGCCGATGACACTGTCAAGGAAAGGACCCAGCTACGTGACTTCCCTGCAGGTACAAGGCTGTGGGGCCTACTGTCTAGGAAACATTGCAGCAGTTGACCTGCCATCAGATGGCAGCATCAGATGGAGGGAAATAATTAGAGACAGAAAGCATTTCAAAATGGCGTTCAGATCTCCAAGCGAAACGGCTTGCAGAACTCGGCGTTCATCACACGGGGGAAGTTGTCTTGGATGCTCACCAAATTGATAAGAACCTAGCAGGGCAAAGCATACGGTGATCCATAACATCGCAGGGTATGCCATGATGGATTGTTTGGGATTGCGTCTCGACATTGCTACTTGCTTGCGGGGCAAAGTCCCCCTAGCAAGGTGAGCACCTCAAGGATTTGCACGCTTGATCTATGTTTCTAGGTTCCACATCGACAATATCACTACAATAGCGTGTCTGGGGGATGAGCACAGCAAAATGAACGGGACTTTAGTTTTGCTGGACTTCGTGTCCAGTTTTATCGCACCCCTTGAATAGAAGCATGGGAGGGAGTTGGCTAAGGGCTTCAGAGGGCTCCTTCGCGCCAGGCAATCCAGGGCGTCTTGGCTTTGTGTGCCTTGCAAAAGCGTCTTCAAATTGTGCAAGTCAATCTTGTCGTGTCATTGCTATGCACAAGTGACTCCAAGGGGTCATATACAATGACATTCCACAGCTTCTTGAGCTCTGCTACTTCGACGTGCGGTGGATCTTGGGCTGTCGGACTTCTGCTTTTCGTGGGTGCTATTCAGGGTCTGAAAGCTCTTGTTCGCTTCGCCTCTGGCATATATGTGTACTACCTTAGACCTGGCAAGAACTTGAAAAGGCTAGGACAGTGGGCAGTGGTGACTGGAGCAACGGATGGCATTGGGAGGGCGTATGCTGATGGTCTAGCCAAGAAAGGTGAATCCTTGAAATTATACGATTAAGTTGATGATTCCAAAGTGCCTTGTGAGGTGCATGATGTGCATAGTGACCAGAGAGCTCAACTTGCAACGTGCACTTGTGACCCTTGTTCTTGTGAATTTCTGGGTCGTTGCTTTCTAAAGCTCACATATAAGTTGATCCAAAAGTTGTTTTTGTATCCCCTACTCCATTTAATCCCCACCTGCACCTCGCCTGAATCCCAGTTTGCCTTTCACACAAGAAAGTGGCTGCCTCGACCTTGTATGGGGAGGCATACCTGCTTGTCTATTTCCCAGCATCCTGCATCAAACGTGTCAAAGATGAACTTTGTGACAGTTCTTCAATTTAGCCATGCATGGACGTGAAAGAGTTGTCAGCCTGCAAGGAGATCCTCCGTTGCACAGCTGCTGCGGTGGCTTCCCAGCCAGGGTGGCTCGCATCTGAGCATGGTGGCACATGCATGAGCACATTGGCAGATACAAAAAAAACGATCCGTTCATTGCTGCTGCAGGCTTGAACGTGGTTCTCATCTCACGGACGCAGTCTAAGCTGGACACAGCTGCTGGGGAGATAGAGGCCAAGTACAAGGTGAAGACCAAGACGCTGGCTGTGGACTTTGGCAAGGCCGACGGCGCCACCTGGGCCATGCTGAAGGCTGAGCTGGCGCCGCTGGCTGTGGGGATCCTGGTGAACAATGTGGGGGTCTCCTACCCGCATGCAGAGTACTACGAGGCCATCGATGACCAGCTCATCGATGACCTCATCAACATCAACATCCAGGCCACCAACAAGGTGGGCACCACAGCCTCAGGCTTTAAACCTCCCTGAGATGCAGAGGTTCTGAGGCTTGACGTTTTACAGTACGATATATGCATTCAAAAGCCATGACTCTGTGAGAAATGACCTCGGTGCTGCTGGGCACGCATTCGACTGGTGGAGGGAATGCAAGAACAACCAAGTCTGGAAAGCAATAATCACATCTTGCTTGACATATTTAGCTCTTAAGGACTGGAAAGCGTGAACAATGTTAAGAATAAGTCAAAATCCACCATTGGTATCAAAGCCTGGTTCCCCAGAGAGGGTGAAGATGGATTTGTGTGTGGGGGCCAGATGACGCGCATCGTGCTGCCGGGCATGAAGCAGCGCAAGAAGGGTGCCATCGTCAACATCGGCAGTGCAGCGGCCACTGTGGCGCCTTCTGGGCCCCTGTACGCGGTGTACGCCGGCACCAAGGTGCGCCCTGCTCCCTGCCTGCCTGCTTCAGACAAGACTGCGCTTTATACTTTATGCCTCTGTTTGTGTGATCGCCTCTAGAGCGAGCAGGGTGCTCCTGCCGGGGGGTCTATAAGCATGCAGGGTTGGTTTGTGGGTGCTGCCGTCGCCTGCCAAGAAATGCAAGGTTGCCTTAGCTCCTTGCAATGGGCATGTAAATTGAATCAGGTCCTCATTGTGTGAGGGGTAGTAGCAACCCCCACATGAAAGGCTCTAGAAGCTTTCTTGAGCGGAAGTGGACCCCCAAACGGAATGATGTGCCGTGGCATTCATGTCATGCAAGCCTGATACTTACATGCCGGGCTGCAGGCGTACGTGGACATGTTCAGCAAGTCGCTGGACCTGGAGTACCGCCAGTTTGGCATCAGCTGCCACAACCAGGCGCCCGCGTACGTGGCCACCAAGATGTCCAAGATCCGCAAGCCCACCATGGACGCCCCCTCGCCCGCCAACTGGGTCAAGGCCGCCATCGCCCACATCGGCTACGAGGTCACCCAGTGCCCCTTCCCGTGCGTCCCTGTCCCCTACCCCTCTCATCCTATCTTGTAATCCAGTGGATCCACAGGCACTAGCCAGACCTCTTGTTGGTCAGCCATGTCTCTTCCTCTGCACATCATCAGTTCTGTGGTGTACTGCCGCTACTAAAAGGTGCTCCATATGGTGTTGTCAGCGCGCAGTCTTCCAAGCATGCAGTCCACGCACAGAAGAGGTGTGACAGGCTGCTCCAGGGAATGCATGCTTGCCAGTTGCCAGAGTATTTTTTTTTCTGTGAGGAGAATTCGCTGTTTGAAGGGAAGGCGATGGATTGCAGGTACCACGGTGCGATGTGGGGCATTGTGAGCAGCGCGCCGCTGTCTGTGGTGAACCTGTACCTGCTGCACTTCCACCTGCTGCTGCGCAAGAAGTACTACAAGAAGCTGGAGCGCGAAGCCAAGGCCAAGGGCCAATAGACTCGTATCGTCAGTGGGAATGAACAGTTGTGACAGCATGTTCAGCGCTACTTTGCTAGATGCAATCACGGCAGTGGCGAGCAGGCACTCAGCACTGATGATGTGCTACACTGAGAAGTTGATCACCTGAAAAGGAGGAAGAGGTTGTGCAGGATCTACTGGACACTGATCTGAGGAACCTGGAGTGTTACTTTATTGAATTGGGATCTTTGCATCACTTGAGAATTGAGAGTGGGGCATTGCCATGGCAGCAAAAGGGATTGACTCGAATGTGCACCTGACTGAGAGTCAAACCTTGTCCTTTCAAGGCAAACCTGTACTCTGCTGGCGGCACTGACGTCGGTGTAATCATGTACTATGCTGGAAGATCTTCAGTGCATATTATCCCACAGCATCGGAACTGGCAACCTTGCATACACACATGCACCTACAGCGCTAGCATTGACGAGCATGCCAAATGAACCCGGTCCAAAAAAACAGCAGAGCCTCTTGAACAGCCAATAGCAGCTCTGCCGTATGCTGAATGTGTCACCAGGATCTAATGCCGCGCAGCATTTTATTCCTCCTCCCCCATTTGCACAACCATGGCAAAACAACTCCGCTGCACATAGCCCAAATAGCGCAGCAGTCTTTCCTACACTTCTATGTGTCAGCTGCCTGGTGCCCAGCCGCAAGGAGAGAAGCTTCCAGGAAACAAACTGAAACTGATCAGGGCCAGTAGTGGATGTGGAGGCCGCGGCTGCGCAGCTTGTGGAATGACTGCATGGCGTCCTCCATGGATACCTGGTCCTCCAGGTTGAAGATGTCCTTGCCAAAGTGCAGCTCGTAGAAGTACTCGGCCACGTACTTGGCGGCACCGGCCTCCTGCAGGAAGGGCTTGAGCATGCCCTCCTCCACTGCCACATTCCCCTCCACATCCATCTTCACCACTATGAAGTCGCCTGCACCGCAGCGCTCACACCATAAACCTGAAAGCTATGAACTATAGCCAGGCGTGGTTATATGAAAGCTTTTAAAATTTTTTAATATGGAGTCTGCCCGGGCCTTGCCTTTCACTGCTCGGGGTGATTGAGCGCCGCAGAGACAGAGTAAGAACTGTCTTCAAGCAGCCCTGCTTTGCATGTCAGTTCCAAGGTGCCAAGTTTACAGGTCATCAGAAGCCTTGGAAATATATATGAGATTCACTAATACACATTGCAGTCACATTGCACACATCTGCAGGAGGGGGGCTCAAAGGGCGTTGCTTGCTGGCCACCACTTCTGAAGGGTCTTCACTCTGCTGGAGAAGGACTGGCAAGAGCTTGAAAGCGGCACACCTGGCTTGTAGACGCTGCGGATGATGTTCATGGGGTAGGAGGGTGAGTTGTGGTTGCCGCTGATGGCAAAATTGTAGAAGTGCAGCTTGGGCTGCATCTCCTCCGGCACATACTTCCAGTACTTCTGGTAGGGGTCCTTGGCAAGCTGCAGCAAAGCCCCACAGAACAAAAACTCACGCATTGATTGCTTCACACACAGTATTCTGTCACATGATCACTGTAATTGGAAAGGAATTTTGTGTTATTGCCTCCACTGACTGCGCATTATTTGCACTATTGAAAGACCAGAAAAGTAATAATTAAGTACAAGGTTGGTAGCTTACCTCTGGGGACACCTCCCAGGCCCAGATCTCATCAAAGTCAACGCCCAGCGCCTTGTAGCGATCGGTGACCCATGACAGGCTGGTGTTGTAATGGGATGTGCCCAGGTCGAACAAGTACCTGCACAGAGAGCAGCTAGATTTATGAGTTGGGGGCTTACACCGCTTGGCATCCTGGCCATGAAGCATGCAGACAGAGTAACACAGCCATGGTGAAAACATTGCACAGGATGTCAAACGGGTCAAAAAGAAAGGCGCGCACTTGCGCCCTGGGTAGACAGCCCGGAAGAACTGGGATGGCACCGCGTTCATGATCAGGTACTCCCGATCCTCGACTGGCACCTCCTGCAGTTTGCACCACACGTCAGCTGAGGTGCTGACCCCCTGCCACAGCGCGGCGGCACTAGACGAATGGCACTCTGCAATCTTGAGGCCAGCCAGACCGCGGATATGTGCCAGAGAAGACAGATGAGCCTGCATGCTGACCCAATGTGGTCCCTTGGAACCCAAGGTGCCAGCTTGGCCTGTTTGAAGTGACAGCACCTGATGTCAAGAGGTGTTCAGAAACATAAGAAAATCTGGCAGGGATCAGGATGCGGACCTCCTTGGGTTTATTGGGGAATGGGCAGGCGCCCCAGTAGGGGTTGCGCAGGTGGCCCACCAGCGGCTCCATGGGAACCTCCAGGCTGCGAGGCAGCCCGTTGCTCGGGCACACATTCCTGCGCACAGCAGCACCAATGCAGCTGTACTGTCAAGGCTGACATGTGCACACGATATAAAGGGTTGTGACTTGACTATAAAGGCATGTGAGACAAGTGAACAGTAATAGGTGCACACGGAAAAATATTGGCACATGCCCTAGCATCTGGTTGCGCAGATGAAAGCACTCAATGCCTCAATTTTTTGTCAATATTATTGCACGTTTTCCAGTCCTTAAGGACTATGTACATCAAGCAACACCTGAATAATTGCTCTCCAGTCTTCTCGGTTCTTGCACTCTCTCCACCAGTCATAAATGCCTCAACATATGCCTTGACAAGTGAACAACATGTACAGAGAACCTGCATATGCTACGGATGACAGGTAGGTGTATGATCAGGGAGAGATGCTGAGCTGCACCTGTAGACGAATTTGGGGAAGGTTGTTGCGTTGAAGGCGGAGAGAGTAGACTGGGAGGGTCCAGTTTCGTTGTAGCGCTGTGCCATGGCCATCCAGTGCTCCACGCGGTCGGTGTGCTTCTGCATTGTCTCGCAGATCTTGGTGCTGTACTCTGACGCGTGCAGGTGCCAGTCAGCCTCCCAAGCGGATGGCACGTACTCCTGTACATGTGGAAAGTGACATTTTCATTCTTTTAGCTTGGATGGCATAGGGTTCCCATCATCAGATACTTTTCAGGAAAGTAACGCTGCTCAACGCATAGCAGCATGGACGTCAGCACTTTTGCAGTTGCAGAGATATTGGATCTTTCAAGCCGTGATCTGCTACGATGAAATGAGCAGTGGGAGTAATAAGGGGACGTTGTTCCTTTTGCAGACGAGCGACCTATGCCCTGCAAATGACCCCTATGACACGAAGGCACGTCCTAGGAGACTTCTTCTAATAAATTGGGTTTCGGAAGAATATATCGTAAGCAGCGCACCACAAACTCGTACGACGGGGCAGACTTGTGGCAGCCCCGCTTCCCTCCAGTGTATACTGATGCTGCTCCGCCGGCAGGTAGTTGCACGCTGATCTTATTCGGGTTGTGCCAGATCTGGGAACTGCTGACAATAGGAACGCTGTTTACGGCACAGAGCACAAGCGCGCATCTCAGAACGGTCGAGCAAGAAGCCATCCTGTGAATCTTTGCCAATCACAAGTAAAGTTTGATCAAGTAGATGGGTTATTCCATTTCGATGCTTATTTTATGACGTGTGAAGGTTTGATACATTGCTTGTATCCGGAAGAAATGAAAGTGGCCGCCTTTGGGACATTTGTTCAGTCAGCTGTTTCTGCGCGCTTTCATACGCTAGACGCCCTTTACTCCTATCTAGGCTCCTCTACCTCTCCAACTTGGCGAGTAGATTTCCATTGCATGCGCGAGCTTGACATCAACAACATCAATCTTGTAACACTTAGTGTTACGCGTAATCACTTTATTTGAGCACACACGCCCCCAATGCTTGAAGCCTAATAGCTGATATCACCAGTCCCTTACACAGATCATCTGTGTAAGGGACTGGTGCATGAACAGATGCGGCATGATGCCGCATCTGTGCCACAGATGCCGCATCTGTGCCACCAGTGGTCTCACACCGTGTGACACATGACATGTGCACAACAGTTGAACTTCAACTTGGAATTGGACACACATTCGCCTGGGACACAATTGAGAAGACAGAAAAGGTGTTCCGTTGCGGTTTGGTGAAGCGCCTGCAATTGCCACAATGTCACTTCCCCAGGGCCTGCATATATATTCCCAACTTGCTTGAAGCACGCTCAATGCTGCATGATGAAAGAGAATGCATCCATTCCACCAATAGTCCCAACGCTCAGTTCAGGCCTTTTTGACTGCACAGGCTCAGCTCGCAGAAGTACACACACTGCATCACGGGTACTCGGTCGCTTCTCCTGTCTCGCCCGGCTTCTCCCGCGGGTTGGCCTGCCTCCTCCTCTGCGCCAGCTCCTTCGGCAGCGGCGTTGCCAGCCCCGGTCCGCCAGCCTGCCACACTCACACAGCACCGCTTCAGCCCTCCTCTTGCGCTATACACCTGCAACAGTACTTCATCTCCCGCGCCCTATGCACCTCATCATTACACACGCGTCTGCAGAATGCGAGCAAGCATGCAGGAGATACAGCCGCAAATGAGCCCAGGGCAGCACCGTGGCGGAGCCGCCTCTGCCCCGAGAGCTGCCGCCGCCCCGCCGGCCGCCACCGCGGCCTCGGGCCGCGGCTTCGGACTGGGCCATGCGCGCGTTGGCGCGGTGGACGGCCTCGGCGTAGGCAGCCGGCGCGGCGCGGTTGTTCATGTCGTGGGCGATGACGGTGATGAGCGGCTTGCGCTGGTTGTACGCGCGGCACTCCCGGATGAGGCCCTCCTCCACCACTCGCTCCACTGCTAGCAGCGATGCGTCCGGCCCCAGCCGCATCACTGCCGCCTCCGCCGCCTGCCGCATTTCACACATGATGCAGGCTCAGCTGCAAGAGCTTTCAAACATGCGGTGATAGCCCTTCCTAATGCCCTCCACACGCCCAGGACATGCCCAAGAGAAATGTTTGCATCGGGCAGTACATCCAGGAACATCACCAGAGGTTTGCTTGGGCAAGGGAGATTCAACAGCAGCTGAGCTTCTGCAAGAGAATGGCTACAAGAGATGTCATCTGATATGAGGACTCACCCGGCACAGTTCCTGGCCAAGGCGGCCCTGATCGGTCCACATAGCGAGCGTCTTTACGCGCACGCGCGCGTGCAGCCGCTGCGGCACGTCCCCGGCCTCGGCGCCGTCAGCAGCACCCTTGCGTGGCGCAATGCGCCCCGACGTGGACGCCTGCCCCTGCGCAGCCGCTTGCGCTGCCGATTGCGGCGGGCGCATGACGGCCACGTCCGCGATCACGCAGCCCTCTGTCGAGATTGTTGTGCGCTCCTCCAGTGCCATCTCCTCCGAGGTTCCCGTGCCCTGCTCCCAGACACAGCCAACAAATATCAGCAGCCAAAGATCTGCAGGGGGAGTAGAACACACTTCTTTATTCTTCACTGATCAGTCTCCATCTGCAAAGCCTTCACCTTTGCCTGACCATACTTGACACTTGATGCTGCTTTCCAACTTGCAAGGTGATTTGATGGATGTCTGCTACGATATTGTGGAATGAACAGGGCTGGACACCCCAGACTCTTTGCATCAGCGAGCGCGGCAACAGCGCCAGAGAATAGAGCAGCAAAGCGCGCACCCTGCCGCCATCGTTGTAGAACATCTGCAGCTTGGCCTCGCCAAGCAGCTGCATGCTGCCGGTGGAGATGGTCTTGCCGTTGCGGCGGGGGGAGACTCCCAGGTACTGCCCGTTACGGATCACGCTGGTGTCCCTGATGCCGATGTCCCGCGCCAGCTGGGCGTGCGCGCACAGGAATGCATACTCCCCGTGCACCGGCAGGAAATGCTGCGGCTTCACCAGCTTCATCACCTCCTCCAGCTCCTCCCTGGAACACATTTGCACACCCAGCGTCATCTCATGCACAAGCATTGAGCTTTAGGGGCTTATGATAATCCTTACAGCTGCAGCAGTATCACATGCGATTCCCTGCCAAAAGAGGCCAGGTCAGACTGCTGTGCAGGTAAACGTCCTAGCCGTCCTTGGGCTTGCCGGATTCAAAAGGGACCCCACCAAGGGGGGGGGGGGGGGGGGCACAGTGCTCAGGATGAGGTTTCACAAGCACATGGCATGATGTGTGGGGGATGCTATTGAAAGGGTGTGGATGGTGGGATATGCACCTGTAGGCGTGGCCTGATGTGTGCAGGTTCTCGTTGCGAGACATGGCAATCTCGGGCCCAAGGCGGCTGATGTTGTTCATCATCTCAATCACGCGCGTGTCATTCCCAGGGATGACCTGCAACATGCGAGGTCATCACCACAGCCAAAGAACAGAGAGCCTTTCTTCAAGGGGATGACCTGCAGCAGGGCAGAACTAACCACAGCTAAATTAGATGAGCTTTGTTTCAGCTTGCATGGCGAGGCCAGAAAGGCACAAAATGCGCTTACCTTTGCTGAGTAAAGAATGAGGTCGGAGGGGTCCAGTCGCAGGAGGGGTGAGGCCCCTCGCGAAGCCAGGGACAGCGCCGCTCGTGGCTCAGCCTGCAGCACAACAACTCTCACGCCACAGCAAAGCATGCTATAATTCCAGATTGCTTTCACATGACGGATTTTCACAGGCGCAGATCCTCTCTGCTGCGCAGCAGGGGCATGGTGGCCTCATTTCAGCTACTTGTTGCAGAGATAGTGCGGTGGCTGCCTGATGTTCAGAAAGAATGCGGCAGAGGCAAAAGCAATGCATACAAGAGTCTGTCTCAGGAGCTCAGTCTGGGCATGGAGGGAGCGCTACCTGGGAGCCTGTGGTGACAACAAGCAGCTCATTGGGATCCATGCCATCCATATCCTCCTGGCTGACCAAGTCCTTGGGGTCAATGGGCGCCCTGCCCTCCCTCTGCGCTGCCTCCAGGTATGTGGTCAGACTCATGCCAATGAAGCAGATCTTCCTGCCTGCTGCATCTGCTGCTGCCTTCACGCTTGCTAGCCTGAATATCCAGGAAGACAAGAGCATTCAGGAGGCACTCTTTTGGCTCCAAGCAAGTCATGCAACTTTGTCCACCAGGTACAGCAGAAGGAAGCATAATGACGGTCATGATATTTATTACATGGTGGCCCTGCCTCACCTGTGCAAATTTGAAGCGAACTGTGTGGTGATGATCCGCCCCTTGCCTTGATGCCCCATAACGCGCGTGATAAGGGCATCTCGCACTGTGGTCTCGCTTAGCGTGCGGCCAGGCGACAGCACATTTGTGGAATCGCTCATGAACAGAGCCACTCCCTCTTTGCCTGCGAAGACATCCCTCTGCTGAAACTAGGACACAGAAGATTGCATGAGGTAGGTTTGCATACTTAAAAACGGGGTGGAGAAAACCCAAAAGAGGAGGTGAAACTCACTAACTGCCTCAAATGTGTTGCGGTCGAATTTATCCCCGTCCATAGGATCCTCATCAATCTTCCAGTCCCCTGTGTGCACTATGTTCCCATGCTCGCTCCTTAAAATCATGCCACAGCAGTCCGGAATAGAATGCGTCACCCTGATTGGTTCACACCTGCACAAGCAAGCACTTCTCAGACACTGTTGGCAAGTGCTTGATGAGTCACAGAGACTACTCAGAGACCGAGGGAGCGGTGCTCACTCAAAGGGCCCCAGTTGGAAGCGCTCATTCATTTTAAAGGTCTTGAAACGGGACTCGTTCCACAGGCTGTACTCCTGCATGCGCCGCTTTATGAGCTGCATGGCAAAGCCACCCGAGTAGATGGGCGTGTCTGGGTCAAGAGCAGGCACCACCTGCAGAGACACACACAGGCATGTCACTTCATGTGTGAGCTCCACTTTCTGTTGGGTAGAACTTGTGTAGCTCATCCCGGACACAACAAACTACTATGCAAGAGGTCTAGATGAGCGTTTGTTTGCTCACCCAGGGCATGGCGCCAATATGGTCCTCATGACCGTGAGTGATGATGACTGCCTCAATCTTGTCCCGCCATCGATGCAAGAAGCTCGTGTCAGGCAGGATCTTCTGCATGCCCAGGTCCGTGAAGCTGCACGTATAGCACGTTTGTTTCAGATCTGCTTGTGAACACGCCAAGGGATATGAGCACTGAGGCGAGCATGTTGCGATAGAAACGTACTCAGGGAACATGAGTCCTGCATCAATGAGGATGTATCTGTCTCCAACGCCGACGAGCATGCAGTTCATCCCGATCTCACCAAGTCCACCGATGGGCAGGATCCGTAAGGGTGGACCCTCATCTGGAGGAGGCCCTGGGAAGGGCCTGTTGCTTGCAATATCACCACTTTAGATCGCTTAGTACACACATGCATGCAGAACATTGTACACATTGCAGAGGCACGACATGCACCTGTTTTGAAGATGCGATAGTGCTGAGCCAAGATGCTGCACCCCATCGCTGCTGATGTACTGCCTCTGCCGTTTTTTCGCTGCAGCATCCAGTCAAACGTTATAGCAGCCCAAATCCATTGAAGGCTTACAACTGCTGCAAACTTTAACATTCTTTGCTTCACACAATGAACAAGCTTCCCCAAGACGTAATTGACTTCCAACAAGGACCTTTGGCAGCAAGTTTTGCAGTGGCGGACCTGCTTGACAGACAAGGCTTTTTCTGGACCTATCTGTGGTTTGAACAGGGCAACATCTTCCTCCTCTCCTCAGAAGTAAAATTGAGCTGCCTTCCCTCGTCAGCAAATGGCTGCACTGCAAATGGGGTAAGAGTGCAGCATTACAAAACGTCATTAATACTTTCTCGTCAGCTCAATTTGCCCTACCGCAACATCCCAGATGATATTTTAGAGTGTATAAATAAATTGGCATGTATTGCAATCGCATCCAAGTTTCTGTCCTTCCAAAACTTGCAGAAAAACAGAAACAAGCAGCCAAAAGTTCATCTTCTGCCAGCGTGGCTCTGGGCCCTAGTCCAGTCAGCTGATCACTTCATGAAACCCTACCATGCATTTCTTGGACTCACAACTACCTTGGGCGATCTTGGGCGATCTTGGGCGAGCTTGGGCGATGAGTCAGGGAACCAGAAGTCAGTCGAAGCGCCCAGCGCAGGGCAGCCCAGGGCAGTCAGATGAGGAGATGGAGCCGCCCCTCCACGATCTCCTTCTTGCAAAGGTCGAGTCTATGATCCACGGCCTGGAAAGCAAGCTTGACAGTAAGCTGGACGAGAAATTTGGGGCCCTCTTCCCTCAGCTGAAGGCAGAGCTCAAGGCAGAGCTGAAAACCGAGCTGAAGGATGAGGTGGTGGCTGAGCTGAAGGCAGAGCTGCTGCCTCTCCTGCGCGCTGAGCTGGCCAAGGACACGCAGACCAGAGCCGCCTCCAACGATGAAGCAGTGGTGAACAAAGTGCACCATCTGGAGTCTGTGGTGGAGTCTCAGGCCCGCCAAGCCAGGAGTGCCAACCTGATCTGCCATGGTCTGGCAGAGGACAACACAGAGAATGTCTCAGCCCGCGTGGCAGCGCTGTTTGACAGCAACAGCGGCCCCCCTGCTGTTGTCAGCGAAGCTCGCCGCCTCGGTGCCCCCAGCGCCACGCGCACCAAGCCGCGCCCCGTGCTCATCAGCTTCAGCGGCGTGGCAGCCAAGCACGCTGCCCTCAAGCACAGCAAAGCCCTGCGCCAGCGCCAGATTTTCCTGGATCCCGACCTCACCCCGCAGCAGCAGCGCATCCGCGTCAGCATGCGCCCACACTATGTCGCCCTGAAGACAGCCGGCAAGCAGCCCTTCTGGCGCGAGGAGCGCCTCTTCGTCCGGGAGGGCGACCGCGTGCGTGAGCACATGCCTGTGCCTGGGCCTCCCCCGGCTGCCGCGCCGGGCGCCGCTGCCGCCCCGGGTGCTGCCACTGCCGGGCCCTCTCAGGCCGCGCCTTCCTCCCCCGGCCGCGCCGACTCCTACGCCGAAGCAGTGCGCCGCTAGGAAGTCTCCAGCCGCCTATCGCTGCGTATATTGTCCTGGAATGTCAATGGCTTACATGCTAGCAAAATATCCTTGTGGGACACGGCAGCCTATCTTGACCAGTTCGATATTGTACTTCTGACTGAGGCCCGTTGCTTGACCTGGGATGACTCGATCTTGCCTCACCACTCTGTGACTTTCACGGCTGCTAGTGAAGAGGGCAAGGCGGGTGAAGGCATTGTTGTTGCGGTTCGGAAGCACCGTGATTACCACGCACAAGACTGGGTGTCAGACACTGACAGTGCCTTATGGGTGAAAGTGCAGTTTGAGGGGGACTCTACACCGCTGCTGATTGGCTCCAGCTATGTGCCTCCAGCGGGTTCCCGGCAATTGCAGACTGTGGACCTGACCAGTCGATTTACGGGCTTATGTGCAGAAGTTGTTGCCGCTCGTGCTCAGGGCAATGTGATCCTGGCAGGAGACTTCAATGCTCGTGTGTCAAATTTGCCTGACGCTGATGACAGCAATACTCGAGGCTGCACTGATGAAGGTGTCAATGCTCATGGGCTGCGCCTGTTAGATTTTTGCAAGGAAACTGACATGCTCATATGCTCTGGCAGAGTGCTAGGAGACCTTGAAGCAGTGCCTACCTTTAAGGCCAGAACCCATACTCAGGCAACTAGACCTGATCATGTTCTCGTTTCCGCTGATGCGCTCCCCTTGATTTCTCATCTTGTTGTGAACACTGGTAGAAAAGACTCTGATCATCATCCTATTGAGATGACGTTGCAAGTGAATGTGGCTGCCAGTGTTCCCTTACCATGTATTGGGGCGCCATTGTCACGAGTGAAATGGCAGCCCAGTGCTAGGAATGCGTATGCTGCTGTTTTGCGCAATGTTGCCAGTGCAAGTCTTGACGCCTGCACAGGCCATGCTGTGGCTGGGGAACTTGATGCAGCCTTTCAGACCCTGGAGGCGGGGATCCGGGAGGCCGCAGCCGCGAACAGCATGCCGGCCCGCACCGGGCGCCATCAGCGCAAGGCGCGTGCCGACGCGCCCTTCTTCGATTCGGAGTGCCGCCAGCTTAAACGGGACGTCCGCGCCCGCGCGCGGTGCGGGGGCGATCCAGCCGAAGTGCGCGCGCTGGAGCGTGCCTACCACAACACCGTCCGCCACAAACGGCGCGCTCACCGGCTCGCGCAACTGCGCCGCCTGCTTGATGATTTGCACAGTGACCCCCGAGCCTTCTGGAAGCGGCTCAAGTCTCAGCAGTCTGATATACCTGAGCAGCTCAAGCCAGTGCAATTGTGGGCTGGCTATCTCAAGCGGGTTGCAAACTTGCAGTTGCCACTCATTGCTGAGCTGCCCCACTTGTCTTTCCCTGTCCAGCCCAGTGCTCCTGTTGCCCATGTTGATGCTCTCAATGCACCCATCTCTCTTGGGGAGGTGCTTGCTGGGCTCAAAAGTTTACACAATGGTCGTGCCACCGGAGTGCAAGGTTTACCAGCTGAGCTGTTTCGGTATGCAAAAGATGAGCGGGCGCCAGGCATGCCTCCTCCGGAAAATGTCCTGGCGCATGCTTTGGTGGCTGTGCTGAACTCTGCATTTGTGGCTGGGCAAGTGCCACCCTCTGTGAATGGTAGCCTGATCACCCCTGTGCACAAGAAAGGCAGCAAGCTTGACATGCTCAATTATAGACCCATTGCCGTTACTGAGCCCATCATGCGCTTGTATGCTGGCATATTGAATTCTCGTATTCTGAAGTACACAGAGGGGGCTGGATTGCGTGCAGCCACACAGGCTGGCTTTAGGCCAAAACTGTCTACGGCCCACCAGCTATTCACCTTGCAGCATTTTATCGACCGGCAAAACCATGCTAAGCAGCCCTTGTCTCGCAAAGGTGAGTGCGCAGACCTTGCTCGGAAGAGTGCCTGCAGCAGTGCCTGCTGTTGTGATGCACAATTTGAGCGTCGATTGCCTCTTCCATACAGCAAGCACTGGCGCTCTTCAGAACACAGCGGATTTTGAAGATTCACTTGGAGCTGGACAGCGCCGGCAGCAAGCTCATTGCAGAGGTATCAGCAGAGAATGGTAAGCTCAAGACACAAAAGTCACCCCTGAGACATCGCATGTACAGGAATTTGTCTGCCCCTGAGGAGTGTAGCATGGACTCTGAAGCGAGATTCAGGGGTCCTGAATGTCATGGCGATGCATGCAGGTCTGGAGAAGCAGTACAAAATCCCCTGCATGGATTCTGAAATACTCCAGACCAGCGTAGACAAGGACACATTCCCCACCTGTGTCAACGCTGCTGCAAATGAGCTGAACAAGTGAGCCCCGTACCCTGCAAGGCAGTGCCTAATGCAAATCAATAGGCATGCAGCACAATCGTGTTTATTTCAAGTAGGAAGAAGAGTCAATGTGCATGCAGGTTGCTCTCAAGCTTCCAGTACAATTTGGAGGAGATCACAATCATTGCAATGCCAGAGGACTTGGAGGATGGGGCACAAGGGAAGCAGGGGAAAGCAGTGCAGCTGCACAGCTTTGTTGATCCTGCCAAAGGTCCGGCTTTCCTTTCAATGTTTGGCCGTAGTTTTGGGAGAATTTCACGTTGTGTTTCCAAGTATCAAAGAATGTGCCGGTTGATTGCAGGGCATGCTGACAGAGCGCTGCACACCCAGCTATCTGTGGACACACATGAGGTCTTTCTGGACTATCAGCATAATTCTCTTGAAGCCAGCGATGTCACCTTCAACCTGAAGGACTTCAAGGCCATGCTGGTTCTGTGCGAGGGCCTGGGTGCAAACGTGACCATTTGCTTTGATCAGCCCGGCAACCCTCTGCTCGTACAGCCCTTGTTCCACAGCAACAACCCATTGGTAGGCCTCTGACTTGATCACACACAATGTGTAAACAATCCTCGCCCATTTCTTTGTTTGGACACATCTCTGTGTCTAAACCCCTGCATTCCCTGCACTGGTGTGGTTGGTTCTCAGAGACATGCACAGTATGACAACCTATTAATTAGACCAGTTGGGTATTGGGAGGTTGAAATTTGGGAAGCTGCTGGGAAGTCAGGGAGCTGAGATGAATTTACAAGGAAATTGTGTGCAGGAGGAGTATGTGCGGGCCGAGCTGGTGCTGGCAACGCTGCTGGAGACAGCGCGGCTGGGCGACTCGGGCCCTGCCACAGTGGCGGCCAAGGCGCGCAGGCGCGTGGACACTCCCGGTGGCGGCCAGATCCCCGGAGACACTCCCTGGCGGCCTGGTGACTATTCAGCTAAGCAGCTCAGGGACTGTGGGATTGTTTGTGGCAATCAGGAGGCTCATGTCAACAGCCAGTCATGATTCTGGCAAGTCAATCAGTATGAAGCCTTTGCCAGCAGACAACTGAGATTGCTTGTTGCAGATTGGTGTCCAGGCGTCATCTTAGATGCATAGCCAGGCATGTTACTGGCTTACTTTGTATATGAGGAAGAGGGTTGTGATGATGATGCTCATGCTGGGCAGCTGTACATGAGTGATGGCTTGTCTATGGGTGTGTGCAGATGGGCAGGCAGCTGGCTCCCCTGGCCATGGCAGACTGCAGAGCGTCAATCGCTCTGGGGCGGCAGCAAACACTGGACACCAGCCGAGCCGCTTCAAAACCCGCACTGAACCCCCACGGTGAGCAGGAAACATCTTGACTGATTCTTTTGGACGCCTGCTGCATCTTGGCTCTCGTGCGATTGAATCGAAGACAGTAAGCTGTTTTTGTGATGCGAAAGAATCTCCTGTTGCAGGGCTTGAGCAGAGATTTCCTTGCTATTTTGGTATCACCTGCTATTTTACAACATTGCAGGTTTCTGGACTCACCCGCACAGCCACCCTCAGCAGCAGCTCATGGGAGCGGCAGAGAGCTTGATGATTATGCTGGTCAATCCAATGGAACAGCAGAAACAGCTCGAGGACATGGTGGGCCACCCCTTCGACTGCTTACAATCTGACTTTTCTGGAAATGCATGTTCACTTTCACCCTGACAGAATGAATACCAACAATGTCTTCATTGTGTCTTACTGCTGCATGTCATGAGAGTCACCACGATGTGGCTTTTCACTGCCTGCCAGGGAACGGCCTCACACGATCGCGTCACACCCCTCTGGGCAGGCGGATCGATGCGGCATCGGAGAGGAGCAGCTTGTTTGGTTCAGGGCTGAACAGTGGTGCTGCTGAAGGCAATGCTCCACCTCTTGACATTTTCCCTTTCCACCCATAACTTTTCTGCAGCAACATTTGCCAGAAGTATGTAGGAATTTCGCCAATTGATGATAGCTTGATGCTTGGCCAGGTGACAACATGGGGCCCAGCAGCCGTCCTGAGGGGTGCTCATTGCACGGGGGAGGAATCGGCTTGATAGATGATGGCGGCTCAAGGCCAGAGGTGCACTACGAAGATGCAGGCTACCACAGCATGCCTGTGGATGAGCGCGGGCGCCAGACCATCCCATCGGGGCTCATCGATGATGGCTCGCACAATCCTTCACTCTTCAGCAACGAAGACCAAGGTGGAAATCCCTATCATGCATCTCTGATGAAGTCTCTCAGCGCAGACACTTTGGTGCTGTTGGCATGCAGTCACTTACATCCTTGAGTGAAAAACACTTGGATGCTGACCTTGGGATTCTTTTGGGATTGCAGCGTTGCCATCTGGCCTTGAGGGACGAGACAGAGCCAGGCCAGATCCCCATTGGAGTGGCAGGGTTGCTCCCAGCGCAGCGCATCAACACATTGAAGAACCAGTTGGGCACCAAGGGCATGCAGCTGGTGCTTATCAGGACAGCGAGTGGCAAGATGGTGGGCCCATACAGCGCAGATACCTTGCAGCTGAGATGTATGACGATGATGAGGAGGACATGGATGATGATGAGGCAATTCCAGGGACTCCATGATCTGAAAATTTATATCCATCATTGCGCAATTACATGATTGACATGCTTTGGGCCTGTATTTATATTGTTGTTGCAGCTGTAAAGTGCACATGAGGTTCCTAAACACATCAGGATGATCCTCCTTTGGTATATTCAGTACATTCACATGCGTTCCGGATGATCCCACAGGTTCCAAGCAGCTGCGCGTCAAGTTTTGGGCACATCATGACAGCCCTCAATTGCGAAAATGAGCGCCCTGAAGGTCTGCCAGACGGCCGTATTGTTTGTGAAGCACATTGCCCCGCCACCACGGAACAGCTGCGCCTCCATTCGATTCATGTCCCCAAAGCACACTGCTCCCTGCCCTCCATTCCAGGATGCATTCTGGTCCGCATTTGGAATTGACACACTCCACTTTGAGTGATCGACCGTATTGTCCCAGCCACGGTTGGCTGCTCTGATGTACACATGCCTCACATTCAAAGATTCATACTGTGTGGTGGGCGGGCACTGTGAGGGAATTGCATTGCGCCCATTCAGCCAGCTCTGGACCTCCATGCCTGCCCCAAAGTGTGGCTCAATGACATCCTCATATATGCCGAAGCCATGCAGCGGCGTTGTTGCTTTGGCAAACGCCATGAAAGGCTCCCCTCCTGAAGATATCACAGGCTGGCTAGCCTGTGCGACTATTCCTGGATATCCTGCATTGACACTGTGCTGCTAATTCTTGGGGCTTTGACAAGCTCTCCTGTACAGGCCCCCAAGAAAATCCCAGGAACCAACAATACTTGCCCGGATAATGGACAGGAGCAAAACATCATAAAGAATATGTGGCATTTTCCTTACCTCCAGTGACAAGATCTGCCATTGCCGGATAGGCGAGGGTGCTCCAGAGCGGCAGCTCCCACTCATAAAGGAACAGGGTTGGCAAGCGCAGCAGTTTCGCCACATCATTGAGTGCAGCAGGTCTCATGCTTATGCACATGAAGTTCTGGCCCTCCAACAGTTGTCCCCAAAACTCCTCGCAGCATATGCCTGCTTTGCAGGTCCTGCTTCGTCAATTGCCCAAATGTTGCTCATTAATAGCATTAGCCTGAATCTCAGGCATTGCCACAGAAAATGAAGGATCACATCAAAGGGGGTGCTGCACCTGTGTATTCACCATCGCTGGGATTGTTGGGGAATTTGGGTGCACTGTGGACCAGCCAGAATCCGCCATCTTGCTCAAAGCCGAGCACGCCTGCACAGAGATCCTGTCATGCAACAGCATCATGAGGGCACTGGCACAAAAGTCACCCTGCACCTGCTCACAGCAGCTCACCTTTGGCGTGCGCAAGATGGAAAGAGACGGTGCCGTTTGGCCACTCGTCATTGTACATGACATAGCCTGGTCCCCCAGAGTACAGTGGCTGCAAAGTCTCGGCAAGGGCGTTGCCCCTAGTGCCTTTTAAGTTACTTTGCAACATCCACTCAAGACCTGCGGTGTGCACGCATCCTGTTTAGCAGTGCAGGGAGGGATCCTGGACGGCAGCAGAAAGCAAGGAGGGCCTTGGCATACCTCCCAAGGGACCTGCGGGATAGGAGCTGTCGACGTATACATACTGGCCGCCATGCGGAAGCTTGAGGATCAGCCACCTGAGCGGCACATGGTGGAATGAGTACGACTGCAGGTGCATGGCATGGGTCCTGCTGTGTTGCAGAAATGAAGTCTTCGAGAGGATACTGCCGTGGAGGGCGACTCACCAGTCAACAGCGTGTTTTGAAGCATCTCTGCAAGTGATGCTCTGTCCCCTAGAAGAGGTTGACAGGAGCAAAGTGCAGAGGATGATCGAGATCACCGCCATCATTCGCAGCAAAGCCTTCCATATGCCCGTCAATCAGTCACTTGTCAATTACCATGAACATCTGAAGACGTGGGTGCAGAGTCACAGCTACAAAGACCATATTATCACGTCGTTTGACCTCTATCGGACACATCAATGGCTCCGAGAGGCGCTCAGGAGGACCGCTGAGGGGCCCACGACGGTCACATGCAAGCCATAAAACGCGAAAGTCGTCGTTGAGGCACCACGATCGCTTCGTTCTCAACCCTGCAGGCTGCTTTCGGAGATGTGTCCTGCTGATTGTCCTGCTGGCAAGAATTTGAGGTCAAGGGTGATTGCTGGGTGCCAGCATGGAACCCTTGGAACCCTGGCAGCGCGCTTTCTTTGGTGCTTTCTTTCTCGAAGCTTGCGACTGGACAGAGCGCTGACAACTCGTGAGGAGGATCGGAATCGGAAGAGTGGCCCAGTCTCAGACGTGAAAGGGGTCATTGTTGCGGTGGTGTCAAGAAGCCATGCAGCAGGGACATAGGTGACCTCTCGTATACGGTGTTTGCGAGCGAGCAATCATCGACACACTTCATTCGGGACTGTAGCATACAGCGAACATGGCCGTCTCAGCGAACAACGGCTGGGTCGATTCCTACCTCGAAGCACTGGTACGACTCCAATTGTGGCTGGCAATCTAGGTCGTTGTGCAGATATGCCTTTATATCTCCGGACGTCACGAACAGGACTGAACTGCCTGTGCTTGTTGAATATTTTCCAACCATGTTGTTTCCTTTTAGTGATTAGTCGTGATGGTGCATGGAAGCTGCCTGCCTCTGAACGGCCTGCTGCATGGGGGTACACATCAAGTTGTCAGCTTGCTCTTACCGATTGGTGTGCTTGCAGCTGAGCTATGGGCTGTCTACGGAATACTCCAAAAGCCCGGCGAATGCTAAATCAGATAACATCGACGCAGATCGGCAAATATATGCCAAGTACTATGTGTCCCAAATCATGCAACTGGGAGAGGAGGGCATCCGGGATGCTTGGAGCAAGGCAAGCTGCCCCTTCCATGCGCAGTCATTTCTTGTCAGTTTTAAAGCGGAGTGTTCCTGAGGGGTTCAGCAGCAGTTGGATTTGGCAGTAGCTTCTGACCACCTTCACTTCATCAACATCTGTGCCTGGAGAAATATGAAACGATAAATTTGGGAGCAGGAATACGGCCCAAAATACTGAAGTTTGTTAGGAAGCATACTTTATCGACATGCCCAGCGGACAGATTGGTCACTCTGGTGGTGGAGAGCTTCATGTTGGCTCCTGAGCGGAGAATCATCTCAGAAGATGCCATGCGCCTCCAACCCCTTGAAGAAGGGTGTGAAGTGCGCTGAACACCAAGAGTAGCATGGAACTGTGGCAAGAGCCAGTTCCAGCAAAAAGGATGGGCAAACACTTCCCGACATACTCCAGACACATGCAGGCGACGTCGGCGAGGCATTATGGGGAGAAGGACGCGCGGCTGGAGTACCTGAGCTGGCGGGTGTGGTTCATGAAGCGCAACCGCGCGCTGGCCAAGGCCGACGCACAGCAGCGCGCGGCCGCCGGCATCGTGGATGACGTCAGCCGCCCCCACGCAGATGACGAGACATCCGACGACGAGCAGTTGCTGCCGGCCAACTCCACCGGCTCCAAGGGCGTCTCCTTCAAGCTGCCCAAGAAGGAGCCTTCCCTGCAGAAGGTGATATTGCTGATCCAGTGCCCGTCGTACCCATGCAGCATTGATGGGGGGCCTGCAGTGAGTTTTTGGATTATATTGGGGTGGGCGCACAAAAGTCTGTGTGTTATATTTGTCTCATTCTTGATTCCAGTGAGATCATTGGTCCCTTGTGCTATTTGCAATAGGGATGCAGTAGGCTGAGGGACACGTGCATGCGCAGGTGAAGGAAGGGGAGAAGTATGTGGACGAGGGGAAGCGGCCGCCGTCGATCCTGACAAAGCCAGTGCAGAAGGACCCCTCCGTGGACTTCCTGGCGCAGGAGTACGTCACCAGCCCGCCGCCGCCGGACTCCGACAAGGACCTGTTTGAGGGGCGCGTGGACGGCCTGTACCTCGTGCTCATTTCGCTGCACGGCCTTGTCCGTGGCGAGCGCATGGAGCTTGGCGCAGACCCCGACACCGGCGGCCAGGTGCACTTTGCATCCCAACTGGTCAAACTTTGAACCTGCAAAGTCCAATGCGGAAGGCCATTCTGGCAAGCGGACCATTTGGCATTCTTGCAGGACTTCATGCAATGAGGTGCGCATCAGCTGGGGCCATGCTCAGCTTTCATTTAGCACAGCAGTGGGCGAGAGCATGAAGGTCATAAAAGGGGACCAAATTTCTCTGTGCTCAAAGGTCTATATATAATTCGGGTGGTCTGATGCGCATCTGCAGGTGAAGTATGTGGTGGAGCTGGCGCGCGCGCTGGCGCAGCATCCGGCGGTGTTCCGGGTGGATTTGCTGACAAGGCTGATCCAGGACCCGAGCGTGGATCCAACCTACGGCGAGCCCGAGGAGGTGCTGTGGAAGGCCCCCGACGACCACGGCATGGGTGGCGCGTACATCGTGCGCCTCCCCTGCGGGCCCCCCAAGACCTACCTCAGGTGCTTCCACCCGCCACTTGTCTTCAGTTTGACTCGTGCCTACTGACACTTGAAGTTGAGAATTGCCTCATGAACCAAGCCAGGCCTTGCTTTCGCATCCTTTCTTTGGCCATGTGATAGCTTTCAGGCCCATCTGGGTTTTAGCGTCCAGGGGTATCATTTGTAGCTGATAGCGGCCGTGCAGCAGTGGAAGCTGCTGCTGCACGTTAGGCAGGTCCTGGCGGGCATGCAGTGGAGAAGGACAGAAGTATAGGTCTTCAAAGCTTGCTAAATGCGAATGAGGATGTAGTGTCATTTGGGAAAGTGCACTGAGCGGCTGGGCTTGTCATCGTGCAGGAAAGAGAAGCTCTGGCCGCACATCCGGGAATTTGCGGACAGGGGAGTGGCGCACACCAAGCACACGCTGGTGGCACTGGGCGAGGCGGGCACCCCCTGTGAGCTGTACGCGGTGCATGGCCACTACGCTGATGCGGGCGAGGTGGCCGCGCTGATGTCATCCACCCTGGGCGTCGACATGGTCATGACCGGCCACTCCCTGGGCCGCAACAAGCTGGAGCACTTACTTGGTACGGCCTTCCAGTGCCAAAGGCTTCCTGAGGCACCCACAGATCATGTCTCCAAAGAAACAAGCGTCGCATGCTGTTTCCTGCACTGATGCTGTCTGATCCAATGAGAGGTCATGAGCAAGCCACTATGTAGATGATTCCAGGGACCAGGCGTGCAGACTCACTACTTTGGATGACAACTCTAAATAGTTTGGTGCAGCAATGGCTGCTATCAAGTGTCTGGGTGACAGCACATACCCTTTCCTACAAAGAGTTTAATAACCCACATGCTGGACCTGCAGGCACCATGAGCAAGAAGGAGATTGAGGAGAACTACGCCATCAGCCGGCGCATTGAGGCGGAGGAGCGCGCCCTGGAGACAGCCACCATGGTGCTCACCTCCACGCAGCAGGAAATTGACGAGCAGTGGGGCCTCTACGATGGGTGACCCCTTCACCATCTCTCCACAATTACCATTAAGAATCACTGTTTTGCTGCTCCAAAGCATGTGACTAATGTGGTAATGACATCATAATGTGTCATAATGAGCAAGGTGAAAGCCAGTGAGATTGGCACCTTTCTGTGGTCTGTGAGTGGTATTTGTGGACAACTTGGGAACGTCTGTGTGTTGTTGCTGCAGGTACGATGTGAAGCTGGAGCGGGTGCTGCGCACGAGGCGCAGGGTTGGGCGGACGATGCCGCTGATCAATGTGATCCCCCCGGGCCTGGACTTCTCCTCCCTCAAGGTGGACCTGCCCAAGGACCCCTCCCTGGCCAAGGGCCCCCCGCCCAAGCACGCCTTCTTCTCTCAGCAGTCCAACGCCTCCTCCAACCCCACCTCCCCCCTGGCCGCCAGCGACCCCACCAGCCCAGACAAGCCCCTGGACAGCAGCCCCTCAGGTACCGATTTCATTCTCCCACATCTCAGGACCTTGAGATTCAGATGAGCGTCAGATGTGTTCCACAACATGGAACACAGGGATGCAAACCATCTACCTTGTGAAGCACATCCCTGGAGGTGCATGCATAGCGACAGACACAGCAGTCTGCCTTCGTGGTGGATGGCATCGCAGTCCAGGTGAAATGAGAGTAGCAGCAGCCATGCCCTGATTCAGTGAAGTGAGGGTGCCCTCCCAGAAGCTGGGGGGTGCTCTTGTCGTGGTGAAAGCAGCATGGCAGTGCAGGCTCAGCATTCGAGCGCGCGTGTGCAAAATTCGGTGCCAGCACCCCCTCCTCGAGTCCCTCCTCCCCAGGCCCCTCGCATTCCACCTCTTTACACCACCAATCTTCTGGTGAGTTACAGCAGTTGATGATGCCTGCGGGCCCTACCGGCCCACCACCTTCTGCACGCTCCTGCCAGCAGATTCTGCACCATGCAGACCTCTGCTGCAGGCCGATCGTCCTGTCCCAGCCAACAGAAATTTGTTTCTGCTTGGTCCAATTGCTGGGCTCACAGAGTGTCAAGCTCTCCTGCCTGGCTGCTCCACCGTGCGGGCTGCACAGAACGTTCTTGAAAACATGCAGGGCTCACTGGGCCAGATGCTTGCGCAGATCTGGCGAGCGTGGACGAGGATGGCAAGGAGAAGTCTGTCACCAGGGCGTCCACTGCGCAGGGCCTGTTCCCCTTCATCAATGAGGAGCCCCACATCTGGCAGGTGGGGTCTTGACCATGCTAGGCAAGAAAAATACCATGCTCGTGCAGCTGTGCAGATGACAGAAAGAAGGATGTAAATGTCCATGTCCATGCTTTCTGGATTTGGTATTATATCGACTTGTTGCAAGTCAGTGTATTTGGGGGTCTTGGCATAATCGTTTTTGTGCTGGTGTGCAGGAGATCTTCCGGTTCCTGCGGAATCCGCGCAAGCCGGCCATCCTGGCCATGTCGCGGCCGGACGCCAAGAAGAACATCACCACGCTCGTCAAGGCCTTTGGCGAGAACCCTACCCTGCGCGAGCTGGCCAATCTCGTGCTCATCATGGTGCGTTCCTTGGGCCCCTCACAACCTTGCATCCATGTCATGGCCTAGCAGCTCTTCTTGCTCATGCAGCATGTCACCACCTGCATGCATGATGGGCGCCCGGATGCAGATCATGTTGCTGCGCAGCTCAAAGCTTTGCTGTTAACTTGTCTTGTTGCCCACCCATGGCACTCATGGGACCAGACTGACCTTGAGGAACTCCCAAGGCCATCTGCTGGACATCTGGAGAATGCGCATCTGAGGGGTGATCTGATGCATGCGCAGGGCAACCGCGAGAACATTGACGGCATGGCGCCGGGCAGCCAGAAGATTCTGACGCAGGTGATGAAGCTGATCGACTCGCACGACCTGTACGGCAGCGTGGCCTACCCCAAGAAGCACGAGCAGAAGGACATCTCCGACATCTACCTGCTCCCCTACGCCACCCGCGGCATCTTCACCAACGTCGCCCTCCAGGAGCCCTTCGGCCTCACCGTCATCGAGGCACACATACTCTACTCTCACATTCAGCTGCTCTCACACCTCACGCATGTGTGCTTCAGTGTTGACAATCAGACCCACGCATGCCAGATGGTACCCATGCAGACTCTAGAAGCCTGCACTGTTCAGGCAGTTGTTGTTGCAGCCAAAAGCATCATCAGCTGTGCCGTGCTAGCCCGAGACCACACGGCCTGATGGCAGCCGCAGCAAGCTCCCTGAACTTGCACTTACCTTGGCCACAAAAGCCCTGAGCACCAAGGACAGCCTGTCGTTGAGTTGCTCAACATGTCATAAAAGGGTGTTGACGTGGTGGGTGCAGGCTGCGGCGCACGGGGTGCCGACGGTGGCAACGAAGAATGGCGGTCCAGTGGACATCATGGCAACGCTGCACCACGGGCTACTAGTGGACCCCACCAACTCCAAGCAGATTGCGGACGCCCTGCTCAAGATCCTCACCAACCCCGAGGTGTGGGACGAGATGTCCCACAACGGTGCGCCGCCCCCGCTCGCCACGCTAACTGCTCATCCTGCTTTGGAGCATGCTCTTTGCCTTGGAAGCATTGACAAGCACGCTGTGTGTCTTGTTTCTTCTTGCAGCTCTCAGACCGTGCCGACATGCACGACACACTGTGTGCTTGTGAACTCTTGAACCTGTCACACAGAACGCACTGGCAGCAAAGAATTAGTCTATTCTGCTGTCTGGTGTGCAGACCTTTTTCGGTGCTGCATGTGAAAGTGCTGTTTGCTGGAGTAATGTGATTAGGGAAATGGTGGGTGCAGGTGTGGCCAACATTATGGCGTACTCCTGGTTCAGCCACTGCAAGAAGTACCTGGAGGCCCTGGAACTGGAGAAGCGCTTCACCAAGACCCAAAAGGTGCACATTCATTTGCTGATCCACTACATCCAGCATGGCACCGAGTCAACACGCAAATTCTCAACCAGTGTAAGGCGTGTTGGAAGTCCCTTAAGAGTTGCTGGGTATGGATGCCCACTGCCGATGCTCCTATGCATGCAAGTCCACAAGAACAGCTCATGCAACTTGGAGGAGCTCAGCTTTATCATGCGCCTGCCACTGCTAATCCTTTTTAAGGTAGCAGTGGATTTGGTGCCTCGCTGGCATGTGTGTTTGAATTATTATTGTGGGATGTTAATTCAGTATGCCACCATCTTATGGAGTGGGCGCTGAGCCTCTCGGGGAGTTGTGACCGTTTGGCTGAAGTTCCCCTGTGTGCGCGCGCTGCAGAGGTTCCAGAGCCGGCTGAGCGGGAACTGGGACGCGAGCACGCTGAAGCTGGACGAGCTGGTGGGCAGCCCCACAGGCGCAGAGGATATGAGCCGCCTGGCCAGCATGCCAGCCGGCCGCAGCCCCAAGGGCGTCCGCCGCGTTCCCTCCAACTCCCAGGTCACCCACCATCTCTATAGCTGTGGGCTGTTGTGGCCCTCCTCATGCTGCATGTTGCAGCTCACCTCAACACTGCGTTGTCTCCCACTTTACACTTCATCGTATTCAAATCATTGGACCTTCTCATGCTGTTCTGTTGTAGCTCACCTCTCACCACGGCGTCCTCCAGTTCACACTCATGCGTGGTCTAAATTAAATGACTGATCTGGAGATCCAGGGTATGAAGGGGAACGGCTGTGAAACAGATCCTTCTTCGTGCAGGTCGTGCACGCCTCCGACGACGCCGGCCTCACCGGCCACTCCTCCGAGGACCACTCCCATGGTGCGGATCTCTCTTCTGCATGCATCTGTGCAGCTGTAGGCATTCTCGCTCGACAAGAAGGCTGTGAGTTTTGGCGGGAAGGGACAATGTGGTGGTGGTGATGGTGGCTGTCGTTGTCCTTTCTGGCAGCAATTCCTGCATGAACCCGTGCCAGATGGTGAGAACGAGGGCCCCTCCGGCCTGAGAAACAAATGTGGGCATCGCACTCAACCACGCGCCCCGCATGGGAAAAATAATGATGAAAACTTTGAAAGGGGTAGATCGGTGATCATGTCAGCTCTAAAAGATGATGAGTAAAGGGCGCATGCGTGCAGGGCAACCTGTGGGCGACACGCGCAAGCGCTTCACGGCGGTGGCCCTGGACGGCGAGTTCCGCGTGTCGGCCGTGGCGCCGCTGCTCAACAAGCTCATCAAGATGCGCAACGATGCCGGCGCCTCCGACCTCGGCATCGGCGTCGTCAGCATGCTCGGCTTCTCTAGCACTCGCAAGGCGCTTCAGGTGCTAGTTGCTCACTACATCAGACATCTTTCGTCTCAAAAGAAAGAGGCTGCAGCTGCACAGAAGCAGTAAAAAATCATGCATCCATTCATGATTGTGCATACATGTCATGGCCAGCAGCAGTGACCGTGAGGATGAGCATGAACACCAGGCCTTTTTAATTTGGCACTGGGGACTCACAGCTGGCGCTCGCGTGCAGGGAGCTGGCGTGCCGCTGCAGGAGCTGGACTGGATGGTGTGCAACGGCGGCGCGGACATCTGGCACCTGCTGCAGTCGCGCAATGGCAAGGACCCCACCTGGTCCCCCGACGAGCACTGGGACGCCCACATCACCTTCAGGCAAGGAGCCTTCGTCTCCTTAGTTGTATGAGAGCCTGATGCTTTGTTGATGCACCGATTGCCACTTCACAATTCATCAGATATTCACGCCACACTGCACTCCAAAGAAAGAGCAGGTGGCATGAAGTGGTGGGGCTGCGCCAATATGCTTTCTGGTTGAGTCATGTTGCAGCAAGCCACAGATGCTTGACGGGGCCACATTCGCGCGCAGGTGGGACCGGGATCCTCTGGCGCGCGCGGTGACAAAGCTAGTGAGCAACGACAAGAAGGAGACACTGGCAAGCGCGCCGACGCTCCAGAAGGCGCTGGCGCTCATGACCGACGCGCGGGAGGAGCACCACGTGCACCCGCACCACATCATGCTCCCTCTGGACGCGGACGCCAAGTCCATCCTGGGTGCGCTGCCCTCCTTGCCAATACTTTTGTCTGAACGCTGCAGGGCTCGGGCGCCATTTAAGCAGCTCTGGTAGAGCAGACAGCAATGCCACAACCTGCAGATTGCTGTAGCTTGCATGTTAATGTCGAGGTCGATATTGAATCATTTTACAATTAAGAGAAGCTGATGCTTGGGAGGGGAATCAGATGGTAATGTCATGGTGCTTGGGTGCGCGCAGACATGGGCCCACGCGCGACCGGCAAGGACGCGGTGGCGACAGTGGTCGTGGACAAGATGCGGAGACGGATGCGGCAGAACGGCTACCACGCCCACATCACTCTGCAGGTGCACATCTGAAATGTCTGTCTGCCTGCATTCCTCTTGGTGCCGTTCAATTTCCCGCTGCAAGTTTGGGATTGCAGAGGCTGACTGGAGGTGTGCTTGTCGTGCACTGCAGATGGTGGTGGAGGATGAGCAGGTGGTGGCGACGGTGCATATCACGCCGATGCGCGCCAGCCGAGCACTTGCGCTGCGCTACCTAGCCACCAAGTTTGGTGCTGACATGGAAAACATCGTGGTGCGCACATGCACTGTCCTCCTCTGCTGCGAAGACCCTCTCGCACCTGGAGAAATAGACATATGTCAGCAGACATGCCGCCAGTGGTCAGGGAACAGTTGCTCTGTAAGGTCGCGATGAATAGATAGACGCATAGATTGTGCCTGGAGTGGTGCTGACAATATGACATGTGTGGTGTGTCTAGCTGGTGGCGGTGGCGCCCTCGCTGGAGAAGACGGGCGAGGTCACAAAGGTCACAGCGTACACCTCCGACCTCATCGAGCTCGTGTCAGGAGTCAGCCCGGTGAGCCCCCAGACCTGCATGCACAATCGCCAATGTACGCCTCCATGCTTTCATATGCAAGTGGCTAAGCGGGGGAGCGGACGGGGCAAGTCCTTGTCCGCCCTTAAACAGCACTTCTCCCATTCATGCTCTCGGTAGTCACTTGCATATTAGCTGTTCATACGGCTTCAGTCGTGTGCAAAGCAATCCTCCTGTCCAGCAAAGAAGAGATGGGGAAGTGCCAGTGATCAAACTGATCATGTCACTTGCAGGTGTACATCATCGGTGCGGCGGCGGACGAGCAGAAGGCGGAGGGGCGGGCGGCCAAGCACGACAGCTATGCGCTGGACAAGATCTCCATCCGCGTCTCGCCCAAGGTCTTTGGCGCGCGCATCCGCTGCCTGCCGGACGACTCCGCGCTCGCGACCGCGCTTGAAGATATCGTGGCCGGCCGTGTGGCCGGCGGCTACGAGGGCAACAAGCCCGGCGGAGCCCATGACGACGATGACTAAGCAGGAGGATGACTGAAGCGGACGACTAAGGCAGCGCTCGACTGAGATCACTTTGGCTAGAGCCACCGTTTAGCTGGGAGTCCGTTTGGCGGGGAGTCCATGCAGGTCGGCTGCGCTGCTGCCTACAGGGGGCAGGCATGTTTGAGCTGCAGGGACTTGCTCGAGGCAGCACTGGCTGGAGGCTGTGCTTTTCAGCTGTCGTGTTCATACTGGGCTGCCTTCTGGAGGTCAACACTCGCTCTTTCCAGGGTTGCGTGGGTCTGAGAGGGCATTGGACTGATGGGTGACCAGCATGCACTGCTGCAAGCTTACCCGATGCAAAGCCTGCAGCATACTTATGCAGACAGCTTTGGTAAGAGCATGGAGATTTGCTGGCTCATAAAATAATTTAGGATAGCTAGTAATGCGTTATTGCAAAATAGCAACTCTCGGATTGGAGGCGTGCTTGGTGCGGCGCTTCCCACACCTTAAGTTGCAAGGAGGCGCTAGTGACTGATCAGATTGTTAGGTGCATGTTATGGGTTGCCAAGTGTTGTGAAGCAGCTAGCTCAGCAGTCCAAACTCCAGTGGGACGTATTTGTATGCCGAGCTGTGAAGTTTGGAGCAGGCACTTTATAGCATCACTGCTTTACTGAGCCCAATCAATAAATACTCGGGATGATGACACATTCTGCTTGGCACTTATTAAGAGCTGGGTTACCCATTTACCCCATTTTACCATGCAGTAGTGTTGGCCATGGCCGCAGCACTAGTTACTTTTTATGATGTGATGCAGCAGGACTATCTAGACCGTGTGACAGGAGTTGCTTGCAAGCACCAGCTGAGAATCTGCAGATTTCTGTTTGTAACCGAACTGTTCTTCCACCGGCTAGATCATGCAGCTGCAAACATTTGAGGAGCTTGATAATAATTGTGCAGATAATAAATAACACATGTGCACACTGAAGAGTCCAAGCTTATGAATGTGATCATGAGTTCTTGCGCAAGCAGCTAGCTGCATTATTAAGCGTGATGGTCATGAGGCAAGAATCTGCTGTGGTATCGGCAGGCACTGCATTGTTCAGAGAAGAGCATAGCTCCCGACTCAGCCCTTATAAGCTCACCTGCGCGGTGCTGTAGCCAGCCGCTAGCTCGTCTGTTGACAGCGCTGTCTAGATCTAAATAGAAGTCTTGGCAACAGAAAGGCATACTGGACTCGGGCGTCCTACTCACACAAGCAGCCTGATGCTTAGGTGGTACTGGAGCATTTTACTTCTTCTTCGACGAGGACATTTTACACATGCATGGCATTGGACAGCATGAAGGTCACTACCTCATGCACCCTCTCTCCACCCTTGATTTGCATGCGTCTTTCGTGGTTTCTTCTTTCATTTGTTCCAATTGATTGGAATCAAGTACTCAAGGAGAACAATGATTGAGCATTTGGCGCCATGTGCCTGGTTGAAAGGCTTTCGAGCCTTTCGTCTGACCCCAGACAGAAAGGCATCAGAAGCACAAGCGCTTCAACGTGGCCTCAGCGGCATGGTATTTCACAGACGGATCACAGATGTTTCTTACTTGACTGGAAGACCACTTACAGCCCTCGAAACATCGGAAAGGAGTGCAGGCTTCTCGGGCAGCTGGAGGTGAGACTATAGTATGAGATGAGGAGGTTGGGGAGCCCACTGTCGTTTTCCGTGTACTTCTCTGCGAAATAGATACGTAATTCTTTACTGTATTTTTCCAGGAAAGACAAAGAACTGAGCGATTCGATGGACGCGCCCTGTGAGTTGATAAAGCTTCCTTGGATCTACAGAAAGGCCCTACTGGTGCTCAACAATATGGAGGTGAGAACAGCATTGACCCAAAGATAAATCAAGTAACAAACATCTCTGTATATTCAGGCTTGTCCACCTGCATGGATCTCACCATTAAAAATCTCCCCCAGGTGGAGGACAATGAGGAGTATATAAGGACAACTCTCAAGGCTGGAGGCCTTATGGATGTGGTAAGTGTCACTTCTGATGGAAAGAAAATCAGTAGCACTGTAATCCTCCGAAGTATCTGTCGTGCAGCAAGATTGCTACTGGAGAAATACTTCCCCAATCGCAGTCAGTCTCACAACTTTGGAGCTTGCGCTGTGTGTCAGGTTGAATGTTACCCGTGGAGCGGAGAGGTTGTGAAGCACAAGAGGCGTGACAAGCGCAAGGGTCACCACATGGGGCGCGTTGTGCGCACAGAAAAGGGCCCTTGCATTGAGTGAGGTTCTTCCTGCAGCTGGCAACCCAAATTGGTGATATCATCGATGTTGCCTATCCTTTGATGTGCAGCACGCCGCCAAGCAGATGCACGCATGCTGTCTTATAAGACGATGTGCATATGCTCACAAAGTACCACTGAACGCGCAGGGTGACATGGGAGAATCCTTATGGAGGAGATGGGACCGACACCTTCCTGCTTAGCGAGGATGGGCACACACTAACACAGGTGCAGATACTTTCCATGTCAGCAGATTCTCACATCAAGCATCACCGTATCTGTGTCCGTCGGGGCATAGAAATTTGAGAGGGCAGAAATGTGTCATGCAGGTGACCGACATGACAATCAGGGACACTGGAGAGAGGTGCCACTACAGGTAATAACCATTGCATTTCTTACACAATGGGTCATTGCCAAGATTGCAGTGCGCATGTAACTTGAAGCTGACAAAGCTCTTGTCGAACTGCTCTCAGGACGGTGTACCACAGAAGGCAATGACAAAGAGCTTCGATCAAGAGAACTGGAGACAGGACACTTAGGGAAGCTTGCCGGCACTGTGCATGTGACATTGACATCAGATCGATATTGGCTGCCTTTTACTCCAGTACAGCGCACTACCGTATTGTAGATAAGATGTACTATATTTCATACTTCATAAGATGTACCACTAGCAGGACTACATCGTTGCTGACAGCCAAAGCCATGCTGCTTGTTGGTGGTGCAAGCCGCTTGCTGACATGGCACAATTTCATTATTCAAACAAGACGATTGTTGCAATCCAGCGAGAGCATGTTGCTATGGCGACAAAAGACTAGGGTAAGATTGAAAACGGTCAGTGGTTCATTTAAATTCAGCTATGTGAAAATAAGGGTAGCTTCTCAGAAGAAACGGAATGCACGTACATGGTCACTGCGCATACGGTATGTACAGTAGATGATCGTGAGTTCGCGCAGGTAGATTTAGCTAAAGGTGTGCTAGTCTAGACACAGCTGCTGCAGTTGCAGTTAGCAGCTGCAGTAAACCTCTCAGGGATACTCAATTGGTGTGCCTGTTAGCCTGCAGGTGTTGGTCTTCACCTTAGCATTCAAATCAGGTTGCCACTGCCAGCACCAGTCTTGACAGAAATGTTAGCTTAGATCAGCTCATGAAAGCACTCAGTGATTGAGGCTCAATCTACATCATATGATATGCTCATTTATCAAACAGCGAGCTCGATGAATCAAAAGTCCTAGTGTTGCTAGGAACGTTGGATCATCGGTGCTGGATGCGCACAAGCGGGGCATGCAGTGACTGTCATCATGATCAGTGAGCTCAGGATTACTGCATGCATCAACCGGGCCGGCCGCGGCCTCTGCAGCCGCAGTCCACCATCATGGGACCAGCACGCATGCATATCATACCTTATGACTCATTGGATGCTACACTGGAGCGTACGAAATCCATTCTATTTGCTTGGAGATTGGCTGTTTAGAAAGCCCACTGCTGGGGACTAGCTCTGGTGGGTTCTGGAATGAAGGGGGACTTGGGTTAGCCACTCCATCCATAGATCCACCCCTGACTCTCATTCACCATATTCATCTCGATCTGTGTCAGTGCTCCTCCATCTGAATCAATAGCAACACAGCTTTCCCTGCTCAGAACCTCCTTACACTGGAGAGCGTCTTCACGTAAGACCGCAGGCAGGACGAGGGAGCACCATCTTTCGCTGACAAGACTTCAGAATTTGCTCGCTTTCCTTGTGCGATGACGAGAATACGCGCATCATAGGGTCACCGCCAGTCACGAAGAAGGCAAGGATTATGGGACCCCAGGTGCAGATGCCTACCCTCCAGACGTTCTAGGTCCAAAACCTTTCCTTTGAACGTGTAGTTTTCCATGGTGGTTGGTGGGGAGACAGGCACCTGGAATCACACCAAGTTGATCCGATAGCCGTTTTTAGTTTACAATTCACATTAGAAGCAGGTATTTGTGCTGTCTTCCGAACAACTGAACCGTAGGCGAATAGCAGAGCTCATGGTCCCAGGACTATATCTCAAGTCACTGATTAACATCTTAGAATGTCCTTGACGGCGCATATTCCTCCACTTCATACCTATAAGCATCTTGGCCAGTGTTCCGGGGGAGAATCAGCTCTTCCTTTGGCATATAGATGGATGGGTGTCACGGGTGAGATGGAGCTTGCTGTTGTGCAGCTCATGCAGGAGAGTGCAGCGATGAGTAATGGGGTGCACCACGAGGTGCCGGAGTTCCTGGGATCAAAACGGATGATAAATAGGCAGGAGTACATCCGGCTCATGGAGCAGAGCCTCCACCGGCTGGGCTTCAGCGCCGCAGCACAGCAACTGGAGCGTGACTCGGTGCAGCCACTTCCTATTCTCCTGCCGGATTAGTGATCCTGGGATACTGTCCAATGTCCAAGGAATTTTCCCAAGGATTTTGTGCTCCAGAGACAGAAGCACATCCTTTCAGTCGAGGCAGCTAGATTCACCAAGAGGCTGTGCTGCGTGTCAGCAGGGCATACAAATGCAGCCGGTCACCGTCACGCAGTTCCAGGATCACATCTTCAATGGGCGCTGGGATGCTGCCCTGGCTTTGCTGCCACGCTTGACTTATGACCCAACCGTCGCCTTGCAGGCATGCTCCTTGTACCATTGCTATTCGGTCTCGGTGCAGGCATGCCCATATTTACTGGGGCAAATGCGTCATGCTGTGCTTCACTTGCAACAAGGCAATGCTGTGCTTGCGGCAGGCTCGCTTCCTAATCATACAGCAGAAGTACGTCGAGGCTGTGGAAGCAGGCCACATGAGTCTCGCGCTGCGCACCCTGAGAAAGGAACTGACGCCCCTGAAAATCAATGAGCCACAGCTGAGAAAGCTGGCAGGTACAGCACCCATCACCTTTGTGCATTAATCTGCAAGCTTCCCTCCTAGCTCTGTGGCTCTTCACTGCACAGGATTTGCTGATGACGGTGTGTCACTCCATCTGGAATGCATCGCACACTCTTGAATCAACATGAACGTTTGGCGCAGGTTGCTTACTGCGGCAACATGACGACCCAGTCAACCCGCTGATAAAGGATTTGGAGTGGGGCGTGCTGGAGGAGTGCAGCCGCGCGCAGCTCATCTGGGCGCTGCAGCAGCGGCTGCCGCCCTCCATCATGATCCCAGACAACCGCCTGGAGCAGCTGGTCGAGCAGGCCCTGGATGCTCAGGTACCCATCTCACGCTAGCCTTCTTACAAGGCGAACAGCTGATTCCGAGCATGTGCCTGTACTGACTGGAGGCCACACCCCTGGAGAATTTTTTTGTGGTGGAGGTGGATGTCCTGGGGAGTAGTTGAATAAAACATTCCTCCTACATGTTCTATTTTTGTTTTAAGTGTTGGCTGTGGGGTGGGTCCAGGTTGCTAAGTGCCCGTACCACAACACGCAGCACTTTCAGATCTCGCTCTTCAGCGACTACCAAGCAGGCATAGAGCAGCTTCCGACACACCCAAACCAGGTAAGCTTCCAGCATCAGCACAGAGTGCCTGCTTGCATTTTCAGTTCCTTTCTTGTCTTGCACAACTGATCAGTGCCTACCAACATGTCCTCTGCAGCCAGGATACACCTGTAACACTGATTAAGAAGATGGTCAAAGCCAGGACACTGATCATCTGTGCTTGGTTCTGCAGGTGCTTGAGACGCACAGGGATGAGGTGTGGCACGTGCAGTTCTCCAACAGCGGCTTACTACTGGCGTCTGCGTCAAAGGATGCCACGGCACAGATCTGGCGCATCGGCCCCACAGGGGAGGCCGTGCACATGCACACACTGACTGGACATGACAAAGCGGTGGCCTTCCTGACGTGGAGTCCTGATGACAGCCGCCTGCTCACCTGCGGCAGTGATCATGAGGTCATGCGCCAAGGCTGATGCCCATCCAGTTGCCGGCCATTGCGCCTTGCAAAAGGTTTAAAGAATTTCCAGATTTTGTCACCAAGCAGAGAACGCCCAGTTGATGTTGTGTTGTTGTGCGCAGGTGCGGTTGTGGAACACAGACACAGGGCACTGCGCACAGGTGTACAAGCACCAGCAGAACCAGGTGTCCTCCTGCGCATGGCAGCCCGACAGCAAGCGCTTTGTTGTTGGCACAGCAGACAGGTGCATATCCGACTGCTCTCTCATGCTCCTGCCAGTAATCCATCCAACTCCAGAGCAAAACATCTGAAAGGTCCAAACAATGCCTGCCTTACAGTGAAATACAGTATGCGAGGAGCAATTTATGCAGGATTACAAGTGCTGGCTGCGGGTGCGCAGGATTATGTACACGTATGATGTGGAGGGCCAGCTGCTGCGGCGGGTGAAGCTGCTGCGCATCAACGACCTGGCGCTGACGCGCGACGGCACTGTCATGGTCACCGTCAACCAGGAGAAGATCATCAAGGTCCAGCGCGTGTCCGACAACAGAGAAGCCCGAGAAGTGGGCGCCCCTCCTGTGTTCCTGCCCTTCACCTCATGCTGCCTCACATGCGGAGAGCAAGACAGGGAGTTGTCCTGTCAAGGTTTGGGGTTGTATCTCTGTGGGACTTTGACTGTTTGCTCAAGGGCACCCCGATTTACCTTTGCGAGGTGGCCCCCTAGAGAGCAGAAATACACGTAGCGGCGGGGGAATTGCACAAGGATCTCACTGGTTTTCTTGTCTCGTGTAATCCCTTGTGCCTGTGGGCGCAGATGGCTGTGTCGGTATCGGAGTCGGTGGCCATCATGAGCATGGCGCTGTCCCCTGACAATGCCTGGATCCTGGTCAACCTGTCCTCGCACACCATCCACCTGTGGCCCATGGAGCCCATGCTGCGCCAGCTGGACGCCTTGCACAGCGGCCAGATCAGCCCCGGTGTGCATCCTGCCGCCTAACTTTGCCGTCAGTGATCGACTGTTCACCATGAAGGGCGGCAAAACCTTGGCATCTTTCTTGACATGGCATGGCAGCTGCAGTTGAAGCTGTACCAGGTGTACTTGCATGTTGTGCTCATTGTTGTGCTCATTTCAAGCGGACGGTTGCTCATGGTAGGCATGGTGGCTGGCTGCAGATGAGGCGGTGCAGTGCATGACGGAGCCGGCGATGGAGTACAAGATGGACCCCAACCGGCAGCCGCGCTTCATCATCCGCTCCTGCTTCGGCGGCTCCAACGCCTCCTTTGTGGCCTCCGGCTCAGAGGTGAGCCGCAGCCACAGTCACAGCCTCTTGTTCAAGTGCCTGGCGATTTGTAAATGGGCTTCCGGTGCCTTGATCGCAATTGATTTTGCTGATCTGCGGAATCTGACTGGAAAGGAAGGCTCTGACATGTGGCTGGGTGATAAGAAAGGTAATTTGGTCCCTACGGGGTCCACCTTCCTATCAGCACTTGCTGAGATGTCAATCTCAGTGATCTCACAGTCCCGTTGAAAGATACACTCATAGAAGGTGCTGATGGTGTGGGCGAAGAGTGAAAGTTGCTGGGTTGTGCAGGACTGCCGGGTGCACATATGGCACCGGGAGAGCGGGGATCTGCTGGCGCAGCTGGAGGGCCACTCCGGCACAGTCAACAGCGTCTCCTGGAACCCCACCAACCCCTTCATGCTCGCCTCCGCCTCCGACGACAAAACCGTGCGGATCTGGATGGCCCCACTCGCCCTCAACCACAGGCCTGCCAGCTAGCGGCCGCACCCCTTCTTCTGCAGATCTTGGCACAAAGACCGACACCTGGGGGCCCTAGTCTCTTGCGTGCAGCCCTAGGAGATCTTGAACACAGGGGCCGGCACGGTGCCGCACAGCTATTAGTGTAAGATAATGCAGGTGATTCAGAGAAGTACTATGATGCAAGTGCAGCTGTTGAGATAGCATTAATGGACAAGGCATGTTCATTCAGCTCCTTGGCACAAGTTGACACTCCGAGATGAGGGCACATAGCTGTGCTGGTGCTACAGAGCACAGTGCACATGGCTAGCTCTGGCGCAGGAGCAGTTGTTGTACATTATTGAACTGTAGACTGGTATGTACAAACGTGGCGGAGGAGACATGCTCGGTGACTGGAATGTCACCTTGATTTGACGTCCCCGACTGTTATGGTAGCACAGATGCATGATTCCCGTTGATGAACAATTTAGACTTGATTTATTGTGCATGTATTCAGGAGACCGTGCAGGGAACCATCTATTAAAATGCAAAGTGCTCAGCAAAAACTAATTATTGTTCCCAGCAAAGTTTGGGTTGTAATCATTACATGCATACAATGTACCGTAATGTGGATGACTCCTCGGATGGTCATGCTTGGGGCGAGTAATTTACACCATTCTATATGTCTTACCCATAATTACCATGCAAAATTGGAATTCAACTCTTTAGAATATTTTTTGGTGACTCACTTCGTCGGACAAAATGGCTGATGTTCCGGTACCGGTATACCGCCCGGGCCGGTATCTGCATGATGGCATGCGCATGGCAGTGCCCTAGGGCCTCCATGGCTATCGTGATCAGATCCGCCGGCCTTTGCATCTACAGCTAGGGCTCCTTTAGCTGCCCTTTACTATACTCATGCGCACTAGTCCTTGTCATTGAAATTTTGCCCAATGCACGTGATTGCCACGCGCAAACCACATGCTGTTCATGTGAACATGATCTCATTCGGCTTCTAGCCCAGCAGCATTCGGAATTGGTATCAAAATCCGCCTGAGTTCCTAAATTCTTTTCAAAAAATATTTTGTACAGATGCGATCTCAGATTGGACATGGGTCCCGTCTGACAGCTCAAAATACTCATGCTGTTAGTCAGTCGAATGAGAGTTCCTAATTCTGAAAGGCGTCTCAGAAACGATCTTACTACAGAAATGCTTAGTATACTTGTCATTTTTTCATTCTTCTCAACTCTTCACGGCTCAGATTCAACTGCTCAGGTGAGGCAACAAGGTTGATCTGACTTGGGTTTGTAGGCGATCTGATCTTTGTTGGGCCATCAATCTGCTGCTATATGACCAGAATCGTTCATATTATGGATTAACAAGACACTCATAAGGTCTGTGATGCGCTCCTGTGCGGGCTTCAATGACACTTTTTAGAGAGCTGTGTTGCAATTGTCAGAACGCCCCTGTACGCTTCTGGATAGAGGAATACGCATTTTCAGAGGGAGAGACCACTTTGCTTAGAGAGCAGATAGAGGTAAGAAGAATTACACCCGTTAAATTTTCTCAAATTGCCAGGGCGATTCGGGCTGCAGTCTTTGACAGTTGTGACATGCAGGCATCCAATGGCGCTGCCATGATAAGTGGCGAATCGTGGACAGAGTTTCTGTCCACCAAGGGATTCTTTGTTCCTGACAAATGGGACGTGTACTGGGCCAACAGACGGGTGTGCATGCTCTGGCATGATGATGCTTGCGGTGGGCCTCTCCCGGCCTTTTTCAGTCTCCTTTTCCTCAAATGGCTAATAATCTTGCTTCCGCAGGCATGCTTGAAAGCACTGCCTCACAGCCGAGCAGGCCAGAAAGTGAGCTGCATGCCAGGAATAGTAGCGCTTTCAGACAAGCGTCGCCTCATTGAAACTCTCACTAGCGCTTATGGAGAAGGGGCCTTCACCATTCTGCCTCGCACCTTCCTCCTCCCAGAGTTGTACTGGGATTGGCGCGTCTGGATACATGACCAGGTAACGCAATCCTACTGTGCTTGCTGCTCACCTTGCACACCCTTATAGAATTAACATATCTGTGCAGTGCCCAAGCTTGGGGGGCTTCTGTAATGACCCACTGTCAAGAGAATTTTCTGTGTACTCAGGCAGTGAGAGAGGGCGTGCAGGACAGGCTGTGGGTGTTGAAGGAGAATGCACACAGGGGGCAGGGGGTGGTGGTCCTCCCAGAGAAGGAGGCTGTGATGCGAGCCATCTCGGAACGAGGCAGAGATGGCGGTGTCCTCTACGAAATGTCACAAGCCTACATCGGCAACCAGCTCACTGTTGCAGGCAGAAAGTTCTACCTCAGGTGGGCTAGTGCTTCCTGGACAAAGCTGCTCAGATCCACTCAGAACGATGTCTTCTGCCTAAGTACATATCAGAACATAGTACCAGGTACTGATGATGAATTTTTCCTACGGCAATTGGTGTTACGATGCATCAAAAATTCATGCTGGCATTGCTTGGGCGTTGCAGGGTGTGGGTCATAGTGACAAACGCGGAGCCGGTGCGTGTGTATTTGTTCAATGGGGGTGTGCTGCCCTTTGGCTCCCTCAAGGAGGAGGCTGCGGCAGCCGGCAAGGAAGCTTCCTGCTCTGCAGAAAGAGGCCAGGAAGAGGGAACATGCGAGGCCTCAGGCACGCAGGATGAGCTCATCGTCAATCTGTGGAGGAACAGGGGAGAGGCTGTCATATGGAGCGTCGATGACCTCCGGCGGCATCTGACAGACACAGAGAATGATTCAAGCACAGCCTTTGACAGAATCTGGGCTGCCATCCAATTGGCAATAGGTGTGCGCGTTCCCCAGCCCGAACAGCGAAAAACAACAGCTCCAAGAAAGTATGTTGAGATCTAATTTCTCAACAAGACTTGCATGCAGGGCTCACTTTTGAGGCAGCGCAACCAGAGCTCAGTGAGGCAGCCAGGCAGCACCCCTCACCACAGGGTGTTGCATTTGAGGTGCTGGGAGTGGATTTCCTTGTTGACAGCAACTTGCGGCCCTGGCTCCTGGAAGTGAACGCTGTGCCCTCCATGGCACGGCAGGTGCGTGAGTGCCCCTTCTGCGCAAGCTATATTGGCTGCTCTCGGTGAACTCTTTGCTGATGAATTTGGTGCAATGTCATCCTGCAAGAGCTGTCTCAGACACCTGTATTTATGACATGTCTGCAAGGAATGCAGGTTTGAAGTTATTGTATGTGGAATGGTGTGCAGGTTCTAAAGTGCGCAGACTCGAAAGAGGGGTGTGAGAATACAACGGTGAATGCATTCGATCAGCAGAAGGCAGCTGTGGTTGGAAGCCTCTTCCAGCTGCTGCTCGCTACTGCTGGTCAGGCCACCAACAGCATGAAGGTGAGCTGCCTCTAGAATTGGAACACTATTTGTCAACTGAAGTACTCAGTTGATGGAGCCGCAAATGTTGTATCATCCTCCACATATGTTGACTTATCCTCCACATATTAGAGCGGCAGTGTAGGCAGAGGGGCGTATGTTACAGTAGCTCCCTTTTGAAGGGGCTTGAGGAAGCAGGATGGTGCACAGGGAGCGGGGGAATCAGAGATGCAGAGCCTTCTCAGTCAAGGAGCTGCAGAGATGGAGACTGCGCGCAGGGCCGGATTTATCCCCATCTGTGCGGCAGCAGAGGCAGCTGCGCTGTCAAAACGGCATCAGCCGCCATCTGTGGTAGGCAGTGGTAAAGAAAGCAGCAGTGCAGCGGCGCATAAGGACTGGGTTGCACGGGCATTCAGTGCCATCAAGGAGATTGGTATTCACATAGGGGAGTGGTGGTGGTCTGGGGAAAGGATTAGAGGAGTGTGGGTTGCCCTGGAGTGGGCGCCACGCAAAGTGGCACAGTTTCTGTTTTGGGCTGTTCCATCTGAATTGCTCCTTGGTCTGGCGGAAGGCGTGCCTGGAGCAGACACTGCGATCTTGTCCATGAAGAGACTGTCGGAAGACCGTGGCTGGGTTGCCGGCAGGACGTATGCTAGGTGGCAGCTACATGATAGCAGCACTGATGTATTGCGATGTAAGTGAGTGAAAGTTGTACTCTCTTTGAAGCAGGAAATTCGTTTGGGATCAGTCAGAACTGAGGGGAATCAACTGATCAGAAAAACATCGTAGAGTCCAAGGAAGCACAACATCGGCACGCCGTCGTCTTGAGGCTTTACGAATGTTGGTGCACAACACCAGCGCCATCAACCATCTAATAATCTCAACTACTGTACTACCCACTGTGTCAGATATTGTCAGATATGAACTCTGTGGTCTGAAGGAACATCAAAATACATTTATATCTATTCTTTGCATCTCAAGTGTTCTTGGCGTATGCCTTTTTTGTATTGACGCTCTTATGCGAAGGTGACCTTTAGTAGAGTGCTCAACACTTACCACTCAATACACAATGAGTTCTCCTGTAAGGCAGAGAGGATCTAAGGGTGCAACTGCCAAAAGCGAAATTGATGATCTGCCTGTTAGCAAAGACCTTCGAGTCAAAGGCTCAGAACCAAGAATGATTTTGCTCTTCAGAAAAGCAGCATTTTCAAAAATGGATCAATGGGACAAGGTGCGCGACTTGCTCCCTTCGCCAGCACAGAGAACTGAGCAATATACTGACCAACTTGACTGTGATCAACCGATGGAAGTCTCCAGCATGACCAACCGAGAACATTTGATAATCAGGAGGATCTCCTGGACTTGTTGTATTGGATGCGGCAAGTAATTGCAATACTGGCTGGTATAGCCTGGGGATTGGTGCCCCTCACCGGCCTCTATGCTTTCCTGAGGTGGGTGCCGTGCTGCTGTTGGAAATTAGCTACAATGAGTGAGGTTTGCACAGTCTATTCCCAAATTACCTTCCCACGGCAGCTGACTTATGCTCGGCTTGCAGCTTCATGGTGGTACTACTTGGAGCGCCGCTCCTATGGTATCAGGCGCAAAGGTGAGCAAATGCTACAGCTTCTTCAGCAAGGGCTGTTGGTCTTTTGTTCACCCCGCTGATCTACTGAGCTGGATCCTTGCGTGCAGGATTGATGAGGAGGAGTTTGGCGGGCATCAGAGTTTGGCAGGGGAGGGAACTGCACCATCGATGGCCCTGTTCCTGGTAGGCAGTCGCAGGCACCTCGTGAATGTTGTTCTTTTTCTTTGTCTTGCCACTCAGGAAGGGACCTTTCCAGCATAAGTTGTACTGCTCGAAGGCAGCTCCGCCAACAGAATCTTGAATTTGGCGTCTCCACTGACTCGCAAATATTGGCTGTGTGCTGCAGCTGGTATGGATTGTCACGTACACATTTGTGCACGCTGGCTGAGCAGCATCCTTACCACATCTGGCGATGTGGGCCTCTCGATGCTACCACATCATGGGTGCATGATTGGGTGTTTCCGATCATATCCGAGGAGCGAGGTGTGCTGGCATGAAGCTCCAATGAAGTGTGAAGTCAGAGTGCTCAATCCTTGTCCAGAGGACGTGTTGTACTCGTGCAGCTACTGCCGCTCTGCTGCGGTCGGGGCGTCTGGTATCAGCAGAGAAGCAGGTTGGCACAGGTCAATTTTAGATGCTAGATTCTAATTGGCAGCTGTGATCTCCAATTCATGGCGCATAAGTCTGCACGTTCAGTAGAATTGGTTGCCGGCTGCCAGCGGACTGCTGACAACGTGCATTTGTCAAGTTCTAGACATGCTTCATCTGATCCGGCTGATAGAGTTGGGACTCGGATTGCTGTGAAGGTAGGGCGTAAAAGTAACATTCCCATTTGATGGTAATTTCCTGCATTAATGACTATTCACCATGCGCTGCATATCATTTGCCATAGCTTAGCCATGTTTTTGGTTGGAACGCCAGCTGGCAGATCTAGATGCAATTTGCAAAGGCTTACCATGCATGCCAGGTTCATGGACACTTTTGCCCATGCGCGGTCATTTCTGATCTGCATGTGGAGTGCTATAAGCCTGAGCATACACTCAAATCACTGAGCAGCCACCTCATTGGAAAAATTGAAAGATATCAGTCCTGTCTGGTCAATGGTGGGGGTCGCAGTGCCCAATGGGCAGCCCAGTGCTGCTGCCCGTAGTGTCCCTTGGATGAACATGCTAGCGATGTGTTTGAGTGAAGCAGCATTGCCAACTCAACACAACCTTGCGGTCGATAATCATCGTTTTAGGCAGCGAGGATCCGCTCGAAGCGGTGGCTTTGTTAGATTTTAAGCCTAGTTCTCGATGGGGCATCTTGTCCATATTGAATCTGATCACAGTAGGTGACAGGGCCAAAACAGTTCATACTACATAGAATTTACAGAACGATTATTTATGCGTAACAAAGGAGCATGCCTGCTCACCCACCAGACTCTCCCGCACCAATGATCTCAAAAGTGATCCGCAAGACATGAAGGCCTTGGCCTGTATCACTATTTCAGGAGCGTGACTTATTGTTCAACTTACAATAATATATGCTTGAGTTCTTTCAAGGCTTCCAAGGCTCCAAGCAGAAAGTCGAAACGCTCGTCCTGGGGAGTGATGAAACTGCACCGGGACGGTAGCTCTTCTATTTTGCAATCGAGAGGGTGCAATTATGTCAAAATCGAGTGATAAGCGGTCGCCGAAAGCAGCGAAGGGGTCTCTCAAAGGCCAGAACGTTACCACCCATGCACCAACCTCAGCAGAGACTGGGACCAAAGCCAGCTGGAGCATGAGGCATGGCCAGAGCAATTTGCGATGGGGAAAGCACTTGCTGATCTGGTGCCTCTTTCCCGGGCTGACCATATTGGCAGCACTTTTGCTCACATGGACTCAGAGCACACAGGGTACAAGCCACCTCATGCAGCATCATAGCATGCACTTGCATTGCTGATTTGCCGCTGAAAGACAGAAAATTGGAGACTAATTGTGTTTAGTGAGCTGCAGGTGTCTGGTTTGATTGGGGAGGAGCCAATAGAGGGGCTGGGCAGCGTGTTGGGGTGGCGAATGGGGTGTTTCCGGCTGGCTGCAAGTGGCGCGATGTGCAGCATGATGGCGGTGAGAAGGATTTCTGGGCCGTGGAAGAGTACGAGTACTGGGATGAGGGCAAGCAAGTCTGGACGAGCAAACGGCCCCCTGCATGCATTGTTCAAGGCCATGCAGGCTCAAATGAGTGCGCCCACATGCATCCTTGTTTATTATGTTGGGAGCAAGGACGATCATGCATTGCATGTTGCAAGGCAACATTATGAAGACCTATGAGACGCATGCAAAGAGCAACTCTGAATGGAAATTTGCTGCATGTGCTGCCAGGTGGGAGACTGAGAGGCTGGGCTCACCAAGGACAGAAGTCAACTGTACAGTCACGCACTGCGTCTACCAGAATCTCTGGTACAACAACGGCCGTTTCTTTCTGCTGGTTGATGGCCCTGATGCAGTGGTAAGTCACTGTCACCTTCATTGCAAAGATCTACTGTGCGCAAGAAGCACAATTGCCATCATGGCTTCCAGGAGCCTTACTTGAATGCATGTTGAAGTCAGTCTGATTTGTGATCAGACTGGGTGGAAGATGACGCGGAATCAGGATCTCAACATTCTGCATGTGGACAATGCAACGGCGTTCGTTGACAACCTGCAATGGCGCATGGTCACCAATGACACCCTCCTCTTTGACTTTGTCTACTTCCTTCATCCGGTGCGACACGAGCATCGCCTGTCAAGCCACAGTCTTGGGTCGATGCCTTTGTCTTACCAGAGAATCTCAGGAGCCTTGCTGGCTTCCGTGCATGCCTGAAATGAAAGTTTGCAGCCATGTTGTGAACTCTGCCTGTTGCTTTGTTTGCAGACTGCCATTGGTCATTGGGGAGAGATGATGTTTCCCCTATTTTCAATCCTGAAACGGGAGCCCCACTTCCAGTGGCCGCCAGCCCAGTTTGTTCTCCTGCATTTGAAGAAGGTGATCCTCTGCCGAGACTTTGCCAATTTTTTCTCATCTGTGGTCCAAGACTGTTCCAGTACAACTATTAGTGCCGCGTCGATCTGGTAAGCTGTATTCAGCTGGATGGACTGGCATGCACAACAGGTACATCTTTTGGAGTGGGCGCGAGCTGTGATTGCAACGACCTTGGGAGTGTTGCCTTCACGTGCCCTGCCACCACTCCTGATGCAGCAGGAGGTGGACTCTGTCTGGGACCAGATCTGTACGTCATTCTCACCCCTGGCAACATCATTGACCTGCGGGCAGTGTGTCCAGTGTGTCCAGTGTTACAGCTGCCCTCTAGCTGCCATCATGGTGTCATCACATTAATGTGGATTGCACATTTCAGTGGTAGACAGGGAAACCATTGGATTTTGGCACTGGCTGTGCATGGTATGAATATTGATAGTACAGGATTGTAATGGCAGCTCGACTGTATGGTGCAGTGTCGCCGCTGGAGGGGTTTGGGCGGAGGGAGTGGGTGTGCTTTGAGAGGGCTCTGGTGGTGCGCGACATGTTCCTGGGCGGAGAACGCACATTCCTCAATCAGGAGGACGCCCGCGCCTTCCGCTCCATGATTTACGCCCTGTACGGTGAGGGAGTCACACATGCAAGCAGAGGAAGTATCTTTCTCTCTCTCTCTCTGAGTAGAATATTTTGTGAAGAAAGTGAGTCTTTGTCTTGGTAGCGCTGGGCTTTTTGGTAAACGTGACGGCTCAAGGCTGCTTGATGTGCAGGGCTGCCGCCGCCCACCGAGCGGCCGGTGCCGCGCGTGATCACTTTCCAGCGCAAGCGCGCGAACCGCCGTGTGGTCAACGAGGAGCAGCTGATCAGCCTGCTCAAGGAGTTTGGCGAGGTGCTTACTGCCTCCCTTTCCTGGCAGAACGACCAGAACATTTCTCGAGTTATGCTCAGTATAATGCACAGCATCTGTGATCCCACAGTGGGTCAAGGTGACATGGGCTGGGGGCTTGAGGTTGCGCGATGAGAGGTGCAACCTCGACGGGTGCATTGAGGTGTGTGGTGCATGTGGCAAGGTGCATGTGGTGGAGTTCAACTCGTCGACACCGTTTGAGGAGCAGCTGCACACGATGGCGGGGACAGGGGTGTTTGTCAGCGTGCACACCTCCAACCTGGCCAATGCACCCTTCCTGCAGCCGGGCAGCGCTGTCATTGAGATCATCCAGCGCAACTGGATCTGGGATAACCTGGACAGGTCCTTCCAAGTGCGGTGCTGCAGCATGCATTCATTTTAATCGTGGAAATTCCACTTAGTCAAGAGGTCCCATGGAAACGTTGTTTGATTTCGCATGATCTGCAGGGCACCACGTGTTCCCTTGAATGAAGCAGAGTTGTGAAATTTGATGCATGCAATTTTGACATTTCTGCAAATGTAAGTTTATGAAACACCAAAAGAGGGGAAGCTGCTCGCGCGCAGTTACAAACGGCAAGGATGGGGGACATTCACCATTTTGCCTGGCGAGCCCGCTTTAGGAACCAGACCATCTACATCAACAAAAGGGACGGGGAGCGCTTTGGGGATTGGGAGCCTCTACAGTGTTCGGTATGCTACTGTATGCTGCCTGTAGACTCTTCACCAGTGCCACCAAAGAACTAATGCATGCTGAATTGTTTCATGCATCTATGGTCTTTTCTAATAAATGGATTTAATGGGACGCATGTTGTGCTTCAGACGGAGGACTGTGTGGAGGCGCACACGAATGTGGATGTGGTTGTCAACCTGGACGAGTTCAGGGCCTTGCTGGAGAGCCGTCTTCCCCTTGTCTATGGTGGTGCTAGCGTTGATGAGGCTGCACTGCCCTGGCCACCCATAGAGTAGCTAGAATAAATTACATGTAGGCCCTTTCAGATCTCCGTACAAGATAGTGTGGGTGAGGTAGAGTTTGTTGCATCCCTGGCAGTCTGGAAACTTGCCTGGGGATGCTTCTTCAACATGTACAATTGGACTTCCAGTATATAAGGGGTGTCCGGATACTACATGAAAAGCATCAGCTGATCTGAGATGTAAGAGCAAGCTGGCTGCACATCATTCCCTGACTGCTACAACGATGTACAAGAAAAAGTCTGCGCTGTGCAGATTGGCATGGCACCAGGCGAGTGGCGCGTCCAAGTCTGGTGAAACACCATTGATGAGGGCTTCTGCAGGCCTTCCATTCACCAGCAGATCTTTCTCTTGCATGGTAGCACTGCCCCCCTCAGGCTTTTCATTTGTGCTGCTGACAGCTTCTACGATCTCTCCTTTGACTTCTCCCTCAGCATCGGCTGCATTCCCATCCTGCAACCATGCAGCTCCACTTAAGAAACAAAATGTTAGCATTCATGTTCCAGGAAAGAGAGGCAAATGCAAGCTATGCAGAACAGAGGCAAGTGCGAGCTATTCAGCGGTCATCTCACCAGTTTGTCTCGCTGCTCGGAGCTGCTGACAATGCCAGCTGTTGAGTTCGTGGCTTCTGGTTTAGCACACAGAGCGGACAGCAGCTCCCTCAGCACCTCCCCCAAGCTCCTCAGCGCGCCAGTCTCAGTCACCGTCTCCACTGGCCGCGATGTGTACTGTGTGGCTGTGTCCAGGCTCGCCATGTACCCTATCACCAATCCAAAAAACCCATCATATCTTCAGGTCCAGCTGTATTATATGGTCTAGTGATAACAATCATGCCGCACGCCACTCTCCCTGGCCCGAGCATGCTGGACATGCATGCTGATCTCTGAAGGGGAACTAGGTCATATTCAGACGTTTTACCTCCATGAGACTGTCGGATGTACAGCCTCAAGGGCACTGAGGGCCTGCGCTCCCCTCGCGCCTTAGGGACCATCAGCAGAGAGCTGCAGACGGATGCATACTGCTCTGCATCCCCCTGCATGAATAAAGAGCCTTGTCATGCCGGCTGTTCCGAACAACTCAGCCAGTTGCAGAGATCAATTATGCACCAGGCACATGCGGGTGCAGGACGGCTGCTCACCGCTGTGACAGCATTCCACATGTCATTCTGAGCCTGCAGGGCCATGTCCATGACGCCGCGGGCGCTGCCCTGACAGATGTATGCAGCTTCCTGCGAGCAAGTAGTCCGTGATGAGCAGAAGCTTGAGAATTATACAAGAGCCACCACCCGTCACAGCAGCTCTATGCTTACCAGCACCATCGTTACCATAATCTGCTAAGACCAGCATGGGTGGCTTGGCTGCGCACCTTCAGGGAATTGAAGTAGGCTGCCCTCAAGCTGGAGTCCCCATCCCATCTGAGCAAGACATCTGATGGAAAAGCTCGGAAGTGGACCTGTGCCAGGTGCACACTCTGTCACAAACGCGCATCTGCATGTGGTCCACAACGTCCTGCTTTGAACAGTGTGAGAGACCTGACGTCCAGCAGCGGCAGCCACCACTAGCACATAAATCAAGAAGACAGGCTAAGAGCAGCGCACAGTGAGTCGCCAGGGCTGCTCGTGATCGCTTGTCAGGAGGTCGTACAGAACTCCCACTGGGACTTGCCTGCACGGGTACAGCACCTGGATCTGATCAATTCCAAGTTACGTGCAGGGTACTGTCCCTTAATGCTATGCATGCAAAGACACATGTGGGCACTCTCTGGACTCACCAGGGCAGAGGAATTCGCTTGTATTCAAACCAAGGACTATCTGTTCCCGGTGGCAGGACATCCTGGAAGCATAGAGAAAGAGATTGATGCACAGAGCTCCTCTAACGCATCACATGCTAAGGAACCAACCAAAGGTGACCCACCTTGAAGAATTCAAGAGCCTGTGCTGCAACCGTGGGTAGGTATCCAAGCCTGAAAGCCAGTGCCTGCCCAGGAGACACCAAGCTCAGAGAATCAGGACAAGGCGCTTCATTCGATGTGTGAGCCGAAGCGATTCATAAAGAGGCGTTGTAAAGATCGCTTGTCCTCTATGTGACTTACATAAAGCGGTGAAGGCGTGTCCAGGGACGTTATTTCGTTGGAAGCCAGCACAAGCTTCAAGGGGATCTACGTAACAAATGAAGTGTAAGGACGAAAAAACCAATCTAATGGGTTATAAGCAGCAGGGGGACATTTTTGAAAGCTTGATCAAACCTGTCCAGCCCAATTTGCTTCTCTGATGGCCTTCTCTGAAGCCACCATTGGAAATTTCAGTGTGTACCAAAGTGTCCCTAATCGGTTCGGGTTTGGGGCAGATTTGTTGTGGCTATTTGAAGACGAAGTATCATTGTCTCGATCGGAGAGAACGAAAGTATTCAGTGCACCTCATGTTCTCCTATGGTGCATCAGAGTCTGGAGAATTGGATAGAAGGCGGCTTCACATGTGCATTCTCTTCTAAAAATAAATAACATCTTAGAGAAATGAACGTGATGCTCCTAAAAATCCGTTCGTAAGATCTGTTTTGGACAGGTGCCCGCAGGTGACTCAGACTGACTCAGCACAGATCTGCACAGCAATCAATGCTGTGTCTGGCGTGAACGGATGTTCCATTTCCCTTCATGTGATGCAATTATGCATTGAGAATCTTGGTTTATCTGTATGCGAGTGAAACTTGTGAATCCCCTGTGAAAAAGCCAGTGGGATTGGTCAGCACGATGTTTGCTGCATTGGTTCGGAAAGCAGGCTTGCGTGATCAGTTCCATCTGGTGAATAGATTTTCAAGCACAACTGCAGATGCCACGAAGGTGAGTCCTAGGTAACGTGCACCTCACAACCAGATCACAATATTGAGAGGCATGGCACGGACTCGCCACATTCTGTGTTCCTTGCTGATGGCAAGCGCTGATCACTTATAAATTTGCAGGTTGGATTTATAGGACTTGGGGCAATGGGAACTCGAATGGCAGAGAACCTGAGAAGATCAGGCTATGGGTTAGTGGTGCACGACACCAGTATTGCTGCATTGGACGCCTTCTGTAAGCATGAGGGTGTGGAAAGCGTGTCAACTCCCGCTGCTGTAGCCGAAGAAGAAGGTAGTCTGTGAATGAGTCCTATAAACCTGCAATTTCCAGATGTGATGTGTCGGAGACATGACAACTTGCAAATGGCAGGTGTGGCAGTAATCATCACCATGCTGCCATCCTGCAAGCACGTCATGGATGTGTACTGTGGCACAGAAGGCATTCTTTCAGCAGAAGGCTCGCCCCTTGCTCCTCACTGTCTCTTCAACAGGGGCTGCTCTTGCAGGCTGATCAGTCTGAGATTGCTGTGCCAGTGAGGTCAAGATCACACAAGTGCTTGTTACAGGTGGGACGAGACCATCATTGTTCATTGACTCATCCACCATCAATCCTGTGACTGCTCAGAAGCTGGCCCAGAAAGTTTCTGAAACATCTCTGCACCGCGAGTCTCAGCCCTTTCCTGGATGCAGCGCTCGCAGCCCCATGATGGTGGATGCACCTGTGTCTGGCGGTAAGCTGGTGACGCCCATGGCCTGAAGATGTCTTATCTCAATGCAATGCATTGATGTCATGCCAACCTGCGCTCCTCCATGACTTGTCATATTGCTCTTGGCATTTGCAGGGATTACTGGTGCAAGTGCAGCAACCTTGACATTCATGGTGAGAATCATTTAGAAGTTGTTCCGCTTTTTAGACAGCAGAGCGCTGACCTTAAAGGAACAGATTTGGCAATGATACCCGTTTTATTCATTGCAGTGCGGCGGCGATAGGAATGCCGTGAGTGCCGCAGGACCCTTTTTAAAAAGTATGGGAAAGAAGTCGTGGCATTGTGGAGCGGCAGGAATGGGACAGGCTGCCAAGGTCATATTCTTGTGAAATGCAATGTAATGCTGGAAACTCTTGTGAAATTCTTCCAGGGCATGAGATATTTGTTTGCGGCTTTAAATTTGAACTTATGATGCGTAGGTATGCAATAATCTAGCGCTAGCAATACAGATGGTCAGCATAGCAGAGGCTGCAGCGTTGGGAGGTCGGCTTGGCATGGATCCCAAGCTACTGGCAGACATATTTAATTCGTCCTCTGCAAGGTGTTGGACCTCCGACTCATATCACCCTGTCCCGGTGCGAGACCTTCGCCATATCTATACTCTGTGCAATATATCGCAGGCTGAAATTCAGTCGTTTCTGCAGCGCTCTCTGCTAGCGAGCAATGATGGTGTTCTTCGATCTATACAGGGAGTCATGGCTGATGTGCCAGCATCCAAGGGCTACAAGGATGGGTTTGCCACTCGACTCATGATCAAGGACCTTGGTCTTGCAATATCTGCGGCAGAGCATGCTGGCTCAGCAACGCCCATGGCCAATGAAGTTCTGAAGCTGTACCAAAAGGTAGGTTTGGTCGAAATTGCTTGCCGGGCCCTGATGCGCATCATACCTTTTGCTCAAATCTGAAGACAGGCAAGTATGCTGAGCTGAGGGAAATGCCTGCCATTTTTCAGGTTGCAGAAGATGCAGATGACCGCCTGGATTTTGGTGCAATCTACAGATATGTCTATAATGGAGATGCAGCAGATGCCAGTGGAGGTTCTTGAACGCAAAGTTTGAGGTTGCCCAGTAAAACTTGCAGGTCCACCCAAAACTCACATAGGATCCCTGGCTGCAATACAAATCCAGATCCTTGAGCTCCATTGTCAATTGCAAGCGATTTGCACAGCTGTCAGCAGTTCGATGATGTACAAACAGTCACGATAGCCTCTGAGAGAGATCAAACTCTGGAAAATTCAAGACCTGAAGCTCAGGAGAAGGATTTCTCTCTTGTTTGATGCTCCATCATCAATCACATCCACGACCTTCACTTCAAATGTCCCATCCTGCTTTACAAGCCGAGTAAAAGAGGCAGTGCCACCGCCTACTCCAAAGTAATAGGATTTTGCGGCTATCCACGCCTTACCCACATCGGGCTTCAGACACTGTACAAACGCACACAACATAATCAAAGACCTCTGTACATTACTTGATGTGTTCTGCATGTGAATGGTGTCATTGCAGCCAAGAAAAGTACCTGTCTGATGCAATTGAGAAGCTGCTGTTGTGAGTCAAGGCTGTACACAGTCTCTGCAGAAAGGACAATGTCATATGTTCCCAGGAGACCTTCCGTTTTCAACAATCTGGGCAACCCAGCCCAGTCACCTACACCAACCTCAGAGTGGTCAGCATCCAGCGGGCCAGTCACGAGCACACATAAGGCGCAGACTTTTCAAATTGTCGCTCTCACATGCACGGAAGGAGAGTCACCTGCAAAGAATCGTGAGCTGGTCGATGTACAGTCCTCTGCATGTTCTCTACCAGCTGCTGTATTTGCTGCGACATTGGGAGCGGTGAGGGCCCTCAAAACTTCCCCATTGTAATCCTGCAGCAGTTTCTCTCCAGTGTAATCGAGCATGCATCCGTCAAATAATGCTGCTATTGCCGCTTTGTACCAAGATCCAAATGGTAGTAACCTGCAGTTGCTCACCTGGAAGTGCACCTCGGCACCAGCCCTCAAGAGGAGTATTCCTGGTATCCCTTGACCGCAACCCAGTTCCAGTGCCCTTGGCCGACCTTGCAGCTGTGGGTAGGCATGCTGGTCAAAGTCTTGCAACTCAAAGTGCTGACACATGAAGCGCGCCAAATCTACTGCACACTCCCACAGCTTGAAGCCTCCTGCATATGTATGTCAGTTTGAATATGCTTGTCGCCAGCAGGAAGGAAATACACCAAGCTCTGTGAGTGTGCTCTACGCCATAAGGAATTACCCTCATATTTCCCAGGGATGAGATCGCTGTCTGCCAGACCCTCTTCTTGAAGCATATTAGATGCTGCCTCGCTCGACAACCTACCCTGCCCATGCAAGCAAATCTTCAGTTGTCGGCATCAGGATGCAAGTAGCATCCTGGCACAGTCGCATAGTAATGAAGTACTTCCATACCTTTTGCAGGCTCAATCCCGGCGCTATCTCCACAACATCAGTGAGCAAATTTTCTCTGAGTGAGTGCGGACCGCCTGTGGAGGACTCTTCCCTGCCTTCAGCTTCCTGCACGAGGTGCTGTTTCCTGAGATGCTAAAGATCTTAAGGGTTGTTGCTCTACTTGTGCAATCTTCCATCGGTGACACGAACAGTGGACTTTGTGGAGCAATATGCATAGTGAACCTGGCTGAAAAGGAGCAATTCTTCTGCGGGCAAGGCTGCATCGTTATCTTTTCCTATAACCTGGATGCGCTCTGGGGTTGTGTCATCGCTGGCAAAATTGAATCTGAAAGGCTCGTTCTGCTCAAACATCATGAAATACGATCTGACGATCATGACGATCTGTCAAGCACAGCAAAGATCCTTTCATTCCAATCCCACACACATCAATAATTTTGACATAGAAATTCAAGTAAATGCAAAGCGATCGACACTGAAGCAGTTGTACTGGTCCCGGGACATGAGTTTAGGACTGCTTCGTCATGAGATGACGTGGCAGTGACTAACCTCCGCAGGCGGCCCACGCTGCTGTTGCTTTCCCCCACAGGAAATTCCAATACAGCCTCATAACAGGAAGAATTTAGTACATTTGCATACTTGCTGACATTCTACAAAAGTGTGCGTGACGATCCTTAAGTTATCGTAGTCGCCGAAAAGTGTATTTCTAGTACCCAAGAGTGCAAAAACGCGGGTCCTGTATTGCAAGACCTTCCACGACTGTACACTAGTTTGATATTGCTTATTACTTAGGCAGGAAGATCGACAGAAAAGGCTGAGGGCAACCGCCCAAAATGGTCCTGTATAACTTCAAGACCATTCAGGTGGTGCCCACGGCCAAGGACTTCATCGATATCGTCCTTTCCAAGACACAACGCCAGACTCCCACAGTCGTTCACAATGGATGGGCAATCAATCGTATCAGGCAATTCTACATGCGCAAGGTGAGGTTCACACTATTTCTCCAGAAAAGCCTCCTTTGCTTCTGCTTTTGCAGGGAGTTGTGAACATGGCGGAGGTGATCATGTGCTTACACTCTGCGTCCTTGGCGCGCAGGTCAAATTCACACAGTCAAATTGGCATGAGAAGCTGTCAAAGATCCTGGACGACTTTCCCAAAGTGGACGATATGCACCCGTTCTTCGGAGACCTGCTGAATGTGCTGTACGACAGAGATCACTACAAGCTGGCCTTGGGCCAGCTCCACACAGCACGCAACCTGATTGACAAGGTTTCCCAGGGTGAGTTGGCAGCCTTCAGTCAGCAAATCCGCAGTGTTTATTGAGAAAATCCCGAGAGGAAATGTGTGTACCTGAGCGCCTCCATTGACTGTGATGCCTCTTTTGCTGCAGACTATGTGCGCTTGATGAAGTACGGCGACTCATTATATCGATGCAAGGAGCTGAAGCGCGCAGCGCTGGTGATCCTCAGGCGACTTCACTTACATTCGATACATTCCGAGAGCATGACTCTCTGCTGCAGTCCAGTGTGTGGTGGTCACAAAGCTTCTGTGGACTTCCAAATGAGACGCAAATGTCTGGGTGCAGGGTCGCATGTGTACCATAATGAAGAAGCAGGGGCCCAGCCTGGCCTACTTGGAGCAGGTGCGGCAGCACATGAGCAGGCTACCCGCCATCGAGCCCAACACAAGGACGCTGCTCGTCTGTGGCTACCCCAACGTGGGCAAGAGCAGCTTCATGAACAGTGCGCCTCTGCCCTCCTGCCTTGGTTGCAGATGGTGTTGTTTGCATTTTCTAGCTTCAATCCTCACAGTTTCTCTATAAAGAGCTTGTCCCCATTACCGTGGCAAGTGTGTGACGATGGCGTTGTCGTGGTGGTGCAGAGGTCACTCGCGCAGATGTGGATGTGCAGCCGTATGCGTTCACCACAAAGTCGCTGTTTGTGGGGCACATGGACTACCGCTACCTCAGGTGGCAGGTCATCGACACACCAGGCATCCTGGACAGGCCCCTGGAAGAGCGCAACACCATCGAGATGCAGGTCTGTGTGCTTCTTCACTAGGGCCCAGCTATCAATTCTTCTATGCACGGTTGCCGTTGACGATGCCGTCCATTCGCAAACTAGAAGGTAGTAGAGGTTTATGTGATTGTTTGGCCATCTGTGCCACTGTCATTGACATGTGGTTCTGGCGGGCTGCAGAGCATCACAGCCCTGGCGCATCTGAGGGCTGCAGTGCTGTACGTTATGGACGTGAGCGAGCAGTGCGGGCACACGCTGGCGGAGCAGGCCGCGCTATTCCACTCCATCAAGCCCCTCTTCGCCAACAAGCCCCTGCTCATCGTGGCCAACAAGACGGACGTGACCTCAATTGACAGCCTGTCAGCCGAGGACAGGGCCATCCTGGACGAGATGGTCAGCGAAGCCGCAAAGATGAGCGGTGCGAGTCAATTCTTTATGGGCACATCTCCTTGTGCTCGGCGACAGTGCAGACATTGATGCTCTGAGATGATGACGAGCAGGGGATGCTAGCTGTGGCTGACGAGGCAGTTGTGGGCGGTGCAGGTGTGGCACCCGGGGACGCCAAGCTGCTGACAATGAGCACACTGACAGAAGACGGGGTGATGGCGGTCAAGCAGATGGCCTGCGACCGCCTGCTCGCCTCCAGGGTGGAGGCCAAGCTGCAGGTCAGCCTGCGCTATTTTCATGCTCTTGCAGCTTGCCAATGCCTGTTGTTGTCGACTTCTTGCACCTAGTTCGTGAGTGGCACTGAGGGAGGGATTGGGCCTTTAAGCATGGCATTATGTTGCTGCGGCAGGGCAAGCGCATCCAGGATGTGGCCTACCGGATGCATGTAGCCACGCCGGCGCCGCGCGACAGGCAGGCGCGGCCACCCATGATCCCGCCCACCGTGGCGGCTGCGCGTGCCCGTGCCGCCGCCGCTGCCGAGCCGGCCAAGAAGAAGACCGAGAAGGACCTGCAGGTGCCGCTGCCATCCTGGATGATACATTTGTCAGCTCCTGTGAACCAACGCTGCCTTGTCGCATTGCCGGGCTGCCCTGGGGGTTGTTCATGCATTTTCCTGCCACTGAGCCTGGTCTTGGAATGGGCCAAAAATGACAATGGGCTGATGGGGCTGCGTGTTTGGTTACGCAGGAGGAGAATGGTGGTGCTGGAGTGTACAGCGCAGACATGCGCAAGAGGTACGCGCTGGAGGATCCCTCGTGGCGCTACGACATCATGCCGGAGATCATTGAGGGCCACAACGTGCTGGACTTTGTCGACCCGGACATCGAGGCGCGCCTGGAGGCCCTGGACCGCGAGGAGGAGGCCATGGCCGCCGCTGCAGAGCTGGAGGTGCGCTCCTGATGCATAATTCCGTTTGTCTCATTTAAATAGCCTTGCAAACTTTCCAGATGGTCAGGGCTTCCACTTGTGCACACAATAATTTGTTATTGCATGGATGGCTGCATGTCAGAGCTACCTTAGGAGAGATATTTCTTGAATGTAGTGACTGCCGTCAGTGTTGTCCTGGGAGGAGTTGGTAAGTGTCCTGCTCCACTGCACTGATATGTTGCTGTGTGCTGCCAGGGCGATGACATGGATGAGGACGATCTGACGCCGGAGCAGAGGCAGCTGCTGAAGCAGATCCGTGCGCGCAAGACCATCGTGGTTGCCGCGCACCGCCGCAAAAAGAGCGCCGCCAACAACGCACCCGTCAAGCCGCGCCGCCTCGACGCTGACCGGTCCTCCACCACAAAAAACATGAAGGCACGACCTCTCCATTTATGTCCATTTGTGTTTTCGATTCTCTAGGTTCCGTACTCAAGACCCATACAAGCATCACAAATCACCCAGAGTCGAAGGTATCTGATATTGAGCATGTGCACTTTGATCAGCAGTTTCCCCCTGTATACCTCTAGTGCCATGCTGTTTGAGTGATGCCCAGGCTTGAATGCCACTTTGCTGAGGCAATAGCAGACGAGGAGAGTGTGCTGACAGATTGGGAATTCATGGTGCAGGCGTCTTTGGCGAGGGTGGGCGTGGATGCCAGCGCAGCAGTTGCGCGGGTGCGCGCGAGGAGCGTGAGCAGACAGGGCCGCAAGCGTCTGAGGAGCGCCTCTGCAGCAGCACCCGCAGACATGGAGGTGGACGGCAGCCAGGCACCCCCCAAGAAGCGCATTCATTCATCCAAGTCCAGGTCAGCACTGCACCTCCTTGCTCACGTGCTTGGCATCCACTGCTTTGGTCCCTTTAAAACACACGGCACGCCCAGCTTTAGCTGCTTCCCACTGTTGTATTCGAGCATCAGGCAGACCTTGGCTAGTCACCATTCTTAGGAGATGCAATATCGACTGGGATCACTGGCTGAGGGACCGTTCTGATGCCCAGATGGGGCACTTTTTGCAGACAGCCGGCCAAGGTGTGGTAGTTGACGTGGCTTCTGTGGGTGTTGCAGGTCCATGTCTCGCGGCAGGGCGCTGAGCACAGCCAAGCCGATCGAGGGGCGGGGTCTCAAGAACGAGGAGCAGCACAACAAGGCCATCAAGATCCACGACAGGATGCAGTACCGCATGGGCAAGGCTGCGCGCAGGGGAGAGGCCGACAGGCACATCCCAGACCTCAAGCCCAAGCATCTGTTCTCCGGCAAGCGCGGCATCGGCAAGACAGACAGGCGATGAGGCTGTCTGCTGTGTCACACCATGCCGTTGTTGTGTCCTTGTCTGTGTGCATCTGTGGTGCACGTCTGGTCCAACTGTCTGAGAATATCCTGCTTGTCCTGTCATGCAGAAAAGTAGCCTTATCTAGAGCAGAAACATTCGCCAATGAAGAAAGTGCATGACCATAATATTTCTACCTAGACAAAAGAATGCAGACATCAAGGCAGAGCAAGCTATATAAAAAATAGTTGCTTGACAGAAGCTGACCGTTGATCAGAGCAAGCCAGGGGCATGAGTAGTAATTTGTGCAGAGCGTTGTGCACCTTGTATGCTGCATGATGAATGAGGCAGAGGGTGAAGGCGGTGTTGAATTGCTTGACTGACAGCTCAATGTGCTGTGATCCTCGTGGCAAACGATTGAATGGAACACGCCAAGTGCAAAGTGAAAGACTCAAGCTTCAACGCCATTTTTACAATTTTGCACTGCAATCTTCAATGCAAATTGATGCTTTATATATGTACTTCATTAAATATTGCCATACTGCTTTTGGAAGGAGCTGCTCACTTATTGAAAAGAAATCCCCAGTGAAGAACAATTGGCCCACATAATCAAAACAACGACTGCACTGAAGAAGAGTTGTACACGCGCCAGATGGTCTCCCCTAACAAGTTGGCCACCGAAAGCACAGTGAGCTCAGGGAAGGATTTCTCTTGGGGCACTGGAATGGTGTTTGTGACAATCACTTCCTGGAACACCCCTGAACTGAGGCGCTCGACAGCTGGCGGTGAGAACACCGCATGCGTGGCGCATGCATACACCTCCCTGGCCCCCTCTGCATGCAGCACCTTTGCCGCATTTGTTATCGTCCCTGCAGGCACCAGGCAGCACAAACCTCAGCACATACCCTTATATCACTCATCCAACAACCTCCTTGCAGCTAGTCATCACAGGCCTGAAAGCGCACTGCTTGGCACCAAATCCCTCACAGGCAGCAAGCACTGTTCGATCTCTGTGCTACCTAAATGCTTCCCCAGGGTGGCACAACCGGCTGCTGCTTTCGCAAGACATCAACCATGTGCCGGTAGATCTATTATGTACTTGTCGAGCACGGCAACTCTCTTTCGGAGTACTATAAGCGTTCATGCGCCAAAGGGCGCACCGGCGGTGTCGATCATGTCGTCCACGAGGACGGCCACCTTGTCCTTCACGTCGCCAATCAGGTTCATGACCTCGCTCACATTGTGCGCGCTCCGCCGCTTATCCACAATCGCCAGCGGCGCGTCGTTCAGCTTCTTCGCGAACGCGCGCGCCCTCGCCACGCCACCCACATCCGGCGACACCACCACCTGCGGCAACATCGCACATGCACTCCCTCAGCCATGTCCAACCCCTTCACTTCTTCCCATAAATACCTGGCACAAGCATGTTCAGGCGGATCTCCTTTGCCAAAGTAGTGGGTTGTGCAGTGAGCTTGACTTGCCCTGCAGGCACATCACAGACTGCAGTGTTGAGAGGCAGATAGGACGGTAGTGGTGGTGGTGAGGAGCGCACCAGGTCTCCAGTGCTGATGCGCTTGGAAGCGAGGTAGTCGAGGAGGACTGAGTCCCCATAGACATGGTCGACTGGGATGTCAAAGTAGCCCACGCACTGCCCCGAGTGCAGGTCCATTGCCAGCACGCGGTCGGCCCCTGCGGCCAATTAATACAGCCTTTAGGGTGTTTCGTCCCGGTGACCCCTCACGCTGCTGACCATGCACCCGCAATTGTATGAGACTCTGTAAACTCCCAGCCCCAGCACAACAGACGCCTACAGCGTCTTGGTGGAATCAACGACAACCCATCTGATGATGCCCTGGAACACCATGGCCAAGGCGTGTGAGCAAACACGCTGGAAAAGGGATGTTATTGGCAGGTCAGCAACCTTGCAGGTGTGAAAGGGGGTGGGTGATGGAGCGGCCAGGGGCATGCGCGCGCACCGGCCTCGGTGAGGAGGTTGGCGGTGAGCTTGGCGGCAATGGACTCGCGTCCGTGCGTTTTGCGGTCGGCGCGCGCGTAGCCAAAGTAGGGCACGACGGCTGTGATGGATCGAGCGCTGGCGCGCTTGCACGCGTCGATGGTGACCAGCAGCTCCATCAGGTGGTCGTTCACCGGCGGGCAGCTGGGCTGCACCAGGAACACGTCGCAGCCGCGAATCGACTCCTGCACGCACACAAAGGTAATTGCTGTGTCGGTATTTTTCAGCCTGCAATGTTCTTCTCTTGGATGGCCAGCGCCGTGCCAATTAAGTGCAACTTTGAATTTCATGGGAACTCAGCGGCATGGGCCAGAACGCCAAAAGGGGTGGATTGCCTCCAATGTTGAGGCCATATGAGCCCCTCCCACCCACTTCTGGCTGCTCAAGTGCAAACTGGATCTGCCGGTAATATCCATGCAAGAATGCAAGAAAATCAGAGGGGCTTGCGAGAGTCACCTGGACCTGGACGTAAATCTCTCCATCGGCAAAGCGCTTGATCTTAATGCTGCTCAGGTCCAGCCCCAAATAGCACGCAACTTCCTGTGCCAGAGCCTGCGCCCACAACCCCCACAATCTCGCTCCAAGCCCCATCCAAGAATATTAACGATCGATGAGTGTCCACTGTAAGGGTAGTACAAGACATGTGTACTGTACCAAGCTCTTCAGCAGCAGGTTGAAATGAAGGTGACAAATGGCCCCCATTCAGGAAACATGGGGCATCGCAGTGGTGCCAGGGCATTACCGGGTTGGAGGTGCCAGAAAAGATGCGCAACCGGTTTGGAGGCGTTGGCATCTTGGGCCCCCTGTAGGGCTGCGTCAGCTGGGAAGCCTGGCTGAAGGTGGCATCCCAGGCGTGAGTCTCTAAGATCGGCTTGGCCATCGAGGAGCGGCTCACACCATTTGACGACGAGGACTGCACCCCCTCTGCCAGGTGGGTTCGCCGTTGCCGCCCTTTGCTCTGCCGCTGCAACCAGGGCACACCAATCAGTCCAAGCAAGACGTGCAGCCAGCAGACTGCCAATATGTGCATTCTCCCCCATATCATACTCCCTCGAAAATGTCTGTGCCCCTTTCTATCATGGTGATGCTGCCCCAACTGCCACTTTGTGTCCTGACAGGGTAGCATCTTGGCCAACTCCGTTGACAGCAAGTTGTGGTTTCAATAAGGTAACTGAAGAAACCAAGTGAAAAGGCTATGTTGGTGGGCATCAGTGCAATTCACACCTGCAATCTTCTTGTCTGGTGCCAAGAAGAGGTGGAGTGTCTGCTGCCTGATGTCACCCAACATAACCAAAAGTTAGGCACCAATTAACATATAGCTGCCAACTCCCACGGCATGATGGCATCGTCATCTGATGTTTCACGGCCTTCATTTACACTTTTATTGTTGATGCTCGTCCCAACTAAAGAAACATTCTCACAACTAGCTAACACCTCCCGACGCCGACTATGCAAGAAGGGGCATCTACCAGATACAGATGCCGCAGCAATCGACATGGATTGTTCCAGGACGGGAGACCTCGCCATTGGTGCCGTCATCAACCCCTCGAAGGCACACACCCGGGCACAGTGGCTGCTCTGTTCTATTCACTTTCGAAAACAAGCTGACCCATCTTGATCAGATGAGGACGGGAACTAATCGACCGAAGATGCTAAAGCACCCCAGTGGTACCACCGAACGCTACAGCTTGATTTTTAGGGAATTTAGAGGGGCACAATTGCATTTTCCTTTGTCTGTCTGGAAACGTGCTGGAAACCCCTCTGCCCGGGGTTTCAAGAAAATCGAGGGGATTGTTGGAGGAGGGTTCGGTATCTGCAGCGTTCAGCTTCTTCACATGTCTTTTTGCACTTGCATGTACCATTCTAGAAATTGAGCGGTCAGACGCGCATATCGTGACAATATCTGCTGCAAAGGTTCCCGGGAGAGTCTAAAATTTTGCGTTTGGTGGCAGACAACGTACATCAGTTGCCTAGTACGTAGTAATTATGCAGGCTGAGGGAACGAAGAGCGTGCCGCAATGGCCAACAGCAGCAGGCTTTCATAGCAGAGCTGCATCTGTATTTGGATCCCTGGAAGGCAGCAGCCTTGGAGGGGCTAGTGGCAGTAGTCAGCCCTGGTCATTAAGTCAGGACCACGTCTTCAGGGCTGGGAAGGCCAATGATTATAGCAGTGAAGAAGAGGAAGATGCCCAAGAAATCGATCGCAGGCAGAGGGAGTTCCTTCCTGGCAGCATGCTGGAGTTGGAAGGTAAAAGCAGACACCCATCCTTGGGAAAGACTGTTATGACGGGCAGCAAACGTCACCTACTGTTCCTACCTTTGTACTCATATTTCGTTTGACGGATGGTGGGTTACGCTGAGCAGGTGACGACAACGAAGACGAAGTCTTCAGGCCTAGTGCAGCCTTCTGCAAGGCGATGGACAAGGAGCAGGAATATGACGACACTGATGCCATGGCGATGGGTGAACGGCTTGAAGATGTTGATGGAAGACCGGCAGGGAACACAGAGGTGTGTTGTCCAGTTCCCAGGCTTGTGTCCATGTGCGTATGACCCTCTTGCCTGGGTAATAGCTGAAGCACCGGTGCAAAGTGCAGGTGCTCGAGGAAAATGTGTATGAGCAAAGGAGCAGGCAGCATGAAGCAGGAGCGCAGTTGGCAAGCACAGAGCCTGCAGCGCAAGAGCCAGAAGACATGCAGGTGGAACCTAGCACGGAGATTGTAGCAGAGCATGGATTGCCAGATGCCAGCACATCTGGCGCTGCTGCCAGACCAGGGACTGGGAACACAGCCGCGCAGAGCGCACCCGAGGATTTGCCAGTCAGCACAACAGAGCAGGCCAATGGAGATGGATTGAACAGCAGCGCACCTCCTGAGGGGCAGGATGAGGATGAGAAGGGCAGGATCAAGAAGAGAGTGAGGTTCCAGGAGCCTTGGGTGCCCCCGCACCGCAGAGATGACGAGAAGGGCGCTCAAGTGCGGTGAGGATCCGAGTCGTCCGCATCCGACAAAACAACGCATTCTTGTCTGCTCTCGCGCATTATGACCTTCAACACAAGGTCACAGTTGCACTCTATTATGAGTCGTTGGGCGTCCACTGGCTAGCAGGGGTGCAATTTCATTCCTGTTGCAAACAGATCACTTCAATTGGGCAGGGAGTGATAATTGTTTGATGCATCTGCGAACAGGAGCAGGCCCACCTCTGTGCAGCGTCAAGGTTTGCCACCACGCACCAAGTCGTATGTTGCAGATCATGTGAAGAACCCTCAAAAGTACACTTGCTACACGCTAGATGAGCCCATCCTTGTGGGCGGCGGTGATCAGGGCAGCGCTGCAGATGGCGGCCAGGCGGACATGGAGAGGGTGAGGGGCTTAGCTGCTCGATTGAGTACTGACTCTTGCTTGCACATTCAAAGTTCCTCCTTGCTGCAAGGACAGCTGTTGCAGGGTTCTTTTAAGGGTGGCCGTGCTTCATATTATTTGACAGAGTGCGGAACTTCTGCAGCAATCTAATGTCTGCACCTTGCCATGCAGGCAGCTCGAGCAGCAATGAGTGCAGCTCATTCCAGCTCACAGCCAGACCAGCCAGGAGTGGTTGCAGTCTTGCCTGCCTTCGGCAGTGGGATTGAGTTCAGACCGCAGTCAAAACGCAGTAAAGATGCCGTGCCAAAATCCGAAGTGGCAGACAAGGCGAAAAAAGCCGGCAGTGTGGTAGGGCAGCTCATGGAACAGGAAGACCTCCATGAAGATGGACAGGTGCTACATGCCATCCCGTGGTTCCAGCTTTTGCCAGATGAGAATACTGATCATGCTTTCATTGCCCTTGTGTAGACCATCCCTACAAGAAGAATCACCAGGCCTGAATGTTTGCCTCTGGACTCCACAGGAACCGATGGAAGTGGTGGCTGATATGGAGCGAGCAGACCCTGCTGCTGGGCAGCCACGCAAAACAAGGAGAAATTTCCGGGCAAAAGCAGCTGTTGTCGAACAACTTGAATGAGCATGGAATGTGGCATAAGTGGCGTGTGCCATGCACATTATTCCTGAAACAATTGAGTCCATGCGCGCATGCACAAAACAAGGAACAATTGGAAGTAGAATATTGGGAATTCAGTGAGACCTGCAGACATTTTCATTTTTCGTGAATAGGATGATCATGCCAGTGATGATGCCACTTTTTTCAGAGATTATTTACATCTGACTTCTGTGGCATTCTGCCCGTGCTATTACAAACGGTATAATGGTGATGGCCCATACCGGGTATCAGAGTGATGTGTACCGGTCACCGTATGCAGACAATGTGCCACCAACAAATCATGTTGTTAGCTTACAATGCCCATCAGCAGGACGCACACGTACTTTACAGGCACATTATTCACATTGCAAGTGAAGCTTAGTTCCCAAATTCCGTTTTATGTTCTAAAAGAGCTTTGTGTACCGGTATAGGCATTAAAAAGGAAGCCTCACAATGTCAGCCATTGGCTATTGCCCAATGACCCGGGTATCTAATTATCTATCAACGTTGTACCACCTTTGCATGCAAATGGACTGTCTCCATTGCGAGGCCTTTGGCAAACTGCCAAAGGTTTTTGTCTGCTTAGACTGCATCAACGTCAAGATCACCCATGCCAACCTCCTCTTCCTCACTGTCATCATCACCTGCAACCTCCTGGTTTGCCTTCTCCAGATCCAGCAGCTGCTCTGTCAGGAGCTTGTCATCCCTGTCACTCACCTGCAGATCACAACACCTCCAATCAGGCCACATGCAAGTGACACCCAAAACGAAGTTCTGGTAGGCACCAATTCTGAAGGTGTCAGGCAGGCAAGCTGCCGTCCTACACAAGGTGATTAAGAATATAGCTAGGAAATGGCACGTACCACGCGCGCTTCCTCCTTGACAATCATCCTGCCCTTCTTTGCTAGAATGCTCTCTGCGCATGCTGCGCAAGCCTCCTTGAGCACCTCAACACCCTTCACCTTCTCCAGTGTCTGCATAACAAGCTCATCCGTCAGTTAGAAAAACCAAGAGATGTACGCATCTGTAGGTCTTTGAATGCCAGGCATCCCAGTGAGGATGAATTTCCAGAGAAACAAGAAGCACTGGCGGCCGCACATTTGTTGTGAGCACGTAGAGCGGTGGCGCAACAAGCTTCATCTTGACTGGACAGTCCTCCGTGCTCATCTTCTCTGCCGCTCTCATGGCATCCTGTGCATGCCAATACATTTCATTAGGCCTCCACAGGCAGATTTTCACAGCAACTTGTCTCTCTTTGCAGTGTGCAGCATGCTCTCAGACATGCACATGCTGGGCTGCACCTGTATATGGAGGACGCCATCATAGGAGAAACAGGTGAGCTCCACATCTGCTCTGATCTTCAGCGGCTGCGGTGTCATCCTGCGCTTGATGTTCTTCACGATGGCCTCCTTGACAGCTGGCGTGAGCACATCAATGGGCTTGCCGTCGTTCAAGTCATCCTGCAGCTTCTTGAAGATGGCATCTGGGTCCTGCACCATCGTCTATTGCACAACAGCACCCAGTGTCAGCACTGGGCATCAGAAATACATCTCGCGCACTTTTGTCTCGACTCTTGCACCTGGAGAAGAACTGTCAGCAAGGAGATCAAGCACTGGGTGAAACAGGGCGAAAATACCTTAAAGGCGTCGAAAGCATGACCATAGGCCTTGTACAGGGGCCAGGCTACCCATTTGTACAGCTCCTCCACGTCCTGTCCTGTGGTCTCTGCCACATGCCGCACTATGCTGTGCACCATCTTGGACTTGCTGAAACGCTCGTCGCAAGCTGCCACATCCTCTGGCGACACTCGCCTCTTGCTCAGATCAATGTATCCCTTCTCCTTGTCCACACGCAGCACCATCACAGGTTCTTGCCTTCCAACCTGCACATGACAACCAAGTGTCATTTTATGACTTGGAGGCTTCCTGCCCAAAACTCTGAATGCCCCTGCAGACTCGAGGAGATGTGCCTTTGCTGAGTCCCGTTAATAGAAACCTCTGACCTGATGCATGCCCAATCATGCTGAGTTATTTGTGTCATTCATGTCAATCAATCTTTCACGCCTTTCGTGTGACAAATGAGCTGTTACCTTGATAAGCTTTGTGATGGATCGTATTCTTCTTCTGGACAACTCTGACAGCAGGATCATGCCCTCGATGCCGTTGTATTCCAGCAGCGAAACGTACGCACCCATTTCTGCAATGGATTTGACCTGGACCATGACAACATCATCCACATCTGGATACTTGCTCTCATACATGCGGCAATCAGCGTGAGACGTCATAGTGGCCAGTGTCTTATGGACTCTCACCAAGTGACGAAGAGTTTCCTTCAATGCAATACAAAGTTCGGTGCAAAGCAACCTGCTTGAAGAGGAACTCCGCAAGCCGCCCAAGCAGAAATGAATTGGCCTCGCCAGGGTTCACCCCTAGCCAAGGGGTCAACTATATTCAGAGATTGGGTTCCGCGCTTTTGGATAGGAAATCTTGGTCTTGCTTCACTTTGCCATCTGCTAGCTCAACTGCACCTTAGCTCTCGCCGCAGCTTAGTTCCTGTTCAGCAGATCATCATGCAGGCTGTGTGCTCAACCTCCGCGACCGCCTTCAAGGGCGTGTCCCTCCCTCGCCGTGCTGCACGCACTGGTGCGTGGCTGTCCTGCAGTTCAGCAGACTGTTTGTTGCCCTTGTGTCCTGAGGGAGGCTGACTGGCAAGCCATGCTGTTTGCAGGTGTTACAGCTGCTCGCCCTGTGCTCGCTGGTGAGTATTGAGAGCTTGATGTGCTTTGATCAGTGCAAGGCATCTGTAAGTACAAGTATTGTGGGACACGTACTCTTACGTGGCATCGTATTTTTGGAGTGCATGGTACTCTTTGGTGCAGAACAAGGACAAGTTGACGCAGATGAGGCATGAGAGGGACCTTGTTTGGGTCTCTCTTGCAGCTTTCTGACATGCGTGTATATCTCTGCAGCCCGCGTGGCATGCAAGGCCGAGGCGAACCTTGCCAAGAAGGTGGCTGCTGCGTCCGTCGCTCTCCCTGCCTTCGTCGCTACTCACCCAGCCTTCGCTCTGGTACGCAACCCCGAGCCGGATTCTTCGCTTGTAGTCGATTTGCTAAAACCGAGTCCAGACTGGAGGCGAATCAGTGTGAGAGCGATGAGAGGAACATGGAGAGGAGGAGAGACAGAGAGTGGAGAGCGAGTGCACCAACAAAGGACTCCGATCATACTTTGCTGTTGTTCTGTTACCTGATAGCCTTGGTGTGCCGCCCCTCTCGGCTCCTGCAGGTTGACTCACGTCTGAATGGCGATGGTACTGGCAAGGCCCTCGGCATTGATGCCGGCATTGAGGCCATTGCTCTTTTGGGTGTTTTCACTCTGGTCTGGGCGCTGTTCTACAGCTCCCAGCGTGACCTAGACGCCGGCCGCAGCGGTGGCGATGACTCTGGTTTGAGCTTGTAGAAGGTGCTTGAACGTCACCATGCAGGCCCGCCTGCCCGGCCGCTCGCTGCACACACCATACTTTGTTGCTCAGTTGTGCTGCATGCAGGTGCAATGTCATCGTCGTGGGTAGACCCTTCTAGATTTGTTTTCCTAGATGCTTCTCACATGCTTGTCTTGTGCAGGTGTAGCAAAACCCTACTAGATATAGCAATAGCCTAGATTCCCATAGAAGACGTAGATCTAGATACTAGATATAGACATAGAGAATAGCATAGCACAGCATAGCATAGCATAAAAGACACTACTCAGAAGCATGTGCTGACATTGGAAATGTCTGTATGCAGGTGGACTCGCGGCTGAATGGTGATGGCACTGGCAAGGCACTGGGTGTTGCAACTGGTGCTGAGGGCTTTGCGATACTGGGCGTGTTCACTCTGATCTGGATCCTGTACTACATTGCCACCAAGGACGTGGGCGAGGGACGGGGCAGTGGCGACGACTCTGGCCTGACCTTGTGAAGGGGCTGTGCGTTTCCTTAGTCCTACCACTGTCTGCAAGGGACCCTGTCAGTCTTGCAGCGTTGCGCATGTGATCGGTGCAGCAAGTGAATGCGGAGCATTTTCGCAAGCCGTGCAGCACCGTCACAGCAGCCGCACAGGGTGCATGTTGTACTATAGGGCAGTTGCAGGCCTTACTGTCCAGATAACAGACTTCACGCACTGTGAATTGTTGTCTTGGACGTAATCACATTGTCATATTGTGGGGACATTGAGAAGATTATATCATAGACAAGAACTTCATTGGAAATTATTCAAATATTCTAAACAAGGTTGTTGGTGAGGATTTTTGAAAGCTGATTTTCACACAGCTATAAGTGCTAAAATTGACACTATCCTTCTTGCGATGTAGCCAACCAAAAATATATTTTCCAACCTCCAAACATGATCATGAAAATCATCGATGTCATGTGGTGTCCTCGCAAGTGTCCAGAACAGCCTTGCACGGAGGCGTGTGTGCAGGCTTCTGAAGAAAGCGTCCTTCCACAGCGCATGCGTAAATATTAACCTGAAGATCTGGCACAAAATCCAATGCGTGGTCGATGAATTGCTGGAAGCTACTGTTGTGCTTCTCAGCTTTCCTCAGTGCTGTGAGCCCAAGCTGCAAAATGATGGCAAATCTCAATTTCGATTGATCTGTCTGCGTATCTACAAGCATGTGGCATACTCTTGATTGTTAGGTGCTGCATTACCGAGCTCAACGCTCAAGCCTGAAGGCAAGTTTGAGTCACCTGGACCACATTTATGGCATCATCTGCATGGCTGGCTGACTTTTTGCAGCCTCTGAGGCTTGGCTGCTTCAAGGTTTCAATGGCCAGCCTTGGCACCTCAAGCTCTCTCCCCCTGCACCCTCCGCTTGGTTAGTCAATACCTGTTTGTGTAGGCTGTACACCCGGGGCCCCTGCAGATGCTATTGCACGTGTGTGCTTGGATCTTGATCCTGTGAGTAGTTGGCCCGCACCTATTTTGGGAGATCAGGTTCTGCATCAACAGCGTGCGCGCCTCAATGCAGGAAGGCCGCAGATCCAAGCAGAGCAGCAGTAGCCGCTCTCCTGTCATGACGGACAATAGAATTACAGAACCGCTCCTGGTGTGCAACATGCGTGTTCTGGTGCTCCAGTCAGCGGGCGCACCATCTTCCAGCACACAGCGGCGCCCGCGCCTACCATGCAGCTGACCTTGTGGGTGCTTTAGAGTACACTCCTTTGCTTTCTGCGATCCCATGCAATGTCAATACCATTGTACTAATGCTGCCCTCAGAGACCATGTTCAAGTGACTAGGTAGATGGGCAGTGAAGACCTGCAGATATTCACGATATTTATCTTTGGGATCGACATTAGAGTCCTGAATAGATGCAGATATTCTCCTAGTTGATACGAGGGTGCGCTGCGCTGATGTTAGTTGATGATGCTGCCTTTCTAATCCTCCAATCCTCCCGGAAGGAGCGCAGAGCCTGCTGCAATACATTCAGATTGCACTACATCTCCAATCAAAGATGACAGAAGTAAACTATCTCTCCCGATCTTGCTTGAATTTGTTTCGAAAATCTTGTCCACATGACGTCAACATGTCGAGTCAACCGGCAAGGGTTGATCTGATCTTCCTTCCTTTCTACTGCCTCAAAGGTAAGAGTGATGAGAGCTCAAGAATTCTAAAGACAATTTAAATGCTAAGATGACTCTAGTTGCAATACAACGCGGGACTTCCAGCGTGTTTGGCCGTGATCTCTTGAGGAGATCCTCGCCGTTTGCCCATGCTGTTTCTTATTTTGTACCGTTCCAACCCGCATCTTCAAGGCAAGAAGCAGAAAAGATATGCTAGTTTGAGCACGAGCTTGGTAATCGCTAAGACCTGGCTCTGATCAACGTTTGAGGTACATCTGTGTCTACTGCAGGTCAGCAAAGCTGAAACAAGGATCCAAATTGAGGTCTCAAGAACTACTCGAAAAGGTAGTACTCTGGATGTAATGGCGTTGTCTCCTGTCATATACCTTCTTTTGTCTCCTTGACAGTGTGTCACATGCGGTTGGCAGGTCCAGACATGCAGAATCAACAAGAATGGACGTCGTGTCATCAAAATATCAGCAGCAGGGAGTACTGCGGACGCTGCTGAAGCCTCATCAGAGGGCGCTGCCTTGTCAACAGCTTACACCGTACTGGCAGCAATCATCGGTGCAAGCGGTGCAGCAAGACTGGCAGCCCCATCACTGTACATGCAGCTAGCTAACAGCGCCTGTCCAAATGCAGCGCTTCAAGCGCTGCTGCGCCTGACAGGGGCTACCTTGCTCCCCATCACAGCTGCCTTCTGGGTGCTCAAGGTGTCCCTTCCCAAACTTTTCACACGGGTGCAACGGATGCTTGCATGCTGAATCAACATGCTCTGTCCTCTGAATAATTAAGCATGGTCTCTTGACATCTATATGGTGGCAGGGTGCAGCAGAGCACAATCGGCTCGGATCCAACACCTACAGAAGACTCAACTTGGGGCTGGTGGCGTGGGCGGGAGTCAACTTGGCACTGCTGGCGAGCGAAGCCTCCGCATTGACCTCCTGGTGCCTCAGGTGGACACCCGATTTTCTCTTGCCTTTGCTGCGAAAATGTCAGTCCTGTTTAGAAGCACCTTCACAGGGCCAAAGCATTCCTTTATACCCCGTGCATGACTTGGACGGCATTGCGCCCGCAAGTCTTGCAAACCCAGGGATCTGAGAGGATCGCGCATGCGCATGCAGCATTCAGGTGGCGTTTTATGCGGCTACTGCAGCACTGGGGGGTTATGCCTGGGCCAGCAGCTCAGGCTTTGCGCCCACAGGCCGCCAGGTCATCGACGGCTTCCTGGCAGATGTGCAGTCCCTATTCAGCAACAAGACGATCCTGAGCGGCCTCCTTGCGCTGCTGTCCGTGGCCTCTGTCGCTGTGGGCTCGCTCATCCTGCACCAGCCCCTCACCTACTTCCAGCCATCTGAGTTCAGGTGACAGACGCGCACATCTTGTAGACATACCGGATTATGGGAGAATTTGTTTGCATGATGCACAGTTGTATGGGAGTACTGATGGGTGGGGTGCAATGCAGGTTGGGTGCTGGCTTGCTTGGCACCTTGGCCATGCGTTCCTACGCAGCAAATGTGCTTTTTGCCGCAGTTGTCTTGACCACACTAAAGGTGTGCACCCTCATGCATGTGACTGTGAAGCATAGCACTTTTACTCTCTGTTCGGAACAATTGAGAGTTGCTGCGATGCTTCTGAAGATTCTGCTTCGATTTTTTTGTGGTGTGGCAGGATGCTCTTGACAGAGGCAGACACACCGCAAGCACTTTCAAGACGTTGGGGAAAGCCGCTGTTGCAACTGCCATTGCAGAAATAGCAATCTTTGCGAGCACAGGCTGCACATCAGGGATAATCAGAGAGGTGCTGTTTGGAGTGATCATGACATCCTATCTGTTGAAGCCCAATTGGTTTGCAAGGTCTCGTGAAGGCTTCAGCATGTCCATGTGTAGTTAAAAAGTCAGTGCAGATTGGTGAAGCCTTCTTCCTCAAATTCGGAAACTGGACTGTACAGAAAAGCATGCTGGTTTCTCTGTGAGCGCGTTTTGCAAATTTTAGGGCAACCGCCCATCAGTGTATTAAATGTGTACATGTCCAGAAGAGCAAAGACTGTGAGCCACATTTTGAGATTGGTAAAATAATTCCTCATGTTGACATCAGCAAATTCAGTGCGCCCAAGCTTCTGCTGCGGGTTTGGCATCACACAGAAGATGTTCAATTGCAAGTTCAAGTGTCAGGTTCCTTCATGTTTTCCAAGGCATCAATGAGACTTTGTAGCAATTCAATATCGTCAGCCGACACAACATCCATCTCTCTGCTGTCTGCATCTTCAGCAACTCCGAGTGCATAGATGTGAAGTCGATTCAGGTTTGTAATGCAAAGTTCCATGGCTGCCCGCGCACTCTCCGGTCTTGTGCCTGCAAAAGCACCAATGTCTCCCTGACCCAAAGGACACTTTTGCATGGCAGTCAATAGAAGTTTCTGTGAATCAATTGTTTCTGCACTTCTCCCCAATTGGAGCCTCTCAGCAGAGCATGCCTGCAAACCACGCAGCGCAATTGCAAAAGGGTGTACGGTCCAGTCAAGCACCTGCTGCAGACAGGGAGCAGCTGCGCAGCTCAGCACAGAGCATGCGTGCGAACAGCTCGCGCATGTCGGCGGTGCATGTGTCTTCGTTGTAGCAGTGCAGGTTGCCCAGGATCTCAAACACCGACAGGGCCCGCAGTGCAGCCTCCAGCTCCATGTGGGCCACCTGCACAAGCACACCCTCATGGTCCTGAATGCATATCCAACCTAGAAGGGTCCCATGCACGCCAGCAGAATAGGGCATACCCATCTGAGCTGCACATCTGCCCAACGGGAGCAAGAGATGCACCACCCCATTGCCGCAGCTGACATGCACCTGGACTGATGCGTGATAGCGACAGAACATCTTCAGAAAGCATGGGAATGGGACTGCGGGAACCGGAGAGGACACCTTGGCGCGGGTGGCAGGTGCAAGGCTGGCGAGGTCGTCGCGTTTGAGGAGGCTGGCGAGCGACTCCAGGCGCTTGATGTGCTGTGGCGCCATGGGCCCCACCATGATGGCGCGCCCGTCGATGCTGAAGTCCGAGCGGTGCAGCGTCCTCGCCTCCTCGCCTGCATCCCCAGCTGCCGCCTTTCACAAAATTTTCCTACTCTATCCTTAGCGTCAATAGCGTGCGTCTTGCAGAGTGAGTTCAATCCCGGTAGCCATGACCATGATTTACCTCTTTCTTGAGCTGCATACCCTTAAGTCCTCATGGCTCACCATCAGGCAAGTGGCACCTGCCGGGCTTTATGAAGCTTGGATCCCCCATCACAAATAATAATTGCGGGAGGACGAGGGGTTGCAGGCGCATCATGGTTTGCAGAAGTGGAGGAGCAGCACGGTCTGGGCGCGAGAGGGCGTCACCTGCGCACCAGGCGGACTCGAAGTCAGCGGGTGGCATGGTGAGCATGGCGGCGGCAGGGCCGGCGACGCAGCGCATAGCCATGCGGCGGAAGTTGCTGTCGTCTGCCAGCACCTCCAGCACCTGCACCGTGGCTTTGCTTAGTAACCCAGCCCGACTTACCTTGGTGACAGACAGCCAGAAGGCTAGCAACACTCCCACACTGTGTGTCCTGAAACCAGACCAGACAACCTCACAGTCAAATACTGTAGCGTGAGATCTCCACATCATCTATATGGGACTTTCACCTGCAGCACGTTCACCGCCAGCTGCCCCTCACCAGGCGACCGTACAGGCCACCGCCTGCTCAGGGGCCGCTGCATCACCAGCCCTGCATCACATGTGCATCAATACTTCCACGTGGTATCACAGTGGAAGCTTATATTGCTACATACTTATCAGTTCTTCACCAGCCCTGCAGCCATCCATGCAGTGTTTTTGGCCGCAGCATTTTTTGTTTGAATCCTGGTGCTGTTGTAGGCCTTGAACAGCACTTGTCATGCCTCTTTTGGAGCTTTATTGCCATGACCCGTGCTGCAAACAATGTGCAAGAGCATTCTCAATGGTAATCATCCGGATGAGGGCGCATGACAGTAAAGACAGAAGAAAAAGGTGGCACCTGCCAGCTGGCTCGCCTGTGCAGCCACCTCAATGGCCAGCTCTCGGGTGTCATCGTGGGCGATGGTCTGGTCCAGGAATGAGGCCTTTTCATACTCTGTCAGCGAGGTCATCAAAGCCAGGCTCCTGGCCACCAGGAGCTCTATGGTCCCTGCCAAGGCATCAGAGCATACGTCAAGACCTCCGTCCCAATCAGATCAGCAATGTTCATTCCAACGTCCTTCTTGTTGCATCTCAAGGGTCCAGGTTGGGTGCACAGTTGGTAGGAAAGGCCCACACCTTCACCATCAGCTGTGGAGTGTGCCTGCTCGAGCCAGTTGGGGTTGCCATCGGGGCTTGCAGCATAGGGGGGCACCGTGAAGGGCGGACGGTGCAGATCAAGCCCGGCTGCCACGAGCCGCAGTGGACCTGCCAGGCTGGGGTCATGCTGCGCTACCCTGAACGTCAGCATACAACGGCATGGTGACAGGGAGAACTACTGCATTCATTCACGTCCTCGGGCATGTGAAGGGATGAAAAGTCAAATTGTGAGAATCCATCCACATTACACATGGTAGGAGCAGCTTTGCAACATTTGATCCTTATGATGCCATAAAGGAGATCCCTCACCTGTGGTAGAACAGGGGTGTGCAACACAGTTCTGTCAGCCATTCCATTGACAGACCTGCCTGGAACGCCAGGCCAGGAAGATCATTGCTGCCCTTCTCCATTGCCACTCTGACCTGCATTGCACGCGAGCAATGGGTATGTTGCACAGGTCAAGCCTTCCCAAGCAAGCAGTGCAAATGATTCTGACATAAATTGTAGAGCGTCCTGCTTTGGCACCTCAGTAATCCTTACAAAGAAGTCAATTCATGCAACAAGCAGGCAAAACAATCCCCGCACAACTCTACCGTTGGCCTCTGCAAAATTGAGACCAGAGCCATGAATTGAAGCAGTGAGGCCGCGCACCATGCGATAGATGGTTCGGACGGCGTCGAAGACAGCGTCAATGAAGATCACTGAGCGCGGATGCACCAACAGGTTGTTGCAGAGACTGTGCCAATGCCTCTGCTGCATGTGGATGGTTACGCTGGCAGGAAGGAGACCAATGGTGAGAGCGCGTAGGGCTGTTGGCACAGTGGCTGCACGATCCAAGGCTTCCTGTGAAATCAGAGCACGCTCACACTGTAAACCACCCAATTCATGTCAAGGAGTGACTGAGTGGCAGATGCATCTCAGGTGAGTTGTCCAGTCACCTCTGTTCTGCTGAAGTCCGCTGCTGATGCAAGGTTGTCTGCCACATCTGGCCCTGCTGCGCTCAGCAGCACAAGCACTACTACATCCAGGAGCCTCTGTTGGAAGTCTGCACCCTGTACAAGGGCAAAGGGTCTGTTTGCTGCTGCTCAAGCATGACCTCCAACTGTACAGCAGTTCTGGCAGAGTCAAGCATGCCAAAGTCTAGAAGGTTGAGCAGAATGTACCGCCACAAGTCCGGCCAAAGGCGACAGCGCTCCTGACAGAGCGCACAACGCTATCAGCAGCCGCAGGCCCTTCACCACATGACCATGCCAGCTGACGGGTGTGAGCCGGTACGTTGTGACAGACCTCACCCAATCACCTGCGACAACAGAGCATCGCATGCTCACTGTGCGCAATGGCTTTGACCCTACAGTAACACTCAATCAAACCACCTTGTGTGCACCCTGCAGGTCAGCTTTGTAGTGATGGTGCAGACAGGTAGCAGCCTACCATTCTCTCGGGGCTCCTGTGCCAGGATGCAGGCCATGAGGTGCAGGGGCAGGCGCGTAAGAAGCTCCACAAGGTCCGCTTTGAAGGGGAGGAGCTTTTCCAGGCGTGGCACTGCAAGCATGCGTTCCCTCTGCACCAGCTTGCGCAGGGACATGGCATCCAGCTCGTTCAGACGCTCCACACATTGGAAGACGTCCAAGATCTGCAGCGGATCCAACCAAAACTGGCTAAGAAAGCTCCCACACCCGCAACCAGCTGTTTGCCATGCTGGGATGACATGCATTGCACAAGGCTATTGGCAGATTGTCAACGGCTTCATGCAATTACGATTACTGCTTTTGCCAATTCCAAAGGCATCCAAGGAAATTTACCTTTTCCTTCTCACGCAGGGCTTCCTCCTGCAGTACTGCTCTTTTCTGCAAGGAGGTCCAGAGGCAGCGTCAGCAAAGAACAAAACAAATACTACAATTAATAAGTGAGGGGTAGAAATTCACACATGTTTCATCCAGATATGCAGGATCTCACTGGGCTAGCCTGGCACCTTTCGTTCAGAAATGCCCAAAAATTCCATGAGCGAGCAGGGAACGGAAGTGATCAATTTGCATAGGGAAGTTTTTGTGTTTGAAAAGCTTTGTAAGCTGCGCAGTTGTCCTCTGCCATGTGGTGGCAACTCGCGCAGAGACTTCAATTTGTTATTACCATATCAAATTTTCCTGCATCCTGGTCAAAATTACTAACGGTGAGACTTCAGCTTCCCCCTTTTCTCTACGTTCTCAATCACATCAATTCGACACAATCTAATAAGTTTTAATTTACCTGTCCTCACCTCCCCATTGAACCTGGAATATACGCTCTCTTAATATTGTTGGTGAGGCGGAGCTGATTTTGAAATCATGAGTCCTGACTCAGATGCACATGTGTTGCATACTCATATTGTGTATCGAAAATCACCAGCATAAGTATATGAAAGGGTCTTGGTCGGTCTACTTCTCTGACGCACGTTACGAAGTACTCTGAATCTGTTGGAAGGTTTGCACCATTCACTAAAGCACCGTCGCCTCAGCTCTTTCTTAAGGAAGCCAATAATTGAGATTACATGTAATTTTCTAAGAAATCACCTTGTACATCTTGTATCATTTTTGCTTCAGTCTCGGTGAAAGACTAGGCAAGAAAGCATCAGGATGCCACGAAAGCGTCAGCAGAAAGTACTAGCTCCTGTCCCAGAGGACGAAGAACTCGTCGAGGATTCTCCGAAAGAAGACTCCAAAAGCTTGGACGAGAATGTCATGCAGCTCATTGATGCTCTCGAGCAGCAAGGTTTGCTCATTGCGTTGTGCACTCCCTCTGCTTTGCAGCATTCTTTCTAAACGTTCTCTTGTTGTTGAGAAAAATTCTTTGGTGTGCACAGTCCAGGAGCGTGCAGAGAGCTTGTTGGACGCAGCAGAAGCAGAGTGCAGAGAGATACTGAACCTGTTTGCTGTCCAGCTTGTTAAGTTGCCCAAAGCGGTAAGAACGAGTCTGGCTTCCAATTGGCCATCCACGTGTTGAGAACTCATTTATAAACGTCGGGCACGACTGGTCTGCAGGTCAGAGAAATGCCTCTCGGGCAGTTTACAACCGATTACGGGAGCGATATTAACGCAGTCTTGCTGGAGGACATCAAGCGCCTGGCTGCACCCCAGGCACGTCTACAATAGGACTCACTGGGCGCTTGACAGTTTACATCAACAGCAGCTTTGTCTGAGCGAATTCTCAGCAGCTCGATCCCCCAACTGTGTCTTGTATGACCCCAGGCTGCTCCTGTGACGGTGGCGAGAGGCTCTCGTGCAACGGACAAAGCAGTGGCAACAGTCACACGCACGACAAGGAAGCGAAGAGGCGCCAATGAATCACCACCACACGACTCCGTAGCCACGGTGCTGACCTCTCAATGCTCAACCTTGGAGGATCATGCACTTTATTCACTCTGGAAGACTGACCCTGAAAGTGTGGGAACAGCAACATGTTTTACGCTTGGAATTCGCAGGAGATGAAGGCGAATAAGAAGGGCAGGGGTGCGCTGGAGCCCCTGAAGGAGAACATGGTGGCAGGAACACCTGCTGCTGGGCCCAGCAGTCGAGGCGTTCCCTTCACTCCAGCTGCTCCAGCCACCCTCATGCGCGTGCCCAAGCTGGGCGAGGTCTTCTACTCGCAGAAAGGTGGCTCTTTGTGTCAATGTCTGTGGTGGCAATATCCCGATGCATGTGAAGTCGGTCAAGACCTGCTGAGAATGTCTCTTGCGCAGAAGAATACAAAAGTATAGAAAGTGGCAGCAGTGTGATCAGTGCAGTGACTGAACATGTCTGCAAGAGCAGACAATCAGACAATCTATTTGAGCGGCTGTACTGCTGCTCAGTCACATAGAAACGTGTAAGATACTCCTGCTGCAGGACCCTCGGTTTGGCTGAGCTGTAATCCAACTGATATTGTCTCGTGCAGGATCTCCCTTGGGTGTCTTTGAGCAGGACCCGCTCACACAGCAGACAGTCCTCAACACAGTGATGAAGGGTGGCACCAGCCTCACAACACCCATGCCTGGAGCTGCAAAGAACTCCAGCAACATGGTGGCCACCGTGCTGAACCGCAAGAAAGGTGACCTCATGATGCCATGCGTCCACTGGCAAATGTATATAACGACAGCGCGAACTCAAGACTGCAAGCTTAGAAACATGAGCTGCAGGTGATGATGGTGTTCATCTCATGATGTGCAGGATCTAGAAAGGGCGTGGCGGATTCCATGTGTGTGACAACCAGTGATGGTGAAGTTGTGACCGTGGATTTGGCGAGCGGCCTCAAGAGCGTGCCAGAGCAGTACCGCAAGGAGGTGGCTGAGCAGCTGGAGGCCCTTCGCAGCCTGGCGACTGTCGCTCTCAATAATGTCACCAAGCGCAAGTGAGATTGTCAGTGTGATTCGCTGGTGGTGAGGCAGCTCCGAGACGGCTTTTGAGCTCCGGGGTGTTTTCTGTCAGGCAGTTGTCTTATCTTATCTGGAATTGGAGAGCATTTTGAGGCATATTCTGGTTTCATTGGTACCTAATCTGGGTCAGTTGACTACAAAATCCTGAGAGTGACAGAGTTGATGTCAGTTGACTTACCATTACTGGGCCATGGCATGTACTGGCAGTTTATGGACCTCGAGGAGCTCCTGTATTTGCGCCTCTGGAAGAATTTGTCACGGATTTGCCACCAATTCTCCTGCAATTGCGTTTGCTTGGCAATCCAGCCAAGCTAAGATGCCAGCTCCTGCATGTCGAAACTGCCACATGCAAGTGTTATCTTCAGTTTGTTCCGTAAGTGTGCCGTAACGCCTGGCACGCGTTACGACCAACATGCTGAGTACTCCGTCCTCCTGCAAAGTATTTTCGTCATAACAGCCGTTATTTGAGACTAATGGCAGCTGTCGCCAGTGATAACGCCTGCTCGACGGGACTCTATATCTTGGGCGAAAAAGAACAGGGTGATCTGGGTGCGATGCCATTCAAGATAAGTAATTTTTTTCCTGCGCTATGCAATTGGCTCTGAACATATTTCATTAATACTTTGAAATTAATTGATGCACTGCAGCATTCAAAGAAGGAAAATACTCGGAGGCTTTAGTAAGCTACACATTGGCATTGGCCCGCAGTCCCGACGATGTTGCTATACTACTGAATCGAAGTCTAGCGGCGCTGAAGTCAGGTAAGAATGTTCAATAATCCTGCATATTTTTTGGCAGCCCCAAGGTGTCTTGTTTTGTTAGTTCTGATCAAATTTCAAATGTCATGCCCAGGGAAATCACAAACAGCTTTCAAGGATGCAACACTGGCAGCGAGAATCGTTACATCAATGAGGACACAGGGATGTTCTTCATTGGCTACTCTAGTGCAGCTTAGCAAAGCAAAATTTAGACGAGGCTTGGCACTGATGCAGCTTGGGAGGGCCGAGGAGGCGATTGCCTCCTACAGATCCTGTGCCAAGGTCCTCAGCAATGAGGACCCAGTCCTTTCACAGGAGAGGTTGAAGGCAGTCGAGCATTGCACATCACGATGGGTGGCACTGGTATGCCTTAATCGCATGTTCAAAGATATGTACTGATAGACACTGTTGAATTTCTGGCCTAGTCATAACAATCCATCCATACTGTTCACTGCTTGTGCCCTTTTTATGTGCTGCAGCATTGGGCAGCGCTTATTGAAGATGCCCAGAAGCCAATTCTGCTCTCCAAGCGGGATGGAAAGCTCCTTAGACCGGTGCCCTCAGAGGTGCGCCTGTCACCCGACAGGCTCGGTCTTTGTTTGGCAGCAGCTCTGGAAAAGAAGCATGTGGGAGCAGAAGCCCGGAGGCTGCTCTGCAATGCTTGGAACAGAGGTGAGCGCACAGTCGCTGGTACACATGCGTAGAGAATCTTATAATCTTCTGACCTGCAAGATTGACCTTCAGTGCGTCCCTAATCTGTCATGACATGGCAGTGGGTTGAGCAGGCAGACACCTCGGACGTGGCGAATTGGCAATCATGCGCGCACGTGCATATTTGGAAGCCTCCAAACCGGAACAGGCATTGAAGGTGGGGACCTGCTCAAAGTAGCTGTTGTGCAGCTCAAACAAATTGTGATCTAATTGCCAGCTTGACTGCACATGGGTGTCTTCATGATGGTGTGCAATAACTCAATGCAGGATGCAAAGGCAGCTCTTGCATATGGACCCAAAGATGGAGACTGTAGCATCTGGGCGCATGCACATGGTGTGCACTCCCTTGCACTGGAAAATTCAAAGGTACTCTGCACTATCCGTGGACCAACGCATGCTTGCCATACTTTGTCCAAAACGTTCAGCTGAATGCTCTTGTCACATGCCCATTTCCTCACAACGTATGAAGCTGCCCTCTTGCCCGGCCAGGATTTTCTCATGGCTGCGCTTGCCATGCAAAGAGCTGTGGAGCAGGACGGCGATGAGCCCCAATGGCTGCAGGACAGGGATCGCCTGCTGCTGCTAGTAGCTGATCGCCCAGCAACTGTCTTACAGGTGAGGAGGTCAAGCAGCACCAGGTCTGACATATCCTGTGACTGTGAAAATGAGCTGGTGCACCACTTGACCTTTCAAGAAAAAGCAGCAGGAGTCTGCTGGGCAGTCAAAAGTAGGCTGTGCTGACTCGAGTCTGCGTTATCCTCGGGCAGGAGGAAGGCTCAGCAGGCCTGGAGCGCTGGCTTGCTGCAGATAAGGAGCGGTCGCTCCCAGAGTATCAGCGCAAGCGGCCCAAGTATTACTACTACTACGAGTGGATGCGGCAGCGCATTGCAGACCACTGTGGTGCCCTGCCGGAGTCTGTTGTGGATAAGCTGCTGAATGTGGAGGCTGGGGAGCTGGACACCCTCCTCACCTACCCTGCTGGCGTCCAGGCCAAGGCACGCTCTCATGCAACATTTACCGTAATAGCATACATTGTTCAGCGGCAATCTTGCAAGCAAAATTTACCGTGTTTGCAGCGCAGCAGAGCATTGTGCGATTTCTGATCCAACGGACCTGCGCAGTGTCGGTTGGTTGGAGCCAGCATGCTCTTGTGGTGCATCACAAGAGAGCCCAAATGTAATAATTATATTTCTGGCTGCTGCAGGCAAAGCAGTTGCTGGATATTTTCGATGAGCATGGGGCGGAATATTTGGAGACCTGGCGCTTGCCGCCGCTGACATGGACTGAGCTGCAGGAGCTCAAAGCCCAGGCAGGGGTGCCTGCAATAGAAGGGTCCAGCCCAGGTGATGGCATTCACAAGCAGCATATTTTTTTTAACGCTGCCACACTAACTCCAGCAGTCTGCTTGCTTGAACTCCCACTGCATGTTCTGGCTAACGCAGCCTGTGTGCTTGTGGCAGATGATGCCAGGATGATCATGGGCTGTGAACAGTGCCAACCAGCTGCCTTGGAGCCGGCTGTAACAGGGAACATGAGTGATGAGGATGCCATGTGTGAGGGAGATGAGGAGGACTTGGACGCTGTGGATTGAGTGCTTTGCCAACTGGTTCAAGTGTCTGTCCTGTACGTACAGTATGGTATACCAATTGCCCTGGTGCCACCACTGTTGGCCTGCCAGTCCGCAGTCTAATCATTGAAGCATGCAAGTGCGTCCTTGTGGCATCCTGTAAAAGCAATTATGATAGTTCAACTGTTCTCATTGATGTTCTGGTAATGATCTTGACTAATCTCAGCATGATCCGGAGAGCAATTCTTTCATCACCCTGAGTCCAGTCAGCCCTGATTAGGCTGATATCCGAGGTCTGACATGCACTCGAACCTTCTTCCTCTTGTCCTCATTGTGTTCTCGATTGAGGTGACGGCTCCTGAAAAGGGATGGCACGGCAGCATCTGGGGCTTGCAAGGTGCATCTAGCTGCCTATGACTCTGCCAAGGTCTTGACGAGCTTGAGCGCTTCAGTGCAACAGCAGCACAAGCCGTAGCATGCAGTAAGTCCACAGAATTCCTCAGAGCAACCGTTTTAGAGATCGGCAGAGATGGGCTGCCCATCGTGGGCGATCGGTGTGCTATGGGCCCTTTGCGCAAGTCTCCACGCCTCGGGGCAGATTGATCAGACGCCCTTTGGAGACGGCGACAAGAGCTTCAAACAGCAAAGTCAGCGGAAGGACGATCGGATCATTGACTTCTCTTCGTGGGGCAGGGTCCTTCAACAAGAGGTCGTTTGTCCGTCCTTCCAGCCACTTGGACAAGATCCACTGTGTTAATGCATGCAAGTGACCTGGCTTAAATCACCCTCACCTTGTTGATCAGAATATAAAGGCGACAACATAGCTATCAAATCGGCTCCCAGGGACACGGACGATGATGTGCTGGTGTCGCAGGGAACTGTAGCGTCAGCACCTGCTCCGTCGAGCAGCCTTGTCCCACAGCCTGTGGCTTTCTTTCCTCTGGCAGGTATCGTGACATGCAGAGCTTTCTGTCTTTTCCAAGTTGACCTGCATGGCGTACTTATTTGCTGCCGCTTGACAGTTTGAACAGCAGCTCTTGAGCTCACAGCTCCTCCAGGAGGCTGCTATGACTAATACATACTTGGACTTTTGCTGGCAGATGGAGTCTTTCAATCCACCTATGGCTCCTACAATGGCACAGGCTACAATGTCACCTTTCTCCAAGACGACGTTGCTGGCTATGCTGCGCTCCAGTGCTCACAGGCAAAGAAATAGCCAACCGCCTGGTCATGCATCAAACAAGCTTGATCTTTGAAACACCTGCATGTGTTGTGCGTGGAATGCATGATCGCCGCTGCGCTTCACTGTGCAGGCCGTGGACAGCACTGTGATTCTGGACCCTGTGCAGTATGGCACCAGTGGCCCATTTGCTATCAACATCTGGTTCAAGGTGGACAGCCTGAATGGGAATGTGTTTGAGTACATCTACTCTCACAATTCTACCTCTGGTGAAGCCGCCAGCTGGGGACCCGATCAGGCATGCTGCACCAGAGCCATCTAGAATTTGCAAATTGGGGCTTGCAAGCATTTGTGCCTGTTGCCAAGGCATGCATGATCGGCATGACCAACCCTGACAGCCACAGCACTCTGCATGCAAGTGTGCGTCATGTCTCTTTCTGAATCCTGGAAGCTCCTGCTTAGGGCATGGATTCCTGACCCATTATGTGATTTGCTCTCCTCACAGGTGCAGCTCTACTTCCCAGAGTTTGGACACCCTGCATACGGGGTTGTGCGGGCCATCGTCAAGGATGGATCTGACACGTATAGGGGCCTGCCCTCTGTCACCTTCTTGGACTCTTCTGGGGAGGTGCGAGGTCACCTGAGAGGCTGACCTGTCTGGTCATCATGATCCTGCTCTTTGAATCTTAGGCAAAGAAGAGTTCCGGTTCGTGACATGCACCTGGACTTGTGGCAGTCTTTTTACTAAGTGCATGCATGCATGTGTTCAGGTGTCGAATCTGGCGCGCAATGCCACCAACCGAGGGCCGCCCTATCCAAGCCTCCAGGACATGCGTTGGCACATGCTCACCCTCACTTCACAACCCGACGGCAGCAATGGCTATTGCATGTATGTGGACGGCAAGCTTGCAGGGCAAATGCAGGAGAATGCCACCTACATCGGTACATATCCTTCCTCTGCTATGGAGCACATGCATGCTCTGAAGTTGTCATCCCTGGTCAACCATTTCACCAGCATTCATCATGCATCTCATCTTTCGTCACTATGGCATTGTTTTATCCTATGCCTGATAGTCCTGGCACATTATGTGGTAGTGCTGCAATGATTGCAGTAGTTTGGCAGCAATAAAATGAAACACACACTGCCAGCTTCAGTATTCTGCACTGATCACCAAATCATTGCAGGCAGCGATGGCATCAGGCGCACAGTGGACGGGGGACAGCCGATGAACATTGATGGCAGCATTGTGCTCTGCGGCCGCTCCGATGGGGACAATGCGCGGGGTTACAGCGGTCAGCTTGCTGAGCTGGCTATCTGGGATGAGAGCCTGTCAGAAGCGGCCGTGGCCAAGATCTACAGTGCCGTAAGCCTGCAGTCGAAATTTGCCACGAGCATTCACCCTCGCAAAACCTCCTGGGACGAGCAGCGTTGCTGATGCACAGCTACCCTATGCATGCAGACGAAATCAGCTTGTGGGACTACCTGCATCCTCACAATCATATAGCTCCTCAGCGCTCATAATGCATGCATGCATGCTCATTTACAGCATCAGAAGAATTGCTGACATCGTCTGAAATGTGTGCACTGCTGCAGGGGCTTGGGTTTTCAAGCAATCAAATGGCATCCACATCACCATCAGATGTAGTGGATACCGCACCTCCTGCGCCCGCAGGTGATTGCAAAATTAGCGGTTGCCATTCTTATGTCGACCCAAATTTCTCTTCATTCAAGAGCGGGTGGCATGCATTATAGATAAAACGGGCCAACTGCTTGCACCTGCGCGCAGAGCCACCGACAATCACCCCTTTGGCGTCTGGAATCGCAGCACCCTCCTACTCTAAAATTCCCGTTCCAGTTGCTTTCTTTCCGCTGTCAGGTAAGAGCAGCAGGTGGAGTCACATCTGCAGCTGTGCATGTCATTGAATATAAAAGCAAGCAAATCGTGAAGAGTTGTTCATGGGAGGTTGGTAGCTTGGCTGCAGGCTACCACCTCAACTCAGAGCCCAAGCTGGCCTCTGGCGGAAACTTCAGCGGGGCTGGTTATAACATCATGTGGATGCCTGATCCAGACGTAGGCATTGTTGCTGAGTGCACCAAGGTACGCGACATTTTGCTGCCATGTTTGTTACTCCCAATACTTATTTTGTTGACGTTTCTTTTGTTATCTGACTCAATAGGGACATTCTCGGTGATGCTGGCACAGGTTAATGACAGCACCATTGTGCTAGACCCTGTCAGCTATGGCTCAAGCGGACAGTGGGCCATCAACATCTGGATGAAGCCTGGCAGTCTGTATGGCAGCAACTTCCAGTATATGTTCTCCCATGCTCAAAGCAAGTTTTTCCAGACTGGATGGGAATCCAACCAGGTGAGACATTGGCGCTGACACCATCAGTGCCTCCCTGCAGATGCATGGTATGTATCGCTTCTTTGGGCATGTCGAAGTCGTAAGTGAAGCTTTTGCTGCCATAAGGTTGCAAGACTGACACATTGCGGTGTTTTTTGCTTCAGATCAGGATGTTCTTCCCTGAGCTGCTGCATCCTGCGTTTGGCGTCATCCGCGCAATAGCAAAGGACACAACAGACACTGAAACTGAAGACTCTGCTGTTGTCTTCCTGGATTCAGATGGCCTGGTAACCCGAGAAGCACTGGAGTACAAAATAGATCTTCGATGTTTAGCCTTGCGTTGCAGCTTGAAAATATGAGGTCCCCTGTTGAGCTTGTGCGGATGTGCCAGGTTGGCGCCTTGACCCGGAACGCGTCAGAGCCATCGCCGACAGATGCAGGCAGAGGAATTTTGCAGGATGGCAAATGGCACATGGTCACACTGTCTTCCCTCTATGATGGCACACGGGGCTATGCAATGTTCATTGATGGGAGGCTGACAGCGGTCCTGAATGGAAACCAGAGCTACACAGGTGCGCAAATGTCTTGCTGACATCTGTCTGGCTTGGTGATGCCCACTAATGTGTCAGCCAAGATAATGCTTCCTCTATATGGCACTGTCTCAGATTTAGAAAGCTTCCCTCTGCAGATGCCTCAGGCAACCCCCTCCACATTGATGGTGGAGGCCCCATGCAGCTTGATGGCCCCATTGTGCTGTGCGGACGATCAGACAACGACACGCTGCGTGGCTACAACGGGCGACTGACCCAGCTGGCCATTTTTGACACATCGCTGTCTCCCTTGCAAGTGTTCTACATCTACAGCAGGTGAATCTTGAGCACACACGGCTTGTCAAAACACGAGTGTCTATGTTTAAAGTTTTGCTGATGTTGAGGATGCTGCCGAAAGGATTCAGGCATCCTGCAGTAATGTTTGGCATCAACCTGAACAGGGTCTTCCCACAATTGCGTCTGCTGCCCTGGCTCCTGGAGCATACTACCCGGAATCAAGCAATGCATACAAGCTGTACGAGGACAGGACAGCGTGCTGGCTGGAGCCTACCCGCTCAGGTCTCTTCATGCCCATGTGATATCTGCATGTGCTGGCGTGATGATGCATGCATGCCACAGTTGACTTACGATGCATTCACTGGCAGGCGACCGAGCTCTGATTTGCTGTGCAGGGGGACAGCTGCAGCAGTGCCGTCCGTACCAGGTTTGCGTGGCACTGTCAGCTCAGGAGATTGGAGACAATGCTGACACGCTTCCAGATGAGGTGCAAGTTGGTGATGTGGGCATCTGCACAACCCCTCTACCCAACGGCCTGCTCCTGCCCAACGCCAGCTATGTGCCTCCAGCACGGTGTGGCAATGCGCCTTCATCGTGACAAATCTCATGCGCTACCAGTTTGCTGCAGGTGTCAGCTGTGCTGCATGCATGTATGCATGCGGGTGATGACTGATGGGGCTGGTGCAGGGCGTTCTTCCCTCTCACAGGCAGCCTGGCCTCCTACCCGCTGCCCACCTTCACAGGCGCAGCGATCAACACAGAGCCAGTCTCAGATCCCATCTTTGGCAGAGCGTTTGAATGCAGTCAGGAGCAGGAGTCACAGATAATCCTGGACACCGTGCCATATGCTGAGAACGGCGACTTCTCGGTCAATCTGTGGTTCCAGGTTTGACAATCCTAACCTGTCATATGCTGCTTATGCATGTCCAGTTGATGCCCCTCCTTCCTGTGGCAGAGGTTCGCTTTCTCCACCATCTGCATATCTGTCTTTTGATGTACAAATCCTTACGCTGTGCTGGTGGCAGGTCCGATCAACGGCAGGCTCTGACATGGAGTACATTTTCACCCACACAAATGCTGACCCAGTCAACTACAACGACTCCAATGCTGCCTGGGGTCCCAATCAGGCATGCTCCCTAACGAAATTTGTATCACATGTCTGAGGCAAAAGTTCATATACACCATCGCATCCTGTATCCATGCAGCCTTTTGCCATGCCTGTGGTCAAACATGGAGCCCTGTCACGCAATGCAGGTCAGCCTGTACTTTCCAGAGAGTAGCCACCAAGCATTCGGCATCATTCGAGCGGTCCTAAGGGACAGCACCGACATGGACATTGGTGATGTGTCTCAGGTCAGTGATCCTTCTACACAGTCAAACATGCATTTCCGCAGCAGTCCTGGAACTGTGGTGTCAGGCTCGAGCACCAGGAGAGCCTTTCTAAGCAGCCTGTAAAGTGCAGATGCATGAGCGGACAATCGTTGCAGCCCAAACACAGTGCCATGGAGCTGATTGCAAAATGCAAAAACAAATTTATCAAGCATGCATGAAATTAGAGGCCCTGATTTTGTTGAGATGCGCAGACATGGGTGGACTCAGATGGCAGGGTGGCTTTCAATGGGCGCCGAGGCCCTGGCCTCACTGATCCACGCACCAGCTCTATGTCTACCGCCGACACCTCCTCCCTCCTGCTTGATGGTCAGTGGCACATGCTCACCCTCACAACCCAGGGCAACGCCACAAAGGGCTACAGGTGATGCAGACATGCTCCTGCTCTTGGTCCTGTTCCAATATCTTTGTCCTGATCAGCAGTGTGCTCACTCTGCACATACAGTTGGAGCAGCCACGCTTTGCAAGACAGCAGATGGCACTGTTTGATGGCTGCAGCAGGAGCATTTTCAGGGCTGTCCTCCCCTTGCATGCTACAGGTGGGGGTTGGTACATTCTGACGGGTGGCAAGTTTGGCTCAGGCTGTATGTGGATGGCACCATGAAGGGGCAGATGGTGGAGAACGTCGGCTACATCAACGACCAGGGCGACAATGCGCAGATCACTGGGGGCAAATCTGCCGACCTGTCGGGTCCAATCCGGCTGTGCAGCAGATCCGACAACAATGTCACCCGTCACTTTGGTGGTCGGGTTGCGTACCTTGGTAAGGCCCCTATAGCCCACAGCCTTATGATGGAACAGCTGCGCTTACCTCCTGCACTTGAAAAGGGCACGAAACCGATATGTGACGTTTGCAGTGCTGGCTTTCCCTTGGTTGAAGTGGTCTGATGGCTAGGTTTCAAGGGGAATTTGTGCGCGCTATGTTGTGGCATGCAGGCTTGTACGACATCAGGCTGACACAGGCGCAGGTTCGTGTGCTCTACCTGACAGTGCGGGCCGCCAATGCCACCTCCCCCTTCATAGCAATCGGCAACTCTGAGGCTCTCCGCGTCCCCTCCCAAGCCCCACGCGTCTCTCCGCCACCCGTACCACGCTCCAGAGCTGATGTAAGCTGCCACCCTCACGTTGTTGTGTCTTGGCTTATGATCCCATGCTTGCTGGATTTTGTGAAGTACAATGAGATTATTTCAGGCTATTGGGTCCACTGTAGACATGCTTGACTGCAGGCGCCTGCTGTTGGCTTGCCTCCTGTGGGAGGCCTGGTATCCATCTCTGGGAACAGCTGCTACGTGCCTTTGAAGTACAATGGCACCGTCATCAACTCCTGCGTCAAGATCCATGGCAACGATGAGCCAGTGTGCTGGGTCAGGAATGAGGGCTGGCAGGTGAGGCGCTCAGATTTGTCATGCACGCCTTTCACCCTGAGGACTGAAAGAGGCATTGTTTGAGGTCCCTTACGATCGATGATGCGCACAACATAGCGCCCATGATATGAATGTTTATGGTAGCAAAGGTCGAATTGGAACCACAACTCGGTGCAGCGCTCGAGTGTGCTCGTCTAATTGAATTTGAAGACATGTACGCGATGTCTCTGATGTGCTGCAGGCCTGCATGACCAGTGCACCCGCCATGGCGCCTGGCTTAGTTGCCCCTGGGCGGGCCTCAATCAGCCCAGACTTCATCCAAATCACAGCTGCTAATCGCATGACTCGTGGCAACCACCCATGCGCCCTGCCCTTCGTCGTCAATGTAGGGACATTTTATCATCTATTCTTGAGCTCTTTGATCTGTGTCTTTGCAGTCAGATAAAGTGCCTTGCAAGGCATTTTGATATGGTACATAGATGAGGGCTGGAAGTGCTGAATGTTCCTGCTTGACATGACCGGCTGACCTGCAGGGCGAGATCTTCTCTGACTGCCTTATGCTCAACACCACAGAATGGTGCCCAGTCGTCTCAAGCGGCTGGCTGCAGCAGTGCGCAGTTCCTGTGGGTTCAGACCTGTCATCAACAGGTGAGGACCTGTTGTGATGCTGTGGGCCTCTTCCAGATTGGTTACCATTACAACCAAAACGTTACTGCAGCTCATGCTGAAATATGTGCATCTGCATGACACAGGCAAGCAGCACCAGGGCACAAGTGGAGGAGGGCACCCCAATCACAGCGGAGCAATAGCTGGGGCAGTCCTTGGAGGCATTGCTGCCGTTGTTCTTGTCATCGTCGCAGCCTGTGCATTTGCGCACACACGCCGGCGCAGGTTGGGCACTGTCACTTGGTTCCTCTCGGCCATAGCTGTCCTGCATGCATCATTGGGCAATGTGTCTGATCGTGAGAAGATGGTACCATGCGGGCTACATGGCAGTGTTCTGCTGTCCAGAAGAGCGCACATGTGCCCCAAGAGGTCGATGCTGATGTTGTCTGGTGGCAGGGTGCACGGGCCTGTGTCCTTCCAGAAGTACAAGGACGATGACGGCGGCCTGGGCATGAGGGACAGCGCCTACTATGCTGGCAGCCACGGCATCTCCCACAAGAGCGGCGAGCTGGAGATGCACCACTCGGGCGTCTCAGGCACCAGGACCAAGGCTGGAACCAGCAGCCAGGGTGAGCAGCCTTCAAGCCTGGAATCACGCTTGCCTGACTCCAACTTCATACAGCGCTTGGTTCGGCGCCCAGAGCCTTTACGTATAACTGGCAATGGACCTGTGTGCAGGCATCAGGCCACAGAATGGAGGCGCTGGTGCTGCTGGTGTCAAGATCCCCAACTCAAGCTTTGCCTCAGAGACAGCCCAGGGTATGCAGGCTCATCATGTCTCCTTGTGCTGTTCGTACTTTGATTGTTTATATGACCTTCACCCTGCAAGAGATCAGACTCACTTGTATTTGCTTCTTCCAGGCAACAGCCGTCCCCTCACGCCGATGAGCCTGCCGGGCGATGATGCCGAGGCGCTGTCCTACCCCACCACACCCTCCTCCTCCTTCCAGAATGGCCTCAACAGGCCCAGCATGCAAGTGCCCCTGCGTGCAGGCTCTGAGATGTCTGCCCCTGTGTCTGATGACATCGAGGTGCGGCGCTGGAGGCTCCCATGAATGCACACCTTGCATCTGGCTGCTCTGTACTGTGTTCTGCTGGATTTTGCCAGGAGCTTTGCAAAGAGCACCATCTGGAAGGTTCATGTCACTTGTTTGTTTGCAGGTGAAGAGTGTGAAGAAGAAGAGTGGCCGCATTCCTGGCATGCGAGCATCAGAGACGCGCATTGCAACCTCTCCAGAGAAGGGCACTGGCATGGGAGATGGCAGTGAGCGGTTCTACTGACAAGACCTTGTTCCAGACATGTCACGCGGGGTGCATTGGAATGCACTGCTGCTGATGCCATACTCTTGTTCAGGGTCGTGTCTTGAGGAAGGATGCTGCCTTCCTGCCGAACTCTGTGCTAAGTTCTCTTCATCTGGCAAGATTTTGATTTTATGAGCATCAAACCTTGGGAGAACTACCTGCAGTGTGATAAATGTTGCTCTCCAGCATTTGACATTGAGTCGCAATCCTAGGACTTGTATAATGTCATGCGAATTGTATACTATCTTTTGTTAGGATATGTGGATCGACATTGTAGGATATGCTGTATTGATGTCATGTGAGCAGTCTGTATGATCCATGCATATGCGCTCCTCATGTGCCCATTGTTACTCTTGAGTGGCAACATCCTGTCTAATGTTGCTTGGAAATGACTCTCAAAGACTCCTAGAGTCTGGACCAGTCTCTGTACGTACACTGTATACTGTACTGGTTTGGGCTTGGGCAACAGCAGTACATGGTGCCGTCAGTAAAAGGTCATGACTATGTAGGCACATGAAGACATTTTTTAGCAAAGCCCACCTGCAAGCCAAAAAAGAGTTTACAAAAAGAGGAAAATCGCTATATGGAGGGCAGTGCAGGGAATTTCCCTCGTTCGACACTCCAAAATACTGAGGGTTTGTGAAAGCAGGGGAGTCATAGGTTCCTGGGAATGGCCAGGCCCTGCACCTCCTGCACCTCCTGCAAAAAGAGATCCATGTGCCTTGATCGACGCAACAGAACCGCAAGATAGCACAGGCTGCTTCTGGGCTGTGCAGCCCAGCAAGGGCCTTCTCAGGGTGCCTTTGTTCAACGGGTTCGATGCAACCTTGAACCTTGCACCTCCACCTCAGGACACTTTCAGGAGACCACCTGGAGACGGACAGATTCATTCAAAGGCCTGTAGAGGACAAGGTGGGACCTCAACCCTCCTTGGGTGCATGCTTGCAGGAGGCATGCACCACCAGGCCTTCACCCATTTGTGAGACAAAGTCAGCTTTCCGCCATCCCACAAGGAGTTGATCTGTCTCTGAGGAAATATCTGTACATAGTGCAACATTTGGCTCATAAGGCCTGTGAGCGGCTCTCAAAGGCGCCGCACTATAGGACCAATGGGCCGCGTGGCTTTCGAGGGTTCTTGCTGACTTGGGTGTGTGCCGCCGGGCCTTGGTCTTCCCCTCCACTGGTGTAGACTTGTAAATGAGATGCAAGTAGATCGAGATCTGACGGAGGTTGTTCTTCGGAGCATCCTGAAAGTCCGCCATGTTGCCTGCTTTGCCTGGCTTGATAGGGCCTCAGACAACGATGGCAATACCCTGATAGAGGATGCATCAACCCCGTGTAGCTAAAGCCGCCAAAGCCGCCTTAGCGGTTAGTCGATCGGTAGGGAATCTGGTAGTTCGCTTGAGGTGCACAAGCTGCAAAGTTCGTGTAGGCAGAAACCTTCTCGTGAATTGCAGCAAACGCGAGTGCATATCTACCTTGCAGGTAAGATCTGACAAGCAACAATGGAAGACGTTATCATCTACAGCGTTGGAGCCTTGGTAGTGCGTGGCTTGCGTCGCGCTGTCTTTGGCCCACCGCGAGAGGAAAAGCTTGCAGAGGAGGTGGGAACCCGCACCTGCTTTTCTGCATGTGTCAATCAAGTGCCATTCGTTGATACATTAGACATGCAGCCATCTAGAGTGCATCGTGGTGTGAGAAAGTCGAGACGATGGAAGCCATGTACCAGGGTTTTTCTTACGCACAACATGCGCCTTGTCCTGTGGATTGGCAAGCTTTTGATGCCGCATCACGCAGTGGATTCAACAGAAAAGTTATGTCTGCAGGTGAAGCAGTTGCAAGGGCTGGTTGCTCAGCAAGACAGTGTCATTGCCCAGCAAAGTGAACGCCTGCAGCAGCTAGAGCAGGCACTGCAGCTCCCTGCTGCTGATGCACCTCAGCGTCCCTTGGCATTGCGTCTGCCAGGACCATCACATGCAACAGGTACTCTTACGGGCACTAATGGGATGGTGCTGCCATGTCTTATGATCAGATGCACGTGCATGTCATCACCCATTCATGACCGCAAAATGTCCTAGTGGAGCCCTGACAGTGGAGGATTTCATCCATTCTGTGATGTATTGGTGCAGGTCAATCTTCTCCTTCTCTCAAACGCTCCGCGCCAGCAGCAACTCCCGATGAGGCAGAAATCAGCCCAAAACGCTTTCGTTGGAGCCTCTTCCCCAACATTGCAAGGTGTGATAGCATCTCCCTTTCATTTGGCTCTGCCTTGCTGTGTGTCACCAACAAAACCAGAAGGCTTTGCCCTGCTGACCTCAACATGAGCGTATTGGGCTGGCAAGCTGAAAGAACAGGTTGTCTGCAATGCATGGGACACTGTAGCTCAATTGAATGTTTGCAAACACAAAGCATGCTGATTGTGGTCTTGTTCCCCGCAGGAACAAGGCTGAGGGACCGGCGCAGCCTGAACTGCAGCCCAGCTCTCCACCGCCCTCCAATCGCATCCCTGCAGCAACACTGGACACCTCAAGCAATCCGACCTCCAGTGGTGAGGAGCAGTCAAGCTCTGATGGGGCAGACACCAGCGCGTCCAAGAGCAGCATGTCAGAGGGCAGCATGGACAGTGAAACATCCTGCTCAGATGACGAGACTGGCGACACTGAGGGCACAGAGGAGGACTCCGGTGAGGAAGAGGACTCCAGTGAGGAGGAGGAGTCAGGTGATGAGGATATGCCAATCAAGGCTGTGCCCATTACCGCCGTCATGTCAGGCAGTGAATCTGAGATGGATGCCAGCGAGACCAGTGAATCTGAGAGCGATGTCAGCGAGGCAGGCAGCGAAGAGGGCGGGCCCAGCTTGGAGCAGGGCACCTCCAACGTCTCAAGTGAATCAAGTGATGCAAGCACTGATGCCTCCAGTACTTCCAGTGAGAGCACTTCACCAGAAGCCAGCCTCACCGAGGAGGACAGCAAGGCAGGCACTGAGGTGAAACCCTGCTCATAATTGCCTGAATGTTCGTAGCGCATGATGGGGTCTTCGTTTTGTCTTGCATATGCTGCAGAAATGTTATGCTTCACTTCTGGTGGCACAGATGGAATCTGATGGTGTGTTATGCTGAATTTGACGCAGGCCAACAGCTATGAGAGCTCCGGCAAGTCAGAGGGCAGCTCTCACGACAGCCAAGGCAACCAAGACAACCATGGACCTGCTGACGCAGATGCCCCGTATATTGACGAAGCCATCAAGGAAGCGTTGTCAGTCTTCTCGTGCGAGCAGTGCGGCAAAATATCCCGCCACTGTGGCTGCGACAAGGCAGCAGCAGATCCAGCAGTGACTGAGAAGTCTGCGAGTGGCGCATCTGAGGAGCAGTCCAGCGATGAGTCAGACATCTCCAACGACAGCGACCCAGTTGCAGTGACACCCACAGCCGCGGAGCCTGTGCAAGAGGACCAAACTGACCTGGCCTTGGACGCAGAGCAGGCGGCAGTTGACGATGGGAGCAGTGACCAGGAAGGAGCTGCAGACGAGGTGGCTGAAGGGGAGGCAGAGGAAGTTGAGGAGGGCATTGAGGGTGGTGGGGACGGGGAAGGGGAGGAGCACAACCACATCCTCTCTCAGGTCCAGGAGCAGATCGCAACGGCCATCTATGGGCTGCATCTTGGGGATGCCACTCTGGGCCAGGAGGAGATCCTCAGCGATCTGCATGTCATAACAGTCGCCATCCAGCCCCAGAGCCCAGATGGGGCCCCACAGGAAGCGCCGCACGGAGACCAGCCACCGCCCAGCATTGATGACATTGCATCACCTGTCGTGCCAGGCGCAGAGCTTGCAGCCTACCCTGCTGAGAAGCAGGGCGGCCCCAGCAGCGAGCTGGATGGTGTGCCGTTTGAGATGCTGGACGCCCCTGCCGCCAGCTCGTACGACCTTGCGGCGCAGCCCCTCACAGCCGCCAGCGTGGATGCCGGGGGGCACAGCGGCGACCAGAGCCAGAGCCGCCGCAGCCCCAAGCGCGCAGCCGCCGAGGAGCTGGAAATGGACGACTGGCAGCCGCGGAGGCGCCGCAAGCGCCCGCGCACGCTCTGCATGCGCCTGCTGGCCATCCTGCCCCGGCCCCTGCGCAGGCTCACGCGCTTCGGCGGCCGCGCGTACTGGCGCGGCGTGCGCCGGCCGACTTCAAGCACCTCCGGCAGCTCGCAGGACCAGGAGATTCCAGAGCCCGAGAGCCCCCTGGAGGGCATCGTCAATCCGACAGAGGCCGAGGCTCAGGCCAGCGGCGGCCAAGCAGATGGCGGCTTTGTCTTCCAGGCCGGCATCCCCGCCACACAGGAGCCTATGCAGGATCATGTGGAGGATGACGTTCAGGATGAGGCAAGTGATGGGGTGTTGGATTGCCAAGACATGTCCCAGGATGAGCCTGCTGCGGAGGATGCTGCCGGCATGGAGCCAGGCTCCCAAGCCGGCCTTATGACCATAGGGGCGACGGGCATCTTTCAGGATGTGTGTGTAGCCTACGAGGATGCGCTGCATGAGGAGGAGCTGGCCCTGCTGGCCCAGGCAGATGCCGAGGCCCAAGCCCGCCTCATGAGGGAATTGGCCAGACAGGTAACTTGCACACCATCCAATTTCTGACGGCGCTCTGTCGTCCAAAGCGATGATGCCCTCTTGTTTGGATTTGTGTTGTGTCCAACCAAGTTCTGCAAGTTACTATAGCATTCTGCAATTGCTGAGATCTTCTCATGCTGCACAGGATCCCCGCTCGGAGGACATGCCAGGCCTGGGGCCCCCTATGGACGATGATAGCGATTCGGAGGACATGGACGACAATGAAGCCGACACCTCTGCGCCCAGCTCACCACAGGACATGTCTTCTGGCAACGAGAGGGTCGAGGAGCCATTGCCTGCCCCAGTAGAGGACACACCAGAATCGCCCATAGCCGCTAATGCGCATCGCTATGGTGGCATGTTCACTTTTGGAGCCGCACACCACAGCCGCGCTCCCAGCCCTCGCCGCCAGCACCTCTCCCACAGCCGCTCACAGGGCGAGGGCATCCTGACGCCGGTCCTGCGCCGCAGCAGCAGCCGCATCGGCCGCAGCGCCAGCCGCTCTGTGAGCCAGCGCAGCGGCAGCAGCTACAGCCGCAGCCGCTCGTCCAGCGGCTTGAGCCGGTCCCTGAGTCGGCGCGCCCGCAGTGAAAACCGCTCACCCGGCTCTGCCCGTTCAAGCTCCCCAGGCTACGAGCTGCAGCCCAGCCACTCGCTCAGGCGCTCATTCCGGCGCAGCATGACGCCGTCGCGCGGCGGCTCTGCTCAGCGCGCGTCGCGCAGCCGGTCTCCTGAGGCGAGCCGCGAGCGTCGCAGCGGGCACCGCTACACTACTGAATTTCGCTTCGGCCGCAGCCTGTCCCCCGCTGGCCACGCGCGCAGCCGATCTCCAAGCAGGGCCAGTCCCTCTGCTGACTGTGGACGCTTCAGCAGGCTGTCGCCCAGGTAATCCCTCTCCATCGTTGAAAAAATGCCTCCTAAGAAACTTATCAAAGTTCCTCTACTGCCATGCCTGTCAGACGTATGTCTTGTTGAGATTGTTGCCTGAGCAATTCTTTCTATACATGCAGTCCTGCCAGGAGCAATTCATCAAGCCGCAGCCCGAGCAGGCACAGTCGCAAGCCCCGCAACGGGGATGTCACCTATGAGACAGAGTCTGGCAGCCCGGCGCGCTCACCGTGCAGGAAGGCTCCCACAGAGGATGCCGAAGGTTTGTGTCAGGCCTGCTCTGGATGTCCAGCCACTTCCCTCTATTTGTGCTTGTGTTTGGCATGTACAGTATGAGTCTTTGGCACCTTTTGGGAACGCATAAGGCTGACAGGGGTTGCCTTCGTGCAGGTGAGCTGCGTCAGCTGGTGCGCGAGTGCGAGAACCTGGAGGCAGTTGCATCACCACGCGCTGTCGCCCGGGTGGCCGAGCTGTCCCCGCTGCTGAGCCAGCCCGGCGGCCGCAAGCGTGGAGTGCTGCTGTCGCCCTCCCGCTCGCCCATCCCCAGGGGCCATGTCCTGGATGACATATCGGCTGATCAGGGTGTGGCTCTTGCCACATATACATTGTGTCACCTGTTTGGTTGAATGTATCAGCATCACCATCACGTGCTTACCTTCACATCGATTAAGCTTGCATGCATGCTGGTGCGTGCCATGTGCAAGCCATGCTATCTTTTCATAGGTCATTCAGCTGCAGGTTTTGTTCCTGAGCTGAGATGTGTAGATTTTGCTTTGTTGCTCCAGAGGAGGGCGGCGGCCGCCTGACCGGATCGCCAGAGAACGGCTATTGGCTGGTGGGAGAAGGCGACCGTGAGGAGCCTGACTTCCTTGCCGCCAAGAGGTTGACGGCCAGCCAGCTGTACAATGACCTGGCGGACAACTACCACCCGGACGACGAGAACCTCGATGTTGCCTTCTCCCCTCCGCGCTTGGGCAGGCATGCACCGCTAGTCCTCACAAAACACATCTTCTTGTTAACCACCTTGCCTTCACCTCTTTTTTACCTTGCTGCCCCCTGCTGTCACTCCTGGCACATATGATAGTCACAAACGCAAGAGGCTGAGCTTGCGAGCTGCACTGCAGTGACCTGGACGCCGCGCCGGACGCCTCCGACCGCGCGCGGCGCCGGTTCTCCTCGAGCCCATCCCTGCGGTCCCCGCGCGGCCGCTCGCTGGTACGCAGCCGGTCCCGCTCTGTGGTGCGGCCCAGGAGCCGCCAGGAGCCGTCCAGGTCACGCTCGCGCTCCGCGTCGCCTAATTTCGCTTGGACGAGCCGCGCCGCGCGCACGAACTGCCCCGAGCCGCCATCACCGCCGCCGCGCTCCGTCGAGCGCTGCACGGCGCCGCTGCCGCGCCCGGGCACCCCCGTGCCTGTGACGCGCGGCGAGGAGGAGCCACTGGGGCCGGTGGGCAACCTGCGAAGGCTGGAGCGCAGCCAGACACCTAGCGATGATGAGGACGTTCCGCCTGTTGCCGACCCCAGCTCGCCAGTGTCTGATGACCACCCGACCCAGGAGACAGATGCTGCACTGGAGGACCTGGATGCCCCAGTGCCAAATCTCAGGTGTGAAATCGTGCCCCTTTGTTTTGCATGATATTGTATGATGTACACAAGAGTGCCCACTCCTCACTGAATTTTGGTTGCCTTCTGCAAGTCCAAACCTTTGCAGGCGAATTATTGTGCAGGCAAACTCATAACTGCATCATACATGGAGTGTGGGCTTATGTTTACTGCTGCTGTGCATAATGTGCAGGGCACATGTCTCGATCATGAAGCCTAGCGAGACGCTGCCACCTCGGTCAAGGTGCAGTCCTCATGAAATAGTCCTGGCCAAAATGCTTTCATCATGTGAAGACACCAGCTAGATCCACCAGCGGTATGGAGGCCCCCAGATGCATCAGGTTTGTTTGACCTAAACAAACAAATTGGCGTTCAATGGTTGCTGGCTGGTTTGTCCAGGCACCTGGAGACGACAGCTTATCAGGCGCAATTGATTAAAGAGCGCGAGGAGTGCGAAGCGAGAAGGAAGGCATCACGCATGGCACTACCCACACGCTGTGAAGACGGACAGGCAAGGTGAGGTTTCAGTCCAGGCTCTTCCTTCGCCCTCTGACTTTCTGCAGCTACCATTTAGGATTTCGCGCTTGTGTGAACATTGCTTGTCATGCAGCAGGGTGCCATCTGGAGTCAGCACTGGCTCCAGCGCCATCGAAGCACCGCAGGAGCCAGAATCAGTCTTCCAGTGAGTCTTCGTTCCCTGCCCAAATTGACAAGCCTGCTGACAGATTGATCAGGTTTCCGCAGAGCCACACTGTTGCAAAGATTGCCTCACCATGATGGCCGTTTTGAGCTGAGCACTGTGTGCTTGCTGCTCAGGCGCAACATGCGCTTTGCCCAGCGCATCTTTGAAGCGCACAAGGCGCGCGCCGACGCGCGCAGGGCAGCCGCTGCCGAGGCAGTCACATCCGCCGAGCCCCCGGCCGTGCGCCGGCCCCTATCTTCGGTTGTGGGGCGCGATGCCGCAGCCCGCAGGATTGGTGCGCGCAACAGGGTGGCGCTCGCCTTTGCCAAGATTGCCCGGCCGGCGCCGGCCTGGATGCCCATGGCCAACTTCGGCTTCGACAACCCCATGGTGCAAACACCTTCTCTGTATGGATAATTTCTCCCTCTATGTCCCGACAGCTATGTGGCCGGTGCCAGCCAGCATCCAAAGAATCTTACTGCTAAGTACAGGGCTCCAGGCTGTGTGGCCTGGATTGTGAGAGCATGAAGCAAGGCATGAATTGCAGATGCATGTTGTTGCTGCAGTGACTAGCATGTGACAGTGGAACAGAAAGTGTGCGGTGAAGTTGCTGATTGGTGCCTGGGAGTGCAGGTGGAGGAGACAGTGGACCTCACGCAGGACGACAATGATGAGGAGGAGCTGCCAGCCGCCCCAGCTCAAGGCGGACGCGCCAGCACCGGCGGCATGGACAGCAGCGGTGAGGCAGATTTGGACGCCATGCCCCTGTTTTAAAGGGCTGCAGAGAAAGCCGCCACCGCCAACGATACGGCATCGCGCTGCACGCCTTATGCGCGCGTAAGGCGTGCTTCGCCTAATGGGGAAAACGGCAAGCACTGTTCAAGTCCTGCTGAACCGCTGTACTACCTTGAGAGTGTGTAGGCGTCTTATACTGGCCCCTGGATGCAAGCAATGCCCCTCCGGCATACCTGCAGTGACATGGCGTTTGTGCAGGAGGGGGGCATGGAGCGCAAGTGCTCACGTCCTTGTACCCACAAATGTGTGCAACCAGGAGATTGGGAACTGGATAATCTTTGTGTAGCAATACTGTGCAATAAGAGAGCTCAGCTTCTGAGTTTCTTAATAGAGCTTGCAAGATGCATCCTGCTTCCTCAGAGCAGGGATAGGCTCTGCTTGTTTGCTTTCAAGGTTTGCATGCTAGCAGCAGCTGGCTCCCACATAGACTTTGTACAGATGTATACTTGTGTGGGAACAACACCACATGTTCCATCTCGGGAACTTGCTGGGCTGTCTATGGTGAAAGGACCTGTACAGCTGGCAGTTGAAAGGCCTACCAAGCAATCTGTTTTGGAGCAATGTTTGCAAATGTTTGCAAAAAGTGTACATGCATGTAGGAACAGGTAGTTTTTGCAAGATTGCACATCGTACACTTGCATTGGGCATCCATCCTCTATGGATTGCTCAGAATAATGCATTTTTCCACTGCATTGTAGAAATGTGTGTACATTAGGCGGGTGACTGAGAGCTTAGCCCTGAGCCATCATGTATCAAGGATTTTGCGTGTTTGGAGGCTTGTTGATGGCGGTGAGCCTGCATGATTTCTTCTTCATTTTTTGTGTTCACAGGCTTGTAACATTGCATGTATATACTGAAGTCAATTGCATATACGTCTTTTCGTCCAGACAAGAGAGCATAACTACCTACCATAGAACACTATCTTCTCTCATCACTCCAACCAACCTATCTGGGCAAGATTATGCATGGCCAAGCCGCAGCTTTATCTTGCAATGCAGCATGATACATCTATTTGACATCCACTTTTTCAAGGGCTCTATAGGATTCAATGCAGCACATGGCTAGCTAACCCACAATGAAGCTCTCAGAGTTCTACTGCTGCGGAGTGATCTACAGCTGAATGCCGGCTAGCAGAGTCCGCTGCGCTGCTGAGAGAGATCGTCTATTGCGCCGCACCAGCTCTGCCAGCTCCTCTACAGCATGCCCCACCGGCCTGCTTGTGCATACACATGCACTCATCAGAGATCCCAACATGATCGATTGGACGCTCATCAGCCTGACTTGCACATACAGAGTGTGCTGACAGAAGGCTGCCGTGGGATCCCATTGGATCGCACCTGCTACCCGCAGCATTGTTGCCCTGGGCCAGCGCAACAGCTGCGCTCAGGAGCTGCTCGCGGTCTGAGGCGGTGGCAGACTCGTCCGGGATCACATCCACAGCTGCCTTCAGCCACTGCACGCCCTGGTCATGCGTGGCCTGCAGCAGCAGAGAATGGCCAAATGCCTCTAAGGAGCAATCAAGAAGCTACAACAAAGCTTGTGCTAGATCTTTGAGAAGGCACTTCCCCCGAACGACCACAGTTCCGTTCACACCCAAACTCGCAAATCTGTGTGACCCACATCTCCTTTGTCATGCAGTGACCAAGTGAGGAATCAAGGGAAATACATCCCAGCAAAGGAAAGCGGCCCCCTCATTCTAGAAATGGGCGCACCTTCAGCAAGGCGATGAGGACATCAGCAACGTCCGAGGATCTGGGTGCGGGCAGCGCTCCAACCGCGCCTGCCAGCAGCAGCCTGACCAGGACAGGAGCTCTGGGGACGACTGCCGCTGTGATCTGCAGATATCGCACCAACATGTTTCAGCTGGTGCTGCATAGCAATCCCATGCTCTGCCTCAGAGTAATGACAATGCGGTCAGTGTTCTGCCATGATTCCTGGCTGGCTGGGCACCTGGGTGGCAGCGGATGGGCCGCACTGCAGCAGCAGCTGTGGCTCAAAGAGGCGCGTCAGGAAGGTAAGGATGGAGCAGCACGCATCCCTGCGCGCACAGTGTCACTTCATTATAGCGTCACACCAAGCAAATGTTTATTTGGAGAGGCATCATACAGAGCTCAGCATCCGTGCGCACGCCTCCTGTCTCTGTACTCACATCTTGAGAAGGCCCTCTTTGCTCCACAGGGCTGCACAAGTGCCGCTGTTCCGTCCCTCAACACATCTAAATTACATGACCTGAAGTCGTGCTCAAGGGTTACTCAAGAAATGGCGGTAAACGGCTGCGGATGGGCCGTGACTGCGGCATGTTGTCCAATGGACATTGGCAAACCACTCATGCAGCCTTCACGGTGAAAATCCTCAAGGCTCAGCACATGACTGAGAATGGGGTGATGCTTGGAGGTGTGTTGGGGTCATGCAGAGGGCGGTGCCTGTGCTGGACGAGGACGCCGGCGGTGGCAGCATCGAGGAGGCGGGGGAGGGTGGCGGACGTGAGCACGATGGCGGGGCAGTAGGACAGCCCGCGGCCGGCCAGCAGAAAGGCGTCGTCCGCTATGTCGGGGTCGTCGATGAAGTCCTGCAGGCTGCGCAGCTGCTCGCACGCCTTGCCCACCAGCCGCTCAAACAGCCTCCCTGAAGCGCACCACACAAACCCCCAGCATCAGACAGATCGACCCCTGACCTTGGTTGCATCATGGTGGCTGTGACGGCCATGCAATTGCTTGCCAAAATTCAGATGCTCTGTTTTTGCACATCGAGCATCTGATATTGTGCGTTTGAAAAGGACCCGATCTGCGCACAAGCGGCTGAGGGATTGACATGCCACAGTGCACAAGGCAAGAATAGGGCAGCAAGAAAGTAGCTTCAAGCCGGCACGACCTCGCGAGGGTAGCCGAGGGGTCGCACCGAGTTCCGCGGTGAGGTCGGGGTCGCTGCCAAAGACCTTGATGAGCTCGGAGGCCACGTACAGGAAGCTGCTGTGCCGCGTCGCCTCAAACCAGCGCGGCAGCGTCTCCGTCAGCGTCGGCAGCAGCACAGCCGCCGACTTGCCTGCGGGAACCAACTCCGGTTTAGCGGAGCTCATTCATGGTGCCCAATATGGCTGGGTGCACTTGCTGGAAGTCATGGTGGGTGCAAATAATACACAAATGGAAATCAAATCATCTGGAGCATTCACACACTCTTTGTGTGTAATGTCATTAGTAGTGTATTGTTGGATTCAGGGTACAGGAATGTCCTCAAAATTGTCGTAACTTCTGCGATCGATGCCCAAATCCAAAGATGCCCCACCTGCGGTGCGGAGTGCGTAGCGGGGGCAGCGGGCGATGCGTTCTGTGGCGCGCGTGGAGCCGCGCAGGTGCTCGATGATGGCGCTCAGCAGCGGCCACACGCGCTGCAGCGCCGCAGCCACGCCCTCCGGGTCGCCCACGTACCTGCACGCCAGCAACAGCCACGGTGAGTCACACGCTGCAGGGATGACAGAATCTGGGAATGCCAAACCACGAATGAGGGGACAGGTCATCCATGTTGCTGGCCATACATGACAAAGAAATGCCCTTGTGCAAGCTGGCCTAATGCCACCTCAAGACTCGTCACATTGAAGCCGCGTCGGCATGGTGGACAACAATCTCGATGTGATTCCGGGTACGGGAGGATTGACAACAGGCACAGCACATTTGCAGCGAAGCGCTCAAGCGCGAACCTGAAGACGATGGTCATGCGGTCGACCAGCGGCGTGGCCTGCTCGAAGCCGGTGAGGGCGACCGGCGCGGCTGTGCCGTTCAAGACATGGCCATTGGCCGGCGGCAGCGGGGGCTGGTGCAGGCATGCGTGCAGAGCCGCCATGATGGGCGACAGCAGCGCTTCCAAGCCCGCCCTGCGCTGCTCTGCAGGCAGCGCGGACACCACCAGAGCCAGTGCCTCCACCACCTGATCAACATGACACTCTCACAATCCTGCCCCTGTGGCACAGATTACCATAGCGCACGCTGTGCTGCTGCTTATTGGTGCATTCATTGTCAGAGCGCTGATATTGAGGAAGTGGAAACAAATTTAATCAAATGAGCACTGCAGGGGCGACAATCGCCGACTAGGGTGCTATGTCAATGCAAGATCTCTGTCACGCTTGGTCAAAGGCTCGCTATGGTGCAACGCAAATCATCCATGTCTGCTTGCTGCCAGCGTCAGTGCTGGAAATTCCACCATGAGAGAGAATGGTAGAGCAGGCAGCACTGACGGGGAACAAGCAACACGCAGAGCGCACCTGCTGCACATCGTTCTCCTGCAGGGCGGCCTGGCTTTGAGGGCCAGCGGCGGAGGTGGAGGCTTCGCCGGCCGACTGGATGCGCTGGTACAGGGACATGAGCACGTCCAGGTGGGGCGCCATGGCCGCGCCACATGCGTCGCACAGGTGGCGCAGCGCCAGCGCAGCTGCCTTGGCCGCCTCCTTGTTGTTCAGGCCTGATCAGTCACCACATATTCAGTGTGACAGCTGGCAGCCTCGCAAGCTTCAGCGTCTGTCGTGCAGGGAGCCATGTCCTCAAAAGGAGTGCTTGCTTCAGCCAAAGCAGAGGTTTGTTTGCTTCAATGAACTGGCTGATATCATCAGCACTTAAGGCTGCACGTGCTGCATTTTGATGAGCGATGACTGCCAGGAAAGGGCGGCACCTGTGGTGAGCATCTGGAGCAGCTGGGGCATGAGGTCGGCGATGCCCCCACCGCCAGCAGTCTTGGCGAGCCAGTCAGCGTAGGCGGCCAGCAGCATGGCGCCCGTGTACTGCAGCTGCGGCACGGGCGGCAGCTGCGGCAGGCTGCTGAAAAGCTGTAGAAGCAGCGCGTTCCCCGGCTCCGGCGCATTGCTGCGCACACCCATGGACCACCAGCTTGAAATTCTGCTAGAATTGAACTTGAACTTCTATATTACCAATTTTGCCTGAGCCCAATTGGTACGGCTATTGTGATGATACGGGCCATGGCTCAACAACTGTTGTCGCCAAGTGCTTCAAGCTGACTGCAGAGGACCAGGGTGGCACCTGTGGATGGCGCGCACGCAGTACAGGGCGGCCTCGGCGGTGGCCCAGTTGAAGGCGCCCCCCGCGGCGACCTGCTCGCTCACCGCAGCCAGCGGCTCCGTCAACAGCTGCAGCGTCCGCTCGCCGCCCAGCACACCTCCCGCAAAGCTAACGACTCAGTGACCAAGTCATGGAATCTGTTATTGATGGACCCTCGTTGACCCTTCTCCACGCAATGACACTTCTAATGACACGACTGAGCTACATGCAGGCCGTTGCATAAAGGAGCCTGCAGTTTCCGGCATCAGTAGACCCTTGGCGCTCGGTCGTCAGTGGGCGCAGGAACAGATTCAAGGAGGCACCACAGCATGAGAGGAGAGCCAGGCATGCCCAATTGGCATGCTCAAGGGTCGCCACCTGCAGCGTCTAGGAGAGCGTCCCCCACGTCCTGGCGCGCATGCTTAAAGTCGTCGCGGTCGTCCTGCTCCCAGGCGTCCCAGTCGGTCGGCAAGCGCACTCGCCCGCGCAGCAGCGCCACCAGGTGCTCAAACGCCGGTGTGAACACACCCACGCGCCGCACCAGCTCGTCGTTGCTCTGTCACCCATTATGTCCGGTTCAGCTCAGCCACACAGGGCCACTCCTCATTGTCGTGTTATCACGCTATCAGTGTTGACGAGCAGCGCGCGCCGACACGGTGGACAGGTGGGTTCTTCCAGATGTTGTCACAGAAAGCAATGTGTGAGGCGGCGGAGGTTTGGGGCATGACTGTCTGAAAACGCCAGGAGGGCGAGGAGGGCTCACAGCAGGCTCTGCGCCGAAGGAGGAGGTGAGGTGGCGCGCAAGGCGGTGCCAGAAGATGAATGACATTGCTGCCAGCTCGTTGTCCGGGTGCGCAGCCACCGCCAACAGCGCCTCCACCGGTTGCAGCGCCTGTTGGGTGCCTGCCACAGCAAACACATCGAACACATTACAAACAAATCTGCAAGATCAAAGACCTTGCAGACCCGCCTGAAAACTGAAGAGCACAGCAACATTTGATGCTGCAGAGAAATTGAAGGAGACTCACAAAATCTTCCATTCTTCCCAAGCTGATCACTACTACTGTGTGTTTTGAGCTGAGCGGAACCTGCGCCAAACATGGATGCATAGATGGCATTGAAGTGGGCGGATTTGTACCTGTGGCGATGAGGCCGCAGTAGGCCTCGCCGACCTCCGCGAAGAGGCGCGCCATGCCCTTGGCCGTCTCTGTGTCGTCCCCGTCCTCACTGCCATTGTCCGCCGCATGAGTCTGCGCCGCCGCCGCCTGCGATGTGCGCATGAACCGCGGCAGCAGCTGCATCACCTGCGCAGCACACACGTGCTCACTGCATTGCTTGGCTGCACCCTTAAGCAAGCAGTAACGCAGCACGAAGGAAAGTGCTGAAGCTGAGGACAGGCGGCTTGATATTGTTATGATGATGCACGCAGATCTTCCGCCCTCAGAAACTGCCTCCAGCCAGTCACGACTGCAGTGCAGCACCTGCAAATGACCCTATGCCCAAATGGCAGCAGCAACGACCCAAACGAAGCAGAACGTTCTTCACAGCTGTCACGCTGCGGTGATGTACAAAGGCGCAGGTGAAAGAGCACGCACCGCGGGCACAAGGCGCGCGACGAGCGGCAGCATGTTGTCCTCGGGCTGCCCTCCGGAGCTGCTGACATAGATTAGCTCCACAACAGCGTCCACTGCGCCGTCCAATGTGCGCTCCGAGTTTAGTCCGTCCAGTGCCGCGGTCACCAGCGGGTGCTGCGCCAGGGCCGCCCCGTCTAGATTACTGGCGCTGGCCAGCTTCAGCCACTCGCTGAAAGCCACCAGCACTCGCAGCGTCACGTCCGGCCCTGCACCGCCATATGAAAATTTCAACACACACACTGCACCGCCAAAGCCCTGCACCTTCACCAAATACTCACAAATACACAGCGAAGCGCTGAGGAGACTTGCTCATGTGCAGTGATCGGCCAGTAGTGAGGGCAAATGGCAGCACAGGATGGTACTTGCCAAGTCAGCATACAGGAACCAGAAGGGGACCTGTGTGCTGCTGGAGGACGGTGGTAAGCAGCTGCAGCGCGGTGGGGATGGCGGCCTCCATCTCCTGGATAAGCTGACGCCTCCGCTCGGGGCGCACCGCCGGCCGATAGCTGCCGGCCTCCTGCCGCATCAAATACGCCATCCCACTTCAGGCTCTCATTTCAGAAGTTGGCAGAACGGCCTCCTGACCTCCACATGCATGCTGATCAGTACGGCTGCAGAGCTCCAGAGTAGATCGCTACAGCGCCTCCTCTTTGTTGCAATTTGCTTGCAAAGTCTTGATCCTCCATGGAGTTCAGGGGCACATTCCTTCATGATGGCTTGTTATGCAATGGTACACAGTATCAGTGATTGCATGCACCTGCGGCAGGATGGTGAGAAGCTCGAGCAGGCAGGGCAGCGCGGCCGCCTGGGAGTCGCTGCTCAGGCGCTGCACGAGCCACTGCAGGCTGCCGCCAGGGCCCCACTGCTGCGGCGGCATGTGCGCCACAAGCGCAGCCACCGCCAGGCACAGCTGCGTGCGCACAGGAGGCGACCCATTGCCAAATCGCAGCAGCAGCTCCACCAGCGAGTCGCGCAGGCTGGCTGCTGCGCCCTGTGGCAGCTCCTCAAAGTCGCGCTGCACCTGCACACATTGCAGACACTTTCGTGATGTCCTGCGTGGTTGCTCAAGTGCCAGCATCAAGCCATGTGTGAGTGGTTGTGAGTCAGCTGAAATGAGCCAAGCAATTTTATCATACAATCTTTTTTTTGTCTTGTAGCTCACAAATTTCCAACAGGGTCTGATCAAATCGATTAGCTACAGGACGATGCCGTGAGGATCCATGCATACGATCTCTCACCTTTGTTCTGAGAGTCTGGGCACAGAAGTACTGAGCCTCCAAGCTGGAGCTGGAATCATGCAGGATATTGTCGCTGACGCTCCAAGCATCCAAGGAGGATTGCCACTGTTCCAACCAGGTGCTGGCCTGCTTCTTTACGTTGCCATCCGGGTGATGGTTGAGGGCGTGTAAGGCATCAAGGACGTTCTGGCGGGACATTGCAACATCTGTGGATGAACTCATGATGACTTGGATGCGGAAGCTATTGTGGTTGCGCTACCTGCGCGTTGATGAGTGCTGCAAAATCGAGGGTGCTAATTCTTTCCGATCCCAAAGGCAAGACAATTTTACCATTACAGCAGTGTGTTCAAAGGATTTTTCTTGTCTGGCTGAGTTCAAGGTCTTCGCTCCTGCCGAGCAAATTGATGAGCCAGATTTGCTTGACCCGAGGTGCTTGGCTTCCATCCTTGAGGAATCTGCTCATTTCATGATCTTGCTTCCTCATGATGAAGGTCTGAGGAATTTGCTTGAGGTGTCAGGTACTCAAGATTCACTGCATCTTTTTCTGAATATCTTGACATGCGTCTCAAGCCTGCAGCAGACATGGTGGTCACATCAGAGCCAGTGAAAACTTGCAGCTTTCATGGTTTACCCGGTAAAGGGCCTTCGCCGTTTCAAATTCAAATTCAACTTGAAGCATAGTCAAAAGATGATAGAGTTGAACTGTTCACCAGCTGCTCACCAACCTGAATTAATGCAGCTGGGTGTGGGCGGCCTTGTCAAGAACAGGTTCACCTGGGATTGGTTGATACAGGAGAGGGGCGCTACTAGGTGGCTCCTCTCCCAGATTGTGGGGCAGACATTGGTGAAGCGGGCACAGTGCAATGCAGAGATGTCTTTCCGCTGCCTTACCGCCATTTATCTGTACGGGAAGTTTTCTGACAAAGAAAATCCAGGACAGGCATAAAAAAGGCAATCCTGCATTGAACCATTGGCCAGGACCCTACCGTTACGTCAGACAGGCAAGCGGGAAACTGCTGGGCCGTTGTTGGCTGCCCCTCCACATGCAGTTGGAGCAGCTGATTTCCATTCTGATGAGCACGACATAGAGGGTAAGCCAGACTATCATTCAGATCAAACCAACGAAACTTGCAAATGTTGAACATACCACATGTCGCCGATCCCAAGGAGATTGCTGCAAACAATGGAAACACTTGCACCACCACAAGCCTGTCTGAGGGAGCGCGCCTGGGTGCTGTTGCGAATTTTCAACCCCAATATCATTTTAAGACAGTAAGTCCGGGTGCTTTGTGGCCATCAGAGACATTAAACAGCTACTGGGTATGGGCATCTGCGGGGTGCTTGCTGTACAGCACATACATTAATCCATACTAAGCAACCCATCTCTGCACCTCTTTCCAGTCACACCGTCCTGCCAGAGCATCATGGCTTGATAGCAAGCTTGTAAGTACTCAACATGACTTCTGTGAAGACTCCACTGCAAGAGCATCAGCAAGTCAAAATGTCTGCGCATGAGTTCTGGTGCTTCCATTACCTTGCTTTCTTTCTGAAGTGGCGGCATGGGATGTAGCTCAGTTTACTATCAAGGTTCAGCTCAGCACATCTTCTGCACAGCTCCTGCAGCCACTTACAGTCATCGGCAAGGCACAGATACTCAGCAACAGCACTGATCAACAGTTGCCGATTGCCCACTTGATAAATTCACAATGGGCAGTTCCTCACGAGTTAGAATTGACACGTCTGTGGAGGTGAGAGAGACTACCGAGGCTTTCAGTGCATACGCCAAGAAGAAGGCTTGCTCCAGGCGGTATCTGAACCTCCTGCTCTGAGACTTTTGAAAAGATGGGATGATTGACTGGTTGATCCTCTGTGGTCGCGGGCAGATCTGTGCGGCTGTCTGATGGGTGCCTGCTTGCTCTCCTTTCTTTTTTGTTCTTAGAGACTGAGTAGCTAAAGAGGTCACCAGCGCATGTTGGGAGATAGCGTTAGGAAGGTCCTGTGAGGATTGAAAGCCCTGCTACGAAGGTCTTGGTTTCATTTCCCATATGCTTCGTTTCCCCGCAGGAAGAATCCGATTCAGTGATTCCCACATAGGGCTCCAAGAGCGATAGAGGTATGCGGCTAAAGCTCAACAACTCCTCCACACGTCTTAGAGTCACGACTCTATGTAAAAAGAAACAAGAAGCACCTCCAACAGAGGGTCTGATCAATCTTGTTGACGTATGGAGGAGAGAGAATGCCAAGGTCGGTTCATCCTAAGACCCTGAAGCAGGATTCATCTGACAGAAGAACAGACCTCAGCAGTACAATTAGAGGATAGCATGCATGGATGAACAAGAGACGCGCTTCCAGCCAGGTGGCTAACTCCCGGGACAAAGCCCCGAATATGCGGGGTTTAGTGGATTGTGGCCCATAGAAAATTGGTGTGGGAGTTTAGAACGAGGGCAACTTCATGGATCAGTGCATAATAGAGATTTAGAGTTTAGTTCGAAGGTCCACTCTATTTAATATAGAGTGCCCTGGTTAGTTCAGAGTCCCCTGCTAATTTCGACTTCTGAAGCTATCCCCACACCACGGAGAAGCTAAAACATGGATTTAAATAACGTTTCTAAACCCTAAGCCCTAATATCAAACCCTCATTTTACGCGCATGTCTCAGCATTGACTCCCCGGAACGGCGAATCCCTTCTATTATATTCGAGACATCTTTGAATGAACCAAGTTTTGCACTTCCATCGACGATTTTGATCACATTCTCGTCCTGCAGCGCAGACCTGATGCGTATCGAGTTCATCTCCATGTCATCCAGGTATCGGACCGTGACCCAATTGTCATGCGTGAATAGAAGATGGAAATGTCCACAAAATTGTGTCTTGAAGTATTCCATCGCCTCTTCATACTGTGATCGATTCAGAACGCGCCCGTTCAAAGATCAGAATGTGGCCACCACTTCCCGTTAACGTCGTTTCTTTGTAGGGAGACTGGCTGCAAGCATCACGACCTCGTGCAGTCACCCTCGGGCTCTCTGTCGCAGAGCGTCAAGTTATAGAACACACCAAGACTCAGGAGCTCGCATCTGTCAACCAGGACACACCGGGTATGCTTCTGTGCAACCCTTCCACCAGTTTGCACCTTTGCTGTACCAGTGCACCCTCTTTGGTCACTTTATGTGCGCATTGGGAGAGGCATATGTGCAAGTGCTGCATATGACATACCATGGCCGCAGCAAGAATTCAGTCGTGCATGTGGTGCCCCCTCAGGTCGACCCGCTGCGCAGCCCAAGGCCTAGCAGCCCAGGGTCTAGCAGCCCAGATCCCCAGACGAGCCAGAGCTCTCCTATTGGTCGGTAGGTCATTTTCACCTAATGAGCTCTTTCAACTCCAACACCAATGGCTTCTATTGAGCCCCGATGTCTTCATTGGCTCTGGAAATTGTGTGGCCCTGATGTGTGTGGTGGATCACTCCAGCACAACCGGGACGAGTTCGTCGGCGCGGTTGCCACGCTCTCGTTCTTCCTTGCAGCTCTGTTCTTTTCTCTCACAAGATGAACAAAGATTCTTCTTATCCTGGGCACTCTTGAATAAAGATTCTTGATGCATGTGGTGCAAAAGTGCCTGATGATTATTTGAACACGCGACTTCATTCTGTTTGGCAGGTGAGATGATTGACAAAATTGGAAGATGGCCGTCGCGATTGAAAAGGACAGGCTCGCCGCCCAGACATATGTTTTGATAGCCGGGATTGTGTTCGCGGTGTACGTAGTGCTATTCGCCAACCTCGCTCCCTTGAAGGCCCTGATGCAACTAACCTAACTTGCATCAGGGCCTTCAAGGGAGCGAGGTTGGCGAATAGCACTACGTTGAACACCTCAAGGAGGTGTATGCAATTGACATTGCACAGGTGTGACATGCCATGCTCATAGTGCCTTTGAAGCTTTGCATGGGTTATCGTATTGTTGAAACGTTGAAGATGATCTTCTGACTCAGGTGCCGGCGCATCTTTACAATATTGCCATGGCTGTGGTCCAGACACATTTATGGATCAGTAAGAAAAGATCCTAATCCTTGTGCGAAGGTGTCCACCGCTCCACCAGCCGCTCCTCGACCTGTACCAATGCAGCAGTCATTCTTTTGCTTGAGAAATTCCAGAAAGGCTTCCAAAAGCCACAACCATATTGTCCCTGCAATTTATGTCCAGTGGCCAGGACTCCTACCGTTACGCTAGACAGGCAAGCGGGAAAGTCCTGGTCCGTTGTTGGCTGCTCCTCTACATATAGCAGGAGCAGCTGCTTACCATTCTGAGCAAGTGACAGAGAGATCAGCAACAGGCACTATGTATATGAAAATGGTGAAGCTGAAATGCAATCATGAAGGAACCAGATGACACCCAAGGAAATTGCAGCATGCAGATGTAGCACCACAGGCTGTCTGAGGGAGCTTGCCTGGCTGCTGTTGCGATTTGCCGCCTCAACGTCATTCCAGGACAGCAAGCTGGGGTGTTTTGTGCCCATCAGAGACAACAAACAGTAGCTGGAATGGGCCTCTGCAGGATGCTTGCTGTAGAGCACATAATCCACCCCGTACTGAGCCCCTGGACGGACAACCCATCCCTGCACCCCACTCCTCAGTTACCCTGTTCTGGCACGATGACTTGATAGCAGCCCTACTCTGATTATCATTCCTTTGAAGACTACACCACAACAGCATCAGCGTATCAACAGAGAAACTTCCGTCTGGACTGTGTTATTGCCAGTCCTGCCATCACCTTGCTTCTGAAGTGGTGGAATGGGATGTAGCTAAATTTAAAGTCAGGCTTCAGCCCCACGCAGGTTCTCCACAGCTCCTGCAACCATCCATGGTCAGTGTCCAGATAGACCAAGTGCACAAGAGGGCTATACAACAATTAGACACACGGTATTGGAGATTGCCCAGTGAAGAATTCTGCAATGGGCAGTACCTCACAAGTCAATGCTGACACGTCTGTTGGAGTCGGAGAGACTGTCAATGCTTTCAGCGCATACACCAGGAAAAATGCTTCCTCCAGGCTCAATATGATCTGTCCGCTCTTAGACTTTGAATACACCTCTTCTCCAGTATCCTCTTTGGTCGCGTGCAGACTCCCATGAGGCTGCCTGTCTGGTGCATGCTTACTCTTCTTCCTGTTTCTCTTCTCAGCTGCAAATGAGCTGCTGCTCGCTGCACCTTCAGGGTCAGCATTGAGCCCTGTTGTCTCCTGGTTAGGGGCTTCCTTGCTGAAACTGAGCTGCTGCCTGGGGACGGGGGCAAGACATGCAATGCCTGGAGCTGCACTGACTCTTCCAGCCACCTCCACAGGGAGCAAGATATCAAGTGCCCCCAGCCTCCCCACTTGTTGAAGAGCACCCCATAAGCAGGTGCTCGTGCTTCCTGGCGAGAGAATGGCCAGAGCAGGCTCTGAGGCTATCTCTGCTTCATTTTCTTGCTCAGCTACATCAGCTTGTGCCGGAAGTATGTTGGCTGATGTATCCTCTCCTGCACACAGAGCTGTCATCAAATCGTAAACATTTGCCGACACTGGAGAACAACAGAGCACGGAGTGACGCAAACTGGCGCATCACTGGCAGAGCCAACTTTCTTCCTACCTGCGTAGGAAGACTTTTCCCCAAAGCAAGCGCTGTCCAGTAGATCTGAGACTGCTGCATCAACTTCAAGGGCAACAAGCGAGTGCTGCAACCATCCTCGTAAGTGATGACCGGCCAGTAGCGTGAGTGCCTGGCACCATATCAGTCAAGATCATTCCAGTACTTCGATCCGGAGGATAAGAGATAGAAGAACATGAAGATGGACCCTTCCAAAATATTGGGCACACTTCTTGAGGATTGCAAGCCCTGCGATGGTCGCCACGTCTGCGTTTTCTTGTTCCGAAGCTAGTCATGTAAGTATTTTCGCCAGCCTTTTCTCCACAAGGGATCCTGAGCTTGATCGATTGAGTCACTCACAGCATTTTATTGTTTTCCAACACCTTCAGCTAGCATAGGTGCAGTCTTGGTTGCCTGCACTTCCTCTTGACTCCACTCTGGGCCATCACCCCAAACCCTAGCTTTCATTTCATATCAACCTTCCGGAAGCTCAAGCCGCTGTCGATCGTCAACAATCAGAAGTGCTCACCAAAAACAATTATAGGCCTAGAAGTCCTTATGGCATGCAGAATCATCGATCCTGCCTGCTCCGCAGTGCTGGTTGTCCGAGCACCTGCAGCTTTTACCGCTTCTCAACTATCCCAACTTTGGGACTCCCAAGACTTGAGACTTTCTCTAATCATAAAACACACGAGTTTCTTTCCCTTAGTCAGGACCTGTCGATGTCTGCATCAGCTGTGGTTGTGAAGTCTTTGTGTGAATGAAGGATGTTGAATGGGCTCAGGGGTCGGTCTGGAATTTTGCCAGACTGCTTCCACAGGAGTGCCTTTCAATAGTTGCTGCCTGACAATGTGGAACGGTCAAGTTGCCAGATGTTGCAGGCTTGCAGATGCCCCAGAGCATCAACTTGCAGTAGTACGCCATCGCCGACATGTCTACATCAGGCAATGCAAGCCAAAGACCTTCATGCAACAAAAGAGCGACCGATTCAGTAGCTCTGCGCCCAGCGTAAGTCCACATTTTGAGTCTTCAAGTTCAACTTTTTTACGTCTTTGGCACAAGTGCCCTGTGATTGACCATTCAATGAAAGTTGTAGGAATCTGGCTCGGTGAATAATTTCAAGTCGGCACATGAGCAGCCTCACAAGAAAAGCCCACAGTTCGTACGAAACTGGCAAATTTGCGCCATCCACTGACAACTTATGGACATCAACCCAGGACTCTATTCAGTATGGCTTAATTGTGAAACCCTGTACAATACTTGGTGCTGATTGTGTGATACCAGGTGCATCTCCGAGGCAGAAGAAGGAACTCATCCAAAGTGCAGCTATAATTGTGATGTTCGTTTATTCATTTATTGATTCCTTTGTCAGCTACCTCCCAAAGGTGAGGAATTCTTTCCCCTTTATGCCCACTCTGATGTTTTGCTAGACAGAATAGAAGCATTATACACATGTATCTGTGCCGACGAATAGTACCTTGCTGATAGACTTGCAATTGTGCACCACTTCATGGAGGAATTTTATTGAAATCTTTCTGCATTGCTCTTGTGGCAGGGAGCAACCATATGCGCGAGAGCTTGGGCATCCGAGGTATTGCAGCCACTGTTAAATGGATATCTCAGACTCAAAATCTGTCTCTCAGGAAGGGATGGTCCTTGAGATCGTGATAACCAGGAGATGGACCTGGAAGGGGAAGGTGTAGCATCTGAAAGTGTTGAAGCAATGCATAACAAGACAGGACTGCGAACACTGGGCATTTGAGATCTGAGCCTCCTCGTGAGGGCTGGGGGCTGTGAGATTGTTTCCATGTATATATCTTGTGTGTTGTTGTGTTTGGAGAAATCTTTCTGCGCAGCGTTGTTGGTCTTGTCTGTTGATGCATGCATATGGCATTTATGGGGGACAGCTTGAAGCAGCATATGCATGGAATTTTAAGATCTTTCTAAGATGAGGTGCCGTGCCGGCAATCCAAGGACAACAGCTCTGGATCCACATGGTCAAGGGTACTAGCCGGATGTTCTAAGATACTACTGGTCTCAAATCGAGGACTGATGTTTAGGAGAAAGTTTTCCTGGCTGGAGACTGAAGACTTGAGCTGCAGCTTCACTCAGCTTCCTTTTAGCACATTATCAACCCTCAGAAATCTTCGGAGATGTAAATGAATTAGAGGAGAGCCTAGAGGAGATGTGTAGTTTGAAATATGTGCATTTCGGGGAGACAATCTGCAGTCGTGTGACAATCTGCTTAAGCACGATAACATTCACGGGATCAAGTGGGTGCAGGTGCTGCCCCTCATCCAAACCCGAAATGCAGCTTTGTCATCAGTGACAAGAGCAGAACACATCTGTTCTTGGTCTCCAATTGGATCAGACAACAGAGAGTCATTCTTTCCTGCTGATGGGGCTGTTGGTGTTTTGCTCTTGGCTCGGCTGCTGGCACATGTGTACATGTTGTACAACGATCATCCCTCATTCATTCGACCCGAATCTGAAGACGGTTACTTGGTTTGTTTTCCTTAGAGGCATGTGTGTACGGCATCAACGTTAATTGGTGACAGGCCACTGGCACCTTATCCATGATCATGACCGGCAACTTTCCCTCACACGAAGCTTATCTCCTTAATGCCAATCCAAGGTGCCAGGAGTGGACATCTGCAGGGAAGGTGTGATGGCTGTCAGACCTCCACTTCATGATAGACTGCTGCCAAGAAAGGGATGGCATGCATGCAAGCATGCCCAACTGTGAAAAGCATGAGTGCAGTCATGTATGACTTTCAGAACGCCTTCATACATGCACACGTGTCAGGTTCTTTGTGCAGGCACCCCACGCGGAACACCATCCAGCCAGCAAGCAGCCCTGTCTCTCGAGTGCTCAACAGCAGGTGCTGATGTTTTTGTGGAATTTTTAAGCCCTGTCTGGCATACTGGCTCGTGCCCACACTATTCCTGACAGTGCTTGAATGCAGCTGCCTAAGGTCACCCAACTAAATTTTGTCGTCTTGTGCTTCAAGGCCCATGGGCAGCAACAGGTCAAGGGAACAGCTGAGATGTTTTTCATCCTCAAGCAATGCTCTGCTTTAACCCACATCTGGTGAAGGAGGATCTGCCTATGGCTCACACACAGATCATTTACCGCAATTGTCCTTGAAAAAGGCCCTCTTGATGTCTTGAATCTGCACGTTGCACACGTGCTCCCTCTGTAGACTGAAACGTGCATGTTGCCTGTGTTCGCAGATGACATCCGCGATATAACTTTGGGAAGCGGTCAGCCAGATTCCAAGCCAAGCGTGACGTGGCTTTCTACTACTTTGTGGCCGCGAGCATCTTTCGGCTGATAGCTCTCCTCTACCGCAGCTATGCCCCCACCAAGGACGCCCTAGCAAACAGGCCTGACAAGCTTTTTCATCCCCTTCCTGCAGGTTCACTGTCCTCTCTGTCACAGTGTCCTTCTGGTGTTCATCGCATGCTCCAAGTCTAAAGGTCTGGACAGCTTGTGAACATGTCTAATTTCCCTGAGGTTGCCTTGTCGCGCAGATGCTGATGAGCTTTTTTTGCCTGTGCTATCTGGCCCTGGAGTTCATGCTGTGGCGCCTCCTGCGAACTGCAGAGCGCTGCTGCGGACACGCATGGAAGATGGCGGTGCTGGACTCAATAAACAATGCGGGGCTCCGAGTGCACTCGGGGACCTCCCCAAGCTCACTGTGCATTCTACCCCACACAGCTTGAAGCCTCGTAAAATGGAGAGAACAAAGAGTGTGAGTGATGCCCCAAGTGTCGCAGACTTTGCCAGCAAGATGACACGCGTGCTTGCATGCACTGTCTGAAGACATCCGTAAGAAGCCTCAGAGCAAAGGTCCAGTCTGGTCATCAATATTGTAGTGGCAGTCGTTGGATTGCAGTCATTGGATAGCCATGCTGTGATGTCGACTGCCATTCATCTGCTAGCACACAGGTGCCTGCTACCTGCCAGAATACTCATTGAATGTGCAGAATGCAAGAGCCAGTGTCTGTAGCTACATGTGGCCTCAACAGCCAATTATGAGCTAAGCTGAGAGATGGGTTTGCACAGATAAAGGCTGGATTTCAAACGTGTATCTGTGAGACATTTGCAACTGGACCCGTTCAATGTCACCATGCGCATCTTGTGTTGCACATCAATCACTGAATGAAACTTCCCCTCTCGGGCATGCCACCCAAAGTATGGCAGTGGATAGCGTGATGCAATCCTCAAAATGCATACGATATGATCTTCACCATCGAGTTCAGGATCCAGAAGATTTGCCCGATGTTGAGGCTGCAGCGCTCACACACCCAATGTCCATATCCTCTAAAATCTCTCTGCAGAGTTATTGCTGGTCCGTCTCTGAGAACCAGGAGGCGTCCATCACCCTCAAGTAATACTTTGCCAGGCGCCGGACCTGTGCAAGATCACACGTGATCATCTCAGGGCCACAGCACCGTGGAGATGCCATGAGAAACATACCATACCATCACTTGGAATTGCAAAAGTGCTACACACAAATAAACCAGTCAGGGGCGCGTCAGTGAAGGAGGCCTGCCTTGTCAAAGAGCTCCGACTGGCCCTGTTCGAAGCCGCCAGCCAGGTCATGGATCTTGTGGCACACACGGATGCTGGCGGCCAAGTGGCGCAGGCAGGCCTGGTGCGGCAGTGCAGCCTCCTTCTCCAAGCTCGCCACCTCAAACAACACCCTGCACAATAGCCAACCACAAAATTCTCTCCAACATGTCACCCCCACACGACTCTGCTAGATGTGCAAAACTACTGAGCGCATTCTGTGTGCCAGATTCTGCGCTCCAAGGCCCTTGCGCATGGATCACACCCAAGCCTTCCGTCACCACGCCATGCCTGATAGAATTGTTGGGCCTGTCAACAAGAACCAAGCTGCTCAGCAAGCTAGTGAGCTTCAAAGTCCAGCGCTCAAGCGCCTGGCAGTTTTGTCTGGAGCAAGCAAGGCTCACCGTGACATGTAGAGGGTTGCGAGATGGAGGGAATTGACGCGCACGGCGCGGTAGACAGATCCATCCCAGGGGATGCCCTGCAGCTGCCAGTGGGCCTCAGACGCGCCCTGCTTTGCCTCCAGCAGCTGCGTCCTGCTGCGGACCCTGTCGACAAATGCCTCGATCTTCTGCACCTCCTCATCGCATGTCCCCTGCAGCACATCACAAGCCTTGTCAGATCGCTTCCTGCTCCGCACGATAACACATCAGAGGTATCATTACATTGTATGCTGTTCCTGCCAGAACAGGCAAGGTGTGTCTGCACGTTAAGGCTGCTACATGTCCTACACCTTCATGGACCTGCCAGATCCAAGTATGGCACTATGCAACGTAGCCATGTTGTGCTGAGAGGAGCTGGGCAACAGAGGGATGGTCCTCCATGCATGCCATTAAAAACAAGGGGCCTCTGGGCTCTGCACAGGTGTGCAGGGAGAACTGAAAGCCCACCCGCTGCAGAAGCCACTGCTTCTCCTTGCGCGCATACTGACTCAGCTCGCTATAGGCCTCCCCCGCCTCACAGAGAGAGTCCCATTTGCCCTGAAGCACAGCATGCACACTGGTCACCCAACATCACCATTCTAGAAGTCAAAACACACACAAGGTTGCCAATGTAAGTTGTTGGACATTTTCTGTATAAGTGTTGATATCGGAGCGCTTCCCACTTGTTGAAAGTTCTAGCCAATCTCATGCCAGCGGACAAGGGGAGCAGAAGCTTACCTGGGGCCAAGTGGGAAACTGCTCAAGGACGGCTGCTTCATTGGCCATGATGACCCCCAGCCGCGCACTGGTGTCTCTCACATACTCCACCAGGGTGGTCATGTCGGGCGCAGTAAAGTCTGATATCGCCTTCGACAGGCTGGTGATCAGCGAAGCATGCCGCTCTGCATCCGACTTCACCAGCTGCAACACAGCAAATAAACAACACATCAGTACTTTCTAAAGTGGAGGCCCGATGTAAGGGCTCATTGTAAGAGTTGCAGAGTGCCACAGCACCATGTTCATGACAAATCCAATAGTACAAATACTTCCTCAGATTGTTGTTGAGAAGCAAATGCACAACAGGGCTGAAATCTTGTCATAGCTCAGAAGTCAAGTTGGTGGTGCATCTGACATACCTCGAGCTGCTCGGGCGAGAGGTTAGCTGCCGAGTGTACGCTCTTGTCAGTGGAGGCCTCAGCTGCATTGCTGAAGTCCTGCGTCATGAAGCCGCAAGGGATCGCCTTGGACAGCTCGCTGAAGAGGCTCTCAACCTGTATTACCAGCACATGCAAGCTCAAACACTCACCTCACATCCGAGATGCACTTCTCTATCTGCATTGCATGTGGACATCTGAGTCACGTATGGTGTCAGATTGACACCAAATGACCAAGCTCACGCACAGCGCGCATTGATCCCCCTTCTCCCTCTATTGCCACAGAAGAGAAGAGTCAGGAACCTGAGGGTTCGGCTTGATGCGCTCAGCAGGGGTGGCGGCGTCAGCCAGCGCACCGCCGCCCTTGCCTGGCATGTGCCGCCTCAGGCGCGAGCTGGCGCGGTCCCTCACCCGCTTCCCTACAGACCCCGGTGCTGAGCCGCCTGCCAAAATGCCAACATTTCAGATCTTCTGTGGACGACCAAAGCAAAACATGCAACGCAACATGCACTCGTTGGAATCGGTGAAAAGCGCAAGATGAACAAGCCAAAGAAGAGAGTGATGTCAAGGCAGCTAGATCAGTGGTACTCTGCATTACAGCTCTGTCCTTTCATACGTGAACAGTGTACGGCACACCTGCGTCTTCGCGCGGTGTGCGGGGAGTCAGAAGCACAGGCCTGTCCTGCTCTGGCAGAATTTTGGCCGCTGGCAGCGCTTCGACTGCCGCCGAGTCCCCGCCGGCTGGGCCTGCACTGCCTTGCCCCAACGGTGTTCCCACACAAGGCTCCCCGGCTGACTCAGCAGTGCTTGGCTGCGCTGCCATGCTCACCGCCTCTTCCTGTGAGCTGCTTTCCGTAGCAAAGGCCGTTCCTGCTGCTTGATCGGCGCTCACAAGCGGAGCCTGCGCCACCGCAGCAGCAACCGGACGTCCGATAGATCTGGAACTCTCCAGCACGGCAGGCTCTGCCGCCTCCTGTTGCTGTGGGAGCGGCACAGTGGTGTCTTGGGCAGGCGGGGCTTCCTCTGGGGCTTCAGGACGCGCTGGCGCTGGCTCTGGCGAGCTGTCTTTGGCCTCCCTGATGGCGTCAGCTGACAGCGGCGTTGCCTGGGGCTCTGACTGCCTGCGTCACCACAGCCCAGGCCTTTGTTAAAGTCATGCAAGCTGCATGCGTGCAGGCGTGCAAACCATCAAGCTCACAATATAGCCCATGCAGAAATACAGCCAAATCTTTATGTATTGCAATTATAAGATGCGTTATAAGATGTGGTTTCCGCCGAGGTATGGCAATTGTTTCAATAGCCGGGTGCTCTTCTCGCACCTTCCCCGTTTGAGGAAGGAGAATCCCTTCTTCCGCTTTGGAGCCTGCTCCTTGGCAGGCTGCTCCTGCACAGCTGATTCAGGCTCTGCTGCTGAAGGCTCTGCCTGCCTGCCCTGCTCCCTGTCCTCGTCGTCCCTGTTCTGAGCCCCAGGAGCCGCTGTGTCAACGTGTATGTCTGCTGACGGGGCCATATCCATATGCTGTTTCTGGGGCGCTCCAGCAAGCTCCTCTGCAGCTGTCTCTGTCGCCGCTTCAGAGCCTCTTGCAGCAGCAGGTGCTGGCTGCTGAGGCTCGGGAACATCCCTGACCGCCTCAATTGGTGCTGGTCTCGGCTGAGGGGCAGAATCCTCAAGAACAAGAGTAGGCGCAGCTGCCTTGACAGGTAGGGGTGGGGGCTCTGGCTGGCTCCCTGCTCCTTTTGGAACCGCAGGCTTTGCATCGTCCACAATCTGCAGATTGGGAACGTGCATCTTTTAGCCGACTATGCCCCTGCAGAAGTTCAAAGCGGCTCTTTGCTTTCAAGGAATGTGATGCCAATCTTTTGTACGTTAGCACAGCATAAGCATGACATAGCGCAGTACCTCCTCAGATAGCGGGTGGGATGAGGGTTGGAGCTCCTCTGAAGGAGAGGCCTCAGGGATGGAGGGCAGGGGCACTGGATTTGCGCTGTGACACTGCTCCCTGCAATGCCCCACCAGCGCCGCAGTGGCCTCTTGCTGCGCCGCACTGCCAGGCGTGGCGTGTGGCTGCACCACCTTTGTCGGCACAGCCACATGATGCAGGCAGGCCAGCAGCTGGCGCACCACCTCATCCTGCAATGTGCAGGCACCACTGATCAACTATCTCAAACATGCCATACATATGCATTGGTCTTACAACTGCCTCCATTGGCAGGTGTGACAGGTCCATCAGCTAATAAACAAACTACTGCAGGAGTGTTGACAGGCTGTTGAGGTGATCGTGAATGGTGTTGACAGTGAAGCTGCAGAGCCGGGTAATGAGCTGCTGCAAGGGCACAGCGAGAGAGAGAGAGAGAGAGAGAGCGCGCGCGCGCGAAAGAGAGAGTGTCGCACCGAGAGGGCACTGGCTTGGGCTTGTTGGGGCTTGGTCTTCAGCACAAAGCGCTCCATGTTGGTCAGCTCCTCAATGCCCTCCTCTATCACGTCCAGCTGCATCTCTGCAGTCTCCACCTGCAGAACACCGACACACTTTCGCTTCCAGCTCTGAATACAATGTCTCTGGGATGTGTTTTGTGCTCTGCAATCACATGCAGGGCTGCAAAGCTTGCTGACAACATTACCTGGGTCTTGGCGGCTTCAAGGGCATTAGCAGCCTCCAACGTCGGGGGTCCCTTCTGCAGGCGAGACTCCAGGAGCGCCGCCTGCTTCTCCAGTGATGCATTCCTGGACCTGTACTGGGCCAGGTTGCCCTGCAGCTCTGCCCTCAGAGCCTTCGCAGTGTGCAGAACATCTGTGTAGCTCTGCTGCTTCTTTGGTTCCCGCTTCTGCCAGACACACTCTCTTATCAGTCCCTTTGGAACCAGGCCTGCAGACTTCAATATCGCACAAGATAGTCCAAGTACTTGTTGCGCCACTGCGGAATGCACAAATCAAGCCCTGACGGTATATCTCCAGATTGCATGCTCATGGGAAGGGACATGCACACCTCTGTAGGAGGAGCGGGACCATAGGGATTTGGAGCAGCAATAACGCATTTGTCCTCTGGTGCAACATTCTTGGCACCTTTATCCTTGCCTGCGCTCAGGCATATATGTCAAACTGGATCTCCCTTCAGTCAACAGACGCGTTGCTGACATTATTCTAAAATTTGCACAAACAAGTGACAGCGCTTACTCTTGCGCTTGAAGAGGGATTTGAAGCCGCCAGACTTGCTCTGCTTTGGTGGGGCCTTGCTGACAGGCGCTGCATGCCCCCCAGCCTGCACGTCCCGCTGCTGAGGCTGTGCTTTCTGCTGCTCCGAGTGCATGAGGGCGGCTGCAATGCGCTCGGCCTCATCTTTGGAATAAGGTGTGGAGGCCAGGGATGACTGTTGAGTTTGCCCATCTCCTTCCCTGTACCAAGCCCTTTCATTCTACTCTATTCCTCCAGGTTTCACCAGGTTCAAGCACTCAACACCCGGCTGCGGGACAAGTGCGAAAGAAAACAACTTAGCACACGAGTGGCCACACCTCAACATGCTGGCTTCCCTGGTCGACTCGGCCAAGGCGAGAGCCAGAGCCTCCTGCTCCAGTTGCTCAGCCTCCTCATTGCTGAACTTCACGTACAGGCCGTGCTCAGCAAAGTTCTCCAGGACAGCCAGCTGACACAGGTGGGCTTCCGTCTGGGGATGGCGCAATTCCACTGTCGCCGTCCCTCCCTGCCAAAAAGCAAATGGGTTTACGCTTGACATGCTGAGTACTTACTGTGATGATCCAGAAGATGAAAAGGGGGGAAGCATCGATCATTGGCGCAGCCTAATGGGCCACAGAAGACACTCACTTTTGGTGGTGCTTCAGGCTCGTCATCTGATCTGGCCATGCGCAGATGGTCGTCTACGACCTGCCTTTGATCTGACACACGCATCGTATTACAGGAATATTGAACAGTGCTCCATGCAATGCGTCCTGCAAGTCACCACAACGTCCTTTTGCGCTCCTTTAAACACCTTGACTGTCGATTTGCACCAAATTTAACAATAGATCAGAATTGCTAGAAGGAGTTGTTCAAAAGATGTTTACTTCTGCAAATATTTGCAGGCGCTGGAAACCTTTCGAGAGGATTTCCGGGACTATTTACAACGATCTGGTTCTGGTGATCTACTGTTTTTGTAGTGTATCTACCTCGTGAGGGTGGCTCAAGCACGCTCCAAAGGTACTAAAATGAAATGTTGGTCACGTACACATGTCAGCTGATCATTTTAGGATCTCAGAATAATACTAAGTCATTTACTAGGACGCAGTGTCACACGTGATATTCGGGCGCATTTGTCGCCGAAGTATTCTTCTGCTCGTAGCACTAATGACTGGTCTCTTAACCGGAATCTCTGCCTATGACCTGAGCAGGCTCGACCGCAATTGCTTTGACAACTTTGATCTAGCTGGCAAGCGTCGCAAGGTTGCAAGCACCCCATTGCCTCACAATTCAAATCCCCTTGCCATGCAGCATTTTCAGGACTGCATGAGGCTGAGACAAGCCCTTCCAGTCAATCAACTCTTACAGAGCGTAAAATTATTGGCAGTGAGCTCAAGCAAGGATCACTTTGGATCGATCTGACTTGTTGACAACAATAGGACTTCGATCTGGCGTTTGCATAAAAGTGATATCCTCCCTAAGGTATCGTTAAGGCGAGCGTCGCATAAATCCATGAATTTTTCGCGATGTGGGGAACAGTACTAGGCATAGCCGCAGCAGCATCAGCTCTTGCTTTTGCACAGACGCTTATACAAGCGTCCAGAGAGCAGGGCCAGAGCACCCCAGAGAAGCCGCATCAGCTCCCTGAGCCTGACGAAGGCATCAAGTCGTCAATCAAGAAGGTTTCGAACACACCCCTTTGGCAAGAGGGCGCTACAAAGGAGGCCTTGGAGAGGGCTAGGAAGATTGGCTCCAGGCTAAAGAAGTAGCATCCTGCCAGCCTTGTGCTCGTGACGAGCTGTGCATCAGATGAATCATCTCAGCAATGCCAGACCTCAGCGCAGCTGCCGCTTGGCTTCATACACTAACAACCCCCGCAAGGTCCAGCTCTCAGTGCTCTATAAGGCCAGCCTCAAGAGGCACGGTTCCCACCCGCAGAGAGTGACAGTTCCTGTAAGCTCCGCTGTCAGACTACACAGCACGTCAGGGTGCCGTCCTGGAAAAAGGGGCAACAGGAGTCAGCATATCCGCTGCTCAGCAGCTGCGGGCACAGTCGACCGCACGCTGATGGTCAAGTTCAGTCTGGCACACACGTCCAATCAGCTGGACCTCAGCGAATGCGGCCTGACATCAGTGCCGCAGGAAGTTTTGGAGCTCACAAATCTAGAGGTACATCTTGGCATGCCCACAAGCTCAACTATCTCCTTAGTGGGACCAGCTAACTGTCTTTGGGCATGACCTGACACCAGAGTTGCCCTGAGAATGTACTTGGCCGTTCAGGAGCTAAGCTTGGCTGGGAATGATCTGCGGGATGTTCCTGAAGACATTTGCAACCTGAAAAAGCTACGCAAACTGCAGCTGTCAGGCAACCGCCTAAAGAGCCTGCCTGAAAGCCTGTGCTCCCTGTCCAACTTACAGGTAGTAGTGATGATCCCTTGAAAGACATCTCAATGTCCATTCCAGCAGCATAATATTTGATAGCAACGAGTTAAAATCACTACCTTGACGGTGATTGACGCGGAAGCATGTGTTGGGCAGGGCCTCTTCATACATGGAAATATGCTCAAAGCCTTGCCGGATGCTCTGGGATCCCTGTCAGCCTTGAACACGCTCTCAGCAGTGGGAAACCATTTGGAGGGGTTGCCTTCCTCCATTGGTGACCTTCTCGAACTCAGGCAGCTAGAACTGGCTGGCAACAGGCTGCAGAGTCTTCCAGAATCCTTGGGAAGCCTGGGTGCGTCTGATCACATTAAAACAAGTAAAAAATTTGTCTTTGATTTGAGACGTCAATGAGGACTGACTGCAATTATCAGCTTTTGGCTATTATGCGCAAAGCTGATCAGAGGTTCACAGCTGCAGGCAATCTGGAGAAACTGGCGTTGAATGGGAACCAGCTTGGTGCTCTCCCTGCATTGATAGGGGGTCTCACACGCCTGAAAAAGCTAGCTTTGCAGGAAAATTCATTGACAGAGCTGCCCTCAATCACCTCCCTGGAGGTGACTTGGTGTTCCCTTATACAAGCACATTGGGCCTTCATTTTGGTGTGTCTTGGAGGAATTGCCTATCAGCAATCTGCTGCAGATCTGCATAGAAATCAATGACATGTTCGGACCGCAGGCTTTGGATGACCTCAATTTAGCAGACAACAGCTTGACTACGCTCCCCAACGAAGATTGGACGAGCTTGAAGAGGCTCAGGATCTGCATGCTGTATGGCAACCAACTCCAGGCTATCCCCCCAAGCCTCATGCAGGCCCCAAAGCTCAAAGGTTGCGCCCTCCCCAGCCCTTCCCATTCTCCAATTGCCAGCAATCATTCCTTTGCCAGTGCCCCAGCTATGGCATTTTTGTTGCCCACGCTCACTTAAAGCGCCCCGTTGTAAAACCCTGACCCCTTTCCGCCGGCAGACGATGACTGCATTACTGGTGCTGCGCAGAGGTGTGGGCCGAGGCAAATCCGCTGGGAGCAGATTCTGTGGCAGCGTTGGCGCACAGCGTGGCGAGCATGCCAGCAGAGCGGGAGGTTGTGCTGGGCCTGGACGCAGAGCAGGTGCAAGGCTTGGACTCCGGCGTGCGCGGCGCGGCCGGGCGGCGGCTGCAGGTGGGCGAGGTCATGGGCAGCGGGCGCGGCTACTTCAAGCTGCGCCGCGGGCCGCCCGGGGACATCGTCAACGCGGCTGGCGTCACTGGTGTGCACATGTTCTTTTGCTGCTCGCAAATGCCCACCTAGCTGGTATTCTGCTGTGTGCAGCGGCAAGTCATGCACTCCAATGATGCATACATTGGCTTGCCTTGCTGGTGTGCTGGTATATGGAAGCGCAAGTCATTTCTGGGCTACATGGCAATGCTAGATGTAAGGGCTCGCCTCGCTGGTGTATGACTTCATTTGCATGGAGGTGTGGCTTGCTCGGCGGGTTGTGAGGCAGTGCAGGATGCTGGCATGTTATGACACTGCGCAATGCTTGTTGATTACGGAGGGTTCGACCTGCTGTGTGCAGGGGAGCGGGTGCTGGTGGTGTCGTTTGCGAGTGCGCCGGGTGTGCCCAACTGGGGCGGCCTGGTGGAGCGCATCCGCAGGGCGGCGCAGGAGCCTGCCCACAAGTGCTTCGACGTCCTCTATGTTGTTGATGCAGGTCGCTCGTGGTACAATGGTGCGTGGTCCTCCCCCTGAGCTTAACTCTTTGTGAGTACTTGTGAGCCCAGGTGCTTGTGAGCTCTTCTTCATACTTGTGATCCTCTTCGTTGCACTTCTTGAAGAGTAAGAGTATCGGAGTGCTTGTGAACTTCTGGTGTGCAGCTCTTGAAGTGCATGCAGAATGGGCTCGTCATGCAGGTCTGTCGCTGTCACAGCTGCCCAGCTTTTGGGCCTGGCCAGCTGCCACAGAGCATGCCTCTGCAGGGGGTAGCTGACAGGATGCCAGTGGTCTCATGCAGGTGGGGACAGTGAAGAGTTTCAGTGCTGGTGGGACCGGCTGGAGGCGGTGACCACCCAGTACAATCGGGTGCTAATGCTGGGCGACTCCATGGGCGCCACCGGGGCTCTCCTGTTCTCACCTCTTGCCACTGCTGTGCATGCCTTCACGCCTCAGGTGCACTCCGCTCGTTTCCTACTGCTCTACCGGACAGAACAAGCAGCAAAAAGAGCAACAGCCCAGAGCATTCATGCACAACCAAGGAGCGAAGTTCATACCCTGCTAAGTGGGGTCCTGCTCAAAGCGAAACTAATAAGCAGTTCCGAAACAGCAGCATGTGGGTGCATCAGGTGGATTTCATGTCGGCGTCTCTGCGGCCCGGCCGGGACAGCGGCTGGCTCAAGCGTCTGACCGACCGCGTGCTGTCAAGCGTGGCCGCCTCGAACGCCAAAATCACCACGTACTCCAGCAGCTGGCTGCATGACCTGGATCAGGTGCCTCCAATTTTCACCATCCCTGCTGTTCTCCCTAGCTGTCTATTGGATGTGAAAAATCCCTAGCTTCCTGCTTTGCCATAATCCTCCACTGTGTGAACAGCCCCACCTGGATCATGGGAGCACCTGTCCTGTCTGCTGCTGTCCTTCTGAAATCATGGATGATTGCAGCTGCGTGTCAGCGCATCTGTGTGTGCAGGTGCGGCTGGTGCCGCAGGAGCAGGCGCAGCTCAAGGTGTACAGCGTAAACACGCACCGCCTGGCCTTCTACCTGGACACCAGCGGCAAGCTGCTGCCGCTGATCCAGGGCGCCCTGCTGCAGGAGATGGGGTTCCCCTCCGGGAACATCCGCCTGCACAACCTGCTGTGAATGCCGCATTGTGACCCTGGCTGGAGTTCATGATGCGTTCAATGCAAGTCAAGACCTATGTTGTGGTTGACTTTACCATCATGGAATCCACCATGAACTTCACCATTGAATGGTTGTAGGCAGGTGCCACCGGCGGCTGTGCCTTGTACTTGCTGCTGAGGACTGGCAGATCATGATGTTTGCCAGCATGAAATGCGCCATTTGCGGCGGAATGAAGCTGGAACTCCTGTAATGCTGTGTGACCTTCCTCCAAGAGTTTCTGCCAGCAGGATTCTAGCACCTTCGTTCGTGACACTACCCTACGACCTATGCACTTAAAACCCTTTTGCAAGGGTCGAACCCTTCAGCTCCCACAGCTCCTCTGCCACTTCGCACCAGGTGATATTACAGAATTGCTCATCACGAAAACTCGCTTCACAGACCCTGGTGACCTTCCTAGAGGCTTCAAAGAGGAGCTGAACGGTCTGCATCACCATGTCGAAGCAAATTTCGCTACCGATTGGAAACAAGAATGGTAAGAAAGAGATGGACTCTGATTATGGCTGTGATGCATTCCTGCTTTCCATGCGCCAACTGACATATATTCAAACACGCAGTGGAAGATTTGCTCTTGTGGAGGGATCCCAAGAAGAGCGGTGTTGTCTTTGCTGGAGCAACTCTTGCCTACCTACTTTTGGAATGGAGCCACTTCAGCCTGTTGAGCATTATTGCCAACACCCTCCTCATAGCCGTGAGTGTGGCTTTCCTGTGGAACAACATCGCCAATTTCACCGGCCGGTGAGCTTCTTGTCCCTTCCGGCTCCACTGCTCTGGACTAGGCTTGCAGTCAGTGACAAGGCGCTGAAACGGTGTGTCTGGTTTTCCTGCAGGCCGGGGGTGCCCGTGCCGGATGTCGTGAGGCACGGAGTGAGCGACAGTCAGATCAAGAGCGTGGCTGAGAAGGTCACGACCATCTTGAACAAGTTGCTGGGTGGGTTCCTTCGCCATCCGGGTCGGATTCTAGGCGCGCGTGTTTTCGGTGAAGGGCGTTGTACGCTGAATTGCATTTGAAGCGCTTCTGACACTTTCGTTTGCACTTGCAGCTTTTGCAAATCGTGTCTTCACCGGCAAGGAGGTCGTCCTGTCCGCCCAGGTATGGTTTCCTGGTCGATCCTTGTTCATGGCTGAAAGTGTGCACTTGAGGTTATTGAACCGGAAAGAGCGTGCTTTATGTTGCTACAGGTGGCTGCGGCTCTTTTCCTGATCGCCAAGGTCGGGAACTGGTTCACTTCTCTGGGGCTCCTCTTCACACGTGAGTCTTTCGGCCCTACTTTCTTGCAGGATCTCTTGTGGGCTGGGCACCTGGAATGGGGCTTGATCGCTCATCATTATCATTCATTTTCTGTCTACAGGACCAAGGAATTCCTTCAGCCACTGTGAATGGCATTTGTCTTGTAACAATCTTGTTTGCCAGATCTGGTTGTCTTCTGATCCCATCTGACAGAAGCTGTGCGTGCAGTGGTGGTGCTGGCCTTCACGCTGCCAAAGGCTTATGAGCTAAAGAAGGATGATGTTGACAGCCTGGCTGCCAAAGCCCACCACCATGGCAAGGTGAGCATAGGTCACCTGTTGCACTGCATTATGCTCTGTCATTCAGAAGGCCTTTCTCGTGATTTTTGGGCATGCAGGCTCCAGGAATTTTGCACAGACAAGGCATGGCTGCATACAATGAAATCAGGCTTCTCCCTGCAGGACTGGTCAAATGAATGGTGATTCACTTGTTTTCGTGTGGTGCCAGGCCAACTACACCAAGTATGTGGAGCCCTATGTGAACAAGATCCCCCGCGCATCCACATCAACCTCTGCAGCTCCCACCAAGCCGACCACTTTCGAGTCAACAGCCGATTCTGTGCCAGCTGAGCCGAAGAAGGTCATCTGAGCTGCTGTGGCTGTAGCTGGGTTCCGAGGTTGGGTTGTGGACAGAAGCGCTTGTGCTAGTGCACAAGTGCCACGCCAGGGCGGGTTGTGAATCCTCCAAAGGGCCCATGAGAGCCTACAGCGAATGAGGTCAACAGCAGGATCTGTTTGTCATTTTTGACACACTGCCCATTCCTGAGATGATCTCACTTGAGATCGCTGGCACACTGGCAGTTGGTGTGTGAGGCTTGTTTGTTCCGGGCAGCATCATAGACTCGTGTACCATAGACCTTTTGACCAGCCTCACGAAGGGGCCGCTGTAGTGCAGCTGAATTATGGAGCAGGTGATGGTGGATGGGGTTGATAGTTGGAGTGGTGACTATTGTTGTTGATGTAGTAATCTTACTGCTGAGCCAAGCCTGTTTCTAACATGCAGCAGTTTGGGCTCATTATTGCCTGCCTGAGGCACCTCACAGGCCCAGATCTGTGATGGATTTCTCAGACTGCTCTTGTGAATGCTCTTCTCCAACGGTTCTCTGTCCCATAGGATGTAAAATTACTATATCATGGGCTTGTGCCATCGACAGAATGAGCTAATGCCTACAAATGTGAGACAACAAGCGATGTGGATGTTGAGACTGCACGGATGGATGATCTTCACCGGCGTACTCCATTCCACAAGATGTGATTTTTATATTACAAGGCTGTGCCGCCGACAGAGTGTGCCAGTCTCAAAAGTTCTCAGCCTGCGAATCTAGGATATGACCTACCTTGTCATGTGCAGCCTGAAAGGATCAGCTCGACGACACGCCAAAAACGCCCGACAGAACGTGGTGATGGAAGTAAGACAGTGATCCCCGGTAGCAAACCCCTCATTATGGTGGAGAAAAGGGGCCTCCAGCAGAATTCCGTTGCAACGAATTGCGATTCAGCAGTGAACAAAGCACATTTGCATCACTTGCATTCGGTTCAATCCTGCTCTTCTGTCAGTGATCACATCAAAGCAGAACTGGACTGCAAGAGTGTGGCGTATCAAAGACATTAGCCTTTGGCAGGGGAAAATATCATTTTTCTGACAGCCTGCTCAGTCAGCTTGCATGGATCACTCCATAATGTAGCAATCTGAACTATTACATTGAGCCTGGTTTTTACAACCGCCTATTCTGGCTGAGACACAGCAGCATCGTGTGCTTCAATGTCAGATCGTGTGTTACCAATGTCTTCAAGAAGTTGTTGTGGGTGCCCCATTCTTCACCATAATGAGGGTACCCACAACAAGACATTGGTAACACATGATCTGGCATTGAAGCACACGATGCTGATGTGTGCTGTTCCTGAGAGGGGAGTGAGTGGTAGTTGCGAATGAGAGTAAAATTTAAGGCTGATTTTCGACCTGGAAGTGTCGAATATATGCCTCTATCCGAGATAGTAGACCTACTGAAGCTGGCAGCTAATTGGTGCAAAGCGATCCTTGGCCAGATCTTGCCTCACAGCTACAATATTGATTGTATGCAATACATTTGATAGATTGGCTGATGCGCAGCAGCCCAAGCCAAGGCCCTGCTTTGACTGACTGCCCAAATTTGAGACTTGACAGACAGGCTGGTGTGCACCATTCAGACAGAGGATGCGATGCGGCCACAAGCCAACTGCAGTGATCCTGCATGATGTGAGATTGATGATGGGAATTAGCTCAGATTGAGCACTCGCCTGCAATGATTTTGCAGCGAAGTTCTTGATAGTGTGCAACACAGCGGTGCTAGCATGCTCTCTTGGAACTGGAGCATACAGTTGCCAGAATAATGGCGGTAAGAATTAGGCTCACTACATGATGTAGTAATCTTACTGCTGAGCCAAGCCTGTTTCTGACATGCAGCAGCTTGGGCTCATTATTGCCTGCCTGAGGCACCTCACAGGCCCAGATCTGTGATGGGATTTCTCAGACTGCTCTGGGTTGAATGCGACTGATTTCTGAGGCATATCAATGACATGATGATTGTGATTGAGCTTGAGCAGACATTCTTACCATCATTGCAACCTCATGCGTGGGTTAAAACTGGACTGTTGTGCTGATTGATGATGCTGACATGATATTGATTGCCGATATATCTATATAGGCCTGTTGGTGAGAAATGCATCTCTCCAGGTGCCAGTAGCAACAGCATATCCTGATCATTGAGCAAGGATGATTGGTCGTTGTGGCCAGAAATCAGCTTTCAGCAGTCAAATTGGTCCTGAAATGGCCTTGTATCTGGTGTTACCAGGCTGGAAATGGCCGTGTCAAATTTATGCTCAATGTAAGAATTAGGCTCACTACATTGACATCAACAGTAGGCAGCATCTGTAACATGCAGTACTGCCAGGATATAACTTGCGACGTTCACTAAATTTACAAACGCGCGCACTTTGTATGACCCTTCACCTTCTGACTCTCTTTTTGGGCTGGACCACCCCAACTGGATGATCCATGCAAGCTGTGGCACATGCGCCAGATGCAACCACAGGTGGTCTGCGCCTTTGCAGCAGATCATCATTGACTCGTGCATTTGAAATTCAGTAATGGTATTCAGGGTGCAAGGCGATCCATGCTCCACTGCCCATCCTCCAACTGGTAGCGCAGCCGATCATGCAGTCGCGATGGCCGCCCATGCCAGAACTCGATGGCCTTTGGCCGTATCAGGAAGCCTCCCCAGTTCTTCGGCCTTGGGATCTCTTTGGACTCATCCGCGTACAACTGCAAGTCAAGGAAAAATTGCGACCTGAGCTCAGACCCTCTGCAGGCTGCTGCTCATTGTTACGCTAGAGTCTTGCACATGTCTCACAGCCAGCACCTTACAATTCAACAGAATATACAAGTACATGATGCAGTGCAAGCGCCAAAGAATTTATACAGCGCCGCCTGGCAGTCTGGCGCATGCAACACTCACATCACTTCATAGCATTTGCAGTGCGCGTCGTGCACAAGTGCTGCACAACTACGATGCCAGCAGGGGGTCGCACCTCTTTCAGCTGCGTGTTTCTGTCCTCCAGAGAGGCCCGGCCATCCTCCAGCACAGTTGACTGGGGGCTGACGTGCGCGCCCAGCTGGGAGCCGCGTGGCCTCGAGTGGTAGTATGCATCCGACTCCTCCTCTGGCAGCTTCTCCACAGTGCCCTCCACGCGCACCTGAACTCCCCATCACAGATGCTCCAGGCAAGTTTCATGCACAGCACCTCCCTGCTCACTGCCAGGAGGACCCTAAACACAACTCAGTATCCCCTGCCTGCTCACTGCTAGGGGGTGCAAAACAGATCCGCCTGGTCTCTCTGCCTGCCAGCCAAACAAGAGCAGCATCCATGCTGTCTACCGAGACCAAGCTTTGTACATCTCACTTGGCCGGACGCAAGACGTGATCGCATCTTTACAGTGCAGGCCTGCCTGCAGTCATGACCATGCATGTGGCTGAAAGCATGGGGACGGACCTGGCGCTGCAGGGGCTCCCAGTACATGCAGAGGGCGGCGTGACCGTTGGCAAGCTCGCACGCCTTGCGGCTGTCATAATTGGTGTAGAACGCAAAGCCGCGCGCGTCGTAGCCCTTCAGCAGGACCATGCGAACGGAGGGAACGCCCCGCTCGTCCGCCGATGCCAGCGCCATCTGATTCGGCTCCTCCAGTACCTTCGCCTCCACCGCGTCCTGAGGATTTCAAATGAGGTTCTTCAGCAGTATACGACAAAAGTCCTCCCCCACTGCGCACAGTTTTACCCCATCATCATGCCCATCTATCCCACTGTGTTTCAGACCCTTTTCTTTGCTTCATGGTGTGAATTTGCTGCAATGCAGTGCTGTCCAACTGAAACGCCTGCAAGGCTTTTTGTGGACACCACACCTTGAACCAACTGTCAAACTGCTTGAGGGGGTCGGGGTCCACATCAGACTCCAGCAGGCCGCCGCTCACATCTGCCAGGGAGTAATTCAGGCGGATAGATGCCGGGTCCACTTCGCCATTATTGCCGGCTGCCTGGCTTCCCGACAGCTTCACACACTGGGAAGTGCCAGGGTAGGGGGGCAGGTTTAGCTTGTACTTCTCCTGCACGCGGAGCTATCAGTTGCTTTCCTTGAGCAGAGGATCCAGCAGAATGGCATGAAATATGGGTTGTGAGAGTGATGTGCGGCAATTTGTACTTTAGAGCCCAGTGTCTCTTCAGGAAAGTTAGAAGGCAAGTGATGCACCAGACCTTGATTATGGGGGGGACAAAGCGTCCCCCAAGGTAATGGAAAGGTCCTTCGAAGAATTGCGCTCCCCGCTTCGGAGTGGTCAAGGACACGAGCATCTCAGGGCGCAGGCCATCCCCAATCTCGTCCCCATTCTCCACATGCCACCCCGAGGGCATGTCCACCGAGGCGATGGCTGGCGGCTCGTTGTGCGGCTTCAAGCGCTGTAATCCAAAAGGAACTCAGCTGGCAGAAATAGCTCCATACTTGAGAATAAAGAGGTGCTCTAACTGAGTTATACAACGTACAGCAACAGAATCTGTCCGATGTATGACTGCAGCTGTGATGGTGTGGGAGCATACCTCGAGAATCTTGTCAAAGGGAGGCCGAGGCGAGCCCTTGAAGCTGAAACCAAATATGGCATCTATAATCACATCATACCGCTCCTTGAGGGGTGGCCCGTCAAGGATGTCTTCAGCCGAGAGGAACGGTATGTTGCATGACTTTAGCTGCGTCACCAGGCCATGGTACAAGGGCTTGTCTGTCTTCTTTGGATAAAGTACCTGCAGGCAGCAGCAGATATTCCGTTACCATCAAGTCAACATGCAAGTAGTTTAACCCAGAACTGCAAGCGATGGAATTGGACACGATGACGATTGGTGGTCATCTGTACACGAAACGGGTGGCGCAGGTAAAAAGCGCAGGTTGACGACTCACCTGCACAGAGTACCCAAAGTGGAACAGGTGGCGTGCAGCCACCAGTCCATCCCCACCATTGTTGCCAGGGCCTGCCACGACCAGTATACGGGGATGTGAGGCTGCAGGGTACTCTGACGCCAGTGAACAGGCCACACTGAGCCCTGCAACTTCCCTGCACAGTACCTGCACAGTGTCAGTACTGTCCAAAATGTGCTGGCAGGGCCACGGTGAGCATTACAAGTTATGCAAATGGTGGACAAATTCGCTTGGTTGGCAGTAGTAAACAAGCAAGGCAAGGCATCTGGATCACATGAGCTGATCCACGCTGAAGCCCAGCGGTCCCATCAACTCCTCATCGATGGCAACTGCCTGATCCTGGCCCCTGTAGACAATAGCAAAACGCATCCTCTGGCATGCTCAATTGCTTAGGTTGACAGGCATCCGTACACATCTCACGACGCATATAATTGTTTATAGTGGCCGTGGCAGTCTGTGTATTGCAACCTATTTCAGTGTCGTTCAGGGCACTGCTACTAGGCATGACTTCTCGTTTTGTAGACAACTGGCATCCTTTCCAATTTGTGACTTGACTACCATAAGGAAGTATGTCCGGTATGATTTTTGCCCCTGAAAAGTACTTACAAATAGGTGATGTCATCCATTGCTGAGTATGTCGACGATGCAGATCTGCTCGTGTATGATGATACAGAATTCATTCTTGGCAGCTTATCGTCAAACAATGATACTCGGGGACTAGAAATACGTATTGCTAAAGCTCTAGCGGGCTTGTGAGACTGCCGTTGAAGCGCGCCCCACACACCACGACAAACCAGGCTACCGACCCCGTTCAGTGTGAAGCCAAGTCGAGAAGTGAGACAGTTCATCACTAGGATCACCCTGACTTGGTTTCACGCTCTCGATGTCAAGAAAGTGAATTGCAGGCTCCATCAAGGGACGGTAAAAAGCACGAAGCTGCACATGTCTGCCACGTGCCTTGAGTCTCGTCTGTCTCCCTGATCAATCTCCGGGAATTGAGGACGTCAAACGCCCTTGCCGAGGATTTCACATGAGCCTTGGTTCCTTCAGTGTAGGGCACCAAACCCAGCTCGTGTGCGTCAAGACTGCTTCTGCTGAGCACCTCATCAAGGAATATACCGCATAGAACATCAAACAACTTCAAGGTATGATCAACTCTGCTCTTCCTCTTGGAAATAAACCGTATGGTGCCTGTGCTAATGGCCATCCTGCGTTGTCGACATGGTAATGAGCTCTGTGGCGTATACCCTAGCTATTTTTCCGAAAGGCAACCGATATAGGTGGTATTAGGCTGCAAATCAATACCACTCAATTAGAAAATGGTAATATTTCCTGGAGTATGCTTCAAGTATGCTGCAAAGATCGCAAAGAATGTCTGTGCAGGGCTCAACTGCACTGCATGGCTAGAGTGATGGAGGACAGTGCCCACTGTGACAAAACAACGCAGCTAGTCAATGGCAAGAAAGGTTTCGATGGAGCTCAAACATTGCATGTAGATGCTACATTGGCGGCCCGGAAGGCACTCATCAGCGCTGCAGACATGGCCACTGTTAGAAGCCGGCTGTCCCCAAAGCTCTCACAGCGCTGTAATGATCAAACCATCAATCAATTTTTAAGGGCTGCAGATGGTAACGTTAGCCAGGTACTGTATAAGTGCCAGCTCCCTCAATATGCATTTTTGCAAGGAAGTAGTTGAGTTCGTTGCATTTTCCAAACAGGGTTGCATCTAGTGGTCCATTGTCTGCTTTCCAGGCAGAGAAGAGGCTCAAGGAAACGCTTCACTGGCGAGAGAGTGAGCAGGTGGAACACATATCATGCTTGGCATGCAAGAAAGACTCGCGCTCGCACTACATGCATCCTGTTGGCTTTGACCGACTGGGACGTCCTGTCATCTATAGCTGCCTGGCGCTTGCAGCAAATAGATCTGTGGAGGACAACAGGTTGCACATGGTGGCTACCTTTGAGCAGGTGGATTATCCTGAAACTCTATGTCTGGAGGCTGTCTCATAGTCCACCTACATTCACTGCAACAATATGGGCAATGGGCAGTTGCTACATTGCATCTCTTACAGGAACACTGTGGCTTGGTCTGACTGACCCTCTATGTTGCATGGTAGGCCATCAGCCTGATGAGGGCGCCTGTGGAGCAATGGGTCTGGGTGTCTGGTGTGTTGGCCACTCTGATGAGTCGCTGAGTTTCTAAAGCCTTCAATGAATACGTGATATGGTGACTTGAAATCTGAAGGCTGTGCTGATCTTCATCCTGTGCTTGCAGACTTCTACGGGTTTGGATTTGGGGACCTCAACCCACAGATTGCTAACACATTCCTGGAGCTGTCTGCAAAGCACTACCCTGAGCGATTGGGAGCCTTCATGGTGAGGCCACGAGGGCATGTTGCAATGTGACCTATAGAATTTTGGCATTGTAGTACCCTGAACAGCACCCTCACTATTCCTTGTGTGGGATGCCATACAGGTGGTGGGTGCACCATTCATTTTCAATGGGCTGTGGAGCGTGCTGCAACCTCTGGTTGACTCTGCGACTAGGAAGAAGATCCACATGCTCTCGTAAGTTGCCAAATATGAAGTGCATGGCAATTTGCTTTGTGATTCCTTGTGATCCCTAGCAATATGTGCACCTACAAGGGGGCACACTTCAGTGTTGACTGTCTGAAAGCTTCTGCATCGCTGGTCTGTTACAACATGATGTCCACATCTATTCAGTGTCTTTATTGCAAGATGGTCCCAGGTATGAAGTGGGCGGCCAGAAGCGCAGCGCATTGGATCAGACTTTTGCAGACTTTTTTGAGCCTGAGCTGGCCAAGTGGCTGCTCACAGAGATGGAACAGAACCGGAACAGAACAATCGCTGCCAGCAAGGTAATTTCTGTGTCTTGGAAACAACATCATATCTGTATTGATTGGCATAGCTTCTACTTGGTGCCATGAAGCTGAGAAGATGACGCACTGTTCCTGCACTTAAATTTGTGGATTTTTCACATCCTGTATAGTATGATAGTTCCTGATATCATTTTGCAGGTGTACCCTTACGGCAAGCTCCTTGAAGGCAGCTATGGCAGCACAGTGAGAGGACATGATCTCCGTGGAACCTCTGCAATCATGCAAACTCTGCAGTTGCAGAGGTAGAAGCACTTTTGTCATAGGAGCAAGTCCGGTCTGCAGCCAGGCCATTCAGTTGAGAACAGCCGACCTCGTCTCAGTACGCTGTGGACAATTCTTTGAGGGAAATGAGACCTCATTGTCTATTGAAGAGGAGTTTTGCAGTACAAATCTAACAAGCCAGCACGTCCCAATTACTTCAAAGGTTACATGTAGTCTCGGCAAATTGAAGCGATGGCTCCTGTCTATACATGGAAGGAGAATGATGGCCTCCAAGCAGTCGAGACAAATGCATGATAATCGACTGCTTGTTTTGATTATTTCTCACCATATGGTGAGGGGTTTGGGCCGTTCAAATGCAGCTGCAGTGAATAGGCACAATTAATTCGGACGCTTCCCAGTGGATGTTTCTGAAGGAGGAGAAGGAAGAATTGATTATATAGCCATGGCTACGAGAAAGTTGTAGCTTGCATTATGGTCTGCAGTGCAATGGACGTGCAAATTTTCTGTCTTTAGGGTTACAGAAGCAACAGCTGCCTAACCTCAGCATTCTCAAAGATTCTCCCCTTCATGGCGAGCCATAAGGATCCAGATATAAGCACTTGTAAGAACATCACAAATGATGTTCTGTCATCTACACCATTGCTGCTCACCAAAAGACACAACAACATGGTGCGTTTGTAAAACATAAGCAGAATCTTTTCTTGAAAAGTATTTCGTTACTGCTGCTCATGAAATGGAGGCGAGCACATCGCTTTCCCGGATGACAATGTACTGCTTGTCGTCCTGGCCGGAGAACTCTGTCCCGCTGTATTTGCTGTATAGCACTGTGTCTCCCTTGTTCAGGTTTGGTTTTACAATCTTGCCATCCTCATCCTCCTTTCCGCTGCCCACAGCAATGACCTGCACATGCTGAGTGTCAGATCACTACACATCATATGCACAGCTTTGACAGGCAATTTTATTCATACATATATGCACAGCGCATCACTAGTCAAAGCCTGCAAAATAAAGCCGAGGAGGAGCACCTTGCCAATGGTGGGCTGTTCCTTGGTTGAGCTTGTCAAGAGCAGGCCGGCATCTGTCTCGTCCTTTCCCTCCTCAACCTGGCCATGGTTAAAGGCTTGTGAGCAACAGGATTTTAATCGTGCAGATGTTGCAGGTGTCGGGAGGACTGAAATGGGCAACACTCAAACTCACCTCCACCAAAAGGCGGTCGCCCAGCGGTTTCAAGTCTGCTATGTTGTCAGATGCCAGAATGCCAATGACATCATCCTCCTGCACAGGGAAATCACATGTGATGGACATGTGCCCAGAAAACTAGCGTGCCGGCAAGCTTCTGAAGTGCAAGATTGCGCTGATATGCATGAGGACCAGCTGTACCTTGAGAATGACATACTCCGTGCCTTGCATTTTCAGCTCCGTGCCTGCATACTTGGAGTAGACAACCTTCTCTCCGTCCTGCAACAGGACCCCATCAAGAAGGTCGCAAAGGAGCTGTAGCAGTAGCACAGAGCATGAAAGGGAAAGTGCAGCATCAAATATGACCGCTTTTGCCAAGCAAAGGTACCTTGACAGCCTTGGCTGTCCCAGCCTTCTCCACTTGACCTTGTGTGGGCTTCTTCTGTGCGCTGGAAGGAAGAAGGATGCCCCCAACGGACTTTTCCTCGCTGACGTCCACCTTTACAAGAACACGCTCGCCAACCGGAGCAAGTGTCTTGTACTGCAGCCAATAAAGAAAATAAATCAGCCCCTCCTGGTGAGCTGCAGCACCCATAAACAACCGATGCCACCCTCTCACTGAACCAACGCTGCGAGAGAGTGTGATAAAGGGGTCAATTATGACATGAAAAGGGCAGGCATTTATGCAGATTGGAGGAGGATCCGTTTGCCATTGGATCATCGCCTTGAACCCGACTATTCTAGAAGGTTCTCCCAGAACTTCAGAGACAATGAAACTCACAACAGAACATACAACATTTACAGGATTGATGATGAACAAACATATTTTTAAATGATATTGCACCTCGCTAGGAACCGTAGTGGCTGCCCTGACAAGCGACATTCCCCTTTGCAAGCATCGTCTCTGAGCAGGAGCAGCAAAAGACCGCAGAGGCTGTAATCGAAGAACACCAGGGGCAGCACACGGAATCATTGCAGCCATTTCAGCCAAAGTTTTCGGAGAAATACACTTTCTTCTTTGCGAAGCAAACGGGCCGCAAACCTCTATCCATTTGGTGAGCTCAGCGGTTACTAAGAGATCTCTAGGGAGGAGCAGCCCCGACCATATTCTTCATCCACTTTAGCTTAGGGTTTAGGGAATACTGTATTAAGGATCCACTGTAATAAGGATCTGCAAGAGCGATGTTTGCTTTGAGTCCTGTGTGACGCCTGAAAATAATAATAGCACCTCCCATTGTAAAGAGCAGAAGAACTGCATTGCTGTCTCGACTGGAAAGTTGTCTAGGTGTGTACTCAAAAGAGGCCTCGCAGATCGCTGAGCTTTCCTTCCAGTTGACGATTTAGATCTAGGAACATACTTAGACGCAGTGAACACTGCCTTGTGGCTCACATTATCGATCAATACTCGAATAATCATTGAAACCAATTAAATTTCAGAAAAAAGGCACAGAGAAGAAGAACTGTGTCGCTGCCTCCGAGACGGCTTGCTACACTCCAGTGGTCTGGCAGCTTGAGCCGCTGGTACAGCTCTGCTGAATGCAGCGTGTAGCATCTCTGCATCCTTCGCTGCCAGCCAACAACAGAATTTGGACCTGCCGCTCATTGGTATCTCTGCTGGACTTTGCACCACGCCTCAGCCCTTCTCCTCTGAGCAGCAGTCGCTGCAGCCCGTCTGCCCGAATGGCAGTCACATCAGCCCATCAAGGCCCGCAGCTGCTCAGCGTGGCACCTATGTACGCGCACGCCACCAGTGAATGACCCAGTGCAAAGTGTCCCCCTGATGACTTGCAGGACTTCGGGCTTGATGTGATTTGCCTCTGCTGCAGGATGGACTGGACAGACGTGCACTACCGCCAGATGGCCCGCCTCATCTCCAAGCACACCTGGCTGTACACCGAAATGGTGGTGGACCAAACTATCATCCATAACCCCATCACCGACAGGTGTCTCTACAAGACCTATATTGCGAAACCCTGCTGATGCGTTCCAGCCTGTGTTACCATTATGACTTGGCCTTGTCACTCGACATTGTCACATGATCTTGATTCGAATCAACACTGGCTGTGCAAAACAGGTTCCTGTGGTTTCCGCCGGAGCAGCGCCCGATCGTGTGCCAGCTGGGCGGCAGCGACCCAGCCAAGCTGGCGGCCGCGGCGGCGATTGTGGCGCGCTACGGCTACGACGAGATCAACCTCAACTGCGGCTGCCCCAGCGACCGCGTCGCCGGCGCCGGCTGCTTTGGCGCATCACTTATGCTGCAACCTGCCAACGTCGCCACCTGCTGCGCAGCCATGCGCCAGGCGCTCGGCTCCGCCGCCGTCACCGTCAAGTGTCGCCTTGGTGCGCGCCACTCATTGTCCGTTAGAGCTGCCTCTTGTGCCCATATGGTAATTTAATTCTCTTTGGGCAAAAAATGCATCGCTCAAATTCCTGAGCAATCTAGGCGGCAACTTTTGTTCTGCGAACTTGTCCTCGTGGGATCCTGCCCTGTCAGGGCTTGCACTTCGATTGCAAGTCTGATTTCCCTGTCGGCGACATGCAGCTGCTTTCCTTTCAGACTAAAAGGAAGAGGCTGAGGTGACTGAGGTGTTGTGCCAGGCGTGGACGATGTGGATTCGTACGAGGCATTGTGCAACTTCATACGCGTCGTGCATGAGGGGTCCGGCGTCAGCCACTTTATCATGCATGCTCGCAAGTGCCTCCTCAATGGCCTGTCGCCGCACGAGAACCGCACCATTCCCCCTCTCAGGTCGGCATCCTTACCAACGTCTCAAGAGGAGACAGTGTAAGCCGATGCTTTGTGCCGCAGTGTGATCTAGACTAGCCTTGCAGATCTAAGCTCTTTGGTTGATGGTGGCTACCCTGCATGCAGGCATGAATGGGTGTGGGCCCTGAATCGGGACTTCCCACATCTGGAGTTCAGCTTGAACGGCGGCCTGGACAGCTGTCACCAGGCAGCAGCAGCCCTGCAGCACAGCGTGGATGGCGCATCGATCCACGGCGTCATGATCGGCCGCGCTGCCTACAACCACCCCTGGGCGTGCCTGGCAGACGCGGACATCGCAGTGTTCGGCGCCGAGACGAATGCAGCCACAAGCCGGCGAGAGGTGTGCACGTCCCCTTTATGGCCCTTTTCATCGTGTCACGTGCCTTTCTGGAGATGCATCTGGTTCTTCTGTAAGCTCATGAGGCTCGAGAATTTCAGGGTCAAGCTATACAAGCAGAATCCAGGCCAATACTGCTCCTGGCCGAGCACGGCGGAAAGTAAAGTCCTGCCTCTGCACGTACCTGCATGCGATCTTGAGAGCGCACCTTGCTGAATTTTGGAGTGCTGCTGCGGTTCTGACGCCAGGTGCTGGCCAAGTATGTGGAGTACGCGGATGCGGTGGTAGGGCGTTTTGGGATGAAGCCGGACGGCAGCAAGACGCCGAATGTGCGCACCGTGGCGCGGCCGCTGCTCAACCTGTTTGTCGGCGAGCCCAGCGGCCGCAAGTGGCGCCGCATGCTCGACGTCGCCCTGCTCAAGAAGCCCGCCACCGTTGCCGAAGTCGTGGAGGTGCCCGTCCCCCCTGCTTTCAATTCCTGCATGCCATTGAGTGCTAGAAGTGTACACCCTATGATGACCACCACCCTGTCTTTGCAAGGCGGGGTTTTCCAAACGCACTCTCAGGTGTGTGCTCTGTGCTTGCGAAGAGCGTAATGTATGTGCAGGTTGCCTTCATTACAGCTCAGATTTGGAAGCTTACACATGTGTGGATTTGTCCTGTGTAGGAGGCCATAAAGTGCGTGCCAGACCATGTCCTGGATGCACCGCCAAAGCGGCAGATGCCCCCTGTCTTCTCCATCGGACAGTTTCCACCACCAAACAGGTGTCTCAGGCCTGCAGCACCTGGTGAGCATGGCTCAGCAGACGCAGCGGCTGATAGCAAAAGCCAGCATGCAGCAGACCATGGCGATGCTGCTGTAGCACTGTCAGCCGAAGGGCAGTTGACAAACGGCGTGGCATATGCAATTGTTGATGGCCTTGCAATGCCAGATGAGGCACAATGGCAGCCAGGGGATGGCGACAGGCATGAGGGGCACAGGCCTGTGACAGTGTTGCAGAGCGGGATTGCTGGTGATGAGAGCCAAGAACGCACTGAGAAGAGGCTCAAAAGCGAGACTGTAATGGTTGGTGCTTGAGAGGGACAGATCAAGATGCCACCAGCTGGTGTGCAGATGCCGTCATGTGTTGACATGAATATCATATTATTTTTATTATTATTATTATTATTACATGCTTTTCCTGCTGAAGCAGGGGGTACTAAAGACTAAGTAGTAGTACTACGGGTAGTCTTTAGTTGCCCCTGGCCGAAGGCAAGGTGCATCTGCAGACAAGCTGCATGTAAAGGCTGCCAAATTCCTACCCTTGTTGGACTCGCCAGATTCAAGCAAGACCCAATCAACCCAATGACATGAATATCATATGATAGTCAATAATCCCTGATTGCTGCCAGTCACTACTGGATATTGTGACGTGACTAGACTACACTGGACAGTGGCAGTATTCATGCTAAGTCTAAATGCATGATGCAGGAAACTTCGCTGAGATACGGAAGGTGACAAACAAGAGATCCAGCCAGAAATTTCTACACCATGTGACACACCTGGTTGGATCTCTTGCTTGTCACCTTACGTATCTCAGCGAAGTCAAATGCCAACTGATCGATCCCAAATATCTTGATCGATCCCAAATATCTAGATCCCCGCCGGGCGGGATGGGCCTAATCTTCAAAGTTTCAAACAGATTCGAAGTTGCAGTGCATGCATCGATAATAACATGCAGATCAGTTGCAAGTGCTAGCAATACAATAGTATTGCAGGCTCGACGAAGCTTAGTCAAGTGTCCACCATTATCAGAGAAGCAAAGCTCCCCTGGTCTATAGGACTACTACCACACTTGAAACATACAAAGGGATTCTGCATCCACATTGGCGCTGCGTTCTCTGGTGGACCACCCAATTAAGGGCAGCCCAAAGGGCCCTGCTCTGCCCACCTGGGCTGAGGTGGCCGAAAGGGTATTTCGACAATTGGTGGCTGGGAAAAGCGTTCCCTCAGAGCAGCAGCTGCCCAAAGAAGATTTGCTGCAGCTGTACTTTCTATCTTCCAGCTAGTACTGGCGGCACCTTACATATTTATGTCACAACAACCTCCTGTGCTAGCCTTTGCATTGTCAGGCAAAATTTGAGCCTTGAGCAGATTGCCAAATCCACCTAGCACCTGTACTCTTGTTGCTATGCGGTCGGGCAGCGGTGGCCCATGCAGGCACTGCATGACCACCACCAGCGTCTGCTGGCGTAAGGGGTGAGTTTGTCGACCGCGAGATATCCGTTGGCCTGCACACAACCTGCCCTGGGAGGTTGTGGACGGTCATCAGAGGGCAGCAGGCCGACGTGTTCGGAGCCTGAGGCGAATTGCTGTGCAGGCCGGAAGACAAGCCTGTTTTGTGCAATGCGTGTGGAGCAAGGTACCTGGTGAAGCGAAGCCTGGAGGGATACTTCCCACACTCGAGACCGGTGACGAAGAAGGACGGCCCTGGGCACAAGGCTGGGAAGGGAGGGAGGAAGGAGCTGAGCGTGTTCCTGACTGGTCGTCCGAGCTCTGGGCACCTCAAGAGGAACTCCACAGACTCGAAGAGGGGCCGCAAGCCCACCAAGAGGTGGCTGCTCTGCTCTTGAAACGTGATGAATCTCGGGACTCGACCTTGCGTGATCAGGAAGGTTTGGAAACTTAGCAGCCAAGCAGGGACCTATGCAGTGAAGTCTTGGTCGTTTCCGAAAGCTTTGAATGCAGTACGTGACCCGCAGCTGTGTGTGTGCAGCCTGATCAGACCCAATTCCATCTCCCGGAACGGGCGCACGGTCGTGGACCGTGGCACTCAGACAATGGTGCACCCCCAGCTGTTCCTTCCCAGCGGCCTGACCCTACATGACGGAGCTGCTCGCATATCGGGGCCTCCGAGTCTCTTCACCCTGTCTCCGACCAAGGTGAGAAGCAACTCGGTCCTCGTCAGGTGACTGACCTAACCACCACAGCTCCGGTATCAATGTAAAGGGATGTGCACGGGTCTCACTCAAAGTAGTGGTTCTAGAGAAGATTCAACAGGCCAAAACGCGAGACAAGCGCCCCAATTGGCCGAATCCGTAAGCTTGGGACTCTGTTCCGAGAGCTCAAGAGCTGTCATGTTGTCCGCAACCCAGGTCATCAAGGAGGACGAGTTCAACAGCATCGCCGTGTCCACGCTGACTCTTCTGCGACACAGTGAGAGCCACAGCGACAGCGCGGAAGACGGGACCTGCACACCGACACCTTCGCAATCTTTTCGCCGAAACCCTCGCAAGCCTTCTGCAACGATCAGGGCGCTCTTTTGATCCCACAGAGCTCCCACGGGTTTGTGTGGGCGAGCGTTGTGGTACTGAAGTATTCAGCAATTCTCCATTTGGGTACCTTGGATGCGCACCTATCCTGATCTAGGCTTCCAAGATTCTTGATCGAGGTGCTGTGCCTATACATGTTTCCCCAGGACAAGTTTCACTCTGGGATTCAGGTGCCGCATGGCAATGCAGTCAGCTCGTGAAGGGGTCAATTCATTGGGTGAGCGGCATGCTGTATACTAGAGCTCACAATATCTGTACCACTACTTAACCGACAGATTTGGGCCAGGACAGGCTTGGTTACTTACTGCTGCAGATGGCTGCTCCACAAGGGAACAGCCAATTTACACAACGAGCAGATTATGGGTAACATATCTATGCAGGGACGGTTTTGGCAGCGCACAGTTGAAGTGCCCACACCATGCTGTGCGTCAGGACTTGCCTTCCACAGGGGAGAGCTTTGCACACCACACGCCTGCATATCAAGTCGACGTTGTATTAACGTTTGTAGTATCATTTGGTGAAGGTGCTGTCGTTTTGCAGAGCTGGGCAGACTGTTTTTCTTTTGGCCTCGGTCTGACATACGAGCTTGCTGCAGCAGAAGCGTGTTTGAGCGCTGTTCACTTGCGATGTACATATGGGTGGGCATTGCAAGGGCCATTCATGCTATAGCCTACTTTCCACAGTTTTAGGTCTGCCATCCTGTGACAGTCTGTGCCGCTGCTGCCCCTGTGACATCCCATGGGGCTGTCTGCAGCGGCGTCCTACTGCACTGCAATTTTGGGGTCCTCCATGACCTGCCAGAGGCATCCAGCAGTCAGACACCTCTGTGCAACAGAGGCGCTGGGTGGCCTGCAGGTGTGTGTTTTGCACCCACCAGCCAGTGATTCCATGAACCCTTCAGGGGTTATTGGTAGATTCTGGTACATACCATGGTAGCTACGGCTTCCTAGAACGCATGGCCCACCATCCTGTAGTACAGTTGCACTGCAGACAGACACTTTCTGTATCGGCCTCCTCTTTTGATTACAAACAATGGTGACACATGGAAGAGTTGTGACTGATGTTGTCGCTTTGTTGCTCCAGCTTGATTTAGAAATACTTGCAAGACCTCCACTGGAGCTGCCCGTGGGTAGATTGACAATTGGATTATGTGTGGACATTGGATGTGCATGTGGTATGGGAAGTGGTGAATGCATCATGCACATATTTATGTCGGCTGGCTTACTTAATTTTTTCCCAATGAATTTTGAGTGTTGGAATTGCACTCATCTGCAATCCCAACTTCCCAATTACCTGTGGTGGCTGATAGAAGCTGAACAGATGTAAAAATTCTTTTACCTATCAATGCTCTGGAGCTCTATTCAGGCATCATGGTGCAGATGATCATCAGTGCACTGCAAGTTGCTGTCATGGCCACCAGGCAGTCTGTAATGTCTGCAGGCCAGCTTCTGATATGCTTGCTCCAAAACGAGAGAGAACACAGACATGAAAGACAGTGCAAGTGCCAAGAACTGCTCCTCATTTGAAATTCCTTTACATGAGGAAGGGCTGCCTCACGGGTTAAATTGCAAATACGTAAACCCAAGAAGCTTCCGGAGTCCGGCCCAGGAGCATGATCGATTCCATTGCATTCAAGTGTGGCTTTTACAATGTTATGAACACCGTCGCTAATTATGGTGCAGGTCACTCAAAAGTGTGTCTTTCTCGGTTCTTGCTGTTCAAGTTGATGTTGTCTTGCACCTGAATGCAAAGGTCAATGCCCGCAGAATCATTTCAGGGCCTTTCATATTGCCCAGACGATTCAGAGGCATGCATGTCCAGTATAGCTCATGTTGAAGCTGTTGCAACTGGGTTGTCAGGTTGATTCCGCTACGCAGTCTGCAAGCCCAGTGATCGCAATGAAGCGCGCTGTTGCCTCAATGCCAGAAGATTAATCCCGTAATGTCATCAATGCTGGCAATCCTGCAGGATGGCACTTAGTGGTCCTGCAAAAGTAGCTGCTGCATGCCACGCACATATACGCGTATCCATCATATCCGCAAGGTGCAGACAAGCCAGACCAAGAGCACATTGGCGCCAATGACAGTCCTGATGCCAGGAGCGCTTGTTCTGAAGTGCGGCTTCGGTCTGTAATTGACATCCTGGGATGCCAGCGCGCCCTTTGACTGAGCCGCAAGCATTTCGCGCTGATGCAAGCTGAGTACCACGGCTCCGTGGGGGTCTGCTACTGCATCCCTGCATGCGCATCTCAGGCAATGACACATTGGCGGTCGCTGTGCAGGATCCTCAGACTCTGCCCCAATACATCTAATCTACACATAAGAGCCACAGTCCTCGTCCCGTGCAAAGAATCAAAGGCACAGAAGGAAAGAAACAGCAGCAGCGTGGTAGGGTAATTTGGATCGAGGATCACCTGTACCACGGCAACTTGTTACGCACAGACGTCTCTGGAAATCCCAGCCTCCTAGCTGTGCTGATGAGTTCCTGACAGCTGTGAAGTGTAGCTAGTAAAAAGGAGCGCAAAGGTTCTGTGGCAGGATCATCCTTGAAGCGCACAGCCACGTTGCCGCGTGGTATTCTCGAATAAGAGTTCAACGGAGTCCCAGCGAAGTCCGAATTGCCTTCTGTGCCTGGCAAGCTTTCTATACCTCCATCGATGGTGCCCAGTATATGAGCAAATTGTGGTTTCATGACCTACAATCCTTCTTGTTGAACAGATATTGTAAGATCTGAACATAATGTAGCTTCCATGATTATACAGGAGCGAGGTATCTTGATAAGAGGTAGAGAAGTCAATTTCGACTTCACATTTCCAGCACCTCACAAGAAGTTGGTATCAAGCTGCCAGATTTGCACATAGTCACACTTAAAAATTAACAGGACAACAAAATATATCATCCCAGCTTTGGATCTGCAAGCGATCATCAGTGCTGCAGAGCGATGCAAGCGCGATGCATGATGCCAATTACCTTGTAACATTGGGGCTTTGGTAGGGCTTCTGCACAGAAGGGTGGATGCTGTTTCCAAATTGAATTCTGTACATTCCTCAGAAAGTTCATGCATTGTTTCTCACATACCTGTTAGTGTGATGCAGCACAGCTGCACTGCAATTACCTTGCTGCTCAAGCGCTCCCTGTTGGCAATTGATCACAAACACAACTTCAACACAAGTTGTGACCAACTTGGTCACAACCATTTGAAACCGCTGTCACTGTGACGCCGCGAGGTGGCCTCTTGATCAAGCTGAAAGACATTTTGGGAATCTCTACATGCCCGGGAGAAGAGAAAATTCACAGTCACTAGTGTGAGCTTCATACTGTGAAGGTGAGATTGCTTCTGAGAACCTTACAAGCCATGGCAACCCAACGTGCAAGAATTCACAATCAGAGCTACGACGACCTCATGCAGCAATGACTCTTGTCATGCAGCAGCCGCAACAGAGACAGCACATTCATCTCAACTCCTCACATTCTCACACCAATCGCTCCTCAAGCTCCGAGCCGGAGCCGCCTTTCATCTGGGGTCTGGCATCAATCAAAATCACAGGATCCATGTCAACCCATTGGCATAACACATTGCACGAATCACACACCACCCAGTAACAAAGTCCAGCTTGTTGGTGAGTTCAAGCCGGCGTCCCAAGCCAGCCAGCCAGCCAACCAACACAAGGCAGAGGGTGCTTCCTGATTCATCAGAGCTCTCCATGGCTGCTAAAAGCCCAGTTGAAATGTGTGCTGCCGACCACATCAGCCCTCTTCCATGGCGGCAGCATCCCCATTGACCCCATTCTCAAGCAGCTGGCTGGGCATGTGCCCAGTGCGCAGCGCCTCCTCCAGCCGTGCTACCTCCTCCAGAGTGGCCGCATTGGCAATCGCAGCCTGGCGCACCCACAGATGAGTCTTGCACCATGATACAAGGGCCTAAAAACATGACAAAGGCTTGGCGTGATCCGCAGGGGAGCAGCGCATGCACCACCACTTCTGTGCTGATATGAGACCTACTGACCAGGGACCATGATCAACAATGCACAAGCAAGTGACAAGAACGACTCTGAGCCTTTGCGCGCTTGCCTTGATAGCCGTCAGCTGCTGGGGCGTGGGCCCCTTCTGGGCGGCAGGCTCTGCGGGCGCAGCCTCCATGTCAGCGTCGGCCTGCCCCGGGGCCTCAGCCTCTGCCAGGCCCTCACCCGGTTCAAACGTGCGGTTCGCCGTCACCAGATCCGGCTCTGCGGCAAACAGGTTCTCCGCCTCCTGCCTTTCCTGCTCCGGGCAACGCACGCATTCTTAGAGGGCCTACATCATCAGCGGGCATAGGACAGCAGATGCTGCAAGCCAAGAGAGGTGTCCGTAACCTCAACGGACGCGTGAATTATCAGCATACCTTTTGTTTGACCTTTCTGAAGTCCAGCACCTTGAGGTGCTTGCACTGGTGGATGAGGTACAGTCTGCACTCCAGAGGTCTCAGCACCGCTCGAGATGTAACGTCAGGAACCAGCAGCAACAGCCTGTACAGAGAAACATGAGCAGACTGTGCCCTGGTCTCACCTGTAGTGCTTCGCTTTTGTGACCTCATTGTCCAAAAGACTGAGATGCTGTAGCTTTGGAAGAGTCGAGAGAGGCTCAAGATCCTGCATGCCACCCTCATGTTTCACATTGCATCTGGCAGACAATACAAATCCCAGAAAGAGCATTTTGACACATCAAGCTTTGCAAGCAGCAGCAGACAGGGGCTCACCGCAAGATGCTTCAACCGGTTGTTTGTGAGGATGAGGTGCGTGAGATTGGGGATTGACTCTGCAACAGCACATGCTGATCAGCCCCTTCTTCTACTTCTCTACACAGCTCTGTGCGAACCCCAGCGCACTTGCGCACCTTGCAGGTGCCGCCCAATCCTCGTTATTCTGTTGTTGTTGAGAAGCAATGTTTTCAAGCGCGGGAGCTTTGGGAATCCTTCCAAGATGATGATGTTGTTGTCTGACAGATCGATGCTGTCAAATTGATTCTGCAGGGCAGGCTTGCAAGGCTCAGATGGTTGAGTCTAGTGAGGGGACAGCCATACATAGCTTGTGCACGCCAAAGAAACAAAAGCGACATTTGATGTGCACTCGTACCTGTGTGGCTCCTAGGTTTTCTATAGAATTTATTTTTGAGCCTAAAGACACAGACGTCAACAGAATCAGTCCAGCATTGCTGATTATCACAGAGGTTCACAAACCTCTGTGAGCGCAGGGCTGGAGCACCGATGGCCAAGAGGAACCGTTGCAGTCAGGCGCTGCAGGTCTACATTTCTGATAAAGCATCATTAATCGCACCTCTGAGATCAATCTCATAGTCCTTCACACAGTTCATGTACTGTGGGCTTCTCAATATGAGCTCTGCGGTGAGCCTGCCAGCCAATCGCGGACCTAAAGAGCCTGCGGCCATGCGAGCTGTGTCCATGGTGACAGAGCTACCAAACTTGGCAAAGCTGGATTTATCTGCTAATCCTTCGCAACGCTGCCATCATGCTGCCTGGTAGGCGATGCTTGCGATATTTTCAAATAATTTCCAAAAATCGCAAAGACCAGTTGAGGCAGACGTCCAGACAATGACACCCAGCTCAAGCCTTGACGGCTGCAGACCACTGAAGTATACCGTCTTCCTCCAGCATTGCCAGCCCCTCCACCAGAAGAGGCTCTCAATTAAAAGCACGACAAATGACTTAGCAAGCGTTGGAAATATATTGGCATGCTAAAAGAGACGTGCAAAGCAAACCAATAAAACTGGACTTGACAGGGAACGCCACCCACTGAATCCATTCCGAAATGCATGAACTAAGTTTCGAAAGAGCACGGAGATCACTCACTACCATCTGAAAAAACATCTTCCTGTGCTAGATGCATGGATCGCCTCTGCATGCTTATAGAATGACAAGATTCGTATATCCCGCAGGTCGGAGTGGCATCCACGATCTGGCTAGGTCACGTTTGTGAAATCGAAACAGAATCCAGGTGATGTCTGGACAAGAGTGAACAATGAGGATGGCGGCCTGTTGTAGTGTGCCACACCACGCTGGTCACAGCATAATACGACAAGTCCATCCTGTCCAAGGTGTGCTACGTGCAGGAAATCTGACCAACTACATGCAACGTGATACCATCAGCACTGGTGCATAACTTGCTTCTCTAAATATGAAATTGCTCTGCGCAAGCTATGTTGACAGGTGGCATGCTTGTCAACACTGGGACACATAGCTTGCAGCACTGTCCCTTCAGCCGAAGCAGATCCCGGCTTCACTGCGCACCTCCGCAGTATAATCCTCAGAATGTGCCAGATCCTCAGGTGAACACACGTTCCATGAGCCAGCATGGTTTCTTGAAGCAGGAGAGCGTAGAAGTCTGGGTCCAGCGCATGGCTTGATGCATGCGGGCCCTATGATTTTCAGGTGATGCCAAGGAAAGAATTCAGCCCTGAGGAGGCTGTGGCCGCACAAATGGATGCCCTGCTTAATAATGATACTCCATGGTTGGCCCCCATCCGTTTTTTTTTATGCATGCTGTAGAGCAGGAATGGCGCAGCGATGACCTGAAGATGAAGATCAACAATGCTAGGCACTGCCTGGCAGGTGCAACAAAAGCGTGTTCTGTCACTGCAGGCCAAACCATGGCATCCAGACCATGTATGAGTTTGGCTGGGATATTGGAGGCATGGAGCGCTCCAGGTATTTTGGGTATTCTAAGGATTTGTACCATTTTGATCATTTCTTGGTGCGAGCATACCCTCTGACTGCGTGGAAGCACGCTGCACCATATCTACCCCCAGATTGTATACATAGCTGTGTGCTGTGTACCCATTGTGTGTGGTCTTGCTCATCCTGTAAGATTGGCATTGTGGGGAGCAGGGACAGTTCCAGAACACCTTTGGAGACCTCTTAGGTGCCGACAGCTGCAAGATTGCGGAGATTAGGACGCTGGACACCGACATTATGGATGTTGACGTTATTGTGCAGAGACTGTCTTCTCATGAAGAAAAGCTTATAACATTTCGGATGCAGAAGAAAGAAAGCGGCAGAAGAGAAGGGTCCTGGATGACAAAGGCAATATTGAGACAATGATGGGAAGGCCAGTGCTGTGATTGCATGAGCATAGAACCCCGTATGAAAGCTTTGGAAATATGGATTTCGTGTCTAGTACATTGCCACTGCAACCGAACGCAATCTGAAAGACTCCATTTGCACCTTCAATGCAGAGTGTGTGATCTCTTGTAATGCACTGTTTGCTCTCGGGGTGCCCCGATCGGGCTGGCTACAATATCATGCAGCGCTGCTATTCGCGTTTAGTAGCAAGATGGTCATAAAAGATTCACACATCACTGATAGCAGTACTGCTTTCACCACTATGCAGACAATCATCCACCAAATACTCCAACTCCACTTACTCTGAGAGTGGTAAGGTTAGTTATTGCTGTCTCTAGATCTAGGCATCCGAAGAGTCTTCTTCACCAATCTCGACCGTTCATATTCAAGTAACGCAGAGTCTGCGTCGCAGACCAGGTTTGACCGTTAGGAGCAGCACTACTAGCGAGCCCTATCATGCAGGAGATGACAAGCATCACAGAGTATCTTGTCAAAATTATAATATACTAGAAAAGTTGGATGTTTCACTGACTTACCTGTGCAACACTAAAGTACACGCATGAAACCAAAATCGTCTCAACTGAAGCTGGCAGCTAGCGTAGCTAGGGCCAGTGATGTCCTTTGTACAGGAGATCCCACCCGTTAAGAAGTGGACACTATGGTAAGCTGGTGTATTAAGCTAGGCAGCTTCCAGGAAACACAGGCAGGCTCCTGATTGCAGCAAGGCAACAACGCACGACAGAGGAGAGCCACAAGATGCATCCTAATATCCGAGAATGCTCAAGCAGCCACACCCCATCACTGCAGCTGCAATTGCAAACCAGCGCCCTGCAGGAAGGAAGGAAGGTGACAAGCGCAAAAATCTTCGAAAGATGGCCGCTGCTTATTGCAAGGGTCGCATTGACGATGCGTCAAAGTGCATGTGAGCGTTGATGCCTGACTTGCAGGCAGGAAGGGCTGTGAGCGGCATTGTGCAGGCCCTTGAGAGCTGGCACTTCTCAGACAGCAGCTCCTTAGGAAGATTGTCGCAATTGCAGATCTCTATCATATTGTAGTCCGGGTCATGGAAGAAGACCTGCAAGACAACAGGCACGGTCAAGCATCCCGTGCAATGCTGAGTCAATGCACAAAGACCCCAATGACAGCATATTTCCAACCAAGACCTCCATCCTGTCCCTTCTTCCGGACTGCTACGTGCCCTAAGTATTTCTTCCAGATGACCTGGTGGGATAGACTGGTGAAAAGGCACCTTGAGGACTGTCATGCAGCAGGCCAGATGAAAAGGCACTGAACACAGAGAGAACCCTGCTGATGTCAGGATACCACTCATAGAAATCCTAGTCTTTGATGGGAATTCTGACAGAGACCGGAGACCTTTTGCTGGCGTCACGCAGCAAATGTTTGCTGGCAACTCAGAACCCACCTGCGAAACAACTATCCCGTGCTCCTCCACATTTGCCTTCACGAATGGAATGTTGAAATCGCTCAAGCGCCGCTCCACCTCCTCGAGCGAAGTCGCCTGTAACCCCCCATACGTGACTTTTCACCCCACACGCCGGGCTTTCGGAACGGTCTTCCAACGTTGAGAAGAGGCCCTCTGAGTGTTATGAGTGTCTGCATAGAGTTTCTTGACAATACACCAGCAAATCAGGCATCTGCCACCACGCACGTAGGCTATACACTGAAAGCGCAGAACACCATGAGACATGTCTGCACCTGGAAGGAGGTGTGATCATCACTAGGATTGAGTGGCCGTGGCTGCCGCACAGGAGTCCCTTTGATAAGGTGTAACGATATCCCATAACCAATGAGCCTGTCACCACACCTCATTCAGTCCAGAAACTAACCCAAAACTCACAGTTGAACAGGGAACTCGGGGCACAGGCATGTCATGCAGGAGGTCGAGCTTACCAGCAGCCTTCGAAATCAAACGAGGAAGGCCTCTTGATCTCTGTGAAACCGAGAACGTCGGTGTAAAAGGCCGCAGCTCTCTCGGTCTCACAAACAACACGGGACAGATGTGAGATAGACTGCAGGGGCAGCGGCGCCGCTTTCCTCATGAAAATCAACCCCTTTCGTGCGCAGAAACCCTCCCTTAATGAAGTTTGCTTGGGATTGGGGAAAGGGAGGCTGACTTGCAGGCATATTTTGTGCCGCACAAAAGCCCGGAGCCTTTAAAGTATCTTTAAAGAATTGCGCTGAGTCACTCGCCTGTGACGACCGCCAATGCCGTCACACTTTCCCGCGCATGGCCTCTCCAAAGGCAGACTTTGCACTTCACCGAGGCCTTCAACTGCACAGGAGGAAAACACTTGAAGCTTGCACTGTGGCGGGGGGCTGCCTGTGGACAGTGGGCCTATGCAGGTGATGTGGCCGGTTGTCACTGACTAAATATTGATATTATTATGATCATTAATCATCATGATGATGATTTGCAACTGACGCACGTGCGCAAGCCAAAGTCTAAAAGACTCATCATGGCTGGTCCAGCACTGGTGACACATCATGATAGTACTGTGCATTAGATGATCTTTAAGGGGTCCTTGATGAGGGCATGCTTTTCAGTGCGCAGTTCTGGCAAATTCCTTGAATTCAAGCTTCCTCAAAGGCAACTTGCCACCTTGTTTGAAACATTGGATGGGAGAATTCTAGAAGATCAGGGGAATGCCTCACATCCAATAGTATTAAGTAGACAGCCCAGCAGGATTAAGACGTGTGCAAGGCTAGCAGCTGCAGATTGCAATGTGTCGCAACACAATCTAGACTGCTGCAGCATTTCACTTGGCGTCGCCAACTGCAAAACTCACAAATTCAGCACTGCTAACGCTGGCCACTGGCTATCGCAACATAATATCTTTGAAGGCTCATCATTGTGTGAGATCCGCATGCATCAAGTCCTGCAGCAGGCCTACATCATGGTGTAGGCAGGGCCACCGCCCCCTTCCGGAGTCGTCCACCTGATGTTCTGGGTTGGGTCCTTGATGTCGCAAGCTTTGCAGTGCAGGCAGTTCTGAGCATTGATCTGCAGCTTCTCCCTGCCATGCTCATCCGTGGCATATTCATACACTCCTGCACGCAGCAACGCAGCACTTGTCTCCGGCAGGGAAACTCCTGATTGCTTGCCGAGAAGGGAACAATTCCACATGCCATCTATCAGCGCCTGCAGAGAATCTCCTGCACCATGGCATGCAGCGGAAGGAGAACTCAACACACCTGCTGGGCAATAGCGGCCCTCAGGTCCTGCATAGATGGGCCAGTTGACAGCCGCGGGGACGCCCGCATTCCTAAGTCGCAAGTGCGCCGGCTGATCATGGTCGTGGTTTGTGCCGCTGCGGTACAGCGAGTCGTTCAATGCGAACGTCACCTGCCCATCCGGCGCCGGGTACTCCCGAGGTGCAAACCCGCTTGCGGGCTGCAGTGCTTCATGGTCTGCATGCCTGCACCACGCAAGGGAATTCACCATTATCTCTCCGTGCGTTTGCTGAGAACAAGGTTTGAAGCTGGCTGTCAAAACAGGTCTGGAGGGGGCGTTGCACAGGAGTTTTGTGAAGCTGGCATGCTCTGGGTGTCGGTTGACGCAGATAGGGGCAACCTGTGACGCAGTGTCCAAGGGGCCCGGCCGCGGAGCAGAATGGTGTCCACAGCCGACAGCGCCAGCCCCGGCCAGAAGCCAAAATGGAACCTGAAGAGCACACTGCTGTTCTGAGAAGGGGTACAACAAAAACCCGTCTGCTTCAAGCACCATCAATATGGAGAAATCAAGACTAATAGGCTCACAGCGTTCCAAACTTCAACATGAGTAGGTGAAGGGAGGCAGCAGACGCATACGAAGGCCTGATGTTGCGTTCCCTCTCAAGCTCCTCCCAGACCCAGCTGGCTTTCAGCGCGTCCTCGTAGGCGGCCAGATCCGCAGCCGCCCCCGACTCTGCGCTTGTGCTTGTGAGCTCCGTGAACGCCGCCTCGGCCGCCAGCATGCCTGACTTCATGGCTGTGTGCGTCCCCTAAATTCCAGACCCAAGCGGTCATCTGTGCAACTTCGCCCAAATGTCACACCACACCCCTTCAAGACACCGGAATACTGCATAGGCAAGCGCCACCCATCAGATGGCCAGATACAGAACTGACTGCCGCAAGTTTCCTACTTTATAGACACAATGTTCACCTTAATTTTGGGGACATTGAGGAAGCCGGCAGAGCAGCCGATGAGGGCGCCGCCAGGGAAGCTGAGCTTGGGCACGGACTGCAGGCCGCCCTCATTGAGGCAGCGCGCGCCGTATTGTAGCACTGTGCCCCCCTCTAGCAGGGCCCTGATCTTGGGGTGGCTCTTCCAGCGCTGAAACTCCTGGTAGGGGTTCAGGTAGGGGTCCCTATAGTCTAGCGCCACCACCAGCCTGCCCACGCACAGAAGTGGCTCACAGGACTGCCCAACAGACCAAATGGAGATGTGGCTACATGCTGGCTTCACCCTGCCTGGTCAAACATGCAGAGACCTCTAGTACTTCAAAGAGGGACGGTGCACGTCTCAAAAAGCCCTGTTTGAGGTCGCTCATTTTGTGGTTTCTCAGAGAGGGTTAAAGCTGCACACCCCAGCGCAACGCGGTTGGCAGACATATGATACAGGAAGGATCCACCGTAGATGCTCTGGTCCAAGGGATACCCCACTGTGTGCCAAACGTGTCCAGGCTTGGCCTTCTCAGGCGCCACCTGTACTTCCACCGAAACATACTTATCACAGTAGTTTTGAGGCAAACGAATACCTTCTAAAAGTGTGTCGGGCCAAAGAAAAGACAGGGAGTGTGAGATCACATTGCTACACACCTCCCAGACTTCCTTCAGGCCAATGGCATAGGTTTGTGGATCTGACCCCGCTTCCTCTCTTAGGTTGTACCGCTTCATGACTTCCTGCGCAAATATTCAGGGGCTATCACATCAACTACGCTCACCCTTCTGGCATGCTTATCTGCTCATCAAGCTTAGGACAAGCCCGTCCACATATCTTGCAGCAGTCTGATCAACAATCTCTGGCACTCTATCACATTGTCTCTTTTTATACTGTTGACTTGTGAAGGTGACAATTTGGAGAGAGGTCGCACCTCAGACAAGGACCCACGGCAGCCCTCAGCAAAGAGGGTAGCGCGTGCTCTAATCTCCATGCCGCGGGCATAGGTGTCTTTTGGTCGGCCATCCTTGCCGATACCAAAGTCATTCGTGGCTATGCCGGCCACTGCTCCCCGCTGGTACAGCACCTCGCTCGCTGCAAAGCCTGGGTAGATCTCCACACCTAAACCATCTGCTTTCTCGCCCAGCCATCTCACCAGCTCACTGCGCAAAATTTCTCTATTTCAGATGACCTGGTGTTTAGACAACATGATGTCAGTTGTAGTTTTGAGGATGTTTTGCTATGGCTGTCAGTGGCACGCATGCACTATCTTGGAAACATGTTGAATAGGCACCTGAGGCTGATCACATAGTTGCCCTTGTTGTGCATCTGTGGCGGGTTCGGCAATCGTAATGCATGTTTTCTGGTCAAATAGAAAAACCTGGTATGAAACTCACAAGCAGCTTGTTAATGGCCAGCATGGGAATACATCAAGGACAAGGCTCTCTTACAGATGCCAAGCACACTGCATGAACAAGCAGGAGGGAAGCAGGTGCCTGTCATCAGTCGCGGGCACATGCAAAGGTGCCCCCTCCGCCTTCCACTCTGGTATGAGCTCGGTGAGAGCCCTGGGCTCCAACACGTTCCCAGACAATATATGCGCGCCTGGGCACCGCACACATTGCCTCAGTCTCTTGAACCCAAGAAATACAATCTTCATTGCACGCATGTCGAGATCACATAATGACGTGCCGGGATTTTAAGGAATCAGGGCCTTACCGACTTCTGACCCTTTCTCCACTACACAAACGCTGATTTCTTCGCCAGCCTCCTGGCACATCTAACAGCACAGAGAGCTACAGCCATGGAGATGGAGCACGAGACAGAGGGCTGCATGACAGAGGAAGTCTAATGGTGATGGTACTAAGGAATTCATGCAGCAATGCTAGCCTACCTGCTTCAGCTTGATAGCAGCAGACAGCCCGGCAGGGCCAGCACCCACAATGCACACGTCATACTCCATAGCCTCGCGTGGTTCAGATGTAGATGCTGCCTGGCCTGATAGCCATCTTCCAAGCTGTCCTTCCTGTAACGCAAGAAGGAACGTCACGTCCCGTGCGTAGCAGTTATACTATTTCTCCAAACACACCTTGAAGGAAATCGGCCACTTTCAACATGAGATTTGCAGTGATATGGCTGTAAGGAGATACATGTCGAGCTCATCATCGATCAACCACAAGATTGTCCTCCTCGTATCTTCGGTTGTAAGGAAATTGCCTACCGTGCTGCAAGTCACACGCCCTGCCGGGACGATGCCCCTAATCAACCTACTATAACACTTGATTGATGATCTCAGTAACATTTTTACAGTTTTAACTGATCCAATCTGGCAGGTGCTGCTAGTCAATCTTCACCAGATGTGGGGATGCCAACTAGCTGTGGCGACTTCTTCACTCCTCGGCAACATGCATGCACCGGTTTTAATGGCTCATATTATGCACAGTTAAACAAATTGTTCAGATGTCCTTCAAATTCAGAAACAGATGAGACAATCATTGCGCAGTCAAGATGCCACGGGTGATGCCAGCTGGCAGGCGCACAATCATGTACTCTGCAGCAAATCTGCAGAGTGAACATTTGCAAGTCATCAATTATTGGCATACCTCTGACACTGACGAAGACAATTGGCTTCTCCATGCAAGGCTGAAGCATGGGCAGAGGTGGTGAGAGCGGCTTCTTGCCCGGAGCATCCACCAGCACTTTCTTGCCTCCAATCACATCAAATGATGACTTCAGCCGTGATCCTGAGGTACGGGGGTTTTGAACACCGTAGTAGATGCTGCTCATCTAAAGGGAAGTACTCTGTTGTACTAACGGTAAATACTATTCTGTATATCTTGTTCAGTGCTCCGGTAGCTTTCAGGTGAACAAGGAAGGGTGTGTTGTGAGCGTTGATTGATCAGTCTCTTTATATTTTTGGATGCATGAAAAGCCATCATGATTGTAAAGAAAGACGGTGCGTTTGAGGAAACAAATAGCGAGTTTGTGTTGCAGGTATGGGATGTTGTAGTGGTGGGAGCTGGCGTGGCAGGTTCTGCCTTGGCATACTCACAGGGACGGGTAGGACATCAAAATGACCTTCCTGTCATGCACCAGTTGTGCACAGTGCAAGGAAGAACCACACCCATGTTGTGTACTGCCGGGGCAGTTCTCCTTGCTGACCCTGGGGCCTCTGCTGGACAGGATGGGCGGCGTGTGCTCCTATTGGAGCGTGACTTGTCGCAGCCGGACAGAATTGTGGGCGAGCTGTTGCAGCCGGGTGGCTACCTTATGCTCAAGCGCCTCGGCCTGGAGCAGGCAGTGGATGGCATCGATGCCCAGAAGGTGTTTGCACTTGTAGCAGCAACACAGTCCACAGTGTGGCTCCTGATTGCCAGCATAAATTCATCCATTACGTCTGCGGAGGAGTTCCCCTCACCAGTCATCCTGCGCCGAGTGTCCTGCAAACATCTCGTGAGGAAATTCCCAATGATATCTGTGCTTGGGAATTGCGCCAATAGGAGCCAGTGCGTGCAGGTGTACGGGTACTGCATGTTCAAGGACGAGGAGGAAGCGAAGGTGAGCTATCCGACAGAGGGCTTTGATGGGGACGTGGCGGGGCGCTCCTTCCACAACGGCCGCTTTGTGCAGCGGCTGCGGCAGGCCGCTGCAAGCAGGCCCTCCGTCACCATCCGGCAGGGCATCGCCAAGCGCCTGCTCAATGGTGCGCAGTTCTTTTTGGTACTGGGATCGCTCTTTTGGCTTCATTATTCCAGGCCACTGTTGCCATCACCATTATATTATAAACAACTATCCTGAACACGAAGCCCTGGGAATGAACTAAATCAGCCTGAGGATCATGACCTGGCTATGATGGGGCATGGACCAAAAGAGCAGAGTAGCATTTGGAAGAGCAGTGTCAGAATGCGTGGATGCTACTGGGGCCGCAGAGAGGGGAGACGAGTGGAAGGAAGACAGCGAGGAGGCGGTTAGTGGGGTGCTGTACAAGGCAGCGGACGGCTCCGAGCGCACGGCACGTGCCGACCTCAGCATCATCTGCGATGGCATGTACTCGTCGCTGCGCAGCAAGCTGTCGACGCCGCACATCCGGCACCCCTCCTTCTTCGTGGGCCTGCTGCTGCACGGCGCGGCGCTGCCCTATGCCAACTTTGGCCACGTCGTCCTGGCCAAGCCCTCGCCCATCCTGTTCTACCCCATCTCCTCCACTGAGGTGCGCCCCCGGCCCTCAGCTGGCTAAATCTGCATCAAGCCGTGTCTCTGTCTTGCACCCGTTCCGGTCTCGGTATTTTGCAGCACTAAAGCCCCATACTGACATGTTTATCCTATGGGGCGCTCTGCAGCTAGCCAATGACAAGCAATGTGGAAGATTGCAGTACATCCCTTCTGGCTGTAGATGCGTTATGTGGACGTACACAAGTAATGAGGTCTTGTATGTGGATTAGGTGCGGTGCCTGGTGGACGTGCCGGGGGAGAGGCTGCCGAGCGAGCTGCCTGGCTACCTCCGCGCGACCGTTGCGCCGCAGGTGCCGCGGCAACTTCGTGCCGCCTTCTTGGAGGCTGTGGATGCCGGGCGCATCCGCAGCATGCAGAATAAGCTGATGCCAGCCGCGCCCATCCACCGGCCGGGCGCGCTGCTGCTCGGCGATGCGTTCAACATGCGCCACCCGCTCACTGGTTCGCTCGCCGTTGCTGCCTTGGAATCCATTTCGTCGTCTTTCAAGCCTGCAATGACGTTTTAGCAGGAAGGTGCAGTCGATCCCTTCCCCATGCAGCATTTGTCAATCTGTTTCTGTCCTTTCCTGCTTGTTGCAGGATGTCCTCATGGCCTGCCCGTCATAAAGCTGCAGTGTCCAGTGAGTTTCTGGAATGACGATGGCCTGATGGTGTATGCAGGTGGCGGGATGACAGTGGCGCTGAGTGACACGCTGCTGCTTTGCGACATGCTGCGGCCGCTGCCGGATTTCAGCGACAGCCTGGCGACCGCGGCCACCACGCACGCCTTCTACACACGCCGCAAACCCCTCTCCGCTACCATAAATACCCTTGCCAATGCCCTCTACCAGGTGCTATTTCCAGTCATCAATCTCTAGGCCCATCGTGTCCTCAGACAAGAATCCTCCTTGCTTTCAACAAGAAAGAACTCTCTTCACCCAAGAAGTGTGGAAGTAATCAAGTCATCAAGGGGCAAGGATAAGCTGCCTGCGTGTAAACAGCGAGGAACAAATCTAGTCATAAAAATGCAAGCAAGTGAGATGGGGCTGGCGGTGGTGGTCTGTGCGCAGGTGTTCTGCTATAGGGGCAGCGCAGCGCACGAGGAGATGCGGCAGGCTTGCTTCGACTACCTGCGCCTGGGCGGCTGGTACAGCGCGGGCCCCGTCAGCCTGTTGTCTGGCCTCAACCCGCGGCCCTCCATCCTCGTTATGCATTTCTTTGCCGTCGCCGTCTTCGGTGTCGGTCGCCTGCTGCTGCCGCGCCCCACCCTCAGGTCCACCCCGCTGCAACCCTTCAGCACCGGACAGCACGCCCTTTGATGCCCTTGTATCTCCCTTTCTGAGAGAAACAGATATGCAGAAACAGCCATCAAGGCGGAGCGAGGGCCAGAGGAGAAAGGAAGGGCTCCCTTACAACTGGATAGCATGATGCATGCCTCTTTCTCCTCAACATCTCTTGACAGGGTTGTTTTGTGTCCAAGCTAGCCGTTCCTAAGTTCCTCCCTACTAGGTCCTGTTGGGCATGTAGCCAGCTGCATTGCGTTGATGCACTACAGCAAGGAAGGCCCACGGAGTATTGGTGCCCATTGTGATATGTCCGGTGGCTGTGGTGCAGGGGGGTGTGGATGGGTGTGCTGTTGTTGCGCTGTGCAGCATGCATCATTCTGCCCATCATCAAGGGCGAGGGCATTGTTGCTGTCTTCTTTCCATACCTGATTCGACGTCCGCTGGTGCAGACTGCTCACTTTCCTCTCTACCGGATAGGGCTGTGGCTATTGCTCCGTGCGAGTGTCGGCGTGCAAACATTCATTCATATTAAAAGCGCAAATCTGCTTGAAGACCCCATGCATGCGAAAGCATATTCTCTGGTGTATTCATTCAACTGGGCTGATGATGTCTGTGTTGTTGAACAGTTGGTCAAGGCATCTACTATGAAGCATGCCTTCAGTTCCAAGGAGCTCAGTGGCGCACTGTCACGCACACAACGTTCAATGGAGAAGTGAAGTAATGGACGCTATTTGAGTGGTGTCCTAAGGAATGCATGCAGGATTGTTGTCATAATGTCCTTGTGGCATTGTGTTTTCAGAATGCGTCCAAGAAGTTGTATTTACTGCAAGCTTACAACTGCAAAGTGTTGTCTGTCTGTATAACATTGTTGTCTAGGTTGCTGTGGGCAGAGAATGGTGCAAGGTTTCGATGTTGCAGACTTGTCGCCAAAGACATTGGATATGATGTAAATACACATGTTCTTGAACTCCTGAAGCACCTCACATGTGCATGTAAGGCCTTACACGACCGGTTTCATGGGGACTTGCACTCAAGATGCATGACACGGTATGTATACATTGCCGCAACAGCAATGCAGGCAAGTTGTATCCAATTCAGACAGACACAAAGAATACATACAGCTCTGCAGTGCTCTGCAAGACCAGCGAGCTGTGGCTATTATTTGGGCTAGCTCCTCCTGCCTGAACCAGATCTGGTATTACGTAATCACTCCTCTGCCTTGAGCAGCTGGCGCCGCTGTCCAGGAAATGGTGTCATTAGCGTGAGCACATCCTGAACTTTGTCAGCACTGTTAAAGACAAGCAGGCTCAGGCCATAGTTCTGGGTCCAATCGCCCTGGTACACGCCTGTGATCTGTCAGGGACAAAGCACCCAATATTCAGAAGCCTTCATGATGTTTCACCTGTAAAACCTTTTTGATGCTATGAAGGTGCAGTTATCCAAATAACCAGCATTGTTACTAAATGCAAAGTGAACGAGCCTCGTACCCTCCAGAAGATGAAGGCCTTATTGCCAGCAGACACAGCAACTGTGGAGCGGTTGTCCTTGACCTCATATTCCTGCAGATGTGAACACAGCAACTCCTCCCATTGATTATTGACGAGTAACACTGAGTGGCACATTAAGATGTGTTGCAACGCAACATGCTTGGTAGGACAAACGCTGACCTTGAAGATGCCGCTGACCATGCTCTTGAATGTGTCCAGGCCCTCCTTCTCACCACCTGCAGCACACTGAATTGTCATGCAGCGAACAGTCCGTGTATCTCATATACTGCTACACAATAGAGCCTTTGTCACAGCATTGCTGGTAGAAACATGTAACCAGAGATTATTGCCACAGCACTGTCAGACAGAACATAAAATCAGATTGGTGCATACCATAGATTAGGCTGTACAGGGACACATCCTTGGCAAAGATCTTATCAGCAAGGGAGACATCTCCAGTGGCCCAGATCTGCCATGGCACAGAACAGGCACCTCAGTACCACCATGCCAATTCAGCCACACCTCACTTGACCGGGTTTCCTGCGCATGTGCAAGTGGTTAACAGTGGCCACAGGGTGACAGACGGCTCGGGGTCGCACGTGGTTGTAGAGTGATGCTGCATGGTCATGCTTCTGAGCACGCTTCTCACTCTGTTCCTCAGAGCCGCGGTATTTGAGCGCATCGTCAATGCTCAGCTTGCTGTAGTCGGGGATGGTCTTGAGCTGCACAGCATCGTCTTGGCATTATCATAACATTGCTGTGGTGGATTCAGTACAAGAACATTCTGTATGTGTCAGAATTCGTGGAAAATCTATTACACACACAGAAGTTGGTGTGCTCAAGTAAAGCCCTTTGGCTACCCTTCAAAAGTGGTCCTCACCTTGCGTGCTGCCTCATCGTGGCTGAGCTGGCGCAGGAAAAAGATCTCCTGCACTCGCTCCTCGCGGTTGAAACGCAGGAAGAAGATCCTGAACAGCGAGCTTCAGCATCAACATTGATGATGTTTGCTTACAGTGCATCATACAAAAACACAGGAAACACAGCAAGACTCATCATGATGGCAGAAGGACCATGGCACACCCAAGTGTGCTGGTGGGCTTAGCCTGTCCAGCGGCATGCTGGCCTTGGTAAGCTTCCTTCTTGGGTGTCACATCCTGCACAGGCAGTTGCTTTAGTCTGGATATCCATTGTCTAAAGGCAGCCTTAAGGAATGTATTGTGATGCTGAATAGTCCATGCAGGCTTGGGCCAGATTCGCAGCCACACCTTGTCAACATGGAACGAGAAGGCAACATTGCTGTGCTCGTCCACTGCCCCTGTGATGGGAATGTGCTCATAACTGTATCTGTCAATGTATGCCTGCAAGTACGAGCACAATGGTTTCAGCGCCACCGACGATCCGATGACATGTCCAACAATAACAATTATGCTTTATATCGGATCCTAGATTACCACTGACCAAAACCAGGTTTTGAACAAATACAATAATTTCCGACTACAAGCATCATCTTGTTGGTGCAGGACTTTACCTGGAAATATCCCCTTACGGAGTTTCTTCCATGGAGGTCATCGAACAGAGTGATACCGTCCTTGTGAAGGATGACATCGGACGACAGAAGATCATCCCAAGCGCTCAAATTGAAGCGTGAAAGGCCGCTGTCAAAGGTCTTGCTGGCACCGAGAAGGCGCTGCTCCTTCTCAGTCTTCATTACCTATACAGATCAGCAGGGATACACATAGGGAGCACCGCGAAGGGAAAGCAACCTGATTTCAAGAAAACCCATTGCACTTCCTCTTCACTAGCCCACGAGAAAGTTTAATGACGTATTCCAAATTTGCAACGTGAGCATCGGACACAGATCGCACCATTGCGCAGCGTCGGTGGTAATAGAGCTAGTTCTTTCGTGAAGGCGAATCTTTCAGCTGGAAAAGTACTCAAGCTTGGTCTGTTGTCAAGCTTTTAATCCGAAACCGGAGAATTGGAGTAGTTCCACGTCCAAAATATTTGGAAGCTGCTCCTGATTTTTGGATTTTCGAAGCAAGATCTGACGTGGCAGTTTCTTAGTAGCCCAAACTTAATCACTGCTCGTGTGTTTGGCATTCATTTTTACTCAAAGTGACAACTGTGTCTGTACAAAAGGACCTGTGGATTGCAACACAATCTGCCTTTTGCAATCAACAAAATATTGCAGTTGCCAGAGCACGGTGCTCGCGCCAACACCAGTGACCCCATTTCTATGAATAAAACTAACACCCTTCTCTTGGTATGCATTTTAAAACAATGGCTGCGGCTTAGGCAGAGCTCTGTCTTCTGCATGCTAAAACAGGCAATCGCACAAAGCTACCATTCGTCGGCTAACACCTGCGCGCCTCTTAAGGTGGAAGTCATGCTATGAGCCCGGCGGGGTCATTCGTCCCAATGACCGTCACCCGATTACCGATAGGCCCGGCTCGTCCGGGCTCAGGAACATATCCCATGGGCTCGCCCATGCGTAAATTCCACTCGCTCATTGGCATAGATCCCTCGCAGACGACGTGGCTCAAACACGGTGTTGTAAGAAGTAGAGTGGCCTTGCTGCGACGATCTTCTGAGACTGAGCCATTGTTCGCACGATTTGTCCGATTGGATCCTCCGAGTTACAATCTGCCACTCCATTTCTTTACCTTGTCTGCTACAGGGACGCTGCAGGCCTTGTTGATCATCATGCAAGTGTTGTCGTCAATTGCTGCTGCAGGACCCTCCTCTATCGGATATGCCGGCCCTGTAACGTGTGCATATATGCCTATATGTGCCTATATAGGGGTCATATAGGAAAGATAGGCCTTTATGGCACTTCTTCCCTTCTATCGTTACATGCCCCTTCCTGATTCCCAATTGGGAGACCCGGGGCCGCGCTCAAAGGCGACCGGCAGCAAGCAAAAGTGTCTTCCGGCAGGATCTTGCTCCATGGGCAGATCCGGCATTGCCGGCATGCCGGCAGATTCCTGCTCCAGGGCAGTCGGGCACTGCCGGCTGTAAGGCGCTAAATACCGTCTGCCGGTTGATGGCAGCCGGCAACGCCGTTCCGGCAAGCCGTCTGAACGGTTGTTTGTTTAGGACTTAGTAGTCGAATGTTGGTAGTCAGGAAAGTTGCATCCATGCTGCTGCATCCAGGCGCGCCTGCGCCACCTGCGGGAGGATTCTCGAATTTTCGAAAAGAGCTGATGACATGGGGTATCTCCCGCCCCGTTACAGCGTGCGTGGTCTGAGCTAGAGCGAGTAACCCGTTTAAGCGTACAACGAATAGTCACCAATATTGGTCCTCTGAAGGTCGGTTGGGCCCAACACCTTTAAGACGCTAGCGCAATCGTGCGGCACTTTGCACAAGTGGTCTAAGGGTTGCGAGCAGCTACGCGGATCTAACCGGCGGGGTAACAGCCCCTTGGTCCACCCTAAGGTGACCGTTTAAGGGAACCAGCACGCCGGCAACGGCCTGCGCAGGTCTCGCTGCGCCTCCGCATAAGTCTCTAATGGGAAAGTCAGGTATATCACAGGCGGGTTAGCGGACTCTAGATACCGGAAAAGGCCTTCAACGGTCCCGGTGTCCGCTCTGCCGGTTATCCTAAGCGGGTAGTCGGTGGGTCAGGGGTATTGTTTTTGACATTTCTCACCGGCATGCCGGCAGCCTGCGGAATCCTGCTCCAGGGGCAGTCCGGCACTGCCGGCAGCCGGCAGAATCCTGCTCCGGAGGCAGTCCGGCATGCCGGCAGCCTGCAGAATCCTGCTCTAGGGGCAGTCCGGCACTGCCGGCGTGCCGGCAGAACTCTGTTCCAGGGGCAGTCCGGCACTGCCGGCATGCCGGCAGCCTGCAGGGTCCTGCTCCAGGGGCAGTCCGGCACTGCCGACGTGCCGGCAGAATCCTGCTCCAGGGGTAGTCCGGCACTGCCGGCATGCCGGCAGCCTGCAGAATCCTGCTCCAGGGGCACTGCCGGCATGCTGGAAGCCTGCAGAATTCTGCCCAAGGGGCAGTCCGGCACTGCCGGCGTGCCGGCAGAATCCTGCTCCAGGGGTAGTCCGGCACTGCCGGCATGCCGGAAGCCTGCAGAATTATGCCCAAGGGGCAGTCCGGCACTGCCGGCATGCCGGCAGCCTGCAGAATCCTGCTCCAGGGGCACTGCCGGCATGCCGGAAGCCTGCAGAATTATGCCCAAGGGGCAGTCCGGCACTGCCGGCATGCCGGCAGCCTGCAGAATACTGCTCCAGGGGCAGTCCGGCACTGCCGGCATGCCGGCCTGCCTGCAGAATCCTGCTCCAGGGGCAGTCCGGCACTGCCGGCATGCCGGCCTGCCTGCCGCCGGCACTGGCGCCGGCGCCGGCAGACTTCGGATCCCCTCGACTCTGCCTGCCTTTTGCTCTTGCTCCATGGCAGCTGGACCGCTACAAGGGTTTGTTAAAAGCCTGCAAGGATCCATCCGAGCCGGTGCGCGGCCCGCTCCGTCGGAGTGCTGCAGGCTGGTCTTGCGAGTGCTACAGGGGGAGCTGCCGCCAGCCTAAATCTCTCCAAACTGCTTGGATGGGGCAGGCCGGAAGAGGTGATCGTCTTGTAGATTTTCTTATGCTTTGATTCTTGTGACTACTGCATGCATGCATATGCTTGTTCCGTGCGCGTGAGCTGTGTGCCTTCTCAATGCGTGTTCTGTGGAGCGGCTTCACTTGGAGGATAGAGATGTATCAGAAGCGGCTGCGTCTGCTACGCCGCAGCCGCTGCCGCGCATCCGCTGGAGCTGCCGGCAGCCAGAGCGCGGCCACGTCCGCCACAGACAGCCTCCTAGGGACTTCCACAATTCACACTGGATCCTGGCACTTTGCTATGCAATGGTGCGCCCTGCTCCTGGGTTGCTCATGCATGTGGAGTCTGGCAGCCCAGCGAGTAGCTGGACCATGGTGTTGCAGAGAAATGGTGGATTCCAATTTCAAGCCAGTGACTCCGTCGGATCCGGAGCGCTACCATGACCGCAAACTCAACCAAACGTCATATTTGCGCTGTTGCAGATGTTCTCGAGTCCACTGCTGTCAAAAACTGTCTCGTGTCTGCGGCCTGAAACAGCCAGCCTCTGTGCCGCAGCAACTGCCGGCTCGGCGCCGAGCGCCTTTCCATGATCAGGGGGCTGTCGGGGCTCGGCTGTGCAGGCTGCCGGGCTGCTGAGATCACAGGTGCTGACGGCGCCGGAGGCAGCCCTCCACCGCCACTGACGGCCGCCACTGCCCTGCTTGAGCAGACGCCTTGTCAATGGCGCTGACAGCTCCCGCCCCTCCGGCTCTGCCTGCTCTGCAGCGCTGAATGAGCGCACTCATGCTAGTCACTTCCACGCTGGCTCTTGCCTCCGCTGAGGCGCCGCCGGTCGCCATGCCCTGCACACAACCGTGGCAGTCTGTAAGAACCTTGGAGCCGCGCTGCCATGAAACCTGTTGTCTCCCAAAAGTCCCACAATCGCGAGCCTGTGAAGACAGGACCGCGATGAATGGGCTGCATGCAGAAGGCTTTCACGCTGGCAGCGCCGCTGTCATGCATTCCTGCTGCTTGTGGCCATTGCTGACAGGAGCAAGCATGAAAATTACCCAGAAGCCCTTCAGTAGAAATTCAGACTTTTTGTCAGGTACCCAAGACTATTTGAACTTTCACCTTGTGAGCTCCCAGTAACTTGGCACCGGTCTTGCCTGCATGAGCAAAGCGCATGCAGATCTCCCTTTGGCATGTATTGATGTGAGCTTGAGGAAGGACAAAGCCAGGCAAGTGCAGGTCCACCCACCTGCCGCGGCCGAGGGTGGGTTGCCAGAGTGATGGCGGCCGCAGCTCAGACGGCTGCGAGGGGTGCTCCGCAGCAAGCGCGCCGGAATGCATCGCCGGCAGTCCGGCTGGCCATCATGACGCCGCTGCCTGATGAGGGTGCGCCCGCTGCATGCCTAGAGAACACAAGTGCTGGTGTCAAGGACTCCTGCCAGAAAGAGCGATGTGCGAGAATGAAGTTGAGGGGAGGGCTGCGGAGCGCATCACAGGAAAATGCATGAGCAGGCCCCACAGGTGTGGCTGCAGACGTCCTGCCTGCGAGCTCTGTGGCATTGATTAAGGATAGCAAGCAGTGGCGCTTGAAACCGGTTGCATGTGGCGGGAGCAGGCCGGCCGGCGCACCTGCCGCTGCAGCAGCTTGCGGCTGCATAGACCCAGATCCTGGACACAAAGGTCCTCACAGCCTGCCACGCCCATGCGCTGCTGCTGCCGTGGGGAGGGAGAAGTCGCCCGGCTGGGGTCCTGGCGCCCCGGCCGGCCCAGCGCGCACGCCGATCCGGCTGGAGGCGAGTCCCACCTGCGATCGGGCAGCCAGGCAGGTCTGAGCACAGCTGCGCGCGGCCAGCGCGAGGAGTCTTCACTGCCAAGGCTAATGCTAATGCATGCTAAGGAGCAGCCAACCATGTAAACCGGTAACAAGCATGAAAATTACCTAGAAGCCCTTCAGTAGAATTTATATCAACTGCCCAAAGACTAACATAATTTTAACTTTTATGGGCTCCCAGTGAAAACGCACTGGTCTTGCATGCATGAGCAAAGCGCATGCAGATCTCCCTGTGGCATGGATTGATGTGAGCTTAAGAAGGGGCAGCCAGGCAAGTGCAGGTCCACCCACCTGCCGCGGCCGAGGGTAGGTTGCCAGAGTGATGGCGGCCGCAGCTCAGACGGCTGCGAGAGGTGCTCCGCAGCAAGCGCGCCGGAATGCATCGCCGGCAGTCCGGCTGGCCGTCATGACGCCGCTGCCTGATGAGGGTGCGCCCGCTGCACATCCAGAACACAACCGCTGGTGTCAAGGACTTCTGTCAGGAAAGGCGGTCTGTGCGAGGAGTTGGGAGGCGGGCTGCGGAGCACATCACAGGAAAATGCCCGATTAGGCCCCACAGATGTGGCTGCAGACGCCCCGCTTGCATGCATGGTGGCATGTGATAATGATAGCAAGCAGTGGCGCTTGAAACTCTGTATGAGGCACGGGTGAGGGACTCTTGCGCTTCAGCCAGCCTGCAGCTACAGCAGTGGGAGCAGGCCGGCCGGCGCACCTGCTGCTGCAGCAGCTCGCGGCTGCGTAGCCCCAGATCCTGGACACAAAGGTCCTCGCAAGCTGTCACGCGCATGCGCTGCTGCTGCCGTGGAGGGATGAGTCCCCTGGCTAAGGTCCTTACGCCCCGGCCGGCCCGCGCGCACGCCGATCCGGCTGCAGGTGAGTCCCACCTGCGATCGGGCAGCCAGGCAGGTCAGCGTGCACGTCTGAGCACAGCTGCGCGCGGCCGGCACGACGAGATTTCCCTGCCAAGGCGCCAACAGTACCCAAGGCGCCAGGCAGGCTGGGACATGTCCCTCAGCAAAAGCCCCGGCTGCAGCTGCCTTGCGACCCCTCAGCAAGACTCTCTGTTGATGAAAGAACGGCTCGAGGCGTGAAGCCCAGAGCATGATGCAGCCTGACCCCTCCCTGAGCAATCCTGCTTTCCAAGCATGGCTAACCCTGCCAGGGAGGCCAGGCATCAGGCAGGTCCAGCCAGGTGCCGCCAGGTGATTGTCAGGGAACGTTCAGAGGACGGTGAGGTGAGCTGCAGGGTCCACACCTGCAGCAAGGCGCGTCCACAGGTGGAGATCTGCTGCCTCGATCTGCTCAGGTGCCAGCCTCTGGCAGGGCTGGCCGCTGTCCGGCGCCGCGTTCCGACGGATCTGCAGCATGCAGAGATGGCTTTGGTGGCAGGAGGAGCGTGAAAGCATGGCGATCAGGGCGCTTTTGGGGTCAGGTCAGGACATCGCGCTGGCCATCCTCGAGCCCAGCAGCCACAGCGAGGGAGGATCGCCACAGCAACCAGTGCATAAATGTTCACAAACATCATACCTGAGATCTGCGGAGGCGAAGGGTGCGCCGGCGAGCTCCTGGGCTCCAAACAGGACAGGTATGCGCATCGCAGGATGTGCAAAGGCCGGCGCCGGGCGACGCACTGGCGTGCCAAAGGCCCGGAAGCAAGAGACAACAGGCTACGCGATGCCCTTGTCAGGGTGCGGCAGTCTGGGAGCCCGCAGAAAGCGTCGTTGCAAGGGCAGCAACAGGTGTGGCACTCGTGCGAAATGTTGGATTCTGCCCAAAATGACATCCAGGCCGGCCGCGCGCCTGCGGTGGGGGCCTGCATGCAGGCGCGCCTGCGCCACCAGCGAAGGAGGGGGGAGAGCAGAGTGCAGGCAGACTGCAGTCCGGCGCAGGCCGGGCTGCTGGAGGCTGGAGCTGGGGCTTGAGACTCGTCGTCGGCTTGGGGAAAAGGGTGAGCTTCCTTCGTGGCGGCTTCCCGAACCCGGTCGGCGCTGTTTCGTCCTGGCCGGTCGGCTGCCGGCTCCGCTCCCCGGTTGGCCAATCGGATCGCAAACCCGCATGCCGCTCAGTCGGCGGGGCGGGGGTATCGCCCACCAAGGTGGGCGCCTGCAGATCTCGAGAGGCTGGTCGGATGGGAATGCATTGGGATTCGGCCGGCTGCAGTCGGCAGCGGCAAGGTCCGCGGTCGGCGCAGCAGCCGAGTCCTGTTCAACGGTCGGCCCGCTTAGGCGGGCCCGATTGGGCGCCCGGTCTGACCGGGCGCCCGGAGATGAGAAGCTTGTATCGATACCGGATGGGAAAGCTTAGACCTCAATCGATGCCAGGATTCCCGGCTGCGAGGGGCCTCCGTCAGGGGGCCGCATCGCTGTCGGTCGATAATGGCGAAGGGTAGGCACCAGCGGCAGTCCGTCTCGTGGCCTCACGGCCCTCGGCGCGGCTGCCGCACGCTGGTCGTCTATCGAGGGGGGTTCAATGGGGCATCGCGGAAACGATGCGGTTGGGATCGACCGGTTCGCCGGTCGGCTCCAACTGGAGGAAAAACCTGCCTTAAACCATCCGACGCCCTCGGGCGTCCGGGTCGGGGCCGGCTCGAAAGGGCCGCGCCCCACAAGGCAGCTACCTGGTTGATCCTGCCAGTAGTCATATGCTTGTCTCAAAGATTAAGCCATGCATGTCTAAGTATAAACTGCTTTATACTGTGAAACTGCGAATGGCTCATTAAATCAGTTATAGTTTATTTGATGGTACCTTACTACTCGGATAACCGTAGTAATTCTAGAGCTAATACGTGCGGAAATCCCGACTTCTGGAAGGGACGTATTTATTAGATAAAAGGCCGACCGGGCTTGCCCGAATCGCGGTGAATCATGATAACTCCACGAATCGCATGGCCTCAGCGCCGGCGATGTTTCATTCAAATTTCTGCCCTATCAACTTTCGACGGTAAGGTATTGGCTTACCGTGGTGGTAACGGG